CTAGGACCTTGGACATGATGCCTCCTGCCTATCCCCGCCTCCAATGTGGTGGGTGTGTGTATCTGGTCGAGTTCTCGCCAGCCTACCTGTTTTTCGCCTCATTTGCGGCTTCATATCTCCCATATGCCACCGTTTGCTTGTGCCCCACCTTGCTGGCAGATTGAGGCATAGTTTAGGGTCACATTGCCAGCCCCGAGCGGCACCTAGTGGTAATGGGTCCGAACGCGATCCTGTTCCATCCCTGTCGGCCAACCGTATAAACGTGCCTTTCATGTCTGTTCCACCACTGGTTGCCCGCACATCCATAATTGCCTGCCAGTGATTGATGATTGCCTGCTTTGCTGTGACCCCTGCCTCCAGCTGCAAGCCCTAGGCTTGCCCCGTGGGTCCTCCAACGTCACCTCAGCGGTGTTGCGTTGCCGGCGGGCTGGAGTGCGCCTCTGGGGATGAGGTAACCCTCTGGTGCTTGGGACATGTCCATCGCTAGGAGCCTTTCTGTTGCCTTTCTGTGGTATGCCTTCATGCTTGCGCTTCTCTTAAGTATCGCATTATCCTCCTGCGGGAGTGCTCTGCGTGCCCCAACTCTGACAGGTTTCCCCAAATATCCTATTGCATGCGTGCTGGGAAGCGTGCGACTGGCACCTGTGTAATAGCGGGGGCTTCCCCTTTTAAAAAAAAAAAAAAAAAAAATAATTGCCTGCCAGTGATTGATGATTGCCTGCTTTGCTGTGACCCCTGCCTCCAGCTGCAAGCCCTAGGCTTGCCCCGTGGGTCCTCCAACGTCACCTCAGCGGTGTTGCGTTGCCGGCGGGCTGGAGTGCGCCTCTGGGGATGAGGTTACCCTCTGGTGCTTGGGACATGTCCATCGCTAGGAGCCTTTCTGTTGCCTTTCTGTGGTATGCCTTCATGCTTGCGCTTCTCTTCAGTATCGCATTATCCTCCTGCGGGAGTGCTCTGCGTGCCCCAACTCTGACAGGTTTCCCCAAATATCCTATTGCATGCGTGCTGGGAAGCGTGCGACTGGCACCTGTGTAATAGCGGGGGCTTCCGCGATGTCGTGCGCGGCCCGGAGCATCCGGATCGGGTGGTGCGAGAGCGCGTGCCCATCCTCCTGGCTGCCTTGCCAGCAGCCTGGAGAGCGCTCATTCAGGTGCAGCCACCGGCCGCTATGTGGTGCGCATTGCCGGACCCGTCGGATCGCCGAGTCTGGTCTCGCACAGCCGAAGGTAGCACCTACCTTCTCAGCCACACAGTAAGCAGCACAGGAGCCCTTGTGCCAGTGGAAGGAGGCGTTGCAGCCATGCACGCATTCCTTCCTCCGGCCGCGCAGCCTGCATTGGTTCAGCACTGGGACATCACCAGGCCCTGGCATCCACGCAGCGGCACACGTCAGCAGCGCCAGCACGCAGAGCAGCTGCACCCAGAGCAGCACCTGCAGGTGGAGCAGCAGACAGGGGAGCAGCAGCCAAGGGAGCAGCTGGAGTGGGAGCAGCAGCTGCCAGAGCCACCGCCACCACCGCCGCCCACACTATACTTCTTTGGCCTCTGGGGATCCCAGGTACAGGACCCTCAGGCTTGGGGGCTCGGCACGCGGCCGGCACATGAGTTTGTAGTGAGGGAGGCCACCGCGCGGCGACAGGTGCTTCACAGGATCAGCAAGGGGGAGGCCAGCCCGGCGGGCCCGCTGCGACCAGCCATCTGGGCTGATACCACAGATGATCAGCGCAGCGGCCTTCGGGCGCTCGAGGCGCGATGGGAGGCCAGGGCTGCAGCTGCTGGTACCGCGTCGCAGGTCTTAGGCAAGAGGCCTCGAGGGCAGCCTGATCCCTCCTCCTGGGCGATCTGGATGGCTGCGCCGCTGCCACGTCCGGTTCCGCTGCGGGACCGCGGCGGGCCTGCGGGCGCGCCAGCGGGCCCTTCACCAGTGCCACAGGGAGCAGATGTCACTGTTGATCCTGCTGCTGCTGCCACAGCAGACCCATCAGCACCTTGGGCTCATGTGTGGCAAGTGGTGCACGCTTCCCATCTGGACCGGCGGCAGCGCGTGACAGCGTGGAGGCTGCTGCATGGCCAGCTCTTCGTCGGCGGCTTCGCGCGTCACGTCCACCGCGCCGATCCCGCCGGTCACGTTTGCCCGCATCCGAGCTGTGCAGGTCAGCTGGCCACACTCACCCATGTCTTCATCATCTGCCCTCTCGCCGCCGGGGTGTGGGACTGGTTCGCAGCGACATGGGCCGCGGTGACCGGAGACGACGCGCCACCGCGCAGCGCCGACCTTCTTCTCGCCGATGACACCAGGATCTGGGGACCGCCGCGGCAGCTCAGGCAGCTCTGGGATCGCCTGCGGCTCGCTACAATCTGTCAGCTGTGGGCAGCATATCAGCGCGGCCGCCACCAGCCAGATGCGGCGGCGATCACCCCCGGAGCGGTTGCGGCTCGCATCCTGTCTTCCTGCAAGAAGGCCCTGCTTGCCGATTGGCGGCTCGCGACCGTCAACGTCCGGCAGACAGCAGGTGTGCTCAGCGACTGGCTTCGCGGACGCGACCCGATGATCACCAGGGAGCAGTTTGCGGCGCGATGGTGCCACCGCGCGGTCCTCTGCGCGCTGGAGGAGCTGCCGGGCGCGCAACCAGTCATCCACTGGAGTGCCCAGCATCCCGTGCCGCTTCCAGCGTGACGCTTCCGATCCACCATTCACTGTACCCAGCCGGCCACGGCTCTAACTTGGCTATCTGTATGACCATGCTCTCATTTGGCCTTCTGCCATGACACCCGCTCGTGTCGATTCTTGTGTTGAACTCACACCCTCTCTTAGGGGGGCCTTTGCGATAGGTGCTCTGGGCACATGGGCGCTAAGAGCCTTCGTCATACCATAGTCAGGCACGGATGACTAACCTTTCACCAGTCCCGATCCCACCCCGGCAAAGCCCGGCCTGTCGTTCCTTGTCTGAGACCCCTTTTGCCTTAGAGCCCTGGGACCACAGATTGCCTACCAGAAGCTTTGCGCCTCTCCTACCTCTAACCTTTGCCAGCGCGGAATGGGGCTCCGAGTCACGTGCTTCCACTGGTCGAGGGACCTGTCGAGCTCGGCCCAACACGGCCCCGGGGGTGCCTCCTTCACCCCTGGGGCACTGGCCTCGCCACCCAGTGCCGGTGGCCTCGCCCACCACCGGACGTGTTTGCGCGGCTCACCCCTTGGGTATCCCTCGGCCAGACGGATCCATCGTGCGCCCCGCTACCTGTGGAGTACCGTGCCGGAGAGCCAGAGCGTTGGCGCAAGCTTACAGAAGACCACCCTGCCCAGGGCTTTAGGCTATCAATAGTTTTCCAGTGATCCTCCGATGTTTCTGTCTCACCAGCAGCCCCAACAATCCCCTTGGCCTGTCATCCGTGGCCTTCTGCCTTAGTGTCTGTCCTCCTCACCATTCACAGTAGTTCATTGAAGGCTATCTGAAGGGTTTAGGGTTTCCAACCCCAGTATCCACCCTTGAACCTGAGCGGGTGTCTAGGACCTTGGACATGATGCCTCCTGCCTATCCCCGCCTCCAATGTGGTGGGTGTGTGTATCTGGTCGAGTTCTCACCAGCCTACCTGTTTTTCGCCTCATTTGCGGCTTCATATCTCCCATATGCCACCGTTTGCTTGTGCCCCACCTTGCTGGCAGATTGAGGCATAGTTTAGGGTCACATTGCCAGCCCCGAGCGGCACCTAGTGGTAATGGGTCCGAACGCGATCCTGTTCCATCCCTGTCGGCCAACCGTATAAACGTGCCTTTCATGTCTGTTCCACCACTGGTTGCCCGCACATCCATAATTGCCTGCCAGTGATTGATGATTGCCTGCTTTGCTGTGACCCCTGCCTCCAGCTGCAAGCCCTAGGCTTGCCCCGTGGGTCCTCCAACGTCACCTCAGCGGTGTTGCGTTGCCGGCGGGCTGGAGTGCGCCTCTGGGATGAGGTTACCCTCTGGTGCTTGGGACATGTCCATCGCTAGGAGCCTTTCTGTTGCCTTTCTGTGGTATGCCTTCATGCTTGCGCTTCTCTTAAGTATCGCATTATCCTCCTGCGGGAGTGCTCTGCGTGCCCCAACTCTGACAGGTTTCCCCAAATATCCTATTGCATGCGTGCTGGGAAGCGTGCGACTGGCACCTGTGTAATAGCGGGGGCTTCCCCTTTTAAAAATAAAAAAAAAAAAAAAAAAAACCTGACCGATCGCACAGCGGCTTTGATATCAGCCAGCGATCCAGCCGCGCTGCTGACTGGCCGGAGATGGCTATGTGGGTGAAGGCACGCCTGCTGGGGTGAAGGTCCCGCCAGACATCGTAGAGCCGGTGATCGTCTCGACACGCCGCAGGGCGGTCCTGCGTCCGCTGGTCGGGCTGCCCGGCAGGGTCCAGCATGTCCTGCTGGCCAGCGATGCAATTGAAGTCACCACCCACCAGAAGCTGCTTGCCCGCTGGCAAGCTGGTAAGCAGCTCCTGTGTGTAGTAGTGCGGCCGCACACCGACGCGGCCGCAAGCATGGGGACTCGGCCTGCGGCCGGCACATGAAGTCGTGGTCAGGGAGGCCACCATGCGCCGCCACGTGCTCTACAGGATCAGCAAGGGAGAGGCCCGCCCACTCGACCCGCTGCGGCCGGCCATCTGGGCCGACACCAGGGACGATCAGCGCAGCGGCCTGAGGGCACTTGAGGCGCGCTGGCAGTCCAAAGCAGCGGCAGCGGGCACGGGGACTGGGGTCCTGGGAAAGCGGCCCCGGCGGGAGCCCGACGCCTCCTCCTACGCAGCATGGACGCGCCCGTCGCGGCAGCGGCCAGCTCCGGTCTTGATCTCCACTGGTAGCGGGGCCCACGACTGAGCCGCCCGGCCGAGGGATACCCATGGTGTGAGCAGCCCGAGCACGGTTGGTGGGGGGCGAGGCCATTGTCCCGGGGGTGGAGGGTGCACCCCAGGGACCGTGCAGAGCTGAGCTCAGCGGATCCATCGACCGGTGGTACCGCGTGCTTAAGGCCCCATCCCGCGCTGGCAGTTGGTGAAGGCGCTAGGAGCTCCGTCACGGCAATCTGTGACCCCAGGGCTCTAAGGAAAACATACAAGGTGACAAGCCGGGCTGGAACTGCAGGAGTGTAACCGGTCATCTGTGCCTGATACAACCCGAGGGGCTCTTAGCGCCCAGATGGCCAGTGAACCTGCCAAAAAATTGTGGTGATGACCAAGGTATGAACGCCTGCCTTGGCCTAAACAGGCACTCTGTATGACCATGCTTTTCTGGCCTTTTGCCATGGCACCCGCTCCCTTAGAAGCAACAATATATGGGTGTTTGCTCTGCACCGCCCTCAACTGCGAGGGTCACAGCGTGCATCCAAGCAAGTACTCTGTGACAGAGCTCACCTTTGACCATTCTGGGCTCATGGCAGCATCCCAGAGGTGGGTATCCTGTCCAGGCAGAAGGGGCCAGCATGTCGGCTCCAGCATCCAGCAGCAGAGCACACACTTCTGCTCTCCCCATCACCGCGGCTCCCATCAGCACGGTGTGGGCCACATCCTTGGCGCTGAAGTCTATGAAATTCCTGTCATCTATCTGCTGCAGCGCTGCAAGGTACCCCTTCACAGTCCCGCCTTGCCCAAAGGTGCACGCAAAAGAAAAGGGAGAGCAGCGTCCCCTGCAGACCACCAATCTGCATTTCTCCTCATCGTCTGCTGGCCAGCACTCCGGCTGCCGGAACTCCATCCCTTGCTCGAGCAGCGCTGTGAGGACTGCCGTGACTTTCTCTGGCTCACATTCGCCACTGCTGCAGTCTGTCAGGAGGCCCAGCAACGCGCGGCCGTGCTGCCTGATCTCCCCTCGCTGACTCACAATCTCCAGCAGAGAGGCCACAATGTCCAGGTCACATGTACGCAGCTGCAGCTGGTTGTGCTCCTTGCCAAGCAGAAGTGACTGCACTGGATAGCCTGCCTCTAAGAGAGCCTGCATGGCATCCCTGCCAGCCAAACTGTGGCAGGGAAATGTGAGCAGGAGTGCAGGGTTCACTGCAGGCAGCCCAGGCTGTCTACTGTCTTGACTGGCTCCCCGAGCTGCTGCTGGAAGACCTGCGACTGGCCAGCGTCAACATAGACCTCTCGCGTGTCTGACAGGACCTGCACCATGTGGGCGAAGTCTCGCTTGTCGCTGGGAAATTGGGCTGCGCAGCTGGTTTAGGCCAAGGCAGGCCACCTGTTATAGGCCGAGGCAGGCCACCTGGTGTAGGCCAAGTGTCCTTTCCATCAGTCCGGCAAAATGGTCGTAGAGCAACCGATGCCTTGGGTCCCTTTTTGCCAGAAATATGGACCTTCTCGAGAGGCTATTGGCCCGGGCACCTGGGCTGCTGGGAATTGCTGTGTCTGTACTGATGAAGTTTGTAAGGATGTGGATGGTGACACCCTCTTCAACCCTTTGGGCCGGCAATACATGTGCCGCATGCGGAGCGGTCCTGCGATGTGTTCTCTACTCCATTGGGGGACTCGGCCATACGCCTCTAAGCCGTCGCCTGCAACGTTCCTTGATTGTCTTCTCGCAGGAAGCACAAGGGCACTACAATGTCTGCAAGGAGTGCAGAAATTTATGGCTGCACCTTGCGAGCGGGCTGGAAAAGCCGAGCGTTAACATCTTGCGGGCTGCTAGCTGGTTAGCTAAGACCCAATCACCGTCCAAAGTAAAGCGAATATCGCAACTTGTAATTGCACAAAGATTGGTATTCTGCTTTCACAAATCGTGACGAGCTACTGGGGAAGGAAGATGAAGTATAGCGAACACTATGCGAGTCCAAGTTGTGCATGGGACACATGCATGCTATGTAGGAATCAGAAAGAGCGTGCACACCAAACATACGGTACATCTGAAATCCAGATGACTGGATGCCACACGATGTCTTGCCACAAGTGTTTGTTCAACAGCCGGTGCACACCATATGTTCGGGACTTATGGACCTGCCGTTTCACGGTACCTGCCTGAAAGGTTTCAGATTTTGACAGTTGCAGGGGAGCCTGTTGACCTGAAAAATACTCCTAGCTACGGTACTTGACGTCTCCCTCAATACACTAATATTCAGTTTCAAACACTTTCACACTCTCCAGGCAAAAAAAATTACCGAGTCATCAAAACTCGGATTGCAAATGGTCCAAATGAGGTGTACTTGAATCCGTTGTCATCTATCTGGACGCAAGGTAACATAAAATCCATGACACTACAGGGGACATCCTAAAAGGTGTCACACGCAAACTCTTTGATTTGCACGCAAAGCAAGTTTGCACAGCGCATCGTGCGTGCGCGATGGCTGACGTACATCTCGTCGACTTGAGGCTGTGTCAAGACGCTAGCAAACAGATACATTGGGAGACACAGTCACCAAGGTGCCTTGGAATAGCTTGGCGCAGGCCAGATACATCGAAGGCAATTACCATCATCTGTGGCTCTTCTGCGATCAAGGATAGGAGTACCGTTGGTAATCCAAGGTGTCTTCCTCGTGAAGATCTGATGTGTCTGCACTTTGCAAGCCGCCCCCTGCAACATCCACTGCACATCAATCGGCTTGCCCATGTGTGCACAGAAAAAAGCGAATCCTATCATTACATTGCGAGCCAACACTGCATACATAGCATGAGGTGGGTGAGTCATGCACACCTAGAGCAGCTAACTCTGTTGGTGTCAGGTACGCCAGCTTCTTTGGATTGCTTGCGGCATGATGTTCCCGAACAGCATGGAACGGCGACCACTTGTTGAGCGCTGCAGGCTCTGCAGATGGAAAGGCATCATACCGCGGTCCTGCCTCCGTCTGCATGGGTCCCTGCATTGTGCAAGTGGGTGTCACAATACATATTGGTGGCTTTCTAAAGTGTTCCCAGAACGTTCATCAGGAAGGCGATCGTGGGAGATTGCTACCTTCTTTGGAGTGTAGCCTTTGTGTGCCCATGCAGGTACCCCAGGCTTTGCCAGAGGCATGCTTGCTGGTGGTAATGACGGCGCAGGAGGAAAAGAAGCCCTCCGTGGAGGCCCAGAACCCGGGGCAACGTGCAGATGCATCTCCGCAAGAGACCAGGGCTGCGACGGGCCAGGTGCTGGCACTGAACTGTGCTTGCTCACTGTAGCAGTTGCTCTTTCTGACTTCTGTTTGCGCCAGTACGCGGCAGTCGCAACAGCGCTCGCTGACACGGATGCATCTTGCCGCTGAGAACCCTTTCCAGCGGAACTTTCAATTGGATACCTGCTGCCTAGAAATGCACTTGCCCAATTTGCATTTGCCAAGGGAGCCGCCGGAGCCTCCACAGGAGACAAAAATTGCATTCCACGACTCTCTCCTGCATACCAGATAGTTCTCTCAGCAAATCATCATTCTTCGAGTGAATACGGTAGTGTGAGTCCTAGGCCAGCTTATTTCAGGCACAATATTCCTTCCTAGCAACCCATCAACAAGTGACAACATGCCGGCTATCAGCGTGATTCCATTGGATGGCATACCCGCGTTGTAAGGCTACTGTACCTCAGCACCATACCTCTTGAAGGAGCAGGCGCAGGCGCAGGTGCAGGTGAAAATGCCGGCTGGAAACGCATCTGATGCGGATGCGGATGTCGCAGCAGGTACTTCTGATTCAAGTGGCTGGAGCCATGCCATCTCCCATGGATGCCCTGAAAACACTCTGTGAGTTGAGAAGAATCACCATGAAGGACAGTTGTAGTGACTTGCCAATATTGTGACAGTGCGTAGGCATTTTCAATAAGAAGAAGAAGATCTCACCAGCATTATGCCGCCAATTATCACCAGTGCTATGAAAGAGCAATTTGCCCAGATAAGGATCTTTGAACACCTCCTGCTGACCATCTGCCCTAAGCTGGATGCCTGCTCTTGGTCTTCATCGCCACTGATTGATGCAGCATCACCATCTTCTGCACGCAAGGGCTGCTTCTCCCATTGCTTGTAGGGTCCACTGCCTGCGCAGCAAGAAAGGTCTCTTTCATCACTCTAGTTCGTCTGTTTGCAAAGGAGTGCGGAACCCACATCTCCCATGCATCAATGAAAGATCTGCGCTCCAAATCCAACAGAACAGCTTATGCACATCTCAGCAGTCAGCGTTCAGTCAACACTCTTAACAGCTTGCTGCAAATCGCAATGTCCTCCGAAGGACTCCGTCGTCGTACAGCGTGTAACCAGCCACGGCTGAGCTAGCATGTGTATTCCAGGAAGCATATAGTACAACGTAATAGGAGGGCCTTCGCTTTCTTTTTACAGACACTGAACTGTGGTACAAGGCGAACTACTCCCTTCAAAATTCCCGCACAGGTGGAAAATCCGCGACATGTTCGTGGTCGAGTCCAATAAAAGTACCTTTCTCGACTCTGAAGGCAGCTATGCTTCCCTTCGTTTTCTGATCATGCCTAAGATTCTCCTCTTGTGCCTGTTCTAGGAACGCTAGGATCTCCGACTGTGTGCTAGCAAAATCCATTCGAACCGTTGTTGGATGGTCAGTTGCCTGTCCACTCAATTAATATCAATTAATATTTCACATCGTTGTTGTTTGAGTGAGCTGAATTGCTGTTCAGATGATGACAATCCTCGTTACTGCCGTTGACGAAGTTCAGATTCATGCACGTGCCACGTCCTGACATCAGCGATTCGTCACCAGAAATGTGTCACACCAGTTGTGAGCTAAGATATGGTCAGGCTGCTAGGCATTGCATGTATTTTGTCTGCTCTCATGCTCCTGTACTGCTGCACATGGTGTATCTCAGGCTGCATTCCAGCGATTATTTCCTGCCGCTCCACCGCGCTATTCTCCCCTGCCTAGCAGGCCTGCTCTACATATCCTGCACCTCCATCTCTCCTCTGCTGCCTTTCCACTGGGATTGGCCCTGCATATCACTTGTGCACAGGTGCTCCGGCCCAGGAATTATAGCTGTATCTTCACGGCCACGGTTCTTTCCCCCTGGGGCTGACCTCGCTCCTGATTGCCTTTAAATTTAGGTGGCACGGTGCCCTAACCCTCTTCTAGCCACACTCAGTGCAAGGCTTGTATGCATGTATATACATTGCATATATGCAATGTGGTCATTTAGTGGTCCTGGGCCGGGGGATCATTGTATTGTTGTTACATGTTGTGCACTCAAGCTTGCGAGGCAGCCTGCAGAGCCCTTTAAAGAAAAATCTCCTATCTCCTGGCGCTCGCTCTGCCTTGATGTCTGCATACCTCTTTCTCTAATATGAGTTGATGTGAGAATCTACCTTGATTAAGCCCCATAAACATGCACAATCCCCAAGATCATAAGATTGCCACCATTTGCACCGTGTGACCTATGGAGCGCATGCATGCATATGCGCAAAGCACACTGCAATCGCGATATTGACCTCAAGGCACCCCGAGGCCTGGGGCCTCCGAGGCGAATGGCGGTATGAGCTCATGAGATCAGAGGAATGGCCACTGCTCTGGCAGAAATCCTAGCCAACTAAATAGGTAAGTAGTAGTGCACTAGTCGTAGCCTTCATGAGTCAAAAGGCCTTTACAAGAAAGCATAGTGCAGTAACTGTACTACAGTGCAAAAAAACCTTACCATTGTATGTTGGGGCAGGGCACGGATCAGGAACCCACTTGCGATGGCCAATGCACCCTCATGAAGCAGTCTCCTCCCATATATAAGGCACAGACTGGCACATTCTCAAAGCTTGCTTTGTTGCAGCCACTATATCGTCAGGAGATGCCATAGCGCCATTCCCCACATCGCCACAAGCCAGCTTTTTGCTCACCTGCATTTGATCAGGAATAAAATTATTAAGCGGAGGAGACACAGCAGAGGTGCACCCTTCCTGCAGCACTGGAACACCAACAAGACGTGCCCGTGAGCAACACTTACCGGGGGGATGACGCTTGCACCCAAATCCTGCAGGGTCTTCAAGTGCTTAGATGTGAAGGGACTATTCCACATGAAGGTATTCATTGCCGGAGCAACCAGAAGAGGCTTGTCAAAATCCCAAGCCCTGACCTGGAGAACCACACAAACCATCAAAATTGTCAAGTGACTGGGACAAGACAGGTGTGAACAAAAACAGAAAGCACGCAGTCTCACCACGCAAGTCAACAAATTATCGCAGAATCCTTGCGCAGCTTTCGCCAGCGAATTAGCAGAAAGGGGGGCAATCAGGAAACAATCTGCCCAGCGCCGCAGCTCAATGTGCAAGACAGGATCCCCCACCGTCTTCCAAGCATGCCACTCGTGCTCATCACCTGCGTCACCATCCCCATTCTCTCAGTCACCCCATTCTAAAATGACAAAACCCCTTGCCTAGCCACACTGGTATTATGCAAAAGATCACCAGGTGTGGAGACCATCTGCGAGCGCCTCACCCTTCACAGGCACATTGAGAGCCGACAGATCTTCATCGTTCAGCATATTCCTCGATGCATCGGTAACTATTATCTGGACATCTGCAAATTGCGCAAGGAGCTTCGCGAGAATTGGCACTCTGATGGCCGCCACGCTGCCACTCACGCCCAACAACACCCTGGGCCTCCTGCATCACACAGTGAACCTGTGTCACCCATTTCCTGGAGGAGATGCACAGCAGGGACTGCAAACTTTGAGAGATGCAGGATGCAATGCGCCCTACTGCAAATATGGGCGCACCTGGCATCTGTGTCCCGCCCACTGCACGAGGCATCTTGCTCCATTGCAGGCGTGCCTAGCAGTTCTCAAAGGCTCAAAGAGGATGAGCCAGACACAGCAGGATGATCCGAATGAAGTGGTTTCCAATGTCAGTTGTTCTTGAGGCGCACTACTGCAATTGACTGTCGTGCAGGACACTATGCCCCAGCTTGCTGCTGCTGCTGCTGCTCCGATTCTAGTTGCAACGCACGCTGAAACCTGGCCTTTTCTTCCTTTGCCTTTGCAAAATTTACAGCCCTGCAATAGAAGGTCCTGAACATCACACCGAGTTCCGATGATTTCGGAACATCTTTAGGCAGACATTGTTGGGCTCTACCTCTTCAACGCTTTCTCTCTTCTGAAGCACGCGTCAAGATCCCATTTATGCTGATTGCACTTTCCTACAAACTTTGCAAGAGCGTGCTCAGAATGGCAACCCACGAGAGCTTCGATCTCCTGTGTTGGCAGGCAACAGAAAATATCAGATTCATCGTCAGGATAATTGAATGTCTACGAGTTCAGATGGAGGACAGGACCGATGATCGACACCTTCTTGCAGTAGGGATGTTTGCTGACGTGAAGAGGAGGGTGCATCGAGCACCTGCAAAGTGATAATCGGACCTTCCAAGTCGCCACTAGAGCTCTACAAAAGGACACAAGCACCTTCTAATAGCATTACGATCGAGTCTATGTCCGAGCTCATTCATCGACGTGACGTTTGTCAGCGCACCAAAGTAGGCAACGGCTTCCAACTTGAAATCGCAGCAACGACAGCATCAACAGAAAGGAACTCGTCCCACGGGAGTCTGAGTGAAACCTGGTTAAGTCACAACAAACTGATGAGCTCAGGGCATACGTGCACCGGCAGGTACAACTCTTGAATTTAAAAAAAGTCAGTCCCTAAAATGGAAGACATCACAAACCTGCAGGAGCAACGCACTCTTCACTCGCGTGCGGGAACCAAAGAAAGCCAACAGGTGTGTTCTTAAATAGTAATAATTCTGTCTTTAGAATTATATCTGCAGGAGTGTGGGCACAAAAGGTCAAGCAATTTGTCTTGGAAGCCCAATCACTGCAGAATAGCAATTTATTGTCCTTTGCATCTGCAATCTTTGAATGGACTGTGGTAATGCAGGAGATACAGCTTCAAGCACCACTTTTGCAGCAAGGCACCGCGAACAGGTATAGGCAGAGATTGTTGTTACAATACCCGAAAAATTGCACAGGCCAGTCTTGTGATTACTCTCAGCTGAATCGAAGAGTCCAACTGAGTCACGTTGTGGCTGTGCTTTCTGGTAGGAGTGGAACCCAAACTGGAGGATCCGGGGGCCTTGAACATGCCCAACTCCACGCCCTCTTTGACAATTGTCTGAAGCTTGCAAGCGAAAACAAAATCACTGCAAAGAACACATGGAGCCTTCCGTTGATCGACCACCTGAGCGACCTGATACAGGCAAGATACTGACTTGCAATGCATCATTATGTTTCACTTTCTCTTTCATCAGAAGGTGTGTGCCATTCAAACTGCTAACATGCTTTGCAGCCCTCGCAAGAAGATGGGGAGTCGACAAACTTTCAGCGCGCCAGTGTCACTCTGGATGCCAGCGTGAAGATCTATGGCAGCCGCGTTGATTCGGTGCACACAATTGCATTCCAGACCTTGTCAGGCTTGTCACGGTCAGCCAATGCGCCTGTGCAAGGTGCGCAGCTTCATAGCAATCTCACTAAGACGCACGCATCAGCCGAATTACAGCCACTGTATCCGTGCAAGGAAACTTTGGAATGAAAGAAGGCTCGAAGACTCCACGCACTGGCTACCCTTGCAGATGAAGCGACAACAGGATCTGCAGAAGGGGATGAGATCTCTGCAAGACCTGCCAAGGAGACAAAGCACAGCAGCCCGAGCTCGACCCTGGAGTCATCCTTTGAGGCCCTCAACGTCAAAAAGTTTGACCTGACCTTTGCCATGGATCCTTTGTTCCGGCGCACATCTGCGCAATTTGACGAAGGCGGGGCCCGAGGTGCGCATAATGAAATCCCAAGTCCTGGGTCTAGGATGGTGAATGTGCCTTGCCTCTGCAAGTGGCATTGCTTCCATTTCCAGCAATGATGCAATGAGGAAGATAACATGCAGGTCTCCTGCTGAACAACCTCAGTGTCATCAGAGGCCTGGAGCTCATGTTTGACTCCTGCGGGTTGCTGGAGAGGAGCTTCCAGAGTGCCACAGCTCTTACATCTGACTGTACGGTACGTGATGCCTTTTGAAGCCCTGCTGACAATCGATTGTCAATGCCTCAACGCATCGTTGCCAGTGAGTTATCAACGGATGTGGCATCTGCAGGTGTGCCTGGGACCGCTACAGGCCCAAGCTCAGGCCGCACTGGCAGGTGCCTCCAGCGCTGTCATCACACCTGGGCTGACTGCGCTGACAGCTCAGCTGGCGTCTCCGCCACCAGAGCCGGACGCTGCCGCGACTGCCGAATATGCTGCCCTGATTGCCAGTGAGTGCCTCTGCTCATGGGGTTCTCTATTTGCAACTTCTTCTTCAGCTGTGGCATGTTCAAAGGGAGACGTCCTGTTCACTTGTGAATTTGTGGCTTTGCATATTCAGGTGTCCCAGGCTTTTCAGGAGCATCCAGAATGGGTGACTTCACGCCAGAGCCTCAAGATGGCAGAGCTGAGAGCGAGTCAATGCACCCAGAAGCAGAGACGGAGGGGAGCCCAGTGCAGCAGATCAACGAGGACACCAATGTTTTCGGTGATGATGGGCACTTCCCAGCGGCGGACTTCTCAGATGATGATGGAGGTGCATCACCCGCTCTAGATGACTGATGCACATCCAATGTTCGCTATATGTTGCAGGAATTTTCCTCTTGCTGAATATCCCAAACAACAGCAAAGCATCTTCTGCCTTGCAGATTTCGGCGCGCCTGATGGGTTTGATGAGGAAGCAGATGATGCTGGGCCAGGGGTGATGCCTTTCACGAAGGAGCAGGAGCCCAGCTCATCGCAGGCAGGCTCCCGGCGTGACTTCACATCATCCTTTCTTGCACTATTTGTCTTGTGGCAGGATGTGGGCTGTGTCAGCAGCAGCGGATCAAGGATTGGACTTGCCCTGTCTGCAGGCAAGTGAGCAGCTCAGTCTCAGCGAGGCAGCCATGCACCACCTGCTGGGCAGCGCGGGCGCGAGTGTGGACGCTGGTCTGGCGTGGGCGGGTGCTTCGCATTGGCGCTACCGTACCCGCGCAGCCGTCAAGCCGACTGCAGCTGCTGATGACTCGCCCGAAGCGACTGTCAAAGCCCCATCCAAGTGAGCAAACCAGTTACTCTGCCTCTTGCTGGCATGCGTGTCCCTGTGTTTCATCAGCAATGAGGTATTCATATTGCTAGAGGGGCTGAGCATTACCTTCCCGCAGGCGCAAAGTAAGCTGTCTGGTGGACTTTGAGGCGCTCGGCGCAGTGCCAGAAGGCAAATTGCGACAGGCAGCGCCGCATACCATCAGGCTGAAGACTGTGCGTGCCAAAGCAGACACCCTGCTGCCGGAAGACCACCACTACCAAGTGCGCATGCAAGACATGTGCCCACATCCCTGCACTTTCCCTTGTCACTAGGAGCTGTCTGGGCGGCGATGAACAAGTAATGGTCATCGGTCATGCACCTGCAGCAAGCCGTCTGAGAGTCTTCCTTTCATGCAGGCAAGCGCCCTCATGCAGCTCTTCCTGCGGCCCAACTCAAACGCAGTGCTGCGGTCGTCTGCACCTGGGGCAGCTGAGGACGCTGCAAGTTCAGCACGCCAGGACATGTGGATGGAGCACGACTTCAATAATGATGACGATGACACATTTGGAGGAGGCAATGGTGACAGCATCTGTGAGCTCCAGCCCAAACTTGCCTGCATGGCAGCAAGCTTCTGTGCGCTTGAGCAGATGCTCAACACTAGTGATCCCAAGCCTTCGCATATCCTCACAGTACTCCAAAACGTGTGGATGTATGCGTTCTTATGATGGAAAGCTGCGGTGTAGGGCAAGCCGAGGTGGAGTGGGCTGAAGGAGCAGATGAGGGTCCAGATGGCCTGGTGGGTGCTCCTCGCAAAGTGGAGAGGGTCGCCATTAGCTACGCTCAGGCCAGCAAACAGGTACACATTCATGGCCAATTGAAGAGGATGGACACAGTTGTGTTGGCAATGAGAAGGAGGCATTTGCATATCGGCTGCATTATAAACATCAAGGCATGCAGGTTGATGTGCGCGCCCTCAAGGAGGCCCTGTGGAGCGCACTGCAGAGCAGGCAGTCCTCAGAAGACCAGTCCGCTGAGTTCGCCTTCCAGGTGCATACATTGCAGCAGAACGCTCTATGCCCATGCTAACATGTAGGAGTGAGTCACCCAGCACTGCGCTCTGGATGTCGATCACCTGCCAGAATGGCGAATTATTCCTTTCCTCTACTAATGAGCTTGATCCTCCCGCAGGATGTCATGGAAGATGCGCTGGTGGGCGCCAGCGAAAGCCTCATCAAGGATCTCTCGGTGCATGTCTGCTTCATCTGCATGCTGCACCTGGCAAACGAGCACACGCTCTGCATCACCGGAGCCCCATCCCTTACCTCCCTTGCCATCAGGATGACCTAATGCGTGGCAGAATGGGTGGGCAGTAACGGTGTCCACGTTTACCCAGCAGGGTGGATAGCACGGTGCCTCGTACTGGTGAGAAGTGAATACTGCTGAAAGCTTTAGGTACTTGTGGAAGGATTGCAATCGTTTCAGACAAAAGTGCAATGATTATCTGTCGTATGTTAGATTATGTCATAAGGAAGCAGTGCCTTTCTAACACTGGAGCAAACTTGAAGGCACTGTACAGCCCAACTGTGCTCAGCAGCTGGCAGCATGCTACATGAATTGCTGTGCCTTGTCTCCTTTCCAATTTGAAGGCACTGTCATCTCGCATGACAAAGGTGGGCTGGCTGGCATTTCAGTTGACCTACATCCATATGAACACTGCAAGTAATATCTTGTATGTCCTTGATCATGATTTGTGCGCAGCTCTCAATTCAGGGTATTTATATTCCTCTATTTGACCAAGCAAATATATTGGCAGCTTGCTTCTGGCAGGAAAAGCGTGTAATAATAACAATAATATATTGGCTGTAAGACTCAATTGTCCGAGATTAGTGCATCCACCTGATTCGACATCTTAGACCAGGCACGCACAAGTAGAAACAGCTTGGGGCACATACGGCATCGATGTGATATCGCATAAAATTCCTCAAAAGAAGCTGATCAGTTCACAGAATGCAATCTGTTGACATCAGCCTGCATTGAGCTATTCATTTGAATCAATCACACGAAGCCAGGAGGGCCACTGGAAAGCATCCGTTTTGTGCTACCCTATAACATCTATGCAGACAACTATGACAACACCATGATTCCGACTCCATCAAGGAGCAAAAGTTAAATTCCTTGACTAACCATTACAGCCACCTGCACCATCCCGCCACGCCAACATGACATTTATGCCTTTGTAGTGCACCAAAGCGGCAGTGACCACGCACACATGGAACAGCTGATGGCTGGAGAAGAAGAGATCAAAGGCTCCTGGCTTCCAGCGCTCCGGCACCCTCAATGCGAACAGCACCGCTCCCAACTGCGCAGAACAGCCTCTCGCCCTGAGTGCATGACAAGGACATGGATGCACTGCACCGTGGCTTCACTACCTTACAAAAGACACTGAGTTGCTGAATTAAGGCAAAAGATGCTCACCAGGTAGATGGCACCCATGGTCAGATTGTGCCAGAAGGCAGTCTGCACTGCAGGTTCCGAGCCATGCAGCAACAACATGTGCACGCTCGGCGCAATGCCCCACAAGCCAAGGGCGGCAAAGAGAGTAGCACGGAAGGCTCTGAATCGCACTGTCTGAAAGAATGGCAGGAGTGTCACGCACAGAGTGAAGACACCTGCAGATCAAATCTTACAATGAACATCCACTCTTTGCCAGCCTGACAGATCAGAGCAAATGTACACGAAAACAAAAAGACAGGCCCAGGGCTTACCCATAATGCATGTGCTGATCAAGTAGAAATTGCGGAGAGCAGGCTCGCAGAGAAAGCCAAACCAAATCGGAGGAATGAAACTTGCAACAATGAGCGCTACAATTCCCCCATAATCATATTTCCAGATGGTCTGCATTGCAAAGTGTACTGTTAAGCCACATTTATCCGATGAGACACAGACATCTAGACAAGCTTCTTTCCATCTCTGTTCTGCACTTTCCCACCTCTGCAGCGCCCCTCAGGCAGCACACGCCATGGCAGAAGGCGGAAGTCCACAAGCAAATCTGCAGCAAGTACACCTCTCAGACATTCCTTGCCATGAAGGGGATTTGCAGGTCAAACTTGCACAGTACTGGAGGGCAGATTGTGTGCATCTTTCCATAAATTTGCGACACCCTGATGAAAGGCCAATCATTGCTTGATTGTCGCGAAGCAAAGCTACAAACCATACAGAAGGAACAAAGATGGGGTGAAGGAGTTATCAAGGGATTCAAAATCCCTTGATAACTGCATGAGAGCAGACGAGTCACCATAGCGCCTGCCAAGAAGACATATACCGGCCACCGCGGCGTTGGCCATTGGCTGTCCGACAGAATAGCCAAGAGCTCTGCATAGCGTCCCTCTGCCCCTCGCAGCCCCTCCACTCCATATGCTATGGCTCTGTATCATCATCACCATCACATGTTGGCTCACTGGGATGGAACATGCCGCTCCACTTGATGTCATGGATCAATGATCAACCAGAGATATTGACGTTACCTATTTTCCAGGGCCTTCAGATCCTCCAGTAGGTGTCCTCCAGTGGCACGGAGGCTGGCCTCGACGTGTTGCTCTGCTCTCAAAACTTCCTGAAAGAAACGGAGATGCATTCCTTATGATGCATAGAACTGAGGGGCACGTCTTGTCTCCTCCTGCGATAAGGGAAGGTGCTCACCTGCCAGCCCAGGCGTCCTGCTAATAAGACCCTCTCCTCAAGCTGAACCAGCTTTTGAGCACCAAGTTTCAACGGTGCTGGCTGGGCATAGATCGTCACAAAGGTCAGCACAGCGAAGAGCACGAAGCCTGCAGGAACTCCAGCTACAACTTCAGCCTCAGCTCCACTATGGTGGGCACGAGAGAATGCAGATGCTACGTGGATGATTTTAATACATCAAGTACAAACACTACTCCGCATTAGATTCATAATTAGGATCAGGAGGGGGCCCTAAGTTTGGGCGCACCAAGGAAGTGGGTCCAGATATTTCCCGTCTCGTTGTGGAGCCCGAACAGGGATCTGATGGTCTGTTTCCTGTTATAATTGACTCTGTAGTATTTTGTGATGTATTCATTGTCCCGCAAGGACTCTGGGAGGGCAGGGAAGGCGAGAAGTTTCAGTGCATTAACCTTCCTGCGCCTGCGCAGGGGCGCATTGAGGGCAGCGCTTTTACCTGCTCCAGAGGCGGCGTCCTCATCAGAGGTTTCTTTCATCTTTGCATAGTTTCCGGAGTTAGACCGTTTACAGCGTTCTTGTTCGCTTTGCATGGGCACCGTCATGACCTCGCAGTGACGTCACTCCTCCTGGCTTGATCACAGAATACTGCTGATCATGAATCCGTTTGCTTGTGCAGTTGCTTTGCTAAGAAGTATTTACCGATATTGAGTTTCCGTTTTGTGATCAAGGTCATCGCAGCAAACACCTTTAGAAAGGTGGTGGAAATAGCTCAGTGACGTGGTCCCATTGCTAGACCTCCTAATCTGCATCGATGGACCTCCTAGCAGCGGCTCCAAGCAATGTTCAGCGCTGTTGTATGATCCATTTTTCAGCACTGCCAATTCAAAGGCACTCTGCTGGTTGGGTATGCAAACTGAGCCGTCGTCCGTCAGCTTCCGAACAGTTTTCAGAGTTACTAGGAACTAGAACAGGAAGCAAGCAAGATTATATGAACGTTGTCTTTAACGCAGGGAAAATGTTGCTTGCTCCAAAGGAGGAAGTTCTCAGTCACGGTCACAAAGGAAAGGTGAGTGTCCTGCTGGGGGTTGCCTTACACTTGCGTGGATGAGCACGACTTCGGGATGTGATCCTTAACAAATGCTTGAATAGCTGACCTCGTGGTACGACCTGCTAGGTGCCAGAGGCGTTGGTGTGCACCAGCTGTGGCAACAGGAAAGCTGCAGGAGGTGGGTGTCTGACCTCCCTTTTTGGACAGGAGTCCTCCAACAAAATGAGCATGTAGTAATATAGCTGGAGCAGGGTAGTGGTGATGACCATGTGGTATCGCTGCAGGTTGCCACCGACTCAGCAAATGAAAAGCCGGCCATCTCTCCCGCCTGGGAGAATGTGCTTGAGATGCAGAAAAACGGCACGACGTGGACGGGGAAAATCACCGCAGTGAATCGTGGTGGGGTCGTGGTGGATGTGAACGGCTTGCGGGGGTTCATACCCATGTCCAGATTAGACCCAGGACGTCTTCCAAAGACTGATTTTTCCATGCAAGACCTTGAAGGCCTTGTGGGACAGGCTGTGTCTGCAAAGGTCATCCAGGTGTGTGCTGATGGCGACTATACAAGGCCAGCGCTCTCGAGATGGGTTCCTTTCCAAGCTGGTGTGTAGCCACATGCAAAATTCAACCATTTCGACCGTAATGTGTGCCCATGCAGGTCAACATTCCCAGCAGACAACTCGTGCTGAGTGAACAGGCCACAATGGTGGAGCAGCTGGCAGCCAGCTTGCAGACTGGCGACGTTGTGGAGGGCATTGTTACCCGCACGACAGACTATGGCGCTTTCGTCTCTCTCCGCTCTCCAGATGGAAACCTGCATGGTGCCGTGGTGAGGAGTCTGAGCATGTTGGAGTGCTCGTCAACGTGGGGGCTGCAAGCCGTCAGTTTTTGCAGGATTGTGGGGCATGTTATCCATGCACCTTCAGAGACTGGCTCACACATGTCCCGGTGTGTCCAGGGCTTGATCCACATATCAGAGCTGTCATGGGACAAGATAATGACGCCTGAGGACGTCGTCCAGCCAGGCAGCCTCGTCAACTGCAAGGTAATTAAGGTGGATAAGGAGAAGCTTCACATCAACTTGTCCTTAAAGGTGAGAGCTGCGCCATATGCCCCTTTTTGCGTGGCTGCTCATTGATGTTGTCCCTCTTTTAAGGCCGTCCACGTGCCTCATGCTGTATGAGCTGCCTGCAGCAAATGGAGGGTGATCCTCTGTTGGAGAATCTAGATGGGCTGCTGCCGCTGGACACCAGCAGTGTGACTTCGGTGCCTGCCAACCTTCCTGCGGCAATCGAGGACTTGTGTGCTGCCCTTGCGGCGGAGCCTGGGGTTGAGGGCGTTGACATTGGTCGACAGGTTTGCAGCAAATTCCACTTTGGATTGTGCTGCAAACTAAGGCCGAAATTGATGTTGATGTCAAGATGCTGACGATGGGGACAGTTTTGTGTGTCCATTGACTGCTGACATGAACATTCTGCAGGTGGAGGAGAAGAGGGCTGTCAGCCAGGATCTGGAACTGTGGATCAGTAAGGAAGTTGTGAAGGATGGCTACAATCTTGTTGTCCGCACAGGAAGACTCGTCCAGGAAATCCATGTGACTACTGATTTGCCGAGTGAGGGCATGAAGGAGAGTGTCCAACGTGTGCTTCGCCAGCTTGTGTAGAGAAAGATAGACAAGCGACCAGGGCTTCCTCTCTGTCACAGTAAAGCAGTGTGTTGACCGTGAGCTAAGCTCCTCACTGAGCTTGTGAGGACTGACCGTGTGTTTAAAGAGTCCTGGGATATACTGTATATGAGGATGCACATTATGTCATGATAGTGTCATATTTGATGTTGCAGGCATGGAACATGTGATACTGGCTGACGTCTGATTGGCTGACCGTCAGAAGGTCGACCTTCTACAGACTAGGCTGATAGCCTGGGTCAGGGTTTATGCTCACATCAAATAGAGCACTCCTCACTTCAGTTTCTCAACAAAAATTGGTCTAGTGACTAGTCTCTAGACTCTCAACAGTCTTGCTCTCGTCTCTCCCATGGGAAATCATCACTTTGTGGCTCAGCATGAGCTTTGTAGCAGGAGGAAATATCAACCCAGCACCATCTCTTCACACCTGGCTCTTGCCAGTCACCTTCTTCAGGAAAGACTCAATGTTGCTCTTAAGCTCCTCCCTGCGCAATTTAGAGCACCACTCAAACACCCTGAACTCACATCTTCAGAAAGCACACTTCGGCCAGGAAGTATGCGAGTTGCATTGAAAGGTGAACCACGACACGTACCTGTCAGGGCCAAAGATAAGGTATCTGTAGGCAAACCATCCTGTCACCAGGAGTCCAACAAACTCCAAAAGGCCTCCGATGATTGGCAGCTTGTCCACAGCATCCACGACTCCGGATGCAGCCCAGATAGCAATAAAAGCTGACACAGTGATGGCAACGACAGCAGGCTTCTCCTCTGTCTCCTCCCACTTTTCCTGCGACCAGAAGCATTGTACATCAGGTCCCACCATTCTCTGGCGTACTGGCCTCTGCGTACTGTAACAGCCCACCACATTTTGTTTAGCTAGGTGCCGCCGTTGCACGCAGTACATTCTTCCGGGGCTTGTGCTGTACCTTCAGGTCACTTGCAATCTCCTGGTACTTCTGCGTCATTTCATCGCTGCCGTCAATTCCCTTCTCTGTGATACCACCCTCGCGGGTCTTGAAGGAGCGCGCAAGTACTGGCTGACCAAGACGAACTGCAGCATCAAGATCACATTTTGCCATGAGATCCTTCTAAAAAGAATTAGAAAAGCAGGCAATCCATGATCATCCATGGTCTGGAATCAGGTCAGGCAACAGGCCATAAATATCAGCATCAATTTTAATGCAGTCACTCTACTTCGCAGATCATCCAAACTCGCAGGTCTGCACTTGCCCACCTGATCTGCTCCTCTTCACTGGCAGCCGAAGAGCCCCGACTCCGGTTCCCAGCTTCCTGCACAAACAAAAGAAGTCCTTAGCGATAAGGTTGATGACAAGTCAAAATTCAGCACGTGCAAAGCTTGCGCGCGCCCACCAATTACGAAAATACACAGCATTTAAAATGCAGTACAAACGTCCTGCGATGCGATGTCGCGGCGGTGGGCAGGATTGAAGCGAAAGGCTTGATGGGGCGTCGTGCACGGCGAACAAGTTGAGCAAGACCCAAAGCCTAATCTCATCAACACATAGTCATGAAAAATGGCGCACTAACACATGCCACACAAACAAGCAGGGGCATAGTGTTTAGCGACTGAAGCTTGAGCCCCGGCATCTATGGCGCACCTGGATTGCTGCCCCAGGACCTGTGAGCCGGACGCAGAAACGGCCACCATTTTTATGAGTTTTGCAAGAGATCGTAGATGAACTTGATGAGGTGGACAAAGGCAAGCTGTAGTCTGAATCTTGAGCCTCTTTCCTGAATTTGCGCGCGATGCTGGACTTTGTGCATGGTGCATCGACCTCTGCAGGGTTTTATAATTTCATGGTTTTCAATCACTGAGTGTGCAAACTAGAGTGGTCCGCACGTAGGCACTGCCTGAGTAGCTCCTGGTATCTCATCTATCTGTGGATTTGCCATTTTTTCGAGCTCCCCAGCCCTGTTTTGCAGCTCGATTTACATTTGGGCAGACCATAACACGACGCTCCCACCTTTCTCAGCCTGCAGGTGCTCCTCTAGGCTAGTAGTCTCAATCTGAGATGGGCGGATTAACGACAGACCGATGAAGTTCGACATTGGAATTTAAAAAATTAGCTTTGTTAGCTGGATGGATCCGGAGGACCTGCATGTGCACAGAGTTACGTTGCCAACAGTGTACTACAATAGTACACACCTGCAGGTGCCACCGGAGCCGGCCGCCGGCCGCCGCCGGCACTGCCACAGCTGCGGCAGCTACTGTGGCCGGCTGCCAATGGCAGCTGCAGCGGTGTGCATGCACTGGTGTACCTGCTAGGGTCCTAGCCATCGTGGCTGCCAGTTGCATGCCTGCCGCACAGCGCCGTGCTCATGATCAAGAAGATGATCTCATGCCATAATACTGCATCATGATCGCTAAGTAAGTGCCAGTGGCGTGTCACATCGCTGTGATCACGCTCGGGGACTCACATTCTTGACACTTGCATTTCTTTTGCAGAGCTGGTGTTGGCTCTGACTTAGCCCGGTCACCAAGGTGCCATGCCCAATTTTGTTTGACACGACTGGCACCCAATCAGTCTAGACTCCGAGTGTTTGTCAATACATATAGAAATTTACATCAGCTCTCTGGACAACCCTCAAGCATTGCAATGGCCGATCTGTCAATGAAGTCACTGCATCCTGCAGGCGCAGCTCAGCTACCCAGCACAGCGGTTGCAACCCAAGTCACGAGCTCACAGCTGGCGCTGTGGAAGAGTGAAGATGGACACTAAAAGTGCTTATACAGAACCACAATTACTTCCCTCATGAAAAGCATAATACAGTGTCTCCTCTCTCTCCTCTCGGATTTTTTCTTAAAAACCCGCAAATTCTCTGGAGCCAGCCCTGCAGCTACAGGGCACGCAAAGGACAGCAAGAGAACGGTGCTGACGCTGCACAAGCACTCACCATACAGGCAAGTGCATTTTGGAAAGCGTGAGAATGGCAACATTTGCACCAGAGTTATGGTGTTCCCAGTAGCGTTTCTTTATGCCACACCAAAGTTCCCCTCAAGGCCCTCTCAGTGGACCGTGCCAGATGACACCTTGCTGGTCTGGCAAGACCTGCTGCGGCTTATGGACCTGTTATTGAGCGAGCATGGAAAAGATCAGTGTGTAACCTGTGCAGGAACCGGAATTTATGCAGGGACAGCAGCGCCAACAACACGCTGGACAGCCTCAATCACTTGTTCAGGCTGGACAATGGTGGCTGCCTCGAGCTCATATGCGTACGCCGTGGGGACATCCTGTGAGCTCAGGCGCACGACCTGCACCACGTGGGTAACTTCAGCTGAATGATGCCAGTGACGTTTGATGGAGCAGATGCATAGGAATGCAAACACCAGAGAGCATTACTGAATCTTGCCTGGTGGTCGAGCTCATCGAAGAGGGACTCGTTGATGATGGCCGACAGGGAGGCACCAATTCCTCCAGTCTTCATGCATTCCTCTACAATGATTGCATTGCGGGTCTTCTTGATGCTGTTGCTGATGGTCTCCATGTCAAAAGGTTTCAAGCTGATGAGGTCGATCACCTGATGCAAGACAAACCATTACAAAGCAAGCCGTTTTGCCCATGCTATACACAACATCTGACAACCCTATCTGCATGAGAGAAAGCCTGTGCACTCTTTCCAATTTCATCAATGATACTCACCTCGGGGTCATAGCCCATTTTCTCCAGCTGCTGCACTGCCTGCATGACGACATAGCGCATGCGCGAGTAGCACAGGATGGTCACGTCCTTGCCGCTCCTGACCAGCTCAGCCCTTTCCAAGGGCTGGTAGTACCCCTCCTTTGTCTCCCCTGTCCCCACACCAAACTGCATGTCAGACTAGATGCACAGACGGTGCAGGATGCTTGACTTGCACACTCCACACATTTAAGCATTCATACACAGAAATTTGCGTTGCGCCCTCCATTGTATGCTGAATCTGGGAAGACATTCCTGGCAGTCAGTGTGGTCATTAAGAGGGGAAGCTCCGCACCCTTAACGTTGTACAGTAGGACGTGCTCAAAGAAGATGATAGGATTGTCGGAGCGGATTGCCGATTTTAAGAGAGCCTTGGCATTGGCAACTGTTGAGCAGGCCACCAGCTGCACGCCTGGGATGGACTGGAAGTACGACTCCAGGCGCTGACTGTGCTCCGCACCCAGCTGCCGCCCCACACCACCAGGCCCTCTGATCACGACGGGCACCTGCACATTGACATGTAGTCAGCACATTCTGTGGCAGCTTCCCGCAGTTGGCATACCTGTCTGAAACCTGCAAAACGTGAGCAACACTTCAAAATTTTAGAGCAATGGCCAGCGCACGATGCTGCATCTTGGTCTGATCAGATTGTGCCGCGAGGTCTCACCTTGTACTGTCCGCCAGACGTATAATGAAGCATGCCAGCATTGTTGGAGATCTGGTTGTACGCCAGCAACAGAAAACCCATGTTCATTCCCTCAATGATCACCCTGAGACCAGTCATTGCAGCTCCAATGCCCATGCCCATGAAGCCGTTCTCTGCATGCCACACTTGTCGCATCAGCTTGATAACAAACGCAGCGCAAATGAGATAGATGCGGGAGCTGGCACAATCGATCTTGTCAATTCATGAGATATCGCACCACAGATGGGGGTGTCCAGCAAACGAAGGTCTCCATACTTCTTGTGCAGATCATAAGAGACCTTGTAGGAGCCACCGTAGTGACCCACATCCTCGCCTGTGATCATATCAAAATTCTCTTGAGGAAAAATGCGTGAAGAGATTCAAGCATGCATTAAGTATGCTGATCACACGGAAGGTGGCAAAAGCAGCAGTCAAGCACGTAGAGATCATACCCATCAAGCAGACTGTGGGATCTGCCTCCATCTCTTCGTCGACAGCCTCACGAAGGGCTTCCCACATCAGCTTCTGCTGAGCGACAGCGCGCAGTGGTGCATTGCGAACAGTGGCTGCGGATCAGCATGGCAATATTAGATAAGAATTCCAAGACACTGAGTGAACAAAGAACACCCAACAAGATGTAGGTGCCTGCACCGAAAATAAATTGTCATTACATACAGTGTGCTAATAATTCTTTCAATATTACGTTTCAACACCAAAAACTCCATGCAGCTGCTAATACAAAAGAACATCCAGAGGCCATGCTTCAGTGGTCAGCAGGCTCTCCCAACCAATCGTGGCATTTGAAGGGCAACAAGCGCTCCAATATTACCTCTGGCCCCTTTCCTATGGAAAGTCTGCAATTTCGCAATGGCAGAGCGGAAGTCGAGGTCAGGCCGAGAAACGCTTGGCCGCGAAGTGGAACAAGGCAGCAGACAAGTGGCCATCCTTCACTAGCTTCGACGCCCAATGAGGGAGGGGACCCCAGCAGTAGCAATTAAACAGCGTTCTAGGTGTGCACTGCCCTCCTACACAATGTGAAGAGGAAAATTTTGGGGACTTGAAGCAATTGGGAGCTCATCTCCGACGCTCCGGGTTAACCGGCCGGGTTAATTAACCGCGGGTTAATTAACCAAATTTGCAATCCGTAATCTCGACGTGGATATCGACCGTAGGCGCTTTTCGGCTCAATGATGGACCCTTTCTCCCTTTCCTTCTTCCCCATCCCGGTTGTCAATCATTCATCTGATTGGTTATGAACTTTAACTTGTTGAGATAGTGTGGCAGACCTGGGTGACAGACAAGTTGTTCTAAACGAGCCTGCCCTTGCATGGGAGCTGTCCAGGTCGAGGTGCAACACATCTCGCCTTGCTACGCGTCAATGCGTCAGTGCAGTCATATCTCAGGTGATTCACGCCTGGACCTTGTATCTTGGGCATCCGTAATGTCCGAAACAAGTACAAGTGGACTTCTGCACAAAAAGCTCTGCATACTCTTCACAGCAGAGGCTACCATTATGATTGCCTGGGATGAAACCCGTCATGCTAGGGATGTTATCATGCACATGGGTATGTTGATGGTGTGTTGTCGCATGAAGGAAATTTTCAGATCTTATATGGCACTGGTGAACAGCTCAGCAACTGGATATCGTGCTTTTGATCGTGATTGTAAGCAGCGCATCGTATCTGAGATAGCGAATGCAATGTAGGAGGGTCATTTTGTGCTGGCTGTGCAGGTCCAGCTGGCAGACAAGGCCGTCCAGTTGGGTTACTCTCACATGGGGCGCGCAACACTCACAGAAGCCTGTTAAGCCGATTACCCTGCAAGGCCGGCTCGGCTGCGACCCTGCCACGGTCTGGCAGCAGCAGCAAAAACGCATCGGCTTCTCTCCCAAATTTTCCAGCCTTCAACGATGCACAGCGGTTGGCAGCCAACTTCGGTGGGAGCTGGGGAGCAAATCTGTCGAGCAGCTCACTTTCGGCCCAGCAGGAGGGCAGACGTCGTGTAGACAGTAGCAGCAGCCCGGCAGCAGTGATGCCAAAGGCGCCCCCAGAATGGCAGCCTCCTACAGACCCCTCAGGGCCGTCCGCTCCTCCAGAATTCACACCTCCGCGTGATCCAGGTACCGTATCTATCCTTATTTGCATGCAATTGCAACCACTCAGCATCAATTGTATCCGGGCATGGAGTGCTTAATCTGTGTTCAGTACTGCAGAGCGTCGTTGAGTACCTTTGTACACTGTAGATTTTGATTGTAGCATTTTTTGTTCTGGTACTGATCTTATCGTTTTCATTTGCCTCTAGGCACGGCCCCAAGGACAGTGCCCGAGTTTGAGCCACCGGAGCAGGTGCCACCTGGAAAGGGCGCCCCCACTCCTGGGCGGCCAGCGCGCCCAGAGGAGATTCCTGACCCTGAGCGCGATCCGCTGCGCACGCCCGAGCGGCGCAGGGAGACCAGGGAGCCAGACGAAGAGCCTGCAGAGGAGCCGGAACCAGAAGAGCAGGATGCCATGTACGCATATCAGCAGCCAGTCTATCATGCGCGGGCTGCAGTTGCACTCCAATGGGAGCCAGTGCGTATTAGCATGTCCCTGGCCATGCAACCAGTTCTAAGGGGTTCTGGCTATGCTGCAGGGCCGCAGTCGTAGCCTACGTAGAGCACTGCCAGGAGGTCTTAAGCATAGAGGACGAGCGTGGTGGTGGCATTGAGGTGGGCATCGGGCAGAACAGCTGCCCTGCTGCCCTGCTCTACCATCCCATGGGGTACAGCGCTGTGGTGAGGTCATCTGTACTCGAGAACAATGCGTTGAAGCCTACTGCAATCACAAAGGTCTCTGCCACTGATGTTGAAGTGCTCCTGGAAAATGATATTCATAACTCATTCCTCGTCCATGCCGCGTGCATATGCAGGTGAACATGCATGGTGCCAATGTGGTTTCCTGGAAGCGCCCTGACGGATCCGACATCCTCCACCTACGGCCAGACACCCCCATGGATGGCGCATCACCCATTCTGTGCGATCTCCCCTGTCCAATCAAGCTTGACTTATTCTCCCTTTGCAGTAGGCTTCTGGAATGGCCCTCGTACCAGGGAGTCAAGAGTGACATGTCTACGTGTTGTTCTGCATGGCAGGGGTGGTGTTCCTCTCATTTTCCCGCAGTATGGTCGAGCATCTGGCATTGCCGCCTATGCCGGCGTGGGCAGCAGCAGTGTTCCCACCAATGGGCTTCTTAACCGCATGCACTGGTCCCTCATTGGCACCGGCGTCACTGGCCTGGATGCCCCAGACCCAGCGCCCACTGCTGTGTTTGCTACGGAGTCGGATGAGTCTACCTACGCAATATGGCCCTTCCACTTCCAGGCCTTTTACACGGTGCTTCTCCTTCTCTTGTAAATGCTCTTGAATATCTTTGAGTTCGAGTAAGCTGGAGTCAATAGATGATATATTGATGAGCAGTCTGCACATGCTGCACAAGTTTTCAACAAGGATGTCCTGCAAGGCGGACAAACAAAGCACTCATGCTTCTGTTTCGCTGCAGGTCTCACTCATGTGCACAGATGAGATTCTGCCAGACAATCTCAATCTGAAGCCCATTACCAGAGGCAAGCGGGAGCCGACAGAGGAGGAGCTGGCAGCAGCTGCTGCTGCGCAAGCTGCAGCTGCCCCAAAGCGCGGACGTGGCCGTCCCAACAAATGGAAGGTGGGTGCTGTGATAAGTCCTGCATCGCTCAAAACTGGGGACCATGCTGTTGCAGTACTGGTTAGCTAGGTCATTGGTACAAGTTCGATCGTTTCCAGCAGGTTGTCCCTTTATCGATGCTCATATTGGGTGTCTTGCATTCTGACGGCTGGCATTGCACATCTGTCACAGGCATTGGGCGACAAGGGCAATGCTGAAGAGGAGGAAGAAGAAGAGGATGCTGATGAGGACATAGAGGAGGCAGAGGAAGCATGGCCAGTGCAACTGCGATGTGTCCTTGAGATTGTCAATACAGGCAAGGGTTGCCATCTTGAGTATCTGGTACCTGGTCCCTGGTCTACTGGGCAAAGTTTGTGGCCCTTTGAAGTGATGGCGGTTGCATCTCTGCTCCCTCACAGCTGCATTTGTAGCATAGGCACGCCAATCTAATCCATGCTCTGCATGCAGGTGACGAGCCCTTCACATTTGAAGCAGCTGTTCAAAGCCACGTAGGCATCGGCCAGATGGCATCTGCCGAAGCGCAGGGCCTAGCGGGGAAGATGGTGCTCGACTGCGACAGCAATCCTGACAAGCCCTGGCTGCACATGTCCACGGATGACAGCACAACATTTGGCGGTATGGCTCTACCCTGCTTCCCCTCCAAGCGTTCAATATTGTGCCCCAATTTGGGGTCCCCAACATGAGTTTGCGTCTGTAAGGGCATCTTGTATCTCTTTGCATGCTTGACAGAGATATGACTGGTTGCTGCAGAGAGACGCATGGATCGAGTGTACATAGACGCGGGCAACGAAAAGAGTGGGTCTGTCATGATTTACCCGGGAAACCACCGCTACCATTTAGAGCTCATCCACCGGGAGGGCTTCAGGGACTTGGGACTGTGGAACCCGCATCATGATCTGCCAGACCCATCCATGTTCAACGACTTCATCGCCTTCTCCAGCGGCGAAATTGCCCGGCCTGTGAGGTAGGTTTGTTCTTGCAGGATTGGCCAAAGCCACATGTCTGCTGTGGCGTCTGCAGTGGTGGCTGTATGCTGTTCTTCACAGGCCTTTTTCTAGATATGAGAAACATAAAAAAAAACTTCTGCTTCTGATGTTTTTGGCATTTCTTGCAGACTGGAGCCAGAGGAGTCTTGGTCCGGAGAGATGGTTCTGCGGCTGCATGAAGAGAAGCCAGACGAACATGTGCAGTGGGAGAATATGGGAGACTGGGAATCTTGAGATGCCTTAGATGATGAGCAGTCGTCTTGAAGATGATACTTGTATACTTTCATGAAGTGCTGACAATCAAACAAATTTTTCAAAGATAAGAGGGGCCAAGTAAGAGGGGCCACCATGAGGGCGCTTCAATTGCGCTCCCGAGCAGTGATTGCCAACTCCAAATGATTTGTAGCTCGAAACAGTATGTGCCAGCAAGATCTCTAGGGTGAACTTTGTATTTAATGGCACTACAAATTGGGACTCTTCCATTGCAGTTGTGCCTATTCTTGCTGCATCATGAGCATGAGGGTGCATTCTTCATCGACTTCCATGTGGGCATTCTCCCCTGGGTCACTGACATTGGCAATTCTTCACTGAACGTGGCAGGCTTGTGTGGCAAATGGCTTACAGTATGATTATTTGAAGATGCTGCTAGAGGCAATCACTGGCCTGAAGCTTTCTCTCCACAATCACGGGTGGTTTTAGGTCAGTCACCCGCATATCTTTCCCCGGAATCTCAGGACTGAACCGCATGCACCAAGGCATGAGTGGAATGCAGCCCTACATAAATTACTGATTATTGCTCAAGTGTACTGCACTGCACCCAGCGTGGTACGATCCGTTTCAGGCAGGAACAGATTTGAAGGACTGGTGCCACATAGACAACATGGCTGGGCATCACTTTGCTTCTTCTTTCTTGCCACCGAAAGCTTTCATAGCTGTTGTAATACCTAGTCCCCAAGCAGCAAGAACTACCAGAACAATCTGCAAGCACAAGAGCCAGATCAAATGCCAGTCTTTGTTAAAATGGATAGATTGCCCACTTCACAGTGCATGAAGGGGGACTGCGAACCTGCTCCTCTTTCCAGGACGCAACATTGGTAGGGGCTTGCCAAAAGTTGACCTTCTTCTCCCCATGCTCTTCTGCATGCACACGAGATACTTATCATTCCTGATGTGCACTGCATCCCACAGTTGGCCAGCTTACATCTAATGAAAGAATATAGGGCTCCCTTTGCAACCAATGGGATCCAACGTACGTCACCTGAGGCAAAACCCCGTCTCTGCTCCCTGAGTATTGTGTTCTGTGACGATGGCCTCCTTTGTAGCAAAGGCTGGCCGATGCGCCTCAGGATTGCACTCATTCTAGCTAACTTAGAGCAAGTCCTGTGTCCCTCAGAGAATGAGCACAAGCACAGTCCACGCCAAGCTCGCTCAAGCGGGTGGAACAGTGTCTCGTACAATCTTACAGGATGAATACCATATCAGGTCTGTGCGTGCTCAGGAGTGAGTGAGCTCTTCCCTTTGTCTCAATAGGGTTGCCGATATACCCCTGGATCAGCTCATGGAGAAGGGTCAAGGAGGGTTTCACACAGCGATGCTTGGCGGCTTGCATCTTCTAGTGTCCATCTGCAAACTTGTGTGAGGGAGACGGCTTCCTGGCTGCGATCCCACTTCGCAAAGATGGTGGTACGTTCTCAAAGTGCTCAACAACAGGACTTTGACAGCTATTGGTTGACGTTTTTCTAAAGTCACAATGTCACAGGTGCTCTTGTTTCCAAAGCTCCTCACGCTGCATCGCCGTGAAGATATAACTAAGAATGTGATTCATTGTTTTGGACATTGCAGAACGACAAGAAGACTACGAATCCCATGAGGGAGATCCGTGTTGCAAAGCTTGTCCTGAACATCTGTGTGGGAGAGTCTGGAGATCGCTTGCAGAAGGCAGCCAAGGTACATGGGAATTGCCAAAAAGACGCTCAATCTTTGCCTGCTTCAGCTATCCATAGTGTCCCACGATGTGGAGCAGATATGTCTTCGATTATGCACAGAATCTGTGAAGAGGACTCCTTCATTACTCGCTGTCGTTCGTAGTGGGCGACATCTGTTTACCTGAAAGCTGGCGCATGAAGCTGGCATCATCCTTTCCTCTTATCAGTGATTCCCGACCATCAAGAAGTTTGGCCAGGGGCGTGACCCTGATATATCAAGGGGTTGGGTCATGTGCTACACCAAGTCATACTAGCAGGAAATAACAGCATGTGCTGATGTGCACCGCAGGTGCTGGAGCAGCTCACTGGGCAGCAGCCAGTGTTTGGCAAGGCTCGCTACACAGTCCGCACATTTGCCATCCGGCGAAATGAGAAGATCTCCACTTCAGTGACTGTGCGCGGCGAGAAGGCACTGCAGCTCATTGTGAGTCATTATCTTATGCAGCAAGGTTTCATGCACTTTCCTGACTAAAAATGACATCCATTGTTTTAACTGGTACAGCAGATTTCAGCAAGACACATTTGCTACTCATCACCATGCACCCGTTTGGAGGGGTCATGCCAAGACTTACATCCGATTTTCCATGCTTTTGCAGGAGGCTGGCCTGAAGGTGAAGGAGTATGAGCTCCTGAGGCGCAACTTCTCAGAGACAGGCAACTTTGGATTTGGCATCAACGAGCACATTGATCTCGGTATCAAATATGATCCCTCAACAGGCATCTATGGTGAGCTATGCATGCCTCCAGAGTCGCAAAGGTTTTTTGCATTTGCATTGGTCCCTCCTGAGCCTGACACTGCATCGAGCCTTTGCAGATTGATCAGCTGTTGTGATGCATGGCAGGCATGGACTTCTACGTTGTCTTGGAACGCGCCGGCTACCGTGTGGCCAGGAGGAGGCAGAGACTGGCCAAGGTGGGCGTGCAGCACCGCGTCGGCAAGGATGATGCCATCAAGTGGTTCCAGACCAAATTCGAGGGCATTGTGCACAACAAGCAGAGCTACACCTGAGCCTGTCCTGGCATGACAGTGCCAGTCTGTAGAACACTAGACAATGTCTGTGCAATAGTTCCGCCTTTCCAGTGTGTGCTGAGCTTGGGCTGATGTTCAGACCCACTGGTGTGGGATAATGGCAGCACCTGTGTAATTGGGGTGGTCAAATATCATGTCAGCACAGCGATGCCATCATCATGATGATAATGGGCCATGTCTGGACAAGCTACTGGGCTGAGCAGCTCTAGTCCCAGTAGAAGTTGTATTCCACCATTCAGGGCCACTGCCGCAGCTGGCATATTGCGCAGCTGCCACTGTCACAGCGTTGTGCCATTGCAAGCATTCGGTGTGGGATTCTTCGTGCCGCATGCGGCATGCTCAATCAATTTGATTGGCAGTGCCAACTTGGCATTGAATGTACTGGGCATGCATGCGCTCCCCATCCGCATCTGAATTCCAGTGCATGCATGCAGCATGCTATGGATGGCATATGTTGACCCCGTAGAGATTACACAGAGGTTTCAATGAAAGCGAAATTCTGTCTCTGTCTTCACGTCCACGGGCCTTTCCAGGTGGCTTCTGAAATAGTGTGACGTGGCAAGTATGCATGCACGGTGAGGTGTGTCTTTGAGAGAAGCACTGCAGGTGCAACATAAACAGGATTTATCCATATGGGACAAAAAGTTCATTCGTTGTTACTCTCGATTACTTTCCTGTATAAATACGCCAATTAGTAGGGCTGTAGACAACCTTAAAGCCAAACAGCTAAGCGTCGATTGGACAGAACTTACAAGACTGAATAGGCAGACTCATCCTACGAAACTCATATTTATTGATCAGAAGCATCTAGACAAACGCTCTGATCTTTTTGGGCGAGATCGAAGTCCTCCAGTAGCCAGCCATCGCTGCACGCATTGGTTTCTGATGGTCAGCATTATGAATGGAGCCTTTGCTGGAGAATGGATCGAGAGTACCATATCAAGGTATCTTGAGGATCACAATTCTGGTCACTGGTGGTGCAACGAGTCACAGGCATTCTCTGAGCTCCTGGAAGCCGTCTTACCCCACCATGATACGGATACTCCAGTCCAGACGCTATGCAACATGCTGGACAAGCAGGTTGAGGGATGTTTGGAGTGTCTTGGCGCACACCATAGAGCTCAGGTGATGATCCAAGTGTCCAGCCTTGTTGCTTGTACATGTTTCTATTGTGTACAGCTTGGTGCTTGAGAGTGGTGACGACATCTCAGGATAAATGGAAGGCACAATCCAGGACAGACATCCTTTGCGTCTTGCAAAGAAGGGACGCAGCAAGACTTTCCTGGCAACTAGCAACAGCTCTCGAGATCCAAGGTACTGTGTACCTGGTGCACCAAGCAATACTTTGCGCACAATTGCACACAGCCGGTCGGAGGCATTGTTATTGATGTCCACATAAGCAGAGCATCGCCTTTCCCATGCACAGGCCCTGATGATGATCTGCCCCCCATGCTGATGCATGCGCTATATGAGGCACTGCACTTGGACAGTCTCGAGGATGCAGATGTCATGGAAGCAGCCAGAAAAGCGCTGCTGCACCTCATGTCATCACATGAGTTGCGACTGACGGACACTGGCACACCTCTGGGAGTCTACAGGCTGCTTTCGCACCACGACGCAAACTTGCGTTCATTGGTGTGTTCATCAATGTGTTGCTTGCTTGTGCATGTCCAGGAGTAGTCAATGTCAAGACCACACTAATGGATACATTCGGCAACAAGTCTGATGGGCAATGCACACCTTGCAGATGCTGGACTTCCTGCCAAGACAGATTGACACAGCGGAGGATGTCGAGCCCCTCCTGCCAATCCTCAGGACTTGGGCAGTGATCTTTGGAAATGACATGCAGCAGGTGGGATTGCTGGCAACGGCGTATGGCTTTGACTAGTGTCTTTATGCAAACTTTCCATTGCCAGCCCCAGATACTCACACCTGTGTGCTGCATTGACTCAGGCTCACAGAGCAGGGCGGCTGCGCTACCAGCAGCAGAAGGGCCCTGCATGGCTGGCTTTGAACCATGTACTGAAGCGGATGAGAGCTGGTGCGATGGCTTGCCTGCTTGAACATCTGCCCCAGCTCATTTGGCTGGCTCTTGAGCACTCCTGCTCCCTCGACCAGCAAACAAATTGGGCTGCGGTGGAGTGCTTGCACAGCGTGTTTGAGGGTCTGCATGGAATGGTAATCATCCACACTTTATTTTCAAGAACCCGCTTTTCTCTTGTTCTGCAGCTTCTTGAGATTGTGCCCTGATGCCTCCCAGTATCAGCTTTAACTTAATGCAAAGATGATATTGTGCTCAATAAGACTTTGCGATTTCTTATACCAGGCGTGGCAATATAGCGGCTGCTCTCCAGATGTTGCTCTGGATCGCCTCAGAAACGCAGCGGTGCCATTGCGCAGCTTGAAGCTGCTGACAGCTCTTGTGAAGGTCATGAAGCCGCTTGCTGCATCAGTTGCAGGAACGCAAGGTAAGTGCCTGCTAGTCGAAACTCGGCCTATCCGCAGATTCATAGTATCATATTACTCTATCGTGAGGGTGTTAAAAGCCTTTGATGTGCAGATGAGAGGCAGTCAATATCACGGATCTTGTGCTTCCTGCTGCATGATACACAGAATTTGGCAAAGCCAGCTGGCCAGGTTTCTTTGACTTTCATCTCTGAGCAAACAGCCATTGGGATTTTGAACACATGCCATGATGCTGGCTACCCGACAACCCTTCACATGCACATCTATGGTCCTGCACTGATCAGGTATGTGCTCCTTACCCACTTGAAATTCTCATGAATTATGTGGTTGTAGCCAACCTGTTCCCCCTCGTGAGATTTACCAGCCTCATTTCTCCTCTGTACAAATCTCTATGCTGATGTAGGCTGGCAAAGGTGCACTGTTCATCTACCAACCACAACCCAGCAGTGCAATTCTTGTGCAAGCTCCTCACAGACGACGCATCTGTGATTCGGGACATCAACATTTCATCTGGTCACGGGGACCCAGCGCAGCCCAGTCATTATGCAAATATGAGCTGGTTCTCTTCGCCAACCCTGTGGAAGGTACTCGTCACCCTGGGTAAAAAATTTTGGCAGCCATTGATTTTGGCACCAGGTACTTGCAGGACATCCTTGATTCACAATTGAGCTCGGTGCGCAGGATTGCGGAGAGATGTTGGACATGGACCCTCATGTGTACACAGCTATCATTCGGTCAGCTGCCTTGCTGTGCCGCACCAGAGGATCGCAGGCAGCCAGTACCGGGCCAGCAGGTGGAGGCGCTGGCTTTCACAGTGTCTCAGGCCTCCAGTCCTCGCCCTTCTACTCTGCCATGCAGTGGCCTCAATCTTGGGACCCGCACAGCCAAGAGAGCTACAGTGCTGTCAGGTTCGTCACTCATCTGACGCTCAGCTTCAACCTGCAGCTGCTGAGAGGGTGGCAGTACTCTGTGCTTTGACTGGGTCTTGCTGGCAGCAGGGCTTTGGACTACCCAGCTCTGCTGCTTGAGCATGTGCGGAGGAGTGCAGGCATGGTGCTTTTGCATTCTTATTGCGAGGTGCCAGAGAACGAGGTCAGTGAGACAGCATCAGCATTAGCGCACCTGATGGTGGGGGTTGATGCCTTGCTACATCAACCAGCACAGCAGACACTGCTGCGGTGGGCGAAGCTGCCAAATTTGGAGGCCTTTATCTCTGGCGAAGCCACGGATGCCCTTTTTGGATGTGTGGCGGCGTTGGAAGACGAGATCTCATTTGTGCAGACCCTCTCTATGCCACAGGTAGGATCACTTGTTGTTTTTTGGAAACATTCTGTCTCTGCACCTGGGCTGATTCAACATGTCCTGTGGGTCCTCATCTTTATTGTACCAATCGTCTGACACGACGGCAATGTTGAAGGCCCTGGTCCACCAAGAGATGACTGCTCTACTGGTGCTTCTGGAGAGGCTCACCAAAGCAATGGCAGCAACTTCGCAGCAGATCCCTCCCAATCTCCAGACACTGGCAGAGGGGTCCTGGTGCCTCGTGCTGAATTTGTTGCAAGAGGGGCTCTCCAAGGTGTCTGTGCATGCGGTAAGTCCTGAGATGCAGCAAGATAATTGGCAGATGTCCAGCAGTTGGTGTTATGTTCGGTCATCAGCCTGATGACGTCTCTTGAATTGCAGGCTCAGTCTGCTCTTGAAGCCATGTTCCGGCTGCTGCCGCATGCCTGGGCCCTGATGTCAGGCTGTCGGTCATCTAGTAGCCAAACAGTCTCTGAGGATGTCCTGTTGGCCCTGGGTGACATGTCCTGGCTTGTCAACGCTCTGCTGTGGGGGCTGCAGTGCCCAGACGCACTTTCAAAAGTGTGGGTCAGCAGCCTCTGCCAGGTGCGGTGCCTTACATTCTTTTTCAAGTGAGTGACACTGGTGCCTATCGAGATTCGCGTGCTTGAGCCTGCCACCATCTCATTCCTTCTAACGCCATTGTTGTCCCAGGTGTTGGACATGCTGCCCAAGCCCATCACTGCAGTGTTGCCAGAGGAGTGCCTTGATGTTGCGCAGAGAGTCCTAGCTCCCAGCAGCTGCCTTTCCGATGACGCAAAGTGCGCATGAGAATCATCCTAATTAATTCATGCATTATTTGAAGAAGTAGATTATATCCTTTTATATACCCTTGATGATATCTAGGTTGAATCAGTGTATGTAGGATTCTGCTCCTGAGTATGCCTGAACAACACTTTTGTTCTAATAAGATGCCCGTCTCTAATTTAGGGTGCGGCTTGGGTCATACTTCTCATCAGTAGCACCAGGAAACATGGGACAGAAGCCTCTGCAGGACTGGCCTAGTCGACTTGCTGGAGCCACAAAAGTCCCGCAGGTAAAAAAAAAGGACTTTCTTGGCTTGTGTTCACGTCCATGAGCCTCCATATTCTTCTCGTTATCAAGAATGTGGTCCTGTGCAGGCTGCCCATGGGAGACCTCTGACGTCCCCACAGAAGCAGAAGTCCATCTCAGCCTTTATGAAGCAAAACAATGGTGGGGTTGAGCAGCCGGGGAGCAGACTGTCAGCCCATCCTGCTGCTGCACAAGCGCCAGTGGTACAGCAGGGCCGCAAGGAGAGATCACGGCACGCTATCACGGACGCTGATGTGAACACTCTGTGGCCTGCAGACTGGCCAATGTCTGGGCGTAAGGAGGCTTCCACCAGCAATGACAGGTATGTAGCCTAAAATGCATCTCGTTTGCTTGAGCCATGCATGCATGCATGTGGTACGGAACTTTGTATGGTGCATCCCAGCACTCTATATCCGCAAGTATGAGCCGCTGCTCATCCTTTTTTTTGCAGGGGCAATGCTGACAGCAAGGCTAAGGCTGCGCCAGTGAGCAAGCTGAAGGCTGAAATCAGCAAGATGAAAGGAGCTGCCACACAGCAACCAAAGTTCAAGCGCCCATCTCTGCGACAGCCTGGTCCACAAAGTGTGAGGTATGCGCCTACTCCATGCAGGTACACGCCTGCTCTCTCAACGATGACGCCGACACATGCACACAAAGCAACCTGCCATATAATTTCAAGCCGGTTTGTTCTGCGCAACACTGGGTTTGGTTTGACCTGCTCATGCTCGTGTTGCCACAGCAGCAACTACGGAGCAAAGCAGAGCGCTGAAAGTTCTGGTGAGCCTGGAAGGTCAAATAGACCGCTCTCCATCACTCCTGATCGGCAGCTGGATGCGGAACGGGACAGGAGGAAGTCCTCTGAGCAGCAGGTAACAGCCCAGCATCGTATTGCTGGACTACATATAGTCTGATTCTCACCAGGCAAATAGTGAACCAAAAAAGATTATGCTGCTGCTGAGCTTTGGCACAATTTTTAGGAGGAAAGGTCAAAGCTGGGGCTGCCATTGGCTTCCAAGCCACAGCGGAAGATGATCCAGCTTGCTGCACCCCCGGACAATAACAAATGGGCCAAGAGGCGAACTGGCACAGTCCAGAGCACTACCTCCAATCAGGTAGAATGGAGACTGCTAAAAAGTAGCGTGTGAAAATGTTCGCCTGAATACCGTATTTGCCTTCTCAAGAAGGCTAATTTGGCAATTAAAGCATATGCATGCATGCCTTCAAGCTGTCTGACTGCTGTTCTTTGATGGCTGTCAGCAGGCTACACTCACCATGGACATTGTGAAGCGCGACATGCTGGGCCACAGCATCTCTGATATCATGAAGGAGAGATCAGGGCTGAGGGTGGGCACAGTTGAAAGGACCACCTGGGATGATGTCAACCTGTACAGCAACACATTCCACGACCTCCTGCTGGAGGAGCTGCGCTCAAACCTCAAACAGGTATTTGGAGCGCCTGTATTGCAGAAAAACAGATTGCTGATCAAGCCTGTCATATCATTGAGAAAATGGCATAATACTTCACACAGTGATCAGAAAATGTTTTCTGCAGGCCCTGGAGACATCTGGACGGAGGGGTTGTGATCACGTCCTGCAGCTCCGCAGCATTCAGCGCCAGAGCGAGATGCATGTCGTCGAGCTCCTCATGGACGCTTCAGATGGGTGCGTTCCCTGCTAGCTTTCTTTCGACGTCTTTTTTTGCACTACGCAAAATATTGGCATGCACATGCAATGAATCTCGTGCACGTGATGTTGTACAGGCAGCCTTTCAGGAGCAGCGATGTGCTCTTGCTGACCAGCACGTCCAAGGGCACCAGCAGGAACGAGGCAGTGCAGCTTCTCATTCTGGTCGAGAGCGTTGAAAGGGATCCAGCCAGCCGAGATCAGAAAGTTGTCCAGGCACTCGTGAATATGACTCCCAAGCAGAGCGGTAAACCTAGGCATCGTGCTTCAGATGTATTTGTAAACATATACTGATGCTGAGACTTTTCTCAAGGCAACATGGATTTGCTGCCATAATGGTGTTGTGATTGATGACAGGTGACACACCCCAGGATCTCCAAGCAACCTTCCTGCCCCGCACAAAGTGGCAGGCCAAGCACCTGCTGTCATGTGTGCCTCACTTACGCCAGTTCCAGGTGAATCTAAGGACAAGGAATGTGCACCCCTGTCATGTCAAGTCAAGTCAAGCAGACACATCGCTCTCCAAATGCGTTGTCGATCGATGCTGTATCCTTTGCAGGCGCTGTGCAAGGTTGCCCAGTTCCCGCCTGCTCTGCTGGACCTTCTGCTGCAGCCCAAGCGCTACACGGGTCATATGAGCCCAGCTCTGGGAAGGGCAGGGCTGCCAGCCAGCTTCTCCGCTTTCCAGCGCCAGCACAATCCCTCGCAGCAGGCCGCCATTGCTGCCGCGCTGGACACGCGACAAAGCCTTGCCAGTCTGATCCAGGTCCAGCTTCATCCCAGCTTGTTTCCCAAGAATAATTCTGATTGTTTTCCTATCCCTGTGTGCCAACCTTACTGAATCTTGAAGGCATACAATCCAGAGCGTAATACTCCCATGTGGCCACAATCAGCATTGGAGGCTCACATGGCTGATGGGAGAATTCTGTGATGCTTAGGGTCCCCCCGGCTCAGGAAAGACATCCACAATTGTGTCGGTGGTGTCTGCATTCCTGGGCAGCGCTGGCGGTGCTTCAGCTGATCAGCCCAGCGCGCAGGCATCTTCCTGTGCTCGCCGGGTGCTGGTTTGCGCGCAGTCCAATGCGGCTGTTGATGAGCTGGCGCTGCGCCTCTCCAGGAACATTCTCAATGCCGCCGGCAAGGCAAGGTGTGTGCAGAGCGTGCAGCCTTGAGGACGGCACCTGCCAATTTTGTCGGAATTAAATCCGTACTTGTGTGCATGCACATAGAAAGGCAGACATTGCGTGTGGCAGGTCTGCCTCTGTTGTGCGCCTGGGCGTACTGGAGGCTACAAGCGCTGATGTTCAGGCTCTGCACATCGACACCCTGTCGGGCTGCCGCGCGGACGAGGAGCAATCGGCAGTCTCAGCCTCTGGTATGCTACTGTGTAGCAGAAGTCTTGGGACATCGCTGCTATTTTGTTGCCTTAGGTTTCCTTGCAAGATAGATGATGTCCCTTTTTTGAGGAAATTGTGTGTCCTGCTGCCCCCCCTCCCCCCAGATCGCCTTGCAGCTGCCCACGAGCGCCGTGTGGCGTTGGGGAAGCAGTTGACGCAAGTGCGCACAGACATTGACAAGGAGGCCGGTGCGGGAGCAGGCAGCAAATCAGGTACGTTTTAATGGGCAAACAAGCATGCACCTGGCATGTGAGGATGCATGTTAATTGCCAAGCCAGGCATTCCAACAATGTCTGTTTTTTGACAGGTGAAGACGGCAGCGAGCAAGGAGGCAAGCAGAGCAGCTGTGATGAGCAAGCAGCTGACCGTGGCAAAGCGAAGGCAAAGCTGGATGCCTTGCACAGCCGGCGCAGGCAACTGACAGCCGAGCTGCGTGCTGCCACAGAAGAGGTTTGACCTGTCTTATTGCCTTACCAGGTCCTTGCTGACACACTGTGTGTATTGCTCAGCTCATCATGGGATCAAATCTTTTAGGAAATGAGCATGGTTATGGGTTGCAGGTGCAAGTTGGCGGGCAGCAGGTACAGCAGGCCAGCCGCGCGGTGCGTGCAGCTGTGATCAGGGAGGCTGAAGCCGTTGTGTGCACCCTGTCGTCTGCCGGCGGAGAGCTGCTGGCAATACAGGCTGGCGGCTTGGAAGCCTTTGACGCTGTCATCATCGACGAGGCAAGCACACTTGTCCGACCAATCCTACTGTATCTTCTCAGTTTACAATTGTGTCTTGATCAGAAGGCATTGCCACAAATGCTTGTATTAAGGGTATGGGCGTCGCTGCAGGCAGCACAGGCGGTGGAGCCGGCAGCGCTGATCCCGCTGCAGATGCTCAAGCCTGACGGCAAGGTGGTACTTGTGGGAGACCCCAAGCAGCTGCCGGCCACAGTTGTGTCCAGAGAAGCCGAGGCGGCTGGGCTGTCGCGCAGCCTCTTCGAGCGATTGCAGCAGGTGGTCCCTCTCCATCTATATTTTTGGCCTGCTGCCACCGCCAAAACATTCGGATATAAGGAAAAGCATTATGGTGCTGCAGAAGAGTCACGCAATCCGTTAGTCATCCCTTTACAGACGAGGCGAGGCAGTCGAGGCAAGACGAGCCGTCACAAGCATGCAAGCAGCTGCCCAGGGACAGTGTGCAGAGTGTGAGAAGCATTGCCATCCCATGTCCAAGGAGCTGAAGGCCTGCGCATGGCCAGGGTGGTGTGGCGGTGTCCCTGCTGGCTGAGCAATACCGCATGCATCCAGCCATCAGCGCCTGGCCCTCCTCCTTCTTCTACAGCGGCCACTTGAAGGATGCCCCTGCGGTGCTGGGAAATGCACGCACTGCGCCCTTCCATCGGACTCCCTGCTTCCCTCCATTTGCGTTCTTCGATTGCAGGTACTGCTGCAGCTTGGAGTCGTATCAGAGCATCACTGGATAAATTATCTCATTTCTGATGCCCTTTGTTGGAGAACAGACATCTGCACGCTCCAACGCTGTAATTGCCGGTGAGCGACGCCTGAACAAAAACAATCTTTAAATGTAGGGAAGGCGAGGAGAGCAGAGGCAGCGGCTCAGGGTCTGGGGCAGCAGCATCTCTGTACAACTCCACTGAGGTTGATCTGGCATCCTCCCTCTTCACAGGTACTGCATCCTCCAGTTGCCTGATATCTCACAGCATTTTATGTCTATAAAACAAAGCAGATGTATCTGAACAGCTGCATGGGACGGCAAGAATCTTGGATGAGAATGGGCTGCTATGCAGGCCTGATGAAGGAGCACGGGAAGGCTCTGGGCTCAGTGGCAGTGCTGTCTTCCTACAAAGCCCAGGTCACAGCACTGTGCTCACACTTTCAGCGGGTGCACGGCGCCGCAAAGATGGCATCTGTGGAGTTTGCAACAATAGATGGCTTTCAGGTATTTACCGCCCAAATTTCCCAAATGTTTTTTCTCACCTTCTCAGTTCTTAAACGCTGCTCTGCCCACAATCTTGAAAATATGTGCTTGCGTGTTGAAGGGACGAGAGGCGGACGTGGTCATCTTCTCATGCGTGAGGGCACGCGCGAGTGACAGCGGCGGATTGGGGTTCCTGGCCGATGTCAGGCGCATGAATGTGGCGCTCACGCGGGCCAGGTACTTCCAAGCCAACTTCTTTGACACCTCTTAGATCCAGATGCAAACCAGGCAATTCCGCAGAAGTCTAATTGGCGGTGTCGCAATGGGGGCACATTTGAATGTCAATTCTGAGTCTAGCCAGAATTGTAGAGAGACAAGGAGTTGCTGGTGGGGAATGCAGGCAGTCGCTGTGGGTCATTGGCCGCGTCAGCACGCTCCAGGGCTGTGCTCCCTGGGCGGCGCTCATCAAGCACGCAGCAGCCAAGGGCTGCCTCTTTGCAGCACTCCGCCCGTTCGAGCAGCTGCTCCGCGCCAGCCATGATGAGCTCACAGCTGACGCAGCTCGTGCCATGACAGCGCGCTCCAGCAGGCAGACCAAAGAGAGGAGGCGAGGCAGAAGCTCTGGGGAAGAGCTAGTGGGTCAGAAACAGCCACGTCAGAAACGGCCGCGTCTTGAGCCGCGCAACGGCAGCTCAGCACCTGCGCCACCTGACACAGCGAGCGAGCCGCGACGCAAATCGCAAACACCCCCAAATACAGCGAACAGGAAGCAGGAACATGTGAACAGCAGGGCGAGCAATGAGGAGGCAGCAGCAGAAGCTTCAGGATGCAGGCAGGCTGGAACCACAGCCGGGAATCTCAGGGAAGGCACACCATCAGCGCGACAGGTGCATGCCGGACTGCAGTCGGCATCATCCATTGGTGTCTGGAATCAAGACCAGGAAAGGCCAGCAGAACAGCATGAATCGGCAAGCTCCTCAGAAATGCAGCAGGCATCACGAAGCGGACCATCTGCAGCTGACAGGGACCCGCGTGACCTGCCAGCAGGGCATGCTAGCAGCAGTGTCGCACAAGCATCTGCTGGGAAGAAAGTAACTGCCATCTCCAATCCGCTCCTTCAAAGAATGAGCCTGCTCGGAAGTAGTGCCAGGCAGCGCAGCAAGCCAGTAGAGCCGCCTGACTGAAGTAATGGTGCACATGACATGACATCGGTTATCAATAGGTCTAGCCGCACATGATTGAGGTTTTGGTGGTCTTGATTCAGCTTCTTTCGGGAGAATAGCGGTGCCTTGCAGTACAACAAAATGGTTCTGAGTTTGCAAGTCACATGCATGTTCCTTTGCATGACAAATGTACTGAATGCAGATTAATGGAACAGATATGTGCTACAAACCCAACAGTTTGCAGTGGAGAGTCGTGGCACTGTCGCATGATCAATGATCAAGTTACAGAGCATGCTGATGGCTATGATGCATCAACAGATGAATGACCACATGTGCACACAAGACAGACATGGATCTGCGCAGCATCCTACAAATTCTACAATGACAAATGAAAAAAATCTCATACCAGATCACCTCTGTCACCCAATTGATTCATTGCAAGCATTAACTGCTCTTGCAACTCAACACTGTGGCCACAGGCGCAATGTGCAGACAGCACCATGTGCTTCAAAGCTGCATTGCAAATGGTCTTGAAACTGCTTTAGCACCTACAACGATGTCTCATCTCTTCCTAATTGCTTATCGCTCCGGCAGTCTGCTTATGTTTCTACAAGGTGAGTCTATAACAGTGACGGTAAATGGCGTTCTTTGTGTTGGGTTATTTGTAGTCGTCATTATAATGATGGCCACCAAAAGTTTTGCAATGCTTTCACTCGCCCTGCAAGGCGTCCTCCTTATGGTCGAGTGTTTCAATTTGCAGCTGGTGAGTCTCAGTTCTGCAATCCTTCAACTCAGTCCCTCAGAAGGTGCCCAGGCTGCGTCCAACCTTGTGCACCTTCTTTGCAAAACTTCTCTTCTATGCTTCAAGGGCTGTTGTGCCTCTTTACTCATGCTCCTGAGGGGCACTTGCGCATGGGGAGTCACTGCGCAGAGATCCTTGATCCAGTCTGTCTAGGCAGCGCCTAGAATGTCATGGGGGGCGCGCCGAGGCCGACAGGGGCCAGGGCGGCCTTGTCTGCCAGCGTGTAGCCGGGCAGAGTAATGGCGCGCGCGCCGAGCACGCTGCCGACGCCGAAGGAGGAGCGCTTCTGGTACACGACCAGCTTGCCCTTCTTGTGCGAGGCCAGGTGGCAGTACACGAGCGCGTTGCGCGACACAATGGCGTTGTCCCCGAAGGAGGCCAGCTCGTAGTCCAGCAGCCGCGTGCTGTCCAGGTAGGCGCCCTTGCCGATGGTCATCCCGCGCAGGCTCGCGAACAGGTTGTACCAGGGAGACGCGCGCACCGCCTCGGCGAAGGGACCTGTTTGCACAACCGACACGGGTCTCAGCGCCGCAGCATTTTGATACAGTACATGCATGGCTTGGGCAGTAACTGTATGGCTTGGACAGTGAATGATCGCTGCTCAGGATGGATCTGGTGAGGGGCTTGAGGGAGAGGGTGCTCACCGAGGGGCATCTCGGAGATGAGGACGAGCGCGCGGCGGAAGGAGAGGGAGTCGTACATGGAGAAGCCAGCGTGCGGCTCCAGCTTGCCGGTGAATGACCACTTGGCGGCGGCACCCAGGCTGCCCAGCAGAGCTCCATACATCGTCCACAGCGCAGACCCGGCCACCAGCGCACCAATCCAGGAGCCCTGCACAGCCATACTCGCCTCAGCTTACGTATTATGCTATGCTGTGCTGAAGTCAAGGAGCACACTCAATGCCACTGCAACAAAGTGTGGGCATAGTTGAATGATTTTGGGCTCATGGAGGGGAGAGACAATCACCTGGGAGCCGAAGATGGCGGTGGTGGCGAGGGCGGCAACGATGGTGGCGTAGGTGGCAAGGGTGGTGATGCCGAAGGCCAGCAGGGGCTGCACCAGGGGCCACGAGGCGAACATGAGCTTGGCGCGCGAATCGGTCGGGCCGGCCGCCTTGTCGGAGCCGCTGCTCTTGAACACCGGTGTGGCTGGGTTGCCCATGTACAGCATCTCACCTGCGCACACACAAGTTTGTCTGAGTATTTAGATGCAACACAGCCATACATGTTCACACAGCGGTGCTGAGGAGAACAGAAAGCAAAGGAAGCTGTGCTGACTTCGACAGACAGCTAGGTAGGTACCTGGCAGCTGCGCGCCAGCCAGGGAGGCAGCGCCGGCGCCGAGGGTGGCGCTTTTGCCGAGGGTGGTGCCGGGCAGCGCAACGGCCGCGGCGCCGATGAGGGAGTGTGCCTCGAGTGTGACCGGGGCGGTGACGCTGCGCTCGCCGTCGATCGCGTACGTGCACACCAGGTTGGCCATATCGCCCACGTGCACCCTGCAATGCACACCGGCCCAAGTCAGTCTTGTTTTCTCCTCACTGGCTCTAAACAGGCTCTGTTTACCACCGCTCAGGTCCCACCAAGGGGAGTATGAAGACGGACCTCTTTCCTCTTTATACTCCCTTTGGTCCCACCATCATCTCTACCAAATTCTTACCAAATTAGCAATGACATGGACAAAATGCTGATGACATTGAGTCTGAGGGGGTGGGATGGCGTGGCGCACCCGTCCTTGATGGTGATCTGGTCGGGGCAGAGGGGCAGGCACATGCCGAGGCGGAAGGAGACCCAGTCGCCGACGGTGGCGCCGAGCGCGCGCAGGTACACATTCATGGCCCACGTGCCGCTCAGCAGCGTCATGAAGCGCTTGAACGCCAGCTCCACCATGCGCGAGGCCGTCCAGATGCGCACACCCAGCACGCTCTGGTGCCTGCAGCATTGCACAGATTCCCACTCAGGTCGCCACCTTGAAGCAATCTGTTGTGAGTCCCCAAACAGTCATATCCGGACCAGAAGAGGCGTAACTGTTTTTCCTCTGCCTTCCTTACTGCAAAAAACCACTTACTACGCAGAGAATTCATAGCATTTGAGTGATAGGGTTACCTGTACACGCCCGGAGAGACCTTGCCGGCAACCTGCCACTTGAAGAGGACAGAGGCGGCGGCCAGGCTGGCGCCGAAGACTGTCATCGACAGGGGCACAGCAATGATGGCGGCCACAGCGAAGACGGGCGACAGCACAGTGCCGAGAGCAGACCATGCTGCAGGCGCTCCAATCTGCGACCCAGGCAAACTTGCTCGAGAGGTCTTCAATAATGTGTCCAGGGTCACCATCGCACGCGTGCAGCTGTCATTGAGAGCACACGATTTGAGGCCTCCTATTTGACCAGAGATATTTAGTGCAATGCAGAACAGAGCATTCACCGGCAGGAGGATGGGCAGGGTGGCAGCGTAGAGGGGGTTGAAGAGGGCGGCCAGGGCGAACACGGCGAAAGCGGCCGGGCACAGGGCAATGTGCGCAGACAGACCCGCTGCAGACAGCACAGTCCCCAGGATGCCGTACGCCACAACTGCGCACACTGTCGCCACTGCGCCAATTGCCCACAGGCCCGCCACCTGCACCATGGGGCAGGCACAGAAACTGGACGCCATCTTCAATTATCTGGGTTCACCTTCTCAAAATTGTTGCAGGGATCAGGAATATATTTCCTAGATGGGCTTGCACTCAACAGTCATTTAAGAGGGCAAACAGCACGCTGTACACAGACTAAGGGAGACGAAAAGTACCTGGAGGCCGGCTGTCTGGGCAGCGGTGAGGTCAGGGCTGGCGAGCTGGGTCTTGAGCGCGGCCAGGACTGGGGCCTTGCCGGCGCGCTTCTTGGGGTCGGCTGGGCCGGTGGCCTGAGGCCCGATGCTGGCACCGGACGGCAGCACAGTGCCTGCCTTGGCCATGGAGAAGGGCGCCAGGCTGCAGTTGTCCCCAATCATAATCTGCATCGCAAGCCCCAATGCTGTCAAATTCCCACTCTTTCCACTTCTTCCCAATTTGAGGCCGTCACTCTGCAGATGCTTCATGGGCATGGTATGCATGAGGGAGTGCCTGGCTGTGCATGTTGGATGGTGAGGGGTAGGGAGAGCGACGGTGAAGCATGCGGGTGCAGGGGCACACCTCGCTGAAGTGCAGCTGGCCGTCCCGGAAGAAGTGACCGATGATGGTGGAGCCCTCGTTGACAACCACGTTGTCGCCGATGGTGATCAGGTCAAAGTCACACACGTCCAAAGAATCAATGTAGCCGCCCTTGCCGATGCGGGCTCCCTGCAATACATTGCCCCCACATTTCTTGGGTGTCCCAAAAATTACATGCAGACGTCCAAGTATGGCAGTGGTGGTCTGTGCAAAGGGAAAATTGCAGCATGCGCAAAATGGAATTGCTAAGGCAGGAGGAAAGCTCACCAGCGCCCTGTACCACCAGGTGAGGAAGGGGGTGCCGCGCAGGTGCTCGGCAAAAACAATAGTTGTCACATGGACCAGACGACTGACCTGCACCACGCAGCAACATCACCTCAGCCCCTGATAACATTGATGACCTCAGCTCTGCTCCCATGTTGCTCGTTGCATATTGAAGTAGTATGTAAGAAAATCATCAGTTCTCAAGTGAGATCACGCACCAGCCACCAGCGGGCAAACTCAAGGCTGAACATGGGCAGAGGACGGTTGGCGGACAGCTTGGGCTGCAGCAGGCGGCTGGTGGCCACGCAGGCCAGGCACAGCGCCACGCCCACGCACAGCCAGATGGCTGGAACCACCAAAACCACTGCAAACAAGCCACCGACGCTGGCCGCCGCAGTCACAACCGACAACGCCGGAGCCCCAATGACCGCCAACACAGCACCTGCAGGACAGAACACCATCCTAAGCCTACTGAACCCCATACGTCATGTTCAGGCAACTATGCTATGTGGAAACCAAGGAGGAAAGCGACACGAAAAACTTGGTGTTAATCACACAAACACATGAAAAAAGTGAGATGCAGATGCAGGAGCATGGAAATGCGAGCGCACCTATGTAGAGGACGCCTGCAAAAGTGAGGGCGCCCCAAGTGCTGTTGGAGGCTGCAGGGGTCGTCTGCGCCTTTGTGGCAGTCGCCGTGGCCGCCTTGGGGGAGGCCGAGCTCGACACAGTGCGCGCTTTAGGTGGGCTGCCTGCTGCGGCGGGGGCCGGGGCGCTGGCTGCGGGTTTGTCTGGCACCGCCGCCGCCTTGGCCGCTTTCCTCTGCCTCACCGCGCTGGCAGTGATCGAAATCTCGCCCGCTCCATCTCCACCCTGCCGTGCATGACCAGAGTTTGAACTGTCTGCTACGAACTCCTCCAATCACATTACAATTGCTTGTCTAATCAAGCAGACATTGCAAACACTTCCCCAGATGGCATCCATTCTGCAATCTTGTCTGCAGGTGGATACCACTGCCAGCATGCGCACTAATCGCATCTGAGCACCAGGGAAGAACAGGCGGGGCACCTTCTTATCGCCTGCCACTGCCTGTTGCGCCACCACATTGCCCGCAGAAGCCGCCTCCGCCTTCTGTGGCACAGCCACAGCACTCGGGGCCTGCACCTTCTTAGAAGCCGCCTCGACCTCTGGAGCGGCCGCCTGCGCCTGCGGGGCAGGAGCCTCTTCTGCAGGCGCGCTGCCCTCGTCTGCGGCGGCACTGTCATCTGCAGCGGCGGCCTTAGGCGCCGAGCGTCCACCCTTAGATCCGGCCTCTGCCGCCAGCTCACGCAGGGTCGCCACTGTGAGTGTGCCGATCGTCTCCAGGGGAACCGGCCGGCACAGCTTCTTCTGCATCACCGCCCTCACCTGTGCACCCATCACTTTGTCATGCTCCTGCTGAGAACAGCGTTGGTGGCATGCGGCATGACAACAGGGCTGTGCAGCAAGCAGACAGCTCAGGATATGTAAGGCGGACCTCCATCAGCTGCATGCTGTCGATGCCGAGTGCTGCTAGGTTGTCGTTCTCGCCGACTGCGTCCGCCTTGAGGCCCATCAGGCTCAAGACCGCCTCTACCAGGTCCTGCGCAGTCACACAACATCTTCAGAGGGCGAGTCTTCCACTGCATGTGATGAAGAAGGGCTTGCAACTTTACATGTCTTCTGCAGCATGGTGGAAGGGCAGGGCGCTCACAGTGTCCTCTTCTCCGTCGGCGGAGTTGGACCCGACGGTCTCTGTGGTGGAGCACATCAGCGGTGTAACCTCCTTGCCGCCCAGCAGGCAGCTGGCCAGCACGCGCAGGCAGTCATCCACCGGCTGTGGCAGCAGCCACTCAAACACGCGCCCCACCAGCTTACCCTGCAATTACCAATCCCCAACACATTAACAGGCATTACCGGCAAGATTTCAAGTACTCAAAAACATGTCTAAGTGTGCAGTGGGCTTTCTTGAAGGTGAATCCAAGGCCTGAGAGGTGATGGGCGGAACTTGAGGAGAGAGGCACCTTCAGGATCTCGGCCACGTATCCCACGTGGTCGACGGGGCCCCACGCCAGTGCAAGGGCTGGCAGGCCTGCTGCCCGCCTGGACATGCAGAGCATGTCGCACACGCTGTTGGCGTACCCGTAGTTGCCCTGACCTGCGCGCGCCACAATGAATCCATGCTCAGTCCCAGCACAGTATACAGATGCTTCTGCTGATGTCTCCGCAAGCTGCATTACTTACCTATCACACCAGGACTGCAGATGTATATTGAAGGTGCCGTTTTAGCTGTCACATCAAAGAAGGGGATGGGGAACATTCTCGACGCACCCTCGTTTCCGGTGGAGGAGACGACGGAGGAGAAGATGACAAACTGCTCCAGGTGGGGCAGCTTCTGGGACACCTTGTCCAGGTTGAGCGCGCCGTACGCCTTGGGAATGATGGGCGCGTTCCAGCTCTCACCCGTCTGCGCACAGTGCTTGACATCAGCATGCAGCCACCCACAGAGTGCAGATGAGGTCATTATGCAGCTGGCTTGTGAGTCATGCTCAGGAAGCCTCAGAGGGTAAAATACATAGCAATGGATGGGTACACAGAGAATGTGTTCCTATGAACAGAGAAGAGGGTGGTCACCTGGTTGGACATCCAGCGGTCCTGCAGGATCATGGCCAGGTGGAAGATGCCTCCCACGGGCGCCATGCCCTCCGCCAGTGCTACAATCTGCTCCGTCTCGCCCAGGTCAGCCACGTCCAGCTTGGACACCTCAATCTGCACCGTGAAATCCAACACACGTCAGGCAACTGAATTTCACCCTTGATTGAAGCACAGATATGCCTCAATGTCTGCCCATGACACTTCAGCAGGTGAACAAAAGGAGAGATGTTGCTCCAAAGGCTATGTCATGATAGCTTTAAAAACGTGCTGGTGTGAGAGAAGGCTGACCTGGACGCCGCGCTTCTGCAGCATCTGGACGACCTTGCGCTGGCCGCCGGTGCGCATGCCGCGCTTTGAGGTCAGCACGAGGTTGCGCGCGCCGCGGTTGCTCAGCCACACTGCCAGCGCCAGCCCAAAGCCTCCCACCCCTCCCGTGATGATGTACGACCGGTCCGACCTGTGAACGCAGTTTCACTCTCAAGCCTCCACATAAGGACGTAAGAAAGTTTGTTGAGTCTACACCCAGTGTCATTTATTCAATGAGGTAAGTGTTTCCTTTTCACCAGAGTGAAAATGTGTCTGCTTGCGCGTGGAAGCAAGCAGAGCAATCGCAGGGGGGCCAGGGAAAGAGAGATGCGCACTTGCAGAAGAAGACGGGCTTGGCAGCGGGCTCGTCTTCAATGGCAGGCGCTGCGGTGGCCTCGACGGCCTCCGTGCCCTCCTCCTCCTCTGCCTTGGCGGGTGGCGCGGGCCACTTGAACACCGCCTTTGCGGCGAGGGCCTCCTCGGAGTCTCCATCGGAAGCCATCTGGATGAGCACCTTGCCCATGTGGGTTCCTGCAGGCAGCACACTCATTGTATCAAAGCATGCAAGATTAAATACAGAGAACCCCCTTTCCCAAAGCAAAGAAGTTACAGGCAGAAAGTAAGGCCAATGACTGAATGAACATTAGGTGGCGCACCAGCAGCCATGAATCGAAAGGCGTTGCCAGCCTCCTTGCGGGAGAACTTGTTGAGCGGCAGTGGCACAACCTCGCCGCTGCTGATTCCGGCCGTTAGCAGCGCGTGCACCTCCCATGCCTGAACCAAGGCAAGTCAAGTTGCTTCAATAGCTCAAATTACCAGCAAACATATTGAAAGTGCAGGGTATTCTTCCAGTACACCTTGCTGGAATATGTGATGAAGCCAAGAGTGCCCACCTCTGTGATGTTGCTGGGGTCGTTGGTGATTCTGTCCAGGTCAATGCCCTCGAAGGCAACGTTGCGGAGCATGGGCCTCATGCTCAGTGGCGTTCCCTTCAAAATGTCATACTTTCCAATCTCCAGCAGTCGTCCGTTGTCTGCTAGACACCTCACGGTTGCCTGCACACAATCCACAATCACATAATGAGCACATGCATACACCCGATGCCTCCGATGGAGTAGCTCCATAATGCACTGGAGTAAGAACAAGAGACACCCACCTGCAGTTTGTCATCGGCGAGGGAGTTGAGAGCGAGGTGGACGCCGGTGCCGTTGGTCTGCCGTTTGACGACCTCCTCAAACGCGCACGAGCGCGAGTCACCGATGTGGTCCTCCCTCAGGGTCGGGAACGCCTCCAGCAGGAAGGCGCGCTTGTCCGCAGTTCCACACGTCACAAACACCTGCCACAACCCATTGCGTGTAAATTTGCCGCATTCAGCACAGATCAGCATTTGACAAATTTCTGATAGACAATTAAAGGGATATGCAGTACTGGCATTCTTCTTTAAATGAGTCACAAAGTCCCACACAGACGCTTAAGAGGCCATGAAATTTGCAGAGCGATAGCAAAAAGAATGTTATAGGCGAGAGGCTCTTCAGGGCAAGAATTGAGCGATGCCCACCTCGCAGCCGCGGTTGAGGCAGATGCGGGTGGCGGCCAGGCCGACGGCGCCGGAGGCAGAGTGGATGAGCACGCGGTGGTGCGGCTGCAGGCGGCCGCGCACAACGAGTGCGTCGTACGCCGTCGCGTACGCCACCGGCACGGTCGCGGCCTGCGCCAGGGTCCAGCTGTCCGGAACGTCCCAGAGGGCGTGGGGCTTGGAAGCCACCATGGTCGCGATTGAGTTCTGGGGCGTCATGCCCATGATCCTCTTGCCGCTCACCTTGTCCTGCACCGTCCCCACCATCATGATCAGGAACAGCGTAGTTGTAGTAGTAGTAGTTCACCATATTGGTGGGCAGCTGTTAGTGTGGCTCTTCAGAGAAAAGCTCAGCAGGAAGTACGAAGAGTGAGCAGTATATTCACTTTGCCAGAGAACTCGAGGCCAATCTGGTTGCCTCCGTTGGCGTGGCTCATCAGGTCCTTGCTCAGCTTGCCGTATGCCAGCATCACATCACGGAAATTCAGAGACCCTGCGCAGCACACCAGCCCATGTCACAAAAAATTACACAAGCTATTTTCATGATTGTGCCTTGAACCCGCAAGCATGTTAGGTTCCCCACTGACAATCTCCATCTCTGCATTGGGAAACAGCAGGGAAGGATTTAGGTTTAGAGGCCTAGAGGCAGCTGCGCACCGTATGCAACATTGCACTCCACCAGGCCAGGCGGCGGCGCCTGGCTGTGGGCCCAGAAGAACGAGGAGATGTCGCCGGGGGACACAATGTCAAGGTGCACCCCGCACTTGGGTGCCTTCTCGAGCGCCGCCGCATTGTCCACCTCGTTCAACTGCAGCCACAGAACATCCCATGTGTCAAATTCATGCTACGGTAACTTGCCTCTAGAGCGCATGTCAAAGCATTTTTGGCACAAAGCAAAATCATGCTTCGGGGGTTCAAAGCCAAGCCCAGATGCTGATGTTATGATTGAAATCGAGGTTGGTTCAGGTCCTTCATAAAGGAGGTGATAGAGCGCTGATGGAGAAGGACAGGTGCACCCACCTCTACAAGGGTGTTGCGGAGGGAGCCGTGCACGCCATTTTGAAAGATGTTGTTGACGAGGTCCATGCGGCCGGCAATGGCCAGCATCTGCTCTGCGGTCAGCTTGGGGTCCGGCTTGGCGGCTGGGCCCGCGCAGGAGGTGAGCGCGGAGGAGGGGTGGTGCGCGTCGAGCATCCAGCGCAGGTTGTCGCCGTGCGCCTCCAGGCGGGCACAGTGGCCCAGGCCCAGCACACCCGGGTTGTCGCGCAGGTTGCCGTGCAGCCACAGCCTCTGCTCCACCTTGGCCGGCTCTGCGCACGCATCGGACACCCACGTCAGTCGAGACCTCCCCATAGTTCCACATAGTTCCCCTCATGACTGCCAAGTATCTAAAGAGGGAGATTGGATTGCCTTTCATCTTTAACGTCACTGGCACGCCAGATTGGCCACTATCGTCTCCCAAGGCATGGCAGCAGAAGTGCGCTGGTGGTAGGCAGTTAGAATTTCCCGGAAAGCTGGAGTTTTAAATGGCCAGTTCCAGGAAGTCGGCTGCAGAACGTGTGCTTTGGGGCTAAACAGAAGAAAGGCAGGCAGGCTGCATAAGTTGGGGGGAGAAATGTACCTGCAGCCTCCTCGCCCTCGGCAGGGGCGGCCTCCTTGGGTGCCTCAGGGTCGACTGCGGCAAGGGCGTCGTTGTACTCCTTGAGCCAGCCCTCCATGTGCTCCTCGGTGGCCACCAGGGGAGGCGCCGCGAACAGCACCGGCTCCGGCACGCTCGGCAGCTTGCGGTACAGGAACAGCGCGCCTGACTCATGCGGGCACCTGCGCGCACAAGTCACCATGTGTTTCACATCCAACTTCTCGCACATGCAAGGCTGTGGTACATGGAAGGCCACAGCGTCAACGGACACTCTCACTCAGCAACCAGTTTGCTCAAGCACAGAGTGGGGCTGCGCACCAGTGCTCAACGATCTGGGTGAAGCCGGCCTCAGCCCAAAGGCGGTGCCAGCGCGGCTTGGCCATCCAGAGGCCGTACTCACGCTCGTCTGTGAACTTCCAGGTGCGCTCATCCAGACCCCACAGGCATGTGGTGAACGCTGCGGTGGTCTCGTACAGCAGCAAAAAGCCCCCGTCCGCCAGGGATGCATGCACGTTTGCCAGCGTCTCTGCATCGCACCAAACATGCATTCAGATTTGCCCAGCCCTGTAAGTCTCTTCCACATCAATCTGCCCCGCCAGCTGACTTTAAAAAAGAAGTGGATACTTTGCTTGAATTAGCATTATGGCAGGGAACAGCAGCGGTCTCAAAATTCAAGTGCTCACCTGCCATATTGTCACATGTGTGGACGGCATTCGATGCCAGGATCAGGTCGAAGGGGCCTCCCAGGGTGTCAGGTGCCGGCTTGTTGACATCCCATGTCTGCAAACATTCCCCAGCAGTCAGCATGCAACTTCACCACATGCAGAAAAGCACCATCAGTCGCGTGAAGAAGAGATTTGTGCAGCAGAAGCCAATGCTGACCTTAAATTCCAGCTTGGAGTTGCCGACCATCTGCAGCAGGTTGGGGCCAAAGGCAGGGGTGATGTCAGTGGCTGTGTATCCGCGCAGCTCCGAGAATGGGCTGCGGTCCAGCTCAGCAATGACCTGTAAATGTCACCACATGATGTCAGCATCCCCTGCCATTTTCTGACGGTCATGTCAATACAGAGAATTGCTGAAAGAGAGTGAAATGGGGGTGTTTGCTCTGACCTGGCGTGTGAAGCCTCCAGTCCCGGCACCAATCTCAGCCACAGTGAAGCCGGTCTGGCCCTGGTTCTCGCACACGATGTCCAGCATGTGGGAGATGTGGCGCGCGTGGAAGCCCTGCATCAGCGGGTCCTGTGCGTACAGCACGTTGTGCTCCGCGTGCTGCACGATGGCCTGAATGGGGTTCTGCACACCACCACACAATTTGTCAGTTGACTGCACCCACTTCCTCATCACTTGGATGCTGCAATGGTGAACAAGTGCCCTCAAAGTGCCAGCTAGGACTACAGAGCAGAACGGCATCTTGCTTGGCAACTGCCAAGATCACACAGGACTGTCGGAATTGAGAGCTCACCTCCATGGTAGTGGCGGAGGCCTCCTCAGCAAACAGATCGCGGATGAGGCGGGCCAGGTGGTGCTTGGGGCCCGACAGGAACGCCTCCAGCTCCGCGCCCTCCGGCGCCGGCTCCTTGAAGTCCTCCAGCATCACCAGCACCTGTGCAAACGAACACAATTGATCAACGCCCTCTCACTTACCTCAGTGCTACCGCCACCTGCTGTGCACCCTGAATTGTCTTCTGCAATTCGAATGGTGATCTTGCTGGGCATTCGGTACCTATTGTAAAGACATTGGTAGAAAGCAGATGAATGCCCAGGTAGCAAGGCATCAGGCAAGCATATTTCGAGCGAGGGAGGGGCGATGCATTACAACTAGAGTGGCGCTCGCTGCGCATGCATGGGGCACCATTGATGCAATAATGGGCCCCAGGCTCACCTTCTGCAGGTGGTCGGGCATGCCGTCGGCAGAGGCGGCGCCGTGGGCGATGATGGCAGGCTCGACCAGGGCCTTAATGTAGCCGCGGATCTGCTTGTAGTAGGCCAGCCGCTTGGCGTCCTTGTCCAGGTTCTCGCCGTAGGGCAGGAAGTCCATCTTCTTGAGCAGTGTCTTGTAGTTGATCGGCCGGCGCGGCGCGGACGAGAGCTCCACTCCAGCAACCTCACACAACTCCGTGCGGCACACGTCCACTGGGGCATCCACGTCCACCATGACTGCGCACACAAGACCAAATTCAGTCTCTGTGCATTCATGCTTCCTCCATCCCTCGTGGCCTTCCCTGATCAAGTATTCTCACTGATTGCTGGAGAGTATACAAGCTGCTAGCAGGCAGAAACGTAATGGCTTGCACCCTCGCCATATTCATGCCTGAGTGTAAAAAATTACAGTCCCAGGCGCTAGATACTTCATTGTCATGAAAACACAGTGTCTGGGGCTGCTGGCAGAGTGCAAAAGGGCAGGCAAATGTACCCTGGGAGCCAGCGGGGATGGCTGGGCTGGAGTCCAGGATGGCGAGGTGGCGGATCTTGGTAGGGATGCGCAGGTTGTAGTCGGCGCTGCCCAGCGCGCCTGCCTGCAGCATGCCGTCCAGCAGCCTGATGAAGCACCCGTCCCACCTGCACCCACCATGCACACCCTCAGCCTCTGCTGAAAGCTTTTCTTGAATTTTCTCATGACGGCCACAACTGTGTGGAGCCAAGCAAGCAAGTACAGGAGACAGAACCGAGCCCTGGCAGAAGAGTCTGCATGTATCACAGCACTGTCTTGATAGCGCGCATCAGTTCACAGGGCTCATGCAAACACCAGATTCAACTGGTACTGAACATCACCCTGATGTCAGAAGGGAGGTGAAAAGAGTATGTTTACCTGAGGACAACGGCCTTGCCATCGATGTGGCGCTTCTCGACCATGCGGAAGTGGGGCCCGTACTGGATGCCTGCGCGCGCAACGTCCAGGTAGAACGTGCCAGCGTCAACAGTGTCCAGGGCGTTGTACGGCCACTCAACCTCCACCTTTTCAGGCTCCGCCTCCTCCTGTGCTTCTGCATCTGCACACCAGCAGGCCACTCTTAGGCAAAATAAATAACAAAGCTCACCGTTCACTGAGAAGGCTGGTAGAAATTCATGCGGGATGGCAGGGATGTCTATGAGAGCTCATAACATGCCGTCAGAAACCATGCATGCGGGGGAAGGATGCACACCGGCAGGGGCAGCGGCCTCTGGCTTGGCCTCCTCTGTGGGAGCGGCAGCCTCAGCCTCTGCAGGTGCGACGGTGTCGGCGGGTGCCTCCGCCGAAGCTGCGTCACCCTCCTTCTTGGCGGGCGCGGGCGCTGAGCGCGGCTTGATGCGCCCCTCTGCAATGATGTCCGTCTCTTGCAGCACCTGCACAGAGAATTTATGACCTCTAAAATTACAAACCCTGTTATTTCAAAGTTTCTGCAGTCTGATTCCTCTAAGAAGTCTTCAAATAGGCCACTGCTAACAGAGCTCGGTGGTAGGTATCAGATCGGCTACAATGGGCACCTGGAAGCGGTGGCTGCGGTCAAGCAGCACAGAGAGGGTGACATTCTCGCCAGGCTGCGCCTGCACGGCCTGCACGATGGACACGTCCTCGAACACCACCGGCAGCTCCGCCATCGTCTTCTCGTGCTGCGTCGCCAGCGCCTCCCACGCCGTCACCAAGTATGACGTTGCCTGCATGCAACACACTCATCCCTTATTCTCTCCACTTTCAAATCCTATTTGAACAGAAACGCTACAGTTTCTGTCTGAGCATGTCTGCTTTGAACAGCATGAGGTCCAACTGGTGCCTCAGGGTCCAGTGGATGAGAATTTCTTGTAATTACCCCAGATTACAATTGTGCCGGAGATGGAGCAACAAACAGACAGGGAGGTGCATGGACAGCCAGACAGAAGCGCACAGGCATGAGGATGCGGCCGTCGACGACGTGGTCGGCCAGGAAGGCGTGCTCGCCGCCGAGCTTGTAGGTCTTGGTGAAGCCGGAGGAACCGCCAGCGCTGGTCCAGTCCTTGGACTTGGGCAGCGGGTAATCCGACGCATGGTCCCACGACACCAGCGCCTCACGCACCACGCGCGGCACTGCAGCAGCAACATGCACACAAGCCTCAGAAGCTGCCTCAAAGCCATCATATTGATAGACCATTTTGACTTGGGAAGGTCTCAACCCACCCTCATGTGACTTTGATGCTTCTATGGCCTTCAGAACGACAATTCCAAGATGAACCTGGGATTCATGCGTGATTTTCTCATTGGCTGGTCCATGGATGTCTCATGGAAGACTACGCGCTCATGCAGGAGTGCTAATTTCAAGGGTCAGGATAAAATAGTAAGGGGCGCACGCTCGGGGGTGGCTGATGGCGCGGGAGTGACGGAGGTGGACCAGTTGATGGCAGCGCCCTTGCGCCAGAGGTCGGCGATGGCGGCCTTGAGGGTGTCGACGGCGCTGTCGCCCTTCTTCATGGTAGCCACGTACTGCAGGTCGCTGCGATTCTGGCGCAGGGGCGAGCGCATGAGCGCGTGGGGACCTATCTCCAGCAGGATCACATCCTTGGGAATCTTGGAGCACGCCAGCCGGAACTGCACGCGGCTCGCGTAGCCGTGCGTCTGCGCCGCCACAAGCACAGTGAGATTTGTTCGCTCGACATTTGCCACCCACTGATGAAATCCATTGGCTGTGCACAGTGTGTTGCAGCCTAAGCCGGCCTGAGCAGAACTTGTTCTTCATCCTATAGGCAAAGCACCCAGAAAATGGTAATTAGGTTCAGGCGAGGGACTATCTATGTTCTGAGGCATGCAGATGTTATTTGCAAAAAAATACCTGGTAGGCTCCGGAGCACAGGCGGGCCTCTGGGCTCTCATCGTCCACGGCGTAGGTGGAGGACAGCCATGTGGCTGAGCGCTCCTTGGGCTCTGGCACAACCTCCTCCAGCGCTGCAGGTGCAATCAATGGCCTCTCAACAACGGTCACTCATTTGCATCACACACTGCACAGCTGTCTACCGTTCTGGCTGCCAGCAGTGAAAGGAACAAGAATGAGATAGTTGGAAGGCTGGAACCAGAGAATGTAAATTAGCAGGAAATTCGCTAATTCCAGTCATCCTCGACAGAGGCAGTCTTGCAGTGCTGGGCACGGGCAAGGATGTGAGCATGCTCACCAGCCTGCAATTCGGGTAGGTGGGACTGCAGGACAGGGGAGTGGAAGGCGAGGCCGCGAGTGTCCAGCTCGCGCACAAACACACCCTCCGCCTTCAGCTGCTCCAGCAGCGGCTTCAGGTCTCCCTCCGGACCTGCACACAGACACAGCATGAAGACGGTCAGCATATATGTGTGCTTGACTCTGCGTGACAAACTTGGAACATGGGAAGACACCTGAAAAAAGGGTACAGATGACGGTGCTGACAGCACTTTGATGCGTGATGCCCCAGATGAAGGAGAGCAACCTCTGAAGAGAATCTCCCCACAATGCAGGGACATCAAAAAGCAGGGGACCGTCATGTGCTCCTTTTGCACGACTCAGCTGGAATACGCCTATAACCCCAACAACGGGGAGGGAATGCACACCTGAGAGGGTGGTGGAGGTGGGGGAGTTGTCGCAGCCGACGACGCAAGAAGCCTTGCCGTGCTTGACCAGGCGTGCCTCAGCCTCGTCAGCGCCGAGGCCCACGGCAGCCATGAGGCCGCCACTGATGCCGTGCTCGGGGCACATGCGGCCACGGTGGTACGCCACCAGCACGGTCTGCTCGCGCGTGAAGCAGCCGTCGCCGTAGCCGCACGCGATCTCGCCGGCAGAGTGGCCCAGCACGCCGCCGGGTGTGATGCCGTACTCCTCACGGAGCACATCCACCAGCCCAATCTGCGCAATGCAAACCCCTTCAATTTCTTTGCACACCACAGCTTTGCATGTCAATTTAATAGGCTGTCCCATGGTCATCTGGTGCCTTCCGGTCCAGAGGAGGCATTCTCTCCCTTCTGCTCTTCTGTGTCGAATAACCTAGAGAATCCTAGCTGGCTTTTTGAGAGCACCAAACATTTGACATAGGATGAGGATACAGAATGATGGGTCACCTGGACGGATGCAAGGCCAACGGCGGCCAGGCGGGCCTCGCTAAAGCCGTCCTCCTTCTCAAAGGCCTCCAGCAGGTCGAGGCCCAGAGGGGTGAGCACGGAGGCACAAATCTTGATGCTCTCGCGGAACGTGGCGTTCTGCTCGATCAGCTCCCTGCCCATCTTGGGCCACTGGCTGCCATTGCCTGTGCCAAACCACCAGTAATTGTCATACCCAAGCTGCTCCTGCACCATGAGCTCTATTGCGACCCACAAACATGCAACTTGTAAGCAGAATTGTTGCCGGGAAATTGGACTGTGTCATGCTGCAAGAATACAGGCAAAAGAAGAGGCTCGGGAGGCAGTCAAGTTGTGACTGCTGTGCATAAGACCTGAGAGCGCGCACCAGTAAAGACAAACCACACGGGGGGCGATGTGGTGGGCGCCTGCGCGGAGCGCAGCTCGCCGTCGATGAGGGTGCCACGCGTTGACAGGCGCGCAACGTTCCCTCCCACGCTGTTGGCCAGGCGCCGCAGCGGGTCCAGCACTGACTTTTCACCACCTGCGCTCAAAATTGCCAATAATCATCAGTAAAATTAGCTCAAAGGATCGCCCTGGCACAGGCTGGCAGGGCCGGTTCAAACACTGAGCAGTGTGCCCAGTGGTTGATTGGGTCTTGCTTGGCTCTGGCGAATCCAACAAGGAGTAGGATTTTGGCAGCCTTTACTTGCAGCTTGTCTGCAGACGCACCTTGCCTCTGGCAAAAAAAGCGTATAAAAATAATAAGATAAACCCTCAAAGGATCTGTTATATAGCACCTCCCTTGTGTCCCAGTGTCACTCACCACTGCTGCAGTGTTAACACTAGTGTGCTCTAACACAATTCACGGCAGTTTGTGCAGCTGCCACAGCTAGGAAGACATAGCATTTGTTTGCACAGAAGTCCGAGTCAAGCATGCACACCTGGCAGGCCCTGCAGGACCTTGACCAGGTCGGCCATGCCCTCCTTGGTGCGGGAGGCCAGGGGGATGATCGCGGGAGTGGCTCCGCTCTTAGCGTCAGCCTCCTCAGCGCCCTCCTCATTAATTGGTGACACTGCCTCGTGCGTGTCGCCAGGGCTCAGCAGAAGGTGGACGTTGGAGCCTGCCATCAGCGACAAAAATCTCAGCATCTCGCATTCTGATCGGTCATATCATGTACTAGCAACACGGCGCTTGTACAACGCTTTAAGAGCCCAAGATAAGCTCCCAGATGCCCATTTTCAAGCTGCAGCGGTGTGCATGCAGGTGCGAAGCCATCCACAGGATGAAGGACAGGCATGAGGAAGAGGAACGCACCACCAAAGCCAAAGTTGGAGAGAGCGGTGATGCCCTTGAACTTGGTGGGCTCTGTGACGACCTTGAGGATTCCATCCTTGAGGCCGGCGTTGTTGGGGTTGGGCTCCTTGAAGTGCAGGTTGCCAGGCAGCGTCTTGTGCTCGTATGACAGCAGCACCTTGATCAGCGCTGCACCAAGAATATGCCATTGTCAGAATTTCTTTCGACCCCAATCGCTCACATGCGTGTCTGAACAATAGCTGTAAAATTCCTAATAATTCCATCTGCACGGATCATTGGCAACCTATAGAGCACAGCTGGCGACATGAATAATCCTGAAACTGACAGACTGGGCACTCTGCAAATATGGAGAAGAAGCAGGGCAAGTGCGCACACACCTGCCAGGCCGGAGCAGCCCTCGCAGTGGCCCATATTGGACTTGACGGAGCCGATGAGGAGGGGGTTCTCAGCGGTCCGGCCCCCGGTGCGGCCGTACCACTCCTCTAGCGCGCCCAGCTCCTGGCCGTCACCGGCCACTGTACCGGTGCCGTGCGCCTCAATGTAGTCCACCGCTGACGGCTCCAGGCCAGCCTTAGCGCACACCTGTATGCATGCACACACATGCTCAGCATCCACACACCATTGCCAGTGAATATGTTGTATTTGAGGGTGGCAAGCTCATCCTGCATCTCTTGAATGCTAACAATCAATGCAATAATATTCAGGGATTGGCCATCCCCAAAGGTGTAATGGTGCATGCCATGGATGAGCACGTCCGAGGCTCCCTTGGTCCACAATGTCTTGTGTATCGCAGGATGATGTTCCTGACTAGGAGGGAATAATAAGGGAAAAGACATGGGGAGCGGGCAGCACCTCCTGGGCAAGGGCCTTCTGGGCAGGGCCGGAGGGGAAGGTGATGCCCTCCTTGGTGTGACCGTCGTTGTTGGTGGCGCAGGCCAGCACGCGCGCATATGGGTGGCGCGAGGCCCAGACGGGGATATCTGACAGGCCCGTCCGCCGCAGCACCACGATGGCAATACCATCAGAGCGCGCGTAGCCGTTGGCCGACGCATCGAAGGATTTGCACGTGCCCTGCGCAGGACAATGCTCTTAGCACCAGCGCACAATATTTGCCGGGCACATTGCAGCAAAGACGTTGGCCTGTTCAGCAAGGTACTAAGCAGGAAAGGAGATGCAGCAATGTGAAATGAAGAAAGATAGCTCACATCTGGAGACATCATGTGGAGTCTTTGGAAGGCGATGGATGTCTGCGGCCGGAAGATTCCAGAGGCACCACCGACGATGGCATAGTCGATGCGGCCGCTGTCAAGATCGGAGATGGCATCGTTGAAAGCCATCAAAGAAGAGGAGCAAGCTGCGCAGAGAGAGGCATGCTTCTGTCAGAGATTGCGCTGAAGTCATGTCATGCACATTTACTGACAACACGACACCAGACATGCGAGAGACATCTGTACACATTTTGACTCCTGTGGTGACATGCACATCCATCACACCATCTTTTGACCAGACAGGCAGCCAACTACTGTCTGAATCAGATTATGCAACAAGAAGGCCAGGGTAAAAAAGCCACATGGAGCACCCACCTGTGTCGATGCACTTGCTGGGGCCGCGGAAGTCAAACCACCAGGACAGGCGGTTGGCAAACATGGACTGTGCGCAGCCTGACTGCTCGTAGCCCGTGATGCTGTCGATGTCTCCCAGCCATTGGGCGTGAGTCTCTGACCCACAGGCGCCCACATACACTCCCACCTTCTCGCTGCCTCTCAGGGCGCTGAAATCCACACCGGCGTCCACCCAGGCCTCATAGGCAACCTCCAGCAGCTTCCGTAGCTGTGGGTCCATTTTCTGTGGACAGCACGATCATATCAGCCAAGCTCTGCTGCAGACAGATGGGAACTGCCATTCAAAAGTTCAGGGAGTAGCAGGCACCACCATGAGGAGATGTGGACCAAGTATTTATACACATTAGCAATGACATCGGCGATGTCTTCTTCCTGTCAGTTCCTTGCACCGCATCGGTGCTGTTCCATAAAACAAGGCTGTCATGTGGGCACAGTATATTCAAACTTGCAAGTCCTGAAAATGCTATAAACATGCAGCCTAAAGGCAATCAAGCTATTCAATAAACTGAAAAGTAACAAGAAGATAGTATCTGGATCGTGCAATTCACCCATGCTCCATAAATCAGTGGTCCCTGGACTGGGGTGCATCCTTTCCTGGCCGATTTGAAACTGCTTCCCTTGGTCCGAAGACCAGATCGACCCTGCATTATATTTACCACTTCTGCCGTAATGTATTATATGTGACTGAATTGCCCACGAACCTGCGCCTGCTTGCCGTGGACTGAGAAGAATGCCGCGTCGAATTTGTCAAAGCCTGGAGCCTTTCCAGACCTGGGCGGCAGACCCTGGAACCCGACTGGCCATCTCCTGTCGTCACAGGTGAGCATGTCCGTCCCGTCCATGAGGTTGCTCCAGAATTCCGCTGGCCCATTTGACTCGGGAAAGCGGCATGACAGGCCGATGATATCAGCCATGGTGCCTGCCGCTACTCCCCTGCATGTACCGAAAATCTGAGCATCCATCCCTCTCCTTTGGTAGCTGGCAGATGCACTTATGGCTTCAGGGTACGCTGCCCAGGAGGTCTTTTTTGTTGAAGTACGTCTCAGGTCTCAGCTTGAGCGCCAGGGCTAGCGTGCGTCACAAACAAAAATTGTCTGCTGCGTGCTCGGCAGCTACTGCTGATATGTATTAATAAGTTCTGCGGCAAATTTTGCTGCAGATCCAACCTGAGGGCAGTAAAAAAGCCTCAAGGCGGCCGAAGATAGTTTGAATCGATGTCCGCCCGACAGCGCACGCCCAGACGCCCTCTTCCTCTCTCGCCGTGTCTTACGATCACTAGGTACCCACTTTTGTAACTCTCGTTCTATAGGATGGCCGCGCAGCTGGGTGCGCCCCGAAAAGGTGCAATTCGCTGAAGCACCAAGTCAAAAATTTGCTAGAGCTGGGGCTGGGGTGTTTAAAGTGAGGGTTTCAATCCTGTGACTCACGCGTTCCATATAAAACCCCCAAAACCTATCTCAGTCTAAACTTTATCCACAGATACTCTTGGTGGTGTGGCAAGCATGCTGATAATCCCTTCTTCTGGGTCCACTGCAGGCGCGGCTGACCAGCAAGCAAGCACATGCACAGCATGATCGATCACTGCCAGTGTGGCACACACCTGCCCGCTGCAGGGGCTGTAATCATGATCATCATGCTGATCACACTGGATGAGCCCAGGGAGTGGCTACTGGCCGGCTTCATAGCAACAATGAGCCTCCTGATTGGCGCGCAAAAGTGCAGTCCGCACCTGCCGCATTACGTCCATGGTATGGGTATGCAACAAAAGCAGCAAGTTGCAGCAACTTTGTTTCAAAACTTCAGGCCTGCACACCTGCAGCTGCGGCAGCCAGCGCTTTTACAAATCACTAGTTGCCAGTGGCGGCTCAGCTCAGCAGGCTGCTCTGCCACCGTCTACTTTATCTGATTGCCAGATCCTTTTACCAAAAGTTTCCTGCGAATCCTTTCTTCCAATTTGCAGTGTGGCTCAGAATGATTTCAACAAGGAACACGACAAAAACATATCACACCAGCGCTGCTCATCCTCATTTATAGCATCTATATACACAGCACATATCCAAATAAGACTCATTCAGCAGTGACACAAAACATCCACTTCTGGTTGCGTTGATAAACTGATAGCTGCATATATCTTTTATACAAAGGACACTGGCAGATACTCCAGGAGAGGCTTGATGCCCCCTGGCCGCTCCGCTGCAGCATGTAGCATCAGCATCCATTAGAGCGCCACCCAACACCTCCTTTTGAAGGCTGCAGCAGCTAGGCACTGCGCGCCGCCCTCATTGAGCTGCCTGGGAGACGTCCTTGGAGGAAAGGTCCAGCACCTTGCCGGTGATGCGCGTGTACATCTCCAGAATGTCCTCCACGGTCGTCTCAAAGTGGGAGGTGGCATCGTACCTGCATCACATGGCAGCAGTTCTCATCATGCCTCCCCATGCACAGGGACCAACAAGCACGATCAGCACTTAACGGTACCTTGGGCTGGCATATACATGACCAAAGGCCATGAGTAGTAAGAATAGCAGGTAGGTATTGCCACGCAGAGCTTGGGCAAGCAGCTCACCCCTTGGAGATGAAGCACTTGTCTCGCTGACCGCTCTCGAGCGGCTCGTAGACATCCACAACGTCCACAAACTTCTCATCAAAGGGTCCCAGCAGTGCCAGCCCTGCACAGAGATTAAATAACTCTCATGAATACTGTAGGCAGCAGAGACCATTCCCATGCTGGATCATACTGCGCACTCAAAGGTTGCTGCCAATGTGACTGATGTCGTCAAGATATTGGGGGGGGGAAACACACCGGGCGCCAGCTCTGCTTCGGGATTGCTGGTCTCCACTGTGGTGCTGACAAAGGCGAGCCACTTGTCCTTGGGCACTACGTTGTGGGAGGCAGAGCAGGAGAAGACATAGATGTCCGACCTTCTGTTCACCTGCAGAACAACAGCAGACGCCTTCACACCCTGCCTTCTGGCTAAAAGCGCACAGACTTCCATGCCAGAGATGTGCCACCGGAATCGCCTCAAAACTAGAGATAGGTTTGTACCTGCTTCTGTGGGAGGATGATCTGGGCAGATGCTGAGTTGTTGGTGTTCGGTATCGGGTGACTCAATATGCATGCTGCCCTCACAACCTGCAGGGACAACCAATTGGTTTAAGTCAGCTGCACTAAGATAGTCAATACCAACACATATATCGATCCTGTCCAGGCAGCCTATCAAACAAATGGTCTGCCCCACCTCACAAAGCAGACATACAATATTCTTAGACAGCTTTTCAGTGAAGCCCACTCACCCTGCTGGTTTTGCTGACTTTGTCAGGAAAGTAGCTCGGGTCGCCGACCACCAGCTTTGCCTTTGCTGTCTCGCCATCTGCCGTCACACCCACTGCCACACCGTTCTCATAAGCCACCTGCGCGTCTGGCTTCGACAGCATGTATGTGCCGCCATACACCGCACTCAGCCGCGCAAACGCCTGCGCAGCACCAACCCATGTTCTTGCAACAAGCAACTAACCAACCAATCTACCCGGCACAGCATGGCGAGAGCACGGCGCGCTTTCAGCACAGTTGATAGCCATGCAGAAGCCAATCTCGGCCAATGCAGGCACCACATGAGGCCTCGTGTGCTGAGTGGATTACAGCGGTGCATGGATCACACAAGGCGGACTGCAAATACCTGTGGGAGCTCGCCAAGGCCGTAGAGAGGGTAGATGTAGGGACTGCTGGTGCCCTCAAAGCGCATCAGGCTGTCATAGTAGAGCCTGATCTTCTTCACAGTTGCCAAGGCTGGCTCCCCCATATATGCATCATCTCTGCATGGCCCACAAGACTCCTTCAGGTCTGAAACTCAGCAATACACTCATCCAAGGAAACAAGAGAGCATAACTCCCAGTGAGTGCAGTCTTAATCTGGGGCTTCTAGACCCAGAAGGGATGATGCACAGTGACCCTGGACCCCTCAGTGTTCTCATGACCGTTGCTGCTCACCTGTGAAGGGCAATGGCATGTCCAATGAAATCAACGGTCATGGGATCCAAGCCATATTCCTTGTACAGGGCTGCCATGGGCATTCGCCGTAAGTCATACCCCTTCTGGGTCTTGGGATTGCTTTCATCGTACTCCTGCACGAACCTGCTCCCACACAGTCACAGCTCAGCATGCACTGTGTGCAGAGAGGTGCAGTCAATTTGCTCGAAACAGTGATCATTTGGAAGGAGATGCATTTTTCCCGGACGTACAGGAGGAAGTTGCGTAGCCGCCTCTTCTCGAAGAGACCGAGCAGCGGTGAGCGCAAGGCCTCGTAGTCTGTAGCAGGAACCTTCTCCACACGGCCCTTGTTCTGGACAAAGCTGCCATCCACGCCCTTGAACTCCAGGTACTTGGTCACGTCCGTGTGCACCAGCACTCGCACCTACAGAGAGACGCATGCCATTTCATTTCTTCTGTGCTGGCAAACAAGCCGGCAAACCAGTCTTGTCAACTTCAGCTAGGCCCCAGTATTCAGAAGTCCAGGAAGGGCGACACAGGAGGAGGGGTTACACACCAATTCGCCACTATTCATGATAAACTTGGGCACCATGTCCACGTTGTAGTCACGTGATGGACCAAGCGACTTGGGAGGCTGCTGACCAGGTCTAAACCGTTCGAAGAGCTGCTCAACAGACACAGATCCTTAGTTCAAGTCGACCTGTGGGCTACCATACTGTTGCAGCAGAATAGCACCCAATGGCTATCTTTGTTGTTGTCTATCAATAAAGAAATTCAACTTGACAGGACAATGGGAAAGACAGCATATCAAGCGTACGGGTACCCACAAAAATAGTACCTGTTGTAGGCTCAAGGACGCTGACTCCCCTCCATAATAGTTGTTGCGGTCAATGTGGAGCACCTACAGAATCACAATCATATCAAGAAAAGCACCAAGCCATTGATTAAATGAGCGCATCAAAACCGGAGAACGAACCTTCAGACCATCCACAGAAAGCAATCCGCTCAGAACGCATTCCTTCAGGCCTGTGCCCAAAACAATAGCGTCGTAAGATTCGTCCATACTGTTTTTTTACAAGTGCTCCCCTTGGACAGTTTCAAAAAAGCTGACCTCTAGTTATTGTGAAAAGAGAGAGGAAATTCTGTGCTGGAATGGCCAGGAGATATTCTCATAACCACTGGATGACTCTCAATTGATCGAGATCTTTCCTTCGTTTTCACCTTTTTCCTGTCTCCAATGGTGTTTATTCTTTGACGATATTCAGCACTTATTTTAGAAGCCGATCCTTGATCCTTGCTATATCCTGATAATTGGCTGATTCTGATGGAACTCAACGGCTAGTTGTTGATTTCTCTGCCCACATCTTCTGAATTTGCTCCAAGTTGGCTTTCAGTGATAACACATTATATCCTGCAGGAATGCTGACCCGAGTTGAGGCCGCAAACTTCTCGTTCTTACGCTCGATTGGCGCATTTAAGAGATGCGTGGCTTTGATAAAACCCTCCAGGGTGCATCTCATCCACAAGAAAACATTTGTGGCTGCATTTGGGGGCAATCGTAAGGAACAGAGCGTTTTTCAAGGATATGTCCAGCCAACAGCTCCGCCAAACCCTCTTGCCCACTCTCCATGGTATTTCAAAGTACCTATGGTGCTGATTGCGGTTTCACTGACTCTTAGACTCTTTAAGCGACTTACGCGTCCTGGGTAAGTTTACCGCCTTCTGCTGTATCCTCCTACGGGGCTTTCTGTCTGAGTCAGCGCTTGATCAGAAGTTTCACTCTGGTTCTGCTAAGCTGCACTGTGGATCCATGAGCAACTGTCATTCATGCAGATTTGGAACAAAGTTTAATATCAACACACTCAAATGACTATCCTTGTCCTGTGATTGCTTTGAGCAGCTCCTTGGATAGCTTGGAGGGACGAGGACTCATCAATGAGGAGCGGAACGTATCCAACAGTGATCCATTCTACGACAGTGCGTCGCTGTTGCTTTATTGCTGATACAATACCAGACTGCATTACAATCGCTGCGTGAGCTGTGTTCAGGCAGCAAGTCTGATGGCTGTGCAAAAAGGACGAGACCTTTCACTGCATCTGCAGATGTGATGAAAAATGTTCGCACTGTGCAAATTGAGGAGCTGAGCAAGGAGCAGATTGAAGCGGCTCGTCTCCGACGACGCCGAGACAGGTATATCCTTGGATGTGACTCAAATATAAACCGACTTCTTCTAAGCAAGCAAATTGTGACATCCTTAAGATTTGCATTATTTTATATGCATCCCGGAGCTGTATTGTTTGCCATTGGCGCAGGGATGTGGGAAGTCTGGATCTGGAGGAGGTTGAGTTGCCAGAAAACCATCCATTCGCTGTGAAGAAGAAGGTGTGTTTATCTCAATAAAGTCACCAGGTGGCATGCCCATTCAAAGACTGCCAATTTTGCAGTCTTATCCACCTTCTGGTCACTCCAAGCCCCTCACTGCAGTTGCTTCAAGAGCATTCCTCTGCTTTTGGGTATCATGGATGTTTCTGTTTGCCAGGTTAATTACAAGGGTGTTTGGGCTTTATTTCAGGTGAGCAAGGATGAGGAGGAGCTGCAGAATGCAAGGCTGAAAGTGACGCGCGGTCTGCCCCTGCAAGACCTGTCAGGCAGTCGCGGGTTCCCAGACTCCGAACCACAGCCTCAGCCACAGCCACAAAGATCACGGCGCCAACAGCGGGACAAGTAGGAGGCCCACAGAAGATAGCAAAACCCATGCCATTTGCTGCAGCCAACCTCTGTAGTCAAGCTCCGCTAGCCGCAGCTAAAAATGCATAACACAGATACTGCATGGGGCCGGCCTCAGAGACTTGTGGGACAGCCTCATTGGACGCGAGCGATCATCAATGAATGATATATTGCCCAAGCATTTCTTAGAATGCAGTTCTGCCTAGTTGAAGGTTGGCAGAGGTGAATGCAACCGGCGAATTCACCACTTGTGCACGCCTTGCAAGTAGATGGCTTGTCATAGGTTACTTTATTTCATGCTATTTGGATGACGCTGATTCCCCTGATTTGAGAGTTGGCTTTGGACAACTGACTCCTTGCGGCCTGCAGCTAGCTGGCTTGCAGTGCACTCCCATTTCATTTGAAGCAGCCCCTTTTGAGCACGATGATCCTTGCGGAAAAGCAGAGAAAAGGCTGACTCATTTTATGTGCCCTCTTTACGTTTGACTGTACACATGTGTTGCAATGCACGCATTGATCAACCGAAATGACAGGAAGTGCATTTTGATTCCAAGACCATTGTGCCACATATGAATATGTCTGGATAAGCACAGATGTAAACAGTTCCACATCGCATCTCAGTCCCTCTCTCGGTATGTGCAGTGTACTGCATCCTAAAGCACGCCTAGGTCTAACATAATGCAAGTCTTGTGTGCGTGTGGCCTTAATGTAGATACTTTGCAGATCTGATCTTTATATCATATATGGAGATCAGTAAATTACATTGAATGCCACACATACAATTATACACCATGGTACAGGACAGTTGGCGCCTAAGTACAGAAATTGCTGGGTCCGGTAGTCATGAAGGCTCGTACAAGCCGATAACATTGCAGGTCAACCTGTTCTGTTATGCGACAAGATCCTCCCAGACCCAGATCGTGTGCAGAAAAGCAATGGCCATCGCTCCATGATCAGTCCAGCTCAAACAGCACAGAGTCCTCGGGCGTGGCATCCTTGCCCGAATCCACAGCCGGCAGTAGAGGCCCACCACCGCTCATCAGACCTTGCTGCAGACACCTGTCAGGATCTCCTTCATGATCCCTGCACAGGCCACACACAATGATTCCAAAATCAAGAATCCCTATTTTCACTGAATGTTTGCGTCTCTTTGCCACAATCCTGTGTGCGAGCTAGAGTGAGAATCTTGGCTAAGCTGACCTGCAGGTGCTGCCGTCCTCGCAAGATTCGTGCGAGGCACGTTCGGCGTGGTGCACATGCACAGCAGTGTCAGGTTGCTGCCGCTCAGTATTATCATTAGCAATTATTCTGATGGGCTGCTCCGCTCTCCTTCGCTCCCCTGCAACCAGCAGGCACTCTGCTAAAATCCCCTTCTGCTCATTATTGTATGGATAAGAAATGCATGCTCTCACATGGCAGGGGGCAATTTCTGCAAGATGTGCCTTTGTGACAAATCACAGCAGTTTAGTGTGTTAGCAGGAGACAGACCTTGCATGTCTTTCCCAATGCCACCTATGGGGATCGATGCAGAGGCGGCCATTGGCAGATTGTCTGCCTGACCCATAAAGCTAAAAGGGTGCCCACTGGTGACACATTCCACACTGGTATCGGCTTTGATTGAAACAAACACATCCCCTGCACAACTAGACACATTTTGATCAGCCAAAGAGCACGCATGAGCAACAATTCCCCCGCCCCTTTATCAATCATGGGCTGTCGGTGCACAGACCCATGGCAAATTCCAATCATAGATGTCAAGGGTAGACTTCAATAATCACGTCCTCGGCATGCAAGGAATGCATGCCGCACCCTTGGACTCGTCCTCTGAGCGCTGCATGGCTCTGCGGAAGGCGTTGCGAGCGCCGATCTGGGGCGGATCAGTCATCAGCGCCTGCAGCCTGGCTGCCACGTCGCTCGCATCGCCAGAATTGGCGCCTGTCTCAGCTGCCTGATCTGGGCTGTCGGATGTGCTCATCTGGGCAGGAACAGAGTCTGGCTGCTGCAGCCAGAAGAACCAGCGCTCCACCTGGTGCCCGTCTGGCATCAGGCCAATTATCCCTGTCAAGACATACACATTTAGATCAATTTTGTGCTCAGAAGACCATGAGGATCATCCTCACTTTCCCTGTTGTATTCTGCACCTTGCGCTCATTGCCGATCTGCACCGCAAACAGGATCCCTTATTGATTGATACATATGCAAAGATGTGGAAGGAAGCCTCGCACCACCGACAAGCCAGGTGATGAAAGAAGCATTGAGCAAGGAAAACAAGGACAAGCCCAAGCACGTCAGGATGGGCCAGCCTCCTTTCTCGTTGGGACACATGTACACAGCTGACGGAATGTGACGCAGCGCCACCTTCGTTGTGGCCGTGGTGCCTGGACTTTTGCGCGGACAGGCGCTGCTCCACGACCAGCACACGTCCCCCATGGGCAGATGATAGCGCCACCGCTTGCGGGTCCAGGCTGATGGCCAGCTCAGCACCCGGCAGCGCAGCTTGCGAGCCAGACTGGTAGGGGAATCCCAGGGGCTGTGGTGCAGAGGGTGCGGGACGCTCCCACAGAGAGGGGTACGCTGTGCTCCTTGAAGAGGCCCCAGAACCTGGCGCGCCCTGCCCTGCCGGCTCGTGCGTCCACACCAGCTTCAGCTTGTGGCGGTCGTCCACAGAGAGCAACTGCGCAGCAGCCGCAAACACCCATGAATGCCAGATCAGTCACTCCAATCACCCAAACCTCCTGCTGCTACAGAATCCCTCTCGGAGGATGGCCTCGTCAAGGAGGACTTTTTCAACGGCTCTGCTGCAAACTCAAAGGACGTGAACGCTATCTAATTACTTCACTCGCCTGACGATCTGCACCAGGGGAGATTGCATTTGGCGAGGTGCACAGAGTGGAGGGGTCACGACGCACCAGCAAGAGCTTGCCCATGCGCGCATCGGGCTCCAGGCGCACCGGCCTGCTGCTGGCCCTGGCCCGGGCTGCCCGCTCCCTGGGGCTGCTGCCCTGGCCGGGCAGCTGGCCCCTGCCAGGCGATTGCCCCTTCCTCGATGCAGTTCTGGGCCGCGGCGGTGTGTGGCTTGCCACCCGCGGGGCAGCGGCCTTCCTTGCATGGATCACAGGCACCTCAAAGGGGCTGCTGATGGGCGCAGCCACCGGGATGACGCTCGCAGTGGGGGACGGGGAGGGGATGCCCCAGGGCTGCCAGCACTGCTCAGCAAATGTGGACGGCGCTGCGAACTGCGCCGCCGTCAGGGTGTCTAGAATAGAACCGTTGCTCGCATCCAGACGCTGTGATGAGGATGAACCCTGGTTGGGGCCCAACATCCTTCCCGCCGGCACCTCCTGCAGCATGCATGCAGCACAATGTTCAATTCCAACTGCCAACTCAAAGCCGACTAACTCTGCTCTTAGGAGTCGCTGTCTGGTTTACCTATGTGAGCTACCTTTCGCATTTGATGAGTCTTCAAGGCATTCCCACATGTCGAGCGTGATGAAGATCAATTAGCATCAAACGGCATGAAAATGAAGTATGGGCTCGCACAGAGAGTAATGCAATTCATCAGACCCTGAGGCAAGGACTTTGACCTCTTTATGGGGGTGATCTATTCCCCAACATTCAAAACCCAAGGTGCATTTTGACAAATAAATAACGTCCGGGGCCGCACTATGAGCACTTGCCACTGGGGCACGTCGAGGCGGAGGACTTGGACGCGGCAGGGCGCTGACTGCTGCTGCTGCTGCTGCAGGGCGGCGGCCGCGCGTTGGGGGAGGTTGGCGTAGTTGGGTAGCCAGGGACGCGAAAAGCCGTCGGAGGAGAGGTGGTGCAGCAGGTCCAGCGACTCGTTGCGGCACAGCGCCGGCGTCAGCACCCCAGACCGCCGCGCCAGCAGTGCACGGCCGCGGTGCCACTGCGCGCACAGCACTGTCACTGTCACTGTCACTGTCACTGTCACTGTCACTGTCACATGCCACACCAGCAGCAAGCTGCCTCTGTGCCATCGCACGCACGCAATACGCAAGGATGAGAGGTGTATTATGAATAGTTGCCTGACAAAGTGCGGCCACTGTGCCACTCGCGCACATCACTAGCACTGTCACTATTACCCCTGTATAGACGTCATTGCAGGCAATCTAAAGGATCACGTACGCACACATGAAGCCCGCCTCAACCCCTTGTGTGTGGCTAATGAGGCAGATTTTGGACTTGATCCAGAAAGCAGCTGCACTGAAAACCCATGGCCTGCTCTCTGATGATGATGAAAGCAAGTGTCACTTGGCGCTTTGCACATGTGCTGTACCTAGCTCCTACAGATCAAAGGGGGCCGTTGTTACCTGCTGCTGCTCCTGCTGCCACAGGTGGGTGGTGTTGGCAGCGGGGGCTGGCGTGGGGGATGCAAGGCTTAGGACTTCTGCAGCAGGAGGCTGATCAGAATTTGGGCTGCCTCCGGGGATCAGAGTGTGTGCCTCAGCCTCGGCAGGAGGACCGGACTCCTGGTGGTTGGAAGGTGTTTCAGACGCTTCAAGCATCTCCATGAACGGTTCCAGCTGCTGCCAGACCTCCATGCCCTCCTGAGGGGGCTGGATGAACAGCAGGCGGCTGGCCCTTCCTGCCCTCGTCTCCGCTGCTTCTGGTTCCTGCCACCTGATCAACGCGCTTCCATTCGCGCAAGAAGCGTGACCGCATGCCTCCAGCCCTCCTGACGGTGACTGAGCGCTGTCTGCTGCAGCACTGACGCTGCTGGACTGCCTCCCTGAGTCTGCTGCCGGTGCACTGCCTTTGGGTGCCAAAGATTCACTTATTGCCAAACCGGCTGCGTCACCATTCAAGCAGTCCACCAGGAACTGCAGCGCCTGCATTGTGCTGCTGCCCACCTCGGCCGCTGGCGCCAGCATGACAACGTCGAGGCGGGTCCCCTCGAGTCTGCTGGCCAGGCCTGGGACATCCCCTTGGCTGAATCCACAAGGCCCTGCCACGAAGGCAATGATGTGGGCCGACGCATGCCGCTTGGCAACCAGCTGCAAAGACAGCACAAGAGAAAGATCAGCACACTGTCGCATCAAAGGAGGCATCAAATTGCTGCGCAGTCTGCAGGAACACAGAGATTCCGTGCATCAAGGGCATCCTAGGTCGTGCATTTACAGTAATAGTAAACCACAGCTCACTCTTTAGAAGAGCAAGGGAACAGGGCAACAGGATTTTCATCAGGGGAAGCAAAAGTGGAGAGAGAAGACTCACCGCTGCCAGGCGCAAGGCGCTTGAGTACTGGCTCTTCTGGCCTTCTGCCATTTGCAGGCTGAATAAAGATGCCTGAGCCACGTCACAGCCTTGGAGGTCACTTGGAGGGTGATGCAGCTTTGCATCCCCTGCCGCGATGATGCACATGCGGCCCTTGCTAGCCCTTGTCTGTCTGGTTGTTATGTGGGCTTCGTCAGTCCTGTTGCCATTTTGTAGGGCATAGTGCGCGCACAATGAATTCGTCGCCTGGCGCTGATACCACCAACGTGAGCCTGGGAAGTCCTCGCTCAGGAACGCAGACTCCGAATTGTCGACACTGCACATTCAGGATCAAGTACTAAGAGACTCATGCAGAAAACAGGGAAAGTTGCGGTATGGAGGACGACTTGGGAAGACCTGTCCAATAAACATCAACAAGCAGAGTTGACCAAAAGGACTCCAACACAACAAGAACAGAAACACCCAAAAAGGCTGCTTCACCCCATTGATTCAAGTGGGCTCCAAAGTATTTGTATTAACTGCAACGAGGCAAAGTGAGGAAAGACGAGGAAGCTGACAAAAACAGCACCAATTGGACAGTCCAGTCTCCTGTGCCTGTGCACCCTCTGCTGAGAACCAGGAGTGACACCGAGAGATCCTTCCGCGTTGCAAGAGCTTTGTGGCTTCTCTTTGATAGCCATGCTCGTTTTCATTCATTAGCAGCATCAAGGTTTGGAATTATCAGACTCGCGTGTCTACAGGGAAGGGCCAGAAGAGAATTACCAGAATAATGTGCAGTCCCCGCTCATTTTACCTGCTTATCCAACAAGGCCCTGAAGCCCACTACACGTTGCAAAGCCTCTCTTCCAGGAGAGGGATTATTCTTATTGCCTGCACTCAGTACGACTGCGCGCTGCAGGCGCAACGAATTTGCTTCCTGCAAGACATCCGAAAGCACTCATCAACAACACAGAGCTTAAGCAGACACACAGACAGCAGACAGGCAGTCGGGCAATTTCTGGGTCCCCAGGGGGGCTCCCCAAGTCGCACATGACAGTGGACCGGAACCTGCACCAGTCACGCGCCACGTGGGACCCGATTTCGCAAATTACTCCCATGCCCACCAGGACAAAATGTTTTGCTTCTGGACATGCAGTGCAGGCACAACCACTGCTAGACACTGTGTGCCGCTCCGAGCGCGAATCATGTGTACAGCAACGCATATGCGCAGTAGCCTGCCGTCGGCCACTGCGCAGTCAAGGTCGCAGCCTGCACTGATGTACATGTCATATCATGTCACGATGACGCCAGGTCATCGGATGCGATCATGCCTACAGTGGCCGCCTTTCAAAAGGCTTCCCATGGGCTGGCCACTGGCAGTAGCGTACTTCAGCATGCCTTATAAGCCCGTTACCGGCCGCGGCGGTAATTTATCACAACTTGCTTGAAGCTCAGGCAAATTGCAACTGGCAGTTGAAATGCGGCATACAGAACAAGAACTGCTGACACTGCATGGCATGAAGCTTGAGGGGCACATCTAGATCTAGCGTAGTATCAGATTCTCTACAGTAAATAGGTAAAACGTTCATTGCATTGATTCAACAATTTTCCAAAGTTGGCTCCCAGATCTGTTTGTAGACCTTGAGCATTCATAGTGGCACACGCACAGTGTGCCTAGTTCGATGCTGGTTACCATAGTGTACAAAGCAACAGAACAAGGCTGGTCTTTTCGTGAACTGCACTGTCTAAACACTTTGGCCAGCTGCTTTTATACCCTCCAAGCAATGTGACTACCTGTACATAAAAACATGCCTGCACTATGTATACTACGCATAGTATGTGCCCTATACTGAAGACTTGAAAGACTCTCGACCAAGCTCGATTCCATGTTTACTCTTCTTTCGCAGTCGAAGCACTGCCTCTTGGGAGCAGCCTGCAATCACACCCTTCCACCTCAAAAAATGTGCACACTAATGTAGCGTGTATGCATGCAAATTGGATTCACACCTCTGCAATTGACCAGTTGTAAATGAGCCAAAGCATGCATCAATGATATGTCAGGGATGGATGCCGAGAACGGTGGTTTGAGCATACTTGTTTAGTCCAAACCGCCGCGTGATCTCCTTGTCCACAAGATGCTTTGGGAAGAACGTGGGAGCAAACCAGTTGAGCCACCAGTTGGGCGTGATCACATAGTGCACTGCTGGGCTGCTTGTGTTGAGGACCTGCATTGGGAAGCACAAAATTTGACAGCTGCATGTATAGCATGGTTCAGGAAGCTTGAAAGAAGATGTGCAGGATTCAGAGAAGTGTTGAAACACAAGTACCCACCTTCCAGACCTTCTCGCCAACAGTTGCGGCTGGCAGGAACCAGCCGGGCTTCTTTGTCTCAGTCTGTGTCAGCGCATGTGCCCTCTCCAAAAAGGTGTTGAATGGGCTCTTTGTGTTGCCAGTGCCCTCAGAATTCTCCACTACATCTCCCCATATCTCCGTCTCAATTGGGCCTGCAGTAACATGCCATGAACAGATGCATTACATCGAAGGTGCGCATACAGATCTTCCTGACTGACACACAACCATTGAGTTAAGAATTCCATTCCCAAATCTGCTGATGATGGCTGCAAAATATGGTGCTGTCATATTTCAGACAGCAGTGCGTGTCACCTGGTGCAATGATGACAACATCAATGCCGAACGGTTTCAACTCGCGGCGAAGACCCTCTGAAATGGCATTCAGGCCTGCCTTGCTGGCCGAGTATGCACTCTACAGCACCAGCACAAACCCACGTGTTCACTTGTTGTCAAACACATTGTTAGCTGCACATGCAATCTCATAAAGGAGCTAGGATGTACACAGCAGGTGCAAATGCAAGGGGCCGAAGCTGACCGAGAAGGGAAATGTGTAGGTGCCATAGATGGAAGACATATTCAAGATTTTGCCGGGGTTGCCCCTCAGTGTGAGGTCAGTGCCCAGCAGTGGAAGAAATGCCTGCATGCCAGAAGATGACACATTCAGAGAATCACTCAATGTGCATCCTGATAGCCTGTGGATGGAAATATCATCAGGAGGATCTTCATTTGCGTGGAAGCATTTCCAGGGTGATCTTGAGGGGCTTGCCTGGATCACAGCCACTGGGGCAACCAGATTGACATCCAGCTGTTTCTTCAGCTTAGACAGTGGCACATCTGCTGTGGCATCCAGGCCCACATGGATGCCTGCACAGGACACCACACTGCTGAGAGAGCCCAACCATGTTCAGCAGATTGACGGCTTCCACCTGGAAGTTCTCATGCTCTGATCTGCAAAGTGCAAATTGTCTACTGATCGTTGGAGAGTGTGCAGGAGGGAGCAGGGGCATGCCTGCATTGTTGATCAGTCCCAGCAGGGTGTGGCCCTTCATGCGGGACTTGACATCTGCTGCTGCCTTGTGGACCGCAGCCTCGTCTGTCACATCAAAGAGCAGCGGCGTGAAGAAGTCCCCAAACTCCCCTTGCAGCCGCTTTGCATCTGCCTCCTTCCTCACGCTGTGGTGGCAGCTCTACAGTCAAGAAAGGGGAAACCCCCATCTCACGAACAATAAAGAAGGAGCGTGCTTATGGCACAGGAAGCAAGTTGGGGCAGAGTGCGCACCTGCCAAAGACGTGGCACTGGTGCTCAACCAGCGATTTGGCAATGGCATAGCCGATTCCTGAAGATACGCCAGTCACGACCACCACCCGATCAATGTTCACAATGACACCGAGGCTGGCACCAGGCTCATCGTCGTACTTGGACCGTTCCCAGCCAGCCAGCAGCCAGTTCTCCTGCTCCTGGGCTGATGTTAATAAGACAAATGCATGATTTAGGACACATGTTGACTGTATAGCAAGGATCCTAGGTCCAGCATAATAGTGCAGAAAGAAATCCAATGTGAGCGCAATTTTCGTGACCGCTAGCTATACAGCCCGGCTCAAGCTCCCCACAATCAACATTTCTGCCTAGCACCACACAATAAGATATTCATGCAACTGCTTCAATACAATGGGAGAATGCCTCTCGATACCTTGGCTCATCTTCAACTGAGAGTCTCAAGCCGAGAAGTTGCTTGAAATAAGCGTTGGATCAATCTCCTGCATGTGACCAAATTCCTTACTGAGATCGCGAGAAAAAGTTCATATCTAGTCACGCAAATGACTTCAACAATGTTTTGTACGAGAAGACTTCCAAGCTGTACTTTCCTACAACACGCAAGCTGAGGTAGAGCAGCTATTGTCGGAGGAAAACGTGCATTCACTAACTTCACATATACAAGATGTACAGTGATGTAGCCAATTATATCGGCTTGCTGACCTGTAAATCGTGAACTAGGTGCTCGTGATCAACCTCGGCACGTCGTATGATCGAGACGTCTTTGGCAGGATAAAACGAAGGCCAACCTATCCAGGCTTCACATCTACTATTGTCGAGATCAGTACTTACAGACTTCTCTGAAAGGCGACGAGATCGAAACTGTCCTTGTTCGAGACGACAGGGGAATTCGGAGGCCCTGGTGCGGCACGCCCCAAACGGCGATCCCGGTCGTTCGGTGATTGCCACGTGGCGTCATCCTCTTGAGCTCCATCTGAGCGAGAAGTGTACACTGCAATCGAATGTGATCGAAGGGCAGGCTTTCAATGCTCTGTACTGCTGTGTGGTAATGTGCAAGTCGAGAGCAGAAGGACAACACATAATTGTTATTTAGTACAGATGCTTATGCATATCACTGCCAGCGGAGTGGAATTGTGACTAAACCGACATGTTTACATCAACAAGACATTCTAGTACCTTTGCAGGCGTCAAACTCCCTTTGTGCAGGCATATCCGCCTTTCTGCAGCTAGGCGCATTACGCTTAAAAGGGACGAAAGACAAAAGGAGGCCCTGCAGAAGCGAGTGCACAAATCCAGAAGATGTAGACATGCAGCTGCCAAAGCAACGGCGCAGGAGCCTTTGGAAGCTGAAGTGGGGGACAGAAAACAGGTTTGTCTAAGCCACAGTCGTGCCCACTTTTTGCAAACGTGTTCGTGCTGCACTGCCTGCTCACAATATGCTATATTATGAGCATATAATAATGATGCTCATAATTATAATGTGTCATAATTATCTCACATTCTGCCGATGCAACTATTGTAGGAAGCAGCTTTGGTGGGCGAGGACGCGGCATACTTTGCGGTTGAGGAGCAGAGCACAGGCAAATGGGTGTTTTTCACGGCAGAGTTGGCTATAGTCCTAAGCATCATGTATGTGGTGAGACATCGGCAACACCATGCACATGTCCAGGATACACGGCAGCATGCCCTCATACGGTCAGCAAGCATGGTGGAGGATGTGCATGCTTACAACACTGAATTGACTGCCCCATACCTAGAAGAAGGACGCCCTTGAGAGATTTTCCCATCCCTTGCAGGTGTGGATTGCCCCAGGCACAGGGCTGGCAAACAACTTCTTGGAGCAGCTTGAAAGCATCTCCACAGACTCAACCTTCCTCATGATGGCCATCTTTGCCGTCTTTGCAGTCGTGCACAGTGGCCTGGCGTACCTGCGTCCCTCTGGTAGGCATTTGTCATATTGATCAAATGTCTCAATTACAGGCATGCAACCTATATCATCATCATCTTCTTTGCAATTGTGGCACGCTTGAGTGGCGGGTGCCTGCTGCGTTTGAGATCCGCTGCTGAAGGATGCATGCATGCGGCAGGCGAGAAGCTAATTGGCGCAAGGGCGTTCCGGGTCATCTTTGCTGCGATCAGTCTGCCACTGGCGACGGTGGCGCTGGTGCACTTCATCAACCACAGATATGATGGTCTGCCGCTGTGGAATCTGCGCGGTCAGCCCTTTGTGCACGAGCTGGTGTGGACGCTCAATTTTGTGTCCTTCTTCTTCCTCTACCCCTCCACCTTCAACCTCCTGGAGGTGCGCAGTCATGCCCAGCACTTGGCTCTTCATCTAGTAGTGTTGTTATAAGAATTTGCGTGCATGGAGCTCGACAAAGTCAACAAGAGCCCAGCCGTAGATGGCTCGCTTGGCTGGCTTGTCGTGTAACTTAGTGAGAGCCAGAATGTGCCGTATGCACTGCTCCTCTGGGGTGCACATTCATTCCGCAAGGGACTATGCTGTGCGTCAGGCCATCTGTCAACCTGCTAAATATCTCCTCACGGGTATCAAGCAGACCTAACTTAATGTTTTATTCATTATATCCATTCCTCGCTGTTCGTGGAGATAACTAGCCCCCGAACATGTCCAGGTGGCGGCAGTGGACGAGCCGAAGCTGCACCTGTGGGAGACGGGGGTCATGCGCATCACACGGCACCCGCAGACATTTGGGCAGGCGCTGTGGTGCCTCGCGCACACGCTGTGGATCGGCTCCAGCTTCATGGTGGCCACGACTGGCGCCCTCATGGCGCACCACCTCTTCTCCTGCTGGCACGGCGACTTCCGCCTGCGCCGAAAATACGGCGAGGTGGGCCCTCCTTGCCCCCTCTTTGCATGCGTCGGTTTGGGAGAGAGAGATGTGAGTCATCTGGAGAAAGCTGCAGTGCCGGCAGTTGCCTGATCAGGTGCCTGTCAGCAATGCAGACAAGTGCAACAACAGAACCAACCACATTCACCCACCTTATCTGCCGTCTCACTTGCCTGAAGCTTTTCTGAGTGCATTCTATGAGGGAGGACACTTATTTGGAACACTGCAGACTTGGCATGTGTCGTGCCATGTAAATGATCGATGTGGCCGGTTTGGTGGATTTGCTATTCTGTAGGAATTGCACAGGTGAATTGAAGTGAGTGTTGCCGATGTTGCAGGCATTTGACGCGGTGAAGGAGCGCACAAGCATCGTCCCCTTCCAGGCGATCTGGGAGGGGCGACAGAATCTGCCCAAGGATTATTACAAGGAGTGGCTGCGGCTGCCCTACTTCACTATCACTGCAGTCACCCTCGGGGCATACTGGGCCCACCCGCTCATGCAGAGCGCCTCGCACTGGCTGAACTGGTAGCGCGTGCTTTCTGTTGGATCTGGTTTGGGATATGCTTGTGGATCATGGGCTGAGGGCCTGAGGCATATGGAGTACTGCAGCTGGGCACTTGCCTATCTGTTGGTTTACACGACTGGGACAAGCAATTCACCACAGATCTCCTCGATTCCATAAAGCTATCTTGCAATAGTTAGCTTCATAGACCTCCAAGACTCCTGCTAGCCATGACCTACTTCTGTAATCGTTTGTCACTGTAAATTGACATGTCCATGACAAATTTCATAATACCCACTCAGAATGCGCATGTGCTTCAAGTGCTGAATCAAAAGTATTGGTGTCACTTGACATTCCCAAAACAGCTATATTAAATAGCTGTAGGCACATTTCACGGCAATGAGGCATGTGCCTGCCGTCATTTTCCTGTACTTCATGAATCAATCTCACGGATGGAATAAGCATAAGAATAACTCAACGACCTGGAAGATATCTTCTTGACTATTCTGCCATTAATCATGTAATGCACATCAATTATGATATATCGAGTACAGTAATTATACATACTGTCGCCATGCAAGGGCTGAGCATTGGGCCAGAGACATGCATGCAACTATTGATTATCTTGACTGTATTCGTACTGTGAACAGAACTGCGTTAGCTCAGACAGGCATTGTGCTCTGCTTTTTGGTACAGCAGGACGTGCACTTGGTGCACAGTGTGCTCCAGAAAGAATTCCACTTCAGGCGGTATGGTTTGATGAAGCCCTGCCACTTGCGCGTCAGCCCAAACGGCCACCCGTACACCTGCCACCCTCACCACATCAAATCTCGATGACACTCCATGACATCTCTTAGAAGGAGACACCAGCAGGCATCATTTCCTGCCCATGCCATTTTTGGTGCTTCATCACATTTCGCATGAAAGGTATGTTGCCTGACACACTAACGAGCGCTCAGGTGCAACTATGCCGCCCATTGCTGCTGTCAAGGCAGAAGATCTGTCATCATTTGCACAAAGCCCCTGGCTTTGTGGCAATTGCTTCCTCACAGGATGCACTGTGCTGCTGCGCTGGCGCAGAGGTTCGGATCATCATCTTAGTAAATTGGAGCACCTGTGGCATGCCCTAAATGCAGATGCACCTTGGCTCTGCAGGAAAATTGTGTAATGGATGAATGAATGAACCTCAGCAAGCAGAGGCCTCACCCGGTTCATGTGGTCGTCTTCCCACCAGTCAGTGCCGTCTGCGTCCAGCTGCTGCCACACATGCAGGCCGCGCTCTTTGCGCGACCCCGGGATTGTGTTGTCCAGGAACAGCGTGATTATCAGCGCCACTGCGGGGCCCGTCGCAAAGATGGAGTTGAAGATGTCTGCGCACAGCAAACGAATTTCCATCAATATTCCTAGCGCCACACAGGCAGATTGCAACGCAGCCAGAGCCTCCTACAAATCACTCTGGCTGTTCACATTCAACTGGAATGCGTCGTGTGCAGCAAGGCCGCCCTTACTGTCATGAAGGACAGCCATAGAGTATGCCCATGCAGTCCATCATGCATGACAATGTTTTGATCAAAGAAATTCTGCAAACCATCATGCGCAAGTGATTGCCAGCAGGCAGGGTCAGGTGGCTGTGGAGTGCGCACCGTTGACTTCGTGCGATCCAGTGTTGATGGGACCGTGGTCATTCTTGGTGGTGTACTGGGTGAAGTAGTCAGGGATGGACAGCGACAAGTACAGTCCGAGGCCGGTGATGAAGATGTTGCGCGGCGAGTTCATGTCTGTGAACTGCAGCTGGGAGATGCCGACTGCGGCTATCAGCCCAAACATGACGCAGAACAGGCCGCTCACCATCGCCTGCGGCAGCGAGGCAAAGATGCCCCCAAACTTGCCTGCATGCATACACAACCGAGCTCTGCTTCAAGCTTTGCACCATGCTTGTGTGGAATTCCACACTTGGCAAATAGCACCGTTCAGTGCACATTGAAGAGGATTTAATTGGTGAGTACAAGACATTGCAGAAGGGCTGTGGGGTGCGCACCAATGACTGAAATGATGATGGCTATGCATGCGCCCACTTGGATGACTCGGCGGCTGCCCACGCGCGTCAGCTGCATGGCTGCACAATGCAGCACAGCACATCAAGGCAAGCTTTCCAGCAATCATCTGCACATACATCAGCCGGGGCAATCTTGCAATATAGAACAGCAGTGACAAGGCAGAGTGTTTTCCAACCCACCTCCGATATTCTCGTTGTAGGCGGTCGTAGCATTTCCTGTGCCAATCAGGCCGGCGAGGACACAGCTGAACCCCTGCAGCATGCAGGCCGAGTGTCAAACAAAGACCAAAATATCACTCAAATCGGGTGGGGATCAGCTGCTGATCTGGGCTATGTGGAGGGATACATGCAGCACTAGCAATGGCAGCATGGTCTGCAGCGAGCCTGATACATGGGAGAGTGCAGAAGGCAGACCTGGAAGGTCACAGCGCGGCTGATGACCTGCGGAGGGGGCACAGGGGCGCCACAGATGCGCGCAGCTGCATAGTAGTCGCCCAACTGCATGCCAGCAACTGCCATTCATGGATGCAACATAAGCCTGGAAGACGCTGGTAGACATTGAAAGTCTCAGTCTCTGTAGATTCTTTCTGGTGGTCCGGGAATTTACAGGGATTACGCACCGATTCGACCATGGCAGAAATGGCTCCAGCCAGCATTGTCAGGGTGGAGCTCCAGGAAAATGTGGGGGTCCCCCACTGGCAGAAGTAGGGCCACCTGCAAGTGCCCAGTAAGAGTCTTAGCTATAAGAATCTCCTCAGAAAGCACGTCCCTGCCAAGCTGTCCAGCTACATGAGATACATATAGGACATTGCCAATCTTTGCGCATGTCTTCATATGCGGCTACCTGAACCAGGGTGAGTTGCTCAGGACGTCGCTTTGGTCTGTGCGGCAGTACTTTTGTGTGTCTGCGCTGGCGTTGTCATACGCACCAGCCTCCGTCACAATCACGGCATAGACCCACACAATGACAATGCTGATGACCACTGGGAACATCTCAAAGCAGCGCATCCTGAATCAACAACACAGCAACCCATCACACAACCATTGGATGATCACAAACCCTTGCATCTCAGCTCTGGATTGCCACTCTGAGAAAAGAAACCACTCTTTACCACCTGTCTACAGCGCAAGCCAAAGAGCTGTGGAGGCATGTCATGAGGCATTGCCAAATGTTATGTCGAGAAAGAGACAAGTCATCTCACCCTCCGATGAAAGGAATGCGCTTGGGAAGCCCCACACTCCTGAGGTACTGCGAGGTGATGATCAAGGCCGCTATCATGGGCAGGCCCAACTGGGGACAGTTGGCTACCCCACTGAAGCCAGCGCTGTACAGGGACAGACCCACAATTGCAATGTTGACAGCCACTGCACAGCACCCAGGACACATGTCAGTTGCATGGCTGGCAGGCACAACCATGGAATTTAGCACAACGCATGGACTTTTTCACAACGCATCCATGCAGGGGAACCACAGCGATGTAAGTTGAAGTACAGTTGAATTCTGCACAATGCACGCATGCAGGGCAATTACTGCGATGGAGATTGAAGTAGACAAGGGGTGCCTTCTTGCCTGTGATGGGTGAGATGTAGTGAAGCACTGCGCGCAGCAGACCGGACATGCTGAAGAACATGATGAAGAAGGCGCTCCCAATAACGCCCCCTTGGACCTCACGCATGGTCACCTCAACATTCCACAACAGTGTCAGGAAGGCTGTGTCTACCTGAAAAGAAGAATCCTGTCAGTGATCCTGTAAAGTTTACCATATTCTCGGCAGTGTGAGCGCACCAGGAATCGCTCATGGTTTGTGCCGTCCTGAGCATCCTGCCAGTCATAGCGGCTCTTTATTTGGGCAATGACGGCAAAGGTGGGCGTCAGGTAGGCGAATGAGCCACCCTGCACAGCCAAGCGTTTGCCTCAGAGCCTCTGCAACACTGAGCTGCATATCAGCTCAAGCAGCACACATTAAGGAGAGCAATCCTGTGGCATTGCTTCAACGAAGGCACCTGAATGATGGGCAGCCTGTCGCCAGCAATGGTCTGGACAAGGGTGATGATCCCCGAGATGAAGAAGATCGTGCCAATCACTGCATGTGCCAGAAACTTTAAATGCACGGTCAGTCGTTAGAGCCATGAGGCAGTGTTTTCCATGTATCAATTCCGCAACATTGGTGCAATAAGACATTTGTGTGTCTGTCGACGGCCTACCTGCTGCCAGATCTTCGGGCGTGCCACCCATGGGAGGTATTATGAGGAAAGGAATCAGGACTGTGGATCCAAGCATAGTGAGATAGTGCTGCACAGTCACAGAGAGATCAGGTCAATGTCTGCATGCAAAACAGCTTGAGGGCAGAATTGCCTTGGAACAGAGTCAACCTTGACATTCTGCATAAGAGAACTGATTTACCTGGAAACCGAGCAGAATAGTCTCATACCACACGGGCACATCAAGTATTCCATAGCGCACTGCACAAGTCCCAAGAAACGATCAGTCCTTTAGCACTCATCAGAGATTCGGAGCTTGTGTGATGTTGGTTGTAAGGAGATGACAATGCTTACTGTTTGAGATGTCTTCGATGACTGGCTCCCTCGCCACCACCACAGGTACCTCGGACTTCTGTTGATCTGCTTCTGTTGAGTGCTTCACAGGTCCAGCCTCGCTGTCCATCTTCCACAACGCAGAAACTTTGATCCCAAATCCTGCTGATGAGCCACTACACATTTTAAACACTTTGAAGCACGACTGTAGTGAAAGAACTGGAGAAGAGTCAGTGAAAACCCTAGCAAGTCGACCAAATACCCATCTATATCACGATCCGCACGAGGAAACACTAGCTATATACAGTTGAATCAAGACCTGGTACCTTCGTTTATAAATCGCTCAACTTGATGAGCGCTTCTGGAGTCTGGAAACAGCTGACGCAAGCGGTCAACCTCGGCTTACGCCCAAACGCTGTCAAGCCGCCATCAACAGATAGATGTCACGTTTCACACCTCTACGAATGTCTCAATCGCTCAATTCTGGATCAAATCGCGAATTAGATGGTGCAAGATCATCAACTTCGGGTGGCAGGCAGCACGTGGATCACATGCCTCCAGCTGTTCGACGGCGAGAAAACCTCCTCCAATCCAAGATTTCGGGCTGGCAGCTTGTCCGGAAGTCGCTCCAGCACTCTTCCGGGATTTCGCTGTGTCTATGTCAGTGGTCTCTTCAATTTAATTGATTGAGAAGGTGCAATAAGCTGATCACGAGTTTGGGCTGACGAGGTGGTAACCAGGTCGCGAGTCCAAGGTGACAACGATGCTGGTTTGACAGGAGGTTCTGATGCAAATTTAGAGGTCAATTCTCGAAAATTTGGCGACATGAGCGTGGAATGGAAGGAAAATCACCTATTAAGGTACACCTATCAATTGTCTAGTGAGGTTAGTTCAGTGATCTGAAAGGCACTGATTGATAAACAGCTGGCATATCACCTTTGGGATGCGCTTTCCAGGGACTGGAGCAATCCACCACCGTGGCCAATATTCGTGTTCGGAAAATGGCTGATCACTCTACTAAGGATGTTCCTGGAATGGATCCAGCCCCCGCCCCTGACGATCTTTGATAAACAGAGGGGCGCTTGGCAAGCACAGGCAATCAGCTGCCAAACACTTGAAACTTTGCTTGCCCATGACAGTGGACGTGACCGGTCGATCTCGTGTGCAGTTCTTGGACTCTCTGAGTCGCTCGCCTTGTGATGAGTAACGCAGCTGACAAGGTGACCCTGTGCAGATACTGTACACTGTGGCTCATCTGGGCATAGCTGATGAGCTAGGCAGGAAAGGACCACAGACAGCAGATGCCCTGGCAAAATCGCTAGGTAAATTCTCAAGCCAACAATGCGCACCAGAATGCCAGAACACCTAGACGCACTTCCCTGATGTAACTCAAGCCTTTTGACAGATTTTTCCATTCATCATCCCATTGCTGCAGGTGATTTGACAATCATTCAATCTGCGATTTGTTGGGCGCAGGGCTTGACAGTGAGCGATTGTACAGAGTACTGAGAAGCGCTGTTCAGATGGGAATCTTCACAGCGGTCAAGCCTTTGCACAGGGGAGGGCCAGCACGCTTCAAGAACAACCGCCTGTCTGCTGTGCTCAGAATTGACCACCCAAACTGTCTGCGAGACATGGTGAGCCCCCATTCCCTCCCGGCTTGTTCATGCTTTTGCCGTTACTCATCACCTGCGCGCTCTGTGACACTTTGACCTAGGTTGATTTTCATGGACAACGGAGATCAATAGATGCTCACCTCACCCTGTGGGACAAGAGAGCCCTGGGGCGGTTATGCTTGGGCTTGGGATTGAGATCGCATTTTGGGATGTGCAGGTTCTGCACCAGACGGATCACAACAAGCCGGCATGGGATGAGCTGGCGTGGGCGGTGCGCACCGGAGGCAAGGCCTTTGAGAAGACGCACGATGGGCTGTCGGAGTTCGAGTGGCTCAAGCTGGACCCCAAGGAGGAGGACAAATTCTCCAAGGCCATGAAGCAAGTGGACAACATGGGTACGCTTGACCCAGCAAAGGTCCCTTTCAGACAATCTCTCTTACCTGCAAAATTGTCCTAAATGTGTCAGAAGGAGCTAGGAGATAGCCTGACAGGGCCACGGATATGAGGGGCTTTGAAGCCATGATGGATCTCAGTCAGGCTTCAAAAAATTTAATGGCAGTCTGGGAGTGGTGTGGGAGGGCTGGGCGATATTTATGCTGACCCGCAGTAATCAGACTACCACAACACTCAGATCCATTTCCACCTTGTTTACATGCATTATTGGGCCAGAAAGCAATTTTGCCAAACACTTGACGGAATGCAGACACATGGCAAGTTTGTGATTTGAAGATGGGCAGTGACAAACTGCCCACAGGACCAATGAGCCTCAGCTCCCAGCAGGTCTCTGAAATCAAGTAATGTGCAGGGACGAATGCGATGGCGACTGACTACAAATGGAATGCGCACTCGCGCATTGTGGACATTGGCGGCGCGTACGGCTCTTTCATGGCGCACCTGCTCACAGTCAACCGCAAGCCGCGAGGGGTCCTCTTCGACCAGCCCCAGGTGATGCATGACTTCACCTGATGTTATTGTCTATGTTACTCCCTTCTTGGCGCTCGCACTGCCTGGCTTGTCTTGCGTTCTACCTTGGTGTGTCTAGAACGGCGCAAACCAGTCCAACACACACACAGCAGCGTGCAATGTCTCTTAGCTCTTACTGGTGAGAAGTGGAACACCTGTGGTGGCAAAACACCGCTGTCAGGCCACCATTACAATTCTCCAGTCTTGCCTGACACTGTCCGCGTAAATTAGAATTGGCCACGTCTGAAGGCCTTGGGCATGCAAATGTGTTTCTGTGGCATCACTTGCAATGGCTGGTATCCGGCAGGTCATCGAGAGGGCCAAGGAGATGTGGGCACAGAACAAGCACTGGTCCCTGCTTAACCCCCGCCTGGAGTTCGCTGCTGGGGACTTCTTCAAGCCGGGTGGGGGCTCTGCCTACCAAGCCATCACACCGCCCTCAGCAGCCTCCTGTTGGGCAATGTAATCTTAAGTAAGACAGAATGCAAGACATACAAGGGGTTGCAGGCACCAACAAGGAAGAAAGGGCTGCCTTGCAATATAAAGAGTAGTGCCTTCACAACACAAACATTCCCCGACCCAGGAGCACTGCTTATCACATTGCAGGATATAGAATCAGTCCTACTCTGTGGAACCTGACGTGAAGGGCAAGCTGTGCCTGGCCTTGATGACAAAGTAGCTGCATGCAGAGACGATGCCCAAGGCCAAGGATGGGGACGTGTACATGATGCGCCTCATCCTGCATGACTGGGATGACAAGGACAGCATCGCCATCCTATCCAGCATCCGGCAGGCCATGGGCAGCGCCAAGGCCAGGCTGCTCATTGTGGAGGTGGGTCCCCCGCTGCAGCAGCAATCTAGTGCAAAGGGCAGTGGCCGCTGAGAGAAACAAAGGGAATGTCAGACAGGGAATCTCAGATGATGCCACCGAGACCAGAGGGACGCTTGCTCACTAAAATTACACTATAGCTCTCTGGCAGATGGATCATAGGGACCTTCATGCCCACATGTCCCAAATCATTTGTGGGCAAGAAAGAAAATGATCTTGTGGATGCTGGAAATTTTGGCCACCCATGGGTAGTCTGCAGTGGCTTAGTTCGAGATGTTTTGTGCAGACCACAATTGGAGAGGAGTTTGCGGATCCCCTGTTCCAGCGCGCACTGCTGGATGTGCACATGATGGTGGCGCTCAATGGAGCAGAGAGGACAGTGGCGCAATGGTGAGCCGCCCTCTGCTTGTCATGGCTGACTGCAGATTTATGGGTCGTTATCTAGCCATGTGAGTATCACCAGGGTATTGCTGTATAGTGCTTAATAGCATTGGCGTGTTGTGGCTGCAGGAAGCAGATGCTGGGGGAAGCAGGATTTACTTTTGCCCGCCACATTCCCACCCGCAGTGTGTTCTCCATTGTGGAGGCATTGCCGGCATGAGGAAGTTGGTAGCTGAAGACATCCCACACCATAGTTCACTCATGTCTCAGAGGAGACGCTCAGCGCTTTGTTGCCTGAAGCCCTCTCTTAAACAACTCCACTGAGGAATGCTAAGCAATCCTTTTTTAAAAATACAAAATGCTTCAATCCTTGCTATTTGTGCAACACAGGCCTGTGTACAGTCTTTCATCTAAAGAGGGGCCCATGAAGTGGACGCATTCATGGATCTCTTGCAGCAAAGTGGTGACATGTTGAATGATTTTCCAGATGCGAAGCTCTTAAGATCCGATTCATGCACATGTGGGATCACTGAGAAAAGTGCCAGAAGTGCCACCTTTTGTGCGAAATGTAATGGATGACCTGCAGATGCTACCAGTATAGGTGTCGGAAGAGTCTTCACATGCCTTACAAATCAAAATGTCTGTGTAGCCCCTCTGACAACTCTTGACTCTGACGACTTGCGGCCAGTCCCAAAATACAAATTTAGCAACTTGTGGAGATTCTGCACCCTTTCCTCTTGCCCATTATATATTTTGGACAGCGTGCACATGCTTGAAAGCATAGCACAAAGCCTAAGTATGATAAAAACCTGTGTGCAGCAGGATTGCCTGTAAGGATAATGACTACACCAGATCGCTCAAAACAATCTATTGTTTCTTCCACAGCGAAAGGCTGCCGCCTTTGGTCGACACATACACTCAGCACTCTGCAAGCCCTTTGCACAACCTCACCACACCCTTAATAGATCTGATGAAATGTTCTTGAGTTCCTAAGGAGAGAGTTCTGAATCACCCAGATGCAAGACTAGTACTCCCTGAACACATGTGCACACCGGTCCCTGCCGGCTGCTGCTTGCCCATGAGCTCCGTACTGACTGCAAACTAAAAAGCTTACCATCAGCACCCACCATCTACGATGCTGAGTGCAGACAACCCTTCAAGGGAGAGAAAAGGCTTGCTGTGCACACTCAGATCAAGACAACAACTCGTGGACTATCTGACAGACCTGATGTGTGCTGCTGGGCACTGCAGCACAGTAAAAACACATGTTCCCACTTTCCACATGCCGGCATGATGTGAAAACAGGGAAATTATGGATGTCTGGGGCATGCGTGCTCGCATCGTCCGTCCCACACGACTGCAAGCTCATCCTAAGCACAATTACTGCACAAGCACGAAGTGCTGCCGATGGTCCCGACAGTGCCGGAAGCGCTCCTACGCTGAAGTGACCACAGCATAGCACGCCTCACGGTCATGCCCCAGAGGTGAACGCACTGTTCATGCGCTCAGTGTAGGCAAAGGCACTGCTGAAGGGATTGACCGGGGGCTGGACAGCGGCTGGCTGGGCCGGCTGCGGCTGCTCAATGCTGCTGGCAGCCGCCGCAGGTACCTGCTGCTTGACCTCCGGCAGCTGGCTGGGCGCCGGGCCGGCCAAGTTCATGCCGCCGAGTTTGTTAGCAGCGTTCAAGATTGCTTGCCCCGGCTCCTCGCTGTGCTCGCGGAGGAGGCCGTCAATGGTCGGCGGTTGCTCCGGGGGCGTTGCCGGCCCACCGGACGCCGCCTCCACGCCCTTAGCCGCCGCTATCGCCACGCTCGCCAGAGCCGGCTGCGGCCCGGGCAGGTTGGCGGCTGACGGCGACTTTGGGAAGGCAGTTCCCCCCGGAACCTGGGCCGATCTGGCGCCAGGTGGCTGCTGTTCCAGCCCCTCGCCGCCTTCCAGGATTGACTGCCGCACCGTGGCCTGCCTCGGCAACTGCGCTGCACTTGGCGGCTGCATTGCCTGCACCAACCATGGGTTAATGGTGAGGACCTCCCCCAAAAGGTGCCTTTGCTTTTTGCAGCAGCCAGCAGATCACACCCCCAACACAAGGCACCTCTTGCCTGCAACACACCTGTTGCACCTGCTTCACACGAATTCTGCCAGACTAGAAACTGGGTTGTACCTTTGCTGGGCTACCCATGCCGGGCCGGCCGGAGGGAATTCCGCGTGCGTCCAGCTCCGACGAGCTGACCGAGGCGCCCACGAGGCTCCTGGGCCGCATTCGCGGCGGCCTCAGAGCCTGGCCCATCACCTTCAGCTCCCTCACAATCTGCACCGCAGCCATCACACAACCTCAGTTGAATCTTTGAGCAACCCACCATAATGCAGTGCCAGTCATGTCCCCCTGCCATACACTCCCTCCCTTGAAGACTCTTCAGTGAAGAGAGCATCTTCTCTGGAGGACCTCTCCCTTGATTTAAGCGGACTAACCTATGATCTGATGGTTCGTGCATGCACGTGGGGCATTGAGGGGAAAATAGGCACCTCTGCGAAGGAGGGCCGCTTCTCGGGGACCTCCTGCCAGCAGCGCTCCATGAGGGAGCACCAGCCGGGCGCGGGCTCGGGCACGGGCTCGTACTCCCACTTTGGCGAGTTGGGCAGCGTCGGCCGCAGGCCGCCCCCTGTCAGCGTGATCTGATGCAGCAGCGCGTGGTAGTTGAGGCCCTCATACGGCTCCCGCCCCGACCACAGCTCCCACAGCACCACCCCAAACGAGTACACGTCCACCTGCGCGCCAGCCAGCCAACGTGAGCTGTCGCGATTTTCCAACCAACCTGCAATGGTGATCATCACTGAACACAATGGTAACAGCGCCCCAAACCTTGCCATAGGAAGATACAGAGTGGTGACTTGCCCAGCCTCACAATGCACACCGGGCCAGCTGCCAACACATGGACATCCAGAACAAGTTTGTGAGGAAGCCCGGGCAATTGGCGGACCTTTTCTGTGACGGTGTGGGGCGTCTTGATGATCTCTGGGGCGATCCAGGGCAGCGTGCCGCGCTGACTGGTGACATTGCTAACGTAGGTGTCGCGCTTCTGCTTAGACAGGCCAAAGTCGGACACCTTGCACACAGCGCGCCGGTCGCGGTAGCCGAGCAGTAGATTGGCGCTCTTCAGGTCAAAGTGCACGATGCTCTTCTGGTGCAGGTACTCCATGCCCTGTGGCCAGGACCACACCCAGTCAGCACACATGCCTCACTTGCTGATATTGCAGTACCCTTGGTTTAGCATCAAGAGCTGACTGACACTTACATCTCCCTGTCAACCCTTAAGGCTGAGCCAGGCCCGTCTTCGCGCCCCCACCTCTATCCAACTTGCCAAAGTTAAAATGAGTGCATCCAGAATGTCAAGTGGAAGCGCGCCGCGATCCATATGAGCTGGCACACTATAGCAGTAGAAATCAACCCTGAAAAAGAAGCTTTGGCAGCGCAGCCTCTCGCCATGCACATAGGGCAGCAGCACTGAGCGCACCTTGGCGGCGTCCATGGCGACGACGACACGGTGCATGTTGCCGCTGACGACGTCTGACTTGCGCGCGAGCGCCTGCTTCACGCTCCCCTGGCTCATGAACTCTGTGACGACCGCTGGCGGCCGCAGGTTGCCGCACCGGCCCATGTTGGCCCCACTGGCCATCGAGATCGGCTCCACGTCCTCCATCACAAGCCTGCCGTCCTCGTCTGTCTCCTGCACCAGCCGCATGCAACATGTTGGCCGGATCTCAAACAAATTGCAAGAGTGAGGAATGAACGGCAGGCGCACTGTTTTTCCCCTCAGCGGACAAGACCAGCTCTACTTATCATGTCACCTCGCCTCTTCCACACAAAGATGACTAACAAAGTATGTGGTATGTCTGCAGCACCAGTGAATATATCTATGCATCCCAAGCCAACTCACAACCATCGGTGGCAGGCTTGGCCATGTTTTCTATGCTTGCCACGCCATATGCAGAACCCGCGAAACATTTAGCTGGCCTGCCGACAATACCAGAAAAGGCGCTAGGTCAGCAAGGGGGCGGGGCCATTTCAAGCGAAACGAATGCCGTGCAGAAGACCACTGCAGCTGGGGAAGCGCACCATCTTGGGCAGGACAACGCCGTAGACCCAGACTACGTTGGGGTGGCGCAGGCTGGCCAGCAGATCGGCCTCGCGCATGAGGTCGGCCATGGCCGCCTTGCTGGCGGAGCCGTCCGAGCCGGAGAAGAACAGCGACGGATTCAGGCACTTAATCGCCACCTCGCTGCTGTGCCACCTGCCCAGATACACCTGCGCAGCAATAGTCTCTGTATCAGCACCTGTCAAATCCCCACACAAGAACATGATGGTCCCTCGACATACACTTTGCCATGCATGAATGGCGTTCAAAGGGGAATATGAAGTCTTCCATCCACAATACCATGAAGTTTGCTCATGCAGAAAAAACTGACATCCACAAAAGGCATTCAAATGGGCAAATAGACGAGTGAGTAACACGGCTTACCTCTCCATAGCCGCCGCTGCCCAGGAACTTCGCCATGGAAATCTCATGGGCATGGATGATTTCCATGCGGCCCGCCATTTGGCCAACGCTGAACTCCTCCTTGTGGGGAGCTGGTGCCACCTCACCAGAAGAGACAGCATCACCTGCCAACACAATCAGCTCTTTCAATACATCGTTCTCTGCAAAGACTCCGTGCCTCTCCTTGTCAAGGATCAAGCAACAGGCATGCGAGGGGCAGACAAGAATGCAGTATGTTTGTTGGCAGGAGGCTGAGGCCGAGGAGGCACGCACCAATGTCATCAGAGATGCTGGCCGACTTGCGACCATCGTCACAGGGCTCCTTGCTCCACGCCACATACACATGCAGCTTGTACGACGTCCCCTTGTGCTGCTCCGCAAAATCGGCCCACTGCAACATCGATAGAAAGAACACCGTCAGCTATCCTGCCACATATGGTAGATGCATGCGCTGACAGCAGAAGCAGGATAAGAATAGACTGGCAAAAGTGGAAAGTTGACTTTTGCGGAAGGTCATTTTCATAAGAACAATCTTCACTAGAACAATTCCTTCAAATTGACGTCCAAAATTGTCTACTTTTATGAAACCAATTGTGATGTCAGCACAGCCCACCTCATCAAACATGAGCTGGACGTCCTCGTCGTCTAACAGGTCCACGTACACAGTTGGGTCGCTGGGCAGCTGGTACTTGAGGTCCATTGCCTGCATACAACGGTGACAGGAACCCTATAGAAAAAGACACCCACATTCATGCATTGACACCATCCCAAAAACCCTTCCTGGTGCTTCCCAAAGTTGGACATGAAAATGCATCTGGGCATTTCAGGGGGGGAAAGAAATGCAACGCATGCTCACATCCGGGGGTCCCGACATGGATCTGGAGGAACTTGGTCTGACCACCACGCGCTCCAGGGCCTCCTTGAGTGACGCCAGAGAGAACCAGTTGGACACGCTGACCAGCCTGGTGTCGCCGCCCTCATACTCGAAGTGGCCGCCAGGCTGCCGGATGAAGTTGCCGTTCGAGCTGCACACCACCCTCACCTGCAGTCGGGCAGGGCAAGGCTTCAGCAATGCAAGAATTGGGACATAGAGAATCTCGTCAGGACTGAGTCAACATCTCTGGCCCCCACATGCACGATCAACCAACAGTCATGCTGGACTGTGCTGATTTTCAGTAGCAAAGCCAAGCCACAGCTTCCTGTCAAAGGCTAACCTTGGTGGAGAGCTTGCTCTCCAGGCCGCTGCTCTCGACCACAGGCGCTTCCAGGGGGTCGCTGGGGCCAGCCAGGCTGGCCGAGTCCAGGTTGGTGGTTCGCATGCTGCCGTCCTTGCTGGGATCGCTGGGCATTGCTGAGAGAGTCTGCACACTGCTGTACCTACTGGGCTCGCTAGGTGATATGCTGGGTACTGCAGAGTACATGTCAACTGCAGAGTACATGTCAACTGCAGAGTTGGCCTGCGGCTGGCTCTGGCGGGGCACCAGGAGGGCCTGTGGAAGAAAAGGCAGTACAGAATCAGACATACAGCAGCCAGCAGAGTAAAAGCCACCTGAGTGGCATGCCTACTCAGCCCTTCCCTAGCAGCTGTCAAGGGGAAAACACCACCCTAGCCTCAAAACAACAGGGTAAAGGGGCAAGGCAGCGGGTCATGTGTGTGGACAGGTTGATTCCATTTTCGACAGAAATGCTCACGGATGCCATCTGCTGTTGATGTTGCTGGTGCGCAGCATGTGCAGCGTAGTATTGGTGCAGAAGTTCCACCTGTGACAGCCCCAGGGAGGGCTGGGCAGCCTCCCCAGGGCTCCCAGCCTGCGCGAAACATGGCAGCTCCCCTATTACCGGCCTGACGGGCTCCGTAGCGCCGATCACCGGAAGCGCCGCCGTCTGCATGTGCGCCGAGTTCATGCTCTGGCTGTTTCGCATCGCCTGCAGCTGCCGCGCATCCTGCACATGCTGCGCCTGGCCCCCGGGCGCGCTGAACCTGCGCAGCCGGTCCTCTGCCGCCCCAGTGTAGATGCCGGCCGTGCCGTACCCAGCCGGCAGCGCGCCGATCTGCGAGAACTGCCCGACCATGTGGCCGGCATCGTTGCTCAGAGTCTGCGGCATGGGCGCCGAGTACACACCGGCCGCCGGGGCCGCGCCGGCCTGGGCCGGGAAGGGCCCTATCATGCGGCTGACGGGCCCGTTGAACTGCGGGGCTGCCCGCAGGAACTGCCCCGCAGCGCCCATCATTGCCGCGCTCCCCTCAGGGATCTGCCCGATGCTGCCCAGCGGCAGGCCCCCGACCATGCCTGCCTGCAGCGGCGCGTGCATGGTGGGGAGCTGGCCCACCATACCCTGCCGCTGAAACTCTGAGGACGCGCGCCCACACCGCGGGCGTCCCTGGTACCCCACACCAGCTGACCTGTCCATTGAGTCTCCCATGTCGCTGTAGGCTTTCTTCGTAGGCGACGTGGGCAGCTGCATCCCATAACTGGTGATATCGCTGGGCTGTTCGTCTGTTGTGGGCGACATCAGCCCGTGCCCCCAGCTCTCGTTGGTTGTGGCCTGGCTGTGCCAGTGCGTGTCGGGGAACTGCACTGGGTAGTCCAACTCCGCGGACAGCGCAGCGATGCCCGAAACTGCTTGCTCTGCTGACACCTGACCAAAGGCAGGTGCTGATCCAACCCCCCCGAGGTGCTGCGGGAGGCAGCCTGCTGCTAGCTGCTCCTGTATTCCAACCTCTCCAATGACCTTGTTGGCTCTGAAGAGTGCCTGAAGCTCTGCTCTGTTTATCAGTGAGTTGCTGCCGCCCACAAAGCGTCCAAGAACCTCGTGCTGCTCTGTCAATTTTGGCTCAAGCGCTCTCAAGTTTGCTGCTGTGAGGGCGTGCGGTTCCGAATGCTGGCTAACCGATCCATGCGAACTGGGCATCATAGAGATGGAGTCCGCTCAGGAGAGGCAGAGCTTGGAAAGCCGCCCCATTTGTACTTCGCGGCGCTCCTCAGCGTCCCTGGCTCGCGTGCCCTGGATCAGAACACCAGGACACATCACAGATGTACACACACATGCAGCATGTGCAACGCTGGGCGCTTTGAGGCCGGCAGGACCTACAGCCTGTGTACTTGACACCTGCGCAGCTTCCAACACTGCCGCTGAGGGGCTCCCCAATGATGCCGCCTACGCGGGACGCCTCAGCGCAGCACGCTCGGTGCCAATGCCATTCCTAACCGACAAAGGGCGTGGAAATGCCACCAGGGACGGGCACCTGCCGTTCAGGGGTGGTTGAGCATCTTTGTGTACCTCGGGCAGCGTTGCTGCAAGAACTTGCGTCAGGCACAGAAGGCCCGCAGCACCGACTCCAGGCTTGACAGAAACTGTGCTGGCAGCACACATCCACGAATACTAGGAAGAAGTTGCTTGCCAGTGCTTGAGTGCACCATGAGAGCCAGCAGACTTCACCAAAGAAGATGCTATTGCTAAAGGCAGCACACTGTGCATTTTGAAAAGTGCTCACCGTTCCCCGCTTCCGTTTTTGGCACTAATGTGATCACTGGGCTGATCCCACTCCTCTCCTCTCCCCACAGCCCGAGCTGCGCAGGACTGACAAGTGCCGGGTGGTGAGGTGGTGCTCGGCGGACACAAATCACCCTCGCCCCGGAGGCCTCACACGCTGCTCGCCCTAGATCTGGACAAGCCCAGTCCTCTCGAAACTGGGAATGTGTGCGGATGGGATTCTATCTAAAAGCCAACGCACTTTTTGGCCTATGTCGCACTTTGCTAGGAAGGAACGCCGTTGTTGCCATCGGCAGGCGACATGTCAACTTTTAATTCCTGGGGCTGAGAATGTTCCAACTTCGTGGCCTTCCTTTAATGAAAAATGTGTGTGATCATTGTTCAAGTTCTGGAACAATTTGGCTGCCTTGCCTGCAAATAATTTTCACAGGCAAGTGGCCCTTGATGATTGTTGGGATGCCATAACCCGTAATGTTAAGAATTGGGCTTGGGCCTTCATGCGGGGCTTGCGCCGAATTGGGTATGAGTTTGTTATTCGGTTTGACACCCTTGTTCCTGTGGAAGTTGATGCTGTGATGCAGCTGCTAGATGCGCAAGCACTGCAGGTTTGGGATGACATTGACATTTGCCCTAGGACCTGCCCGTCCAGCAATGCCACCTTGTGTACATATCACAGATGGTTTGCTAGGCCAGCTTGTGTGCGCCACCCTTGCCAGCTCTTACAGCAGCCTTTGAGTGCCCGTTGCTTGCGTATACTGTTGAAGTTCAGGATGGGTTGTCATAGTCTGCCCAATGTCTCGGGCCGCTGGGCAAGGATTCCCCGGCCCCAGCGTTTGTGCATGCGTTGTGCCCAGCAGGTTATTGGGGATGAGCGCCACCTTGTGTTTGAGTGCCCTGCCTTGCAATCTGTTCGGGACAGATATCCTGGGCTGTTTGGTGCAGCCATTGTGACGATGCAGCAATTCATGTGGCAGTTGGACATTGTTGGTGTTGCACATTTTGTGATGGATTGTTTTGATTATTTGGATGCTGCCAGTTCATCCAATCAGCCCTAGGCGGCTGGAGTGATGTAATCTTCCTTCCTTCCTTCCTTCCTTCATTGCCTCCTCCTGAGGTCCTCTATTAATTTGTAAGACGCTATCATCACTCCACGGCAGGTAAACTGCAAAGGCTGGCACTTGCGTGTGTGTTTAAGTCGGTGCGTGGGTTGCAACTGCTGTAGCTACAGGGGAAGGGGGCCAATGAATTGGCAGCAAAATCGCCCAGCAGATGGTCGTTCATCAAGTTATCAAAGGGTATCATTGATCCCTACTCACGATCGCATGTATTATTACACCTTTTGACCACAAGACATTTCTGGCCTTGGTGCTGGTACGGCTGCAGGATTCAAGAGGCAGTGCTCTCTCATAAATAGCCAAAAAGGATGTAAATTTTTTCCCCACGGAAATGAAACAACTCAGCTGGATATGCTTGTTCTGGAACAGCATTTTGGGGGATGTCATTCAATTAGCTAGAAGACCGCTGAAGGACGGCGCAAAACGATCTCGGTCCATTTTGCATTGAGGGCGTAGCAGTGAACATGCGCAAGGAGCAACTCTCGACCTCTCGAAATGTAAGACCCGCTCTGCGCATCGCTTGGCCATGCAATGAGAGGTCCTTAATGACCCTCCCACTTTCTGTCGCCACACACAGCGCTCTGCGTCAACCTCACCCTACAACTGCTCTAACGCGGCAAGCCCAGCTAATCAAATCCCCCTGCATTGCAAACAACACCGACTGAGCCTTCCTGCATATTGATCAGACATTGGCCAGTCTACCTTGGGCATCACCTCACGTGATAGGGCCCTCGACCATATATTCAACACGGCATTTGCATGCAGACACCCTGCTTCAATTTAGACAATGAGGAATGCACACATCAAAGCAGGGCGAGCGCCAGGGAAGGAGAATTGGCTGCCTCGCAGGGTACATGCAATGCTTGCAATATTCATGACACCTCCGGCCCACAAGCATGATTGATGGCATTAATGCACTCAAGTGTGTCATCTGGTAACAGAGAAGCCAGGGCGCACTGTGTAAGTGGGCGCGGGTGACGCTTTGGAGCGCTTTAACAAAGGCGGCCGTCCTGAGGGGCAGCTTCTTCTGGCGGCTGATCTCCCAGATCTGCGCAAAGGCCTCTGTCATCTTCAGGTCAAGCCGTTTGTTGACCTCCTCCTCCTCCCAGCGGAAGTTCTGCAGGTTCTGGACCCACTCAAAGAAGCTCACTGTCACGCCGCCTGCACACCCCAAAAAAGGTCTTCAACAGCTGCCAAGAAGCCCTTCCTGACACCTGGGCACTGCATTCTCTAGCACGTGTTCAGCGCACATCAAAGACTTAACAGTGTGCACCGCTGTGAAGGCTACCCGTATCAAGCATTCATGGGCACGATGAGACCTGTAATACCCATCTAAAAGCCAGACTAGGGCTGCAGAGCTTTAATCTACAAAACAGCCTTGCATGGGGTATATGGCATGAATGGGCAACGATAAAAATATGATATTCTAAATGTCATATCATAAAAAGACATATAGGGGGCTCTAAAGAGCAGAATAGCATGGGGGCTATGGCGTGCATGGATTGTCAGGCTCCAAACATGTGTCAGATATGCTTGGCAAAAGGTACAATACCTCCGTTGGTGTAGATGTCTGGCAGCACAACAATGCCGCGCTCGCGCAAGATCTTGTCGCCCTCCGGAGTGGTGGGGCCATTGGCAGCTTCCACCACGTACTTGGCGTCCACCTGCCCAGCCGTGTCGGCATTGATAACGCCCTCGATGGCCGCAGGCACAAGCACGTCGCAAGGGATGCTCAGGATCGTGTCCTTGTCGATCGCCTCCCCTGCACACAGCAGCAGCCCGAATCAATATTCCTAGACCTCTGTGGTGCGTTTGCATGACGCTGGGAGCTGCTGAAGATGAATGGCTATGCAAAGAAAGTATCCTGCTTCTGTCGTATCAGAAGGAAAGACTGAGAGAGAAAAGAGCAGCTCGCGTTCCCAATGCACAGGAGTCCCTCTGTTTGGTTGGGCGCAAGTGTTTGGGTGACATGAAGCACCTTCTGAAAAGGCGCTGAGCAGGTCGCCGTCAGCAATGTGGCGACGCAGGGCCTTGATGTCCAGCCCATTCTCATTGTAGACCGCGCCAAAAGCGTCCGATACCGCAATCACCTTGCCGCCATGCTCCTCAAAGATTTCCGCAGCCCAGGAGCCCACGTTGCCAAATCCCTGAGGGCAACAATGACCTTGCTACAGGGGTGCGCATGCATGCAGCGGAGCATTAGCAGAGCATAAGGTTAGCGTCGATGTCACCGGCAATGCTATTGTACATCATGCGGTGCTTGATAGAATTGCTCTTGCATGGGCCCTAGAGATTGAAGGGAGGGGCCCACCTGGATGACAAATTTCTTGTCGGTAATTGACCCGGCGCCTGTGGCCTTCAGCATCTCGCGCGTGGCAAAGACTGTGCCCCGCCCAGTGGCAGCTTCCCTGCAAGAACAGAAGCGCAGACCTCACAAAATACGCTTCCGTCTCCATATGGCTGGCTCTCAGCACGGTATACTGGGGAAGAAATTGCAGCAACAAGATAGCTGCAGACCTGCCGTAGCTGCCGTGCAGGTGCACTGGCTTGCCGGTGACAACGCCTGGAGAGAACCCGCTGAACTTGGAGTACTCATCAAAGAACCAAGCCATGACGCTGGCATTGGAGCCCACATCTGGTGCAGGGATGTCCACCTGGGGACCGATGGTGTCCTTGATTGCCTGCACAGCTCAGCGATCACAGGCCTTAGACACTGCATTGCAATGTCAAGCTGGCGGCAGGCCTGCTTGTTTGTTGAGCATGCAGCACCAGATAGCATTGCGATCGCTGCGTAGATGCTGGAACAGGGTTGCTCTGCCCGCAGGAGGCAAGCCACTGGAGAGGGGACTGCAAAAGGCAAGCCGCAGAGGGTGCTGACCTGGACTAGCTTCCTGGTAAGCTTCTCAAGCTCGCGCTCTGACAGGAGCTTGGGGTCGACAGAGATGCCGCCCTTGGCCCCGCCGAAGGGGATGTCCATGACAGCTGTCTTCCACGTCATCAAGGATGCCAAACTGCACACCACATGGGCGATCAGTTTATACCTCCAGTGGCTGTGCTCCCATTGCTGCTTTCAGGAGTGCGATTGCACTGCCTCGATGACAAAGACCACCCATAAAGCACGCTGCATGTGGCATAAGAGGGGGTGGCAAGGGCTCACCTGCGCACATCATCCAGATCCACTTTGGGGTGGTATCTGAGGCCGCCCTTGTAGGGCCCACGGCTGTCATCATGCTGCACTCGGTAGGCATTGAAGGTCTCGATCTCGCCGTTGTCCTTGGTGATGACGAGCTCCACTAGCACCTCCCTCTGGGGCGTCAGCAGTAGCCTCTGCAGCTTCTGGGGGTACTCCAATTCCTTCAATGCCTGCAAGACAGGTTGCAAAGGACATTCGTATTGTGGAATTTCTACCAGGAGGGAGGCCCCTCTGACCAAGCAGGCTGAGTCAGGGTCCAACAGCCCATATAGGGCAGACGGATTTGGAGCAACGCTCTGTTATTGCAAGAGAGAATCAGGATTGCGTGTAGATGCTTTTCTGTGCAGAGACAACATAACGATGAATTTTTTTCCGTTTCACTGATACGACCCAGCTCGATCTTCTTTACTAGTCAGCAGAAAAATGGCGCGTGGGGTGCCAACCGCAGGAAGACATGGCACGAGAACAAGGCATTTGCCAACTTGAAAGCCTGTTATATTTATCGCCTGCAGTTAATCAAGCACCTCCTTGATGAAGTAGTTTGTATTTGCCGACGCGCTGTTCTGCCTCTTCTGGAGATCACTGTGGCGCAGACTTGTCAAGCACGGCGCTGCAACACATTGCTGCAATCGTCCCAGGAGACCAGAGCTTCTTTTCAGAGCGTGCATGACGGGCGTTACTCACTTCGATTTGGCATATACCCCGATGGTCCTCCCTATTAAGTCTTAGACGTGCAAAGTCCTCTGTATGCAATGCCCAGGAATCAGCAAAATACTGAATTATGCTTCTATCAATGATAAGGGTTCAATTGCAACTACTTCTGCTCCGCTGAAAGTTCAAGCAGCGATTGCTCGATCTGAGTCATCATGTCTACGTAGAAAGCTGAGCGTTTCTAGATGGAGGCGTTCCCTGCCTGGTGCCACGAAATGCTCGAAATTTGCAGATCAGGAGCGATTTGCGGTAGCTATGATCCCACAAAGCATCAGAAATAAGCTTTCTGCTAGCGTGTCACTGTCCGAGCTTGGTTCCCTTGGAAGTTCCGCATCATTCACAGATCGGCATGTAACTCGATCCCTGCGAAGATTCGCTTGCTACACTAGCTGGAATGCCCACAGATCTTTGAGAAGTAACCTAGTGAAGTGCTATGTAGATACTGGTATACGAGTGCGCCAGGCACGCATCGAGGATGCCAAGGCAGTCGCAAGTGTTTGTGCGGAGGTGAAGGATGTGCCTTTGCCTGTTGTAATGTCGTGCTTCTGCTTGTGCTCGTAGTACTATGCGGGCCTTTTTGAGACATGCTGCCAACGCAGGCTTTCGATTTTGGGCCAAATTCATTCAAGGCAAGGGAAGGGCGGGAGTCATGGTTGGGGTCAATGTTGATCCAGACAGCCAAGTTGGATTTGGAGAGGCAGGTCGTCAGAGCTCTGGAGAGCAAGCAGAAGGTGCAGTCTAATGACTTTTGCATTTATTACTGAATAGATTATACTGGGATCACATGTGCGGTCCTTCTAGCACTGTTTGTGTTGCTTTCCAGGCGTCCAGACAAGCTAGGTTGCTCCTGCTTGACCGCCAAGCGGATGACATGCGTGCTGAGCTTGCAGCGCTGCGAGAGGGGCGCCAGAGGAGGATCGTGCCGAGGATCTCGGCTGTTGAGAAGTGATCGTCACCTCCTGATGCGCCTTAGCCATGCATATAAAGCATAGATCCTCCAGCATGATACACAACAAATATCTGTGCCTACCTAACGCACATCCGCTTGGTGCCAAGGTGACAGGAATGGGTGGGCTGCCATGCAGGGCACAGCAGCTGAGTCTGCAGAAGCGGAGGAAGTGTGCCTGTCTGGTGGCAGAGTCAGTGGCAGACAAGACCCTTGTCGGATGCGCATTCACATCTCTTGTGGCGCCCGAAGCGCTGCTGCCGCCTCCCTGGCCGACCACCAAGCCACTGCGCTTCTACATGAGCAATCTGGGCGTGCTGCAGAGCCACCGCAGGCGCGGCGTGGCTCTGGCTCTGCTCAAAGCCTGCGAGACTCTGGGTGAGACCCTTGAGCCTGCCACCACCTTCAAGACCTGCAGCCTGGCCATCAAAATTGCTTGCATGCGCAGCTGCCTTCCTTGTCATGGCTCCCTTGTGAGAGACTTTTGATTGATGTTACTGTCGTTTCGGATTTTATTGATTTGGCCCCGGCTGGCGGCTAGCGGTATAAATACAGAGCACCGTGCCCATGGTTGATTGGGTGTTGCTTGGATCTGGCGTGTCCAACAAGGGTAGGATTGTCTGCAGGATGTATCTTGCCTTTTGGCAGGAAAAGCGTGTATAATGATAATAAATATGTTTGTTCGTGGGTGGGGCAGGGCGCAGGTGGGGGGAGGAGAGTGTTTGGCTGCACACTGAAGCAGACAATGCTGGCGCTAATGCCCTCTACCAGGCAGCAGGTTACAGCATTCACTGTGAGGGGTCCCCAGGCATGTCTGGGATTTTTACCAATTTGTTTGGTATTGGCAGCAAGGACAGGCTGTACTGGAAACCTCTCTTGCCAGTGCAGAGTGCTCATAAGGGTGCTGAGGTGGCCCTGGATGACCTCCAAATAGAGGGTGCTGTCCGGGACAGAGACAAAGTCTTTGTTTGGGACGCTGTCACGATGAAGTCAAAGGAGGATCAGTAGTAGGGTTCTCTGCTACAGTTCTGGGAACAATTCCCAACATGATGTGCCTGCTGTGTACACATGTGTAGACAAAAGACTATATTGCACTGTGATATCCAACCCCAGTAAGGAGCGTGCAGACCTTGATTGATGACATGAGACTTGGCAGCTTTGTGCACTGTGGTGCTTCAAGTATTAATATTGGACCACATCCATATATTGGATTACAATGTTGGACCACATCCAAGGTCGGGATGATCACATGACAAAGCCATATTGGTGCTTGTTACAAAAATCACTTCGAGATATCTTGCGTGACTCCGTCCAAGTTGCATGCAAGCCCCATCCAGAAAGGGGTAGAACCCACAGGACAGTGCTATTTTATTGTCATTGACCACCATTGTTGAAGAAATTTGAGCTGACATCGTGCTATGAGTATCGGTGATAAACAAAAAGCATGCAAAACCGTTTTGTGATATGACCATGCATGATTTTTACAGAGTTTATATTTCATTGATCATCAGTCTAGCAGATCCTGTACATCAAAGAGAATGTGCAAGCTCTCAATAAGAATACCAAGAGGTCACCTGAGATGGTCTATGAGATGCTGTACAAAAGTTAGACATTGCTTGCTCTCCTCACAGGTAACAATAGAAGACACAGATCTCCTAGGTCTCTAAACAGAACCTACCACATGAGCCTCTAAGCCAAGGTCATTTGTTTGATTGACATACGATCAAAATCAAGCTCCAGAGTCCAAGGAATGCAATTGCACACAAGGACGGATTCTCTTGCAGATTCATCATGCAGATTCATCATGTTTGGATTGCTGCTTGTGTTGCTAGCTTTGTGACTCTGTACAGTGTGAGCTCTATTACTCCAAACGCAGAGTATCACTCAGCGGTAGACAGCGAATGCATCTGGCTTGGTGCCCACAGCCTCCTCAATCTTCTCCAGGACCTCAGGTGTCAGCATCGGCACCACATTCAGGGCTCCAAAGTTGTCCTTAATCTGCAGCACATAAAAGAAGCCCATGGGAACGCAGGATTTGCAGCGCCCACTTGTCTGTTGTGCGCACAATAAGGACCATATCTGACTCCCACACAGTAACTTTGAGAGAACATGCAGGATAAGGTTTATGCTCTAGACTAGTATTGACAGTAGACTTGAGGGCCCCTCACCTGCTCTGGCTTGGTGGCTCCAGTGATGACGGTGGAGACATCGCTGTTCTTCAAGCACCACGCGAGCGCGAGTTGCGCCAGTGTGCAGTCCAGCTCCTGCACAGATGCACAATCCCTTTCTTCAGAAACAAGGAAATATACACTGTTGTACCTGTATCACTTCCTTCAAATTACAGCACCTTCATCTCGCTCGTACAGGTACAGCGACACGCAAAGAGTTGTATCGGCACGGTAAAAAAACACGCTGCGGTAAAGGAAGTCACCTTGGCAATGGGCTTCAGCTTGTCCACCCTGTCGAGGTTGGCCTCTATCAGCTTCTTCTCCTTGAGGCCCTGCTCCACAGAACACCAAGCACATTACTATTGGCTACACAAGTCAGCACCCATCTGCTCCACCACCACAAGCCTGCACTTCACCTGATCTGGTGCTGTGACAGTGCATGCACTTCATTGCCTGGAAAGAATTTCCGGGCCTGACAGAATATGAGCTAACACCATGTGCACACCGTACATGAGATGCACAAGGCAGCCCTGTGAAAGCATGCGCCTCCTCTACTCGGTGACTGAAGCCCGAGCAGGCTGAAGGGCAATTTCACTGTAAAGACACATATAGAACAGAAAAAGACACACCTTGTACATCTCCAAAGCCAGGCGGCTGTCAGCGGGAACATGGTCCTTGGCGTACTTGCCAGTCAGCATCCCAGAAGCCAGAGGGCTCCAGGTGGTCAGGCCCAGGCCCACCTTCTTGTACAGGGGGGCATAGTCCACCTCCACCTGCTCATCAACACCAGCAACGTGAGCATTGCATTCGTGTTTGCATATACTTGCAAAGCCCAATGGCCATTGTGTCCTTGAAGTCATCACCGCTTGAATCCGAGACAAAGTGCCCGATTGCTGTCACACTCAAAACACCTCCAGGCGCAGCAGCACTTCCACGCATGTCGGATGAAGGCAAAGATGTCCAGCAAAGGGCGTCCGGGTAAAAGCAAGGATGCAAGGCTATTCAAGGAATGCAGAGCAATGGTGTAGCATGTGACAATGGCAGTGTTGGTGCAGGCATATAACTGACCTTCTTCCTCTCGAGCAGAGAGTACTCGGGCTGCTCCATGGCGGGTCCAATGAGATTCAGACGGTCTGCAATCGCCCAAGCTTCAGTGATCTGCTGAGCAGTCCACTCAGATGTGCCCCTGTATGCATGAAGCTCTGCGATGAGGAATCAGGGCATATCAGGGCATTTGCAAGACAAGGATATTAAATACTGCATGCAAAAAAGGGTCGGTCAAATTTCAGAAAAGGGTGTGTCGGACAAAAAATGCTCACCAGTAGAATGCCCAGCCCTGGTCGATGACAAAGTTCATGGCGCGCACAGTCTCCTCGATGGGAGTAGTGGTGTCGGGCCGATGGCAGAAAATAAGGTCCACGTAATCCAGCTGCAGACGCTTCAGGGATGCCTGCCAGAAACAAATTGCAAACTTGACAAGAGAGCATGCACACCAGATTGTAATTCAAACTTGTGTACCAAAGAGTGGAGAGGGTTATGGGCAATAATGAACCACAAAGACCCTTGTGAAGAGTGCATTAGGGGATACTGAAAACGCTTTAGTCTTTAGTAAACCATAGTTGCATGTGTGCACGGACCTTTATGCCCTCAATGATGTGCTTTCTAGAGAGCCCCTTGTCGTTCACACCCTTGCCACCCCAGAAGATCTTGGTCGAAATTACATAGTCGCTGCGCTTCCATCCAAGCTCCTGTGAGCAAGAAGAATGATTTTGCAGTGATTTCCCCACCGCTGATACCAAAGCACAGTCTACAGATACCATGCCAAGACATGGTGGTGACATTAGTATTATGTGCATGCCAGAGAACCTGATTAGCCATACCTTGATGGCAGCACCCATGACCTCCTCAGCCTTGCCATCTGCATAAACCTAAATGGAAGACAGTTGTCAGCAATATGATCACTATGAATAACAACATGGCAGGCAAGTGGGTCCGGCAAGCAATGGACATTTGCAGAGAAAGGGATTTTGAAAGGCATCTACCTCAGCATTGTCGAAGCTGCACAGTGCACACAACAGCAGATTCAGAAACCTTCATGATGAACAGATGGCTGAAGGACGCTTCTGGGCACAAAATTGCAATGGGGAGGAAGAGCATGTACTCACAAATTGATGCCACCATCCCAGCACTGCTGCATGAGCTTCTTGGCCTACAGAATGAAAGCGGTGAGGGTTAGAAACGGCAACATATTCGAGCCAAGGGACAGCTTCCTGAACCATCTCACACGACTATCTATCCAACAGGGTGATCATTCAAAATTACATACCTGCGGTACGCCAATCTGATTGCCGAATGTCACCCACGCCCCGTAGCTCAGGGCGGACACCTGGACAGAAATAAAACATCACCCATTAACAAGTAGGCAATATCACGGAAGCTCGTCCGAACATTCAATCGAGAGCTGCGACTGCTGGTAAGACATGTGGCAGCTGCAAACTCAATGTTTTGAGAAAAGAAGCTCATGACAACGCGCAAGAAGAAGGACTGTCCTGACGTAATGAAGCAATGACTTATCACCACGTCGTCCCAATTGCGGTCAGAAAGGAAACATACGCTGTGTAAGCCAACCTACCTTAAGGCCGGTGCGGCCAAGATGCCTGTAAATCATGCCAGGAGCTTCATTTGACATTTTGTCCAAATTTCTCTGTCTTTGATCCCTAGACGATCTGCTTCTCCGCTCAACAGGCAAGGCCGGGAACCTTACACAGAAAGAAGATAGTACTTGAATGGTTTGCAATCGCTTATATCACACGAGGAACTTTTCAATATGCACGTTTCAATGTGCTTCCCCGTTCGTCAATGACCTGACTCATTTGGAAGCTAAGGGTTTGAATACTTCAGATCCCTGCGATAAAGGGGTATGACCTTAACGTCCAAACGGAGACGAGGGACAGAGAGCTCGGAACACAAAGCTCGACAAAGCTGTGGGAAGTAGGTATCATTTCCAAAACTTTGCTGTGATATTCTGCCTGCATTCTGCGCAATTCATGCGTCCTTGAGCATGGTGCGAGGAAAAGAAGAGATGCCGGAGGAACTGGCACAGAGGACTGTGAGCAGGCTGTTCCGAAGAGCAGAGAAGCCCCAGGCGTCGGAGGAACCGGGTACCTCCTGTCAGGACGTCAATGTTGAGTCTCCCTGTCGCTTGCGTCGCTCAAAGAGAGTGGCCGCCCGCCAGGAGCGTGAGGCTAACGCTCCAGTCCAAGAAGAACCTAGCCACAGCCAGAAGAGAATTTGCAGGCGGAATGCAAGGACCTCAACAACTTCATCGCAGTTGGGTTACTTTGCGTACCTTCCTGAAGAGGTGAGGGTCCGAAGTCCTGCTTCTAAATTTCAATGGGTTCCACTGTGACCTCCCTCAAACTTAAGACAACAGGGCGGTATGCACCTCCCGAATAGCACTGGTTACAATATCTGAATATTAGACAAGTTAATTGACAATTTCCTCCTATTGCCCCTGACGTCCTGTGTGCCAAGATGTCCTTTTTGCTCATTCTAGCCAGCATGAACCGTTTGGGTTCCACAAGAAGCCGGGGCTCTAATTGACGCGCATACGAATTTGAGGTGATGTCCATATGCTACATGCGCTGATGTGGCTCACAGCTTGTGGAGAAGATCCTGGACCTCTGTGACCCCAGGGAGCTGGGCAATCTGTGTGCAACGTGCCGCTTCTTCAGCAAAAGCAGCATCATCCAGAGCATTGGGAAGTGTCGCATATCTGCCATACCACGCGCTAAGGGTCTTCAGCCTGCTTCCAGGTGAGGGCCATTGTAAACCCTGACCACAATCATTCACTTGTTGCATACATTGCTGGGAACTGCAGGTGATGCGTGACATGACTTCTGCTATTCATTGCGATGCAGCAAAAGGGAGACGTGGCTCTCTCTGCTGCACTTCATCACCAGCCAGTCCAGAGGAGCTGCTCAGGGCACAGCCATTGCTTTGGGTGCATATCACACAGCTGGCCTATTCGTCAGCAATGCCCTGTTCCTGGATGCTGTTCCTGACAGCAGTGACAGTGCAAGCAGCCCCCCTTATGAGCTCTCCACCTTTGGCAGGGGTAGGTGTCCCACATGTCAAGCCTTGGACATGAGTAATCATTTATGCCCCTTCCACAGAGTGCCTGCCTTGGCTCGTGCATGTTCCTCATGAAGGAGGGCTGACATCTTGAGGACTTCATTTTCTTCAGGATTCCATGGGCAGCTTGGAAATGCAGATTATGGCACTGCTTACAGGCCTGTGATGTGTTGCAGCAGCTCAGGAGGCAATTTTCTGGTGCGCAACCTCAAATGCCATTTTATGCCCTGCATGTTACTTTCATAAATGTCATCTAGGCACCTAGCAAATCGGTGTTCACATTAGCATTTGGAAAGGGATGTGGGTGCCTTGCAGACTAAGTACAATGGGCAGCCTGCTGTGGTGGCGTGCGGATCAAATCACTCTGTGCTCATATCGAGGCGTGGTGAGCTCTTCACATGGGGACTGTCATCAAGCGGAGAGCTGGGTCACAGTGAGACTCCCATCGACCTCAATGTGCCTCGCCAGGTATTCAACAGAGTCCTGCGTCTTCTCTCCTCATCTGTGTTATCTGAGCATCTGACGCTTCTGTTTCTGCAGTACATGTCCTGGCCAACTAGCTAATGCCAGCACCTTATGTCATGAGGAAACATGCTTGGTGAGCAGGTGGCATCCCTGCACCGCACGCGCATTGTGTCAGTCAGCGCCGGTGGCAACCACACGCTGGCCATCTCAGAGGCTGGAGAGCTGTGGTCTTGTGGGCGCGGCCGGCATGGACAGCTGGGACTGGGGACCTTTGAGGACCAGACACTCCTGCGCAAAGTCACCACCCTGCAGTGAGTCTGCAGCGCCCTCTTGTCAGTTCTTGCTGGCACACTTGGTGGTGTGGATGAGATGCAAATTCTTTCATGGGCTTGAGCTGTGATATTCTGCTCTGCAGGGGCATCCGCATAGTGTCTGCAGCAGCTGGGGAGAAGCACAGCGTGGCATTGGGCAGCCATGGCTGCATGTACACATGGGGATGCGGCCGGCATGGTCAGCTTGGGCTGGAGAATGTTGCAGACTTTGTGGCACTGAACATGGCAGCCCCTGTGGCTGTCCACCAGCCTCAGCGTGTCAGCTCCCTTGATCCCAACCACCTTGACCCCTGGGACAGGTGCGGTTTTTTGCTTGGACTGTATATTCAATGATGAGTTCATTCTCATTCGGTTCATACACATGCATGGGCCTACAGATTCTTGCAATGGTGGTAAGTTGTGACCTGACATGCATGGATGTGCGTGTGATTGCAGGATCACTGCAGTTGCTGCGGGCCTCAACCACACAGTTGCTCTGACAGTGGCCGGCGACATCTTCATGTGCGGCCACAACAAGCATGGCGCCCTTGGCTTGGGAGACACTGCCAACCGCTTCCTGCCCACAAAGGTGACCTAACCTTTGCACATCAATGTTTTATTGCCACTCTTTTTATTGGGAACAGTGCTAAGCAGGGCAGGATCATAAGCTCAAGGCCCTGCATCCTGTTCAGGTCGATCTGGCGCCGACTCTGGCAATGACAGGCAACGTGGACCATGCAAGGGCAAAGGGCACAGTGCTGGCCAGGGGAGTACAGGTGGCCTGTGGCGGCATGCACACCCTGGCGCTGATCAAGGTCAAGGGGGAGCTCATCGTGACTGCTGCAGGTCTGTAACAGCTCCACATATCACTAGCATTGTGCTGTTTTCTATGCTAGCTGTCTGGGTACATTTTATTGTGGTCTGTTTGTAACAGGCAGCACAGGTGCCTGGCCGTCCATTTGTTGATGGCTTTGTGTTGGTGGGACTGCAGGCTACAATGCCCACGGCCAGTTGGGCACAGGCGACACCACCAGGCGGCTGGTGTTCACGCCAGTGGAGGGCTTGGAGGGGGTCTCAGTGGTGTGCGTGGTGAGCGGGGAGCACCACTGCTGCGTGGTGTCCAAGGAGGGCAACCTGCACATGTGGGGCCGCGGCGACTGCGGACAGTTGGGCCTGGGAGATGACTTCAGCCGCTCCATCCCCACCCTGCTCCCCGACTCACATGTTGTCAACCCCGACCGCACCCTGCGCAGGCAGCCCTCCAGCAAGGCGTGAGCCGGCCTGAGGAGTTAGCCATCTCTGAAATGGCTTGCTGCTTCTGGCCAGGGACTGCACTGCACGTGCCGGGGACCCAGCCATTCCTCTGCAGTGGGCTACGCGCTCAGAGCAAGGAGGAATTTGCCCTGTGAGCATGTTTGGCCGGGGACGCAGCCATTGCTCTGCAGTGGGCTGCGTGCTCAGAGCAAGGAGGAGTTGGCCCTGTGAGGATATTTCGCTGGAGACTTCTTAGGACATTGTGTCAGAGAGGGATGGCAAAGACCATGTGAGAGATGCTTGGCTGCTCAAGTGCTACACTGCATGTCAGCTCAGGCTTTACCCCGTGATGCTACAGGTTGTAGTGTCTTGAATGCTGTTTTTAGCAAACTGCCGGTAAGCCTCTAGCTTGATTTTACGGTAGTAATTTTGTGCATTTGTATCCTGTGGACCCTAGCAGGTCTCCCAGGACTTAAGAACTGTAGAAGAACTTGAATGCAATTCCCCCTTGCACCTCATGGGGTGCAAAATGAAGGCAGAGCTCAAGCAGTACCTTGTGCAATGGAGAGAATGCATGGGACATATATTGAGACATTTAAGGGCCTTGATTACTCAACTGAACCACTTTTGTGCTTCGTTTTGCAGATCTATTGATTGCATATATGCCGATGCTGACTTACAAGCGAACCTAGATTGAGCGAGTTGTGTTTGAGTAGATGTTAGGGCTAGCATTTCTTCATTGAGCTCCACCAACTTGGGGTGAAATGTCTGTGCCACGATTGCTGCTGCAGAACCTTTTCTGTTTTCCTGAGCAGATATTGCCTATATCCTTGAAGCCTCTGCAATTTCCTTAGGATCACTTGGTCCTCCGACAGTGGTTTGCGCAATACACATGTGAGCCATTATAGGTCGATCAAACGAGAGACATGGATGTTATAGAGTCTATAATATAGACTGATGCACTGGTTGCATCTGTCCTTAGAAAATATGCAGGCAGGGTTGGCAGCCTGCAACCCATTGTAAATAGCTTCAGCCACAGTGAATGTTTCCAATGTACTGGCCATGGCATCATGAACATGCTCCATCTGGTGCAAAATCACATTACAGCAGACAACTGATCCTCACAATGGCCTCAGTATCTCTAGACACGATAGTGTTAGTTTGTCTCTCTCAACTTGGTGATGGGCACCGCAGTCATGTAGCTGCTTGTGCTGCTGGCACCAACAGGGCTGAACTCGGCACTCACGTCTCAGCCATTCACCTTAGATATATCGATATAGGGTATTGATCTTCAGTGTAACGTACATCAGATTGGGACAGTCCAGCACAACCAAGGATATATACTTCTAGGGCAATGGCCCCATGCGCATCTTCTATGGTACATGAACAGAACACTCGCTTTGTTGGTGGCACAACAGAATTCAGAATTCTTCTGCAGATCTGCAATGGCTTGTCGCCTTGCACACCCCCAAAATATACAAGTTCTCAAATGCCAGAATCACTCCTCCATTCTGGATTGTTGCTAGCTAGTTAGGGTCCAATACTTCATAGCCAGCGTGTGTGTTGATTGCTTTGGCTATTCGGCGCCGCTCCCTCGTCGCAAATTTCTCCACCACCTGACCGCCCTTGAAGAAGTAGAAGAGCGGCACTGCTTTGATCTTAAACTTGTCTGAAAGCTCTGACAGCTCCTCATACCTACAGCGCATGTCTAAATTTGAGGGCACACAGGAAAGACCCCATAGAGATCAAAGAGCACAGCTGATGCTTTCTGAACGGGCTCGTACTCATCAAAAATGTTGTGCCGCAGAAACATGACTGGTGAGTGCCGCTCCACACTGGCCCTGCACAGCTTTATGAACCCCGGCTGGATGTAGCGACAGCTCCCACAGGCAGTCTTAAAGAAGTCCACCACAACCTGAATGCGCAGGACCAACATAATGCTTTCTCCCTGTCTACCGGGACTACAAAAATGTGACACTCTGCAAAAGCTGTCCAGCTTGCCAGGTCGTACCAGAGTGTTCTCTCCTGCCTTCTCCAACGCATTGTCCAGATCTTCCACTGCAGATATGGCATCAAATTGTCAAGATTGCTATTCTGAGCACGGCACTGCACTTGGAAACAACAGACCTGCTGTCTGTATGGTGAGGGACAGCGAGATAAGGCGCCACCTGAATAGATGTCTCTCACACACTCGGCGGGGCAGGTGTCATCATTGGCCCCATCTTCACTCGTCACCGCTCTTTGTGCCTCTATCACAGCCTGATCCTGTCTGTACTTGTCTAGAATTCCTCGAGCCACTGTGCTATGGAGCCTCTCTTGAGCGCAGATTGACTTCGAACACGGCAGTCTTCTGTAAAACACATAAAATTTGGATCAAGGCAACGATTCTCAGATCGTGTGACAGACTGGTGCAATTCATCAACTGCTTACGAACGTTGAAATCGGGACAAGGAAAATATCAGCACAAGCACAGACAGTCATTGCAGATCTCGAAGCCTTGCCTCGTAAGCAATCTTAATGCATGCGGACAACAAGCAGGTTGCACAACGACTTCTTGATTCCTTAAAGGGAAAGAGGCCATCAGCCCTCTGGACTAGGGGCGTGATTCGATATGAAATTTTCCCGAGAGCAGTGCAAACCAAGATCCTCTACTCTACTGCAAATGATTGACATTCAAGCGTCGAATTGCTGTTGGAGCCAGTGAGCTTCTTGTCAGCAGCAAATCTACTGATCAGGGTCTCATATGAGAGGGTTTAGAATTTAAAGGGTCCCTAACAACTGCTGATCTGGCCTCGAACGTTTCGATGTTCTGTTCGCGAGCACATGCAGGGAAGCTCAGACAGAAGAGTAGTGTTTTCGATGGAAGTTGCGCTCGGTATGACGCTGTCGATCGCTTCACAGAACTGCCTGATGATGCGGCGAGATCTCGGATTCCTTGTTGACTGAGTCCGAGGTTTCGTGATCGGGGTGCATATAGGGATCTAAGGCTCCATCTGCAGATTAATACGATGAATGTTGCTTCCGGTACCATCCCTGCCCTGGAAACTTCATTGCTAGGGAAAGCTGAGCCGTCTCATGCTTCCAGTACTAGCATAGTGGTCTCCTTCAGGGGAGGCACTGGAGTACTGAGCATAAACAGAGACAATTCTGTGAGCTTCATCGTAGATAAGGTATACTGACCACCTTGCATACTGCCACAAATTGGCCTTGAAGAATAGTCCTTGGACAAGCAACACCTCCTCTTTGATGCAAGCGATTGAAAAAGCTATGCTGACTGAATGTCTCATGAACAGGCCATGAAATCTTCCCTGTTGAGGCCTGGATGCTGTGGCACTGCAGACCAGAACGTGCAGGTACTGTCCTGCACCCAAAGGGTCTCTGCTCGCTGCCTCATGTCAGCAATTTAGTCAGGTCCTTCCAACACAGGTATCTGTGCAGGTGAAAGAGGACGAGCTGATTGGTGCTTCTCTGGAGAAGGGCAATGGATTCAAAGTATGGTACTGCACTGTGAGCAGAAGCACCTTGGGTCGGCAGATTCGGTGGGTCCTTACATCAGCTTCACATGCATCTGAGAGATCTTTATGTATCTTCGTTCCAGACGTCATCAGTATGGCAGATCTCACCTGATTTAGTGCGAATACGCAAGTGACGCAGGCATCTGTGTAAGAGCGGACGCTTCACATGCACATCAGCACAGATAGCGCAGAAGACAGTCAATGTCCTGCAGAGCCTGGGCAGCCCGTCCAAGGGAAATCGTGGGAAGCGGCTGTTAGTCATCATCAATCCCCACAGCGGCCGTGGCAAGTGAGCAACACAGCCCTGTCCAAAATCTCCGCTGTCCTGCATTGAATGCATTCCACCCCTTTCTGTTCAATTGCTGCGAGATCAGGAAAAGTGACAAGGGCTCATGTGATTCAGGGCGAGGAAGACTTACCACAGTGTGGTGGAAGCCATGCTGCAAGCTGCCGGCTTTGAAGTGGTGCTTCACGTGACTGAGCGCCCAGGGCAGGCCACAGACATTGTCAGGGATGAGGCGCTGGAGCAGTTCCAAGCCGTTGTTGCTGTGGGTGGGGATGGGACAGCCTTCGAGGTTCTCCAGGTACCCTTTGATATTTCATCGGAGTCTGGTGCATATAGGACTGGCATGGAGTGACACCCAGTGCTCTTTTTTTGCTGTCGCTGACCAATGAGTAACTGTATATATTCAAGAATGCAGTATGGGTACTTTGGTTGTATGGCTGTCTGCTATGCTGGCTGTCAGGATGTATGGCTGTATATGTATCATGATCTCTCACGTCACATGCATGTTGCTGTGAAAGGCTCTCATGAGATGGCGCATTCCTGGCGCAGGGGTATTTCCACGGACAACACTGGCAGCAGCGCACAAGGACGCCCTTCTGCCTGGTCCCCAGCGGATCTGGGAATGCCCTGTCAGCCAACTGCGGGATGTGGGATGCGGTCACGGCTGCGTACGCTGTGTGCAAGGGCAAGCAGCGGCCCATCGACATCTTCTCAGTGCTGCAGGCGCAGGGGCAGCGCTTCTATGCGTTCCTGTCCATCTACTATGGCATGATGGCCAACCTGGATCGCGGCACCGACCATCTCAGGTGACATCACTAAACTAATAACTAGCATACTGTCAGGCTGATAATACACCCTGAGCTCAATCCCACAGTGGCGAATATTGCTTTCTTGGGCTGTCTGCCAATGCATCTGTGCAGCTTAATCCTGTACATTGCATTCTCCACTTTGAGTGTTGAAGTACCTCCAAATGGCAAGAAACTCTGGCCAAGAATTAATGCATGTGTGTGGCAACAGGTGGATGGGCTCTGTGCGTTTCACCATTGGAGCGCTGCATGAGATTTTCCAGAGGAAGAAATACGCAGCCCGAGTGGCGTTCTTGCCCTCAGCAAGCGCTGAGAGGCTGCCTCACGCAGACCGTGGCAGCAGCAGCCCAGGAAATGCTCATGAGCGCTCTGAAGGGAAAGCAGCCAGCAACAAGCAGGAGCATGGACGCATGGAAGGCAACTCAGCCCCACAGGGGCCTGCAACACAGATATTGGATGGTCTGGGTGACTTGTCACGGCTGGACCTTTTCAATGCCAATGCCCTGCCCCAGGTGTGCCTTCTCCTCCTTGCTGTATGCTTGCTGTATACTTCCCTGATAAGCCCACCATACAATGGCATCTTTGCAGGTCCCAGACAAGCAATTCCACCTTATTTTCAGCATGCAGATTATCTACAAGGGAATGTTCAAGTGTGTGCAAGAGCCACAGGTGAAGATGAAGCATGGATCATGCCTATGGGTTCATGAATGTGTGATCATTGATGTGCGATCATTTAAGAGTATAATTGTCTGCTGCACGTGGTATAAAGGTGTGAAATTTGCTGGGTGGTGTCGCAGGGGTGGCGGATGCTTCCCTGTGAGGAGACCTCCTTCTTTGCCGCTGTCAACCTGCCTTTCCTGGACTTCACCTCACGCACAGGGCCGCAGGCCGACTTTGACACAGGTCAGGAGAGCCTGCACCCAGCATTTACTGCAATGCAAATGGCCTGATAAAGCTGAAACATGGTTTCGCACAAATGCGCGTTCCAGGACTTGAAATGATGTGCCTTCAACAATGTTTGTTCTGTGCAGGCTGCCTGGACCTCATGTATGTGGAAGATCTGAAGTCAAGGAAGGAGGGCCTTGAGTTCCTGGAAGCGATTGGGAAAGGGAAGCACCTGGAGGGCAGCAACTGCCTCCTGGAGAAAGTTGCGGCCCTCATAATCGACCCTCTCAGCCCAGGTAATTACAATACACCTTAACAAATTTGCGGCTCTCCTGCATCCACTGCTCATTGGATACATCTGCATATCGAGCAGTTGTGTGATAATGGCTTCGCAGTTTTGCATCTGTGGGGATCCCAGAGAATTTCAGTGTTTGAAATTATAAACTCCAACCAATTACTGCGCTTGTTGATAGATTGGGTTGTGGCATGGCAGGCACATGGCTGGTAGTGGATGGAGAGGACATTCCCTATCGCCGTGTCTATGTTGAGGTGCATCCAAAACTTTGCACCGTGCTTGTTGCATGAACCTGGTTTTTTTGCCGAAAAGGACCGATTGAATCCCACAAACTGCCCTTGCAAACTTTGGGAGATACTATGGCAATGACAATGGGCAGGGAAAAAGCAATTGGCCGCTGTGCGGCGGAAACATGTGAAAGCACGCTGTCCTGCAGGGTCGTGCATGTGCAATGTCAGCTGCTGCTTGTTTGTCAAAGTATAGCATTGGAATAACTTGCCTGCCTTTTGTGTATATCTATAGTATCTATGTACACTAGATACAGCTTCTTGGACTTGAGTTTGTTGAAGACGCTCTTCTTAAATTGAATGCATGCTTGATAGCCTATGATAGCTGAGCTCTCATTGAATTGCCACGGAATGTGCAGCGCTGTCGCATGCGCGGTGAGTCAATATCGTTCATGTGTACCTGAGACTTATTTGCAGGCTCTGAATGGCTCTGGCAATATAGTGTCTATGCTGACCAGACATTGTAATTTTTGATAGAATGCAACTTGAATGTTGGAGACTCTACACGGGCTGCTCTGTTTAAACAAATTTGACAGCCTGTGAATACTGAGTGTGTGCTTCAGATATATTTTAAGAGCTTGGGTTGTGATCACATGGTACCCATAACTCATCCGAGCTCTGCAGCCAATCACATACTGAAAGGAAGCAAGAGAGAGAGAGAGAGAGATTACACTTTTTCCAGCCACACAGGGCTGATTAAGCGTCCCACATATCTAAGCAATCGCAGGCTGACACTGTGTCAGCAGCCTCTGCAGCTGCATGCATCGATGCTGATGCTGACACGTGGTCACCAAAGCACGCATTTCTTGGACTTGTTGCTGTTTGCAAGCAAAACAATCAAGATCGTCAAAGTGATTATACATATTGTTCCTGAAGCTCGGTTGTTGGCCAGCAGCACTTGATATGTCTGTGCCAGCCAGGATTCACTTTTTGGAGGCATTCGATCTGGTGATCAAATGATCCCCGAGTGTGTGGTGGAGACCGAACCGCTTTCGTATTGCACAATGCTCACATCTGATGCAGAAGAACGCCTCCTTGAAAGCCTGAAAGATCTCGGTACGTCCTTAATCCATTGTCACGTGCACCATCAGCTTATTGAATAGCGCAACTGAGAAGAACTTGCCTACAGGCTTCAATGACTTCCGAGGAAAGCAGAAGGAAGCGATTACTGCAGCACTGACTGGCAGTGACTGTCTCGTCCTCATGCCTACTGGAGGTGGACATGCTCTCACTATGCTACTGTGCTGCTCTGCTATTACTTGCAGTGGTGCATGTTTACTAAATTCGTCTAGGAGTCCACATTTGGCAATGATGTGCAGGTGGCAAGTCCCTTTGCTACGCCCTTCCAGCTGTCATCACTGGAAAATTGGCGGTTGTAGTATCACCCCTCATTGGTGCGCACTGCTTCCTACCATCCCCCCTGTTGCGGCCCAAGGGTGGCTGATATCCACTGCGAGCTGCCAAGATTGATTATGTCCCCCTTACAACTGAAGTGCCAGTTTCTTGGGTCAGCTTTGATGCAGGACCAGGTCAGTAATTTCAACAAGAGGGGCATCAAATCGGACTATTTTTGCTCCACCCGCACAGAGAAGGAACGTGCAGCCATTATCCGTGGCTTGCAGACCGCCAACATTGCTCTTCGGCTGCTGTTTGTCACACCGGAGACATTCTCCTCAGAACAGTAGGGTCTCCTCTTTTACAATACCATCAAGGTGCCTTTTATCGATGCCTACCTTTGAGTATCCAAATGCTTGCTGCACTATTGAAGGGGTTCGTGCTATCAAGAAAATTACTTCACTGCAGGTTGCTTGAGCACATGCGTGGGATATATGCCTCGGGCCAGCTTGCTTTGGTGGCTATTGATGAAGCCCACTGCATATCATCCTGGGGTGCGGCTTAAACACTCCTCTCTCAACTCTACCTTAAATGTGAGCAAATAGCCATTGGAGCATGCTCTCATGTGCTGAATGGCGAGGTTTATGTCAGGTCATGATTTCAGGCCAGCATACAGGCGCCTGTCCAGCATCAGAAGGGAGCTGCCTGGTGTCCCAATCATGGCATTGACTGCCACAGCAACCAAGCAGGTCCGCTCCTCCTCATGCATGCCATCTATCTCTCTGCTGTTCCTTGCAAACTTTCCGTTACCAGCTTTGGCCGCTGCGATGAGGAATGGTGACAAAGACGTGTAGTGTCTGAAATGCAGGTTCAGGATGACATTGCTCAGAGTGTGCTGAGAAACCCGCTCCGCCTGATCACATCCTTCAACCGGCCCAACATCAGTTACCACGTGCGCTACCAGCTGCAGGGCAGCTCATCAGCAGTCAGCCAGATTGCTGACATCATTGAGGAGATGAAGGGGCCTGCTGGAGCCGTCCCCTGCTGCATCGTGTACACTCTGAAGCGTGAGACGGCTGACGAAGTGGCAAACCGTCTCAATGCAAGAGGTAGACTTCTGCATCTTTTTGTACTTCCTTGTATCTGTGGCACAGTGTGAGAGGGATGTGCATGCAAATTTGCACATCTTGAAGGTACTGTTGTACATGTTCCCATTTGTACTTCTGACAATGTGAGAGGGAGAGAGGCATGCATGATTGCACATCTTCGGCAGCACATGAGTGCTCCTTGGTCAGTGGTCTTCAATTTGAATAGCTAAGGAAAGGGTATCTATGTTGGTGGCAGGTGTGCGCGCAGCCGCATACCATGCAGGCTTGAGGGATGCAGAGAGAACCCGGGTACTAGAGCAGTGGTCCTCTGGGCAGATCCCTGTTGTAGCTGCCACGATCGCGTTTGGCATGGGCATTGACCGAGCATGTGAGCCTCTCCTTTCCAGCCTTTACCCCAGAGTATCAATCGTGGTTGTCCCTGCTTAAAGAGCGATGAAATCTGATCCAGCCTGACTTGTCATGCTGGAATCTAGCATAGGAGTGTGGTGGTGGCGGCCGCACTGCGCCATCTGACCGATAGTGCTTGAGCTGACTGGCATGAAAAACATCATGCATACGCATATAAGGTGCCAGATCCAGGTCATAGGAGGTCTCAGAGACCTGCTTTTACCTTGTAAAGGCCATTTGAGACTGATATTGGCGCTGCAGGTGTGCGGCTTGTGGCTCACCTGAACCTACCAAAGACGCTTGAGGGATTCTATCAGGAGTCCGGGCGTGCAGGCAGAGATGGGCTGCCTTCACGCTCTGTCCTGTTCTACGATGTGGACGACAGAGAGCGCATGGACTACATCCTCGGTAAGACCCTGGCTTCAAGGTGCCACCTGCATGGTGTTTACTCGGCACATCTGCCTCCTGGCATGTGGATGTTACACATGGGACCTGTGCACAGAGGACGTGACAGTTGTCAGATGGCTTGGTGAGTGATCCAATGTTCAGCATTGCAAGTATGGGCTCCAATCTACGCGCAGGCAAGGAACAGGGGAGGAAGCGCAAGAAAGGTGCCAGCAATGCGACTAGTGATGCGACTGTGGACAGGGGGCAGCAGGCGTTTTCCAAGATGGTGAACTACTGTGTGGGCGAGCAGTGCAGAAGGGCTCAGCTGCTGGCCCATTTTGGGGAGCGCCTGTCGGTGTCATGCTCTGGCTGTGACTGGTGCCTGGATCGCAAAACAGTGTCCCAGCAGGTCAGCATATCACTTATCTAAGCAAATGGCTGACACTCACGCAGCCTGCATCTCGAATGATGCCATCAACTCTGTATCGTGGGACAGGGCTGTCCCTTTACTGAGCTTTAGAGCATTGGTTGAGAGCGAGGGAGCTCGATTGAGGACGTTGGATGCTTGTTGTGCAGGTGTCACAGATGGCGTTAGAGGGGCCAAAGAGGGTGAGGGAGCGAGAACAGAGGTTTGGAGGGAGGGGCTTCATGGCTCATGGCCACAACCAGAACAACAACAATAATGATGATGAGGACGAGATTGAGTCAGTCAAAGGTGTGTGCCCAGAAAATATGTGGGGTCCATTTAGCCGACGCGTCCTTTTCATGTCAGCAGAGCAATGCTCAGGATACAAGGCTGACTGTTAAAGCAGAGGTCACCATATGGTACAACATCTTGGGTCACATGCTAAAGCAATGGCTGTGCGCAGGGAGCAGTGATGACGAGGACGCCATGCTGGCGGCGGCTGAGGCGGCTAGCAAGGCGGCCAAGCGCAGCCGCGGGCCGGGGCCCTCCTCGCAGGCGGCCATGTTCCAGGAGCTGGAGAGCGCCGAGCTGCGCTTCAACAAGAGCTCCAAGGAAGCCACTGGAGGTCTGCAGCATGCATGCTTGTCCGAGACATACGCCAAGGACACAGTAAACTTTTTTGTTGGGTGCATTGGCTGGTAGATCATTCGAGTACACTGACACGGGAGCTGAATGGCTCAAGGAAGATCAGCTCAAAATGACAGATTTGACAAGCAAGGTGGCTGCACTTGCCTCAAACTATTGCCAAACCTTGCCTTGCGAAGCGGTTTCTGTGGTGGTTTTAAGTTTTTCAGAAGAATCATCATCATTGTTATGTTCTCACTTGCAGGCAATAAGGGAGAGCTCATCTTGCGCAAGCTGGAGGCGAAACAGGCGGCGCCGGCGGCCAGGCCGGCACTGGGCACCGCGCCTGTGAGCGAAGCCATGCGGCATGCCGGCATGCAGCGCATCCTCGCAGCCCTGAGAGGGAGCCCTGCGGGGAGTGGTGTGGACGAAGCCCATCTGGCAGCAGCTGCACAGGTGAGATCTTCCTCTTCTAATATGACTATAAGTGCAAGCCTGGACTATTTGCCTCATTACCTTAATTCATTGTGTTGTTTTCTTGATATGGATATGGAAATTGAAGTTGGCCGTGTAGCGCTGATGGCTGTGCTGAGAATCAAAATCACACTGGGTTCCACCTTTCCTTCAAATGTGCATGTTGCCCGGTCTCATAGAGGCATTTTTGAAGCTGCACCTCTGGCGATTGTGCCCTCTTATGCAACTGAGTCCTGCATGTCACTGACTTGATATGCTGCACAGGTGATGGAGCAGGAGTGCTACTCCACCAGCGCCAGCAAGCCAGTCTACCTGAGCAAGCTGGCTCACAGCAGCAGCGAGGCAAAGGCCCTGTCATCAGCCGCAGAGCTCCTGGCAAAGGCTTCAACAGGAGCAGCGACAGGCGCACAATCCCCAGATGCTGCCAGCCTTTCTGGAAAGCAACACCGAATCGCCAGCAGACACGCCCAGCCGCCAAGGGCAGATGGGACAGAAGAGGAGAGCAGTGGCAGGCGCTTGCATGAGATGTGCACTTCCATTGAAGCATGTGTGGCGAGTGGAGGGCCATTGGATCCTGGGGTCGCAAAGGTTGTGTTGGAGCAATTGAGTGTCATGAGAGATGCGCGAGTAACTGCGTCGCTTCTGAGGGAGACGGGCATTGGGCACAGAGTGAAGGCGCTCAGCAAGAGGCCTGACAAGGTCATAGCCGCAGCAGCAAAGGATGTCATTGCCGCTTGGAAGATGACGATATGTAAAGCCAGTTCATGACTCAGCTTCATTGATAATGCCGTATTCACCCAGACAATGATGGCAGCTCATATGCCTTGAATCAGGAAGTGACCTGATCATTGGAGAGTCAACAGCACAGAGAAAGCCACAGAGGGGTCGGCATGCCACCTCTCTGAGCACCCATGCATGCAGTCTCTCTGCAGACCTGGTAGAAACAACAACGGACTACAAATTCTGATCAGGCTTGCAATTGCACCATTAATTTACAGACAAGCACCATACGTTCCAATATATGACTTGCCATAAAACCGACAAGGATAATCAGAGTTACACATCCTAAATGGTCAACAAAAAGGCTGCGTATGCAGAGTAGACACGGATTGCTATATACAAATGAACGCCTTCTCGTACGCTGATCGTTGTCAATGTTAACAGTCTTAATGACAGGTCCCTAAGGAGGGAGCACTTGTCAGTGTTTCTGGACAGAATCCTACCCACCATATTGCAGAATGCGTCCAAATGCACTGTGCATGTGGGCATTTCAGGACCCCAACAAACCCCACCACGGACCCCAAGTCATAATTACCATCAACTAAGGAATAGACACATTCATTCAAAATACAAAGGAAACCGAAAGCCTGCTCAATTGAGGAGCACTTTCCTGGCTTGCTCCCCTAGTGGTACCCGTTGCCGTTTGCATTGCCATTCCCATTTGCATGGCCGTTTCCATTTGCATGGCCGTTTGCGACGCCGTTGCCGTTGCAGCAGCCGTTCACAAGCTTGCTGGCGGCGTTGGCTGCATATGGCAGATCCACGCCTGGGTTGCAGTCAAAGAAGCCAAAGGGCTTCAGGGTGAAGCCCACCTGCATGGGCAATCACATCCCGTTCATGCGTAGCACAACAGGTACACTGGAATGTCTATCAATCTGTAGACAGTTTGTGTGCCCCACAATTTACAGCAAAACGCCAGCCAATGCTCGGTGCAAGGCTGCGCGCTTCAAAACATTTGCTTCAGACAGGAGTGGCAGCAAGAAACTAGCATTGTGTTGACCAGTAAAGGGGGCAACAGACGAGGGAACGTACGTGCTCCACAGGCATGACTGGAAAGTCCTCAGGCCGCACAATGTGTGTGACACCTGCACGCAGCACATCTGTTAAGCTGCCGCCTAATCAAGATGACGCATGGCTGCATAATTTCCAGAATGATGGGAACGTTCAAGCAGAAAAGCTGGCTAGAGGGCCAGAATCTCAAAAATGACACAGGGGAAATATCGACTCACCGAAGGAGTGCCACACGACTGGGTCGTTGCCGCTGTCCACCCTCCGGTTCTGCACCCACAAATTCAGATTCAAATTCTATATATCCACTCCCATGACCCTGTTGCTAGATGGATTTCAAGCGGAGATTCCTGACGCAGTCCCTCTCTTCAATTCCATTGCTGTGCAGAGGCATGCATGCACAATGGCCGAGCAGGACAAGCAAACCCCGTCATCTTCCAGCCATTCCTGTCACAAGCACATATCTGCTGTTGCAGCGCCCCCAGAAAACAAATGAACCTGGCGCATGGGCTCCCATGAGAAGAACGAGGCACGTAGACGGATTTCACACCAAAAGGATCATGCTCTGTACATAAAAGGCGATTCACGAATTACAGAGAGTAAGAAGATCGGAGGGAACGCGGCGGACCTGCTTGGTCCAGAGGGGCAGTCCCTCGCCGCCCTTGGACTGGATGGTGTAGTCACCCGCGGGCCAACGCTCGGACTCGCTGTGCGGAGTGACCCAGATGTTTTTGAGGGCGAAGCCGCCGCGCGCCTGCAGCAGGCTGCTGGGCGTCGCCAGCATCACCGGCGCCGCATTCGTCATCAGCTTGTACGCCACTGGCTTGCCTGCAGCAGCGCACATGTTTTCATTATTGTCATTGCAGGACATGGCACAGCAGTTGCACTGCCTGTGCAGCTTCATCGTTATTGTCACCAGCGGAAGAAAGCACTGGCTTGACTTTGCACGGCACTGGCCTGACTGCACAGCAAAAAGTTGATAATGCCACCATTCTAAGAAGACCTGCACAGCACAGGCTGCTGCCAGCTCCTGCAGAATATGCCTGCCAAGAGCACCGCTGCCATCAGCACTGGTGCAAGCTAGCACTGGAGATATTAGGCTTGAAGAGGGTCTTCAATCACTTACGTGCAGCTTAGCAATGGCAACTGGCACAGCCAGCGAAACAAAAGGCAGGGTCCCAATACAACTGCGTTTCCGTAGCACCCACTACATGCGGTTGGGGGTCACGAGGAAGAGAGGGGCTGAGAGGTCACCTGTGATTGGGTTGAGGGACTCGGGGTTCTTGACCTTCCACATGCGGCCCTTGCTGGGGTCGCACACGCGCTGCGCCTTCGCCTCGCTCGTCAAATCCGTCTCCACCGCGATGAAGCCGTTGCCGTATGGGTTCTCTGGGCCGTCCGGCATTGCCTCAACGTTCACCTGCACCGCGTCAAAGTACCTCTTAAGTGCATGCCAGGTACAGCAAAACCCCCTTTGATCACCCCTGTTGCCTGTTCCACAGAAGTCCGTGAAACATGCAGTCTGCCTGAGGATCTCTCTCGCTATTGTCAAAATCATCCGGCGCGTGCCAGGTGCTACCAACTGCCCTGACCACCAGAAACAGTCCTACTGCTTGGAGCTGCATGCATGCCTCTAAGTTTCTGTTCTGTGAGCCTCAGCTCAGCAAAATGAGCTCAAGGCCCTAGTCCGGGGAGGAATTGGAACAGGAATGGATTGCTTTGGAATGCAGCAGGAGCAAGAATTCCACGCAAGGTGCATCTGACATCCTGGTCTGTATGCAGTGCAAAAAGATGCTTGCATCACTTGTGACTGCTTCCTGCACTACAGGGCACCACGCAGAGACCCAGCTAGTGGCGTGCACTTCATGCATGAGATCGTTCCATGTACAAGCCTCCACCCCTGGCAATCTTATACTCAGAGGGGCTGCGGCCGCACCTCACTGACGGTGAGGGCCTTGCCGCCGGCCGGGTCGTCGACGGAGAAGTCGAGGCGCGCACAGAACAGGTGCTGGTGCGCCTGCGCATTGACGCCCGGCGCCACGAGCGTGCCGTAGCGCGGATTTGCCGGGTCCTCGTCAGGGGACAGCGGGTTGGTTGACAGCTCGCCCGTCAGCTTGATCTGGTACTCGATCGTGCCGTCCTGCGCGCGCGAGCAGCCCACCATCAAGATTTATGCAAGCTGCATTCTGAGGCCAACTGTGATTCAAACCGGGCGACGTTGCAATCAGACACTGTACACATGCCCTGCTGGACAGACAGTGCCATCTTGCCAAGCATGCATGCCTTGTCATAGCTGCGTCTTCTAGTGCAGGTGCAGGGAGGATGCCGGAACTAGTGCATGGCACCGTTAGGTTACTTGACAGCCTTGTGTGCGCGCATTGCTTTTTCTAGAAGGGGAACGTAACAAGACTGGACGGTACCAGCCCGAGCCTGTCTGGTATTGAAGTGCGCGGTAAATGCTGCATGCCGGCATTGAGCACACGAGCATAATGATCAAAACGGTGGACTTGCGCATTTGCAGAACGCGCTGAGATCCTGCAGCAGGGGTTCGAATTGCACCTGGTAGAAGTGCTAGTAAAAGCATCAGGGTTCAGTGGACAGCCGGGTGAGCGCACTTTGTATTCCTTACAAGGGGAACATTAGAAGTCAAGTAGACTGGGCGGCACCAGCCCGAGCCGGTCTGGCATTGAAGTGAGTGGGAAGAAACACGCCTCACCAACATTGAGCACATGATCACAAGAACAGTGTGCCCGCGCACTACTAAATGGCGTTGAAAAATTGCAGCAAGGCTCAAGGCGCACCTGGTAAAAGTGCCAGTAGAAGCAGTACTCGTAGTTGACAACGGTGGCGACGAAGGAGAGGACAAGGCGGCGGCTGCGGCGAACCTCGGCGTGCCCGTTACGGTACTCCATGTGCTTCCACAGGATGCCCGCATCCTCCTCGTGCAGGCACACTGCCTTCTTTATCGCCCACGGCTCCCCTGCAAAAAACAGCCCATGTCACGGATCAGTGACTATACAGACTGGACTAGGCGCAGATAGGTACCAGATGATCCTTTTGGGTCTGGAAACCAGCCATCTGTGCCGATCTGTGACAGCCCACGCGCGTCAGTGCTGCAGAAAAAATACACAAGTTCCTTCGTATAAAACCTGCTTGACACAGAGGATTGGCTTTCCACTGAATAAAGAGGTGCGGCAGGCAGGCAGGTGCTTGCCATGAGCACAACACAGTAATGTGAGGACAGGGGCGCCAGATCACAGGAAGTGGAATTTACCCTTGCTGTCGTTGAGGACGGCGTCAAAGTACTTGATGTGGCCGAGGCAGTCGCAGCCCAGCTCCAGGCTGTTGGCGCAGAAGCCCAGCCTGCAACAAGGCCAAGACTCACAGGATGGCAGTAAGACGTCATGATGTCAAGCAAGCAGTCCGTTGCATGTTGATGGACATTAAGCTAGGCACAAGAGTGGCGCTCTGGCAAAGAGTGGTACCCGTAGTCGCCCACGTCAAACGCGCACTTGCGCTGGAACGGCGCATGCGGGTCCCCGTACGGCTGCAGCAGCCATGAGAAAATTGGTCCATTGTTCAAATTTGAATATACATTTGGAGATGCCGGGCCGGGCCGGTGAGAAGGGGACACACAAGACCTCAAGCAGACAGGCTTTGTGACACCCTATATTATTCCACAGTCATCAGGAGGCATAATATGTCCAGTCAGCAATGTTATTGACAAGTGTGAGGTGGCCTTTTTAGAGCACTGACGCAGAGCAAAGGCAGGAGGCGGCAGCAGCGCACCACACACATCTCCACAAGGGATGCTCTGTGCAGAATGGGCCGCACAGCGCCGCCGTCCTCATACCTGCCACAGCAACAGCCAACCTCTCAGCAAGCCTTCTCCTTGCATCCAATACATTCAAATCCCTGATCAATCCTGGGGCGTGATAAAGGAGGCAAACAGGTGATTCATGCCATGCATGGATGTCCTTGCCAATGTGAAAACCTGGAGACGCCCATGTTCCCTAGCGACACATGCAGGCTGGAATGATGCGCAAATGCCTGTCTTAGCAGTCAGGTGGGAGGGTCATTGCTTGTGCACTGGCTTTTGGAAGCAGAAAAGTTGACCGAGTGCATGAGAGACGCACCCGACGTTGTGGAGCACGAGGCCCTCGCGGTAGTTGAAGGAGGTGCGGATTTGCCACCTCTCCCACTTTATCAGGTTGCCCTCAATCTGCACACCATATGTGAACACTTTTAAAGTCATGCAGCATATCCTCGCCCATGTGTACCTTTCGGCCTGCCCCTCTTAACTCTAAAAGGACCAATGCCAAACATTCACGCTTGCTGAGTGGAAAGCCGCCAAGTAGAGTAGGAGTGACTGGCATGACAGGAAGCACCCCACTGGGACCCGAAGACACCAGTTTTACCCTTTGATTTGCAACACATGTGTACTCAAGAATCACATGCACTCCAAGAAGAAAGAGATGATAGAGAGGAATACATGAGTGAAAGGGAGCTAGAAAGGGGCGCACGGTGAAGGAGGGTCCCTCGGGCTGGTCAATGTTGAGGGGCTTGAGTGAGGTGCGGAAGCCCTTGTCCATCAGGTTGCGGTGGTAGTTGCTGTTTGCCTTGGGCACCTTCCACGGCTCGGCCGCGTCCTTCCAGGGGAAGTCTATCTGCACCACCTGCATGTGCATACAGAGTGCCCTTACGAAACGATGTAGATTTTTTGCATGTCCTGCTGCATTCATTCTTGCATGTGTGCCCGGCAGAAATCAGTGCCCGGCAGATATCAGTGCCCGGCAGAAATCAGTGGCAGTATTGGTAGGTGCACAGGACTGCCGCCCATGCTGCACTTGCCCTTGGCAGGCCGGCACTCCTCCATACACACAGCAGCCAAAACCTGCCCAATACTTCTGGAATCAGCTCTTCTTAAAGCAAAGTCCCTGAGACCAATCTAGCCCAACCCACCAGCGAGGCGTGCAATCCAGAGCATTGGGATCTGCGAAAGGCCTTGTGATGTGGGCTCTGATTACTCTCGCGGTGGGATGTTATGAGGAGAAGCAGATGAACGTGATGCACAGGGAAGGGCACCTTTTTGAGGTTGAGGTCGACCATGGGGACAAAGTCGATGGGGTGGGAATAGTGATTGTCATCCAGGTGGGTGCGCTCATACATCCACGTCTGGATCAGCCGCCCCTCGATCGGCGGCATGTGCACTGCACACAGTCCATGTCAGAACCTTCTGTGACGCAGACCCCTGCATTACCACTGCTTCTGTCCTGCTTTTGTGTCTCTGCCCTGCGTGTGAGAAATGCCTCTGCTGCACCAGCAAAGAACCTCAGAGCGCAGCTTTTCTTTCAAGCAGATTTCCCGGAGGTTTACGGGTGTCAGGGTGAGATCAGCAATAGGCACTTACCGAGCCAGGCCTGTCTTTGCATCCTGCCCCTCCTACCAGGTATTCTCATGTTTAGCAGGTCAACCTGGCGCCTGAGGGTCCAGTGGATTACAATTACCTGACCAGGGGTCGCAGGCGACTAGGGCGAGGTCAGTCAGGCCGTACTGGTCCTTCAGCAGAGCCACCACCTCGGGGTCCGCCTTGACAATATCCTCCGCCAAGATGCAGTCCTCCGGCGTCAGCAGCGGCTCCCTGTCCTGGATCTGCAAGCGCATGCACACTCCCCCCATTATATATAACCATCATCCACCCACCATAAACACCTCTCACCGACCCCAATCCGGCGCTGTTCCCGGCCTGCATGCCTGCACTCTACCCTCCTGCATGTCTAGGGGGCTTCTTCAGACTGCCACCGGGCAAGCAGCGTCTTCCACACTCTCACCGGGCAGACAGTGCGCTTTCTGGGTGCGGGGTGAACTGCGCTGCCTCTAAAGCCAGGCTCGCCAATATCTTTTCTACTTTCCTACACCAAATATAGCCCACACAATAAAGCGGTAAACACCAGATCTGCACTATTATCAAGCCCCTATGCTTCCTCCAAGTACCTCTGTTAAGTGCAACTGCTTGACGGGCGCTCCCAACACTTACATGTCTACGCATGTCTCTCATGTGATCAATTAATTTTGTGACTAATGATCTAGGTGTACCTCGGTCCAGGCAGTGATGGCGGGCTTGGCGCCGGAGAGCAGAACCGTGGCCTCGATGAGGGGCGCCTTGGGGTAGGCCTGCAGGATGACGTCAGCAGCGCGTGAAGGTACATCGTCCGGGTTGGCCTCGTACGCCACCAACTCCGCCTTTGTGGGCTCCTGCAACCATGACATAAGACTGGTGATCATCTTGACCAGCTGGGACCCAAGAGATGTATGCTGTCGTTGGCAGCATACAGCATGAGCACTGGCATTTTCACATAGCCCATTTGCAGGATCTCATTGAGGTTCCGGTACTCTGGCTGCGGAGAGCTGCATCATTCACTGTTCACATTTAGTCTACAGACCATGATTGGTTGAGATCTATTCATGGGATCGACGCTGCTTGATTTTTCTGTGCTGTTGCCGGTTGTTGGTGAAGTGGGCATGTGCTCAACAAGGTTGCAGAGTCGCAAGGTGAAAGGATGACAAAGTGGCGCAAGAGGGAGGCGAGCGTACTGCAAGGGTGATGACGTTGAAGCGCAGAGGGGAGAGGTCCTTCTGCGCAGCAGTGGCCTTGATGGCAGCTGCTGCGGCCTTGATCTCCTCTGGCGTGAGGGGGTCCAGGGGATGTGCGACTGCACCAGGCAAGCAGATGCATATTGATTCTCTGCATGGCAGGTACAGGAGGTACAAAGGGTGGTAAGTTCCAAGACCAGCTGGGTACCAGCTAACAAGAGAGTGTGTGCGTCATCTATTACATTTGATGCCCTCATACGACGTCTGTAATCGACACGAAACACATCACAATGTTGTGGAATGCTCAGATATGTTGGTCTTGCATACGAAAAGTCACTGGTTTCAGAAGGCACTGTGACCCCAGCAACAGCCGGAAAGCGGTGTGATCTCACACTCCTACAATTAGAAAGACATGATCAAGCGAGTTTATTCCACAGAAATTGCCGGAAAGAAGCCAGATTTATGCTGGCAAGAGACACGCAATCGCATACGTATGCGCGATATCGATGCTGTGCTCACCGGCAGCAACCCTTCCAACCATTTCATTTCTTAAATATGTTTGCAGTGCATTACACTTAATTCAAAGAATCAAAGGTGAACAAAATGCACGCAACAATGTGATGGAGCAAGCGCACGAAGCTCACCGCCCATGTTGCTCCGAAAACACACAGATGCCGGTTGTTGCAACGGTGCGGCCTATACGTTCGTGTCGACAGCTTATACGAGAAACAAGCTAATGAACGGGACGAACTGGCGACGCCTTGCTCGATCTCGAAGAGAAACAACTGGCTTCCAGAGAGCAAATCTGCGTTAATGGGCCACAGGGACTCCATGTGGGATGCGCCAAAATATTTCGTCGTCGTAAATGCTTCCGCCTGGCGAATGAGAGGATGTGCCTGGCGATTGAGTTTCTTGGGAGAAGCTTTCCGGGAAGGCATCTCTCGCGCATGCACTGGATAATTCGTTGCACAAAAAGTACAGATGTTCAATTGGCAGTGAGCTTCTCTCATCAAACAGTCAGGCTGAGGAATTAGAATCCCGGGTCACAGTACGTTTGAGAGATGGCACTCTTGATGCAGCCACACGCAGGAATGCGGGGCATGCTTCCTATCGATGCTCCTCTGAACAACTTTATTGGAACTTCAAGGGCTCTGTGCTGGCGACAGCGACAAGTAAGGATCAATTCAGTGGCTCTCGTTTCTTGCGCACGTGCATGTTCCCCTGTTCAAAGCAAGCCTTGATGGGGCAATCCCTTGTTGCAGGCACAGAAGTGCACAAAGTGGCGCCCCTTCATCGGGAGAGCCGACGCAAGGTGAGGGCCTCGAAACCTAGCAGGGGTCACCACGTATCCTGTGGCTGTATTCACAAGGTGTGCTCTTGGAAGTATGTGAACCTCGTTTCACCGATCGTAGGGACGCCGCTGGGAGCAGCAGTGGAGGTCAGGATGAGGGGAAACCGGAGCTGTCCGTTCCTGACAGCCTCCCTGCCAGCGCTGCAGACACTGACTGGAGGGAGTTCAGAGCACGCCTTATTGCTGGGCAAACTGCATCCACCTCTGGCAGAACCGAGGAGCAGGTAATCTTCAAGGCTGTGCAATCTGGAGCCAGAACAGCAGTTCTCCTTATTGCTTTGCTCAACTCGCTCTCTGCTGTGCACAGGGCGTCAGTGAGAAGTCCACAGAGCCTGACGAGGAGTCGAAGCTGTGGGCGCACTCCATCAACTTCCCAGAGAAGGGGTGCCTGCTCATCGCGCACCCACTTGTGTTCACCACCCAGCAGCAGTACTTTGCGCAGGTAATATCATGTCCTGTCGCCTCTCGCACATGGGTTGCCTCCTTTGCATGTCCTTTGATCTACACTCTCTTTCTAGTATCAGTGTAAAAGAGTGACAGGAAGATGCTGCTGGCGCAGGCTGTCATATTCATCTTCGAGCACAGCGAGCAGGGCAGCGCCGGGCTGATACTGAACAAGCCCACACAGTACACCATTGGCACCATGTCTGGGCTGGAGGCGCTCTGCCCAGAGTTCAACAACAATGGTCTCTTCCTGGTGCGCCTCACATTTTCAGAAGGCGCCTCCCTTGTACACAGGCCTGCAAATGCTTCAGCCATACGACAAGCATCATCCAGAACACCTGAGGCTGAAAGACAGCTCCATCTTTGCAATGCTACTTCGCAATCCGTATCTTTGCCCAATGCAACTAGGATGGTCCACACAAAGGCATTTGCATTAAGAACCTCCAGTCTCTGGTCTTTTTTGTCTGTGAATATGCTATTTCTTCGAGCTCCCCTGCCCCTCAATTTCCAGCTCGATTTGGGCAGGCCGTATCTCTTTGGCCCCATTTTCTCAGGTGCTCCCCTAGATTGGGCGGACTGAAGACGGGTGTGTCGATGGGAGCAGCTGAAAGCGGGACTGGTGACCTTCATCATGCCATAATTTCAAGCCTGCACATCAGCGCTCCATCAAAAGAAATTCTGGTACGTGCAGGGTGGAGATGTGAGCCCCAACTCGATGCACATGCTGCACTGCCACGGGCAGCTGCCAGAAGCAGTGGAGATCATCCGAGGGATCAACATGGGGGGCTTTGATGCGGCCAAGGCTGCTGTCAGCCAGGGCAGAATGCCAGCCACAGACTTCAAGTGGGCGCCCTGTTAAATAATCACCTTTTGCCACTCCTTTTTAGTGCTCGCTTGATGTAGCATACGTTGGTCAGGAGAAACCACCTTGCCACTGCTCTGCAGTGCTCGCTTACCATTGCCCCTCTTCAATTACAAAAGCACAGAGCAGACATTTATTCATTGCTTAGTTAGGGACTAGATTCACTGCAATTAACCAGAGAGGAGGACTCAGTACTTCTTAGAAATGAGTGAATTGTGCTACTTTTGCTGGACATTGCCTCATGGACTTAAAATTCTTGAACAGGTGGTTCACAAGGTACTCGGGGTGGGGTGCGGGGCAATTACAGAGGGAATGCGCGTCGGGCGTGTGGTTCACTGCGGCGGCCAGCAGCGCCCTGGTGCTCCAGCAGGGCTGCGCAGACAGCGCAGACTCGGGGCGCGAGATGTGGCACCAGGTGTTTAAACCTGCGTTCGCGATGTCACCCTGTGTAGAGAGAGCATTGCTCCATTCTCATGCACTTGCATAAGGTCTGCTGTAACATGATATGTATTTTGAGGACATGTGCTTCTGCCCTGTCAGTTTGTGTGATCATGCAGCAGCAGTTGCATGTAAGGGAGTTGCATCAGCAATGTTGTGTGCCTTTTTGGCTTCTTCAGTCGTGCATTGAGCCTGTTGGGGTGCTTGTGCAGGTGCTGAACCTGATTGGGGGTGATCTGGCAGAGCTTAGTAAGGCCCAGAAGGGGGTGTTCGACCCTGAAATCATGGGAACCCCGGCCCCTCCCTCAGAGAACCGCGATGGTGATGCAGTCTGACCTATTTAAGCAGATGAAATAAGGTGCATATCTTGAGAAAACACTCGGCTGACCATTGATGTCAACACCAAAACTAATTCGCTGGAAGATATTTGCCAAATGGCAGGTTTGCAAGCTGTTTTAAGATATGAGAGTGTTTGTGTGTGCACGAGTGCTCTATTTGAACATTGCCGGACCCCGTGATGATGATTAAGCAGAGTTTCTTTGTGGTATGCATAAAATTCCAGATTCTCTGGCGTCGACTTCAAATGCTTGAAAGAGCAAGATCCCTGATCATAAGCATGATGCTGTCTGTGGGCAGGGTTTGAAAATCAGATAAAGAGGTGTACTACACTGTGACAGTAGAGCTTTCTGCAAATTCAAATTGTGGCACACGATTTGCATGGCCAAATGGCACACATATGCACCGTATCACGGTGATGATCACTCAACAAGACAGTGTGAACCGTAACGTAGATCTAGAGCTGTGTTACAAGTCCCCCATTTGGATGGGCAAATTTCAGCATTTGCGGAGCTTCTCATCAAAGGATTGTTGAGCACTGCACTGCCTCCTTGTCCCTAGGAAATGCTCTTGACAGGATCATGCAAATTGCAGCAACTTCTAAGACACAACTTTAACCACAACTTTGTGAGCTATCTAAGGAGCTTCCTTGGCTAAATGGATTGGCACTACCAAGTGTCGCAACTAGATGACGGAAGATCCCCAGATGGAACAAATGTCGTTGCTGTCATTCCATACACCAGCCCAGCAGCAGAGCCTATCACACCTAATGAAATGAAAGGAGAACACAGGCCCTAATCATTTTTTGACTGAAATCTAACTACCGCACAAGAATAAAAACGAATCCAGAGTGAGATCGGCTAGGAATTCATGCAAGCACAGTTTCCTCTCTCGAGATAGGTCCGGCAACACATCATTCCGAGGAATGGCATTCAACGGGTGGCCATACATTGTACAGGTACACATCGCGTTGTGGCACAGCTCTGCCTGTCTGACCTCCCAGTAACATCGGCAGGAACAGCCAGACGAGTCTAGCAGCCATGCAGGTGTGGAAAAATCCACCCAAATCAGTGCGCAGCCTGCATGCTGGCAGCCTCTCAGGTCCTCCCTTTTGCTGGGCTGGTCACCAGGTGTGCGTCCAGTATGTGATGGCATAGGCCTGAGGGAAGCGAGCCTTGCACTGATCCTCGTTGAAAATCGGGTGCGGCGGATTGCAGATGCTGAACTCGTCGCCTGCGAAGCCACCAACGCTGAGTCAGAAGGTACATACCCAGCTGCGCGCTGCGCACGCAACAATGTCCAGGCACAAAATATTGTGCTCGCAGGGATTTGGGTTGGGCAGTGCCCCAAGGCTGCACTCTTGAAAACAGAGCTGCTCTCGACTGACACGACCTCACTATAAGGGCATGTAATTAGCCCTCGTCTTGCACAGTAGTTGGCAGGATGCTTAAATAAGAATGACAGCAGTGAGAATGGGGAGAGGGCACACCTGGGCCGTCCTTGGGGCCCCAGACGGTGCGGCGCCAATCGATGGGGTAGATCACGCCGGGCGGCAGGATGGTCAACCCCGACAGGCCCTTGACCTTCTTGTAGGCCTCCACCGCATGGAAAAGCATCACCGGCCCCGTGGTCGCCTCCAGCCAGTCCCACCTGTCACAAAGCAGCACAAAGTCTCAATGAAGCACTCACAAATAAGGGCACCACCCTACGCATACATGAGGCAAGTTACGGGTTGCAAGCCGTCAGCAAGCATAAGTGACTTGGATATCATCTGCCCAGCAAGAGATCCTCCAGCCTGGCTCTCAGACACCCAAAAGAGATGTTGTTGCATGTGGATTTACGGTAGGCTATCAGCATTGGCTGACCTCCTGCTCACTGCGAGCATTGCTGAGACTTCCACAACCTTGCCTTATTTTAATTTGTCATACGGTACTCTTTGACGAGGTGTCCAGGACTCCGCCCGCGTAGTGAGCATGTCTAAAGAGAAACAAACGCAAGCGCACCGGTCGGTGTTGGTGGCGGCGCAGGAGCCGGCGGCCTTGATGATCTGCTGGATACAGTAGAGCCAGAAGGGGTGACCCTTGGTGGAGGCCAGCCAGGCATTGGGGATCTTCTGGTCCCACTCCTCCTCTGTCATCTCTGCCAGCACCACCTGCCTCCCCGCTAAAACATCCTCCAGGCTCCTTATCGACTCAAAGTCTAAGTCCGCATACACCCCTGCGCCATGTGAGCATGCATCCTTGATGTATTGAAGTGATGCTGAATCATCCTGTTCCGCTGTCAACGTCCTTGTGCCAACCTGCAATTGCTAGGAGCAAGCCGAGTATATGCAGCACAAAGATCTGAGCATGGTGCACTGTTCTAAGAAGGCGGCAGAATGGGTCAGTGGTGGCGAAGTGCAAGACCAGTGCTCATAAGGGGGCTCCGCACCTCCTACATGGTACATGTAGAGGTATCGCACGCTGTCTGCCTTCATGATGGGCTTGGGCAGCGCATCGTATGTGTCCAGGAACCAGGGGTAATGATCTAGCACAAGCTTCCTATTGTCGACATCGGTCCATAATCTGCATTGCACAGCAACTTGATGTCTCACTCATCGCTACTAAACCTCCACTTTGGGTGGCACTGCATGTCAAAGTAGCATGAACAGCAAAGCAAGTATGTGCAGGGATTTCAGATTCTTGTGGAAGAAAGACCCACCTGTACTCCCAGCCTGGGTGGTTCTTCTTCCAGCTGTCCTGCCAGGGCTTGAATCCTTGGGGTACGTTCTCGTCTTTCCAGGACTGATGTATAATCTGTGGGATGTGATGTTCGCGGATATGGTGTTGGCCTCGCACCGCCGGCTTTGACCAGATACCTCCCTCACTGCCAGGCAAGAGGATTAACCAGGCCCACAATACTGAAGCCCCGGCGATTATTCGCATCGTTTCGTGCGGCCTTCAACAATCTGATATCTTGGTGCTTCGCTGTAGTACGTTTGTATAGCGATCTGTTTTCTATGATGTCTGAGCGCAATATTTTTGCGCTTTGAGTTCTGTGTCAGACTCGGCGAATACACTTTTCTATTGCACCAGATCCCACAGGCATGCCCATCAGTTGCATGAACTCTCCAAATCAAATAGAAGACCCACACATCATCCCCAACTAGCTTCTGATGCAAACCCGGTTGTTCAACTGTCTTACTATGTACAATACTACAACGATGGTTCTGACTTCCTGGAATTGTCGCAATCAGGTAAGCACATTGGCAGGACACTCTTAAATCTCTCTCAAGGTACTGGATGAGGCTGCAATTGGTCCAGCCGATTTTCCTCCGCCATGGAATTTTCCTCTCCCTTGCTTCCACCTGGCCTGCTCCCCGTGGGCCAGGGCTTGCCGCCCAATTTGACCCCAACCTGGTACCAACCCCTTGGATTAAAACCCTATGTAAATGCTCCATTGCTTTCTTGGCCTCATCGTATTTGCTCAGAACAGGTATCCAAAGATGCACAGATGACACCAATGCTACTTGTCCAAGGCATGCTGGTGCGCCGTCGTGCCTGAATGGCGCTTGCTGATATCATCTTTCTGGATTCGATCTCTGGATCAGACCTTTCATCGTCGCACATTCGAGATAGAGCTCCGCCAATATACCTAGATCCATAAGCAATACCAAAAATGGGAAAGGATGCATTTGTGTTTCCTGGACAACGCAAGAAGACGCCATTCCAGGTGAGTTTGTCAGCCTCTGCCATCTGCCAGAAGACCTGCGCAGGACCTCTAGATCTGACTGAATCGCCATTGTTCGCGTGCAGCGACATAAGGAGCTGGAAGAAGAGAGGAAGAAGGTCAGGCATCCATCACTGCCACAGCTGTCCCTCCCTTTTGGTATTCTGCTTTTTTTCATGCTCTGCGTTCCTCCCACTCATTTTATTGTGTTCTTGATGCCATCGATGCAGAAAGAGGAAGCAGAAGCAGCAAAGCTGTACGAAGAGTTTGTGGAATCCTTTGGGGATGCCAAGCCTGAGGAGAGCAGCGGCCCAAAAGCCTTCCTGCGGGGTGGCACCATCCAACCCGGCTCCTCTGCAGCCCAAGCTGGTTGGCATTGATCTGCCCTCTACTTGCTTTTGTAACTTCTCCACCTAGCATAGATCAGAAGATTGAAGGCCTGCATGTTGGGCAGGGCAAGGCCAGAAGAAGGCAGCAGCCGGAAAGTATGTGCCATCCTTCTTGCCGCCATCCATGGCGGCCGCAGCAGCCAATCGTGGGCCCACCAGAGATTCCGGCTTCTCATCCATAGGCGGGGTATGCCAACAACACACTTCTGCTGAATGCCTGATCCCCAGTGTCTTACATTGTCCGCTTCCTGCTTTGGCAACCCATGCCCTGTACACATTCTGAGACACAAATGGCAGGCGGCTGACTTGGGCTGATGTTTTAAACTTGCCAGCGTGACTCTGGCTCGGCGCTGCCACCCAGCTCCTCTCGTAGTGATCGCAGCAAGCCCCGCAATATTGACATGATGCTGGAGAATCTCAAGCGGTATGCATGACGCCCCCCCGGCTGCCGCGGCAGGGTGCTGACTGGCAGCAACTTAGCCAATTATCCTCCCTAAGAACCCCCACCATGCCCAATTTGTGTACCCCTAGAACAGTATGTGAATCCTTTTTGCGTTGGTCGTGCTATGCTTTAGGATATTGTAACAATGCATTGTGAGCAGGTTTGCAGTGACATCAGGGTTCAATAGTAAGAATGGCTTAGTGCAAGTCTGTCTTCTAATCCAGTGTCAGAAGGCTTCAAGCTGAACACAGTTGGTGGTGGTAGCAGTGCAAGAACTTTGGATTTTGGTCATGCGTGATTACAGACGTTGCGTTGGTCTAGCAGAACTGAAGAAAGGAAAGGCTTCCTTTAGAACGATGTACCTGTGTGGAGAGGTCAAAACAAGCATAGGGTCAAGCAGTTGCACTACGAGCATGGGACTGACGGCGATGCTGTGCCTGGCACGACGTGGCGGCTGTGAAGGGAGCAAGAGGCGCGCGAGGAGCGGCAGCGGTTGCGGCGCGAGCAGGGCATCGAGTTGGAGGACGACGGCGCAGGCTCCTTCGACGACGGAGACCCCTACACCACCAATCTGTATGTGGGCAACCTGGCACCGGACATTGATGAAGAGGTGAGACACCGTCCCGCATGCCTGAGGAAAACAGGACACTGACTGGCACTTGCTGCACCACCTCGGGGGCTTGCTATGCATTAGAAGCATCTCAGACCGGCTCCACGCATGCCCGCTGCAAGCTGTAGCGGCCGGCAATGCCACAGGCGTGAGAATTTTGGCATCGTTTCTGTGGCCCCTGTGGATGAGGAGATGTGCCTCTAGTGACTACAACTTCTGTCCTGTCGTGGGAATGCAATTAAATGCTGCAGATCCAGCCATGGCACCCTTCCCAATTTCGCTTTCTAAGGGTGAACCAAAGATTCTGTCAGCCTGCCCCGCTCACAGGCATGAGGCGACTAGCAACTGTATCTGTGAGCATTACAGGGGTCAGTGCAAAGAATGCATGTTGCTGAAGGTGCATATGTGTGGCATGCTTGCCAGGTGCTAAAGCGGGAGTTTGGGCGCTTTGGCGACATTGCGAGCGTCAAGATCATGTGGCCGCGAGATGAAGACCAGCGGCGCCGAGGCAGGAACTGCGGCTTTGTGGCCTTCATGGTGAACCCCTCTCCAACCAATTCTGACCCAATCATGAGTAGTCATTCCGTTTTGTTGCCAGATGCTACCAAATGTTCATGATGGATCACCATGAAAATTTTGCAGATAGCACAGTGTTGGGAGGTGCTCGCCTAGAGGTGCTCTCCGGTTCCCAGTGCCGGCTTCGCCGAGTCTAGTTGCTTTGACTGCCCACGTGGTGAACAACATTCGTGATGGGTTGCTGCAGACGCGAGCGGGAGCGGATCGGGCGAAGGCAGACTTGAACGGCGCGATCCTGCACGATCTGGAGCTGAAGCTGGGCTGGGGCAAGTCCGTGCAGCTGCCGCCCGTGCCCCTCTACTCCGCCTCCACAGCTGGGGCCCCCGCGGGCGCCGGCGGTCCCCCCGGTGGCCCGCTCGGCAAGCCGGCCGGAGCTGCCGTCCCGCCGCCGGGCGTGGAGGCCGCTCCGCCCTGGGTCGCGCCGCCGCACGGCGAGGACAGCCTTGAGGGCGTCGGTGGGCTCTCTTAAGCCTTTCAGTATCCTTCTTGTCCGTTTCCTGCATTCCTTGGCCTAGCTGATCTGCCGCTTTAGTCAAGGCTGAGCATACTCAATGTGAAATGGTGGAAGCAGGTCTGTCCTCAAATGAGCCATTACAGTGCCCCTGCGCATCCTGTTGAGCCAAGTTCTTGGGCTGCAAGGCTGGGGCTGCAGCATAATCTCAGGCAGATATCCCTGCCGCTGAGCGAGGTAGCAACGACGCCAAATATATTTTTGCTTTTTTTTCTGAAAGGACGCGTGTTACTGGAGCGCAGGCCCGGACATAGTGGTGGATGTGCCAGGCGACAGCCGCGTGCGTTTCATAATCGACTCCATGGCGAGCTACGTGGTGGTGGACGGCTGCGCATTTGAGCAGGCGGTCATGACCGGCCAGGCGGCCAACCCGGAGTTTGCCTTTCTGTTTGACCTGCGCTGCTCCGAGCACGCCTACTACCGCTGGCGCCTGTTCAGCCTGGCCTCGGGGGACTCCCTCAAGAGCTGGCGCGTCGAGCCCTTTGTCATGGTGGAAGGCGGACCCAGGTGCTGCACTCCCATCCTTCACTGCTGCAGTATTTGACAAGTCCAGCACACACAAAGTGCATCTTCACGCTGGAAGTTCAAGATTTTGTCCTTGTTCGCGCCGTTACCCCAAAGTATCCTCATCATGCCAGCTTTCACCACATCTGTGCTCCATTTGACTCGCGTTTGGCCTTTATGGAATGGTTTTGGAGCCTTGTTTAGAAGTTCTCCGTTCAGGGCTTCAACCAAGGGCGATTGGTTGCTAGGGTGTGCTTTTGCTTAGAGTAAGGCACCTTGAAGGATCTTGGGTTTGCAGGTGGGTGCCACCGGCAATGATGGCTGCGGACGGGTCGCACCAGACGGCGGCGCAGCGCGGAGGCGAGGCCAAGGACAAGGACCGGCCGCTGTCCGACCTGCAGCGGGACAAGTGCGCTGCTGCAACCCCTGCCGCCATGCTCTGCTTTTGCGTCTGCACAGAAACATGATGCCAGGACATCTTCTCACACTATAGGATCAGTTCTTTAGGGTGGAGCGAGAACACCCCTGCACAGGAGAAGCAGAGTGAATGAGTAATGAGAGTTGGGTCCACTTGCGAGTGTGCATCTTTAGTAATCCCTGATGTGTGACAGATTTGAGGACTTGCTGCGTGCGATCACAATTGCGCGGCCGGACATCTGCGAGGCGATGGTCTTTGCTCTGGACAACGCTGAGTCCGCCACAGAGGTGCGCGCATGTTCACATCGGGGGCTACTCTTTTGCCACACTTTGTGAGAAACGATCAAGCACTGCAGCACTGATTGAGCTGGGAATGCCCTGACGGGTTGTGGCCCCCACACATACTGCAGCACCATCCCTGTTCCCTTGCGCTGAGCCTGAGTGAGCCGCCAAGGGTGGCCGTTCCCGGCTCAGGCATAACTAATGGCAGGGTTTGTGAAGTATTGTTGTAATCTTGATAATGTGACGTCATTATGCAATATATTGTCTGATGGCGTACCTCTTCAAGCACTGTGGCTGTGCATGGCGTGCATGTCGACCTTGGGGTTGATGTGGAATGTGCTGCCCAGTCAGGGAAGGGGTAGACACATGCATGCATAGGGACAGAATTGTCTCTGGACCTTGGGATCCAGATGTACCTAAAATCTAGCAGATGACTTGAAAGACAAGGATGCTAAGACAAGCCTCCAGCTCGGTCGATGGGCCTACTCTTACCATCGGATTGTCGCTCGACAGAGCATAGAGACATGCAAAGGGTTCAGGGAAATAAACAAATGTTTTAGGGGCCTGGAAATAACAGGTGGCGGAGACGATGGCTGATGCGCTGACGCTGGCGGAGACGCCGGTGCCGGTGAAGGTGGCGCGTCTGATGCTGGTGTCGGACGTGCTGCACAACTCCACCGCGCCCGTGCGCAACGCCTCCCGCTACCGCTCCCTGCTCGAAGCCCACCTCCCCGACATCTTCGAGTCCCTGCAGGTGCCGCCCTGCTACGCATCACAATGTGTTGCGGTGCAAGGGGTCATTTGGCTAAAGACTGAGCATGTGTTGACTCGTGCACATGGGTCCAGCACTTCAAGCAGGGTTGTGGCTCGTCTGTGTAGTCAGCAAAAGGCGTCGGAGCCCGTCCTGGACTGATGCCCTTTTCTGAAGCGCTAGTGACTATTCTGTCCTGCTGTCAATTCAGATGTCCACACTGCATGCTTCCATCTCTCATACACTTAAAGAGTTGAAATAGCCACTCACTTAGTGATACTCTTATATAGAATTACTTCCTAGAATACTTTAGATTAATAGACAGTTGCTTGCCAGGCCGACCCTTATACATGCTGGCACCTGCAGTGCATGCATGTCGTTGTGAAATTCTGCTGTACTGGATGTGACGTGGCATGTGTCTGTTGCTCGGCTGCAGGAGACGTACCGGTCGGTGGAGAGCCGCATGGCGCAGGAGTCACTGCGGCGGCATGTGCTGCGTGTGCTGCGAATCTGGCGCTCCTGGTTCATCTTCTCCGACGACTTCCTCAACGGCCTCCAGGTGCCCCTCCCCTGCAACTTTCACGTCATGTATTAGACTGATAGATTGCTTAAGTAGAGGTCAAGCTGGTGTTGGAAAGCCTCAGCCCTGCACGATCCATTTCATGTGATAGACTGATAGACTGCCCCACCCATAGGTGTTGGGTCCAGTGGATAAAACATTCTCCTCCACACGCATTGGCCCGTGTGACTGGTTGTAAATCCTTCCCTGGCCCTTTGTGTGCTGCCGTGCTTCAAAGAGGCATGTGTGGACCCCTGCGTTGTCCAAGACACAGAACATTTTGCACACTGTAGCAGATGGTCAGACCATGGCCTGTGGAGGTCTGGAGGGTGTCACTCCAGAAATGGCGCAGAAGGAAGAGCAGGTGGTGAATGCTTTTTGGGGTGTGGTTGGCTGCAGGCGATGTTTCTGCGTGGGGCCAGCTCGGGAGGTGATGAAACGGAGCTGGCTGCAGAGCTGAATGCGCTATCCAGCGACGAGCTCGACACGCGCTGCCGCCGCAACGGCCTCTCCCGCAGGTATGCCCCCATGGCCTCAGGCTTTGGGTTTGCCGACATTTTCATTATGCGATTATTGGTCCAGATTCAAACAACAGGGTCAACAATATTATACAGGTTTGACAGGCTAGTAAGCAATGCATAGAGATGTTTTGTAGCATTTCCTGTGAGACACTTATACCTTCTTGCATCTAAACCATGTCACATACTCTGACAAGGAAATGCGAACCCAGTGGAATCCTTGATACCTACGCTCGGGTGCCAGGCTTTCAGTTTCTTGATTTCTTGGGCTGGGGTGCAATGGGGTCTTGGCTCATTGCTATCCATGGGCTGATAGATCCAGAAGCTTCAAGACTGGCACATTAGCTTTTGCAACAGTTTGCTTCTCAAGGCTGCTGGTGTTTGCTTAGAGCCCATCCTTTGCAAGGTGAGCTGTGCCACCCCGCTCTAGACAGGGATGATGCAAATAAATTATTTGCAAATGTGATTGAAGTGAGTTGTGTGTCGTGCAGGGGCGGCCGCGGCGCGCAGGTGTCCCGCCTGTTGGCGCTCCATTCCTACCTGCATGGAGACCCGGCAAGCAGCAAGCCGGACGCAACTCAGCAGGCTGCTCAACAGGCTGCAGAGCGCAAGGCTGACAATGAGGACCTGGCTGTCAAGGTGGGCACCAACTGTGCACTTCTCATTAAGAAGCCCTTTGCATGGCCGGCTTGTTGCACAATCAAGGTGGCTTGCCACACACACTGCGTCGTCTGTGGCGTCCTTGCTATGCACTGATTATGTGCGGGCAATCTGGATGTTGAATTGTGGCACGCTGGGCGCAGCTTGCTGAGAAGAATGCGCCAAGCGTCTTTGACGTCAACAGAGACCCTGCGCCGGAGCCAGCAAAGAAGCCCCCCGAGCCGGAGATCGTGTCCAAATGGACCCTCGTCGACTATGATACCGAGCCTGCAACAACGTTTGATGAGTGCGTTTCACTCCCCTCCCCAATTCCCAGATGCACTTCAAAGTTCTCGCCACCTGAAGCTTGATAGGCTATGAAACATCTACTTTGCATGGAGGAAAATGGGTTTGCCATGATATATAATGAACAATCTGGTAATTCTTCCTGGTCAAGGTGAATACAGACGTCTGGACTGCATGCGCAGTGCCAAGGCAGAGGAGCCCGGCGACATTTTCAGCGACGCAGAGGCAACGCCACGGGATGAGCGGGGCGCGTCCCCACCGCCGGACCCCTTGGCGGAGGACCGCGCCCCCGCAGCCGCCGACGGGGGGTCTGGGGCCCCCCGCCCCAGTCCCAAGCCAGCCGACGGCGGCCGCGCGGCGGCCTCCGGTGCAGGCGGAGCCGAGCGCACGGACGGCGCCGACGAGGAGCGGCGGCTACGCCTGCGGCAGGTGAAGATTCCCTCCTCTCTGCGCAGGATGGTTGCTGAAGGCGCCTTTGCCGCTGGAACGCATAGGCTGGGGCGGATGCCTTTTACTAAGTACCAGGGACGTTTGTTGCCTTTGCTTGCTTGAGGTGTGCCAGGCAGCAGTGCTTGGGGGAGAAGCTTGTACGGCGGTGAGCCGTGACATCATTGCACATGATATACTGCTTTTCAGATTACCTTCAATCCGTGACATTGACACGCCTTGGACACAACTTACACTCGCTATCAGATGCTAGAGCATCTACCAGGTCACCTTCGTGCACACTTATTTATATGTCGAATATCCACTGCATTTCTCACGTCTGACCAATGCTCTGATGCCAAAACAGGTGGAGGTGTCGACGATGCTGTACCGGGACGAGCTGGAGGAGGGCGGCATGGCGCGCGATGACGTGGATGCGGCCGTCGCCGAGCGCCGCGCCGAACTCCTGGCCGAGGCCGAGCGCGACCTCGACTCCAAAGCCGCCGCCGGCAAAGCCGAGCGTGACCGCAGCGCCAGGTGCGCTACGAGCATCACAGATCCGCACCAATCCTGCAATTTTACCAAAACGGTCTACAGTCCCGAGATGTGCCTAGCCTGATATACAGCCTGATATTGAAGTCTTACTATTCCCTGCCCATCCGTGACAGCTAGCAAATCTCTGTTCAGTGACATGTATTCAGCTGAACACATGTCACTGGTTTTGAGTTGTACTCGTCAGTGAGACCGTGAAGTGTGCTTATTCAGTCGATAGCCGGGGGTTGAGCCGTAAAAATTTTTTCGCTCTGTTGCTGATGTGGCCATGGGTTGCTGCGAGCAGGGGTAGCGACAGGGAGAAGCAGAGGGATTCAGACAGGGCGAAAGACCGGGATCGGGACAGGGATAGAGATCGGGACCGGGAGAGGGACAGGGAAAGAAGCCGGGAGAGGGAGAGGGACAGAGAGAGGAGCCGGGAGAGGGAAAGGGAAAGAGAGAAGGACAGGGAGAGGGACAGGGAGAAGTCAGAGCGAAAGCGCGAGCGCAGCGCAGACACAAAAGACACGCGGGACAGGGAAAACGGCAGCAGGAGGGAGAGAGAGCGCAAGGAGAGGGACAGGCCGAAGGACAAGGACAGGGAAAAGGAGGACAGGGATCGCGAGAGGGAAAGAGAGCGGGAGAAAGACAGGGACCGGCTGAGGGACAGGCGCAGCCGCAGCCACAGCCGAGACAGGTGCACTTACACTTCTACTGTAGCATTTTGTCGGGTAGCATGCAGCACTTTGAAGCGATGTGATGCCTTTGTTGAGGAGCTACTATCTACTGATGCATGTAGATCGTTGTGAAGGTTGACAATGCCATGTTCTCAAGGCTGGCATGCAGCAGATTGAAGGCGGTGCATCTCAAGTAAAAAGAGGCTGAGCATTTGTCGCCATGAATATGAAAGTCATAGAAACACTGCTGCGGCGCACCTGATCCTCATGGATTGGAAAGGCGTCTAAAAATATTAAGAATAAAGTTATCAAAGGTGACGATGTTGTGCAGGGCCCGAGGCAGGAGCCGCTCCAAGAGCCGGGAGAGAGACCGGCGCCGGGACCAGTCGCGAGAGCGCTCCAGAGATCGCGCCGCCAGGGAGAAAGAGCGGGAGAGGGAAAGAGAGAGGGAGAGGGAGAGAGAGCAGCGCGAAAGGGAGCGGGAAAGGGAAAGAGAAAAGGAAAGGGAGAGAGAAAAGGAAAGGGACAAGGAAAGGGAGAGAAAGCGGGAGAAGGACAGGGACCAGAAGAAGCGTAAGGACAGAGACAGGAGCAGAGACAGAAGCCCTGTAGGAAAGGAACACCGCAAGGACTCCAAACGGTCCCGGTGACAGTATTCCATGCGAATTTAAGCCAGGCGGAGGGACCGATGGATGTTGTGATGCTGTTGTCATCTATTGTGCAAATCAGGCTTGTATTTACAGCCATTGATCAATGCCTCATGAGCTTACAGCCTGGCTTGACTGAGCACTCAATTTGCCACAACAAATGTCCTTGTAAGGATTGCAATTGCCAAACAAAACGGCAAGCAACCACACGACACAAGAATGACACAACTGCAAGTCACAACTGAGATCAGTGCACACTTAAAGCAGTACGTAAGGTACATGACGCATCAAGGCTCAAGCCCTGAATGTCAGGCACTGCCAGGCGCCTTCCAGAGTATCCTTGCGCTGGATGGCCTCGCATGTGATGCACAGCGCGGCTGCGGATGACTCATCAAGCCTCCTCCACCGCCAATCTGTCAGCGGCTCCTTGGAGCACAGAGACAGCTTCCTGTTCTTGTACGCCATCCCGCTCTCCACCCATCTGCAGAAACAGATAGCTCTTCACACGCAATCAAGATTCAAACATCTTCTCAAGACAGCAGACAGCAAAGTCCCCCGTCACGGTAAGGGTCTTACTGCCGCGAGTCTAAATTCAGAGCAGAGCACGCGCCGCAATAGTAGGTAGCACTCAATCTGCCAAGTAAGAAGCAAGTACAGATGTGTGTTCCTAAGCATGTGCATGATGTGACACTGGTACCGGTACGTAGCAGAATGCCCAAAAATAGGACTATCCCTAAAGAAGAGCGCTCTCAGGGCTGCAGGGTTGTAGTGACAAGGTAATTGCATGGCAGGAGGCCCACCCAGATGCGCTGGCATGGAGTGAGGAGACGCCTGTGAGGCTGACGAGCAGCTCGGCAGTCTTTGCACGCACGCCTCCCCCCGCCATGACTGTGATCCTCCCCTGCGCCTGCTCCACCAGCTGCCTGATGGCTGTGCTGCCCTGCGCACCCAGTTTCTCCATGTGTGAGCCACACAGAAAAACTGTCCTTTGATGGAGATATGGAACCAGTGGCTGATCCGGGAATGTCTCTCGCTCATCGGTTTTGACCATGATATCTGTATTTCTGGGTATCTATGTACCCTTCTTGGCACCAATTGGTGGGGGACGGTATAAAACGCTGAGCATCGTTCCCACTATTGATTGGGCCGTGCTTGGATCTGGCGGGTCCATACGTGGCGGCGAACTAATTGCAGCTGTCGGTAAGCAAGGCTCTGCAAGCTTGAGGAGTATGCAAATCATCGTTATGTGTGTGAGCTGAGGAGGAATCACCTGCAGTGCAGAGTGCGCCCCGCCAGAAGTCAAGACTCGTGGAACACCGCATGAAATGAGCGTGTCTAGCGCAGCCCTACGCATCAGCTACTGCAGTGAACACGGTCATCCAAGTAATGAGCTCCAGAGCATCTCTCACCTTCTCCCCAAAGTGGTGGTCAACCAGATGCTACGCAAGGGGCCAAGATAGGGGGGGAACCTCTTGTCTCGCGCCATGTCGAAGGCTCTGTGGAAAGTGAAGTCCATTCCCTGCATGCACAGAGAGGGGCAGTCATGCACTGACGCCTGTTGTTGCCACGATCACTTCTGCAGCAAGTCAACTCATCAGCAGATGCGGTTGGGTAGAAAGGGCGCATACCAGGCTTCTGCAGAGCAACATGATGTCTGACAGCTGGCCGGCGTCCACATCTCCTTCCCTGGTCAACATGCCAGCTACTACTCCATCCACCCCCAACTCAGCTGCTGTGAGCAGGTCCTCCCTAATTACCTGCAGTACATGCAACACCCCACTTTTGCTGCTTGCAATCTGAGTATCACCACTCTAGACTGGTTCATGGCCCTTTCACGGATGAAGCATGATTGTCACAATTGTCGCAAGGCAAGGGGTGAAGGGGCAGAATGGGATTTACCAGCAGCTCCTGTGTTGTGTACAGGAAGTCCCCTCCACGAGGGCGGAGCAAGATGTGCACTGGGATCTTCAGCGCCGCCCTGACTGCCTTAATGAGGCCTGTGGACAAGGACAATACATCAGAAGCAATGGGAGCAGTTCTGGCAGGACTTTGCTCTCAACAGAGGACGAGTTTGACCCACGATATTCGTGATCCAGCGACTATCACCGGCGCTGGGAGTCAATCCTCCCTCTGACAAGCCACAACATAGTTCCACACGTGTCGCCCCAGTCCTCTGTGCGTGTACTGCTGATGAGAGAGAGTCCACACAGAATTCAACCTCAACGCCGGTGGTGACAGCGGCAGCAGCCGGTGCCACCATCTTACATTTAGAAACTACTTAGAACTGCCGTGATGTTCTGGTTTTCACCCACTTCAAACTCTCAGTTCGTTCTCCAAAGTGCATGTGTACCGAAGTTCAACGATTGTGGAGCCCCCTCCCATGCCCTCTCATGCAAGCTCTTAATTTATATTCAGAACGATTTCCTCAAGACTGCATCGACTTTCCAGACACCTTCTAGCTCCAAGTGCCGCTTCCAGTTTTCTTGTCCAAGGCGAAAACCCTACGTTTGAATTCAAAGGGCTTGTATAAACCGGGAGCTCAATGACCATCAGAGCTGACAGGGAAGGCCAAAACTGACTAACCCGGCAGGCCTGCTCGCTGCTCTGGCTGATCACCTCCGCTGATGGCATCGATTCCCGTCGGAACTTCGCCCAATCTCTAGTCTTGGGTAGCAACATTGGACTCGTCGGGAATCAGTCGGACAGGGACTTTGACAGCCTTGTAGCAGGCAGGACGCTGCCAGTGAGACGTCCGCAATAAGTCGACCAGAGCGGCAGCAAACAGGTGAGTCCGCCCGTACGACATCCTCGTACGGCCGAGCTCCAGCAGAGTTGCTGTGTTGTGCGAGAAGAAGTTTAGATACTCCTAGACACTGATCGCATCGCATGGGAAGGCGCGTTTCGAGTACGCGCGCAATATCTATGTGCTCAATAGCACATTGAAACGAGTCGACAAGGACTACCGTATATTTCAATAAGCAGGTATTGCGGACACCTACGTTTGGCCAGCAAATTGTGCCGTACTTTGTGCGGCAATGTGCACACACTCCTGCGCCCTTGCTGCGCCTGAAGGTCGTTGGCTCTCACCACTGCCAGGCGGAACGCAGCCGTGCAGTTCTCACACCTTTCTGGCGCCCAGTTTGGAGGCAGACGTCAACTCTTGACACCTGACAGGCGTCATGTAGTGCCGCGGATCCGAGACAATCCGATGGAGCGGACGTCAAGTCCAGAAACTTCTCGCAGGACGTTTTCTGTGTGTCCAAGAAATACTATTCCCTAGTCGCCTTAGACAGCATGAAAATCTTTATCAATTCCCTCAGATAGACCTACATACATGGTTGTTTCCTGCCAGAAGACCAGACCTGGTGCAAGCCTCAGCCCCCATCCCATGCTACATCCCCCTTCTCAACTTGCTTGGCGCATGCTGCAGGTGACATCTTGCTGCCGAGGTCAAACACCCACAGCATCTGCTCGACGTCTCAAGCCTGCATGCGCCGCCATGGCGGCCGGGTAGCAGCCTTTCGCGCCCGGCGATGAGCGGCAGCCGCTGCCATGTCAGAGCAGGAGGCAGCACCAGCAAGCCCCGCGGAGGACTCAGAGGCCACCGCCAGTGATTCCAGCCGCCACGCTGCAGACGAGAAACACGATGGCTCGCCAGTGAGCACAGCCACGGACGATGCCAGGCAGGGGCGCAGCCGAAGGGGGCTCAGGGCACGGCCGGAGCAGGCTCTGCCGGTGAGCAGGCATGGCGCACATGAGATCTCGGCACGCACCGGCCCGCCGGGACGCGCCGCCGCAGCCGCCAATGTTGTGAACACCCCGGGTGCATTTTTTGGACGAGGGCAAACTTGAGAGAACGACTGTCATTGCACATGTCATGCTTGCATCCGCTCTGGCAGCTGTATTGTGCAACTTGTTCCCCGAGTGCAAGGCAATCATCTTTTCAAGCACATCTGTCCGCTGCATTCCGGTACTGGCTGGGTGAGTGAGGGTTACGATGTGGGGTTGAGGGTCCTATGTGTTGACAGGGGTTGCTACGCCGAGCCTGTCGGCCCCCCTTCTGGGACCGGCTCAGGCCACACCGTCGACCGCGTCCGGTCAGCTTGCACCCGGGGAAGCTGCGCTGCACCATGTGCTCAGCGGGCACAGCGCGGCCACCTTCCTCGACGCCTCCGGATCGCCGCGGTGGCAGGTGCCCATTCCGTCATCCATCACATTCAATGCCCTTTCCTTTCCCGCTGATACAGCATATCGTGCGCAACAGCATGTCTTCTTGATCCCAAGCAGCATTGCTTTTCCTTCTCGTTCTTGCCTGCAAGAGAGCACAAGATGATGTAGCTCCTTCCGTAGAAGGGAGGCTACTGATAGCAGCATCTGATTGGGAGCTGACTTATCACTGGGGATCGTGTTGCCAGCAGGCAGCTAAGCGAAGGGTGATTGGCGGCTGAGCGGTTCATGACTTGCCATGTATACTTGTGCACCAGCCACACATTCTTTTCACAGCGTGTCTTCTGCGAGCAGGGGAGCTCCGGCAGCGCGACTTTGAGCGGCCGTAACTCGCTGCTGAGCTCGCTGGACTCGCTGCTGGCCGCGCGCCAAGCGTCCGCGCCCGTCGGCGGCGCACGGCGGCAGCCGGCCACCGGCGCCGAGCGGATGCTGGCCGGGCTGTTGGGCGCGCTGCGCCACCAGCAGCGCACCGCGGAGGGGGGCCCCGGTCCCCCCGCTGCCGCTGCCGCGGCCGCGCCGCTGGGGGCCGTCGCCCAGCAGGTGTCCGATGCCAACACCATCCAGGTGCGCAACTTTAAATCTGCAAATCTGTGTAAAGTTTGGTGGGAGATTAACTTGCAGCTGACTTCACGCTCTCACCTCCTCAGGACATCTTCTACTCCAGGGACAGCTGCTAGACATTGTGACACATGTCTGGTGAGCCGGGCTGTACCTGGCGTAGTTGGAGAGTTTCAAAACGAAGGATCCAGCTGGCTCTGATACTAAGTCGGTGCTGCAGGCGTTCCTGAATTCAGTGGGCTTCAAGCTGCGCACGCCCGACCAGGGTGACAGCACAAACGCGCCGCCGCCGTCAACGCAGCTGCCGCGCCAGCCGTCATCCCTCCCCAAGGTGACACTGCCCCCTGTCAGCTTGCACAGATTCCATAGATGATTGACTCCCATTCTGGCGTGTGAGAACACTTTTCATTTTGATGTCTAGTACCCCTGCTTTGCATGTCGTGTTATAGATTGCCCCACTTGGAGGTCATCTGAGGCCTTAGGGTCCAGAGAAGTACAGGATGTCCAGGGGTCAGCGAAGATACAAGCCGGGGGTGCGGCTGCAGGGGAAGGAGGCGGTAGCTGAGAGCGCAGAGGCACCGGCGCCACAGGGCAGCCGGGGCCTGCAGAGGACCAACAGCCTTCCCATCCCTGACCCAGGCACGCCCCCACCACAGTCTGCCCAATTACTCATCCCACTTGCTCAGCCACCTTCGCCAACCCAACGAGCAACATTCACATCAGATGCAAACCCGCCAAATGCTGCACTTCTGCCCTGTTCGTGTCTGGGACTCTGTTGAGTCCTGCCCGCCAGTCTCAAGTCTATTGTGGGGTTGCATCCGCATTTGCTTCGATAAACCTTCATTTGGAGGGTATCATGCCGGTGCCACCATGCTGACAAGGACATTGCGGTTGTTGCGCAGAGCTGCGAAGGATATTAACCGGGGACCTGAGCGCGATGCCGCCGGCGCGCAGCCATCCGCAGGAGAGCGCCACGGTGGCATTCCAGCTGGGCCAGCCGATCACCAACCCCTTCGCGGGCTTCGCCAATGACTTGTTGCAGCGCCAGGCGTCCTCGCTTGCCTCACACCCGCCCCTGCACTGGAGCACAGCTGCTCTGGCAGCTGCCGCGCAGCCGCCGTCGGCCGCCGGCGCCGCGCAGCAGGCACGCCCTCCGACGAGCTCTTTTGTATTCCTGCAGCCCCCCAAATCGCTGCCAGTGACCAATCAAGACAGTGTTGGCGCTGCATCTGTGCGGTCCGAAATATAATTGGTCAGATGCAGAAGAGTGATTCATAGGGCTTCCAGGAGCACAACCTGCCACCTATGGGCTGGGGTGGGGCTGTCTGGAGGGTCTCTTGTTTTGAGCACATGCCGTTCACATGCCACCACACAGCCCATTTGTCAGCTCCCCAGGGCTGCACCGGTAGCATACTTGTCCAACATACACCTAGGCCCCATGCCACAGGCAATCAGTACGTTATCTGCCCGGTCTGACTTTCACTATTTTGCGTGCAGGTCAACTCGGACACAGCGTCGAGGCGGAGCGGGGATGCGCAGCGCGCCCCCAGTGGCGGCAGGGGAATTAGCAGTAAACGCAAGGCCGGAGGGGAGGCCCCTGCAGAACAGTCCGCTGAGTCACTGCCCCGACCCAACCTCACCCATGTGCGCAGGGTGGGTGCATGTCGCCATAGTCCCTTTTTCTAATGCTCAAGCTCTGAATTTGATCAGGGGACAGTGCCTGTTACATGAAAAATTTGGACTGGAAATAGACACTCGACAATGCAGGGGGACAAGAATGTCAATCTCCTGCCGTTCACAATGAGCATTCTAAAGCGTTCATTGTGAGCACATAGTTTGAGTGGAGCTGACATCCTGGGTGGCATGGGAGTGACATCCTGAGCAGAAGTGGGCACCCTTCAGGGGATGTGAATTGCAGGCATTGAAGGCTCAGGTACCAAAATTTGTTCCTTGGTGCAGGCGCTTGGGGATGCTCTGGACTGGTCAGCCAGCAGCAAGCCAGGGCTGCCGCAGCAGTGGTCAGCACTGCAGGCTGCAGCATCCGCACCCACAGTCGCCGCTGCAGGCCAGGACCTCCAGCGGTGAGACTGATTACCATCCTTCCAGCACTTGTGACCAAGAGCCATTTTCATTTTCTTCTCGGAATCAGAATAGGCTGAGCTGATCACGGTGATGGCCAGCAATGATCACTGTGTTCGAGGGCCCAGGAAATGTGATGTAGTGCATTCCTTGTCCTCTTGACTCTGTTGCCGAATGCATCTACGGGCTTGTAACTGAAATTATCTGTAGGACACACCAACATTCCTCCGAGTGCTCTCGTTACTCTCTGCGAGTGGTGGCATGGTCTCTTGTCAGGGAAAATTTGATTTTGACTGCGCAGGCACGCTGGGGACTTCCTGCGGCAGATGCAGGAGAGCATGCCGGCCGCCATGCGCATCTCACAGTCACTGCCGCCACGCTCTTTGCTCACCGCCGACTCCTACCGGGCCCTCGAGCGCTCCCTCGATGCTGCCGGCCAGGTGCGCCTGTGATGCATGACATCACAACCTTGACTGGAAGGTGCAATAAATACTGTGTTTCCGTGCATTGTATCGGTATGAGCTGTGCATGTCATGGCAACCTCTCCTTAGAACACCTGCACAAGCCATTTCAGCTTCTGCGCCAGGTGTCTAGTTGCTTTGTGTCTATCTCGTTGTGGGCTGCTGTATTCCTTGTGTGGCACAAAGAGACACAATGAGAAAAGCCATGGCGCCGGAAGACGCCAAAACACAGGATTGGGCAAGACATGCGCAGTTGGTCCTGTTTTCATGCACTTTGGGAGCACATGCAGGATACAAGATGTGGTGACAGGCTTTGCGTCGCTTTACTTGTCCATCACTCCTTCTTGATACAGGCAAACCACTGGATGGGATGCTTGCACTAGATGGAAAGCTTAGTGCCTTGCTACATGGGTTGTGAGGCTGTTGTGGCGCTGTGCAGGGCTCCGGGCGGGCGATAGCGGAGGAGGTGCAACGTCTACTGGGGCGTGCGCGTGCGCAGGCGTCGGCGGCTGGCGCTCCCCGGGAGGCGGCGGCTGCCGCGGCTCGGGCCGACGAAAGCGACGCGGGCGCCGATGACAGCGAGGCACCGCGGGAGGGCGAGCCTGCAGCAGACACCCTTGAGGATCGCATCAAGCGCCGGTGCGTGCAACTCGCCAGACACACCGTGTACCGTTATGGTCACTCTAATTCTCGCCCCCCCCGGCGGGAAACATTTCAAGGCAATATTCAAGGGTCTTCCTGGCATTGTATCACCAGGGGCTTACTCCATTGGATTGGGCCCGTCGAGTGCTTCCCGAATCTGGTCTCAAAATCGTCATAGGGTGTACATTTTGGAAGATTGGGTCTTAATTTATCAACCCTTCCTGGCCAAAAACATTCATTTTCAGCGGGGTTTAGAGTGACCATTCTGCAACGGGGAGTTCCGTATGTGACTGTTCCCTGTCACTATTGGTCGAGCTGGGGAGAGTACGGCAGATTAGCTTGGCATGGGGGGCTTCAGATTGTGGCGCAAGACGCCTATTTGGGTCTCTGGGCTGTGATTTTCAGGTTTCCAAGCAGTTTTTGGATTCAGATGGGGCATTTCCATGGAGCAGCAGACATGGAAGAATTGTTCCTCGGGGGCCTCAGAGTCTTGAACAGGAGAAACCTGTGAATAGGAAGGACGTTCAAGGCAAAAGCCCTCTGTTTTGATCAGTATGAGAATGTCCTTTGTCACTCTTGAAGATGACGGCGCGCAGGCGATTGAGCAACCGGGAGTCGGCGCGGCGAACGCGGCAGCGGCGCAACAGCGAGATGGCGGCCCTACGCGGCACCAACGAGGCGTTGCAGGCAGATGCCGAGAAGCTTCGCGCGCAGGTGGCTGACCTGGCGGCCGCCAACCATGCGCTGCTTTCCTCCATCCCCGGCCTCGGCGACCCCAAGCTGCAGTGCGCCCCGTTCCCTCCGCGCTCCTGTTTTGGAAATCGGTTTTGAAAATAAGAAGGGATCTGTTCTAGGATCCAGATTTAGAAACGGCAATAACGGCGCGGTCAATGATGGCTCGCCTTTGTTGATGACACACACCATCGGGAGCTGTCTTTGCTCCTGGACTTCCGCCAACAGCCAGGCCTTCATTCTGTTGTTTGCAGAAGAGAGTGTTTTAAAAGGAAACAAAGGAGCTTGAGTAGCTGCCCTGTGCCATGTATGACTCAATGTACCTGGGGCTTTGATGAATCTGTTGAACAAAGTGTCGGTTGAGGACCAGTCTGTTATGGTCTTTGGTACAAAGGGCATCCATCACAGAGGACACAGCTCAACTTGGCGTGATGCTGTTGTGATATTCTGAATTGTTGTGGGTGCTGCAGGGAACTGGCGGCGGAGAATGCAGCGCTGAAGCTTGAACTGCTGGAGCTGCGCGCGGCGGTCACCCAGCACCTGGCAGCACATGCCAGCCAGCTGCCCTACGCGCAGAGCATCGCCCTCTCACAGGTGCCCCCTCCGGCCCCGTCCAGTCCGCACATCTGTCTGGTCTCAGAATGACCATATGACCTCTGGCTAGGGCACTTGAGCCCTTTCTTCCAGCATGCAGAGCAGACCTGTTTAGAAGACAGGCCTGACTTGGATGTTGTGAGCGTGATGCCTGATCTAGCCTGCAAGCTGCATGCGGTTTCCTGAGCAGCTGGTCTTGGTATCCCTCAGATGCACAGTGTCCTGCGGTTGCTTCTGTGGACTGTCTGCATCTGAAGTGGCATCAAATCCTGCTGCTCAGAATAGCTGGACAGCGTCCCTTGTACCTGTGTGCATCTGTAGCAGGGATATGTGTGGCTTCCCCAAGGTGCCACGCACTCCTTGGATTGTAGAGGTTGCTTGTTGTGCCGTAAGGATCATCCCCCTTGTGTTAACGCTTTATATTGGCTGCGAGGATCTCCTGTGGCATTTTAAGGCTGCTATAACAACAGGATGGCCCCGGCTGGCGGGGGGCGGTACAAATTCTGAGCACCATGCTCACGGTTGATTGGGTCTTGCTTGGATCTGGCGAGTCCAACAAGGGGTAGGAATTTGGCAGCCTTTACATGCAGCTTGTCTGCAGACGCACCTTGCCTTTGGCAGGAAAAGCGTGTTTAATAATAACAACATGACAGCATGATGATGGATGGTGCGTTGGGTGGTGCAGGTCATTGAGCAGGCCAGGAGGCAGGCCAACGCTGAAGAGAACGAAGAGGGTGCTTAGCAATAAATCGATGACTCCGCCGTGCGCAGTAAATTGAATATGCCTGCTGCACACCTATCTTTGGAGAAGAGGCGGAGTTGCATAGGGACAGGCAGGAGGCAGCTTTAAGAGCATGAGCTCACTCAATAACAGCTGGCCATTTAATAAAAAGTTACCTTGGGCCCAAGGGGCTCAAGCTACAATACATAGGGCGAATTACAAAGGACGTTTCTCCCGGACCCCCAATTGGCGGAGGTCAAACGTGGACCGGGCTTTATTTGATTGCGCTTGTATTGGCAGCGTCTGCTGTTGGCAACATGCTTTACTACAAGAGCTCTGACACTCTTTATCTGCGTGCACCATGCCCGGCATGTTTGCACACTGCGACTGCAACACTCAGCAGTGTGCTGCGGGTGTGCTGCCAGGTGTGCTGCCAGGTGTGCTGCGAAGCTCAAACAACAATTTGTTACAAATCAGCACTGGTGTGGTTGCGTTTGATGTTGTTTGCAGTTGCATGCACAGCTCATTTGATTGGGTTCCCCACCACGTTCGTTCAGGGAATAATTGTTACTCAGGAAATGATCGATGGGCCTGCAGGATTGCACCAGCAGGGGTAGAAGGTTCACATCACCGTTCTGATCTCGCCGTGTTTGCTCTGACCATCAGTGTTCAACACGTTGTGTGAGAGTGAGACCCTCAAGCGCGGAACGAACTCGGTCGGACCTTAAGTGTTGCTCAGCCACAAGTACGGTTCATGAATCTCCCAGCAGAGGAGCAGAGACTGCTGAGCTGCAAATTCTTTTCTTGGATTGGGGTTTGGGCGACAATTTCAAGCACAGCCAAAATTGTCGCTGTCTGAATGGCAAGCAAGCAAGCAAGCGCTGCATGTTGGGCTCCTTGTGCCCTTAAATGATCCTCATAGAGCACGTCATTCCACATGCGTGCTTCTGGGGAGATTGTGAATGACTCATAAGGCGAGTATGCCTATCAAAGGTCGTTCGCCTGGGAAGTACGTGGGTTGACAGCAGTGAGAGAAGTTCTGTTCTGTCACGCAAATCCTGTGATGCGCTGGATCCTGAACCACAATGCGTCAGCAGCGTGCTTCAGAAGAGTGGCTTCAGAAGAGTGAAGGGTCTGGTGCACCAGATATTAAATGTGTTCTTACCATGTGTGAAGGGTGGTGCGTCGTTTCATGCAACCTGCGCAGAAGTTGCTGCAGCTTTGAGAGGGGGCCGGTTGAGGGGCCCTCTAGGATTGAATGGCATTGCATTCTTAGCGGAAGTCATGCTGCTTTCATGTGGGTGCTTTGTCCATCCGCTGATGTGCTAGGCTCTGCTGTGGCGCCAAATTTTTTGGACGCTCTATTGACTCTCAAAAAGTCTGATCTCCATTTGGTTGTTGTGGCCTTTCGGTTGAGGGTAATTGCAAGTTGTTGGCGTACCTTTTGGTCAAATGTCCTTGCCTGTCGTGAGTGCTTGTTCTGCCAGACAAGTGTGTAGGTAGGTGCTGTACTTCTTGCAGAGAAAAGTGTGTCTGTGTGTTTGGTGAGCGACTGCCGCTGGTGTCTGCGCGCATGATTCATTCTAAGTTTGCATCACGATCAAATTCAAGTAATATTGAGGCTGCATCATCGAGTGCACTGCATGATGTAACCTCAGAGATCTCCAAGTGCTGCCCGGGGTCTGCCTGAGTCTGGCAGACTGGCAGTGTCAGCCGCCGTCGTCATGATGGTTACCCCAATTGCCAGCTTAGTGCCACTGAATAGCGCCTACCAATTGACAACATCCATGATAAGTCATGCTGAGCTTGCGCACATGTGATGCATCATGATGACCATCGGGCTCATCAGTGATTAGTGACTGGCATTAATGAATATTTTCATGTCTCATGAATAACACAAGCAGCCGCAACTTGCTGGTTGACTCCGGGCCAACCACGCGCGCGGGCGCCCGTCGCGGCCGCCACTGGCAGTGCATGCGCATGTATTATAATCATTATTATTACACGCTTTTCCTGCCAAGAGGCAGGGTGCATCCTGCAGACAAGCTGCAGTTAAAGGCTGCCACAATCCTACCCCTTGTTGGACTCGCCAGATCCAAGCAAGACCCAATCAACCATGGGCACGGTGCTCACTGGCAGTACCGCCCCCGCCAGCCGGGGCCGCATGCGCATATATATATATATATATATATATATATATATGTGGTCATGATCAATGCTGCTGAGCTGCAACATGTAACGCATGAGCTGTCCTGATGTCGGAGGAAGGTATTCCAGAACTAACTTGGAATTCGTAGAAAATCTGTGCCACAGTGGCACTGCCACTGTGCCTTTCGCCTGGCTTCCACGCTCTGTGTAGAAACGCCTCTATAGACACAACCGAGTCTGGCTTCACGCTGAAGACTTGCTTCGCGTAAAGAAAGGCGTTGTGAGCGAAATTTACAAAGTAGAGATCCTCGTTTGCAAGCTGTGCATATACGTCGTTGAGATCTTCTTCGCCAAAGCGGTGTTATCAACCTATCCCAAAAACGCGCGTTTAATCTCGAGTGAAAGCTTACAAGGATGGCGCAGGCACTGAGCAACTCCACGATGTGCTCTATTCACTCAGTGAGCAGACGAGAGGCTTACAGGCAGCAAACGGCGCTGCCCAGCCTGGCTCACTGCGCTATTCGTCGCAATAGCAGGCGCAGCTCCACGTCTCCCCAGGCGCTGTCTGTGGGGGGTGTCGCAGACGATTTTGGGCTCACGTCCGGCTCTTCTGCCGTCAACATACTATTACAGGCCGCCACTTTCGCAGCCATCGGGGTGGCTGCATGGTTTACCGCCCGCCTGGTTGACCAGGTACGTGAAAACGCGTGTTGTCAGCAAAGCTTGGAAGCTGCTTAGGCGGCGCCTCTGGCCAGTTGTTTTCTGTTTCTTTTGTGGACATCTGTGAAAGCGGACTGAGATGCAAGTGCCAAATATAGCATATAGGCTATCGTGGGCAGGTAGCTGTTTAAGAATCTGCTTTGCTTCAACACCTTTGCGAATATGGTGTAAGGATCCCTTCGTCATGTTATGGGCTGGCACATGCAAAGGCGAATTAAGATCTATACCTTGCCACAATGTGTGTGGTGCTTTGAGTCCTGACAGCTTGGGGTTTGTGGGTTTGAACAGGCACCTGAGCAGAGGGAAGATGAAACTGGCGAGTGCCCCAGGTGCAGCGGCTCCGGGTTTGAGGAGTGCATATGCACGAGGTGGAGTGACAATGATGCGGGCTGCGCAACCTGCAATGGCTCTTCCAGGATGGCATGCAGAAGCTGTGGAGGTGGAGGCACAGCAGTGCCTGCAACAGCAAAGATCGTTGCCCGAAGGTGAGGCAGATGACCTGCTTGCTGTGACCTGGTGCCTGAACGTTACCTGAATTACTGTGACCACCAAGGATAGCTGCTGCTTCTTAGATTTGCTGCTTAGGATTGGGCAGTTGGTTGCAGTGCTGGAGGAATTTGTTGCTGACCTGAGTGTCTTGTGTGCAGGGGCAGCAATTACATTGGGAGATAGAACTATGGAGAGCGCAATGTAGCTAGCTGACACTGTACGAGAGTGTGTGAGAGGATCACAAAACGGTGGATATGCTTGTTCCTGTGGAGAGATGTTGGGAGAGGAGCATTCTGTGCTATATGGTGATTCTTTTAGGTAGGCAAGACAAACGCATGTCATAATGGTAGGCAAGTGCTAGAAGAGGGATGTCTGCAGACTGTATCATATCAAATAAAGCTCTGTACATTCTACTTTGAGGGGATGGTGTGATGCTTGGCAGTAACAGCCGGGGTGAGAAGTGGTCAAAGCCATCAAGCAGTGTGTGGCATTTAATCATTCTTTCTCACAGTTGTCCTCCAGCCAAATTAGTGTGGCTATCTCGCATGATAACCGAAAATCTCTCAGAATGAAGCTGCTGCTGGAAGGGTGTCTTAGGACGAGGTTGTGTCATGCCTGCGCAAATGCGCAGTTTTATACAATGCACGACCTGCTGTCTTGGGGTCGTTTGATTGCAGTGACTCTGATTTGCTGTGGGTGGAGAAGCAGTGTTACATGATACAGAAAATGATATGCCTGCTCTTGAGCAGTACTGGTGTTTTGCAGAAGATGTCGCGGCTGGTTGATTGGATTGTTTGATTGCTTGCTCTGGTGCCTTGTTGGCTCGCGATTGGAAGTGTGCACTTGAAGGTGCTGTCTTGTAATTGCCACGCAAGTCAATAGCTGTGAACCCAGCTGCCCAGGGTTCTGATGTTACATGCACTGTTTGTAGTCGTGCTTGCAATTGCTAGCAGCGCTGGCCGTGATGGTACTGCGGATTCCGCAATGCGGAAGCCGCTAGCACTGCTGGCATCTGAGTGCACAACTGCTCTGGGCATTCAACAGCTGCTTTGAGGCACGCTCATGGAGTCTTTTGCTCACACAGGCATGTGATCATCATAAACCTCATGATAATACTGATAAGACCTGTAGTCCAGACGCTGTGCAGCCCTCCGCATGCCACTGCAGTTGGCTACTGGCACGACCCCAAATCATAGCGCACACAGGCCCTGGGGCTACTAGCTGTTGGTACAGTGGCCAGCAGGGCTGCATCGGGCTGGACAAGTTTAGCTGAACGTTGATTGAGCTAGCTGGTAGGGAATCTGTAGCCACAATTGAATCACATTAGCGGAGCCGGCCGGTTGCAGCTGAGACTGTTTGTGCGACTGTGACAGTGATGCGCAGCAAGTCCTACGCTGTACCCAGTGTTTGCCTGACAGTGTTATGCTTGTGTCTCTGCACAATCTTCCTGCCCATGCACTTGCGTTTTTAGTTGGAAACATCTCAGACTTGCAAGGGCTCTGCATGAGCACAGGAACGCCTCGTGACAAGACGTCCGACGTGGGCCCTTCAGGATCCAAGAATGTGAAGAGATCTTTCTTGCACAGGTTCTCGCAATCGTCAATTTCAGTATCTCAGAGTGAAGATCGACAACAATCGCATGCTGAGCTGCTGTCGATTGGACCCACTCGCCGGTGGCGCGCAGCTGCAGTAGTGTTTGCCTAATATGCAATTTCCCACTGTTGCACCACAGCTTGATAGCCCCATCTGCTCGTCGAGCGCTCGTTCAGCATCTTTCAGCGGGCGTGCGCATTTGCCGTTTCAGTCCTCTATCACCAATGTCGCTCAACTGCCGCAAAGAAGACAACGCAGAAGAAGTCTTGTGAAGGCTCAGCCAGCTGGTCTCAGGCTGGAAGCTGGCCCAAAGACAATGCAGAGAGATACAGTGACGCTGCCAGAGACACTTACAAGCAATACAGAGCCAGCTCTGCTCGCGGAACCGCCTGTACACTTTGGGGACCTAGAGCAGTTTTACCACGTGCTCAACTTGTCAGTGCAGCTCAGCACGCCACCTCCGCGCAGCTCGCAGAGTCCAGGGGGTGGAAACGGCAAGAATGATGAATTTTACGCCAACGTTGGGAATGCCATCAGGACGCTCAGAGAAGAGATACCACTCCTCTTCCAGCAGGACTTCACATGTGAGGGCGCCTCTCTGACTGGCTGTATTAGATACTGCAAGTCGATTCCTTCAGTATAGTAATTTATTTGTGTCGTTAGGGTGCCGTTGTGCAACAGTTGTCCTCATTTTGTTCTGTACTCACTGTCCCACCGCTGAGATGTATATTCTGCTGCAGATGACATCTACAGGGAGGATATCGTCTTCCGGGACCCAAGGAATACTTTCAAGGGCCTGAAGAACTACAAGACCATCTTCTGGAGCTTGCGCTTCCATGGGAGGCTCTTTTTCTCTAGGCTGTATGTGGACGTGCAGAGAATCTGGCAACCGGATGACGCTCAGATCAGGCAAGGGAACTAATCATGATCTCAGCTGCCAAATTTTTGGAGCACAGAGCAGTCTTCTTTGACAATCATGTTCTCGCAATACACTTTCAGGTGCCACAACTTCAGGCGCATACTGACCTTTGAATCCCATGCTGCAGGATGCGTTGGACAGTTCATGGCATTCCCCGAGTCCCATGGAAAGCAGAGGGCATTTTCGATGGTGTCTCTACCTTCAAGTTGGACCGCCAGGGGAAGATCTATGAGCACCAGGTGCGTGACCGGGGGTCCTCATGGCCACACATGCAATGCTTGGGCTCCCTCTGTGCGCATGGGCTACCTTTGCTGAAGTTAGTGTTCCAAGAGCATCATCAGGCTTGTGTGGCATCAAATGTGATGTGCCGTTAAGATTTGGAACGAATGGTGGTATTACTGTATATGCCTTTGGGACTTGAGCAGGATTGATTCGAGTTCAATGCTGAGCAGGTGGACAATGTGATTCTTCGGGACCCCCCCATGCTGCGATCGCCGCTGTTTGCCGGGCTGAATCTGACACCGCTGCTGCAGCCGCAGCCGCAGACGCAGCCGTGCCCCGGTGCTTGGTGCAACAACGCCACTAGCACACCTCTGGCTGCCGAGGCACTGGAGAGCCAACCCCAGGCTTCCACCCTCCATCAAGAATCGGAGCGGGGAAACCGGGAGGCCGGGGGGTCCGTGCTGCGGGGGGTCCGAGGGATCCTCAACAGGGACGCGGCGTACCTCCGTCAGGCGCTGTCTGATAGGGGCGTGCAGAGGGAGGTGGCCTCTCTGGTGCACCAGGAGCAGTTTCCCCAGCCGCCCTGCCAGATATGAGTCACCCTGCTGTCAGCAAAGCTGGCCTTGTATAAGATGCTGAGGCCACGTTGATGATGATTGCTGACTGTAGATATCTGCTCTATCGGCAGTGCGAGGGGTGCTGTTGCACAGAACAGTGTGGTTCCGCAAGTGCTGTGATTTGTATGCCTTTATTTCTGGTGGCACTTTTTGTTATGCATATATGGTTTGGTCAGGGCTGGCAGGAAGCATACCCAAGATTGAAGCTTGTATAATAGAGACTAGATATGGTTCCAATGATTGGCAGGTGTTTGCATCACATGATGTACCTTCCTTTGGTAGGAAAGAACAGAGATGTACATCAGATGTCTGATAAAATTACGGGCAAGTTAAAGGGCTGCAACTCAAAGGAGTTGCCATTGCTGTTTTGCAGTGTAGTAATGCATGATTTGCGTTCTGTTGAATAACAGAGTGCCATGAGGTTTAGTACAGCGCAGAGATGTTGCACGATTTGTATGCAAGACTGGCGACCATGTGTCATTTAAGCGATGTAGCAGGCAAGTGATTTATGTAGGGCTGGATAGTTCCCCATCTGCTGTGCACATGTGAGCATCCAATGTCAATATATGCCACAGCAAATACGATGGGCTTAATAATGGTGGCCTTGGCTTGAAGCTATTTATATCCATGGTTGCACCTTGATTCAATGGGTCAGCCTTTTTCTGAGCTTCATTGCGACCACATGGAGCTACATCCAAGATTGACCCTGAGTCACAAGCAGGCACTGTCCACACAATCAGCACCACACAATCAATCTGCCACATAAGGAAGCATGCATGGTGACTACACCATGTCTGCAAATCCCTTCTCTCATCCACGGACGCTGCACACTTGTGGCAAGCGCATGAAAACCTTCTGTCTACCTACAAACTATGCTACTTATCTTGAACTAGTCTTGAACTGGCACGAATCTGGGTCTGTAGAAGGAAAGGACTTCTACGGACCCGACATGCGGCCAGGTGTGCCTGCATTGCTCTTATGGTGGTACATGGGAGTAGCGCTAAGCGATTGGTGAAGCAGCAAGACAGACACAGGCACGGTTCAAGCAGGCAATGAGATTGCTCCTCACCGCTCTCACATGGCAATGACTCCCTCACTTCAGCACCAGAACACTTGCGCCACCGTTACAGCTAGGGCCTACTGGACGGACATAGAGTAATGACTCCTGACCACTGAGGTGCCCGTTTTCAGGCATGCAGAATGGCCCTGATTTTGCTGAGCGCATTCTGCAGGAGGCCATTCATGCCATTGGCCCCGAAACTCTCTACGACACCCCGCAGAAACAGCTGGGTCCCATTGAATGCTGCCGCATAACCGCCCAATGCAGAGGGAGCTGCGTTGAGGCCTGTCTCCCCGGCAGAAGAAGCGCCGCCCTTGCCAGAGGAATACTTGCTGACAAAGGCTGCGAAGCCACCCTGCACCCGCTGTGTCACAGGCCGCAGGGCAGCTGTCACTGGTGTGATTATTGTACGCGACGCTCTATCAGCCTGCAAGCACACATCTTGGCATATTCAGACAATAGCCCACAGCACAACCTATTGTCTCATGTAGACTTCACACAAACGATGCGCCACTGTCTTAAACCTACCAACATTAGATAGCAAATGACAAGTAGCTTGCAGTCCCACCAAATGGGTAAAGAATGGTTTGCATGCATCCACTCAGGGGGCCAGCGACCAACCACACAAAGCTCAGACTACATCAATCAATCACATGGGCTGCCAATCACATAAAGCCAACAAGATACAGATAAGAATAAAGCAGCTGGTCACCTGCGTGCGGACCCACTGCCGGTACTGCGCGTAGGAGGATCCAAGCACGATGCCATCTAGGACGCACTGGGGCTTGCAGGCCTGCGCCTGCATCACCGCGCGGCTGGCCACCCAGTTGGCCACCGCCCCCGGGCTGCCCGCGCGCCGCGCCAGCGCCAGCATGTACGCCGTCGCAAACGTGTCTCCCGCCCCATTCGTGTCCACCGCCGCCACCTGCGCGCACACCACACCCAAACTCTTATTTTAAAAAGTCGACATTCCATTTTTGTATTTGAAGAGGATTTGAGGGTCCAGATCCCGTCCCAGGGCGCAGGAGCAGGAAGATCACTCCAGTGCGATCCACCCTTAGTGAGGCAAACGCTGCAATGGCTCAGTTGGGTAGTGAAGTTCGCCGTGAGTCATGCGCAAGGGGGCATATGACTCAGAGACATAGTTTAGGGACACTGAGGTCAGCCGTGTCCACGCAGAAGTAGATATGTGTCTAACGTGCAGCTCAAAGCCGCTCATTGTCATTGTGGGCCGAAAGTGACAGTCGAAGAAATAGCAGCAATTTGACAGCTAATGGCTGAGTGCTGCATACCTTCTCCGGTGGGAGGTGCACAGAGGAGTTGCCGACGACTTCATCAGCGCCAAACTCGCCGCGGGTGATGAGCCAGCGCGCGGACCCGCTGGCCAGCTCGTTGACTAGCCCCGGCGGCCACACATCAGTCTCCACATCCGACAGAAACACCGACGTCCGCGGGCCCAACGCCTCCTGCAACAGCCCAGCCCCTTGCATGACACATTGCTCATCAAAATAGGAAAGTCTGCAACTGCCACTCCTGCACGTTATTTACTGCAAAAAGGCGTTCCCGGTGCAATTTCCTTAATGACTGCAGGAACGTCCAAATGCAGCAACTGAAGCAAAAGAGCAGCGCCTGGCATGCTGACAGAAGGAGAAGCTTGTGCGAAGCATTGCCATTCATCATGGTCTCTGGCCATGGCTCTTGCAAACAATGCAAATCTTTTTCGGGATGCGCAGCAGAAGCACACAAGATCGTGGGCCAGGTCATGAAAGAGACACTGCCATGCACCGCTGAGAAGCGCGCAGCCTGACTGACAGGTGTATTTAGGGGCTGTGCGCACCAGGAGCTGGGGGCTGGGCTCCTTGGAAGGAGAGACGCGGCCGGAGGCGTCCAGGCTTCGCTGCTGCCCCTGCGCCATGAGCCCCACCGCCTGCCGGAACCCCGTCGCGCGATCCCACACCCCTGCTGCCCACCATCATCCACCCTTGTAAACCCTCCTCAGGCAAAAGTAGATTGAACCTACACACAGTTCCTTTTCATGTGCACAGCCTCATGATGCATACTTGCATGCCTTCCCATGAGCACATCGTTCATGACCTAGACACTGTGAACAGGCATAATGACACCTGGTGCTTCTGGAGAGAGGCATTCCATGCATGGTGACGCCCCGCTAGCACCATAAAACATTTTGTGCGAAAAGCAACGCATTCTGCGTTTCTGCACGTTGCACCAAATTGTTTTTGGAAGACTGGAAGAGAGGGGCTAACCCTGGCGGTGCCGGATGAAGCTGGCGGCGTCCAGATCATCAGGGGTGAGCGGCCCGAGCAGCACGGTGCGCGCGCGGCGGCAGTGCGGCGGAACATGCTCCACCCTCAGCGTCACATTAGGCGTCGCCGTCACGCGCAGCTTCCGCTTGTTGCCTGCCCAGTGCAGCGACACACTCTATCTCAAAAAAGGGCCTGCCACAAGTGCGGCGCAAGTTAAGCGTGCAACTGAGGGGAGCTCTCAAGCCTCTTGTGGCCAGAGCTTAATTCTGGCCCCTCAATACTAGAGAGACATTCATGGGTGGGGCTACGAACACCCATGATAATTGCTCATTGTACTAACTGGCAAGACAAGCTGCCAGAGCAGGGTAGCAATGGAAACACAGTTATGCTTAAGTGCACATGGCTCCAGATATGTGGTTCAATCGTACAGGGAGAAGAGCAGCAATCCCTACAGTTGGCGGTACTGACATGGAAGGCAGAGTACCTTCCAGCTCGCCATGCATTTGTGCATCATATGTAACAAATCAATCTGCATGCGGGTGAGAACCTCACCCCACCAAGTGTAGGAGTGCTCAAAGGTGAGGGTGTTGTTTGTAGAGATCACATGCAGATCATGGCCCCGGAATACTGACAGATCTGCATCCGGTCCTGCAGCTGTCACCACGCATGCGCGAATGCCATACGCACTGGCTACTGCTGCTGCATAAGATATAGCACCTCCCTGTAATCGAAGCACAGAATGAACTTCAAGGTCGTCTTGACTTTGCTTAAGGAGGGTTCCTCTGTTTCTTCTGCGCACAGCGTTTTCATACCTGAGCGCTTCACACACCTAGCCTAGTAACCAAGAGTACAGAGCAAGGGCTCCAGCGAACGACCTGGAGGAAATGGTGACTTACCAAGGCCCTTTTACCATCCACCACATCCACTGTCACATCGCCAACGAGCAAGAGCGTGGGCCTGAGCAACAAGAAGGCAGGCCAGGTCAGCTGACAAGCACACAGCACGCTAGGACAGGGCACGTACAGGCTGTGTACAGCCATGCTATTTGAAATATACACACTCTTTAATCCAATGAGTAGCATATGGGTTTGTGCTCAGGCGATCGATTCCGTACAAGGGAGATCCTACAGGGCAACGCAGGCTATCCTTGCTCACCTGAACAATTCCGAAATGGCCACAGCGCCCAGCAGACACGCCGTACAGACTAAAAGCAGTCTGCCTGTGCCAGAAGACAGTGCCAATAAGGCCTGCCCACGTTGGATCCCCATCGTCCAATATTCAGTCTGAACAACAACAGAGCCCCGGCATGGTGCTGCAAAGAAATTGCAGCTGGTGCAGCCCAAACACGATCATATGACATGCATTGTTACCATTATCTGCGTCAAATGTGCCACGGCCCAAATGCAAGTGTTCATGAATGCGGACGAAGCCCTTCTCGCCGCTTGAGACCCGGTTGGTCCCCGTTTGGGCTGCCCGCTTGACCCAAATGGGGCACCCAACTTCTTGACTGTCCAGCCAGCCTTAGTTTTAGAATTTCAGAAGACATCCATCTCTAGACCACGACAGAAAGTTGTTCTCATAATTATCATCGTTATAATAACAGTATGGGGATGCTTGGCAACATTACAACCCAGCAACATGCACTCATTCAGCCCACCTTCACTCGGTCGTCGGTGCCTTTCTTTACCATTGCTGGGAAGTCCCAAAGATCCCATAAACGTCTTGTCGTGAAGGCTCTGAACCACAAGGCGGAATCAGCGGATGCTGTCAGGCCAGACATCACCAGGAGGCATGCCATCATGGGAATGATAGCTTCTACCTGGCTAGTGTCTGCAAACAGGTGACCCAGCAATCCGTCGAAGCACTACTAAATGGTTGTTGCATCAACGATTGCATGCATCGCATTTCAGATTATTCCAGACATCAGCATGTGACTGGACCTGGGCTGACTGTTGCAGGGCAGGAGCTGATCCTCAGATCACGCAGAAGGTCTTCTTTGATCTCACAGTGGGCGACAAGCCAGCAGGGCGAGTAGTTCTGGGGCTCTACGGGGAGGCCGTTCCCAAGACAGTCGCCAACTTTGTGGCTCTAGGTGAGCTTGCCTCACCACTGTCTCACTGCATGCAGTGCCTGAAGGGTCAGCAGGAACAGCTGTCTGCCGTCTTCAATATGCTGCTGCCATGGGACACCGCAATGCGTCTGGACACTACAGTACACCTGGGATCTGTGCATGGACAATATGCAACTTCTGGATGCCCTCTCTGTATTTGCAGCCACGGGCGAGAAGGGGTTTGGGTACAAGAACACAGAGTTCCACCGCGTCGTGAAAGACTTTGTGCTGCAAGGTACGCATATCGACATGTGAGAAGCACCACTTCTGCCTGGACCCCTCATGTGAAGCAGATTTGTAAGACTGTGAAGTGTCTCATTTGCAGGCGGTGACTTTGAGAGGGGAAATGGGTGCGTGTTCCCATCACCCTGGCTCTTGTCAAGGAGTCATTGATACATCGTCTACGTTATTATGATGACAGCACTGCTGTAGCAAGCCAGTACACTGCGACACTGGTGTTTAATACAGTGTTGGCCTGCAGGACTGGTGGATACAGCATTTACGGTCGCAAGTTTGTGGATGAAAATTTCAGCATTCCCCACCGCCCGGGAGCGGTGTCAATGGCAAACGCTGGACCCAACACCAATGGCTCTCAGGTGCTGCCAACCCCTGTGCCATACATAATACATGATACATGCAGAAAGAACAGCTGCCCGCCAAAAAGCTGCCTGCATCTGCTGTAATCGTGAGTGGGTGTGCTGCAGTTCTTCATCACAACCGCACCAACTCCATGGCTAGACGGCAAGCATGTGGTACTTGGAGAGGTAGGTCTACTCCCTGATTGCCCCCATCGATGATATCATAATATGCTTTATGGCCATGTATTTATTACAAGCCCTGTGTCTGCAATATCATAAAGATAGATGTCAATGACATCAGCTGCTTGTCTTGGATGGCTCAGGTACTGGAAGGCTTTGACCTAGTCCAGAAGCTGCAGTATCTTCCAGTTGACTTCTTCTCAAAGCCCAAGGACCATCTGAAGATCTCTGATTGCGGCGTTTTGACATGAAACATCACGTTGAGTTCGCCTGCTCACTGCCAAATTAGCTGTGGAACGTTGAGTGTCAAACAGATACCCAACGGTGACTACAACGGGTGTAGCTTTCAAAAACAAACAAAGTCAACTTAGCCTTTGTGTAAATAACACTTGCCTTTATGAAGTCATCACCCTAAACGATACATTGCTGCCAGCTCTGTACAATTGATGTCAGCACAGTTGTGCTTCTGGCATGGCCATTTTCACCTGATCCATTTTTACATAAGGGGATTGTTGTGCGCCGGAACAAATGGCTTGTGCAACAACACTAGTTATAACAATGTGATCCACAAGATAAGTCGAAGAATTATCAACATAATATACACAAATGGCTATTAGCCCTTGGCTGAGCTGCCCTGGTGCTGTTCTGGCTTCTCAGCACCCTCAGGGATGCTCTTCAGCTGTGCGCCTCTATGCCTGAGTTGCTGCTCGGCCGCGCCTCCACTATCCATCTCTTGCAATGCATCAGGTTCTGCATCTGCTGCTGAAGAGGAATTGCTTTCTGCTCTCTCCTCTGGTAAAAGCTGTGATTCTGCTTGCGCACGCACCATGTCCCCAGACTTCCCCAGGATGTCCGCATGCTTCACTCTCTGGTTTGCATAGTATGGCGGCATCTGCTGTGCGCCACTGCTATCTGCATTGACAAACAGCGCCTCTGCTTCTCAGTGGCAGTGCAGTCTGAAGTGCTGTCGTGCCAACTCTTCATATGGCATCATGCATTCTCAAAGACATGTTTGGCATGCATGCAGCAGCTGCACATGAAGATTTGTACCTGCTTTACGCTGCTCTTCGATCTGGACAGTGTCATGAAACTTTGTGAAGTCGACAAACTGGCGGCCATCCTTCTGCACCAGGACGTCCTGTGCAAATTCCACACCACAATGCGATTTTAGGTTGCACAGCTTCAAATAGATATTTCGCATGAATCCTGCAGAAGCAAGCAGATATAGATTGTCCAAATCCTGCATGAAAGTACCTGGAAGCGGTGATTCCACAGGATGTCTGCTGGACGGAAAATGGTGCGTGCAATCACGGACTGCAAGCCACCAAAGATAAGATTAACAAAGGCTTGCTTGCCATAGCGCCCATGCTCAAACAATTTAAAGCTGAATTGCTGCATGCCCATGCTGCTCATGCTCCTGCATATGTACATGTGAAGCACTGTGAGTGTCTACCTGTTTGCTGTTGTCATCGGTGGCGGCCACACTGACAAAGATGGCCCCCTCTGCGGCTCGGATGTCCTCCGCTGTTAGGCCATGCAGGGGAGAGGCCTCATCGATCTCATGCGCAATGATGAGGCTGGGGGCGATGGCAGTAGGGTCTGTCACTTCGCATCGCCTCCCCTGTGAACAGAGTGTTTCAAGTCGTTGGACTGCAGATCATCATGCAAAGTTGCCCCCAAAATATGGGCATAATCAGTTTACTCAATAGGAATTCAGCTGGACCCACCTTGAAAGTGACCTCACCCTCGGTTGTCACAAGCCGCTGAAAATAAGACACCCTGATCTGCTGGAGCATGGGAGACTGTTACATATCACAACCAAGGTATTTGGTGTCCAGCAAGAAATCAACTGTCCTTGACTTCCCTAGCAAAGTTAGTTATGAGATCGCACCTCCGGGTGCAGCAGGAAGTTTCCCCTAGTATTTCCGATGCGTATAAGCAAATGGGGCACCCCATTCCTGGAGTGCACACACAGTCACTTCACTGCTGTAAATTGTAAGAGTTGCTTTGGAACGACACGGAACGCAGAGTGGCAGCTGGCGCGCACCTGGCAGTGATGAGACACACCCTGCTGAAGGCTGTTTTATTGGTGGGCATGCTTGCCTTTGCAAACACAATCCCCAGCAGCAATGAGGACATCATGATGCCCACAAAATGCTCCACTGTGCACACGATATAAGCCAGCTGAGTGTCAGGGCTCTGCAAACCAGCATACCTCCACTTAGCTTACTTCATATCACACCGATGAGGACCTTCATATATTGCAAAGAGGATAGGGAATTTAGGTACAGAAGCACAATAAGGACAAGAGACTCACGATGCTGCCATAGCCAATGGTGGTCAGATTTGTGACACTGAGCCAGAAGCAGGCCTCTGGCAGGGACAGGTGAGAATCCCCCAGCATCTGTTCATAGACAGCCTGCTTGCAGACACAATATTGATTGAACATGGCCAGCATGCTGCAGGATTTCCAGCAAAATACTTTTATTTTGCAGCCAAATTCAAACTGATACAGCCTGATGTGCAAAGCCTGTGCAAGCAGTGAAAGCTACAGAACGTTGGTGCAGTGAAATGGTGCGCACCCCAGTGATGTAGAAGAGTGCAGCAAAGACGATGCTCACAACGAGATACATTGCAAGGCAAAAGAGGACAAGCACGTCCCAGTCCATCTCGAACATTTTCCCTTGGAAGTCATCTGCAAGCGTTCTCCGCACTCCAATGACTCCCCATCGTGTGGATTTTGGTCTGGCAGCGAACGATCCCAACCTGGGCCCAGAACCGAGGCTGATTCAACATCAATGGGCAGATATTGGTGCTTGAATGACATGATATAATCCTGCACCAAACCCTAGCTGTATATTGATCCAGTATAACATCTTGGTGGTCCATGGACGTGTGGGGCACCTTTCAAGCTTCTTAGTGGTGATGTCGACGACGTTGGCCACCCTTTGAAATGACGTGGTCCTCTTGAAGCTGCGTTTCCTCATCGCAGCTGAAGTCTGCTGAACCGATCGTTGCATGTCTAGGGTAACGCTGCAGATATAGCGGAAAGGAATCGTGCTTTCCGTTCAATTTCACGCACTCCTCACTGCAAAAGGTGCAATCATTGCAGATTCTCAGCACTACTTGTCATAATCTTGCCACTTACCGCAATATTCTTCTCATGCTCTTCCTCGGAAAGAATGTCCGTTGATGTCGTAAGATTAGCTTCCTTGCGACTGGAAGCTGTGCATGCTTTCTCGACCCTCCTGTTGAGAAGGAAAGGAGTTCCTCCTCGAATAGCCAGACTTCATGAATATCTGAATTGATTTATTGTTGACTGGGCAAAGAGTAACAGTGCAAGATGTCGGAACCGAGCCGCATAGAAATGGTTGTTATTCCAAGGTGAGCCATGACTTCTCTCAAGAGATGCAGACGTCTTTGCCACATAATCATGTGCCAAGATCATAATCAGAAGCAATGAAGTGAGATTGACACCTTGTGCAGGGAGGAAGAGGTGTTCGATCGGGAGGAAGTGCTGGGCAGAGACGCAAAATCTGTCTTCCCCACAGAATCCAAGACGCCAGCGATCGATACCGAGGCCGTGAAAGCAGCGTTGGGGTCCAATCTAAGATTCATCACCGAATCTGAGGTACGCACATCACGCCACAGTGGATAAGTACTCGTCAAAATTCACAGGGTGCACTGCCCGATCTGCACCGTAATTCTGATGCCCAGCAAAGATCGCGTTTGGTGTGCAGTTGGAAAAGATCAAGGCCGAACGAGGAGCGCGGGTGGAGGATGGATCCCTGGAGCCCAGCAAGCCGCTGGTGGAGGTTCTCAGAGAGGCTGCAGAGGCCAAGGAGGCTGCTTTCCAGGCAGTCTGGAAGTCCATGAAAGTCGGTAAGATTTGCCCTGCTCAAGAAAGTAAATATCGACTACTGCTGTGTCACAAGGAGTTGTTCACAATCCCATGCTTCTAGACAGGACGAGCAGTGAGCAGAAGCCCACCATGGGGATGTGTACTTCTCTGGCCTTCAGTAATCAGGATGATGACATGTGCTGGCAGGGAAGAACAGGCCGCTGGATGAGGAGGATTTGAACTTTGTGGAGGCGGTGCTGGAGCAAGACAGGGCCAAGGACCGCACTGTCAGGGAGGAAGAGAGGGCGGCCCTGGATGCCTACCAACAGGTGCTGTTGACCCTTGATCATCACGATTATGCACTACAAGCAGTCTCACAACAGACTCTCATCAGCTGTTGATAATTTGCGATACCCTTGACGAAAGCACAGATGCAGCCCACAGCTCAGATACGAGCCAGAGTACTTGGGACTCACCGTTCGCGCTTTAGCAGTGCCCTCATGTCACCGCACTGCTAGTTGTTTTCATGCTTGCTTCAAACTTCACCTCTAAAATCGGAGGAATGAGACAAATGAATGTGAAGTACTGAAGTATGAGGAGTAAGGAACAATATTCTTCAATATTGATACGAGAATAGGAAGTTCAGGCACCTGAGGAATGAGGCATGAGGGGTGTAATATCTGAGGTATGTTTTCTTCAGGCGGTGAGGGAGGCAGGGGAGCGGCAGCGAGCAGCGCAGGAGGCAGGGCCGCGGCCGCATCAGCAGCCGCAGCCCAAAAGCGCGCCATCGGCTCCGCCCGCCGCCAAACGCAAGGCAGCCATCCACATTGTCAGAATAAAGCCTGCAGCCAAGTCTGGCTCGCAAATCCAGCCCAGCCAGGCAGAAACTGACAGAGGGGGTGGGGGATATGCTGCGGATAAGAGGCAGAGAGGGGGTGCGGAGGGGACAAATGCTGTGGATGAGAAGTCTCAGGCAGATGAGGGGTTGCAGGGCCTCCTGGGTGCATATGGCAGTGACAGCGATGATGACAACTCTTAAACTAGCTCACCTAGTGTACAGGTAACTCACAGTGAACCATATTGCACGATTGCGTCAACACTTTGAATGAACCCATAGAATCCTTATTATGTTCAGGGTTTTTTTTGGTCTCTTGGACTGCTCTCTGTACGTGAAGTGAATGACTGTGACGACAATTTGGGAAAAAGGAACCCAGAAATCGAGCTTGGCAGAGCGAGCGCCAGAAGATAGGAGGTAGGGCTGCCGAGGTGAGTCACAAGTGCATGTCATGCGACAGCAATACAATGATCCCCCTCCGCCCCAGTAGCATCAATTATTCCCAGATTAAACAAGTCAAACCCATATTGGCCCAGGGCCTGATGGGTGGCAACTACTAATGCCCAATTGATCATCTCTCCATTTGGCCAAACCCCGTCCAATACTCTTGAGGTCATGCCAAAAATGTCTGAAAACTCAATGTGGTTCCCTACCACACTTAGAAGTCCTTGGCACGCTGTAAAGACTGCAGTCAAAAGCATGCATCACTTTATCCAAAAGCACCGGTCTGCTGATCTGGGTTAGTCATTCCCAATGGCCCTGGCTGACCTCAGGATGCTGTCACAGTGGCTCGCATCACATGTCATACATACCGTAACCTCACAAATACAAGAAGCATTTGGTGGAGGGCACTTTCACAACCCCTGCCAGATGACCATAGCATGTACTATGCTGCTGAGAACTCAGAAAATCAATCATGACAACTTCTGTATAAATGGTTGCCATATGGCACCCTTGCAAATACCTGTGCATTCATAAGGACACCCCTATCTATGACGACCTGACCTCTAGATCAGGGTCCTGTTGCAAAATCAACTTGCTTCTAGCGTTGCCTGATGACAGAAGATCAGCGCAGTACAGCACAGAACAGCAAATTATCCCTATCAATACACTGCGAGAATCTGCTGCACACTCTAGTACTAGAGTGACTCTAATGATCCTAATGGCGGCCTCACGGCAGCACATATATACAAACAGAGCTTGGAATAAGCAAATGAAATCGCATAACCCCTGATGGAATCGCACCGTCGAGGGTGCTTAACAGTCAGATAACCTTTGACAAGGCTGCGCAAATCGCTGCCACACATGCGCAGGCATGCTGATGAGGATAACCTGAAAACTTAAGTTGTTATTGCCCTAAAACCTGCCTGACCTCAACCCGCACAAGATGTACACACACCAGACACATGCCTGACCCCTAACTTACCAAGCCTAATCCTAAGCACAACCAGTCGTTCGCGAGGGCCTTCTGTACAATCAGAAATACAGTCTTGAGAATGCAGCTCGCTCACACTTGACCAAGAGCGGCTTTTTACTGGACACACGTGTCTCAGTGTGGTCTGCAGACAGCATCCGCCATTTTCAAGGCGGGCTGCATCCGTGCAAGAGGCTCAGAGCCACCGGAGTCATTTGCCCGCCACAGGCATGTTGTCGCGAGTTTGCTGGCAGGTGAGCACAGCATTTGGGCAATTGCAGAATGTGTGCTTGCATCGTCACACCAGAGATGTCACTGGCACGCTTGCATCGTCAGTCATGCTGAGTAAGTCATTCTGTGCAGCATTGCCAGATCAGGCGGTGGTAGATCAGGCGAAGGTGGTGGCCCGTAACGGAAATACCCCCCGGAGACCAGTGGCGCCGGAGTCCTCGGATCGGCGCGGCCCAAAGTGCTGCTGCGGGCCGGACGCGAAGACCGAGGACGAGTAGCAAGACAGCTTGAACTGCAGATCCTGCACAAAAACGAGGCATCTTCAGCCATTCAGTCGCCCATGTATTCGCAGCGTCCGGGTTTCGATTTTCTGATCAAATTGACCTGAACCTCCGGCTCCCCAGATGTCAAGAACAGTTGCTACACTGCAGTCATCACATTGACGCCCAAGGTCCAAGCAAAATTGCATATCGGTGTTTCTCGGGAAAATCAATGCAAAGGAGAATGACATTCCAAATGCATGCATCTTGATCCTAGCTTTCCCGTCCAGACACAAGAGAGCTGCCAGCACCACAAACCTAATTTCACAGCACTATAAATGGTACTGGCAATCTGAGCTCTCTTTTACACAGAAATTGCCAGCATCCTCCACTGTCCTCTGTGCTAAGCTGAACGTCAGAATACTAACCGGAGGCAAATCACACCGGGAGCGATTAAGAGAGCCCTCGCCTGCATGTCGGCACGGCTTTATATTGGATTTAAAAACCACTGTACTTAGATGACATAATCGAAGGGGAAGCAGGAGGGAATGCGCCTGCATGTCGGCGCGGAGCTCGTCGAAGGGGTCGATGCGCGGCTGCAGGCGCAGCAGAGTGAGGTTGATGGCGCGGATGTGCGCCTCGGCCGATCCGCCGGCCAGCTCGGGGCTGCGCAGGGCCTCGCTGCACACGTATGCGTCCGCACAGCACTGCAGCGCGCTTACTAACCCCAGCGCCACCAGCGCCTGATTGTGCACCGAGGCTCCCCCCTGCCCCGCCGCCTGCGCCAGACATGCAATGTTCCCTCCTCAAGACTGTATTTGCGTGCAGACCCAGCAACTTCCGTGCACTGAACTTTGATTGAAGTCCAGACACTTACTCAGCCAATGGATGCATCCATTGGCTGCATGCATGTGGTGGCAAAGAAGTTTTGGAGGCCAAAAGTGTACCTGTCTCTGCCGCAGGCAATTGTGCAGACACAGATATTGTGTGACAGGACATCAGAAGTCTAATGCAAAATCTTTCCATCAAAACATTTGCATGTGTGGCAGCAGTGAGCACTTCGCCAAGCACCCCGACCGGATCAGGGAATATCAAGGACATGCTCTTTATATGTGGCATCCTATCACAACTGTCTGTTTGGCCATGATATGAAAGGATGTAGATCAGGCAAGGGTTGAAGTCATGAATTTTGCACCTGCAGGTGGCCCAGGAAGTCCAGTACAAGGGTGTGGATGAAGTTGATGGGAAGCAGGTGCTCCTTAAAGAGACAGGCGATGAAGCGCAGGCTGCCCCTCAGGTCTGCAGCCTCCTCCGACACCTGCATGGATCCAAGGATCTCACCCTTAGCTGCTAAAAAGCTGTTTCATGCGCTGGTGATCTGCGCCTCCTGTGAGACAGGTGCGGGGTAGGAACAATATCCTCCAACCACCCCATGCTCCCAGAGAGGGCTGTCTGGAAGCAGCTGCAGCCCCTAGGTTTCAGCTGACTTTGCAGGGCTCGAATGGCTTGGATGCTCTGCCAATTATAGGCCGAAACGCAGGCTGCTTGCGGGCATGAAGCAGAATCATGCAGGTGGCACTGCCCGCGGCAAGCACACTCCAATATAATATTTGCATTACCATGTGACTACCAGCCTTGCAATGCTGTGGCCAGTCAGGGCTGTTACCGCTGGAAGGGGCATAAGCGCCTGCATGCCATCTCTTACACAGACAGAAGGTGCACTCAACATGCCCAGCATATGAGAACCAAGTAGAACACTACACCTGCTGACACGTATTGGACTTTTCTCTGCAAGTATGGCCACAGCAACCGGGAGTGAAGCATACCTGCTGGGGGTGTTTCTTGCGGCCAAAGTGGTCCACGGTGACTGTGCGGAAGGTCATCCTGCAGTACTCCTCTGTGGACCTGCACAAACAATGCAATCTCACAATCAAAGCTCAGCACCATCGGTAGAAGACTTCCGACATGTGACTGCGCCAAAACCACCTCAAGACGCAGTTACACAATGTCCAAAGGACAAGAACCATGGAGTTCACAATCTTGTCAACAAGCTGTGGCTGTTGAAGGAATGGAGATGGACTGAAGTACCTGCCATACAGGGCGTCCTGCACAGTGTCTTCCAGGCTGAGCGGCTGGGCAGCCGCCTTGAGGTTGGAGCACAGGCGCGCATACTGCACAGCCCAGGAGGCAGACTTGCCGGACCTCTTGATGGCCACCACAAACACCTGCACAAGGCCCGAAGCTCAGAGTGCACTCTTGATCTTCGACTGTGCATACTATCAAAATGCAGATGCGCCACAAGCCTGTGTGAATCAGAAGGCAGTCTGCTGGACAGACAGTAGAGAATGCAGGTGGCAAACATCTTGCTGCATACACTTTCCTGAGTGTCTGGCACCTACTCCGCGAGAGAGCTCATGAAGCAGCACAAGCAGAGATGAAGCATGTTGCAAATTGAAGTGACTGCAAGGGCTTACCAGGTCGATGATGGTGACCATCGAGACTCCGTCTTGTTCGTCACTCAGCCATGAACTCACGCAGGCCTGCAAGACCGGTTCTGGGCCTCCGTCGGTGGTCAGCTGCAGCGTCTCAAGAAGGGCTCGTAGTCCTGATATTTCATTGATGTCCGGCTCCTGCAGCGCAAAATGTTTGCGTGACGACTGCAGGCACTGTGACCCAACTAGGTCTGCACAGGGAAGACATACTGGGACCTCACCCTCGTCCCGATATTGTCCCCTCGATTCCCAGGACTCCTTTGGAATTGTTTCACGCACGCACTGAATTCTGGGAAATTCGGGCAGGCAGCAAGCTCACCTCGTCCGCAACGCTGGGTTGGCAGATAGCACCCACGGCTGCCTTGGTCACGCCTTCGCACACCCCCACAACCGCCCCAAGCAGGGAGAATGCCGAGCTCACGATACCCAGCACCATTCAGGCCAATTGCATGTCGAGCTAGAGGCTTGTCCTGGCCACAGGCAGGTTTGGGCTCTTACTTGGTGGCCCCTGGGTACCTCAGTTCAGGCTCCCGATCGTTCCTTCTAGCAGAACCCCCGATTGCTTTTTCTTTGGCAACAGCACCTCCAACATTGGCGTGAATGAGGTCCTCCGAGAGCCCCACACCTCGTGTTCCATGAGAAGATTCGTAGGGTTTATAAAATTGACAAATTCGAGGGAAGTATTTGGACCCTATCGGAGCATTAGTAATACATCACGCACTCGTTCCGATGAAGCTTCCGGAACAAGACCATCGATCGTGATAATGACGCGTGGAGCCTGCAAGGTGGCAGTCTTTGTCCTCGACCCAATAAAAGGGGTTGTGCACAGACCATCTGTCAAATTAATTCAGGACGCAGCATCGAATTAGCTGTGTATAGCCCCAGACCGCTGTGCTTGCAAGTCGGGTATCTGTCAGACAGGTAAGCTTGCAAGAAGCTGTGCTTGTTTCGACACAGAAAAGGTCCAGGTGGTCGGGCGTCGGTGCTGCATGTTTACGTATAAATTTCGGAACATTTTTAGTGCCAAATCTGTGCGCAGTCAAGCGAGGAATTGACAGTAGTTTGGCTTGCAGGGTTTTCCGATCGATCGCGGTGCGAAAGGCCTGAAAGCAGAAATCTAGCGTGCAACAAAGCAGCACGCTATGAAGCTCTCCACCATCCTGCTGGTGGCGGCTTTTGCAGCTCTGGTGTCTACCGGAGACGCCAGTAGCCGTCAGTTGTTGCAAGGTGCTGACTTCTATTTTGCCTATATCGGGTCAGGCATTGGGTCGTGATGTGCCAAGTGCCACCTCACCGCTGCCGGTTCCTTGCTGCTACGTGGCCTCCTTTTAATTGTGTCGAATCATTCAAGGCTCGTCAGCAATTTTTCATGAGATGTGACGCGCACACAAGGAGGATATGCCTGTCGTCCGACTAGGCCCGACACAGCGATCACGACCTTTTCGGTCGCAACTGACCTTGGTGACTAGGCGGAGCCAGCCTATGGACCGATGGGTGCACAATATGCGTCCTGGGACAGTTGTCTCGCCTGCATCTAGCTGTTGAGACATTCAATAGCTACGTCTTGTATTCCATCATCTGGACCTTTCAGTCGCCTGAGCTTAAATTCTGGCCTGTTGCAGGAGGCTTGACTTCTCTCTTTGGCACACCAACACCCACTCCCACTCCATCTCCAGCTGCTGGAGGAAGCTCCCCTTCCCCTGCTGGAGGCAGCTCCCCTTCTGGAGGCAGCTCCCCTTCTGGAGGAAGCTCCCCTTCCCCAGCTGGAGGCAGCTCTCCCTCTGGCTCGAGCCCCTCCTCCCCCGCTGGAGGCAGCTCTCCCTCTGGCTCGAGCCCCTCCTCCCCCGCTGGAGGCTCCTCGCCCTCAGGTGGCTCCTCGCCTTCAGGTCAGACACTCGCTTGCTTAATCTTGGACGCAGTCGCATTTAGCTCTTTTTGAACTACTTCTCTGTAGCCGCGGCTTCCTTGCATCTACTCTCCAGGGGAGAATTTACATCTCACAGCTGTACTTGCTCCATTTGAGCCTTTCTTAGCAAGGGATGATTGGATATCCATACGTCCTGCAGGTGGAAGCTCCCCGGCAGCCACCCCATTCGCCACCCCGGCAGCCACACCGGCAGCGACACAGGCTGCAGCTGCTAACAGGCAGAACACCTTTGCTGCCGCGGGCACCAGCGCGAGCCCCTCTCCCAGTGGCACCTCTGCCTCTCCCAGCCCCTCTGGTGCGCCGGACAATGTATTTTATTTTGACAAATTTTGTCAATCTTTTGTGGGGATGCTGGCTTCATTCTGCATGCTGATTGGCGCTCTCTTGGCAGCCTGCATACTGCCTACAGCCTCTGCTTTCCATGCCGTCACAGAGCCTATCTGTCTGCATGCGTTGGCTTGGTAGTAGCCAAGATGGTCATGTCACTTCCTTGCAGCTCGCAATTGAGCTATCGGCACATGCTCAGCGCCTCATGCATGAGAGAACTTTATAGCTCACAGCTTTTGATAGACTGGTGTCTTTCATATGCTGCAGGCCAGGCATCGCCGTCTCCGAGCAACGCCTTCAGCGCGTCCCCGTCTCCTTCCGGCACCCCGGCCGCCTCTCCCTCGCCCAACCAGAGCGCCCAGAGGGTAGCGCAGGTGAGCCCGCCAAATTAAGCATCCTGTTTGTACTGATGCTGCCAACAGCCTAGCTGTGCTTGCGCTTTGCATGTGACTGCTAGCTGTTGGTCAATGAGGCATTGTAGAAAGCTGCGTGAAGCTGAGAAGCAGATGGAATCCAAGGGTTCTATCTCCTCCCCACACATGCGAAGATGTAGTGATTGGCTTGGCTGACAGCCTGGTCGTTGACTGTCGCACAGGCTCCCACAAACAGCAACGCAGCTGCAGCCAGCATCCTGCCGGTCAACCAGGGAAGCAACGCACAGGCGCCTACCACTGGCAACACCGCCCAGGCCCCCGCGGCCGGCGCCAGGATCGCCGCGGTGCCCCCCACTACCGCCCAGGCCCCTACCACCACCGCTCAGGCCCCCCAGCAGGCCAACAAGCCGGCTGCAGAGGCCCCAACAAGCGGCGCACAGGCCCCAACAAGCGGCGCACAGGCCCCAACAAGCGGCGCACAGGCCCCAACAAGCGGCGCACAGGCCCCAACAAGTGGCGCACAGGCCCCTAAGGCTGCCGCACCTACCGCCCAGCCGCCAAAGGCCGCTACCCCAGGTCTGTACCCCTGCTATTTTTTATGCCCTGCTGATCTCATTCGCTAAATTGCAGTTTGAAGGGGTGCAGCAGCCTAACAAGTTTTCAGGTCCACATGCCTGCACTGTCTCATGCCCTGCTGCCTTCTCGAGCCGGGCAGCATCTCAAGATCTAAAGCACTCTGCTAGAGTGCTGAGGGGTCAGCGTCAAGCTGTGATGTGTTTTCCTGCTTTCTTTCCCTGCAGAAACACAAGCGCACCTTGGAAGCTGTACAGCAGCTGAAGAGAATCCCCAAGCATCTGCCGATTGCTGAGATGGCGAGCTGTGTTTGTGTGCAGGCCAGGCGCCTTCTCCGGCCCCTCTGCCGCCCTGCAACTGTGCCGGCGTGGCCGAGTCTCTGGTGAGTGCTATCTCCTGCTCTCTGCCGGATATTGTCTACAGCTCTCGTTCCCTTGCCCGCGCTTGGCAGTCAATGCGTCTGGTGTGCTACCCACCAATCGTTGGGTGCTTGCTGTGACTAACATTGCATGGCGGCTTGGACATGTCTGAATTGGAATGGTTGCTGTGTGCAGGTGTGCGGTTTCGACGACAAGACTTACACGTCCTCTTGCGCTGCCGGCTGCGCCAATGTTGGCGTGAAGTCCCAGGGCGCCTGCCCTGCTGTGGGCCCTGCCCCTGGTGGGTCAATCCGCTCAAACTTTCCATGTACCCTGTGCTGTGCAATGTTCCTTGATGCCCACCATCTTGAAAGCTGTCACTGCCATCCTTGCTCTGCGCTCTTCGGCATGGTGTGCTGATCTATAGGATGGTCAAATATCCGAGATTGCTGCTGCTTGAGACTGCTCTGCGCAAATGACACACTTTTTATGTCCTGGTATATTTGTTTAAACCGATGATTTCAACTGTCCATGATCCGTTACTGCTGCGAGAATGCACTGCAAAGAGGACAAAGTTTTAATTGATGGCGTGCTGTGTGTGTGAGCAGGGGTGCAGTGCGCTGACAGCACCGAGGTCTGCGGTGGTGACGGAGTGACCTACTCCAACACATGCACACCCAAGAGCAAGGGTGTCGCCATCATCAACAACGGCCCCTGCAAGCCTGTCACTGCTCGTAAGTCACTCCTCTGCTCATCTGAGCTCTGCCTACATTCTGTGCTTGCATAAATAATTTGGACGGACTCATCAGCAAGTGTGAATTGAAACTCGATGTCAGTTGCTAAGAGGGTTCATGTTTTTGAAGGCATGCATAGTGTGACCCTGTATGACATGGTAGGAATTGCATGACGCGTTTGGTTACAGATGTTTAGAGGTCTTTGGTTCGGGATTGAGAGAATTTGTGAGAGTTCGTAGTTGGCGCATGGTATGAATTTGTCGCTGACCTGTGCTTGTGTTTCTGCCAACAGAGCAGGCATCCAACAACTACTACAACGTGTGCGTCATCAACAATAACAACAACAACAACGGTGGCGGTAACAACAACAACAATAACAACAATTTCTGCCCAGGCTCCTCAGGTACACTCACTCACCTCCCGCCCATTCCCCATGTCTTGGCACCTGTTTGAACGCTGCCATTCTAAATGCAAAAGCATGCCGTTCATGTGTACCTTACTCCTTCCGAGGTCCCCTGCATCAGCTATGGTGGTCTGATGTGGGTCTTTTGGTGGCTAACACTGAGCACTGGGTGCTTGGTGCTCTCATGGGGTCAGCCCTCCGATCTGTGGCCCTGCCTGCTCCTGCAGGCACGGTGAACAACAACAACAATAACAACAACAACGGTGGCGGTGGCGGTGCCAACAACAACAACAATAACAACAACAATGGCGCTGGTGGTGCTGCCAACAACAACAATAACAACAACAACAATGGCGCTGGTGGTGCTGCCAACAACAATAACAACAATAACAATGGCGCTGGTGGTGCTGCCAACAACAATAACAACAACAACAACAATGGCGGCGGTGCTGCCAACAACAACAACAATAACAACAACAGCAACGGAGGCAGTGGAGTCGCAAACAACAACAATAACAACAACAACAACAACGGCGGCAGCGTCGGCGGTGGCGGCACAATCAACAGTGCGTCTCGGCCTTGTGCTCGTGCTCTCCTCTGCATGTCCAGCAGACACCTGCCAGTGCTTACCGTGTTCCATGTGCACTCCGAACATGTTTCACTGGCTCTGTGTCTTTCAGAATTGAGGAATGCTGACTGGCTCTGTGTCTTTCAGACTGGATGATTGCTGACTTGAGGCAGAGCCAGTGCTAGAAGATATGAGAAAGCGTTGCCTCGCAAGTGCATGTCATGCAACAAAAATACAACGATTGCACTTCCCAGTAGCACCAATTTGCAATCCTTGGAGAAGTAAGCTGACTCGTGCACTGTGCTATGTGCAGACAATGCCAACAACAACCCCGGGGCTGTGGCCGCACCTGTCCTGGTCAGCCAGCCGGCGCAGCCAGTCTCCCCGGTTAACCCTTTCACTCCTGCGGCACCCCCTGCCACCCCCACTCCTTCCGGTTGTGGCGGCAGCATCCTCCCCCAGTCCACCCTCAATGTGAGTAATCTCCCCTATCCTGCTTTTCCCTGCACCCTCATATCCAAATTCCCATCTACACTGTCTCAATTATCTCGGTGTGACTGGGAGACCTCGTCAAGTCCTTGTGGGAAGGCTCCGCCTGCATGCTTGCATGCCATGCTGGTAAACGTGCTTCTGTGCTGATTGCTGCATCTGTGTGGCCTGTGCTGTCTTTGCATCGGCATATCACTTCCTCTTGTCAGCCAATGTCTCTTTTTGAATGAAGCCTGTGCTCCCAAGCAGACCGGCAGCAGGAATGCTTGCGATAACAGCACTTGCTTGAAAATTTGAATTTGAAATTGAATCTGGTCTGGATTTCAAATCCGTTGGTCAAGCCTGTACCCCTCAGCAGACGGGCAGCAGGACTGCTTGTGATGCATGGTTGCACGGCTGACCATTTGAATTTGAATTTGGATTGGTGCTGCTGTGCAGGACCTGGTGGTGTTCTGCAACGCCACGCAGGCGCAGCTGTCGGGTGACTACGAGGTGACGTACAAGGTGGAGATTTTTGGGCAGGAGAACCCGCAGAACTCGCAGGTGACTGAGAATGCCATCAACTGCTGCCTGCGCTGCGCATTCACCGGCAACTGCAACATCTGGGTGAGCCCTGCCCGCCAGCTCCTCCCATTCACAATTTTTGAATAAAATGGCCGCCATGATGCTCTTGGCCAACACATTAGAGCTGGTCATGTCCTCTTCATGTCCTGTTTCCCGCCCAAAAGGTACTCAAAACTACTCACCTGTCACCTGTCACCTGACCCTGCATAGCGCTTCTTAGAATGGACATAAACTCGGGAAACTGTGCGTGAGGGAGGGGTTTTATGGGTGTTGCATCAGTGCATCCAGTGCGTCGTGCTTCAGAGATTGGCTTGCCACAGTTTCCAAGGTGCTCAGCGCATGGCTGAGTAGTGCGATCACATATCCGACAAGGGATCAGAGTGTTGACAGCTCCTGCTCTGTGGCTGCAGGACTGGTGTAACGCGAGCGGCGGCTGCGGCAGCGGCGTGGCTGGCGGCCAGTGCTCTCTGTTCAGCACCAAGACTCTGCCCAACGTTGTGCAGAGCGGTGCCAGCCAGCCCTTCCTGGGTGGCTACCTGGCCAGGCCTTGAAATGCTTGAGACCCTGCAGCGCTTCTGTCAAGAGCTGTCCGTGTCTTCTCGTACATAGAATGACTGGACTCGTCAAGTAGTTGAGCAGTGCAAAGTATCACTGACATGCAAGAATTCCGCACAGACAAGGTGTGTGTTTTTTGGGAACATGCTGTTCTGGACTTGGCTGCAATGCTATTAGTTCATATTTAATTTAGGGGTCCATCGAGTCGTGTTTTTGACTGCTTTTCAAGAAGAAGGCTTCTTGCTGATGGCTAGCATGTGCATTGCTACAATACTCTTATTCATCAAGATCTGCCTCACTGCTCTGCGCGTGAAGTAAGTATCCGGAGTGCTGTCCCCTGCTAGAAAGCTAGATTGGCATGTAAGGAGTGATATGTCCTCTTCAAGGCAAGCTTGCCACTGGCTACCATCTTGACTAGTCCTTTATATCACCAGCATGATGCTACACATCACGCTCATGCATGATGAGTGACTTCACGATTATTCGATATGTGATGCATAATTGGGGCATGCGTGACTGATATGCCTTTTGCTTCGACGAAAGGTGTTCTTGGTTGTCGAAGGATGATTTTCCTTGAGCCTGATCATCGAGGTTGATGCCTCATCTTTCATATGATAGGACTGGCTGTGTGCCAGTTCAGGCAGCTATGCACTTGAATTGTCAGACAACATATCCACACTCTGACTCAGTTTCAATATCCTGGCAGGCCGTCAACTCACAATTGTTTGCTTTTGGAAAGACCAAGGGTGCCTGGATTGAGTGGTAGGAATCGGCCACGTTCCATGAGTACGCGTGCTTCTCGTACGAAGAGGACATCCAAGCATCATATTTATATTTACAATCTTGAGTCGATATTTTGCGCCAGCAACTCTCTTGCAGATAACTTCAGGATTTGGGTGCCCTGGAAGCGTGTTTTTTGTGTTGTATAAATACAACACATTCCCGATGCACAACTTGACGCAGGCGTACATCTATCAATTTCTGCCAGGAACCTAAAGGTCTGAATGCAGATAAAGAAACAGACAACTACTTCAATTTCCAATAAGCCTGCAATCATCTCAAACTGAGAAAAGGTATGTCTGGATAAGAATCTATTCTTGAAACGGAGCATGACACTTTTTCATTAATTCAATCATTGTAGTTTCAAAGCATGCAAGTTATCATCAAGACTGGCCTTGCCGCCAGTATTCCCTACCATCCGCAATGTGTTGTCTGAATGCACAGATGGACGTGCCTGACTTGGAATAATATGCGTTGGTGGAACTAAAGTTGGATTGGTATCGTCTCATAATATTTCGAAAATCTGCCATGTCCATCACTATTTTCATGCTCCTGCTTGATGCGGCTATTCATGTGTCTGGATGAACAGGTATGGAGGCGGCTGCCAGAGCCAGGCGAGCCCCTGCTTTCCCAGTCGAGGTCTGGAGGGAAGTTGCCAATCACATGACCACATCGGAGTGGGCAGGGGCCAGCACAACGTGCCGCGCCATGTCACAAGTCCAACCAAAAAGGATGTCAGTGGGGTCGCCAGCCATGGGCGGAGATCTGCCGACAGCTCTGCGCTGGATGGTGAAGCATTGCAGTGAGGCAGAAGACCTGTCTATTGGGGTGCCTAACACTGGATGCGAAGACCTGGCAGAGATCATGATCGCAGGCAGTCGGAACCTCGCGCATGTGCAGAATCTCATGCTGGAGTTCACTCCATATGATTATGACGATTGTATGGGCTTCGATGAGGCAGAATTGCCCTGGCTTGCTCAATTCCTGACAGGAGTGACACAGCTCACATCGCTGACCCTGGAGGGTGTGAGAATAGATGTCAAGATGCTGTCAGTGCTGAAGGCGCAGCTCAAGCATCTTGAGCTTGGATTCAAGCTGCCCTTCCCAAGAGAGGCCTGCCTCGGCTTGCAGGACATGCACGGTCTTGAGACTCTGCACTTGAGCGTGGAATATTACAGCCCAGATGAAGATTTCTTGGTGAAGATTTCTGGCCTGGACCTGAGTCGGTGTTGCGCCTTGCAGAGGGTTGACATCGGCATGCTTGAGCCAGACATGCTCAGTGTGCCTTCCAGCTGCTACCTTTCAGTTGAGCGCGATATCCTCGGGCTTGATAGAAGGAAGTGGGAGGACAGTGCTCCCAAGTACACTGCATGCGTGTTATACTCCAATCGTTACAAGGAGGGGGAGCATGAAGATCTACTGTATGAGTGCCCCCGTCTTTATGGCCGCTTGACGTGGCTGTCACAGGTGGCCTGCCCAAACCTTACTTGGCTCGAGTTGGATTATCCAAAGCTGACTGCAGCGTTGCAGCCACTTGTGATCGATCGGTGCATGGGGGCTTTGAAGCATCTGCGCGTCAGCAGCAATACTGTCTACGTCAAGTTTGGGGCGTTTGTTAGGCTGGACACTCTAATTCTGACTGCCGTCAAGAATGTGAATATTCACTTGGCAGATGTCTCTGGCTTTGCTGCGGGCTTGGAGAAGATGCAATTGAAGTGGAAGAGCTGCTGCTCTAACAGTTATAGGCTGGCCACCGCACTCACAAATCCCGCAGATTGGGATGAGCAGCATGATTTGTTTCCTGAATACTGCTACACAGAAGTTATATTTCCTGTGAAGAATTCTTGAAAAAATGAGTCACATCTTTGGTGCGCCATGACAAGGAGTGTTGACACATGCAGTCCTCGGCTTGGAGCCAATAGATCTAGGTTCAAATTGAATCATGCAAGGTTGCCTGACTGCCAGCGTCTGATTGGCTGCGTTCATAGTGGCTACTGTGCCTGTTATATTCGGTGCATGTGTCTGAACCATCGTGCCTTGCAAGCATCAAACTTTGAGGGCTTTACCGAGGGTCTGCTGATGTCCCTGCTGTGTACCTTGTAGTTGGGTACATGATGCACCCGGTGCGGCGATCGCAACTGCAAGAATTAATGGAGCACTACTGGCAGACTTACAGAGGATGTTTAATTTAGCAGGGGACATCTGCCTTTGAAGCAGTGACAAGATGTGCTCTTTAAAACACATGTACAGGGCATCATGCAACTTGCGGGCGCTTATATCAATAGCTAGCCAGATAATAATTCATATGATTGCCCAGCACATATGGCCCTGACAGCACATGAGTTACAAGGAAGGAAGCAAGGTCACACTTCACACCAGGCAAAAGTTTGCACCGCCCTCATCAAATGGTATGGGTAACAAAAACAGGGTCCCCTGGGCAGCTGCCTGTAGCTTCCTTCCGGCTTGAGTCATCTGCATGTTGACATTGACGTCACTAGATTGTTCATTCAACAGCTCGAGCATCACGGACAACTTGGAAATCATCCGAATCATCTCTTTATTGGACCTTGAATTCAAAGCTCCTTTTCCTCTGCAAAGAGCAGATCTCTCTTGTCTGGATCCGACACGGTGCATGGCTTCAGAGAAAACAATCAGTGCTTCGATGACTGAGGATTCAGAACATCGTAATTTTGTCACTTTAAAGGTGTACTTCAAGGTGTCCTCATCATACCCATATGTCTTATTGGCCGGCAAGTCCTCTTGACATCAGCAGTGATGGGCGAGGACATTCATGCTGCACTGAGGGAATACACGGCTTCGAAGGCGGAAATAGAAGAGTTGCTGAGGCTGGATCCCCTGAATGCGGACATCATCCAGGTGAGGAGAAGCAAGGAGATGCTTGCCTGGTTTTCTTGGAAGAGGCTCAGGTGCTGAAGTTGCACCTTTGGCCAGGTCTTACATGATCTGGATGCTGCAATAAAGGACGCCCAGGAAGCGATTGATGCAGCTGAAGCAACTCACGGCATTGCTGCTAGCACCTCCAACAATGCAATAGTGGATGAGCAGGCAGGGCCTGAAGAGAAAGTGCCAGAGGTCAGAGTGAACCCAGACAGCAGGAGTGCAGCAGCCAGTAGCAACGGACAGGGGGTCCCACCTAGTAATGGTGGCAGCTATGGTGCAGCTGCTGCGCGGCTGCAGCGGTCTGGCAGGGAGGAAGAGCCAGACTTTGCACAGCTGGCAGGCAGATATCCAGAGCTGAGCCCTCACGTCAAGGTGGGGCCGAGCGGCAGGGGGAGCATCGACTTCACCAACTTTGAAGCTGCCAGGTAAGCCTGCCCATCAATCTTTTCCACAGACATGCAGGACGTGCAGGCTTTGTTGCATCACCCAACATCACCCATCCTCACTCTCAGCACAAATGTCCCATCATGCCAGGTTCTCCCTGTCTGACTGGGTCAATGAAGCTCTCACCTTCACAAATGTGCAACCTCATACATCCATCAGAGGTGTATACCATTGCACTGCATAATTCTTTCTAATCCAAGTTCAGTCTGAGGAACGCCTCATTTGTATGCATCTGTTGCAGGCAGCTGACACGAGCGCTGCTGCATTCACAGCACGGCTTGCACTGGTGGGTGCCGGATGGGCACCTCATCCCCCCAGTCACCAACCGTGCCAACTACATCCACTGGCTGCATGACCTCCTCACCCTCTGCCCAGGTGAGCTCCAAGGCAGATCGAGAATGATTCTCTGCTAGCAAGAAGTGGCATTTCGCAATTCCTATGCGTATGAATGCATGGAGGTTGAAATGACAACCCCTAAATTGCTCTTCATTATAGCACCCATGCTGTTCTGAAGAATAGCTTCATCTGCAAATGGCGCGACTGCAGCAAATGTCAGGAGGATTATGACTTGCCTAGCTCTCACCCTCCTGTGACGTCATACCTCGTCAAGCATTGGCTCAGATCAAAACCAAGGGTGAATCCGTCATCTGCAGCAGACAGCAGGGAGGTGCGAGTACTGGACATTGGCTGTGGAGCCAATCTGATATACCCGCTGCTGGGCTCCGCAATGCACAACTGGAGCTTTGTGGCCGCTGACATCACCGATGTGGCCGTCAAATGGGCGCGCGCCAATCTGCGCGCCAACACACAACTGGAGGCCCTCATTGAAGTGCGCGATGTCAGGCCCAAAGATGCCCAGCACACACCCACAGGTACCCGTTTTGCTTCCATCACACTATCTGTGCTGTCTTGCATCAGCCGTTCATGCACCAGTGCCCATCCTGTCGAGCCAGGCAACTCAGGTGCTGCCTCCACGCGTGCTTCTGCAGCCCAGCACCATTCTACCGTGGGAAAAATCATTTCTTTTCGCATGTACACTGTCATAGCAGTAATGTAGAAAGGCTGAGGGGTAACCAAGCATGGGAGACAATTGGCTCAATTTTCCGTGGCCTGCACTATGCAGGCATCTTGCTGCCAGCAGTGCAGGAGGGCGAGCGTTTCACATTCACGATGTGCAACCCGCCCTTCTTCAGCAGCATGGATGAGGCAGGCCTCAATCCGGCTACGGCGTTCTCAGGGACCGCACAGGAGATGACTCACCCCGGCGGCGAGCTGGCATTTGTCATGCAGATGATCCGCGACAGCTCCCAGCTGCAGGCGCGCTGCTCGCCCTATTTTCTGCTGACTCCATGCTCAAGATCCTCAGGAGTCTGAGGGAAAGCCTCTGCCATGTTTTTCCGCATTCTCGGCTCTAAAAGTGCAGTATTTCTCCTCTGCAAAAACCTGTCCTCTCGGCTGGCAAGTGTTCGTCTTTGTTCTTTTTGAGTACAACAATGGCGTGAGGCAACACGCATTCCGGATGAGCATGCGCGAATCAAACAAGGCTGTGCCTGGATGCACAGCTCCCACCTCTTGACGCCACGGGTTTTGACTGACTGATGACTTACTGTCATTATTTCATGCAGGACCACGTGGCCTGGTACACGACGATGGTGGGCAAGAAGGCGACGCTGCGACGCGCGCGAGAGGCGCTGCACGCGGCCGCGGTGCCAGCCGTGCGCACGACAGAGTTCGTCCAGGGGCGTATCTCCCGCTGGGGCCTCGCCTGGTCCTTCGCCGCTGGGCCCGGCTCCGCCGCGCAGCCGCTGCCCCGGCCGCCTGCCGGGGCGCGCATCGTTGCCCGGTGAGTTTCTTTGTTGTTGAAGCGGTGGAGTAGCGCTGAAGACTTAGTTATGCAGGTAGACTCTGGCGCTGTACGCTGTACGCCCATCCTGGTGTGAGTTTCAGCTGGCAGGTTGATCATTGCATGCACTGACTGCTGCCAAAGGCAAGGGTGCGTTGCCGCGTTGCCAGTGGTGTAGGCTGTTATGCTTGTCTCCACAGCATGAGCACCACAAATAGGAAGTGGTATCACTGAGAGAATGCATCCGGAAATTGCATGTCTCGAGCAGAGCGTTGCCCCACATGTGCTTGCCCATATGCTTCCTGCTCCCTGTCCTGTGCTTGTGCTCTGCAGAGATCATGACTGAGGTCTTGGGCTGGAACATGCAGGTGGCAGACGAACTTCTCGGTCGAGGTGTCTAAGCGGACTGCGCCAAAAGTATTGTCGGTGCTGGCAGCCGCGCTTGAAGCGAGAGGAGGGCAGGTGACCACTGACGCGTCCGCGTCCTCAATGACTGTTGTCGTGACTGCCCCAGAAGCAGCATTTGAGGAGAGTCAGGGCGCTGAAGTGAACGCAGCAGTGTCAGAGGCAGCTGGCCCTGTTGAGCAGGGCAGCGAGGGCACGCCAAAGGAGCAGCACTGCAGCAATGAGCCAAGTGATACTGGCCAGAGGGCAGCTGAGAGTGAGCATGGCCAGGAGGGGATCGAAAGGGCTGCCAAGCGGCACAGAGCAGATGAATTGGTCACAAAAACCAAAGAGTGTGAGGGGAGTGCAGCGGATGCTGATGCTGGAACGGTACATATAGGGGAGCAGAGCAGGACATACAATGTGAGGGTGAAGCTTTTCCAAGAGGCTTCCAATAAGATCGCTGTGTCTGCTTCCATCGCTAGCACGGAGCCTGCTGAATTTGCTTTACATTTCACACAAACGCTCAAGGCAGTCCAATTGGATGTGGCCCATATCCTGTCTTGAAGTCGCATGCGTGATAAATTGCAGACTGCTATCAACAACTTTACAAAGGCTGCACGTGTTGACTGCATTGCATATACTGTATGGCATATCTAATTCAATAAAATTCATGGCAACGTGAAAAATAAGTCATATCCAAGGATCCTGGATTTTGATCGATCAAAATTCTTTTTAGCAAAGGTCTTTGGATAGGAGGTTCAGCAAGGGCATTCGATATGTTCGGGTCAAACAATTTGCCATGCATGTAATAAGAAAAAAGCTCCCACACTCCTCCTCCTCTCACTCAAATGTACATTCTCAGCACATGTTTATACCCTTCAAAGCAATACACCTATGCGGTGTGCCGCTGCGCTCCCCTGGTCGCCCTGATCATTCCTTCGAGCAATTTTAGCTCTTAGGCAGTACTCCATCTGACATGCAACCATCAGCGGCGGCCGAAGAGGAATCGGATGAGGCAGACTTGTGCCAGGAAGGTTGTGGCGCTGGCTTTGCTTTTGTCGCCGCAGAATATGGACGACAGAAGCATGCCGCCATGTGACAGCACCTTGGCCAGGCCTCCCCTGACTGCGCTGCTGGCGCGGAAGGGCACTGCCAGTGTGAGTGACATCGTCCAGTGCAGCAGGCGCAGCGTGCCTGCCCAGCACACAATTTCACTCTTATTACTATTGCCTTAGTTGTTTTGCCTGAGTTCAGACAAGCACAAGATACACAAAGATTCAGACGTAATTGCTGCACATGCACACTGCGGCAGCCCCTTTGGTGCTTTGTGTCAACGTCGTTTGTCTGAGACTCTGGTTCCATCTTGAACACCACAGTCATGGTATCTCTCCTCTTCTCAGTGGGGCTTGTTGAGAGAACAGTGCTCAGATTCGAGAAGGCTGACATGTTGGCGACTCCCAAGCATGCAAGGGTATAAGGTCAACTTGTAATGGAAGAGGGAATTACCTACTGATGACCCATAGAGGAAGCCCAGATACGCGCCGGCGGCAGAGCACACAGCGACCTCCACCAGGGATGCTATGACAATCGCAGCGCTCGAAAAGAAGATTGGCGCCTGTGCATATAATATAACAGCCCTCAAACCCTCCTGTCGCTGCCAGACTCACACCATGAAGACAACAGCATGGGCAGCAGCAAGTTTACAAGCAGGCGCTAGAGCATTCGTGGCAGGGTGGAAACTCTAGCTTGTTATGTGAAAGGGTAGCGGTGTACCTGCAGGGAGGGAATAGCAGCGGAGCCCAGGATGAGTTCTGGCACCCAGCCAAGGAAGGTCAAGACCCTGGGCCCCAACGACTGGGTGCTCGACAGGAAGCCCCTTTGCAAGCCCCTGCCGGCATAGAAACTCCCCTGCACCGTCACAATAAGTGCTTCACTCCCCATCCTCTACTATCAGTGACCTCTTTGCCTCTTGTACTGTACATCTTGGCAACATGACTCCACTGCGTCTGCATGCACTTGTTGGTAATATCTTCAGCCTCTTTCCAGAATGAGCATGCCTGCCAGAATTGCCACAGCTTCTCATGGATGTGATCTCCGCCGCACCTGGATGACTGCGTTGGCTGCAAAGCTGACCTGGCAGATCCTCTCCAAGAGCTTCTGAGGGTCCCTGTTGACCAGCTCCCTAGCCTGGGCGAGGCTCTGCCTGAGCCACTCTCCCAGCCAGGAGCATGGCAGCGCCCCTCTTGGAGTGCCCTGAGGCAGCTTATACCTGTTCGTAGGAGAAGACCAAGGCTGTCAATGAGATGATCGAGGGTCAATAATGCTATGGCAGACAGGACAGCAGCCCTGCAAGCAGTACAGTGACAGGGATGAGTGGGTGTATGCGCAAGGTGGTCCTCACTTGCTGTGGCAGATCTCGCAATAGTTTGACGCTCGGACTTCGCCAGCTGTCAGACGTGCGATCTGCCACTGCCTAAGACACCTCAGGTGCACGTACCTGCACAGCAAGTGAAGCGTCTGTAATGAAACATGCAGTCTCTGACGCCCTAGCACGCTACACGACAGGGACAGCTTGCTAAAACAAACCCGATAGAACATAAGAACGCCTACCTCGTCGTGCCCTTGCAGATACACGGTGCCACAAGGGCCCCGCCTGGCTCGGCATCTGCTTCTTCCCAGCATATCCTGCAGGATTTACCTTTCGCCCTTTCCATCCCACCTTCTTCCAATACATTGGTAGAATCATTCCCGCCACCTGACCATCTTAGGACCGGCGGTCGGGGAACGGGAAAGCGCATGGCAGCTGACGTGTTAATCGAAAAAAAACGGGACGAATGCTGATCTGGTCGACATCTACTCTTCAGTCCATAATTCCATCAAGTGCCAACCTTCCATGGTCGGCTCCTCCACGCCCAAATTGAGATGAAATGCACCTTTTATGACTGGACATGCAGATATGTGTTTACCGAGATTCCCTTTGCAGTGATTATTGCAGGGGCAGTAACCTACCGTTCAGGGCTGTCGAACGCCGAGTCTTCGAGCCCAATGTTCTCTTGGTAAAGTACTAAGAAACGGCAAGGTGGCACATCTTACTGTTGCAAGGTGCCTGGATGGCCCACAGACTGCTGCAGTGGTGCGCTGGCCTAGGAATTCTGGCGCACCTAGTTGCAGGTACACATGCTGTCCCCGGTTTTTCGAGAAAAAGGTGGATGGGTTTCAATGGATATTAGTTGCAGACGTCAGAGCTTTCAAATTATTTGGTATCGTTGCGTTACGCATCGTAATTCGTTGCCCATCAGAAAGCAAGCGAACCCTATACGTCGGGAGCTAGAATGTCATTAGAACTCGAGGGTCTTTGTCTCTTGCCTGATCATGCTGTGAGTGCGTAGATCTAATGTGTTCAATCATTTAGTTGTCATATGTCGGTCTGCGACGGTCCAGCACTATCAACATCATCTTACTAGTCTGACAGGAATCACAGTGTGGGCGCTCCAGGTTTCATCGCTTGAATGCATGCTGCATGTTTCAAACGCAATTCTCATACTGTGAAATAACAAAACAATCAGAAACGAAAGTGGTGTATAAAGCGACCCCATCAGGCATTTTATTGCTATGTGCTGGGTGCAGGGCGCAATTTGCAACAAGCTAATAACTGTGCTACTTTCAGCAATGTGTACAATTGCTTTGTGGGCGGCATGCAGATGGGCTCTGTATGTGTAAACCAGTGCATCAGCCCACGGAACCCCTTGTATTGTCAAGACTGCGAAGATCCTAGGCAGCTGTGCGCCAAGGTGACTCCATCCCGTTGTGGTCCCTCTCGTGCTCCACAATCTAGAAGATTGCCGAGCGGCTACTGAGGGCAGCTTAAGTACTTTGCTTCTGCTGTGGCAGGTTGTACCCACCTTTGACATGTCCACATCAACTACCCATCTGGGTCAAGGCACAAACACAGAGAGGTAACATCCTGCTGCAGTTGTGCATGAATACCTGGTATCCATGAAGCTGCAATTAGGACATTGGCAGTCTTGTGCATGCTGATCAACTCACTGGCTGCTGCTTGCATTGTGCGTTTCCAAGGTCTCTCGAGTTAGTGGACGAGAAAGGGATGAATCTGCGCTGTTTTTGTTTGCAGCTGCTGCTCACCCTTTATGTTTCTGGTGAGGTCAACTCGTTTCTGTGAAGGAGTAGTATGGACAGAGACTTGAAATGTTCTGCAGGTGTCCGGTGGGTCCGGAGGAACAGCTGCAGACGCTCGGGACAGTGGTGGCAAGGGGAAATCCCTTTCTCAAGCAGAAACCCAATGCATGCTCCTCACAGAGCTACCAGGCAGGGTTCAATCCATCATCTACCTGCTGCTGCCTGCCCTCAAGAACCCTCCTAAGTTGATGCCGTTCAGAACGACATTGCCCTGATAGCACAGATGTCAAACACTCTTGCTTGGCACTAGCTTGATACATCCTTTGCATGTCAACTTGCGCCAATGTGCTGGCCGGGGGATTCATTGTGTTATTGTTACATGACGTGCACTTGTAAGGCAGCCCTTTCACCTAGTATCGGGCGCTCGCTCTGCCTTGATGTCTGCATTCCTCTTTCTCTAATTTGAGGAGCGGTGCGGGAGCTGAGCAAATATTTGTGTGGTGCAGTATGACTGTGTGGTGGGGACATCACACGTTGGGCAGGTGTGCGTGCCCTTGTGCCCCAATGCAGAAGGCACACCAGCCTGCATCCCTTGTGAGGATGTCCGCTCCAACTGCGCTTGGGTGAGCCCCTTTCTGAAATATTTCTACATTCTTTTTGAAGAGGCTCCCTCTGTTGCATTATGTGCACTTCCGAGGCAGCCCTTCCTTATCTCTCTGGCGCTCATTCTGCCTTGATGTCTGCATTTGCCTTTTCTCTTATTCTTTTCTCCAAGCTTCCTTTGCAGCGGCCACTTGGGGATGGCAAGTTGTCTGTGGTCATGAGGCGACTTGCACTTGTCTTGGCTTGTGGTGCATGCGCATTGGAGTGAGCTTGTTACTCTGCTGCATGCAGGCCTACCCAGCATTTAGATCGACGAGCTTCATCACGCACTTCCTAGCAAACAACAACGGGGCCTGTTTCTGAATGTGCGAGCGGGTGTAACAAGCAACTGTCAATCTCATTTCAAGCATGTGGTCAACATCTAAGACTCACTGAACGGATGCTGCTAGCAAGTTGCTATTGATATCAGCACAACTTTTGAGGCCAAGGTGATGATTTTTACGTGGGTGCAAAGACACTTGGTGCACAATGTGCACCGCACATCACATACGAAGTATTTTAACAGCATCTGCAGAGTTATGTTTTCCAAGATATGCATATGCATGCATGCAAGGTATATGTGACAGGAACAAGTAAATTCAAGATATATAAGGTGATGCTCCAGCATGATGCGTGGATGATTGTACATGTGTGCTTGAAAGGGATATTTCGATACATCCCATGGCAGCAAACAAGACGCCCTTTCTCAATCCTTCAGGCAAGAATAATTTACATGTCTGGCCTGTACATGATGAGCCGTCACTTCCACTAGAGCAGGCACCAAACCTAAAAAATGAGCAGATCTCAGTTTTTGCATACATGAGTACCTATGGAAAACCCTCAAAGAGTGAACCCCAGTAGAGGAGCCTCAAGAGACAATGAGACCTTTTGCAGAGCATAATGATGTCAGCAATGTGCAAGCAATCTCACACGGAGGTCATCTCACAAAGAGTTTTGAGTCAGTTGGGCCTGGCTGCATTTGACACTGCAGAGACTCGACGCTACAAGAGTGTGCATAATTTGGTACCCGAGTTTGTGTAATTGGTATCAGAAAATTCAGCAACAACAAGCTAATGTTCTACTCCTACAAGACTGCAGGCATTTGCACCTGCTGCTACCAAATGTTGTACAAATGCTCTATCGCAGAACTCTGGAAGTCATGACCGGAACGCAGCTCCAAAATTGCCTGAGGTCCAGACTAGATGTTAACCAACTTGATGTGAGCTCCCGACTCTTCTGACGACAGAAAGAGTCTGGCTGCTCTCAGCAACTCATAAAATCTCTTTGCAATCTTTCCCTCACCCCTTCATCTTCTCCAGCAGACTCTAACCAACATGCATCAGACTTGGACGGTGCCCCCGTTCTCTTGCGGCAGCAAAGGCTCTGAGGACTCTGCAGAGACTTGCTCCTTGCCTGTCCACACCCTGACCCGTCTGCTGAGAGCAGCCCACCTGCAGACAAACAGCAAATTGCTCAATGCCCGTCTCATCCTGCAGAAATCTGTCAAGAGCTGTTCCTTCTCTGCTGGAAGGACGGCAGTGCCAAGCATAAAAACAATTGCGACACTGCATGCATATGGTGTGTGTGTAGGGTGTGCTACAGGGGGGGACTTCATACAGGAGTATGTGGGGTGAGATGTCTGTGCTGCAGGAGAACAACCAATGTACACGAATCATTGATTTCTTGACAAACATCCCTTCTCTGCTGCAATGGCAGCATCGTCATTTTTTCGAACCTGCGAGGCTGCATGTATAGGTGTATACATGCACAGACCCATCAAACAGGGGTTGTGAGGGGTCAGTCACCTCTGGGGCCCCACTGCAAAGTAGCCGACGAGGCCCACATAGAAGAGGACGCTGCCAAGGAAGCCGATTCTGGCAGCCCAGTGCGTGGGCAGCTCCTTGACAGCAAACTCATAGAGCAGGGATCCGTTAATGGTCAGGATGGCCGCGGTAATGGCCCAGGCCGCGGCCTTCATGGAGATCCTGTTGGCGAAGCAGGGGCCCATGATGACCTGGCTGGATGTCAGCATTAGCAGCTGCGCAGCACACCAGCGCCCACATCCTTATTGGAGGGGAGAACATCAGGAGCAGCTAAGTGCATCCTAGCGTTATGCATGCATTCAGGATGGTAGCATCAGCATCAGCAGCTGCACAGCAACAGCACTCATATCAAGGCCACCAAGGGAGCTCTGGAATTGCAGCTATTTCCATGCAGATGCGCACTCAATCATGGAGAGAATCACACGTGCAATGAAAGGACTTGTCAGAGCACTACAAGCAAGTCATGAACGCCTGGGATCTTGCTAGAACAATGCACAAAGAACATGATGCCTCGCACCGGAAGCAGGGCAAAAGGGATCTGGACGGACTGCAGGACGTTAAGCCACTCGTTGAGGATGTCCAGTTCAGTGCCGCCAGGCTGGCGGTACAGCAGGGACACCAGAAGAGTGGGCACGAGTGCAACAGAGCGAGTGATGCTGATGCGCTTCCACTGGCTGATGCGCAGGTTGAGGAAGCCGCTCATCACAAACTGCCCCGTGTACACTCCCGTGATCGTGCTGCTCTGGCCTGCGCAGATACACGCCCACATGCTATTACTAAGGGTGCATGCAAGGAGAACTACTGGACTTTCCAGGGTTGTGTTGCATTTGCCTGCAAGGCCTGTCCGCCCATACCAGGAGAAAGACCTGAGAGCACTATTGGAAACGGCTGGAACCAGTTGGTGGACTGATACCAAACTGCGTTCCTCTAGCACGATCAAGCTCCTGGGATCCTTCGCATCACCCCAGTGTCACAGGAAAATTCCTCTACTGGAGCGGTACGGAGAAATAGGCGCTGCTTCAGCACTCAATGCGATTGAAAGGACAGGCAGTGCAGATCACAGGACATTCAGAGCTGGATTTAACGCAAACAAGCTTTACAAGAGGTGCAATATTTGATACTCCAGAACTGCCCTGGTGACACCCGGTATCCCAGAGCTCGGGAAACAAGCTTTGCTACAAAGACAGATGAGGAGAGTCCAAACGAGGCAGCACCTGCCGCAAGCAGACCAATGGCCCAGATGATGCGCATGGAGGCGCCAAAGGTCTCCCCCAGGTACGCGCCGGCATTTTCAAGGCCGATCTCGACTCCCTCCGTGCCATAGAATCCCCGCGCGAAGACGGCCACGACGCAGATGTTGATCAGCAGCGCGCAGAACAGCGCCACAGCCGACTCTATGCGGTAGTACGCCAGCGCCTCCTTCTTCCGCACGTTCTGCCCCGCGTCGATCTTCCTGCTCGGCGCGCCAAAATGTGAGTGTGTGAGATGAGATTGGATTGCATGCTAGCCTGATACGGCCCAGGAAACATGATCAGCCACAAATCCGGTGCAAACCTACTAAATGCAATTGCAGCGCAGTTGATCCTCCCGCTCAGGGCACGAAGATGACAAAGCAAATATTGTATGTCACATTAAAGACACGACAGTTGCAATGCTGATTTCATGCTAGCCTTGCATGAGCCGTGCATGCAATGGTTCACATGCAGCACAGCAGAATCAAGGAGTGCATCACAGATTGCTCAGTCCCAACGGAGTGTATGCATGAATCATTCAGCTCACGTCGCCTGCATTGCATGCATTTGTGTGGGACTGCCATGGCAACTCCTGACGCGATCTCATTGATTCCGCCATGCTGCATGTGGAATGGATTGCCGGTATGGATGGCTGGCAGTCCCAAGCAGGTTGCAGGTAGCCGGGACTCACCTGGAGTGCACAAGCGCGGAGTGCAGGTAGAAGTTGGCGGGCATGATGCCAGCACCCACAATCGCCACAGCCATCTTCAGCGCTGACCTGGGCAGCCGCGGCACCAGCAGCCCTGCCACACCAGTTCCCTTTAAAGACCCCCCCCGCTCTAAAGATCAACCCCCGATCAGGCTCCTCAGTTGGGTGAGGTACAATTTCCTGTAGCCTCAAAATGCAGCATATTCCTCCATGGTGCAATTCCGAACGGTAGCGTATATCACATACGGCAGTGCGCCGGTAAACTTGACAGGTCTTGCGCTTCATTCACTCTTTCATACCCATGACTTCAGATTCCACACGTCTCAACGAGCGTGGACACAGGATCCAGCTTTCCCACTTGGAGGCCCGACTCTTGAGAGTCTAAAGATGTCCAATAGTGGTGGACACAGGAGCCAGCCAACTGGGACAGAGAGGTCAGGGGCTGGGGCCCGCCAACAAGGGCACATAAGGGTTTTTACAGAATCCAGAACCTTCATTTTCCATGCTCAAGGGTCTACAAATCTCAGACATGGACATAGGGCTTAGCCAAGCAGCACAGAGAGGTCGGGGGGCCTCACCGATGAGCACGTCCTCTGTGGGCACGCCGGCGAGGATGTACATGACGCCAAATGAGACGGCCATGACGCCAATGAGCACCGCAAAGAGCGCCTCCAGATTGCGCACTCCCCAGCGCTCCAGCAGGAGCAGCATGAAGGAGGCCACCGCCGTTATCAATACCCCCGCCCACAGGGGCACCGCGCCGTACGTCAGCAGGGAGATCGCTATCGCGCTGCCCACCACCTGCCATGCATAAACACCGTGATGTGAGACCTCCAAAGAAGAATAGTTTGATGATTACTCCAGCCTAGGAAGGAGGCTTCACATGCATCTGAAATGTCTGACTCATGGGATTGTGTGATCGTTTACTTGTCCAAAGCGCTCATCAGAAATACTGTCATTGTGAGACGTCTAGCAATGAAGGAGCATGTGTGTGTTGGAGTGCTGCTGACCCATTAAGAGGGAGGCCCTATCCTAGGACACTGTCCAGGGGAGAATGCATGCAGTGAGACAGGGACCTCTGATATCAGCAAAGCGAGCACTACTAGCAGCAGGACTGCAAATGTCGATCCAAAGTCATGGCAATAGGAAAAAGAGAAAAGGAGGGCTGGGGTGGGTTGCGCACCTCCTGGATGTCTGAACCGATGATGGCAATCTCCATCATTATCCAAAGAATGTAGCGCGGGAAGACGGGGTACACCTTCCTGCAAGTGTAGAGACAAGAACTTCATTTGCAGTTGAATAGCACATGAACGTAGGCAAGCTCCGGGTGAGGATACAGTAAAGCAGGAGAATATGGACAATCCAAAGCAAAGAGAAAGACTAAGCAGAAGCAAGCACCTGCACTGCTGAGCCAGGTTGAGTCCCGTGGCAACGCCCAGCTTCACTGCCAGCATCTGCATCAGATACCCCTGGACAGCACAAGCACGCCATCCATTGTCAAGCACATTGGTTGCAGATTCACTCCTGCACTGCGAAAGACATGCTATGTGCTGAATTCAGGTAGACAAGGTATTAGTAACAATATAGGGGCTGATACAGCTGCTACTCACCATGATTATGACCCACATGAGGACCCAGATCAGTGTGTACCCAGAGTTGGCGCCAGCCTGAAGCTGGCTCTCCAAGTTGCCAGGATCCAAGTATGCAATGCCTGCATGGCAGGAGATCAGTCAAGAGGTTGCCACAAGCAGGATCATTAGTCTCTGTCAAGCAATCAGCTACACAGGATTCCCTTGTAAACAATGGTCCAAGCAAAGGTGCAGTGAAGATGCAATTGGGAATAGCAAAGGTTCCACAGAGTGTTGGAGAGGAAGGTACTCACTCATGAGGAATCCTGGTCCCATGAAGAGCCAGAGCCTGCAACAGTCAGCCAGATCACGTTCAGGTGGAGGGCCTCTACCAAGAGGTTCTCAATAATACAGAGGTGCATCTCATTAATCTTGCGAGATAGACACATCGCACTTGTTGAATGAGAAAACCACCCAAGGGAAGAAGCATAGTGAGAGGAAGCTCCCAGTCATGTTTGGCACCACTTCTACACGTACACACAACGCCAAAGTTGATACCCATCGGTGGACGTACTTGCGCCAGGAGAACCAATTCTTTGGTAGATCATCCCCGCTATATCGATCATCATCGAACAGAGTTCGAGGTGATGATGTAGTCACTCTGCGGTCGTGAGCGTCATCCACAAACTCGTCTTCTGCACCGATTTGTCGAAAGGAGAGCCCACCCTCAAGCATCTGGGCAGCGTCGGATCCTGTCTTGTCCATGAGATCACCTTCAAGGTCTTATATACATCGCCTAGATTAATCTGGGCAGAAACGAAGTAACGTCTGAAGCGATTAAACGTCAAATGTGCCCGAGATTCCGCGAGAGCTAATTCTATGCGGGGAACAGAGTCAATATCACCCTCTCCTGAACACAAGGGTGATCTGTGCAGCTGTGGCATTCGCTGCTGTGTCACAAGCATTTCTGTATTGCACATGCAGGACACGAGCGGTCAAGGACTTTTCGCCCCTGAATTATCTTGCGCCAAAGGGAGATGAAAAGATTTGCTGTGTCATCTCTGCATAAAGAGATCACTTGCCATGCGCTCCTCTGCCCAGCCTACCCGAGATTAATTGATACAGGCGCACAAAGATAATGCATGAAGAAGTTTTGCTGTGACTGGCGCCAGCGCTGAAGTTGTGGCTGGGGTAAATGCCAAGCAGACAGATTGGGCTTGGGTTTGGCCCATAAATCAACGCAAATTCTGCATCGTGTCTGACTTTTGATTATCAGTATAACGAAATGGGGGCATCTCAGCCAACCTTCGCAGAGACCAGATAGAGATCTGCAAGCAGAACCCTACTGTTATCTGCCGGGTTGTCCCTCATCTGCGCATTTTGTGGACGGGTTTCCGTAGCGATCCCACCGAATGGACGTCGCAGAGCACCATGGCTTTAGAGTTGGGCCATCCGGATGCTTTGCGCCCAAGGAAAGCATGAGTTCGCCTAGCAAGCAAGGCTGGTCCAGCGGTGAGTGTCGCAACATCGGGTCGCGTGACTTTGTCCCTAAAGAGCAATGCCTCGGTGCTCCCTTTGGCGGCACCCAATGTGAGATGGCATGTCTGTCGCTGACAATCGTCCTGCTTGCTTCCCAGATGCCTGTGCGTCAGCTGAAGTTGCACAATCCGAAAAAGAGCGGCTCCTGCTGACTGCTCCTGTAGCCGTCAAAGTGCAGCGCCGCAACCTCTTCAGATGCTTGATCCGCTGGAAAAAGCACAAGATCTCGCCTCTTCTGGGCAGTGCACCCTGCCCCGCCGTGAGGGAGGTCAAGCAGGTCGAGCATCTGAATGAGCAGACAACCTCGCTTTGGACGAGCCTTCCTGAGCACCTGCTGGAGGCAATGTTGAGCCTTATCAAGGAGGGAAAGGATAAGGACGACTGGGCCCATGTCCAGGTCAGTGATCAGCACACTTCTCAGAAAACCCAATGTCCTCAGGTCACCTTATGCATTGGATCGTGTTCAGGCAGACCTTCCCTCAAGGTTTCTGGTGCCCGTCACGAGCATCTACGTTGACATAGTCAGTCAGTGATGTACGTTGCATCAAGCCACCGTGCCCTTTGCATTTGCACTGATAGCCTAAGAGGTGTTAATTCTTGTGCAGGCCCTTTTCCAAATATCTGCGGTCTGCCAAGCGTGGCGGCGAGCCAGCAAACGAATCTTCTTTTCTAGGCCCTGGGACTCCTGCACCACATTGTGTCATCCTCTGCAGCTGTTCAGCACCGTGAGCCCCAATCCTCCATTCACACCTTTGCTTGATGGCCTGGATGCAATCTTACCTATACCTATACATGAGATCACCCATGACCGCTTCATAGATGCATTTATGCCCACACAGCGTTGCCATGCTCAACAGAGCTGCTTGTTGCATGGCCTGCGAACATGCGCTTGCATGCCGAGCAACCAATTCAGGCATGATCTGACATGGCGTGGATACTCTTGCATGCAAGCCGCCCCATGCATGTTTGTGAGGCGGATGTCTGACAAGCGCAGAAGGTGTCGGGGCTGCCGGCGACGGCAGGAGGGCCGCTGCTGCGCTGCTTTGTGCGGAGGGAAATGGGCGGCGACAGGGCCGTGGCCAAGTTCCAGCTCTTTCTGGGCAGCGAGCACAACGAGCCGGACGCCTCCAAATTCCTCATGGCCGCCCTGCTCACCTCCAGGTGCACTTGCGTCTTGTCCCCTCAGCTCTTGTACCCACAGCGCACGGAGCATTGCAGCACCCATCCTGCAGTTGCCTGCTTGTTGGATATGACCTGAATTTGTGCAGTGCCAGCATGTCTCTTTGCTCCGCTGGTTCCTGGTTCTATACGCACATGCAGTACAAGGAAGATGTAAAGACTGCAGCTGCTGATTGAATCAGCAATCGCAACCACTAGGTGGGAGATTGAAAATGCAGGTGAGGGTGACTCAGTGCTGATGTCACGGCTACTGCGCAGGTGGGAGACGGTGCTGTACTTCACCTCCGACTGCGCGTCGGCGCCTGCTGCGAAGCTGCAGTCCAACATCTTCGGCACGCACTACGACATGACCCTGGACCCCAGCGTGCAGCCCTTCGACAAGTCCTGGGGCAATAGTAAGAGCGATCGGGACGGCTCGCGAAGCGTTGGCGGTTCCGGCCGGGCGGCCGGCTCCCGCCGCGGTGAGAGCCTCGTGGAGATACTGTACAAGACCCGCCTCAAGGGCTTCATGCGTCCGCGCAGGTGATTCCTCCCGGCTCTGTCATGCACAGTGATCTTTTGAGAAATATCACCCCCCCTGTTAGCGCCTGTCTTGTGTAACGTCCTCTCTGCCGTGTACTACTGGACCCACATCCACATGTGGCGCACAAGGCCTTCTCATGCGACGAACACGCAACGGTTGCTTGCTTGGGATATTTTGGGATCATTGTATGTTTGGAGTACGGGTGGGCCTTGGCTCTGCACTGGGATGTAAATCCTGTTCCAGCGACAGCACTGTGTGAGCATGTGCCTTGTGGTTCTTTATTGTTGATATCACGCTGTTACTCCCAGGAGGCAAGGTGTGCCTGCAGACAAGCTGGAGTCAAAAGGCTGTGGCTCTCTCATGTCCTACCCCTTGCCTGGTGCAGGACTTGAAGTAAACATGACCTGACTTTGTGAGAGTGCTGCCGGAAACAGGATGAAGGTGGCGCTGCCGCCCACAACAGCGATGGACCGCTTCAGCTCAGCAGAGGGGCTGGCGGTTGCGCGTGCGGAGGCGGCAGCGCTCGCATCCGAAGAAGACAGCGAGGAGAGCTTCGGCGACGGCCGCACCGCCGATGTGCGGCAGCGGGGGGAACCGGCAGACCGGGGGGCCCCTGACGAGCCCACCTCGGAAACTGACAGCTCAGGTGCCGCTTATGCAATGGCTTCTTTTCATCAAGTTGCAGTTTTTATTGATCAGACTGTTGATATTGCGTGCGTGGTCATGATTTTCTATCAATAATGGGAATCTTAAAAAGTCCCTTCGAGTATTTGAGGTAGCAATTCATTCTGTGACTTTGCTGTGTGACCTGCTTAGAATTGAGGGGGTTTAGACAAGATGGAGTCAGTCAATCGTCTCTGCCAATAGTGGCTGCGGAACTGTATTGACTACATTAGCTCGTGTTTTGCTCATACATTCCATGCTCACCAGGCCATGACACCGAATCAGGGAGCGACAGCGCAAGCGCTAGCACTGGAGCGGGCATGTCTCGGCCAAGCCTGTGGAGCTTGAGCAGCGGCTTCAGTAGGGCCGAGGTGCATTTCTCCGTCTATCTCTGCCGTTACGTTGCAAATCTGCTGCCAGGATAAAAGGAAAAGACCCACATGCCTGGGTGCATATTGGACAATTAGTAAAGAACAGCTTATGCCTCGCCATAGTGCTGTGCTGCTCGCTTTCCATTCGCTCAGCCATGGCTCTGATGCAAGCGTGCCGGGTCTTAATCATGCAATCAAGGATAGACAGTGAAAGCAAAAAGAGCAACGAGTAAGGGCTGCCTCGCAGGTACACCAAAAGCAGGTCAAGTCAAAAGAAATCAAACTATATCGGATTCATGTGAAGAGTTCTTAAATTTGAAATGGTGCCAAATCAAACGACTGCGCATGTGCAGGAGTGGGACGGGCGGGAGGGGGTGCAGCTGCGCAACAAGCCGCCGCACTGGAACGAGGGTCTGCGATGCTGGTGCCTCAACTTCCGCGGCCGGGTGAAGCTGGCGTCCGTCAAGAACTTCCAGCTCATCCTGAGCTCCGACCCCTCCAAAACCATCGTCATGCAGTTCGGCAAGGTCGACGCCAACACCTACATCATGGACTTCAACCCCTGCGTCGTCTCAACCGCCCAGGCCTTCGCCATTGCCCTGTCCACCTTTGACACCAAAGTGCTCCTGTGAGCTGGCGGCTCGCGCACAGCGGCAGCACATGGTGTCACCTGTCTCCGTGCGGTGTCTCCCGGGAAAGCCTGTCAGGCTGGCATGGATTGCTGTAGCTTCTGTAGCGGTTGCTGCTCCCAACTTGACATTCGCTGGTCGCACCCAGTTTGAGGGCCACACAGCTGAGCGCGGCCTGAATGCAGCCATGGTGCTCTCTCCCTGGCGGGAGTATATGATGTCACCTGTCTCCCTCCGGTGTTTCCCAGAAATAGCCTCTCAGGCTAGCTTGGACAATCAAGCTTCTGTGGGGGTCTGTGCTGTCGGCCTCGGCAGAGCCTGGTGCACCCAGCCTTTGCACGACCATTCAGCTGAGTGTGGCCAGAATGCAAGCAGTGGTGCTGTCTTCTGGGGCGGCGTTGTGGGGGGTGTTTCTCTTGGGTCGGTGTGGTCCAGTGAGTCGCACTTTCAGTTGCTGACGTGGACAGTCCCACAAAAGAATGAATGTGCTTGTGGGCTGCCCATTGGCGCTGCGCATGCCGTGCTGCCCAGACATTTGAAATGTGTCGCGCCTTGTTTCTGGTTGGAAGTGCTCTATCAGAGGGTTGCCCCCTCGTGGGTTGGGTGCTTGGCAAGTCGATGTGTTTGTTGCGGAGGTCTGTGCTCATTACAGCTCATAATATAGCGCAAGAGTTAGCTCTGCTTAGCCTGTTGTGGGCTCTGCATCCTCATCTTGTCAACCTGATGCAGAAAAGGATGCACTGAGTCCTTTGCAAGTTGCGCTATGATTTTCGTTGGAGGCAGCATCGCAACAAGAAAGATGCTGCAGCATGTCACCAGCATGTCACCTGGAATGTATGGAATGTCCTCCCGCAAGTTGAGTCCTCAGACTGTAGTTGATATTTTCATCCCTCCGAGGTGTTTCATAGGGCCGATTTGCCCGGGACTTACAAGTAGGCTGTGTTGAAAAGGGATGCTCCTGTTGGTGCACATAAACATGTCAGTGCCTGGCCTGGGAGTGAGTATTGAGGGCGCTGGTTGCTCAGAGCGAGCTGACTGATCCAGGCCGGCATGAAGCATTTGATGAGAACTGTTTTCCCTAGGCATGATGCCATGATCATGATACCTGCAATTGCAGAGCTTGATGTGAGACCTGTCATTACATGTTGATCATGTAAGTATTGGTACACAGCCATATTTGTATCAATCGCATGACATTTCTCACCGTCATTAATGCTCCGACGTTTGAACCGATTCTGCTTGGTGTTGCGCCGGTGGCGTCGCAGTGCAGCCTAGCTAGGCCTTCTTGGTGTGTCTCATCATCATGATGGCCATGGGTATGCACGCTGTACAAAACCATTCTTCTGACACCCTCTCTCTCCTCAGTCTGAGGGAGGCATCGATCAAGAGAGAGAGAGAGAGAGAGAGAAACATTACATTGTGCCAGCAAAAGAGGCTGATTAGATATTCAAGACCTTGCTGGGATTTTGTGCTCAGTGGACAGATCAGTGACCTGTCTACCAGATTTTCGCAAAATCTGAGTCTCACTAAGAGTAACGTAATCCAACTCCCTCTTGCGAACCAAAGCTACAACGGAGCTGGGCGCAGCTGCAGCAGTTGTGCACTTGCACATATTCACGGAGGGCTGCGAGATCGGCGAAAGCACCTGCAGGGGCTGGGAGGCTCGCAACTGCTTCGAGCCAGCGTGCGGATTGGCAGCGCAGTCGCCTCGAGGGCTTTGTTTCCAGGTACTGGCCAAATGTGACAGTGTGGCTACTCGGGAAGCTCAGATTAGCGTAGTAAAAGTTTCTACAAAAGAACAGGTGGTTAGTCCAGCACGATCAAGTCCTTTTAAGGCTTGGTAGTCGGGAACCCTGTAGCTTGGGACGTTAGACGCGCTGAGAGATATCTCTCATTCTGGAGCAAATCGATTTGGGTCTCAAGCAATCTTCACAACAATCGATACAAGGCTGTTCTAGTGTGATCAACGCTCGCGTTGTTCAGAATATTGATACGGCTAGTCATGACTTCCTGATTTGAAACCCCAGGATGCCGAGTACGACCGACTGCATCCAGCCTTGTTGCACGCTTGTAATGTTCCGTGATCAATATTTTCAATAGAAGGAATAGTGGTGGAACCCACATGCATGCCGCATTAGGACGGGGTGATGGAACGTGCTGTGACTTTCTAGGTGATCTCAATCTGAAATTCTTTCTATCGGAATTGATCGTCGAGGCCCAACATCGCACTTGTCTTCGTTGATGCTCTCCAATGGCGTAATTGTCGCCGATCGCTCTGATCAAGATTCTTTAGTTGCTGACTCAGGAGTACAGCTGTCAGCAGCTTTATCTGCAGGTACCAAGGCCCTGATTCAGCCGAAAGATGCCGAACGATTGCTATGTTGACGCAGATTAGCGATGGAGAGCACGCTGGTGACAGCAGTACTGGCGGTAGCTGCTCTGTTCGTCCTGGCAGCTGCCCAGACGACGGTGCCACCAGACCCGGCAATATTCGCTCCGTTGCAGACAGCGGGCGCGACCGGCACCGGTTTCCCAGCATTCTATGTGGGCTGCACTGACAACGGGGCCACGCTGCAGGACCTCACTGTCTACGCCAATGACAACTTCCTCAGGGGCATAGAGGTCGGCGCCAGTTCTTCCCATGCATGTTGTCCAAATCCGCTGCCTATGAAGTTGCTGGAAGCGCCGTCACAAAGACTGCTGGGATCTGACTGCAGAGCAAGTTGTGTGCGGCATGAGTGGGATCTGTGCATGAAATTGGATCACTGTGGTTGCAAATGGTTCTGCCTTTGCAGCAAGGAGTATGGGAGCTCATCGTGACATGACAATTTGACAAGTAGCTGCAAAGATGCTGAGGAGCATGCAAGGTCTGGTCCTTTGCAATGGACAGGGAAACGTGTGCAACATAAAAATACCAGAAGTGAGGGGTGAGTGCCGGATGCGCAGGTGAATCTTACGGACGGGCGGACGGTGCAGCTGGGCTGCGTCAACACCACAGACGGCCGCACCGGGTGCGTGCCTGGGCAGCTGGACGCAGGCATTCGTGCGGCGGCGTTCCATTTTGCACCGGGGGAGCGCGTCTCATCGCTGTCGCTATTCGCCGGGCCCGACAACCGCGGCACCGCGAACACGCGCGCCGGCGCCATCCGCTTCTCCACCTCCCTGGTGCGCCGGTTCAACCCTGTGCCATTGCACTTTTTTTTTTCATTTTTGGCCGGTAGCTTGGCCAGGCCCCAGCCGGCCTCATCATGCGCCGCTTACATGTCAGCATCAATGCTAGGCGTGCTTATCTGGGGTCATATTTGCGTGGCAGAAGTGCCAAAGTGAGGCCCAAAGGCATGTTCTGCTCTGTTACGCATCTGATCATGTGTTGGCGGTTGTTCCAGGGGCGTGTTTTTGACTTTGGCAACAAGAAGAGCCGCGACCAGCCAGTGGATGTGGATGTGGCGAGTGGCATCCCCTGTGGCATCGCCGCCCGGCGAGGTATGAATGATCCCTTCTCTAACACTATCGATACAATGCATCTCCTATCACTGAGACTCATACAGTCATGTTGCCCTCTAGTTGCTTTAGCTCTGAGAAAACAGGAAGGCAGACATCAAGGCAGAGCAAACGCTAGAAGACAGGAAAAGGGCTACATGCATGCATATCATGGGACTGAGGAGCTGCGCGTGAATTGCAGGGGCGGACATTGATGCGGTGGGCTTTGTGTTCCTGAGGACTCCGGTGTCAGCTGTGCTGACTGACGTGACCTATGACGGCCTGCCCACCATTGAGGTGATATTCTTTTCCCTCCCCTCCCCATCCCAATTCTGCAGCCCCTAATGCAACTGCTGCTCATATCACTACTTACTCTGCATCCTGTGCCAGGGTGATTTTTTATCCTTTCGCTGAACCCCTGTGTATATTGGTTTCACTTTCTCAATGCTCCCTGTGATACTATTGCTCCACTACAGATCACTCCCTTGCCTACTCTGCTGCCACAGGACACCCACTTTTTGACTGCGCATGCGCTTCCTCCATTGTTAGACACCACGCTGTTTTGTTGTTCTCGAAAGCTGGCATCATATTTTTTTTTCCCGTGCACAGACGACCGGGGATGCTTTCAACGCGACGTACGCGACAGTGAAGCAGCAGAACGTGACCTACGACAACTCTGGCAACACTGAGCCGCACACGTACACCTACTCGAGCGAATTTGCGCAGCTGCGGCCGTCTGAGTGGTCCCACGCGCCCGGCCTCGACTCCTATGCTGGGCCCAACGTGACCGCCGGCCTGCCGGCTATTGTTACACAACGTGGCTCCAGCAAAACCCCCGCCGGGTGCGTTGCAGAAGCCTCCTGCGTGTACATTGATCATTGTGAACTGATTTGCTTGAGCCCGCAAAGGGCTGTGCCTTTATTCTGCTTGCATGGCTGTAGCAGGCCTGCACATTGCCGTGCTGCCATTGCTGTTCAGCCTGCTGTTTGCAGCCGAGCATTGCTGTGAATGAGAATCTGTGGGCAGCTGGTTCATGCTGTGCTGAGAAACATACTGCTTGTGGTGTCCCTCCCGAGCGAAGGGCAGCTCGCTCCCTGCAGGGCAATGACTACTGGCTGAAGTGGTGCAGTGACTAATGGCTGACATGGCGCGCAGGTGGCAGGTGGCGCCGCCAGCTCAGCATGCAAGGACGGAGGACGGGCTGCAGGCGGATCAGTGGTCATACAACGTGCCGGTGCCAGCTGGCGCTGTCTACTCAGCGCATGTGTCACTGCTGCAGGTCTGTCTCAGAATAAACTTAACCCATTTTCTAAAGTTTCAGGAACCATCGTTTATACCCGGGCTGCAAAAGGGGGAGAAACATCTATTTATGTCTAGTTTGAGGAACTCTTGGTGGTTTACCGCAGGTGTGCATGCTCTTGGCAGGCTGTCACTCTCTGATGTTGCATATAGCTTGACAATTTTATGCTGTGTGAAGAATATTTTCCAAAAACACACTTCAAAACCAAGCAGAGTGGGTGAAGAGAAGTGTCACTGCCTGCAGGCTCGCATCAGCGTGCCCTACTCTGGCAACCTCACCCTCCAGCTGGATGCAGGTGCTGAGCTGTCAATTCCCGTGCGCGGCGTCTTCCAGGGCGTTACCTACGCGCCTGCGGTGAGTCGGCGCTGACTCATACCGTGACACCTCATCCACCCTGCAATCTGCGCTGATTGTTGCCACCTGCTGTCTTGTGCAGGTCCAGTGCGGTGCTCCTGTCATGCATGGGAGGGAACCTGTAAGTGGGATCTGGCTGTATACTACCTTTTGAACTCTCAGGATGGACAGCTGCAGGAAAGGGTGTCAAACAAGCATTTGGCGAGGACAGGTCGGGATGGACTCTGGGATGAAGAGACTGATTCTGACATCTGGCACTTGTCTGACTGTCTGCAGAACGTGGACATAGAGGTGATTAAGCAGGGGGCCGGCAGTGCAAATGCCAGCCTCCTGGGAACCACTGTAGCCACTGCAGCGCCTCAGAGCCAGTCCTCATCTGGTGAGCCCTTGCCCATGTCTTTGTGCCTGCTTAAATTTCCTCAGTGACTACCCTGCACTCATACTGTTCCTTATAATTGTGTCGAGCAAGAGGTAGCATACATCAGCAATGATTGTGGGCTCATCTACCCCACCCTGAAAAACGATTGAGCTTTGTGTTTCATTCGAACATCTGCGGTTCACAGCGCTATTGCACATGCGGAAAAGATCTCACAGCAACGCGCTCATTGTCTCCGTTCCTGATGATTCTCTTTAGCATTGCGCTTCCATGTGCACAGGTACAAATAAGGGGTTGGCCATAGGCCTCGGAGTGGCTTTGGGAATCCTCTGCCTGCTCATTATCCCTGCCATCTTCTTCATCATGAAGCGGCGGAGACATAAGCAGGTGACTTCCTTTATTCCACCTTCTGCTGGTAAACTTTCAATGAAAGAATAGGGCATGCATCATCTACTTGACCTGTGTGAGTGATCATGACAAGCTTGCACACTATGGCTGACAGCTACTGCACCTGCTGCAACACTCTGGTCGGTTGAATAGTTTTTGTTATAATCACATTTTAGAGACCTTTTGGGAGCACCCTGAGGCTCATTGGTCTTGTAGGCAGTCTGTCACTGGCCATCTTCATATCACAATTCTCTCATGTGCCTGCCTTCTGTCAAAGGTTTGGCAATCCTAATAGTGCAATATCCTCAAGTGTAAGTGCTGGCGCGCAGCAAGCCGCAAACAGCAAGATGGACCATCTTGGCTCGGTGCCGAGCGGCTTTGGGGGCAGCCCAAACAGCACGCTAGCCACAAGTAAGCAGGCGGAGCTCGGTGGCTTTGCTGCAGGGAAGCTCGGCTTCCCGAAGAAAAAGGTGAGTAGCTTCACAGGAAAGGTCTCTGCGTCTCTGTGTCACTTTGGAACGTTCTGTGCCGCCACTGCGCTCTCTCTTATCAGGCCAAGTGTATGAGATCTCAGATTCTAGGCTGCATGCTGGGCCCTCGTGTGGCGTCTGTCTGATGAAACACCTTGCATATACTGGAATTTAGTCTTGAGGCTACCTTGGTTGGGATGGAGTTGCGACATACAGATCTCAAGACAGCAAAAATATTTGACAGGCTCACCTGACAGTGTCAGCTCATCAATTTGCGTCTTTTCTGGCTCAGGTTACGCTGGGTGCTCATAGCCTTGATCTGGTTTGTCTGAAAATGTCCCTAGATGCAGATGTGTTTGCTGATCGGCCTGTGAGGCGCTCTTTCCTCTCTGTAGCCCAATTCATTGGCAGTTGGCATTGCCCGAGAGGGATCTGCAGAGAGGGTCCAAACTTTATGGGGCTCTCGCCGTGTACTGGTTGAATTCAAATTCGAAATCCAAATTTGGGGAGTGTTGGAACTGTAGGGGATGCGGCCGGTGACACCGCGCGCTACGGCGGCGCCACCTGGCGGGGCAGGTGAGTCAGCGCAGACCGGGATTGCGCGCATGCTGCCGGCCGGAATCGTGTCCAAGCGCTTCCAGCAGCTGTTCAAAGGCAAGGGTGGGTCTCTTAAGCCCCCAGACTTGTCTACATCAGCCTGTTTTCCAAAGTTCTGATCACAACTCCATGCTAGCGAGTTGGAGAAAATGGTGTAGAAGCGAGTCGCAGACAAGTAGGTGCCAGTGGCGTGTCACATGCCTTGGAAAGGTGGGGAAGGATTGAGTTTGAAAGGCCAAGGGAGACTCAAGATTTTCCCATATAATTGTCCCGTTGAGTCTGGCTGGGATCGTCCTGATGTGACTGGGCGCTGATGGTGGCTAGCTGTCGGGCAATAGGGCAATATCTAACTCGTGTGCAGTGCATAGACATGTGATCTGGCTGCGCAGTGTCATGTTGGGCTTGAATTTGTAATGTCGGTCGATTAATCGGGCACTCATGGTGGCTATGGAACCCCGTGATAGCGTGCCTAAAGCACGTGCACCACATTGGATCAGCAAGACACCTGCCGTCAGTGCCCAATGAAGCCTACTAACCATGATGAACATGACTAAAATATTGTCTGGCTGCGCAGGGCATGCAGAGGAGGATCTGAGCGTGGCGGAGCGCGGCCTCAGCACCACAAGCACGCACTCGCAGGCGCCAGAGATTCCGCTGCACCATGAGCCCAGCCCCACCAAGGACCTGGAACGCCCTGGCACGGCCGCCGCACCCTCGCATGACACCCCCGCGGTGCGACAAATCTTCCCTTGCATCCTTCGTATTTCCCTCCCACATCTCTCCTCATGAAGATTTCTCATTGCAGCAGGCTGCTCGATTTGCTGTTGAGACCACAGTTAAATTAAATCAGGAATCCTTGGTGATCTGATTTTGCATAAACACACTATCATGCCGCCGTCGAGAGGTGAGACTATAGCCACTTAGCTGAACAATCAGCAAATGCCCATGCAGGGGGACAGAGATGCCGCCGCGAAGCTGCAGCGGGCGGCGGCGGCAGCCGGGGCGGCGGTGGCGGCAGACGGCGTACCGGCCGTGCCGGCAGCGGCAGCGCGGCGGCCACTGCCGCGGGGCAGCATCGAGCACGAGGTCCTGCCGATCAAGCTGTCGGGGCGCGCCAGATCAGGCTCCATCGCCGGGGGGCCCGCCCCCGCCGCGGTGGCCGACAGGCCGGCACGGGGGGACCGCATCTCACATAACAGCACCAAGATCAAGCTGGGCGGGAAGTATGATGGCCCCAAGTGAGGCCGCGGCCGCTGCGACACTGCGGAGGCACTTCACAAAGAACTAGCGCCAGTTGGAGGTTGCTTCGAGCGTCCTTGTGGGTGCCGAAACGCACATCATGGTGCACTTGACTGCGGCGAAGCGCCCGAGTGATGGTCAGAGTAGCCTGCCGCCTTGAATCATCCAGTCGGAAGAGGCTGTTGCACGTTGCTGTCACAAGGGGGCACTTGCACATATCAGTCAGTGTGCACAGGGTGACCCCTTGTGGCCTTGTTGTGTCAACACTACTGGCGTAATGAGCGACAGCTTCTCAGTACTTGATGTCATCTGCTCCGTGCCGGGAACAGTGCATCCAGAACTTGATTTCCCACCAAAGAACTTCTGTGGTGAGGAAACCCTGAAGAGAGCGCTGTGCACTGCACACTAAAAACTCTGCCGGTTCCTGCTCTGAGCAATGCGCATGCATGCGTGTACCTGCCAGACCAGGCATGCTGGCGACGCTGCTGTACACTAACTGTGCATCTCTGTACCAAGCATGTGCCATCTCAAGATATTTAATGTATGCTTATTTGTTTATAGGTCAGGGCTCCTGTCAGCGCAGTCTTTCATTTGGGCCACCCGCCTCTAGCGGCAGTGGGGGAACCTGCATGGAAGTAATTTTGGTTGCTGTGAATTTACACAATGACATGCATGCGAACCTCTTCAACCTCTTAACAGTTGCGATGTAATCAGAACATGGTAGATGCTAGCATCTGCTGCAAGCTAACTTTCAGCTACTTTCAGGCTGTGGGTACTAAAGGTTGTACTGGCCCCGAATCTCCTCTTTCAATGCTTTGCTCCCACAGATTCCTTTTCAACGACAAGCTTAACAAGCTTTAGCAAATTCTTAACCACATGTCCTTACAATTAGCCCATCATTTGACCGCGCATGCGCATCAATTGAATTGCGAGTTCATCATAAAGGTAGCTGCCTATCCTGCCCAGATTGCTATTTTGTGGCAAGTTGGAATTTGGGATTGCATTCCGAATGAGTCATTGTTGCTTCCATAGTTGCCAATGCATCTATCCATTGGCGCGCTGGTCAGTACCGTACTGTGACTTGATCACATAGATTGAAGCCTTAAGGGCTTCTTTAAGGGCCCAGGAGACCGACTTCCTTGTCAATACAGGGGTTTACTTTCACTGTGACCTATAGGTCACTGACTTGCGCCTTGGGGTGCAGTGGTGACATGATGCAACTACGAGGGTTAACGACCCTGCTCTGAACATGTCACCTTATCTGTATCGTGGGTGCCCACTAGGCCGCCAGCTGGCAAAATTCGCGTTTCTTCTGAAGGTTTATCGCCTGCCCGACAAAAAAGATACGAAATCTCTTTGTCCCGCAGGCATGCGACTGTCCTTTCCTTCTCTTCCAGACGTGTAAGATGGTTAAAGATTAGATTTTTAGATCATCTTGGACCTCTGACGGAGTTTTTTTGGGCGTGCCAAGACTTCTAACCTCGGCGTTGTCCAAGAAGTTACAAGGTTGAAGGTTGTCGGGAATGTCAGCAATGAGACAATACACGGCGGCAATAACCGTGATTAACTTATACTTTTAGCTTTCCTTGCGGGTCAGTCACGGCGGGTGTCGATCGTGACTGCGATCTCGATAAAATTTTTATCCTGTCCGGCCATCAAAAGCCTGGACAGCTTTGTCTGACAAAACAACTAAGGAGCCCAGGACAAGATGAGCAGCATACACGATTACTTGTAAGTACTCAATTGACCGCTGTGTGCTTGTTAGTGCGTGCAAAACAAGATGGGTTCGGTGTTCGGCAGAACACCTTGCATCGTTTCCTTCGTTTCTTCACCCCAGCCGCTGAGTGCTTGTCTGGCAGTTATGCTTTCTTGCTATACACTTGTGCTGTTGACATCGAAAGGAATGAAGCGCGGGTTCAAGGGGTCGGCTGCTGCCACAGGCATCACGTCGGGAGCCTTTCGCTGGAGTTCGACCGGGGCATCGCTGCAGGGATGTTCAATACAAGCATGAGCGTGATAGGGGCCAGTGAGATCATCATGATCCCCTATCTCACGCTACTGATCGCTATCGTGCGTTTCGGTGTCCTTGCCGTTGCCGCAGCTGCTCTGGTAGCCGCAGCTGGCCTGGCTGCCATGAAGGCTTATTCTGAGCTGCGCAGGTTCATCGTGCTCTTCAGGTACACTCGCTCAGCCTTATCTCAGCCTTAATTGGCAGCGAGCAGCAAGAAGACAGTGAGCTTTTGTCATCTCCCGAACAGCACCCATCACAAGAAGAACCCACCGAGATAGTCTTATTAGTAAGAGCGCACCCAGTACGTTAAAATTTCGAGGCCATGGCTCCTTGTTGCCTGCCATTGCCTCGAAGAATCTAGCTGCTTTGTGAACACTCAGACTTCAAAAGGACCACCACATGAGCCGCAGTGCGCACGTGAAGGGCGTGTCTGATAGGGTACTTGCTGACTACCACAAGCGAGAGATAACCTGCCAAGTGGGTGCCACTAAGGCCATGCTTGGTACAGAGCGGTTTCAAAAGCTTCGAAGAGGAGAAGCTGCTCCTGGCAGGAGGTTGGTGATGGGGCAGGTTGATCTTAGGAATATGATGACTGTTCAGCGTGAAAACCTGCTGAGAGTTGTGCATACAGTTGATTGGGTCTTGCTTGGATCTGGCCAGTCCATCAAGGAGGAGGACATGTGGCAGCCGTCACCTGCAGCTTGTCGGCAGACGCACCTTGCCGCTAGCAGGAACCGTGTGTGATACCTTTGAAAGACATTATATCTGCTGAGTAGCTGCTGTGTCAGTCATTACTAACCCATTGAGTGCTGCAGGATTCCACACCCACCGGAGGAAGCTATCCTCTTGGGGTCGGCGCTGGCGATGCGGCGGCCAGACCACCACAGGTCACTGCGCGCGTGGGCCAAGCAACTTGGAGGCGTCTACGCAATCCGCATCGCAGCCTGGCACGTGAGCGCCCAATTCAATCATAGGGGCATTTTGAAGTCTTTCAAACAGTCTCTGGAGGTCACTAGAAGCCTCTGAAGGCCACCTTCCCAGGTGGCCGGAGATTTCTGGCCTAAGAATCCCTGTGCGGCTCATGAATTTCGAAGTTGTCCAGCACTGTGAGTAATCCCAATTGGAAAAGGGCAGTTCGAGCCTGTAGCTCAGCATCATAACACTTGCTCCATTGGACCCTGAGGCGAGTGCACTGTTGCGACATACATCATTGAGTCTCAGGGCAGCTCTAGATGGGTGTTTGTGCCTGTTGATCTGAGGGAACTGTTGGGGGAGGAGTCAGGACTGCAAATCTCCTGCCTCACTGACTGTCACACGATCGTCTGCATGCATGGGCACATGCCTCAAATCATGTCAGCGCAGGGTTTGACAGGGGTCCACGAAAATCTTAGGCCAGCCCCTGAGTAGGGCAGGGGCGAGCGGGGCTTGCGCACCCGCCCGCTGCCGCGATAGTAGCTGCAACTTGGGGCATCCCTGAAAGTCCCAAGACGGGTATGCAGGTCTTTTGCTGAATCTGGCCTCCAAGGGGTTCACCTAAAAAATCTAGGGTGCCCCTCAGTCACAGCCATGTGGCTTCGTGGTCTTGCCCTGACACCTTTTTGCCAAATTTGAGCTTCTCCCAGGGCTGCCCTGAACCTTGCCCCTAGCCCTGAACCAGTTTGGCCAATCCCTTGGGGGGGCCATTAGGGGCTGTCAAAACCCTGTGTCAGCGTGTGCTGGTGTCACCTGTGCAGATGGTGGTGGTGGTGGACGCTGAGCTGGCGAGCCAGGTGCTGGGAAATGGGGAGGGCCTGTGCAAGGCGCTGGAGCCGGACCTGTCTGACAAGCTGATGAGTCACAGCGGCCACCGCACCATGTTCTCTGCCGACACCAACTCGCCCTACTGGCGGCTGATTCGCAAGGGCGCCGCGCCCGCCTTCATCTCCAAAAACATCAAGTGCGGCTCCTGACTTCTTTAGTCATACAGAGGCGCAGACGCAAAGGCTGATTAGGAGCACCAGAGACACATACTTCCATTGTGATGTCTCTGCCATCTAGTTGCCATGCATTGCAGGCGTCTTGATGTCACTTGCTCCTGGCCAAGGGATCAGTATGGCATTGCTGCGCAACATCCAACCTCCTGAAAGACCACATATTTTCATTCCACAAAACGAGGTGTTTGATCTTGGCTTTTCGGCTTGGGGTTGAAAAGCATGCGCGGGGTGAAGTCATTCTGCTCTTATTTGTATTGAGTCCTCAAAGAGTACTTGTTCAGGCTCTCCTTGGGGATTTCCAAGCCATCAATTGCCGGATGATTTCCAGCCAGTAAAGTTGTTCCCCTCACTCTTTTAAATACAAGGCAGGAGTCTGGGCTGCAGCTTGAGTCACAGGTGTTCACACCTTAGCTGAGCTTCACGTTTTACTAACTGGATTGTGTGATTGTTTTTCTTGTCTGCAGCATTCCTACAAGGCCTTGTCTCTGCGCAGGAATGGTTTCCCGGATGTGGTGAAGATTCTGGACCAGATCGTGGCGAATATTATGGCGCTGCCCCCTGGGGAGGAGGTGGATGTTAATAATGTAACGCTGCGGCTGGCGCTGGACATCACCGGCATGGTCGGCTTTGCCAAGGACTTCGGCACCACGCGCTCTTTTAGTGATGCCGGCACCGACGAAGTCTTCTACATCCTGCAGTCCAGTGCGTCCCTCGTTCTCGATCAAATTCAAATTTTGGAAATACAGTATTCAAAATTTTTAATTCGACACTTTGTGGCCCCCGACATGCATGCCTGCCACTGGTGCCTGCATCTGGACCAGGGCACAATGAATGCCCACATCTTTAGATCTTTGCTCTTTCTGCTCGTGACTGTGTCGCCGTGCATAAGCAAATTGCGACTGCCCTATCACCATGCAATCCTTGCACACAGTCTCTGAGGAGAAGGTGTTATTGGGCTGCTGAAGAGATGTGCTATGGACGGAGGCATGATGATACTGCAATGACAGGGCCGAGACAAATCCATGCTACTTTGAACAAGTCCCTTCAGGAGAGGACACCTGGTGCGGTTGATCGTGTGCTACAGTATCTAAAATTTTGAGCTCTAATGCTCTAATTTGTATAGCCCCGCTGGCGGTACAAATACTGAGCGCTGCGCCCAGGACCGATAGGATCTTGCTTGGATCTGGCGAGTCCAACAAGGGGTGGGATTGTGGCAGCCTTTAACTGCAGCTTTGGCAGACGCACCTTGGCAGGAAAGCGTGAAATTATAATAAGAAAACTTTGGCGCGCAGCGTTCCGGGAGCTGTACTGCCGGGCGACAAACCCGGCACGTCACCTGATGCTGTGGCTGCCGGAGGTTCGCCGCGCGCCGAGCCTCTTCAGAGCCTTCCGCGCGCGCATGATGCAGCTTCTGCACGAGGTAACGCCCCGTGACCCATGACCTGCCATGCTCTGGAGGCCCCTTAGAAGAAGGTCTTGTGCCGGATGTGCAAGCACAAGACCTTCTTCTAAGGGACCGATGACAATAGCTCCGCCGCAAGAGGGACCTAATTTGCTGACGCTGCAAAAAAGATTCAGAAAGAAGAAAAAGAGAACGCAAGTTGGCTGCTACACATGGTAGCCTTGCAGTGTCCATGCCTTTCATTCAAAAAGGCTGGATGATGGAACCGCTGCTCCAATTCAAGCCCATTTAACATGGGCGGCGCATTTGGTGATGCCCTCCAGTGATGCAGCCTGGAGAGTCAACCAGGGGCGCCTCCCCTGTTGACCAGGCTGGGCGCATATTTCTAGCACGCATGTATGGAACTTTGCATGCAGGGCTGTATGCATGCCACAGGATCTCTGTCAAGCAGACATGCAAGCAGCATTGCAGATGATATAGCATTGACCTCTGCAAGAAGCTTATCCAATTTTAGGCGAGGACTGAAGGCCCAAATTGTAAAGTACCACAGCAGAAAGTATTATCGACAAGTGAGTGGGCAGGGGCAGCATCCGCGCCAAGTAGAGTAACAAAGGTTTTGGTTAAGACGTATATGTCACAAAGCTTGTTACTTCATCACTGACTCCTAGTCCATGCATGCATCAGGTGAAGGCGCGGGGGGAGCCGAAGGACGAGGATGTCAGCATCGCAGCGCACCTGCTGCGGCTGCGCGACCCGGCGACTGGGAAGCCTCTGCCGGACGAGCTCGTGGCGGGCGAGTTTGGGGTCTTCTTTGCGGCAGGCATCGAGAGCGCCGGGAACGCCATATCATGGACGCTGTGCGTGCTCTAATCCCCTTTTGCCTGGTGCTGAAAATGAGATGTAACAAGATCTGATGCTCTTCCCTTGAACGAGTCATCACAATATGGTTGAGCCCGTGATGGTCAGGAATTTGAAAGGAGAAGGATGGACGCACTGATGAGAGAACACCCACATGCCCTAGACTGCTTGCATTGTTAAGGTAGGATCAGACAGTATCTCTGCCGGAGGTGGCATGACTGATATGACACCAACTGCGCCGGCTCAATTCCTCTCTCATCTTCATGTAAGTGCCGCCACTGCAGGGTGACCCAACGATTGCCATGCTGAGCCTTCTCCTCGCATACAGCCGCCCTTCAGAATTTCACTGGAAGAAAGGTGTAATGCAGTTCTGTGCTGATGTGCAATGTGCGCGCAGGTATCTGCTGTCGCAGCATCCGGAGGCAGAGCGGAAGCTGGCACAGGAGCTGGATGCAGCCGGCCTGCTGGTCACCCCCGAGCGGCCGCACCCGCGGGCGATGGAATATGCGGATCTGGGACAGCTTACATACCTCTCCTGGGTCTGCAAGGTGCGCACCGAACTGTGCTCACTCTTGCTGCACATTGTAATGAGCCACAATGAGAAGTTGTCCTTGGAATGGTGTCTGAATCCGTGCTGTCAGCATACACTGAACAGCAAAGCAGCGGTGCATGCGCATCTGGTGTCTTCCGGATATCTTTTGGTAGAGTTGAAGGGCGTGGGCATGCGCGAATTGTCAGGCATCCGTGTGAGTCCCTGTCTGTCCGGCCTATTCGCACGCACATCTGCAGACAACGTCACTTCATTCCGCCCCATGCTTGTGAGGTGTGGGCTCCATGCAAGCCTCTATAGCTATGCTATGGCTCCTAACCCCTTGGGCTTGATCCTGGGGTCAAGCGTTCTCGAGGCAGTCCCCGTCACTCTGTCAAGTTTCTCATAGTGAAGAAGGCTTGACAAAATAGCAGCAGGCGATACGCGTGTGGTGGCGTCATTGTACCCTTTGGTGCAGTGTGAAGGGGGCTGGTTGCTGTCATTCTAGCAGATTCTGAACTTGTCCTCGAGGAAATTCACAGGCCTGGCAATACTAGTTGGCCTGGCAAATCTCTGACACCGAGCCTGCGCAATGAAATCTGCAGGAGGCGATGCGGGTGCGGCCGGTGGCGAGCACCGGTACGACGCGCTATGCAAAGAGGGACATGTGGCTGGGGGGTTACTACGTGCCAAAGGGCAGCCTCCTGAACGTTCCCTTTGACGCGGTCCACCACTTCCCCGGCAACTGGCCCCAGGACACCGACGCCTTCATCCCGGTGCGCCCACCCTTGCGCATTTGCACATGTCCCTAGACACCCATTGACGCTGATTTGATGTAACAAATCCTGCAATATTTTGCATCCCAAAACATGTTAGTTCATAAAGTATCGAAGCATTGTGTGCCTCATATCTGTGTTTTCAGAGTGGATGCATTGGTTGAGAGTACTGTAACAGCATTGATATTGCACTATTCCCCTGATGTGGCAGTGCCTGAAGTTGATTCGATGGTAATCAGGGATGATTGGGTTTTTCCTGGCACGTTGCAGCGAAAAGGACGGTGCAACACACTCCGCCAGCTATGCCTTCGTTTTCCTTGATTTTCATCCGGGCCACCAAGAGCGTGCAACCCTTTCTAAGGTTCAAAATCAAATTAAAATGAGCCTTGGATGCCATGAGAGAAATGTGCTGCAGGAGAGGTGGGCGGTGCCCTCTGCTGAGCTGGCAGCCTCTAAGGACATTCCAATCGCGTCGGCTGCGCTCAGGGCTCCGGTGGCGCCCGGCTCCCCCGGGTCGGAGGCGGCCAAGGACGCCGCTGCCACCGGCCCCAAACGCTTCCTGCCCTTCAGCACCGGGCCCAGACAGTGCGCCCTACGCCCTTTTCCGGCCTTCCATCGTTGTATTACAGCATCTGTTGGCAGGTGGTCTGTGTTGGACCAGGAGCATTCCTTCTGTTTGTGGGTATGCAACCCACCTAGCATGCTTGTGAGGACATCTTTGGATCATGTACTATTTTGACATTTATGAGGCAGCGCAAGCTCACTTCCTACTCCAGAGGAGCAGCCTGGAGGAGCAAGCAGGCTGCTTCTGGGGCTGGTGAAGATCACATATGGGCTTTTGGGTTGCACCCAACCAAGTTGGCCATTTGAAAGAGCTCTCCTCAGACTCCAGCCGTGCTGGACATTCTTGAGATGATCGCTGGATCGGATGTGTTTATCGCAGGTGCATCGGGCAGTCGCTGGCGCGCATAATGCACGACACGACGGTGGCGCGGCTGGCGGCGCACTTCACGTTTGAACTGGCGCCGCGCATGGGCGGCCCGGCCGGCGTGGACGCGCGCGAAATCAACCGGCTCACGCTGCAGCCCGGGGGCGGCATGTGGATGCGCCTGCGGCCGCGCGTTGACGTGGCCGCTGATGTGGCGGTCGCCGGATGATGTCATCACGTGATCATGTCATGGTGGTTGAAGTAGGGGCGGGGGCTACATATATGGCGGCTGATGTGGATGCGCCTCAAGCTGTGCGCTGACGTGGTGATGTGGCAGAGGCAGGATGATGTGTTTATGTGATCTTGAAATGATTATGTGATCATGTCATGACGTTTGGTTTGAAAAGGGGTAATAGATGTGCAACAGATGTGGCGGGTGATGTGGCACCTGGTGTGGCATGTGAGGATCGGTAGAAGGCAGAATTGCTGTACAGGGCCTCTGAAGTACAACTCAATAGTTGTATTGGGAGACCCGCAAATTAGGAGTAGATGCAGTCAAACTTGGATCTGGTTAGTGGGGCCTCAAGTTTGTTTGAAGTAGATCAGCGCATGCATGCAGAACTGGACAGATTGAAAAGTCATCCGCTGACTGCAGTTGCAGCATAAAAGATGCCAGAGCAGAAAAAGGGCAGCGCAATGCAGAGGTATCATCAGGTGTAGAGAAAGAAGGTAGACTACAGAGTGAGCCCACAGTGCATCAGCAGCAGCGGAAGCTTGTGTTTTGAGTGTGTTAAGGCAGCATTGTGCGTGTGATACTCATGTAGATGTTATATTGCAGTGATGAAAGCTTGATTGTCTGGCCAGGTTCTCTTCTGTGTGCAGTCCTTTCATGTGCTGCTTCTTTGCCAGAAGTGTTTTGTTCATCTCAGACAGCTGATCTTGATGCCTCTGCATCCAATTCAGTTTGTGCATTTGGTGTAGAGGAGTCTGATGAAATAAGAAGTAACAGTCACAGGCACTTCAACTCTCTGCGGTGGTGAGCTGTGTTCTTGTGCGTGTAGTGCTCTGCATAATTGCACAGCAGTCTGTTTCATATGGCCGAAACCTTGTGAAGACCGTGTCTTTCTCCTCACTGCTTTGAGAGAGTGAGCATTGCCGAGATCAGGATTGTCAAACAGTGTCTTCAACGGTTTTGATCAAATGTTCTGTGATGATTTGGAGGTGCTCCTGAGGGCAGGTTATCAATGTCCAGTGGTTTGCAGAAAACTCTGCACATTGGAGATTCTCTTGGTGCATGTGCATTTTTCACTTCAGAGTTGAGTTCAAAGACTGTGCAGAATAGCGTGCAGATTGAAGCTTCTTTACATGCGCATATGAATGCTGATGGATTTGGAGGTACATACCAGGTCTTACAAATGGAAAGAATGACGAACACAGCATGCTGCCTTGTGGCAATTTGAGTGCAGACACTTGTAAAGATATTTCTCAAGCTTTTCCATACAGCCATGCTACCGTGTTGAATGGAGCTTATCTGTAAAGCGCGCTCTGAGAATCTCATGATAGAGAAACACCTCTCAAGTTGTACCCATTTCACATGCTGGCCTTTGGATCAGTAGTATACAATCAGAGCCCGGCTGGGCTTTAATATTGCACTCTTTGTTTCCCACTGCATGCTAGGGTGCTTTGCTTTTGGCCCTGTGTAGAAGACCGATGGAAATTGCCCGTCTGCACAAGCAGAGATCATCCTGACACCTGAAAAACTGCTGCCGATTGGGTCATGAGTGCTGGCAGCATAGGCTGGCACCAGAGCTGCAAGGTTTCCCGAGTCCTAAAACTACCTAGCTGGCTCAGTGCCGGAAAATAGGATTGCCGGGAAACAGCTGAAGAGCACATTCTTACGATGTAGAGAAAATGCTACACTTTCAGATCATACCTAGTCTACTACAAAGGAGGACACCACGGACACCTCTACTTGATATTCAGAGTCCTGGATCTACAGAATGAAAAGCAACAGAGATGACATACCTCGTATGCTAAAGAAGAGTTGATCCATTCATATGAGAAGATGAATCAAGGGGCCCAAATTTGAGCCGATTGCTCTGTTGCTCACCGAGCTGTTCCTAATATTCAGATGTTTGGGTTGTGCATGATGATGGGGGGCCTTGCATCCTCTTTGAGCTTGGCGCCCGACTTGAGAAGACTCTCAAGAGCCTGCCGCTGCGTCTTCTTGTCACAGACGTAGTAAGCAAAGTGTCCCCCGCCATCCACTAGGTGCAAATGCGCTGCCGGCATCAGCCGGTGCAGCACATTTGCTGCCACCCAGGGAACCTGCATGCAGCAAAGTAACTTTCAATCTGCCTGACAACAAACAACTGCTCTTCTGTGCACAAGCCCATCCCCACTCATCCTCATCACCCTTGGTCGTAGATTGTACTGTATGGCCTTTGCCAAGCAAGAGACTCGTGTTGCATCATGTAGCTGGCCGTGCCTATTCATTCACAAGACACACTCCGCGCCTGTTGCTTGGGCGGGGGCGGGGACAGACAGTGACAATCAAGAGTATCAGGAGATGCGTCAGGAGTGGAAGTACTTTCCACGTGCACAAAAGTAACATCAAGCACTTTATGCATTACAGCGTGAACCACCTCTTCCTGGTGAAATGACACGAGAGCGAGCGCAGCCCAATCTTACAGACAGGTACTAGAGCAGTCATGTGAGCGGCACCTGCTTGTCTCCGGTGCCGTGCCAGATGTGAGTGCTGCGCTGAATGTCCGGCCGGATTGCGCGCACGTCAAACTCCCAGGGCTGCTCGAAGAGCCATACGTCGTCAAAGAACATGGCTGCCGTGCGCTGCCGCAAGCTCTCCGGCACTATCAGCTCTGTGTACTCCCGATGCTCCTCCTCAATGCACCTCCTGCCACACCCCAGCACACTTCTTCGCCTCCTCGATTCCGGCCGCCACAATTCCTGACCTCAACGCCTTGTAGCCCACTAAGAAATTCGCGGGTGGAGGAGTGGGTTGCTCTCTGTTCTGCATCGGCGGGAGTCAGCATGTCTCACTGCAGTGAGAAGTTCAACAATCTCTTTAATATTCCGGCTGCCCCTCCTGAGCATGTACCCATCATGGCCAGCAAGCACATTGCATCTCGCAGTCTTTTGCAGCGCAATTCTTCTCGCTGCAGCGGAGGCAATGCGGCTCCCCTTTCCAACGGTAACCTCAAGAAGCTAGGAGATGATTGGGGTGGTGGATTGCGAGCGCTCCTCTCATCCTCAGCCATGAGGCTCTGGCGAATGCTATCCCAAAAATCTCCCTCCGAGAAGTTTAGCAGCAATTATGCACGTGCCTGTCATTCTCGGCCATGAGGCGGAGGCAGTTGCTGGCGAGCGGCTGCAGGAACGCGTGGAACAGCGCCCGGCCGCCGGCGGCTGACTGCGCGGCCGAGCGCACGGTGCGCGCCAGAGACCGGTGCCGCCGGAACAGCCGCGCCAGCGTCTCGCCCACCGAATCCATCTCTGCAAAATGCCTCGCCTCCTCCTCCGCCGTCATCATGTCTGCATGCCAGATAGATAATTATCACTGCTAAAATAATACGCCTTTCTAATGTATCAGGGACAGGTGTGTCGCAGAATATGACAGATACATACATCCCTTAAATCATTCCAAGAGGGGCATCCATCTCTCACTGCGTCAGTAAGGATGCCGGTGATTTCAAGGATTGCCTTCCAATCGAGGCCGCCCTTCTTCCCATGGGTGTCAGGCATATGGCATGAGTGTTTCAGCTGCATCTTGGCCACTTTTCCAATGGCAGAGTTTTCAATGAGGCCAATACAATGCAGCACAAAAATACCCTCTGAGCTTGGCCCAGCAAGCCACAGCAAGGCAAGCCCTCGTCTTGGAGGTCCAGCTCCTTCAAGCACATGACCTGTCGGATTTACAAAATATACAGGCAAGTGAGTGTTTCGCATTGAAGTCTGTGATTTGAATTTAAGTCACTCACTGGCGGGAGCAAGGGTGCTGATCGTCATGACGCCGCGCACTCGGTCCGGCAGGAAGTGCGCGGCCGCGTACGCGTAGGGGCCTCCCCCCGACACCCCCACCACAAAAAACTGGGGGGCCTTCAGGTGGTCCGCCAGGCCCCCCAAATCCTCCGCGTAGCTCCTGAAAGTCCTGCGAATATTACAGATCACATCGGCATTCTGCATACATTTCTTCTCAATGCCACCACTTACATCTTGATCCGACAAAACTACCCTAGCGACCTCATATGCTGTAATAAATACTCTGCCATCAAGAGAAGCAAAAAGAGGCTGCACTGCTCCTGCTGGCTAGATGCCTTCCATCAAGCAGGCGTGAGGCCACAAAAGGGAAGGCATTTGGTGTTGCCCATGCCACGCTGCGCTCTCTCCATCTTCAAGGCAATCTGTCTCTGATGCTTTGCACTGCCTAGTAAAAGGAAGTTCACAAGAAGAAGAGAGTTCGAGAACAGGAGATAGGGACAGTTCTGACCTGTTGGGGTGCGGGTCGCTGCCGCCATAGCCAGGCCGGTCGACGCCGATGAGCACCATGTCCAATTCCCCCAGCAGATCCTCATCTGTCGACATGACCTCATACCTGTGACAGCGCATGCATGACATCATTGCCCAGGTGTCAGGAGACTGCTGGTGCCCCTTGCCGGCCTGCTTGCATGCGAGGGCGCTCCCTAAACTCAGCATACTCAAGGTAGAACTCTGGGCAGTGGAGCCTGAGCTATACACTAGCAGAATCACATATTGCTCAGCCGTGATGCACATGACGCAGCATCTGAGGGCGTAGCATGGCTTGCCAGGAGGTGAGGTGCTCCCCCAATGTATCTCCAAATGGTTATATGTCATGCTGGGCTCTGGCTCTGAAGGTCAGAATCAGGCATTGCATCAGCCCTGACTTGGCTGGAAGCAATGTCAGTGACTGATTGAACGGCTGGCTCAGGAGCGTGCCTGCTGGAGATGATACCGTGGTTCCAGAAGACAACGTGCTTCGCAGCAAGGTCTCCTCTGATCTCATAGGCAATGCTGCGGGCGTCTGGGGTTGTGAAGCGCCTATCTTCGCGCACTGGAGGCGGCGGTTCCATCGGCTTGCTCAGGAGCGCCACCGCTATCGCAGCCGGCACAGCTATGGTCAGGGACCACTGCCAGAACCTCCACATGGCGCCTACACCTAGATGACAGCTGTGGTCTCTTAAATTGAGGTACTTCTACGTCTACAAGCCAGTCCTCTAGACTATCAGGAAGATGCACCATTGGGTACATCATCAGATACTGAAATTGCTTAAGATGTGCTTTGCTTCCAAGAATAGTGACAATGAAGACATCATAGGGTGTCCTGGAGGTAACGTTGTATGCATGCACATCAGGTAATAGCTTTGGATGTATAATATCATGTAAGAAGCTGCTCATTCAACAGTAAAATGTGTGCTTCCTTTCAAGTACTGTGACGCGCTGGAAGCTAGTAGCAGGGAGTAAACTACCTTTAGCTTTTCTTCCTTTTCTCCGTCAATCTACGCATCGGATCCTGCGACTGTCTTTCAACTTGATTGTGGTATCTTGGATCTGATGCATCATCAAAGCGCATCGCAGTACACTTTCAAGCGAAGACCTTTTCATTCTCAAAAGCCAAATTTGGATAAGAATTTCGGAGTTCCGGAACCCCTTCAGATTCACGCAATCTTTTGCGAGGGCCGCATGATGACGCCGATTGCTCCTTGACATCAGCATTTCCAACGACAGGAATAGGAAGCGTCGGATCGTGCGAGGAGACCATCAGCAAAGTCCCACTACTTGGCCAAAGGTGCGCAAGACTCCTTCCGAGCAACTGCGGCAGAGCCTTAAATTTGGCAGCAATGAGTGCTCGGGAGAGGACGTGCACCACTGCCTCAAATCCTTCACGCCAACTTACAGGAATAAGAGCTATGCTTATGTCGTGGTCTCTTAGCTAGTTGTGGGAGTCCACACGGTGTGTTGCAAAGCAAGGTGCTCCGACACGAACTTCGCAATTTAGTCTCTCCGGAAGATCGACGGCGTATTTCCGGAACGATGAATATGTGTGTTGCATTGAAAGGCTATATCTTTATTTTTGTTTTAGATCATTTCGGTTACATTGGCATATAGACAGAGATCTGGCCTTCGACCGCGTTTTCCTTCTCGGTTGCAGGGCAGGAATTCGAGGAAAAGAAGGGCAGCCACAAGTTATAATTACTGCAAGAACCGGGCAAGAAGAAGGTGGGTCATACAAAGATGTTGAGCTTCTTTCTTGTGCGCCGTGCGTCCACGGCACAAGGAATTGCAAGCTTGAATACCTTGTTCGTGGTGCCGGCTACTAGTGGTGGCCTCCGTCAAAGGGAACTTAAGTTTGCTAACGATTGGGCACTCACTGATGAACAGGAGCCGGGATGAACACGCACCGTAGCGGAATGACAGCAGGACTTCTGACGATTCTTCTCCTGGTCCTCACAGCTACGGAAGGTCGCCCCATCGACAGAGACTCGACAGAGCCGGTACGCCTCCGTCTCGCTTGCTTGGGCGTGGATTTAGGCACATCTGCACCTCAGACACGTTGTGTTTATCCGATTGGGGCACCCTATGAATTTCTGCGTCTCTGAATGTCATCGAGGAAGACTGTCTCCTCGGAATGCCGCCGAGTTTGCGCCGGCTTAATTTAGCAGCGATGAGAATGCTGTTCTTGTTGCCCTCGTTGACACCGCCTTTTCTTTTTGACTGACACGCACCTCCATCTGTGCAGGAGATTTCCCTGCTGCAGGAGCGAGTGGCTGCCGTGGCGGTCGACAACAAGGTCATCCTGACACAGACCTCCTGCGGCTACCTGGAGTTTGCCGTCAACTGGATCACCCACGTGGAGGCCCTGGGCCTCACCAACTGGCTGACTATCGCAGAGGACGAGACTGCCCTCAAGTTCCTTGAGGAGCGCTACCCAGGCCACGCCCTGCCAGCCTCGGCCTTCACAAACGAGGCCCTCTCCAGTGGCAACGCCCTCTACGAATGGGGCTCTGCTGCCTTCACCAAGGTCGCCTGCGCGCGCCCCTCCTACCTGCAGGTCAGTGCTTCTCCCCCTGCTGCTCATCCCATGTGTATCAAATTTGGAGATTCAAGTTCCAAGAGAAGGCTTTACCACCGGCCTGCCAAGCACCCCAATTGACTGCTGCAGCTGTGTCTCATCCTGACCAGCCGGATCTGTGAGCCCAACAGAGATGGATCCCAGTATGCTCTTGAGGGGCACATGTCACAAGGAGCATGCTCGGAGGACACTTCCCAGTCATGTGCAGAAGTTCAGCGCCTTTTGGGATGTCTCTGGGAATGTCAAGAGATCTGAGGTGGCGCTGTGTGCTGTCTGCTGCAGATGGTACTGGACTTGGGCTACGAGGTGCTCTGGTCTGACATGGACGCTGTGTGGCTCAAGAACTTCTTTGCACTCGCACCCCAGGGCCTCGACTATGTCGGCGTGGATGACTCTGAGACCGAGAACGAGCAGGTGACACTCCCCCTCCACTATTGCCCCCTGCATGCCGCAATTTGCATGCAAGACTTGCTGGCCACACAGCTGGGGGCCTTCACCAAGGGTGTGTTTGCCGAATGCCTGAATGGCGCATGTCGATTTTCCTGCCCATAGAGAACTACAAACTTTAGCAGCAGTCGTTCCTCATTGGACGCATGCATTTGGCGTCGAAAGGCCGTGCTCGACAAGTGGTTGAACATGATTAGAGAGGCAGATTCTTGCCAGACATCATACTGGTAGCAAGAAAGGACCTGGAGATCTACAAGAATATCAGTACTGTCCAGCTCAACTTCAGACAGTAAGCTAAGTGCTGAGGGTTTTGTGCACGTGCAATAAAACAGGAGACGGAGAACGCATGCACGGGGCTGATGTACTTCCGTCCGACGGCGCGTGCGCAGCAGCTGCTGGCGGACTGGCACGACATGTGCATCGAGCTGAACAACAACAACCAGGGCGCCTTCAACCGCGTCTTCTCCGGCTCCGGCTTGCACCGCACCATAGACTACTTCATCATGCCCAAGCAGCTCTACCCCCACGGCGCTCTCATCGAGCTGGTGCGCCGCCCTTTGAATGCGCAAAACTGGTTTTCGAAACTGAAATATCTCTTCAAGACTGAGCATCACCGATGCAGTTCTTGTAGTTCAAATACAAGAGCTGCAACCTGGCGGGTGCTGTGGCAATTTTCTTTGCTGGAAAGGATATGCTCCTTGATGTGCACAATCTGCCTTGAACCACCTTGCAGCACCCCAATGCAAACACTCAAAATTGGCATCATCCAGTTGACGTCAGCTCTTAACTCTTCTTTCTCGCCCTGCTCGATATAAAGCTTCTGCGCAGGCATTGCAAGCATGTGCCCCCAATGTTGCGAAACACCGAGCGCAACAACATATATTGAATATTTTCTGTGCTGCGCGCAGGTGGACTACAAACGCAGCGAGGCGGCTGCGAGCGCGAGCGGGATGGACCCGGCCTGGGTGCACGCCAACTACCGAGTCGGCCACAGCGCCAAGCGCGAGTTCCTGCGCGACCGCCTCGTCTGGAAGGCGGACCAAGCTTCCGCCAGCTTCCCCACCTGCCCCACAGCCGCCGACGGCATCATGCCCATCCCCGTCGAGGAGCCGCAGCCGCAGCAGCCGGAGGCAGAGACCCCCCAGCTTTAGAGCCGCCACAGCCTGGATAGGCTCACCTGGCTAATGTAACATTTCCCCCAACACCCGGGGGCGCAAAGAAAGCCTAATCAGCAATCAGTGACATGGCAGAGGTTCTACCTATGTCACTTAGAGGCGCACCAGCAGTAACCCTTCAGGAGCGGAGTGAGTCAGGGCCAAGGATCCAAGTCCAGGCAGTAGCAGTGGTGCATGACTTGTTTTGCGCGCCAGTGCAAACCCAGTCAAGCGAGTCTTTTTCTCTTTTCTCTCAGCACTGTTTTCGAAGAGCTAATTTTCTAGTTGCAGAGCGGTTTTGGTTCTTTAAACACCGGCGCTCAGTGACACTTTTCCTGGCGAAAAACGCCGATAACATACCCAGGCGACCACCAAAGACTCTGTCTTTGGGGCGCTTGCGGTTTCAGCAGTGTTGGACTTTTTGTGAGGCAAAGATTGCCTCGGGCATTCTAGTGTGTCAGAAGGTGGAAAGCATGCGCAGCTCTAGAGCACTCTGCTTTCCAGCTAACTACACGGCCGGAGGCCTTTGTACAGTGTTTTCAAGGCACGGCACAAGGTGTGCTGTGAAGTGAGAAATCAGTAGAGAACTGGTCAGATACAACAGAGTAGAGAGGTGTCTTGAGTACATAGAGCAGCAAGTCAGACTCACAGCACTGGTACCATTTTTGCCTGAACCTGCTAAGGGGTTTCTTCTGCAGCCTGTACAAAGTTTGCACCACAAACCCCTTAGCAGAGGGGGGCTGCATGCGTGCACTGCTGCAACATGCAGGATACCCTCCTCAGGCAGTCAGCAGAACTGTTCTAGTACTGTCGGGCACGCCTTGGCACAAGGCTTGGTCCTTGCGCAGGGTGCCTGTTTTTCTGTCATTCAAAAGGTTCTTCTGGCATGTTGCCCAAGAAGAGGTGTTCAGTGTGTTGGTTTCCCCCCCTTGCATTTTTTCTGAGGGTAGGTGCTCCAGTTGGAGCGCCAGTGCCTCCTCCCTTAAAGGGAGGCAACTCTGGATCAGACAAAGATTTATGGTGGTGTGTGTCAACTGAATTCTCAGCAGACAGCACATCCTCCATGCGAGAGAGCCTTGTAGGGCCCTGTAGTGCCTGTGCTCAGCTGCAGTGTTAGGGCTGTTGTCAGACACACCAAGCCACTCGACATGGAGAGAGCTGTGAACATTGTTTCAGAGCTTAGGACTGTCGCTGGTTTTCACACCTGCCACTCTGAGTCAAACAGTGAGGAAGGTGCTGTACATTCTGTCGAGTGATACGCAAGTAGAACTCTTCTGTGCAACAGAACAAAAAAGTGTGTCGGATCCAGCTTGGAAGGACGCAAGGCTCGTGGGCATGCTTGAACCACAAGGTTGAGACCTGTGCGCATGCTAAAAGCAACATGCAAGAGTGGGATTCAAGACAAAGAATGCCACTCAGCAGAATGCCTTGTGCCATGCTGGCGTTAAGTTCTTTTCAATCAGAGTGATGCAGAACACAACGACATGCAATGTTTAGGCGCTGATGCACTTATGGGTATATACATGGATAGTAGCATAACAGGCCTCGACAAATTGGCATGCCTCATGAAATTAAAGTATTATTTCGTGAAAGAGGCAAAAGTGATAGGGTGTGGGGATACCACACGCCAGAGATGACTATTTTCTGCGTTGCCCATTTGGACGTATGACAGCACAGTACATGAAGTCCCAGAATTTGAAGTAGAATTTGAGTGTGGTGTCACTGTATGGACCAGGGAACCTGCAGGGTGTTTCAAATTTCCAAGTTGGGCAAAACGCCAAGTTCATAGGTAGCACTGTCCTTGTAAAATGTCACGACTCTCTTCTTGAGATAAACTTCAGAGAGACACCACATATGGCTTGAAGCGTGCCCAGCCAATGCATGTGCATGAAATGCTGTTCCTTTATTCACTGTCAACCATCTTTATGTGGGTTTGGAGTCCAAGGTTTGGACTTGCTAAGATCAAGTAACGATGTATCCTTACACGCACATCTGCCAGTGCATCATGCGTGAGGGGTCATGACAAGGAAGTTAAATAATAGGTAGTCCCATGGCCTGACACACTGATACCCAGGGCAGACGAGCACGCAGCGACAGCGCAAGCATATCCCCGAGAGCCCATGCCATTGCCAGTGATCTCAGGAAGAGCGCTGCTGGTCAACCAAAGAATGCTCCCAAGGATTTGCACCAGTCACTGCCGCTGCGTTCACAAGCCTCAGCACAGTGGAATCGCAGCATTCGTCAATGGTCGCCTACTTTGGCCAGATCCCATGTTCACCCCAAAACACCTTGTGGGAATGGGCCGTGCACAGCAAATGCAGCAGGGAAATAGGAAGGAGAAAACCAATATACCAATGCCTGCCCGCCTCCTCAAGAGGCCACAGGGCAAACATCGCACATAACTTGTGCCGTGCTTACTTGCTGCACTTCAGGACGTGTGCGCCTGGCGCCAAAAAGGTGAGTCAGTCTTAGTAACCATGTTGGCACCCTGCCAGTGCTGACAGTCAGCATCACTTGCCCATCCCGTCAACCTAATATTATGTACCGTCCTTACTCGTGGGTTCACCTCACCCCACATCATCACGAGGGCATCCGCTCACAGCGGCAAATTCGAATTCAAAAACCAAAAGAGTGCATGGGCACATGATACATCATGGACATCCGCAGCCTGAGCAACCAGCAGTGGCTCGAGGCTGGCACACTAATTGCTGTACTGACAATCATCCTACACGGGGCCGAGACAACGGGCTGAAGTCAACTGTTGGTGGAGCGTCGGTCAGAATTGGGGCTTGGCAATTCAGGCGGCTTGGGCCTTCTTCAGTGCGGCGATCTCCGCCTTCAGCTCGGCGAACTCGGACTGCGCAGCACACAAGGACACCTTCAGCACCGGGCAATGGACAATGCAACACACAGAGTAACCCAAGCTGATACCTGCTGGCCCCGCCAGAATTCTGTCCTAGGGCATCAAGCTCACACCAAGCATCGGCATTGCAACGGGTGCAGCAACAAGGTCAAAGTGAGGAGGACCAGCAAGGCGGCATGACTTGGACACATCAAGCGTCCTTCCTTGGAAGGCCTGCCACAGCTCAGCGCCACTGTGAGTGTGACATTTGCGCAGGTGCAGAACATCTTGTGCGACCTCTTTTATAGGTCCGTACATGCACTAGACAGGCTTCACTCGTTCCTCCATTCAATCGATCAGCAAAGCTGTTCAGCGAGATGGATGGCTCACCGAGCTGACACCGGCGGCGCCGTTGGTGTGGGACTTGTCGTCCTCCATGCCTCCGGCGTAGGCGGAGCCTCCGTGGTGGCTGGAGTCCAGGCCCAGAGCCTCCTCGTCGGCCGTTGCGCGCAGCAACCCGGTGTACTTGAGCAGCAGCCAGAACGGGATCATGTTGCCCAGCACCCAGCCTGCGCACATGCATGTGAAGCCACGATTAGCAACTGGAACACAAGCCTTGCCTTGCAATGTCTGCCTGACAGCTTCACACGGCACTGCTATTTGGTCCCTGCTGATGCCCTAATTATTGGACGTGCTGCAGGCAGACTGTTAATTTGGTGCCAGCACTTAACAAATAGGCTTTTCGTGCCCTGACCAGCATCAGCTGAATCCGGCGAGTGGGCAACTACGTTCTACCGTCTGCAAGCTGCAACCTCGCGCCTGTGTTATATTCTCATGCAGCTATTAACTCTGTTGTGCAGCTCAAAGGGGTAAATCTGCTTGCTTTGCCTTCACCACCAGCCCTTTCCAGGCTGGGTTGCGGGGTGCTCTGCCTTGCTTGTCAGGGACTCCGCAAGTGTGCTGACCTTGGAGCACAGAGAGAGGGAAGAGCCAGATCAGGTGCGCACCGGCGATCCAGAGGGCGTAGGCGATCTGCGCGGCGAGAAGGGCGCCGTTGCCGCCGGGGAAGAAGCAGCCGTAGGGGCGCACCTCGCCGTCCTGGTTTAGGCCGTACGAGTTGGTGATCAGGGTCTCGCTGGCGAAGAAGCCAACCGCAAGCACTCCCCATGTTCCGTTCCAGCCGTGCACGGCAATGGCGTCCAGAGGGTCGTCCAGCTGTCGTACCAGTCATGCCACGTCAGCAAATTGGTGTCGTTGCAGTTCGCTGACAAAAGAAAGGAACCCACTTGCAGACAGGTCGACAGAAAGCCAGACTGAGCCATGCACGAGAGGGTCATCAGAGAGAATGTCCGCTCAATAGTCTCCACCAATTTGAAGGTGTGGAAAGCCACAGCTTCAAACCGGGCACGTGTTGGCGCAGTGCCGCGGCCGACAGCTTTTGTATTCCACTGCGCCCTAACATGTGCTGAAATGGGTTATTCCCACTCGGCAGGGGAGACAGGCTTAACACATGCTGCGCACCTTGAGCTTGATGGAGACCCAGGAGGCGAAGACGTAGAGGGAGCCGGCAATACCACCGATGATGAGGGCGGCCCAGGGGTACACGGTGGATGTGCCAGAGGTGATGGCGACCAGTCCAGCCAGCGCGCCGTTGCCCATGACACCCACGTCGTACACATGCTTGCCTGTCACAAGTCACAAAACAGCCTGTCAGGCAGCTGTGCAAATGATGACAGCCTGTAAAGAGCTCGTGCAGCACTCGAGATACGCTCTAGAGCCCACATTCAGCAGCCGTGCGGCCTATTTCAGAAACATGCAAGGATGCAGCTGTGCAAATCTATCATAAATATCACAACCCCTCGAACACCGCTACAGCTGCCTCCTGTGAGTGTCCTGGGACGAGCTCCATCGAGCTGTGTGTACGGCAAGGCAGATAATTCAACGATAATCAACGATAGCCTAGTACAAACAGATTGCATGACATTGCAGCAGTGCCGCAGCTGCGCTAACACCCTGCACAATGCACCGGCTGGGGACACGAGCACAAAGGCAGGTTGTGTCTGTGCGGAGAGTGCAGCGAGAGGGAGCTCACCGGTGGTGAAGTGGGTCACGATGGCCTTTGTCAAGAGGGATGAAAGGCCGGCGGCTGCAGGGGCAAGCGTGGTGGTCACGGCGCAGACGGAGACGGCAAAGGAGTTGGTTCCGCCCACCAGCACAAGCTGGGAGCCGGGGTTGAATCCGTACCAGCCGAACCACAGGATCATCACGCCCAGCACAAACAGCGAGGAGTTGTGGCCTGCAAAGTCATTGGCCTGCAGCAGCAGCCGGCACCGTGTCAGCGCGCAACTTCAGCTCTAGTGTGCAGATTGTATTCTTGCAGCCGCAACCTCACTCGTTCCCAGTTGTGATTATGCCCTAATAAAAACACCCGCACACGGTACTGAAAGGCAAGCACAGGAATTACCGTAGCTTACAAGGATCCAAGTTGATCAGCAAACAGGAGGCACAATTACAACAGAAGAATGGATGTGCTCTGCCGCACAGCCCATAGTAACAGTGGTGCTTCTCTGGCCTTGAAGAATTGTGTCGAGGAATATGCTAAACAAGAGGGTTGGGAATAGAAGACATACGGTGCCGTCAGCGTTGAAGCGGCCAATACGGGGGCCAATGATCCAGCAGCCGGCAGCTGCTGCGTAGCCGCCAACCATGTGGACAGCGCCGGAGCCGGCAAAGTCGATCGCGCCGGAGCCCTTGGCAAAGTAACCCAGGAAGTTGGGGGCAGTCCTGCAGGCAAAACACACGCACATTTTAGCCATGCATACCATGTAAAGGAGTGCAGGTGTGGGAATTGTGCTGTACAAGACCATACTGAAGGAGAAAAAATAGTGGAAGCGTATGACACGATGAGGCCACATGTCAGTATCCGCTCGACCCAGAACGGAACTACACGACGTGCAGACTGACATCCTAGACATGAAAGGAACGGTGTACACATGAAGGGTAACAGAGCCCAGGGTCATGATGCTACAAAACTTAAGAAGGTGCAAATATGTCTACTGGATGGTCGTTCAGGTGAAAATGCACTGCCACATGGCCACGAGTCCACGCTGGCACGCCAGTGGGCATGAGAAGAGAGGCTTGTTGGCAAGTGCAAGGTGAGGAGGAGGGAACGCAGCACACCTGAACATGGAGGCCCAGCCAGCAGAGGACCAGACAGAGTGGACGATGACGGGGTACACCCAGGCGGCCATGAAGAAGGAGTAGATCGCGTACGCCTCAACACGAGCGCGCTCAGCGATGGCTCCCGACACGATCGTGCACGCCGTGGCCGCAAACTGCGCACCCACAACATCAACTCAGCGCTTGATCAACATCTCCTCCGGAAGAGACTGATTTGGCGGAACAGGTGCTTGCAAGTAATAACAAAGCAGGCAAGGCAGGCAGCCTTGCAATGCTGCTGGACGCCACGCCGGGATAGCAGCCCTTTTGGGGTGTGCATACTGCCACCTCACAGCAATGCAGAGTCCAGGGTGGCCTAATCAGAGCACACTGGGGGTGCAATGCGCGCAGAAGCGGGGACAAGAGCACGCACCGCCCACTCGAAGACCCAGAAGGCGTAGGGGCGGACAGCGGTGGCAAAGTAGGTGGGGCCGTCCAGGCCATGCAGGGCAAAGTACTGGCTCCCAATGAAGGGGTTTCCAGCCACGTTACCATCAGCGTCGGTCTTGTCGCCAAAGGCAAAGGCGAAACCGAACAGGTAGAAACCCAGCGCCGACGCGCAGGCGTCGATCAGAATCAGCACCGCGATATGGCGGGCGAAACGGGCGCGCACACACCCAATGGAGATCTGCGGCGCACCATGGGGCAACCATCAGTCGCAAGCCACCTTTTGCATTTGCACTGTCCCTGAGCCGATCAGTCAAGACTTGCATGCCTAGTCTGGGTAACAGGCAGCAGACAGGGTGACGATGAGGGGATGGCAGGCAAGTCAGGCGAGTGAACAATCATGTAGAGCCTTATGCAAGGCATGCAGCAGCTATGAAAAGAAGACAAGAGTTGATTGACCAGCATTGCAAAGGATTAGGGCAGAGAGGGCGCACCATGGCAAAGCCACAGTGCATGAAGAACACGAGGTAGGCAGAGGAGAGGAGGTACTGGGTGTTGGTGTCAATGTAGGGGCCTCCTGTGCTGACATCGGTGATGGCGGACGTCACAAAGTCCTCGGTGGCAAACGGCGAGGGCGCCGGAGCGGGCGCCGCAACTTCTGCCATCTCACTGGCCTCTTTTCACACCTGGCACAGTGCAGCACAGCCATCAGGGTTGTCCAAGAGTAGAATGGCTTGACATGACTGTGTGGCTGGGCCTGACAGGCAAAGAGAGCCTTGCACAGGATGTGGAAAGTATTACTGCACAAGGGTAATGTGAGGCCAGTATTTGGAATGCTCATCCAGCAAGTGCAGAAAGGTATCCAGTGTCCAGATGCAGCCTGACCTAGGTCTTGGCAGAAGCGCAGGGCATGAACTGGGACCGTGCCAAGGAGCAAACTTGGGCGATTACTGATGATCGAGAACGTGGAAATCTCTGCCTTATCCACGAGCAACCAAAGATGTACAAGATGGGTTCAAAGGAAGGCTGGACCTGATATCCTTATGATGAGAACACCTCCCAGACTGAGGGTTGGTTATTCTGCAAAGAGACTCCGCGGCCGAATACTCGGGCTGTATCGGCCGAAAGGCCTGCTTTCCAAACCTCAGCAGGGCCCTCGTGGATCACCCACGTGAAGGGCGAAACAAAGAGTCAGGTTAACACAGCCTGCCGACGCTCTTATGCAGCTGTCTGGAGTTAAACCGGGCCACTAAGATGACACAAATCGGTTGCAGGGAGACCAAGCGCCGCGACAGCTCGCCCGGCGTGCCAGTAATCCATGCCTCGCGAGGGTTTAGGTTCCCAAAGAGCCAGGAGCCCATCGGTACGACAAAAGTACCTCGATGAGGGCTGCCTGCAAGGCCTATACACCAACCAAGCGGACTTTGAAGCTCACCGCTGACGCGGCCACTCAAATTGGCGGCTGCATCCCTGACCTTACGAACCCCAGCCTCCTGGGCCATCTTTCGGCCACCATAGAAGGCAGGAGATATAGCAGCATGAATGTACAACGAGACACCGGAGAATTACCCTTCGACCGCTTCCAAAAAGCTCAGACAAGTAGGGACCATTCCGGAAACTTCTTAACCTAACCGTTTGCCAGACGGCCGGGACGCGAGCGGGTCTGAGGCTCAACCAGGTGATATGTCGCGCATAAAGGCCCCTACAAGAAGTTGGGTCCTTCACGAAAAGGAGAACTCCGCAAATGCTCAAGAAGCACGCCTGCGTCAAACCCTCGCATCCTGATGGTCCAGGCCAGCAAAGCTGTCACGGAATGTACCTGCACACGTGAAGATGTGACCAGTCCCGTCCACTCCTTCGTCCGCGGCAGTGCAGGACAACTCTTTTCTCCTCCTTGCTAGAAGAAGACAGTTCTCGATCTGATGATGGGCCATGTGGATGGCATGTTTTGTTGTCACATGGGGAGGTAATGGGGTGCTGCAAAGGGTGGATTCTGGCTGAGCGGTGAATCTGCATGAAAGCCTGGTTGCACCACATGTGGTCAGTGTCGCTCGAATCCTCGTGCTAAGCCAGCACATACATTAAATTGCTGATCTTCATGATAAATAGCTTGTGACGGGATCAGTGCGGCTTGCAAAGGTCCAGACAGACCTGCTTTTTAGCTAGCGTAACAAGGCCTTTTCACATCATCAGTATCCGTGTAATATATCATCTAGTGTGCGCGACGAGGCGAACTATTTTCGTTGCCTTGGTAAAATAAAGAGATTTTTGTTTTTGTTCACTTCTTTTACCTTGTCAGAAAATGTCAGAATTTACGCGATCAGGAAGCATCTTCTAGTGTCACGTATGATTGCTCTTCAGCTTTCTTGACATTTCAGTTAGACATCGTGGAAAGACGCAGATGCAATTCACCTGCTAGCATATCAGCACAAGCGCAGCATGCAGTGCACAGGCACGCAGCTCCAGGCGCTGACGTGCAGCAGTGGATGTGGAGATTTTTCCAAGGCGAGCCTGAACAGCAGATCGAGGCGCCTGCGAAAGAAAATCAGCAAAAGCAGCAGGCGGAGGCGAGCAGTCCTGAGGATTGCCTCAGCTGCTCAGTCCTTGACACAGAACCTTGGCCAGCTGCAGTTGCCTGCAAAGCCAGAGGTGGAGTGGCAGCAGAGCACGTGGAACGCACTTACCAGCAGGCTCTCACGGGGTTTGCATCGTCAGAGGGCAGAAGACCATCTGCCCCTATGCAAAGCGTTTGGAGTTACTAGCCTAGAAGAACTGCGGGTGCGCACCAGCTGAGGCCTTGTCATGTACCGCTATACCTGCATTGCGCCCTGTAAGGAGAGTGCAAGCCCCATGATACATGCAACGCGAGCACAATTGGCACAGCATGACTGTATCAGCAACAAGCACTCATCGCGAGCAAGCTTGATCAACTCGGTGGGGGTGTCGTGCTTGCAGGATGTCTTCAACTGCATGTGCCTGTCAGAGGGAGTGTACAAGGTGGTAGATTTTGGGGTGGACAAGGCTGCTGAGATTCTGGCAGCCATCATCGAGGGGTTCCCTCCGGGGTTGGTGACTCTGAAGCGAGTGGAATGGTCACAGCCTGACGCGCAGCACAGGTAGGACCCTTCCATAAACGGACACCCATCAAATGAGATCGGCATATGCAAGAAGATCTGCAAGACTCTTGCCAGTTCTGGAACGCTCTTGCAAGCCTTGCTGTGACTCTTCCTCTCATTGCTGCATTCAGTTTACAATTCTCGGCACATGTGCAGGTGTGTAATTGGAGAGGGGGAAGGAGCCCTGTATGTGGCCTTCATGGGCACAAAGCAGCGGCGGGATCTGGTGGCCAATGCGCAAGTCATCCAGGACCCGGTGTGGCCCGAGGCTGCCGCAATTCTTCAGGACTCTGCCTCTCAGGTGCACTGCTCAGTCCGGCTGCCCACCCTGAAAGACCCCAATCAGGTCTTCTGCCCTTTATAGAGTAACCAACTGCCTCAGCATTATAAGCACTGGAGGATGGAATATTGGGGATGGATTAACCTACAAAGTTCAAGGGGTAGCATGGGAATGTCTGCAGGTGCCAGCAGCGCACCGGGGCTTCCTGACTCGCGCACAGTCCGTCCCCATAGAGAGCCTGTATGAGCACGCCTGCCGCCAGAAGAAGCGCCTCGTTCTGTCAGGTGCGCCTGTGGACAGATACAGAGGTCCACTCTCCAGAGCTCTGTCCATAGCGTCTTGGCTCCACAAGACAAACTTGTCTCAGACAAGGTTGCCTCGAAGATCCAGATGCCATGGAGAGCGCTATCATGCGCAAATCATGCATTTTCCTGAATGTGCTGATCCAATGGCAGGAAATGTGGGTATGGGATGCTGGTGTGTGCTGGCGTTGAGCTGCGCTTCATATGTGTGCAGGCCACTCGCTGGGCGGTGCAGTGGCAGTGCTAGCGACGCTGCGGCTGCTGCGGCAACTGCCTCCGGACGCGCGGCCGGCCCTGCGCTGCAACGTGTTCGCCTGTCCCGCCATCGGCAACGCTGCGCTCGCGGTGTATGTCAAGGAGATGGGCTGGGAGTCCTACTTTAACAACCTCCTTGTCCCAGGTGCGCGCATCTTTTCTCACCTTGCTACTTCAATGCTGCATTACATGAAGTCCACATTGTGTCTGATGTGTGTTCCTTTAGAATGCCTTCTCGCCATCTTTAAACTTTAATCAGGCATTATGTCACCTGGCATCTGAGCAGTGCTTCCTCGAGGCATGCTGCGAGTCCACGAACTGACGCAGGATTGTGTGTTGCAGAGGACGCTGTGCCGCGGCTGCTGGGGGGAATGCAGCAGCAGCACAGCATGCCAGCCGCCGACATCTTCCATGCAGCGGACGGCACACAGTCACGCCTGGCATATGCGCGCTCGATGCTGTCCAAGAAGCTCAGCTTTAGCCACGCAGCCCGGCCCGTGGCCGCCTCCAAGGCGGCTGCCGCCGTCGGCTCCGCCGCGGCCGTCACTTGGGGCCGCCGCAAAGCCGCCTCCGTCGCCGCCTTGGCCGATGACGCCAAAGCCTTCGCGCAGCGGCGCTCGGGCACAGGGCTCGACTCCTGGAAGAACGGGCCGGAGGGAGCAACCTTCAGTAGTGCAGCAGACACCGATGTACATTCGGAGGGCAAGGGAGGTGCTGGGTCGGAGTGGGATGTGGTGTCGGCGTCCCTGGACGAGAGCGGGGGCGGCCAGGACTTTGAAGCGGGGCTGGGGGTGCGGCCTGATCTGGCGCCGCAGGACCAGATTGGCTCCGAGGCCTCTCGTGCGCGCCGCCGGCGGCTGCGCTTTAGCAGCATCCGCACTGACGATCACGACAGGAGCCTCACGCCCATCTGGCCCCTGTCGCTGTATCCGCTGTCCTACCGGGAGCGTGTCAGCGTGGAGCAGAAAGGCAGCGGTGTTTCCAGCAGCTCGCCTGGTGACACGCAGCAGCTCCGTGCAGCGTCTGTCTCAGCTTCAGCGGAGTCATCGCCGAGCGTCTCGGCATACCGACCAGTAGGGACCCTCTCTGCGTGTGGCGAGACAGTATTGCCCCAGCAATCAGCGGAGGAGGCAGATCGCGAGGCAGCAGCGCTAAGGATGCAGTCGTGTCTGCCGGAATTAGTTTCCATCGATGCTGGAGAGTCCAGCAGCCAGCAACAGCGCAGCAGCACGAGCACAGGAGTACTGGTGCGGCGGCCAGAGCAAGCAGGTCAGGTACAGAAGCAGAGACAGCAGAACAGCGGCGTGGTGGGACAAGCTGCCAACAACGCAGTACCGGCGCAGCCAATCTCACGGCTCACGGCGGTGCGGCGGACAGCCGTGCGCGCCGGCAAAGTCGTGCTCGGAGCCTCCGCCTTTGGTGCACGGGTAAGCTGTTATAGCTGGTCCTCTCACAAACGTCTGCGCAGTGTCATCGTGCACGTCTTCTTGCTGTAAGGCAGCTGAGTACCTTCACAAAGCTTGCGCTATCGTGTCCTAAGTCATGAATCCTGGGTGCTTGTACTTGCATTGATAGATAGTCCTTGCCCAGGGCAGGTACATCATTGGAGGATGCATGATTTGAAGAAAGACCGGGGTGAACATTTTGGGGGTACTTCTGACCAGCTCTGGAGAGCCTAGTGCACCAGCATCCTCTCTATCGAACAACACACCAGTGCCTGAATCGCATATTCTGCCTTCCTTTGCGATAAACTTCTGTCTGTTTTAAGGCACTTTCCTGGCGTGCAGATGGGAGCTGGCTTGGCGGGTGCGGGGGTGAGGACAGCGGCAACGATTGCCACAACGCCATTCCGGGTGCCATTCCGCGCGGCGCAGCGGCGATACTTCCCCATCGGCCGCCAGCTATTCCTGTACCCTGACATCGTCTCCCCCTCCATGCCAGGTCCGTGCCTGCTGCAGCCTTCTCAACAGGAATTCATAATGGTGTGTCAAATTGGCTCCACAATAGCCTTTTCAAGCTGGATTTCTAGCAATCTGGCAGTGCAGTCTGTTCTTGTCCCCCGCATAGCTGAGGGCACGTCTTGGCCAAATTCCTGAGAAAGGCCTGTGAAGTTACATTTGAAAAGCAGCAATCCTGTATGGATCGCCCCTGGACATCTTACGGGAAGAGGCTTGCAGATGACACTCTCGATGGACTCTTGATGCTCTTGGAAGCTTGTCAAGAGGGACGCACCTCTACCTAAAGCCTCTGTCAAACATGTACTGTACGCAGGCAGCAGTGAGGGCAGTGCAGCCTTGCTTCCACCGCCAAAAAAGACGCAGCTGCCAGACGCCAGAGACGATCCTCTGCCGCTGGACGTGCGGCTGCTGAAGCAGAGCGCCCTGCCCTCCAATGTGCGCACATGCCATGTTCCCTTTTCCTTACTCGTATCCTGTGCTGCAATGATCATCAAGCAACCTGCATTGCTGTTCAGTATTCGCAGATCTGCATTCAAGGGCGAGTCCAGTGCATGTTGTGGGTTCCAAGGATTATCTAGGCCTACGTTGGGGTGTTCAATGCTGCCCCACACAGCATTGCCGTATGTATCCTCCTGATCATCGTGACATCAGGGTGTGGCACCATGACAGCAGGCATAGCAGGAATATGTTAAAAACAGACCCGGCTTGAGCATAGGGAGCCCACATAATGTTGAAATCTGTGCTCAAAGCTGTTGCCCAGACCAAATTGTAGGGCAATTTGGAGGGGAATTTGATGAAGTGGTGTTGTTGCTGCACGCAGGAGAAAGTGGCGCTGGTGGCGGGCGCGACTCCGCCCGGGCGCGCGCGGCTGCCGCAGCCGTTCATCATGCACAAGATGGCCTTCCACCGCGGCCGCGCGCTCGGCATCATTCGCAACACCCTCCGCTCATCCCTCCCCTGCTCCGACAGCTCTGACGGCCCCGGTGCGCCCCTGCACTCATGTCCTTCCGTCCCAGCCATCCCATGCTTACAAAATCTGTTCCATAATCCCTTTTGCCTTTGTGATGCACTGTCAGACAATTTTCTTGTCATGTCGGGCAATGTCATGGTCAATATGGGATTCAAAGGGAAGCATGAGGAAGCGTCACAGGTGAGTGCTTTGCAGTTGCAGATATGCTGGGTATTGGGGTCATTGTCTCCTGCACGCAAAAAGAAGCATGAAGAAGTGGGTGCAACTCATTGTTGAAACGACTGGTACTTTCTGTGGTGCAGGGGAGACATACGTGCTGAACGACGCGATCTTTGACGATGTGCTGGCGCTGAAGCCGCCATCAGCCGTCTGGCCGCGGCCGTCCGCGATCGGCGCCGTTTCCGGCAACCGTGGCAAAGCCTCGCGCGGGCGCAAGGCCAGGTTTGCTGTCATTTCTTCCTGCCTCCAACCTGTTCGCATGAATGTTGGATTTGCTGAGCATGGGGAAGCAGTGGAAGCAGTAGAAAATTGACCTAGAATCTGTTGCGCAGGCCGCCGCTGCTGATGCCCGGCCTTGCACCCGCGCTGAAAGCCCGCAGCGCGGAGGCCTGGGTCGAGTGGGCGCTGCCAGGTGTGTCCTCCAGCTTCTGATGCTTCTGATGCTGCATTTCAATGCAAGTCATACCTGAGTCCAACATACCTCCGTGACTTGCGCTTTGGCTTGTTGGCGTGGGGCTAGGCTATCACTCTGACAAAGCTCTGGAGCAGGGCATGAGGGGCGGATTTGTATGTGTGCAAAAGGATATGCTTTTGGAACATATGAGAGCGCCCTGCCGAAGCAATTGTTCAAGTGCCTGCTGGAGTATGAGGATAAGCGTGTTTTACAACAAAGCAATGATGCAGAAGGGTGCACCACATAGGCAAGCAGGACGTGGAGCAGATGCTGAAGGACCTGGGGAGCCTGTCGGACCCGGCGCGGCTGTCGGCTGCGCGCGCCGGGGCCGGCAGCGCCACGCTGGCGTCGGCCGAGCAGCGCTGGCGGTGGCTGCTGCCCTGGACCTGGATCCTGGGCGCCTGGAGCAGCGCGCGGGAACGCTCAGACTTTCTGCTCGACGTCACCGTGCGCGGCGCCGGCCTCGACACGTGCTCCAGCGTGCAGGTGGGCCGCCCAACTCACTCTGCCCAGGAAAATCTGACTTTACTAGATTATCTTGTCTGCAGCGCTAATGTGCAATGTGGCCTGGAACTGTCAGCTGCAAGCATGCGGCAGTCACAGGCCCTGCTATCAGCGACTGCCGGCAGCACGTCCATTTGCTTTCCCGAGGCTTGCTCTCCCTTTTGCTATCTGCAGACAAGGAACGCACAGATGTATGGATTGCCTCTGTGGTGGTTGTCATGCTGGACTGCAAGACGAAGATAGAAGGAGGTCAGACAGCGCATGGCTGTGCTGCTGGCAGCTGGCTTGAAGCACTGTCCTCCTTTTTGCCCTTCTCGAGGGGCCCGCGCGTGGTTGTGTCTGTCAAGTTGGCCCCGATGACTGCTTTTGGGACTACGAACGGTATCACAGGCACCAAAATGCGCCTTATCACACTACTGAAACCTCCATTCGTGACCCAACAGGTGCAGGCTCTGGGGGAGGTGTGGTGCCGCACAGCGGTGACCCGCAAGCCGGCCGCGGCGCCGCCCGCGCGCGTCAATGCGGCGCTGCACCCGGCGGCGCCCGACATGCTGCGCACGGCGGCGCTGCTGCTGTCCTGGCTCTCCGGCGGCGCGCGCTGGGTGCTGGGGGCCGTCGACCGCCAGAACGCCACCGGCATGCAGCGAGACCTCAAGGTGAGTGTGCTGATGAAGGCCAACAGCTAGAAAAAGAGCAGCAATCTTGGTTCTGCCCTGCCATGTCGTCAGCACCGATCAAACAAACAGTGGGAGCCGGTGCACAGTCTTCGCAGGACCACGCATGTTACAAAATGATCAATTCTCATGCCTGCCAGGTGCATGCCTGCGTCATGGACCTCCAGCTGAGGGGTGTTGAATTGTGCTATTTAAGATTTGTTGATGGTGTTGGCCCATTGCACCTGTCAGCCCACTCATTAGCTGCCAGCCAGAGCCTCCTCCTGACGGCTCCTTACTGGCAATGACTGAAGGGGTGAACAACTGAGGAAATACAGAAATTCAAGGGGTCTGTGGGTTATGGCGTGGGATATAAGGATTTTGGTATTGATGCAGGTGCGGGTGTGGGTGCCTGCGGCAGTGATGCGGCGCGCGCAGGCGCTGATGGTCCAGGGAACCGGGCCGGCCTCCTCCGGCCTCACCGTCGTTCTGCGCTCGGACTTCTACGAAACGACCGTCCCTCTTCAGGTGTGTAGTCAACCCCTCCCCCCTCCTTTCAGGGAGATCTCTATCTAAATAGTCAGAGATTCCCCTGCCTCTGTCTTGTACGAACGCCCCAGGTGCCATTTTTCAGCTTGGATGCCGCCTTGGTAACGTCCTGCTCGATGCTGCTATTTGGTGGCGGCTTGAGTCAGGGAGCTCCTCGCAGGAGCCCAATTCCTGCCCCAGTGATTCAAGATCGGGATAAGATGCTACTCACACTTCAATGCCTCCATGCAGTAAACGCAAGGTGTATGATGCAAAGTCAGGATAAGCACGTTTTCTCAAGGCTGTCTTAGCAGACTGGGATGGGGAAGAGCCGCTACTGAGAAGCTGCAAAATGACCAGGAGTCTGACACTGAAAGAGCATGTGTGCAGATTCACGCTGGAGGCTCGGTGGTATTCTCAGATCTGCAGCTGGCTTGGAGGGCCTTCCTGGATTGGGGCAGGAGCAACCTGGAGGGCGGCTTGTGATGCATGCTTGGCTGGCATGAATCTGCAGCCTTGCTCGCGACCCTGCAGAACGAATGAACAAGGGCTTGTGCGTTCACATGCTGAGTTTTGCAGCTGAGGCTGAAAAACTGTTCCTGAGACAGTGCCAGCCTATGCTGCGGATTTGGATTTGGTTTGGTATGCTCATGAGCCTGCAGCAGTCAGTCTAGATCATTGGCTCCTGCTTTTTGCATGCTGGTTCTGTGCTGTTCGTATGCTGGTTCCTGCAATTGAGGCTAATTAACCTTCCTAAAGACGGGTCAGCCTTTGCTGCAGAGTTGAAGTTGAATTGGTAGCCCGGCAGCCCGGCCTTGGTACTGGGCTGCGTATACCGGCTCTCTGATTGCTTTTTTACCGACTCGCCCTGTACTGCAAATGAGCTGAAGTGTATCATCAGCACTGTAGGTGCCTCTGCGCCGTGTGGTTTTTTGCATCTGCCAGAAGTACGAGTGCAATGAGAGTGTGAGAGTATTTTGCCGTCATGCGTCTTACTGCCGCAAGCTTTCCAGAGCAAGAGGGATTGAGAGGCTGTTGTCAACTTGTTGAAGTGGCTGTAAGGCATGCGCATTCAGTGAGTCCTTGATTGAGATATGATGCAGCTGTACATCATGAGAACGCAAAAGTGATTTCAGAGTGGCTGCGTGATTTGCTGGCAAACTTACAAATACGCACACATGTATTATTTACAAAGATCGCTATCTTTCAAAAGTAATTCTCTTGTGCTTTTGAGCCGCTCTGCAGTGCCTGTAATCTTTTGAAGTAGTACTCTTGCGTCATTTTGAATCTTCTTCAATCGTTCAAAGACCTTTAAGACAGCTGCATTGGCAGTGATTAAACAGCATTGCAATTGCATCCGTGGCCACTGGCATGGCATGGCAAAAAACATGCCGCATGCAGTGCATGCATATGCGCAGTACTGTGCGAAATTGCTGAAAATTGCATTATAATGCTGAGCTGGTGCGCATTCTCTGCAAAGGCATACAGTTTCATTCCTAATCTGCACATCCTATACAACATTGTGTCTTTAATAGAGCTATGCCTTGAAAGCATAGCAGAGTCGTCCACCTTCCATGGTGTCAACAGCAATTAGGGGGGGGACCTGCCGGGGGGATGTTGCAACGTTTTCCCCCATCCTGTACAAATTGGCTAGCGGACAGGTCAGGCTCTCATCGACCTCGTGGTGTCGAAGTGTAGCCACATACGTTCTTGCAATTCCGCAGAATCTATACCGCTAGAATCTTCTAGACGTACCTTGAGTGGATACGTCGCGACGTCCTCGTACCAGTGTTGGCCATTGTTTGCTGTCCATACACAACTTTGCCTGGAGTCTCGGGCGCCTGTGGGGCAGCTTCTGCAGCAAGCCCGCTATAGTTGGATAGCTTAGAAATGCCGCAGCAAGTTCCTTGATGCCCCACGGTGCGCTTTGCGTTGTGGGTTGTACCGTCCATCCTTTCACGCCTCTTTAGCCCACGTCCCCGAGGCAATTTCCGCAAACATGATGATAGCAATGCTATGTATAGGCTAAATAACTATATAGTAAAAAAAAGGGTTTGAGTTGTTTTGCAGGAGGGACGGGTGCAGGATGGAACTCATCTCAAATGTTGCCCTTGCGACAGCTGTCCTGCTGCTTGGGACTGTTGCTGCATATTGCACAATGCGTCTTCTGGGATTCCTTAGACAATTTGTTATCCTGTCGCGCCTGCCATATCCTCGCAACGAACCTTTCGTTCTGGGCTCTGCTCTAGAGATGATAAAACCCAAGAGGATGCACCTGGCGATGAGGGATTGGGCAGAGCAGCTTGGGGGCATCTATTGCTTCCGTATAACTGTATTTCACGTAAGTTCACCCTTGCAGTGAATCCCAATTGCATATCTGTTCAGCGAGACGGCAATCACTGACTCTCCTAGGACCAGCACTGTCCTGCTAACCCATTCCATCCTCCAATTTTTAATGCCAATCCTTGTGTAAGTTAATGAAGCTTACCTACGGTTTCTCAGTGCACTAACTTGTGCAGAAGCAGCGGCCATGATCCCCATGCGTCTAGCCATCGCTTACTTGACATGGTCAGTTGCCAGTCTTGTTGAGCTCCTCAGAGGGAACTGAATGGGCTTTAAAATACCTTGGAAGGTCTTAATTAAGCTTCCTGGCACATGCATGCAGGTGGTGGTGGTAGTGGATGCACACCTGGCAAGCTTGGTGTTGGGCAATGGGCACAAGCTGAGCAAGGCACTGGAACCGCCACTGTCAGAAGAGCTGCTGAGCCTCAAGGGGCACCCCACGATGTTCTCTGCCGGCACCGATTCTGAGTACTGGGCACTCCTGCGCAAGGGCACCGCGCCCGCATTCAACCCCAGGCACATCAGGTGCCTGCTTTTGCATTGTACTTGCACTCGCAGATGTGCGCATGCTTCTCCCTAACAGGAGCTCACTGAGGTCTGCACGGGCCTGGACACTCGGTGCATTTCATACTGTCCGAGGGGTCACCCCCACTCCTGGGACATTCTAGCAGCGTGCCACACATGACTGCCTCTCCAGTTGCAGGACTCTCATTAATCAGTATGTATTGAAGACCTGAACATAGGCTGTATAATAAGGCCACCAGGTGACACCGTCATGACCTGTGCTGCTTGTAGCTGAGCTGGCATGTCTGTGGGCAGGGACGCGTTTCCAGCCGTGCTCAAGGTGCTGGAGCAGATAATCGGCAATCTGGCAGATGGCGGCCCCGGGGTGGAGGCGGATCTGAACAATCTGATGATGCGATTTGCCATGGACGTCACCGGCATCTTCATATTCGCCAAGGACTTTGGGACCGCGCGCTCGTTCTCCGACGCCGGCACCGACGAGCTGTTCATGATCATCAAGCACTGTGCGCGCCGCAGCCGCCTCTTTGTCACAGGATGGGTGCTCAGAACGGGCTTCCGTGGGGTTAGCATAGTAGCTGATTGGCAGCGCAAGGGACAAAAAAATGTCGAACTGCGTGCTGTTCTGAACAACCGTCCTCTGTCAATATACACCCATGCATGCGCCCCTTGCTGTCTTGCTTCGCTAATGTTAGCAGCCCCAACATGAAAGTACACCTGTGGGACTAGCAGTTTTGCAAGGCATTAGTTCATGCATGCGCTCCGCTCCGTCAAATTGACATGCGAGGCCCTAATAGTAGCAATGAGCACATCTGTTTGAAGCTACCAGCTTAAGCTCTGAAAAGACCTGCCTTTCAAGTGTTTGTAAAGCAGCGTTAGTTGTTTTGGAGATTGGGCGGAGTCAGGACAGGGTCAGCATGCAGGACATGGCTGTGGCCGAGCTATGGCCGCCCAGGGGGGGTAATAGATTCCAAATGATTGTTTCATTCTAAAGTTGGTATGTTCGCTGCAGCATTGGAGGAGCTGATGCTGCGCTGCGTCAACCCGCTGCGGCGGTTCATGGTGTGGAACCGCGAAGTGCGCGAGGGCACGGCCACCTTTAAAGCCTTCCGGACCGCCATGATCGACCTCGTGGCAGAGGTGCGCATGCCATGCATGAGTCACCGAACAACCATGTCTATGGATATTACTCCTGGAAAGCCACCACGCATCGCTGCAGATGGCTAGGCCGCTGCAGCGCAGCACAGACTGCACGCAGCCTGGCAAGAGAGCCAGCAGCACATGCAAGGGCACTTGCAACGTTTTGATTGAACAGCACATGTTAGGATGCTGATTGCCAGCATGTTCAACACGTTTCTGTCGCCGATTCGAAGAGACCTTCGCCTCAAAGCAGGGTGTCTAGAGGGTTGCATGCAATGCGGCAGTGCAAAACATGCAGCGCAGGCGGCTTTGCGTCTGGGCTTTCAAAGCTTCCGGCCGGGGCCGTCAACTCGCTCTGCCATTTGGCAGATGGAGGCCCACTTGTACAGTGTCACAGCAGAGAATATGGTAGACGAGGGAATGGGTGCATTGCAGGTGAAAGCGCGCGGGGAGCCGGCTGAGGATGATGTCACCATCGCGGCGCATCTGCTGCGGCTGCGCGATCCGCGCACAGGGCGGCCGCTGAGCGACGAGCTGCTGGCGGGCGAGTTTGGCATGTTCTTCACCGCCGGCCTCGAAACCTCCGGCAACGCAATCTCCTGGACGCTGTGCGCTTACTCACCCCCAGTCAGTGCTCCTTGCAACTGCTGTGTCTGCTGTCCTGGATACTGGGGATCCTGTGACAACACCGTCTCCATATTTCCTCCTCCTTTCCATGGAATTAAGGTGCATGCTTGGTGTGTGCCGCCCCAGCCAATGGTCCACCTGCTGCCCTGTCTCAATTCACGTCGGGGATTCATGTACAGATATATCATGGCTGTTTGCCACTGGAACTGCGGTGCATGCTTGAAAGGGGCTGCAGGAGGTTGGCATGGTGATTTCAATGGAGTGACAGCAGGGTGCAGCTTCCTTTGGGGCAGCTGACTGCAAGCACTGCCCAGCAGAAGTTATGACTGCATGACAGTACTGGAAATGAGAAGTGGCACATGTGTTTGAGAGGTGTGACTGCGAGCAGGTATCTGCTTTCACAGCACCCGGAGGTGGAGCGGAAGCTGGCACAGGAGCTGGACGCAGCCGGCCTGCTGGTCACCCCCGAGCGGCCCAAGCCTCGATCCATGGAATTTGCAGACCTGGCAAACCTGCCCTATCTCTCCTGGGTCAGCAAGGTAATGCCCAAAGATCTCACAAGCACACACCGCGAGACAGGCACTCAAGCCGCCTCAAAGGCACGCCTTGATGGTCCCTGCGCTATTGCTTTTGTGCATCAAGAGTCAAGAGATACTAGATAGTCATTTCGCAGCCAGGGCATCTTTCAGTGCCGCAGCTGCAACACCCCACACACCTTGTAAAGTTGCCGCTTGCATGCTAATCTCCATTTTGATCTCAGATTGCCTGAGGTGATGTCATCGTGATGTCATCTTTGCTGAGCTGGCGGTGGCGCGCGGCAGGAGGCGATGCGCGTGCGGCCGGTGGCGAGCACGGGGACGTCGCGGGTGACTAAAGCTGACATGGTGCTCGGGGGTTACCTCATCCCCAGGAACTCCTTCATCGTTGTTCCCTTTGACGCGGTGCACCATTTCCCTGGCAACTGGCCCAACCAGCCGGACGCCTTCATCCCGGTGAGACTCACTGCCTTCTGACGCCCCACTGTAGGTGTTATCACTAATTAGTAAATGTTTAACTAGCTTATTGACTGGCGCACATGACCCTCCCTCTTGCCATCATGATAAGTTAGCTCTCATAAAGTCTGGAGAGATATTGACAGAAGTCCTTTGTCCTGCATGACGCATGCTGATGATCAGTGGGTGGGCAGGATCCTTTGCTATTGTGTTACTTGTATTCAGTTCGATCCTGAACATTTACTTGACCTGCAATCCTTATAGGCACCTGATTGTTGCAGCGCAGAGGCGCAAGGACAGGGCTGGTTCACTTGCATCTCGCGACCCTCAGAATTGTGTACTTAGCACAAGTGGTATCGCTGCAGGAGCGGTGGGCGGTGCAGGGCTCAGAGCTGGCAACAGCCGTGGAGGCAGAGGGTGCCTCTCACGTTCGGGGAATAGCAACAGCATCTGTGGAAGTTGTGGGGACTGCATCGCCTGCAAAGAGCCTCGGCGGCAAGCTGCACAAGAGGACTCCCTCCTACATCACCGGCAGCCCAGCCAAGGTGAGAACAGTCTACAACCACCCCTGTAGGATACCTCACAGCAGCAAGTTTTTATGTTGGCATGTGTGCAGGCACCTGGGCTGAGTGGGCACTGTATTGTCCTTGCAAGGGGGCTTCCCCCCATCAGAGGTGCCTTTTCCTTTTGCACCATTCTCTCACCCCCGCACAATTCAGTCCTGGAACAGCATCGCTCTCAAAAACGGCCTTATGACAGAGCTACAATCTTGCGCCAGGGGTAGAGGATCACGCATGTGCAACATGCAAATGTAATACTCAATATGTTGATATGTAGAATTCTCAAAACTAACGACAAAGAGCTCGGTCACTCGGCTGCGCAGGGCTCGGCGGCAGAGGCGGCGGCGGCTGGCGCGGCGGCGAAGCGGTTCATGCCGTTCAGCGTGGGCCCGCGGCAGTGCCTGGGACAGTCGCTCGGCCGCGTCATGCACGACACGGCCGTCGCGCGCATCGTGTCCAGCTTCCGGCTCGAGCTCGCGCCGCGTATGGGCGGAGCGGCCGGCGTCGACGCGGCGGCGATCAACCGGCTCACGCTGCAGCCCGGCGAGGGCATGTGGATGCGCTGCCACCCGCGCGCTGATGTGGCCGCTGATGTTGCGCGCGGGGGGTGATCGCGCTGATGTCGCCGCTGAGGTGGCATGCGCCCGGTCACCGCGCTGATGTGGCTCACGACCGGAGCGCACCGATGTGGCGTGCGCATAGTAATCTGCGCATAGGAGACCTTTTGACCACGCCCGGTATGGCGGCGAGCGATGGGTGGCTGCTAAAAAGACAGGGATCAGGCACACGTCCCGGGAGCAACGTCCAGATCTCGCGAAGCATGCCACAGGCACCCAAGACTTCACGACAGTTTCTTTTCTCCCCACAAAGTCTATCTTCAGAGTCCTAAGAGTTCAATGACTATAGGCCCTACGGATGGTTGCCACCGAGAAAGCAAACTTCTTGACTTGTATTGGGTTAGAGCACTTGCATGTGCATGCTAGATTGTTGTGATGGCATGCACACATACCATAATGAGCAAATTGAGCTCCTTTTAGTCCACAAATGTGGATGCAAAAGTTGCCTGGCCATGGCACCCAAGTGTTGATCAGAAGCAAGCGCTGAGCACAAGATTTTGTGTCGCTTGTTTCGAACCCGTGTCGAAGGAGGGCTCATGAATTCGGCGCTGTTGAATAGTACTGGAGCATTAAATGTAGAGAGCTGCAATAATCGTGGGAAGTCTCTTCCAGCTCTCAAGTACCCATGGATGGTTGGATCTTGCTTGATTTTGGCAAGTCCATCAAGGGGTAGGATTGCACCATATGCGGCAACCTGTACCTGCAGCTTGTCTGCAGACGCACGTACACCTTGCCTTGGGCAGGAAATAGCAAATTGTAAGGAAAAAAAAGACAATAACAACATATAGATTGAGCAGGATCATCGTGAGCTGCCAACAAAATAACTGTAAGGTAGATAACCAGCCAGTTATTATCGACTTGCAAGGAACGGCCCCAAAAAATGACTGGACCTACACATTTGCATATTCACCGCTACGTAGTAATACTACAGTAGAATACTTCAGCACGGCCTCCACCGCATTCTCGCCTGTTCTGCCTTGTGCATGCTTTCATGCAGCTCTCTACACTACATGCACGGGCCTGCCCTATGCTGAAAAGCTACAATGTCTCAGCAAAAGCAAAGCACGATTTGCAATTGATCCATCAGCTGCTGTCAGCAAGTGTGCATGATCCGCGGCCGAGCATCAGACCACAACATGCAGCGAGCTGCAGGCTTCACACTGCATGAGCAGCGATGGCGCATCTCCCATCAGAGCCGTGTCCAGCACGAATCGTGGCTGCCTGTGGCATCCTTGTAGCGCATGGCCATCCAGCACATTTGCCAGCCGCTGCCTGCACCATCAATCTCAACTGCTCATCCATCGGGCCCTTCAATATGTCTCGAGTGACCTTTTGCATGTTCAAAGCAGAAACTTACAGTCTGAAAGCTTCAGATTGTCACCGGAGGAGCACAATTGCCTCAACTCATTTTCAGCTGACAGGGGTACTGCACTGTCACATGTCATTGCTTATTGGGCTCGTTGTCTCAGCGTATGACTCATCTCACTCACACCATTTTCAAGACAGGCACAATCCGACTCGGCTGAATATCGACAAGGGCTTTCACATCAGCAGCAGAGCATGCAGGACGACGGGAAAGAGCTGTGAATGCCACCTGATGTCGTCCAATGTGAGACCTTCCACTCGAAGGTCCATGCGCAGGTCGCAGCCGCTGCACAGAACGACGCCGTTGTGCTCCATTAGGTGCCCGTTACGGCACACCGGGCACGGAATGCGGCCCGAGGTGCTGGGCCCCTCCGCATGGAGATCTACCTGCTCCAATGCACCATTGGGATTCAGGCTGTGGGAGTGTATCAGTACGCCCCCCCCACCGTATATCTCACAACCAACATCTCAATCACAACACGTCATTTTTGATTCATCTTTCAAATAAAGTGGGTAGAAAAGAATTTTCCCAGACTCCCCTAGTGAAATTCGGACTCCCAGGAGCAGAATCCTTCTATGCTCCAGGGATGGCTGCATTGGCAGGCACACAGCAGAACTCTCTTAAGCATGATGAAGGTCGATTTGTCAGACACAGCCTAGAGAACGCCAAGGGAGGGCGGCGGCGCACGAGCATGGAGAGGTCAGAGTCAGCGGCGGCCGACTCCCAGCGTTCGTGCTCTGCCAGGAACGCCGCCTCGTCGCGCCGCATGTCCTCAAACAGCGATTCCTCCAGCGACCGCATCAGCTCCTCATACTCCGCGGCTCCCAGCCCAAACGCCCCATCCAAAATGTTCGGCACCGGCTTCCCTGCAACCACAAAACTACCAGTCATTACTATTTCTATAAAAATGCCTTTCCTGCCAGAGGCAAGGTGTGTCTGCAGACAAGCTGGTCTGCGGGCAATGGCTACCAAATCCTAGCCCTTGTGGACTCGCCAGATCCAAGCAAGACCAATTGATCGTTGGCACGGAGCTCAACTTCGCCTCTTGGCAGCCGGGGGGAAGCCATGCGGTAGAGATTTCGAATTGTGCATGATATGCGCTGACTAAATATAATGTGCTGTCACCTGGCTGCGGCGCGGTGTCTGTGAAGTCATCGTCCATGAGGCTGTCCTCCGGTGCAGCAGCTGCAGCCGGCTCCTCGCCGGCGGCTGGGTTGCAGTGCACGACATCAGCGGTGCTGACATCAGCAATGATGTCGGCGAGCACCAGCTTCACGTCAACCTGAGGGTTGCCCCCGCCGCCCTCCTGCAGCAGTGACCCGCGCATGCAGTGATGAGAACGCATGGCATGGCAGCCCCAAGCAAGCTCCTGGCCAGAGACCAACTGCCACAGAGAAGTATTACAACACATAAGTGCTCATATATGGGTCCAGAGCAGCTTGTTCTGGGCTATCCCATGCTATTCCCTCACTCGGGCTCACAGGTGCGCCTTAGTCACGAGGGATGCTCAGGGGCGATGACCGCTAAGCCAGCTCGGCAATCTACCTGAGCATTCGCGTGTTATGACATTAGCTCTGACAGAAACAGCAAATTGTGCAAGGGAGCCAATGAATTCCCAAAGAGGGTGACAGACCTGGCGTAGGCGCCAGAGCAGGTCGGCTCGCTGGTCCTTGACGCGCTGCATGCATTCTGAGCGCACTCGGCTGCGCCACTGGGCCCTGTCAGCCAGTGCCTTGGCTGACCGCCGCTGCTGCCCCGTGCTGCCCATGCTGCGCCACAGACCGCTGCCCTAGATCTGCGCACAGCATAAAATCATTTCAGATGCTGCTGCACTACGACCTGGCATGCGATGTGGACAGTGCCTTGCAGATGTAGGGGGCAGGGGAGGTGATGCAGCGTTCGGTTATAGAGCAGGACGCACGTTGAAGCCTTCGGCGCGCAGGCACTGCTTGTGAGCTTCTATGAGCTTTTGGCAACGGTCTGATTCAGGCCCTGCACGCCAAGCAACATCAGGCAGGCTTCCAAAGAGCAGCATAGCAACGTTGAACAGAGAATTCAAAATTTGTAAAGTTTTCGATTGCTCAGCAGGGAACGGGATGATCTCATGGATTCGTACCGTATCGAGCAACGCAATCATCACGTTCTCTCTGAAGCAGTGACACACAGGAAGTTAGTAGCTGCTGGTGAGCACGAGAATTCCCAACAGCGAAAAAAAGCCGCCGATCGATGATCGCTTGACTCAGTAATAACCAACATATTGGAAGGACTGCGCTCTACCTTCGTATCGGGGCAGGCGCAGCAGATTTTCTTCTTTGGAGCCTCCTGAATCGGGGCTTCTTCTTGTCTTTTGCCTCCCCAAAACCAGCCCATGTCGTCTAGAATATCCGACTCGCTGGCTACAAAGACAACATCACAGCCATCTTATTGCTCATTTCTGTCGTGATGGCGGCACGCACCGAAAGCCACGATCTGTGTATTGTATGGCACGTGGTTGCACACTGTAGGTCACGTGCGCCGTGCGCAGCTTGCTTATGTCTTTTACGCACTTTCTGCTGCACGAAACGCACAGCAAGTATTAAGAGATTGAAACTCTTATTGGATTCCACTTACAGTTGTACTCCCTGGCCGCTGCTGTGTCTATCTTGAGCAGATCGTTTTCTCGAGATCGTCAGTTAGCCTGAGAATAGTCATCTCTTGAAAGATCTTAAGACTCATAATATCACCAAAGTAAGCAAAACACTTTGTAACGCAGCATCATGGCAGCTAGCCCTGAGGAAATGGCGAAGGGAGTGAAGATGGCTGAACAGGAGATGGACTACAGGGTCGATCTTTTCAACAGGTGAGTTTGTTGAGGACTCGCTGTGCCTGTAGTTTGTCATGCTGAGAAGTAACGAGTCTATGCAGCTCACTTTCAATGCACCTTGCAGCGTCTTAATGATGCAGAGCTGAATATTGTTGCCCTGGTGCAGGATGGTGTCTACCTGCTTCGAGAAGTGCATGGACAAGAGGTGCTCGCCTTCAACACCCACAATCTCACCAATGTTTTCCATCAACTGTGACGTTGGATACAGGTCTTTGATGGTGGTTTCAACCTCAACCTTGCGCTGTCTACAGGTACAAGGAGGGTGATCTGAATGTGGGGGAAAACAGCTGCGTGGACAGATGCGCGTCAAAGTACTGGCAGGTCACAGGAATAGTGGGTCAGCTTTTGGGTGGCGGACAGCAATGAGAGGAAGCCTAGCCACATCATCAAGCAACAATGCAAGCGCTGGCGGAATTGATTCGCCATGGATAGTAGGATAGTTGGGCCGCTTCCTGTTAACAACGTTGCTATTCAGGCACAACTTGTTACAGACAGATCAGCGTTCATGCCGGGCGCACCTCAAGTTGCTATGAGGCTCTTGCAATTGAGCACAGGCTCTTGAAAGAATGCATGCAATGATATCATGCTACCATGCTATATTAAAGTACTTCAAGTTCACAGTGTTTTGACTACTTGGAAGCTTGCAATTGCCAGAGGTGTGTAAACAATTACACATCCTATTTAGGCATGGATCCTCCATCAAGCTGCAGTGCCAAATGATGTTTGAGACTTCTCCAGAAGTGACACCATATAACGAAAAGCACTGCTGACATACACACAAACATTCCAAGAGAATTGACCAGCAATGACAAACACATCTTGCCAGCCTCAGTGTCTGCAAAGCTTTCATGACAAAGCATTTCCATTCAAGTGAAAGAAATACAAAGTTTTTGGCATTACTTGTAGATTCCAGTTGAAATACAACACACACCCCCGACACGCCCAGTGCATGCATGGGCTACAGCTGCTCACTGCAGACGTAATAAAGAACTGCTCCTATCTGAGCTTGCTCAGCTTTCTGGCAATGCATCAGGCTTGGGCTGCGACCTGGGGAATAGGAGCCTGCAGAGAGGCCGTGTTGGCTCGCAGCCACTCAAGCACATCACCTGACAGCCGCGGCGACGCCTTGTCCCACACCTCCTCGTGGTACTGGTTCACCCACTCAATCTCGCTCGATGACATCACCTGCGCATGGCAACAGACAATCATATCTGCATCATGCTTGCTTAATACTTCTGAGCAATCATTCAGCGTTTCTCACATATAGACAAAAGCTTCACTCCAGAATTTCAATATTGCATATACACAAAGATGCGTAATCCCGCGCACTCACAAGGAACTGCACAAAATGAAGCCACATCACATATCTGATGAGATCTGGCAAAGTTGTAAACATAGAGTGGTTTACGGGATTCAACCAGAGAATTTCAACATCATTCTGAATCGTGTCAGCATGGGCTCAGGGACAGGAGGTTGGCGGGGGAAGCAGGCGCACGTCAAGGTCGATCATCTTGCGCTGCAGGGGGCACATGGTGAGGCGCTCGAAGGAGAGGTAGGGCTGCTCGCCAAAGCGGAAGGGAGTGTCGGCCTCCTTCACCACCAGCAGGTTCTCGATGCGGATGCCAAACTCGCCCTCCTCGTAGTAGCCCGGCTCGTTGCTGACCACCATGCCTGCCTCAAGAGGGTATGTGATCGTGTACCTGCATGCGAGCAGCCTCAAGCAGACTCTGCAAATTTCGATGAGCAACGAATGTCGCAGTTATGCACAGCACATACAATAAATGCAAGCTCTTTCGCAGTCGACCTTTCTCATCTGACAACTTTCTTGAACTCTGCGGAGCAAGCTAAAGGGCATGAAGGCTCAGGCCAGTCTCCTGAAAACCGGCTTCCAGCGCATGCTAAAGCCATGCACACCAACAAGCGTGGGACTCTGACGTTCAGAAGAAACATGTCAACCCCTATGTGCTCCAGCTCTGCATATAGTTGGCGGGCGGGCTCTCGCACCGGGTGGAGATGGACTGGGGTCCCTCGTGGACGTTGAGGGCTGCGCCGACGCCGTGGCCGGTGCCGTGGCGGTAGTTGAGGCCCATCGACCACAGCGGAGCGCGCGCCAGAGTGTCCAGCGCCAGCCCGGGGGTCCCCGTCGGGAAAACCGCGCTGTCCAGCGCTATGTGCCCCTGTGGAAGAGTGACAGCCCCTTCGGTTCGCTTGCTCCCAACAATTTATTGTGCCAATTCGTCTGTTTTGACGCAACCCACCCCATCCCTGTGCCCGGGTCTTTGGGTGCGAATGAGGCTGTCCAGCTTCGGGGTCCAGAGCACTGTATGAGGGCTAGTTGGAGCCCTGCCCCCCTTGGGGGTATGAATGCAACACTATAGCGGCTGGCAGCAATTCTACATGTGTCTGTCCAACGCAACGGGCTATTCAGGTTCCTTTAGCCCCTAGCAGCATTTCAGAGACACAGCATGAGACTACTGTACCGTGTTGCATTGTCTGCTGCAATGCTGCAGTCGGTATGAGGTGCTCGATGCAGGCCGCTTTAACAGCAAGAATGTTATGTAAATTCCATGTTGGGAACCTGAGACGGTTTCAGGCACAGGCGAGGTTGACGGTCCACTCACCTGCAGCACGCGCGTGAAGCAGACCTTCTGGTGCTTCGTAGGCTCTCCCAGGTGGAACGTGCGGGTTACATCCGTCGTGCCGCAGTCATACTGACCACCTGCACAGGACAGTATATTATTGGCCTGCCTTGCATTCCATACACCGCATAAACAATCATCATCATCTCAGATGACACTGCTCTTGTGGACATTACTCTTCGCCCCTGTTGTGGCATGGCCCTCAGCAATTCCATCCCGCCAACTGCTTGGTGCAGCCGAAGACACAGAACGGCAGTGGACGACCCCACAACAGAAGCGAAAGCACGAGGAAAAGACTGGCAGGCACGTACATGTGCCCCGGCAGGCGCGCCGCAGCCATTGTATCAAATGGGATCCAAGAATCAGAACGCAGCACTGTCCAGTGTATGGATGACTGTAGAGAAGGGGAGACTGGGCTGAAATGGGTTGTGAGCAGCAGGATGTCCTGATCTATTCAGGCAGATAGCAGTAGGTTGAAAGAGATAAGCAGACCTTGCGAAGGATACTGATATGTGCACAGTGCTGACCTGAAAATTGTGTGTCAGGAGCAACTTTTACATGCGCACCGCTATCGACAAGAAGCAGCTGCGAGCCGGACACGGTGTTGCATGTGTCGGGCTGCGCGCGGTAGTGGATGATGGCGCCGTTTGGGCCGGAGCCGGCAATCGTGGGGAAGCTTGGCTCGATAAAACCCCCCTGTGCCGCCCGCCTGCCTGTGAGGAAATCGTCCACGTCCACCTCTGTCAGCGTGCGGCCGGCCGCGATCTGCGCCGCCACGATTGTTTCACATTCAAATGCGATTGAGTTTTCAAGTTCAAGATCAAGTTCTAGCAGGCGGCCCTTCCTCCCAATTTGAGCGCCCGCACTGTCCAACATGTACGTACTCTCTTTGGGTTTGAAACTTATATCAGACAGGCGAAGTGGCCTTTGAAACCATCCTGCGCAGATGCAGGATTTATACTGAATGGAAAGGGGAAAATGTAGCTGCAGTGGATTGAGCCGTGGATCATGGGAAAATCACCCAGCCCACTAGCCGAGCAGATTACTGTTCCTGATGTTAACGAGAGGCTAGGTCATCGCATGGAGCGGTATCAGCCTTTGCTTTTCACCAGAGTTCTCAGACTTATAAACTGCTTAGCCGTGCTTTGGGCTTCTACAAATCAGCCCGCATGACACTTGACATGCACATGAAGTGGGGTGCCTTGTCAGCAACACCAAACGAGGGGACGTGGCAAGAGGTGCTTAGAGGTGGTATTAGAAAATCTCTCACGAAAGATCTTAGAGATTGCTGGCAGGAGCGTGCCTTGTAATTGGTGCCTGTGCGCCAGTGGGGCGTGTCATTGCAGCGGGCAAGTCACATGACTTCTTCACCGAGATATAAACAGAAAGAGCACAGAGTGCCAGCCGTTTGACACCGTTGACGTCACAAACTCGTGCAGATTGTTTCCAAGAAATTAAGAAAAGACCGCTGGCCTTTCTAGGGAGATGTGATCTGAGGGAAGTGGCAGGGTATGTACTGGGGAGATGTGGGGCTTCACACCTCCTGTTCCAGGTGGTACAGGGTCTCGGCCAGAGCCACCGCGTCGCGCAAGTGGGCTTCGCGCATGCCGGCCAGCTCAGCAGGATTCTTCACCGCCTTGACCCCCGCCACTGGCGACGGCTTCTCCACAAACATCTTTTTTGCGTAGTCATCTGCCTTTCCTGCTGCCACATCACACCATCGAGTCATAACGCTGAAATAAGCTGGCGTAGCAATCATGCAAACGATCCCTACACTTGCAGCAAGGGATGGTCCCGGGTTTGTTCGAGGTGAAGATGATTGTACCTGTGGTTTTGACACGCTTGCGAGGGGCCTCAACAGCTTGGTCTTCTGCCTCCCCCGCTGCCTGAGTCGCCGCTGCTTCATGGAGAGCGTAGCTGACCTGAGCACACCATTAGCAGCGTTAGTGATATGCGGCTATCACCTAGCATTTACCAATATTCACATATTTCACATACGGTATTGATGAAATTTGAGTCTGAAGAGTGAAGTGGAAGACTGGAGGACAGCATTGACAGCATTGACAGCGACATAGTATTCCCACTGGTGTACCTTTGTGGGGTCAGCCCAGAAGATCTGCCTGGCAGCTGCAAGGCTGCGAACTTCATCCAGCATGCCCTCGTAGGCACCAAGCTCCACGCCTGCCTCGCTCAGATGGCTCTTGACCTCAGGAGTGACCTGAAGCACCACAGTTGCTTCTTGAAGCGACCAAATGTGTCCAATCTATCTTTGTCAGAGCTAGACTGGGGTTTAAAGTGTTGTTTGACGACCAAACGATCAATCTCACATGACCAGGCCTATTAGCACTTTCCAAAGACTAGGTACTGCAAATAGAACAGAAGATCGGCGCTCAAGACATTTGCTTAAGGGAAGATTGCCTCCAAGACGGAGTAGCTCAGGAATCAGTTGGGTTGCCAATGAATTTCATGGCCAGCTGTTGCCAGTTGGCATCGCAGTGTCAGTACTCATCATTTTCCTGATATCGTAAAATGTTTTTTCTGTAGTATCATGAGATGGCAGGGCTGAATACTGTACCTTTCCGGCGTCCACAAATAGCTTAGCAGCGTCTTCTGTGACCGTGGCATAGGACAGGAAGACTGGGTTGTAGGATACGTCTGAGCCACGCAGGTTGAACAGCCAGGCAATCTCATCCAGCGCCGTCAGCAGCAGCACATTGGCCTTCGCCCCTGCACAAAAGGATGCAAATTCAAAATTAGCCTCAAAACAGCTTGGTCATAAATTTGCGCTCACAGAGCCCATCAGTCATGATGCGTGATCCATGCAACAGCCCAGACTGCACATGATCAGCAATAAGAGTGACAGCTTCGCGCCAGAGACAAAGAAAAGAGAGGTAGCAGCTCATGTCAGAAGTGCACAGCCATGCATGATGCATGCGCGACTCACCTTTCATCTTGGCGCGCACAGCGGTAAGCTTGTCAGAGACAGACTGGCCGGCATGCTCGAGAGCATGGACGCGCAGTGGTGCACTGGGGGCAGCCGGGCGGTCGCTGCCCCACACCCTGTCCACCAGGTTGCCATAGATTGGCCGCAGCCCCTTGCCAGCTGCCTCCAGCTGCTCCTTCAGCTTCCGGGCATTGTCCACCTGTACTACCACACTCAGGTCCTGGCACTGTCCAACACTCTTGGGAACTTCTACAACGTTCAAGGGAAGCACAACTTGCAGCATCCAAAACGATAGTCAAATGACAAATTTATTTTTATCGTCACTGTCTAGTTTATGGCAGGAAAGGCATACCGTGTGGAGGAATGGGTCAATCCCAACAGCGTCTCCATCTTGTACATTCTCAGCAAGCCACTCGGGGATCTCTGGGCAGCCCGGTGTGCCAGAGCGCATGAGTGTCCATGCTGGGCCGAGCTGCTGTGATGCCTGTTTGCACAGGAGGCATCTCAGCTGTTTGCGGTCCAAACTTTGCATAATGCAATCTCGACAGAGATGGGCAAGGCAGGCGTAAAGCTGCTGATGACAGGGATCTAGGCACCTGTAGGAAGTAGCGGCCATCTGTCCAGAGCATTGCAGCATCTGTTGTGACCACTGCTGTGGCAGCAGAGCCTGTGAATCGAGAGATGAAGTGGCGCCGTTCGGCATCAGAAGTAGAGTACTCACTCTGCATGGACACCATTGCGCACCATTAGTACTTCCTGACTTTGCCTGTCAAGCCTCCTTATTGGAAGTGTAGGAGGGCATATGATGTGAGGGTACCAGTCATGCAGGGCAGCAAGAATTGCGTACCATGTGTGGGTCCTCTGTGGGAATGATGTAGGCCTGGACGTTTTCCTTGGCCATTTCAGTGCGAAGAGCTTCCAGGCGCTCATCTTTGGGGGCAGGAGGGGCATTGGTGGCAACAGCCTCTGCTTCTGTCTGTGCCATCCCGTTCTGAGTCTGTGAAGATCGCAAGGACGTCCTTGTCCTAAAAGAAAACTCCTTCTTCAAGCTCGATACCTGACCGAAGACCTGCTGCAATGATCACACAGGTGATAAATATCTGTACTAGGCGAGGTTCTGATGCGGCCAGTGCAGCAAACTGCTGCAGGCATGATTATATGCATCACATGCAACAAATGCTCGGCTGTGAAAATCTGTCTCACTGAGAAATGCAATAGAGAGCAGCGCACTTTTGTTTTCAGTGCTATGTTAGATCTGGATGGAAATGTGGCCCTGCGCAGTCCGCCAGACGCTGGTGCTATGCAGAAAAGGGCACGACTTGCCAATGAAACAGGCAAAGTGTGTGCATCCTAGATGTTGACGATTGTGCTAAGACTCACGATGGGCCCACGAGGGCGAGCCTCAGGCCATCTGATTACTCATGCCACGGCATGCAAAGCATGCAGCGAAACACGACCAGGTCGCCCCTGGTGCCACTTAAGATGCAACCGCTGATCCTCCTTTATTTAAAATACTTATACACACATTGGTGTCGCCTATACCGTTGCAAGCTTGAGCAGCAACGCTTGTTCTTGTTGATCTAAAATCGGTGGAATTCGTGACTGTGAGACAAGTCCTAGCGATCAAGAGTCACTCTACGATGGGCAACGACCTCACCGAAGCAGAGGCAAAAGTTTACGATCGACAGCTTCGAGTATGGGGTGTCGAGTTGCAAAAAAGGTGCCGATGCGCTTGAGTGAACGTGCCTGATTTGATCGCAGCTGTCGCACCCAAGAGCCCAATGAAACATTCGTAGTTGACACATCGACAGGCACATAAGCTGATCTTTCTTATTCTTTGCAGGCTGATGGCTGCAAGAATCCTGATAGCAGGTTGCTCCAGCGGAGTTGCTGCAGAGGTATGCCAAGTTAGCCATGAATCTTGCCCATCCTTTGTGAACAAGGGCATCGTGCCTTCGTCACCTAATGATAGTGCTCTCTAACAGGTGGCTAAGAATATTGCACTGGCCGGAGTGGGGTCTCTAACCCTGCTTGATGACGCCCCCTGCAAGTCAGAGGCAGCAGCCTGCAATTTCCTCGTCCCTGCAGATGCAGAACAAGGTCAGAGGTAGGATTCCAGGCCGACAAAAGCATGTATTGCTGTGAGACATATCATCAGTATCTTGATATAACATCTTCGGTAGGTACAATGGCAATAATAAATTGTTCTCGTGTGCACAGTGTTGCTGAGGCGAGCGCAGCCACCCTTCGCGAAATGAACCCCTTGGTGAAGATTGCAGCGCTGCCGGGATCCCTGCCGCCCATTCCAGATCCTGAGTTCCTCAGGGGCTTTGAAGTGGTCCTGATCACCTCAGCACCTTTCAGCACGCTGCTCCAGTACGATGCAGCCTGCAGGCAGCTGGGTGTTGCCTTCTTCACAGCCAGCAGCCGAGGCTCCACCAGCTTCTTCTTTGCCAACCTGCACACCCATGAGTACACCCCCCTGGTATGTCCTTCATGCGCTCTAATGTCCTTGCATGAATCACACAGTGTTGATTTGATGGCCACCTGTGCGCAATACATTTGTGCATGATGAATGAAGACTCTTGCCGGGTATTGGTAGGAGACACCGCCTGGAGAGGTGCCTTCCAAGGCAATCAGCGCATTCCCCTCGCTGGCATCGGCCCTGTCGCAGCCCTGGAAGACCCTGCGTGCCCGCTACACCCACAAGCTCGTCTATGTGCTGCGAGGTGGACTTCTGCCTTGTCAATTCCACACCTTCATGTTTGCTGCACTGCCAGCTCATGTCCTGGTGCCCACATGTCACAGAGTATGGACACCGGAGCACTACTATTATGAACACATGCTTTTCCAGCCTTCCAAGGCTAGATGCATTCCGGCAGCACTTCTCTAGCATTTCCTGTGCTTACACTTTCTCCGTCAATCGTACCTGGGACTGATGTCAAGCTCACAGCAGAGCGCCGCAGAATGCCCAGGTGACATCATGTCAGATGGACTGATTATGCTGTGTCTGTGCAGTGTGTGCGGACTTTGAGAGCCACGCGGGGCGCTTCCCCACAGCGGAGGATCTGCCGGCGCTGCAGGAGCGGGCGCACGAGCTGGCGGCCGACGCGTGTGCGGCGGCTGCGGCCGATGCAAACGGCGGGCCGCTGCCCCGGGACCTCATCGGCGAGGATGTGATGCCTGCGGACATACTGGAGGAGTATGTCACGGGGGCGTCTGAGCTGGCGCCTATCAATGCTGTGCTTGGGGGTGTGCTGGCCAATGAAGTGCTCAAGGCCGTGTCGCACAAGGGCGAGCCTGTCAAGAACTTCTTCTTCTTCAGCCTGGGGGACAATGTCGGCCTGGTGGAGACCCTCGGGGAGGTTGTCTGATTTGATGTGTGGCTGATGCTGGGGTGTGGCATCTGCAGTCATGGCAGACGACGCATATACTGATGATATAAGTCAGACTGAGAATGACATGCTCCTGATTGCGATCGTGCATATGTTCAGCATGCATGAGCTGTGAAGCACTCAACATGCTCTTTTTCATCTTCAACATGACAGAGGGTAGCGATTCTGAAATGTAGAATGTTGCTGGTTGCAGAGAGCAAAGAGGGGTTTGGCCAAAGGATCTGAATGCCGTAGTGCGCACGCAAAGGATAGCAGCATGAGTATTGACTCACTTAATGAGGCGAAATCAATGAAATGTTCAAAAACAGCATTCGCAACAGTCTGCAACAGCAGCGTCACGTGCATTCTATTCAAAAGTGCTCCCGTGGGCATGCTACGGCAGCTGGTCTCTACCCCTGCAGCCTTGTTCCAACTTCCAGCTCTGAGCGCAATTAGCCATGTCAGCATGGCCATACACAGCTGATCTGGCAGCAGCAAAAAAATTCCCCACACCCTCCTGTCTTGCAAGCGACAGGTCCCACTCAATTCACCCAGTCCCATCCACTGCCCAGACATTCTCCCCTGCTCACTTCATCTTCTCCACCTCGTGCAGCGCCTTCTGGTATATCTGGCGCTTGCGCTGCTCTGTCAATGAGTTGTAGGCCGCGAAGCCGATGCCTGCCAACGCGAACAGCGTTGTGATGATTGCAGCGTTGCGCCAGTGCTCCAGCGTCTTGAAGGCTCCCAGAGTCAAGTAGGAGCCCTGTGTAAGCCACAAAATCCTTTTGAGATATTGTGGATCTCAAGTCGCATGAGTTTTACAGATGGCATTTCAGTTTGCATCTCCACCCAAACCCCACGCTCAGCCAATTGGCACTCAGCAGCATCCCAACAAATACATCAATTTGCCGTGTGCAACAAAAGCTCCAAACTATTGACTTTCTCCAAGAGAAGGAGCAGGTTAGATGGCGATACCGGTCCCCATAACATCTACACCTTGTGCAAGAATGTGCATGTTCTGCGTGCACAGCATTCATGATGGCGTACCCAGCGGAGCGCCTTGCTCAGGAAGACTCGGAAGGGGGTGATAATGGCCAATCTCATCGTTGTGGAAACCGCAGTCTGCACAGGTGCACACAAAAGCTTTCTTCCAAATTGTCTACATATGAAATGCATGCTGGTCATGGAGCTTTAAAGAGACTCTTCTTGCATCACAGGTGCTCCGCACACCTGCTATAGGGGAATCAGCACAGAACCCGCACCTGCAGGTTCTTGGCACCCTCCTCAAGCTTGTATGTGATCTGCGCCGGGGCGGTGATTCCTGAGCCAACCTTCACAGGGATGAGGGTGAACTCCACGCGCACAGTGGCCCCAGCGGGTATCCTATTAGCCATAGCCAAAATTCAAGATTGCCTGGAAAGCTCCCATCCGAAACCATCACTCAGGAGCAAACACCAACTCGGCCTTTTCCAACCATTCATGTCTGGGGCACTGTGCTTTTGTGCCGCTGTTCTGATGATATAAAATGATGAGACTCACAGGAGCATCGAAGAGCAAAGAAGAGAAGAAGAGAAGAGCGACATTACCTTTCCACAGTCTCAACCATGGCCTCTGGATCGAACTCAAAGTACTCCGATTGCCACTCTCCATCTGTCACCACAACCTCGTAGGCAGCGCTGCACTCGCAAGCAAACGCGCTCAGAGGGGTCATATGATAAAGCATGTCAGTGATGACGTCGAGTCATTTTTCGTTGCTTGCAGCAGTGCATAGACAATCAAGCTAAAAGCACAGTCAATCAGCACAACGGGGCTCCTCAGGATCTCGGACTCGGTGCAAGAACTCATTAAAATTGGGGGAAACTCGCTAACAATGAGATGCATAGAAATCTGAGGGACAGATGTAAGCCCTCAGTAGAGGGTCCATCAAAAATCATCTAAGCTCGTCACTTTCAAAAACTAAATTCATAAGACTGCGAGAGTTCAGCTCATTGTTTTGGTGATGGTGCACCTTTTGCCTGCATTGTAAAGCTCGATTGCCACAGTGGTGTTCCTGCCTACCACCAGATCCTTTCCTGGCAGGAACTTGCGAGCCACCAGGTGCGGGCCTTGGTCCTCCACCTCCTCAAACTCCTCATCATCGCTCACGCCGAGGCTGCCATCGTCCGCACGGGACACTGCCAAGCTGCCTACCAGCAGCAAGGCCGCCAAGGCTATCCACAATCTTCGACTCATCAAAGCTGCTTGTTTACTTCTGACTGCCCTGGAAGTTGATACCACTTAGTGCATCGACAGAGACAATCTTTCGCTTCTTTTGTGACAATTGCCCTTCCTTTCCTCTTCAAGGAATGTGATCTGACGCAAAATTCAATGCAACATAAAGCAGTCCCCGCCTGTGGACCGGCCAGCGTATCCTCGATGGCACGTGATGAGGAAGTTGAGGAAAGATTTGGGCATAAAGGAATTCTCATGGACTCACAATGGTTCTCAGCAGTCAAGTTGGATGCATGGACCAAACTTGGGAGAACAGGGGCCTTAGGAGGCTACCCGGAAGGCAGTGAGGGCCCCCCGGGGGGCGTCACGATTAATATGCGCTCTGATCACCCTCGAGGGTGTGCCATGCATGTGCCACATATGTATCATGACCAGCCAGTGAGCAATGCTGTGTGAGCTTAGCCTGGCAGGCCTCCATTGGTAGACTTGCAGTCCCAATGGGCCAGCTGTCATACCTGAACAATGTCACTCATGATCATGGATGATGCTAGCACCATTTCAATGCTAAAATGCTGGAAAGAATTCTTCGAAATTGAAGTTCAAAGGAGTCACTCCTTACGGTCATTAAAGGTGCGCTCCCGTTTGACTCAAGGGAAATCATGCAACCAGCAGTCTGAAGCGCCGCCCTGAAGATTGAAAGGCGGCTCCTCGCCTGCAACTCTAACCAGGTTTGCAGATGCCGGGCCTGAGCATCCTAGGAGCACGATCTTAGGAGCAGCCATGGGCGTGTGGTCTGCCAGCTACCACAGATCCTGATTTTCATACAAGCATATTACACTTGCACGCCCATTTGCCCATTTGCTTCAGGCTAGCAATAATCCAATCAGAGAAAACGGCGAGATCGGCTGAAATAAAGCAAATGAGTCTCCTTGCGGGATTGATGCAGCTGCTGAGTTTTGTGAACAAACGGGAATGGTCATCAGTGTTGACAAAACAAAGATTGTGGTGTTCTCTTCAAGTTTGCCAGGACCTTTTCAATGGCTTTGTGGTGGTGCGCCTTTACATTGGGTTCAGCAGTTTGAGTACCTGGGTGCCCTTTTTGACGGTGCCCAAGGCATTAATCTCACCTTTGGCAAGCTTCACAGGAACATGTGGGGTGCGTGGGCACAGCTCAGGCAGCAATATGGGAAGTTGCATTGCAGCATGTCAGCTGGCCTGTTGTTGCGCCTATATGATGCATGTGTGCCGCCGACTGCCTCCTACGGTTGTGAGGTGTGGGGCCTGCGCAGCCTTCCTGGTGGCGACAGCCGGCGGGGCCGGGCTGCCTTGGCCTCCTCTCACCTGAAAATTCTGAGAGACATTGCTGGCGTCCCCACCTCTGTGCATGGTGCCATCTTGCTTAAGGAGTTGAATCAGCAGACCCTTGATTGTGTGTGGTGGCGGCGCATTATCAAGTTCTGGAACAATTTGGCTGCCTTGCCTACAAATAATTTTCACAGGCAAGTGGCCCTTGATGATTGTTGGGATGCCATAACCCGTAATGTTAAGAATTGGGCTTGGGCCTTCATGCGGGGCTTGCGCCGGATTGGGTATGAGTTTGTTATTCGGTTTGACACCCTTGTTCCTGTGGAAATTGATGCTGTGATGCAGCTGCTAGATGCGCAAGCACTGCAGGTTTGGGATGACATTGACATTTGCCCTAGGACCTGCCCGTCCAGCAATGCCACCTTGTGTACATATCACAGATGGTTTGCTAGGCCAGCTTGTGTGCGCCACCCTTGCCAGCTCTTACAGCAGCCTTTGAGTGCCCGTTGCTTGCGTATACTGTTGAAGTTCAGGATGGGTTGTCATAGTCTGCCCAATGTCTCGGGCCGCTGGGCAAGGATTCCCCGGCCCCAGCGTTTGTGCATGCGTTGTGCCCAGCAGGTTATTGGGGATGAGCGCCACCTTGTGTTTGAGTGCCCTGCCTTGCAATCTGTTCGGGACAGATATCCTGGGCTGTTTGGTGCAGCCATTGTGACGATGCAGCAATTCATGTGGCAGTTGGACATTGTTGGTGTTGCACATTTTGTGATGGATTGTTTTGATTATTTGGATGCTGCCAGTTCATCCAATCAGCCCTAGGCGGCTGGAGTGATGTAATCTTCCTTCCTTCCTTCCTTCCTTGCGGAGCCTCCTCTTACCCAAGCAGGCTGCAGTCCATGCTGCCAGGTATCAGTCTAGAGACATCACAAGTCACCAAAAACTCTCTCGCAAGCTGTAGCACACAATTCTCCCCATCTTCAGCTGCAAAGCTCAGTAGCGGTGCTCGTGCTTCTCCTTCTCCTTGTACTGATTAGCATACCTGTGGACAGTCCCATACATCACCATAGAAACTTGCCAGTGCACAGTGCAGGATTCAAAAGCAGTTGTGCAGGCTGCAGGTATGGCTGTTTTTTAATACAGAGGAGCATAAGGGGTGCTGCAGGATCGATCTTTATGTGTCACTCACCAGAACGTGGCATATGTTGGCAGGGCGAAAAAGAGCCCCACGTCCACCCAGTGCTGTAACACAACCAAACCCACAGTCAGTTCATATACAAGGTATCAGATGCCATTAGCGGAAAGACATAACGCTGAGATTGTTGTAAATTTAAAGGAGGCAAGGAGTCAAAACCTCACCTGTTGGAACTTATGGTGGATCTTGGATGGCAGATCCTTAAACAGACCCGAGAGCACGCTGACCTCAAAGGGCGAGATAGTGTAGGTGACCTCCTTGAGTCGCACAGGAAGCTTCCCCATCCCGATAGATCAGAGGCACCTGGAAAAAGAGAGGCACCAGATAGTAATGAAGCCAGTACTTAGCACACCCGCTGTCTATGCATCAACCACTCTAGGTTGTACGTGACACAGATGTTGACCATATGATTGTCGCAAGATCATCATTACAGCCACCTCAGAGGAAAAGTCACACATCCTTGCTTGAAGGAGTGGCTGATTGCTTCACACACCATTGCAGAGTTCGCACAAGCACATACTCACTCTATACATGACAAGTCTGAAAAGAATGTCAAGGTCTCGTCACAAACAGCTGACAACGTTTCTGGGAGGGACAAAACACATCCTGTTGCTCAGACCTAAAACCGCAGCAAGGACAACTTAGACCCCAGAACCTCATGATATTAGCACCACGTACCTTTCTAGATCAGAAGCCTTCCTTGCCTCGCTTTTCACGTCTCCACTTTATCGCGGAGGGAAGGGAGGACCCAGTTCTCTCTCGAAGGCTAGTTGTTATTGCCTGCCCAGCCTCTGGGACATTGCATGCTTTCCTATCGTTCTAAGAATTCGACAAATTCAAAATATCTTTTAATCGGTAAAGTAATCTCGATCAGTTCGTGCATCCGCGAAATTTAATGCTTGTCCTTGCCAAGGCTCGTTTAGATCTGTTGTGCACACAGTCAAAAAGTCATCATGGATGAAGAGCATCGCGGCAATGATTCCTCGTGAATCGCTATTTAGTCCTTGCCTTGATATTTGAAAAGTCTCAGTGCAGATACTTTCGAGCAGAATCGTTCCCTGGAGCCTTTCGTTCCCTGTTGTCCTCAACATAGCAATGTATGCAACGGGTGATGGTTGGCTGTTAGGGAAGGGGACGTGGAAAGCCCATTTCCAATGTGAGTACACTTCATTGCTTGCGTAAGAATAGTAGATCGAGAGAGTCAGTGACCCCTGGGAACAAGAAAGCTTTTGGAAACGGCTGAAGACAGCTATGGGATCGAATGCCGCTGAGCCTTACTCCGAAATGGAGGGCCATTTCGTGGCTTGCATCCAGGAGAGCTTGTCTCTGTACTTGTATGAAAATGCCCAGTTCTTGGGTGAACGCCTGGTGGCAGCCTTCCCCAAGCAGGTAAATCAGAATTTCTTGTTCAACACACTCCAGCTGTATCCTCTCCATTTCAGATCAATTTTTTAGGACTGTTCCATCTCTGGTGGCCTCAGCGCCCTGTCACGGCAGATTTATCATCAGGAATAATTTGCTGTGGTGTTCTGCAGGCCCATTTCCTGCTGTTGGCGACCTGCTATTTCCGATCGGATCAGGTGCACAGAGCATACCATCTGCTGGTTGGTGGGTTCACCCTCTTCCAAATAAACTTGCAATGCAGTGACTCGGCTACCTTAAATTAGCGACTGCAGCTTGCACTTTTGGACACACTCTTATCGTCTGAGTGCTTGCATCAGCGCAGCAGGACCTGCTTGGTTGACTTGAAGAATGGCACAATGCTGCGTGTGAAATCCATTTTAATCTGTTTTCCTCAACAACAGCTTATAATGTTCTGGCTGGCTGCAGCGAATTGCAGCGATTCGCAGAGCAGATATCTGCTGGCACAGTGCTGCCTGCGGCTCGGCAAACTGAATGAAGCAGAGCAGGCGCTGAATCCAGATGGCGATCCGCAGAAGGGCGAGGTTAGCTTCGCCTCCTTTTTTTTGACACCCTTCACGAATGGTCAGAGACTTGGTCCTGCTGTCCTGAGTGTTGAATAGAAAGGGCGCAGGCTTAATATGTGGATACAATGCTGCACAGGTGCCACATGGAGCAGCAGGGTACTACCTGCTGGGGAAAATCTGTGCGCTGTCCAACAGGCACGACACAGCCATCCACTACTATGCTGCAGCGCTCACGCTGGACCCTCTTCTCTGGTGTGCCTATGAGGAGCTGTGCAATCTCGGTGAGCACCCATCTCACCGGCGCAAAAGTGCTTAGACCATTTATCAACCTGCTTTGGAATGAGGAGGCATTCATCAAGTATCACACTGGCGACCCTATACATCTCATTCATATTAGCGGATCTGGAAATGGCACAGCACACACAGGCAGTCGCTGCATGCATGCTGAGTTATGAGTCTTGGGGGCAGGTGCCGATGCCAAGGCGGCAGGCTTGCTGAACAGAGGCAGGGAATCTGAGTCAGCAGCGGCGAGCCCCTCAGGCATCAGCAGCTCCCATGCGGAGGCTGCCACGCCCTTCACAATGCAGCGGGCCTCTGCAGATTCCATGATGGCGTCCGGCGGCTGGCCGCCGCGCAACAACCGCTGCCCGGCCTTCGACGACCCGCTCTCGCCAATCGAGCCCACCATGCCGCCGACTCGCCACCCCAACACAGCCTATGGGTTCCCCACACAGGTAAGCTTGCTCACTCTGCAGGCTCGTGCAGTAATTTACCTTCAGCGAGCTTGTCAAGATTGCATAGCTGCCTGTGTGACCCATCACTGCCTGGCGTTGCCAGTAAGTGTTTGCTTGCATGCATCGGTGTACTCCCAGGCTACAGTGCGTGAACAGGAAATCAAATTAAATTTTTGAAATTGAGTCCAAAGCAAGGGTCTGAAGCGCTTGGTTGAATCGCAGGAGCATGCACAGAACGGCCTGATGACGCCTGCCACCGGGTCCAGCGGGTCGTTTGTGACGCCGTCGCAGATGGGGTCGGCCGGCACGATGCCACCGCCAGTCCACCGCGGGGGGCCCGGGGCCCCCGGCAGGGGCCTCCCCCCCTCCACCGGCAACGATCGCGGCGGCTGCGGCTTCCCCTTGGGCATGGGCGGGTGCGCATCCCATGCTTCCTGTCTCTTCCCTCTGTGATCACACACTCTGCAGCAGTATTAATTCAGCTTCTGCAGCTGTGGCCCACCAATCTGCCATTCACAGGCACCCTTCTCATGTGTCTTTGGTCCTCACCAGCGTCCTGGACACCCAGTCATCACTAGTTACCTTCTTGCCTCAGGAGTAGAGGCGCCTAGGCAATCTCAGTTATCTTTCAGCCTCAGGAATAAAGCAGAAATGAAGGCCAATTGTTGTGGCGTGCTGTGTGATCAGGTCCAAGCTTGCGGCGGGGCTGCGCTTCACGCCCGGCACAGCCGGTCGGCCGCCCGCGCAGAGCGTCGCGCGCAACGCACCGGGGCAGGGGCCGCCGCAAATGCCGGCGCGGCCGCGGGGCCAGCCGCGGGGGGGCAGGGGGTCAGAGCGGGACAAGTCCCCACGACAGCCGGAGCCGTCTGGACGGCTGTTTGAAGGGCCCGCCACCCTCGCTAGGTGCTCCATTACCCAGCTAATGCTGACTCCAGATTCCATTATTGTGTGTGATATAAATGCCTACTCTAGCCTTGTATTAGCCGTTCGCTCCAGCCATGTGGATTTCTACAAGAAAATCAGATCTTAGGAAAGTGTGGCCTTTGCTTCAGTCCCATGACCTCCTGCTCGCGTCAACCTCGGTTATTATACTGCTTGTGATGCTTTGCTATTCGGTGTCTGGAAACCTTAGTGGCATCGATGTTGTCTGGGGTGTAGGCGGAGCAGCAGAGTGGCTCCGGCGCCCACCGCGGAACATCTAGCCACGCCCGGCATGTCACCGGCAGACACCATCATGTGGGGTGGCGGCCTCGACTATGCGGGTGAGTCATGTCAGCCCCATCATCAATGAATAAGAAGACCACGCGACTTTGCTTGCCCTTCTTATATGCTGCATCTCATCGCAAGCCATGTCTGACCTATCCAGTCTGGCTCTGCTGCGCTTGGCTGGCTGTGTCAGAGGCCAATTGCAACGTCCCACATCAGCAAAATTGTGTAGTGATGATCCGATGCCTGGCTGCATGCGTTGCAGGTGCAAAGTTGTGGGCGGGCCAGAAGACCGTGAATGGGCAGGCAGCGGTGCTGTCGCTGCTGCAGAGGCTGGGAGAGGGCTACCGCCACCTCGCCATGTACCGATGCGCGGTGCGATCTCACACCCATTCCTGTCATGCCTGCCCCCTATCATATCGACACAGAACTTGCCTGGATTATTCCATATTGGCATGGGTGCCTCTGATCTCCTGGCATGTTTGTCTGCCACAGGCCTGTATTTGTCTAGTGCCGCCATTTCTAGCAGGTCAAGGTGGTCCTCGGATCCAGTCGTTGCAAACTGGAGGGTGTGCAAAGATCGTAGGGAGCGATTCACGACCAGCAGATGAAGACGTCCCTCAATGCAATGAGTAACAAACCTGAGACTGAAAGCTTGCCTGCATGCATGCAGGAGGCGGTGGAAGCATTTGCACGGCTGCCAGCGGCGCAATACTCGACCTCGTGGGTGCTGTGCTGCATTGGGCGCGCGTACTATGAGATGGTGGACTACCCGCAGGCCGCCCGCGTGTTCGAGTGGGCCCGCCAGGTCGACCCCACCCGCCTCCAGGTATGGACCCTCCGTCGTGTTCACTGCATCAATCAGTTTGTGAGTGCGTATTTCACCCCAGGCTGCTGTTCACCATTATTCTGAGCTGCGTGGTCCTGAAGTAAAGTAGAGTAGAGGCATGCTGTATTCGAAAAACACCGCATGCATTCTGCATTGGAGCCAGATCCTGTAATAATGACCAGACTGTAGGCCAGTGTGCCATAACCTCCCACATCTGCAGATAGCTTCTCTGCATGGCTCTTCATGCCTTCCACTGCCAATCAGCAGGCTGTACAGTGGCTTTTGCAGGGCAGACACTCGTGTGCATTATTTTTGGCCTTTCAGGCAGGCAGTTGCAGGTTGCTTCATCAAGCAGAATGCTCCCTTTGCGAGCGCGCAGAGTCTAATCGCGATATGAATCAACACCCGACAGTGTTGGGCGGATTGTGCGCCGGTTGACTTGGGTCTGATGGGTGCTCTGTTCCTATGCCATGTCGATTTGCTAGCCACACGAGTCATGGTTGTGTGCATTGGCGTGGCAGGGCATGGAGGTGTACAGCACGGTGCTGTGGCACCTGAAGCGGGAGGTGGATCTGGCGCACCTGGCGCAGGAGGCCACCGCCTGGGACCGCCGCTCGCCGCACGCCTGGACCATCATGGGCAACTGCTTCTCCCTCCAAAAGGCACGCCGCCCTGGCAGCCGATCATTACTACTCTCCCATCGACCTGTCTCCCTCACCCTTCAGCCCACACTGTAGAGCATGCGAATGTCCACTTAACATCTCTGCTCACACTGCACAGCCGCCCACTTGTCTGAGAACCATCACTTGTCGTCCCCTATATGGCACATCAAAGTAATCTTTCCCATGCAATGTGTTGACAGTGGCAGATGAACAATTTTGCTTTGTGAGATTTGGGGCCTGTTGCATTTATTGTGTCACACCTTGGCGATCACTCCAGCTTCTTTAAGGTCCCTTCAGGTTCCAGCAGTGCAATTCAGGTGATTATTTCAGGTTGCGGTTAGTGACGGGTAGTGCATGCGCATGCGCAGGAGCACGAAACGGCGCTGCGGTTCTTCCAGCGCGCGCTGCAGCTGGACCCCGCGTTCCCCTATGCGTACACACTGTGCGGGCACGAGTACTTTGCCAACGAGGACTTCGACCGCGCCAAGGCCTGCTACGAAAACGCCATCCGCCTCGACCGCCGCCACTACAACGCCTGGTGCGCGCGCAACCCTGACTCCTGAAATTTGTGATAACGAGTCTCTGCTGTCCACACTGCTGGCTGCTAGGAGCGGATCTCCACTGTCAGTTGTGACTCTTGAGCCAGGATCTGGTTAGTGTCTGTGGATTTCCACAAATCTGGACGCTGACACAAACTCGCCCGGCTCAAAAGCCCCCATGCCGGTCCACAGCTGAATGCCTCAAATGTGCATGCGCAGCTTGCAATGCATAAAGCAGTGATACTTCTGCATAAAATCTGCAGCGCAATAGGATCAGCAGGATCCTGGCGCGAAGAAGCTGTCAGCCACACATGCAAGCAAAGTGCCTTCTCTTGAATGAGCTACTTAGCTGGTGTTGGTGTCCTGTGGGAGCTTGAGCTGCGTATATGATATTTCGCTGTCATTTGATGGAAATGATGTTACATGGTTATCTGGCCATCGTGATGCTCAGATTTTGTGGCATTTGCATGGTGGCTTGGCTGTACAATTCTGTGCATGATTGTGACGCATGTTATCCTCATGGCTTTCAGTGCATCTGTGTGGAGCAGGTACGGCATTGGGCAGATCGAGTATCGGCAGGAGAAGTTCGAGATGGCCGCCTTCAACTTCAAGTTTGCTCTGAACGTGCGCGCCCCTACTCTCTTGCTCATTGGATCAGAGTTTGCCGAACAGTACCCCAATGCATGATGCGTGTGTGACACTCCCTGCGCTTCTGCTGTCTTTGGAACCCCGTACTTTGTGTTATTTGATTCCAATGGTTGGCAGAAGCACTGTGAGCCTTTGCACGCATTGTTACAATTATATGATTAGGGGTATCATTATGTATGGCTCATGTGCCCTGGTGGCCCACGCTCTCTTCAGGCAGGGGATCATGCTGCCGTCAGCCCTGTCATATAACACATTTTGGTTCATTGTAGACACCTTATTAGTTCTGATCAGGAGCTCCATGAAAGCTGTGGAATGTGATGCAGCCTGTCATGTTGAGGCTAAGGCTGAGGTTTGCACGAGGAAGAGCTTCAGAAAGTCTCTCAAAACAAAGTGTCTCATATGTCGCCCGCATTACAGCAGTACATATACACTGCAAGGCAGCCTGTTCTCCTTTCAGTGGCGCTCGCACTGCGTTGTATGTCTTGCGGTCACTCTTGACTTCAGACAAAGGGACTGACACATATTCTTCTGCCGGCAGCTGAACGGGCGCAGCAGCGTGCTGCGGTGCAACCTGGGCATGGCGCTGGCCAAGATGGGCAAGCCAGCCGAGGCACTGGCACACATGGACAAGGCCATCGCGGCAGACCCGGCCAACCCGCTCGCGCGCTTCGAACGAGCCGGCGTCCTGCTCGCCCAGGAGCGCTTTGTGGACGCCCTCGCTGAGCTGGAGGCCCTGCGGGTGAGACAACGTCCTCATTGTTCGGCTCTCTGTTTCTGTTGCGATATATTTCACCCCATTCATGATAGGGATCTGCCCCGCTGTGTTGCGCGCTGCTCTGCGACATGCAGACATGCATCGAAGGGATTGGTACAGCAGCCTTGAGGTTAGGATGCTGCATCCTTGTTTGGCCTATCCCCTCAGAAGAATGAGCACTTTGGAAGCCTGCACCAGCACGCCACAACCGCGGTGTCTTGGAGAGAGGGCCACGTGCGGTGTCATCATGTGGCCGCTAGAAAATACTACCACCAGCCCACTGTTCCCACGATTTTTAGACACCAGTGCATGAAGACGTTCTGTCATGCGGCTGCAGGACATAGCTCCGCGGGAGGCGAGCGTGTGGTTCCAGATGGGGAAGATCTACAAGCGCCTGGACCGGCCGGACGAGGCGCTGCAGCACCTATGCCACGCGCTCGACCTCAAGCCGTCCTCCGGAGACGCCAACCTCATCAAGGCAGCCATCGAGAAGCTGCGCCAGTCCGATGAAGCCGACGAAGAGGAGATGTGATCTTCAGCGTTTAAAGATCCAAGGGGCTTGATATGCAGGAGAAACATGAAAGGAGCTCTGGGTGCTCTTCTTGGACGTACTCCTGCGGCTCGCACTTTAACTAAGGTCGAAGAGCTTCAGGCCTTTTCAGCTGTGCTTTGCTGCCCCGAGCGCCTTGAAGAAGGAGTATAATTCCACTTCCATTCACAAACTTTAGCTCCAGACAGTCCAGATAGATAAAGCGCAGTGCGCGCCATGAACCAGCACTAGAAACAAACACCTGGAACATTGCGGCTCTGGGTGAAGCCATGCTTGACTCCATGAACACCATGCTTGGCCAAAGCAGGGCAGCATGCCCATTTCACGTTCATGTGCTCGTAGCAAACAGAGGAATACAAGAGAGCGATTAAGGGTTTTGCAAGCCTTCCTGAAGTTGGCAGCCTCTCTGTGAATGGCCTCGAGGCCTCATGTTTATTGCATTGGACCCTAGGGACCGGGTGCCGGGCTGGCCAGTCATGGATATCAAGGCACCAGTGTCTCTATCCTGTGCATAGGGCCAGCACAGAGACCAGCTGTTAGAAGAGTGCAGTACGATGTTTCAGATGTACAGCTGCATGTTGTATGTTGCATTGCCGCGGTCGTGAATATTACTTCAGCTTGGAAGCTGTGCATGTTGCTTTTATAGGAGTGTCACTCCCTTGTCTAGCCAAAGTGCTCCGGTCAGAGTTGCTGCCAGCTGGACTGCAGTGTAGTGCATGTAATTGAATGTTAATTGAGCGAAAGCGATAAGAAAGCGAAGATCTTCCTGGCTTGTGAGCATGCGATTGCTTCTGCAACGAGATGATCAGCTCATCTCAGATCTTGCACAATACCAGTGCAGCCATGGGTCTCTCTCAAGACTATTGGCGCCATTCTCGAGCTGCATACATGTATGTTGTACTCATCTGGATTAAAGTATGTTCAAAGAAATTGACAGCACAGCTGCATGCGGGGCGCAAATATTTAGAACCCAGTGGAGGCACAAAAGAATGATGAACCCACATATACAATCTGCTCGTTCACATGGGAGATCTGAATTTCAGAGTCTCTCGATAAGGTGCAGAGCCTGGCATGAAACTAGCACACTGATCAGGAAGCTATGGAAGTACTATCAGAAATACTGCTCCACTGTCGCTATAATGTGGCACAGAACATCACGTTCCAGAAACTCACAGACTTCCCTCTAGGCTAGAACGACCAACACATGACTATCTGCACCTATTGTCTATGGTACATGCGTAAAACTTGCTGTCTGATGGGTATTCTAGACTCAGCAGACTAAGATCACTTGGCAGAGCCTTCTGGCAACTGGATCTTGGGGCGCCCCATTTCCATGCCGCGCAGCTTGGCACCCAGGCCGTCCTTGTAGATGTTGAGCCACAAGTTCTCTATGGGCGGATATGCATCCTGCTTGGCCTGCTCAATCTGGTCAGCAACATCCTGCAGATACACAATTACACTTCATTCCTGTGCCCTCAGACTCCCTCCCACCAGTCGCTGTGATGTCCAAGCTTCATATGCTCTGCAGGTCCAGGGGCTACACAGAAAATCACTGTAGCTGTAAGTGGAAGCAGGAGCAACACAGCCAATCGAAGCATGCTCAGAGGCAAAGTGCCGCTCACCTTTTTGATGTCCTTTTCGATGCGTTTCAGCTCCCCAGAGTCTGCGAAGCTGTGCTCCTGCAGCAGGTTGCGCACATGCTCGATGGGGTCGCGCGCGCGGCGGATGCCCTGGATCTCATCACGTGTCCGGTACGTGCTGCCAGGGTCTGATATTGAATGGCCGTGGTACCGGTACGTGTCCTGCATGCAGACCACAGCTGCTGAAGCAAGCACCAATGATAGCCATGAACCGCAGGTTGCAAAGCACAATTGCGAGGAACCATCACACCTGGATTGATGACTATTAGTCACCTGCATCAAATTTCATCCTGTATCTTGTTGTCAGTGCCGGCATGCACTAAATGCACATTCATTGACTTAGGCGAGGAGGAAAGGCCCACCATTTCCAGCATCAAGGGTCCGTGCTGCAGCACATGCTGCTTGGCAAAGGCGGTGGCGCTCTTGACAGACAGGGCATCCATGCCGTCAACCCAGACCCCTGGAATATAATCCCCGCGAGTGTAGTACTGCGCGCTCTTTGACGCCCTCCGGTCGGACGTCCCCATTCCGTAGTGGTTGTTCTCGATCACAAAGATCACCGGCAGATCCCAGATCGCCGCCATGTTGTATGCCTGGTACCACGCAAGAAGAGAGTTGAGTTAATGGCATCCCATGACCAACAGATCAGCCAGCTCCTGAGAAGCTTAACTGTGCGTCACAGCGGTCAGAGCTGCCCCTATAGATGACAGCACAGGCTACTGGACATTTGAAAGCTTGCAGGAGGCATCCATGAGGCAGAATTATTTTAAGTAGATCGGTATTCTATGCAGAATCACCTCTGCGACCTGCCCCTGGTTGGCTGCTCCGTCTCCATACAGTGCAAGCGCCACGTGGCCATCTTTCCTTATCTTGTGCGCCAGACCCAAGCCAGCTCCCAATGGTATCTGTTGCACGGCAGCGCCACATTATTCACCCATCAGACACTGCCATCAGACACAGGCTTGAGTCTACGTTGTGACCTTGCAACGATGTCAACTTTGATTTAAAGGTGCAAACGTACATGGGTGCCGACAATGCCCTCTCCCCCATAGAAGTTGTGTTCCTTCTTGTACAGATGCATGCTGCCGCCCAAGCCCCTGGCAGCGCCAGTCTCCTTCCCCAGCAGCTCTGCTATCACCTCTCTCACCGTACCACCTCTGCCAAGGAATGTGCAGTGATCCCTGTAGCTCTGGATGATGCTGTCCTGGAAGGTCAAAGCTGCCTCCATGCCTGCACCAAGAGAAGATGTGTTTACTGCGTGCTTAACGATGATGGTGTTCTTCCAGTGCAATATCTGTAGCAGATTCATGAGGCGTGCATTAATTTTGGCAAAGGCAGATTCAATGAGCAGCACCTGTGGGGACTGCTTCCTGGCCATCTGCCAAGTGCAGGAAGCCACGAGCCAGCTTCTGCTTGTAAAGAAGGTCCGCGGCGAGCTCCATGCGCCGCATAGTGTACATGGTCTTAAACATGCCCAGCAGCTCGCCCTTGGATGTCTCCACCTCTGTTGGAGGGCCCTCATCCAGGCGGTGCAGCTTGTATGGGTTGACAGTCACCGTCACAGTCTCGTCATCCTCGACAGCCTCTGGAATAGCTGAGAAGGATCTTAGGCTTCCAGAACACCTTGCTGCCACTGACAGCTGCGCTGGCAGCCGCTTCAAGAGAGCCATCGTCGATTATAGGATGGCCGTTCTGGGCAAACTAGCCGTGCTTCCAGATATGTCACAACGCTCGCACACGCAGAGGTCACACAAACGCAACTTTCAAGACTGTGCTTGTTTCACCATCAAGGAAATGCCTGCAGCCTGGAGGAAGAGTGATGCATCATGAGATGGTACCAGCTTCCTCCAGACGGGAAGCTAGGCCTAGGCCCGTAGGGTCATATGCGATTCCCCTCAAAATCTTCAGACCTTGAAAATGCAAGTTGCTCAAAGGTGCAGGACTGGCAAGCTTGGTTGGGAAAGCCATGGTCGCATGACTCCAAAGAAGGGCATCAAATGAGAGAAAAGAACAAAAGGAAAGGGAAAAACAAAAAAGTATCCATGATGTCGGTGGGGTTCGAACCCACGCCCTTTCGGACTGGCGCCTAAAGCCAGCACCTTAGACCACTCGGTCACGACATCAGCGTCCCGTAGGACAGTACCAAATCGGAATTTTTCACAACACATGTACGTTAAATTTTTGTTTTAACTTCTCCTGTCCCTCAAGATTCAAAGATTGGAAACAAACTTTTGGTAAGACCTTCAGTATTACAGCTTCAGTGTCGGTTCCACACAGCAAACCCCTCAAACATCGCAGCCACTCCCTCCTTTGCTACATGTATAATATACATTGTATATCGTGCCTGCCGCACTCAACTTGAAGCGGCTGCAATTGCCGCCCTGTACATTATTCTGCCCGCACAGTTGCATGCGGCACTGATGAACATGCATTTGTCGCCTTGGTAGTGCAGTGCAGAGTGCTAAGTAGCCAGACAGGTTATGAAGGCAGCTGGATAAATCCGCGGCCCAGCTCAACATTACGCAGTTTGGCACCCCTGCACAACACAAAGAATGTGAATGCCATCACTTGCCGGTCTTAAACTTTCCTGCTCAGATTGCCAACCTGCATGCAGTTTTTGTCAAGGAAGTATGAGACTGTATAAAGCTGCACCACTTGCTGCCTATGCAAATGACTGCATGATCCATGCCAAGATGTTGAAATGAAGGGGGGAGACAGTGCAACCCACCAGCCCTTCTTGTAGACGAATTTCCACAGGTAGCACAGGGGCGGAGGGGGACTGCGCTTGGCTTCCTCCACCTCCTCTGTCACATGCTGCACATGCAGATCCAGATCCATTCAAATTCAAAATCATCATCACTTCTTTCAGACGCCATCACAGACTCTCAGCAAGGTGGCCGAATAACTTGCAGCACATGGCTTCTCACAGCTCTGACAAGACCGCGAGCTTGCGGCTCACTACTCAGACGCAAGAGCTCCAGCAATTGTAGATAGGGGGTGATTCGAGCTGAATTGGGATGTCATAAGAGAACACCTTCTTGATGTCGTTCTCAAGCCTCTTCAGCTCGTTGGAGTCTGCGAAGCTGTGCTCCTGGAGCAGGTTGCGCACGTGCTCGATGGGGTCACGCGCGCGGCGGATGCCCTGGATCTCATTGCGCGTCCGGTACGTGCTGCCGGGGTCTGAGATCGAGTGGCCGTGGTACCGGTACGTGTCCTGCTTGCAGACCACAGTGAGGAGCATCAATGAAACTGCACTCTCCTGACGCTACAGTCTTGAACGACAAGATGCCATGCCGTTCCAGATGTGTGCCTATGGCAGTACTGACTACACCACATTGATCTGAGCTAAGAGATGCACCATCTCTTGCAGCAGTCCAGGCCTGCTTCTTTTCGCACGGCACTTAACTAGACACAGGTAAGAGAGATGTGCGCAAGCAAGATTATGAACATTTCTGCTGAGGATTGCAAGACGGCCACCGTAAAAAAAACCTCAACAAGACGCACACCATTTCCAGGATGATGGGTCCGTGCTGCAGCGCATGCTGCTTGGCAAAGGCGGTGGCGGTCTTGACGGCCAGCGCGTCCATACCGTCCACCCAGACCCCTGGAATATAATCCCCGCGGGTGTAAAACTCGGTGTTCTTGGATGCACGCCGCGCGCTGGTGCCCATGCCAAACTGGTTGTTCTCGATGGTAAACACCACCGGCAGGTCCCACAGGGCCGCCATGTTGTAGGCCTGCATGCATGCGAGGAACAGCCGCTTATTCACCATCCTTTACGCACCGCATGCTTGTGCTCTGCTCCTCCACTGACAAACCACAGCAGGGATGTTTTCTGCTGAGATAAGGGAGATTCTTCATCACACATAAAGTTATAGCACTCCGATCGCACCACAGAAGCACAACATATTGCATTGCTTCCAACCAATAGGTCCTGGATCGACCACTGTTTATTTTCTTAGGGAGCAGCAGGTTGGGGAAAAGCAGATTATGTCAGCAACTTGCCTCGTAAACTTGGCCCTGGTTTGCAGCCCCGTCTCCATACAGCGTGAATGACACATGGCCATCCTTCCTGTACTTGTGCGCCAGCCCAATGCCTGCTCCAAGCGGAACCTGCAGAATAGAAGGAACGCACATCTTGCAATGTGACATGCCCCATAAAAACATGCAAATTCGATATGCTGAATTGATGAGACGCGCACAGAACTCTGGCGCCATTTTTAGAGACCAAGATGCAACGTGCTAGAGTGCCGCAATTGAAAAAAATGATGAGATGGAGGGGATCCTCACATGCGTCCCCACAATGCCGATCCCGCCATAGAAGTTGTGGTCCTTCTTATAGAGGTGCATGCTGCCGCCCAGGCCCTTGGAAGCCCCATCCACGCGGCCCAGCAGCTCTGCCATAACTTCCCTCACCTAAGGGGCCTAAACGCTTTCAGAGCTCCAGGCTGGCATGCATGATTACTTGCAGTTCTACGATAGGTGCAGATGAAAATTGAGATGTAGGATTTCTTATCCAGGTGTGGGAAAGAGACATAGGGAAGCACTGCACCGTGCCACCTCTGCCAATGAAGGTTGTGTGGTCTCTGTAGCTCTGGATGATGGAATCCTGCCAGGTAATAGCTGCCTCCATTCCTGTAGATCCCAAATCACAGTTACCACATTGGACATTTCTCTTCTTGCCAATTGGAGCTTGAACGAGGTTAAAGAGCACCGCTGAGATGCATTTGAAGTGCGAGAGAAATTGCACACAGCTGTGGGTTGATGAACCTGCAGGAATGGCTTCTTGGCCATCAGCAAGATGCAGGAAGCCTCGGATCAGCTTCTGCTTGTACATCAAGTCTGCAGCGAGCTCCATCCTGCAAGATACTTCGCTGAGTCATCAATCTGAACACCTTTCTATGTCTAGCGATCTCGCAACCCGAACCACATTCACTGCATCTGTTTGCAGAGCAAGATCTATTTGAGAATGTAGTGTCATGCCTTCGCATGGTCACCATAAGTCCTGAACATGTTCAGGAGCTCGCTCCTGGAAGTCTCGACTTCCTGGCTAGGGCCCTTCTCCAGCCTGTGCAATCTGAACGGATTCGTGTGCACACTGATCCTAGGATCATGTCCCTCGCTGGCTTGTGAGGGTGCATATGGCCTTTGTGCGACTTTCAGGCAATGTCCCGTGCAGGCGAGACTTCGACACCTCAGCAGCGAGGAGCACCTCGCCAAGGCCATCGATGAGACCTTTGACCCTCTATGATTACTTCAAGGCTTGTGAGTGCAGGGATTTTGGGATGTGCCTCTGAGCAAGTTTCCAAGAAAACCGACCCGATCCAAAAACGGAACACTTTCCGGTGTGGAGGTGGAATTACGGAACCGTTGCAAACTTACGACAATCCCAATTTCTTCCCCGGCAAAGTATGCAGAAAGAGGCTGCTTTCGATTGTCGGCTAAGTTTGGATTACTTTGGTGCTTTTCAATAGCCAAGACTCAAACGCATCATGTACAAAAGGCAGGATTGGCTCCACTTGCAAGGCCAGCATAGCTCCGGAAGCAGCAGTTCTGATGACGAAACAGGTGAGAGCTTCAACGATCAACAGCATGTATATTATTTGTGGGTGCTCTTGTATATGATGCGAGAATGCAAGGTTTGATCTCAGTGTACAAAGCCGCCTGAGCCTTTTCTCCAAGCTCCAATAATTTGATGCTGTATCGCAGATGCTGGATCGGATCAAAGCGAAGACGAGTCAGAGAATAGTCAAGAAGAGGCCTCGCAGAGCGACGGGGAGAATGTAGAAGTAGAGCAAGCAGGTACTGGTCACCTAGCCTTGTCTATTGTTCGATCTGCTACCTTTGCACTCACAAAAGGGGATACACGCATCTGATTCTCTGCTCCAAATACGTTGATGGACTTTTTGTATGCTTGCTGCAGACGATGAAGGTCCGCCCGCACATCGGCTGCAGGACCTATCTGAAGACGACTTTGACAGCAATGCAGAGACGAGCTCTCCCGAGGATGCAGAAGCAAAAGAGAAGCTGGCAGAGCAGAAGAAGTAAGTGCGACTTAGAACAGTGCCAGACCTTACGATCTTTCAGGATGCATGGCCATCTTCTGTATGCTGCAAGCTCCTGCCATGTGCTTTGCACATCAAAGACAGGGCAGACTGGTGTTAAGATCTGATAACAACACTGCAGGAATTGGTTGGAAGCTCCCAAGGCTGAGCAAGTGAAAGGGCGAGCCTTGACCTGCATGGTGTGCAAAGGGACCCTGCTCCTCAATGGGGCATCTCTCAAGCTTCACATCACTTCCAAGAGGCATCAGAAGCAGCTCAAGCTTTTCAGCATGTACTTGGATCCCATCTGCTTTGCTGAGAACCCGGATGAGGACAGCTCAGGTAAACATCAGAGATTATCAAGATTGACTCTCAAAACTCAGCTTTTGCACGATTTCATGCAGGTCTGCATGCTGTGAGCTATCGCACTGGTATGTGCTTCATTAGCTTAACACTGCTGTACGATAATGTTGTAGATGCAGAGACGCATGCGGAGAGAGCAGTCAGGATAGCACAGCAGGCAAGCGCTCTGAAGGAAGGGCAGACTGCATCCAAGGTCCGTTTCTATACCTTTTTTCTGCTAAAAGTCTCTTCTGGGAGATGAGGGGCAGATGGTATCAGACACCTCTGGATCATCAGAGAAGTGCATTTGACAGGCAGTGATGATAACATTGCCTTTTGCAAATTGTAGGAGAGGAAAAGGAAACGTTACAACGCTGAAGCTGGCAAGAAGCGGAAGGGAAAGAGACCAGGAAAAAGGCAGCGGGCGCAGCTGAGCACAGCAAAAGTGCAAGACTGAGTGTTGTGTTTAGCAAGCCAATTCCTGTGAGAGCTTTGAAATTTCAGCTTTCATTCAACGAATGTGAATCTTTAACTGGATGTACCAGCTTTAAGCTAAAATTGGTTGAAGAGTTCAACTGTGCACTGAGCCCTGAAAGCATGTTGTGAGGTGTTGATGCGTTACAATCTCTCTACAGCCAATCAATATCATTAGGTCCCACCCACACCCAGGAACTTGTAGGCAGCAATGCCTCAGGGCAGGCTGGGAATTCATAAACAATACATTGGCGAGCATGCAGCCAGTTACATGGTAGTAACTTGTGCAGGTCCCACACGATTGCCACTCGTTCATAGCTATACTCCAACAAAATCTGTAGGATCTCCTGGCAGGATCTCCCGGTGACAGGGTCTTTGCACATTCATAATTTACTGGCTGCAGAACTAGTCCGCATATCATATGATAGATAATGGGTTGCAACTAAGTGATGTGCCTCACATCACGTCAACGCTACAGGAAGCCGTGTCACTCCATGCAATGGCAGGAGGTTTCTCCTGTACGGAGACGATCATCAATAGGCCATGTTCAACGCAAATCATCAGCAACAAAGCTGTCATATGTTCATCCTCTTGACAGGACACGGCACATCACATTGTCCACAAATCCCAATCCAGCCGGCGGTGCCTGTGAACCCAGCTTGCCAGTGCCAGCAATCTGTGGCAGCTCGCACAACCTTAGCATGCCTGCTCAAACTTTTCAAAACCGTCACAGCGCATGAGACAGCGCACAGCACACCACACATCATATCTTGGGGAACTAAGCTACACCGTCACAACGCGTAGTGTTGGTTCCGACAGCAGAGAGCCTTTCATTATTGCGTCACAGGCACTCTGGGAACCGTTTTGGTCTCTGCCGCGCAGGCTGCCGAGCCTGCGTGGCTCAGGCGATGGGCTTGTGCTTGGGGAATTGCACGTCCACATCCATGGAGGCGCGGGGGGTGCCCTTGGGGGTGGTCATGGGGGTGGTGAGGGGGGTCGACGCGTTGAGGTGGGGCTTCTCGGGGTCCCACATGCGGTACTCCATGAATCCGCGCAGGTCGGCCGGCTTCTTGATGCGCGCCACGCCCAGCCGGAACGCCTCCTCTGCCACTGCAGTCGCCACCTGCAATGGCCCACACAGTGTTCTTGATATTATCTACTGTATTCTCAGGAGGGTAAGGGGTACACGGGCCGGTGAGAGGTGCATGCTGCCAGGTCAAGTTGCTGGTGCAATGGTGCAGTATTGTCAAGCATCAGATTGGCGCCTTGACCTCTCAGCAGGCACCACTGAATATAGGGCCTTGTGATTTAGGATTAGGACAAACGCAAAGGTCTGCATTGCTCATGCAAGCAGAAATTCCTGGAACCCATTGCACAGGAAATAACTCGCTGAAATTAACGCGGCGCATTTGGTATTGACTTTTGTGTGACGCGGAGTCCCACACGTGTCTTGCTGCACAGTAAATCGAAGCGGACACAGTATGCAGAGTCCATGTCACACAAAAGACAGAACAGGGCACAATGCCCAGCAGGGACATTCTTCAGCCATGGATTGAGTGCGCACCGTGGCGGCGCAGGCGCGCAGGTCCTTGGCCTCTGGGTAGATCTGCCCCTGCTCGATCTGCTCCGGCGTCACAAAGTCCGCCACCGCGCGAGCCGCTGCCAGCATCATCTCATCCTGTGCCCAAGAGATTTTCATCAGCCCAAACAAAGGCACCTTGTCTTGCTTGGATCTGGCGAGTCCAACAAGGGGCAGGATTCTGGCAGCCACTGCCTGCAGCTTGTCTGCAGGACCCACCTTGCCTCTTGGCGGGAAAAGCGTGTAACAATAATAACAACTATAAACGAAGGCACCAGCACTGCTCCTGTCGCAGCATCTCTTGGTCAAATTTTAAACTGCCCAGCGATACCTCAACATGCATTTTAGCCAGAGGAGACGGTGCGAAAAGTGTGTCTGTCCCAATGCAACCATTTTCTTGGATGTAGACCAGCGTTTGCTCCATCCACCACGGCCAACATGCCCGCTAAGATGGGGTGGTATGAGGGAGAGCATGTGTACATAGCTTGAATAATCATTGATTGCGACTGGGGCACCTTGATAGTCTTGGCCTTGCACATGACGGCGCCGAAGCCGACGCCCGGGAAGATGAAGAAGTTGTTGCCCTGCCCCGGCTTGAACTCCTTGCCGTTGTAGCAGTAGGGATCTGACGGCGAACCTGTCAGCAGTCAGCAATTTAGAACACTCGTACAACCGCCAAAATACATCTCGAGTGAGATTATTGCTGCAGCGACACACGCAAACAAAGTCAAGTGGCTGCTGATTATACGTTCTGAAGCGCAATGCCATCTGCACCAAGCACATAGAACATGCAAATCTGGCAGCTGCAACGTTCTAGGCCCTGCCGTACCTCAGACAATGGTGCCAGGTGGGCCGTTAGCAGGGCTTCAGTACGTGTCACACAACAGAGAGACGAGTTCAGTAAGGGCAAACCTGAGGCGAAGATGGCCCTGCCGTGGCTCCACTCGTAGGCGTTGGGCGCAGTGATCTCCGCCTTGGAGGAGGGGTTGGACAGGGGGAAGATCAGTGGGTGCTCCACATACTTGCACATCTCCTCAATGTCCTCCTGGGGCAATAAAATAACACAGCATGATTGAATCTTTGCATGTCTGGCCACTTGAGCCTTGGTGTTCCCCATGAGATTAATGAGACAACATAAAACATGCTTGCGCATGTGCAGTACTGTTGTTACAGGCACGAAAGTGCCCGGCATACTCCAGCACGCTTCTGATCATACAGACCAGAACACAACGCAATATGGCCAGAAGTGCTCAAGTATGCCGAGCAGTTCATCTGAATTTGACAGGGGCACCGAAACCAAACCATGAAGGCCCGTCACATGCATGCCATGAAAGAAGCACATGTGTCTCATGCTGGCATGACAGGTAGCAGCCCATGCAAGTCCCCAGGGTGCCAAAGCACACCTTTTTGAAGGAGGGCCCGGCGCCTGAGAGGCCGATGAGGGCGTGGGGCTTGACATGGGCGATGATGTCCTTGAGGTCCTTGAGCGGGGGGTCATCGTCGCGCGCCATCTGCTGCTTGTGCGAGGGCAGCTTGTCGCCGCGCTTCTTGGTGATCAGGCCCTTGCTGTCCACCATAAAGATGTGCTGCAGACGCAAGCACATAGTTTAGCACCACTACGGTACTCACCAAGGACGTGGCATGACAGTATCTGGCAGCTGCACCGAGCTCAAAATGAAGACATATTGTCCAAGCCTACACCTAGCAAGTAATTGCAAATTTCTCGGATTTGAAGCTGCAAACTTCATGGATGGATGCAGTCAGAAACAGAACATCTACATGACTGGCACACGCAACCCCTCAACTGACTATCGACCTTCTTCAGTGACCAACGCTGTGCGATGAAAGGCTGCACTAATATGATTGTAGCAGGCAAAGGGCGCATGATAGGCGCATCCGTGCACCCGCAAAGCAAGGGTCACGCAGACAAGAATATGGCACCTTCTTGGCTTCCTCGAAGGTCAGGCCGGCCTCCTTGACGAGCAGCTGTGCTATCATGGTGGCCACGCCCACCGCAGAGCTGCCCGCGCCGTAGAACACAATGCGCGCATCCTTCAGGGGCGTTCCCTGTGCCTTCATGCCATTGATGAACCTGCACCATGCCATCATGATATTCTCAACAAGTGCGCAGTGTGCAGCAAGTGCATTGTACAACCAAAAGGTATAGGAGGACCAGTAGCCGACTTCTCTACAGATGCAGGGTGTCGACAAGCAGAAGAATAGAGAGACAATAAAGATGGCATTGTAAGAGCATTTGCTTACCCAGCTGTGACAACTGCACCGGTCCCCTGGATGTCATCTGCATGTGGCAAACCATACAAATGTCAGCCATGAACTTCACAGTCAACAGTGCCTACTATGAAGGTTTGCCTGTGAAGCAGGCATGCGACTAAGTCAATGCAGTGCCAGCATCAGAGCAGGCAGGAGGTCTATAATATATGATTGCAATGGCAGGGCTCTGGTACAAAAGGCAGTGCATGAGCCAGAGGGTGCACCATTGAAGCAGAGGAACTTCTCGCGGAAGCGCTCAAGGATGGCGAAGGCCTTGTCGGTCTGGAAGTCCTCGAATTGGATGAGGCAGTCCGGCCACTTGTCCTTGGCCGCCAGGCAGAATTCCTCCACCACCGCCATGTGCTCCTCCCCGCTCAGCCGCTGCTTCTTATTGCCCTGTTTCGCAGCGCGCGCACATCCCGTTACTCATGTTTCGGAGATCTCAGGGCTCTCATACAAATGACTCATGTTTCGGAGATCTCAGGGCTCTCATACAAATGACTGCAGCTGTCATTTGCAGCTGCACATGGCAGCATTGGTAGGGGAATCATGCAGCTAAAGTTCTCCTGTGCCTGTTGAGGATCATGCATGCATGCAGGTGCTGAGCATCTCCTTTGTCCAGGATCCGCCACCAGCGCACGAGAACAAGAGCTGCATCCCAGTCAGCATCAGTATATGTCCAAAAAGGCCTTCATATGCCAGACTAGCAGAAGAGATTGCCTGCGTTATATTATCTATTGCAGGCTCAAGCCCACCCCTTTGCGCAGAGACAGCCAACAGGCCAGAGGGATCAAAGGTGCAATCCCAGCCGTCAAAGGCCGGCAACAATTGACTTGTCTCTTGTCGGTCCTCAAGGTAAGTTTACACTGGGAGAATGGATGAGTACAGAAGTGGAGCGCACCAGATAAGTGTTGTCCTCCAGGAGCTCCTTGTTGTCGGTGCCCACATCCAGCTGTGCAGGCAGCGAGTGCTCTGGGTGGAAGCCGCCAGCCGCCACATACAGTTGGATCTTGCCGACGGGAATCCCCATGCCGTTGGTGCCTGCACAAACGAAAAACGAGTGGCTGAACACTTCACTAATCCGATTTATATCTGAGCAACCTTGCATGCCAGCAAATGCGGAAGCAGAGTTCCAAAACATTTTGAGGGCTCAAAGGTATTCTGAGATTTGTGAAGCACATTTTGCATGTTCACGCAATGTGTCAGGATACCCTTCAAGCCTCAGAAGTGTTCTGGTTGCCAGATCGCGCAACAGAAGCAACCCCAACACACCACCCATCCACACAATCTTGGATATTTTAAATGCAGCTTCGCAGCCGATTAACGTGTCCTGGTCGCCACATCGGGTGACAGGAGTTTTGTCCAACGCATCAAAGGTACCAATCTTGCAGATCTCAACGCAGCTTGGGAGCCGAGTGAAGACTTCTGAGTTAGCAAATTGCGCAATGGGTGCAAACCCCAACGCACCGAGGTACCGATCTTGCAAAAGTCAATAAAGCTTGGGAGCCCGAGTGAAGACTGGTTTCTGGATTTCGTAAATTATGCGACATGACACCTAAGAACTCACCCAGGTCGCCGAGGCCGAGAATGCGGCCGCCGTCGGTGACGACGATGATCTGGACGTTGTGGGAGGGCCAGTTGTCGCAGATCTCCCGGTAGCGTCCGCGCTGGTTGAAGCCGTCAAAGTACATCCCCAACGCTTGCCTGCCACCGCTTGAGCATTCCGATTCACAATGTCTCTGTTCCCAAACGCCCGGCGCATGCAGTGATCATAGCATGGGGGCATGCATATGGTTTTGCACTTGCAATGTCGCGCAAACCCAGTCCAAGACATTCATGGCACATGACAGCCATTCTTGTACCCTGCTTGCAAATGCCTGGTGCTGCATCATGCCTGCATGCATCTGCCTCCAAGTGCACAATGTGCGTGATGCAGCAGCTTGAGGCTGCTCCTCAGTATTCACAGATGCATGCAAGGGTGCGCCAGTGTGTCATGCATAATGCATGCGTGACAACAAGACAGCTGGGTCTGGGATTTGATAACCTGTAGATGCGGTCAAATTTCTGGCAGGCTTCGCCGACAGTGGGGGTGTACACCACTGGGGCCAGGTCAGCCACGTTTCGGATGAGCACATAGTACAGCAGCGTCACATTGGTCGCCGCCAGCTGTGACAGCAGCTCGTACTTCTCCAGGCCTGTGCGGCACTCCGAGTTGAGCTGCAGCATCACCCTGCGCACCAGAGGAACACCTGCTTGCTCTGCACGGGGACACGCATGCATATGCCCAAGCCCATGACAGGAACAAAGAGTCACCGTGGAAAGCCATGGAAGATATCAATAAGATACACGCCCAGCATTGTGGAGAACAGAAGACACAGATTCCATTGAGCAGCTTTGCAGGTGCCAGCTTCAGTGCAGCTTCTGGTGCTTCCATCAGGCTTGCGATTCCAATGAGTGGCGCACCTCTCTGCCTGCAGCTCAATGGGCTCCACAGCCGGTGGCAGAAGCCCCTCAAGCCTGAGACACAAGAGACGAATTGAGGAGTGGAAAGTTACAGGCCAATCATATGGCTTGTTTCACCAAACGCATGCTCCTTGAAGCCTCATAGTTTGACAATGTGCGGAGGTGGAAAGCACTCACTTCTTCCTTCTGCGCTCTTCGGGTGTGAAGTTTGTGCCTGTCGCCAGCCACGCCAGTCAGATTGGACGCAAATGTATTGAAAAAATTCTTGAAAGCCCCAGAAAAAGTGTCAACCTCCCCAATGCATCACGACAGGAGAACCCTCTCAAGTGCAGGTTGCGTAATTGATGTAGGGTTGTAGTTCCAACAGAAGGTCCGAGCGGATAGTGAGGATGTGTCTCCACCTCTGTTGAGGAAAGGGTTCCATATTAGGGGAGCTGCGCCAAGTTCCTCAGAGCTCTTGAACGCCTTGGTTCTGGTGGCCGCAGCACCTGTAGAAGTACAGATTAGAGTAATTTGAGCATTTGTGGGGGGCAATATACCATCCCGTTGCTGAAAAATTTGCCCCATCACACATGTTACTAGGCAGTGACTGGGTGTTCTCAGATGAATTCTTCATCTTTAATTTGTTTGTTGATTGAAGAGAGATACCAAAAATGTGTAGGACAATGCGACAAGCACAGATTGTGATACAAGTGCAGATGGTTATTCCCACGGACGTGCACAATAATGCTCCAAATTCTAGGTCTTCGGTTGATATGTCTCACCCGGCTCACAAACATCAGCCTTCGGGCCATCGCTTGTTCCAGAGCGAATAACCAGCTCTTCGATCTTGCTCATGAGGGACATCTTACTACAGGCTCACCCCAGATGGGGATTCAAATGCTAGGCTTGTCACTCTTTATCGTGCACAGCAAGTGTTACCAGCAATCTCTTGTAGAGCAGTTATTCTATATCTCACAAGGTTAAGGTGCGCTAACAAGACAACTGATACTCCAGCAAACTTTATCTGGTATTACAAGAGCAGAGATGCGACCTCGTGACCGCAAGCGTCACTGAAGGGAATGCCTAATCTGGCGCACGCCATGCATGCAAACCATCGATACGTCCAACACCCGAATCTACCGAGAGACCATCACAGCGCCTGAGGCGGGCACTGAAGATCACGCAAAATGTTGTCTGCAACGCACAACGGCTGCAAGAAAATTGCATGTCTACTCAAGGCGCCCTGTTCCGGCCGCGCCGAGGGACAGATTTAGTATCTACTAAATTACCTCCCACCTACTTAGTAGATCTCGATTTCCGCCCACTGCAGTGGCAGCTACTAGCTCATGAGTGTAGTACAGCGTAGTACGGTGGCTTGCTCAATACATAGATGTCACCGAAGTCGCCTGGGCCAAGTCCAGCAACACGGCATGCCAACATTCAACGAGATCACTGCAAGGCATCCGTTGCACGGTGTTGAGCATCAAGCACATGACAACCAGGCCTTCAATGGTACCGGTAGCGCCTTTCAACCAGTCTTATCCAGCGCCCACATGCATCTACACCTGGGCCTGCTCTGAGGCGGGGAGCAGAGCTCGGTCAACCAGCTGTAGCAGTAACTGCCGCCGCCTGCCAGTCCCCTCCACCACACTTATCTGCACCGCCGACTTGTCAAACACAGTGAAGCGGCGGCTGCCGTCCTTGGACACCACCGTTTGCTTCTCCTCATCCAAAGTGTACTCGTCATCTGCCTTCTTATCCTGCGCGCTAGTGGATGCGCCAACGTTCTGCCGCTGCTGCTCCTTTGCCTTGCTGGTCAGGTAGACTGGGCCCTCGATGCCGTACTTGGGGACAAACACCACCAGCCCATTCGCCTTCACCTGCAGGACCAGACCAGAAATCAGCAGTCTAACAGTGTCCTCAATTTAAATAACATAGCCCCCAGGTATTTGCCTTAAACCAACAACCAACCAAGGATTATTTCCCTTTTTTAGGGGAAAGGGGTCTCACTATACTCTTAATTGATGCCTGCCATGGAGGTATTGCAAGTGCAAGATTATTAAGGAATGGCTGCCTTGCGGTGCAGAGTGTTCAATGCACAAAATAATTCTGCTTTATCTCTGTGAGGCAGCTCTTCCTTTCATGACTCGCGCTGGCATTGCCCCCATATTGGTATATCATACTCTTTAAACAAAACAGACTTGGTATTCTACGGCAAGACAAGGCTGTGCAGCACAAGAAAAGACAAAGCTGCAAAGTTAGATCACTTCAATCATGGCACATTCTGGGGATGATCAAGCACCTTGGTGATGCGCGCATCGGCGATGACGGTGCGGTCCTTGAAGAAGATGAGGGTGTGCAGCTCCACGCTGGCGCGGCCGGCCATCTGAGCGTTGCGGTGGCGCAAGTTTATGTTGTCCGCCAGCGCCGCCAGCTTCTCCCGGTCGCGCGCGTCCTCCGGCAGCCGGTTTAGATTCAGCGCCGCCGCCAGCAGCCGGTGCACCACAACATCCGCATACCTGCCCAGTACAACCGACACCTCTCAACACTTCCCTTATCTCCAACAAGTTCTCATATCCAGTGCAATGCCAACCTTTGGACATCTCAGAAATTTTGCTGAGTTCCTTCATCCAGTGCAACGCACACGTCTCAACACTTCAGGAATTTCCCTAAATTCTTACATCCAGTGCAATGCACACCCCTCGACACTTCAGTGACTTCACAGAATTCTTTTGCATGTATAGACTGTGGTATGTTCCTCCGTCCCGTCCACATCCGTCCCGTCCACATGGAATGGCAAGGATTCAAGGCCTCTCTTAAGTCTGGCTGGCCGGCACATTCCAGCAACAACCTCAAAAACAGTTGACAAGGAAGATCGTGCTTTTGTCGAGAAGCACAAGGAGGGAAGCATAATTCCCCAATATGTAGCTGGCTGCATGTGGCAGCAGAAGGGCACCTTGCAAGCCTACAATGCAAGCTGAACCTCTTGCACATTCGGCTGCCTGCAACGTACACCGCGAGTACCAAATGCAGCCTACGGGAAAAGCTCTTTGTGGAAGAACTTTCAGCATGTCAGCGCAGGTTGAGTGCTGCAGAGCTGGAGGCGGCACCTGCGGATAGGGGAGGTGAAGTGGGTGTAGAGGGGCGCGGCCAGGCCATAATGGTGGTACTCCGGGGGCGCGAAGTCGCCGGAGCCTATGTAGACTGCCTGAGTCATGCAGCGAGTCGCCATGATGCGCACGAGCTTGTTGAAGTACGCATCCTCGCTCCTCACCGCCTGGTCCAACGACTCCGCCAGCGCCTGTGCCCATTTGCAGTTTTCAGAGCTATTAGGGCTTTACGCTATGCAGTCAACCATGCCTGTGTCTGCATGTTGCTCATTTGTTGCTTGCATGTATGCTGAGCAACAGTGACCCGAATCATCAGTGCGTGTGCCAGCTCGCTGTTGCAAGGCCTCGAGTCACGGTCATCTGGGTAGGCCTTCTCATTGTGGGCCACCGGGTCCAGCTGCTTGGGGATGCGCGGGTCCTCAACGAGAAGGCCTACCCAGATGACTGTGACGCGAGGCCTTTCAACAGCGAGCTGGCACACGCACTCATGATTCGGGTCACAGTTGCTTGGTTTCGGAGAAGGTGCATCGCCGTGGTCTTGAGCAAAAGCAGAGCCTTTGGTGGAAAAGGCATGCTTTGCCGGACATGTTCCAGTGTTGCTGACGATAGGTTCCCTGCTGAGCCACCCTTGCTGCGCGTGTTCTAGGCAGGCTATCATACGTTTCAAATTGTGCTCTCTCCACCCCTCATCTGAACGATTGTGGCCATGCAAGCTGGCGATTGGCGCAAGCTGGTGAGGCACATCTTCGTCACAATGCTGCATCTTCAACATGACTTCTAAGCAGGTCTTCAGCAGGCTTTGAGCCAAAGAGCGATGCAGGGGACTGCATAATGCGCAAGGGCAGACCTTGGACGTTGAGATGTCGATGGTGAAGCCGGCAGCGGTTGCAGCGCGCAGCAGCGGCTCGAACTGCCGTGGCGGCGGCACCGCATGGCGCCTGAGCAGCGTGCAGGCGGCAAAGGCTGCGAGCGTGTGCTGCGCCACTGTGATGTTGGCTAGAAGCATCATCTCCTCCACCATCTGGTTCGCCTCCCTCACCTGCAGCGATTAATCAACCCTTGTGTCTTTCAGACGAGCGCAGAATAGGAAGCGCGGCTGCCCATGACAGTCTCCAGATGGTTTTTTTTTTGCGGAAGATGCTAATCAAGACAGATTGTTTTTTTCGCGCAGAACATTGCTGCCAGGCACCTCGATGCCACCATAGCGATGGAAATTATATGACAAGATCCGGTGCTACGATAGCATAGAGACAGATGGGAGCATTGTCTAATGTGACATTATGTCTCGCTCTGACAAGACACGAGAGCAAAAAATTCCACCCTAAGAGTAATCTATGAGGTGATGCACAAAAATTGCAAGATTGCCGCAAGATGTGGGCACAGGGACGCGCCTGGTACATGCCGACGTCCAGGGGGTCGTGCGTCTCAGTATCGATTTCGAATTTGACTTCCGGGGACGCCAGCTGCAGCGCGCCAGCCTCGGCGCGCCGCCGCCGCAAGATCCTCGCGATCGCGTTCATCTTGCGCAGATTCACGCTCAGCTCGTCGTGCAGCCTCTCATCGTCGATGCGCGACTGCGCCTCCGCATATGTCAGCGCCGCCCGGCTCCTGCGAGCAAACCCAAAACCCATGACACTGCATCCTTGGTATACCGCTGATCTTGGTGCGATGATTTCTTGCTTGGACATTTGACATGAGCAGACGGACATTTGACATTAGCAGACGTGGAACAACCGCGCAAGAGCCAGTCAAACGATTTGCTCCAGGCGTGTAGCAGGAAATATTTCCAGAATGTGCCAGTGAGAAAGTGCAGCATGGGGTGCTCTGGCCATCCCTAACAAATTCATGTATTGAAGCCGAGCGCACGCTCGTTCTGAACTCCAAAAAACGAGACATGCTGGCAAAATATTTCTGTAACTTCCTCAACTGTGAAGCTTTGAGATGTGAAAGCCTAAATCTTGGACCTCAAAATTAGACATGCTGGGAGCTGTTTGGGCTCACTTGATGACGGATTTGGTGAAGCGCACGCCGACGGTGCGCACGTCGGGCGTCATCTCCCACAGCACAGAGAAGGCCAGGCGCTCGACGTCCGCTCGCAGGCTGCAGATGTCTTCTGTCAGCGGCTTGGGCAGCATGTCTATCCGCCGCTGCACCAGGTACGTCGTCGTAGACCTGGCACACAAAAAGTCGCACAGGATTTAGAATCTGAGGAACCACTCAGCAGAAGTCCCATGTTGGCAAGGTCTCCGCTCTTTGCAGCCCTTCAGAGAGCACGGCAATGCAGCTCAAATGCACTGCACTGCAAGCCTCGCGCAGGAACTGCAAAGAGGGGCAAACCCGTACAACATGCGGCAACTGCGTGAGATTCCTCATCAAGTAACGCTTTTATTGTGCGTACATTCTAGCTCTCAAGCAAGCCTCTGAGGGTGCTCAATGGAACTGAGGTGATCAAGTGCATTGCCAGGCAGGAAAGATGCAAGGGTGGGACCTGGAGGCCGCTTCAACATCCATGGCGGTGCCTGAGTGGAGGAAGTGGGTGACATCAGCGATGTGCACGCCCAGTTCCAGGTTGCCGTTGGGCAATTCGCGAATGTGCAGCGCATCGTCAATGTCCTTGCAGCCGGGTGGGTCCACGCTGCAGATGGGCAGGTGCCGCAGGTCCTCCCTGCACATGCGCGCACATGCCCTTTGAGCGTGGCATCACCGGCGCCGCCCTTGAACTACATCTATATGCTTGACCTCCCCTGATATCTCTGGGTGAACATCTCCCTCTAGGGGCTCACAGGAATGACCCAGCCATTGAAAAATGCCAGTCTGAAAGCATGGCAAAAAAGAGGGCCAGGGGCTGCTCTGCTTCATTGCTGAGGCCTAGCAGGGGCCTTTCAATGTTCCAAAGAGCTATGGGAGCTATGCTAAACGGGAGCTATGCTAAACGGGAGCGGCAGTAATGTACGAAGAGGCTCATTGATTCAACACATCCAGTAACAAGCAAACTTGTCGAATTACGGTACTTCAAGGACAGCTGTTTCACCTGTTGGGGTCATCGATGTCCCCTTGAGTGACGCTCCAGGGCAGCGGGGGCACGCATGCATGCACGGCGGGCGTGAAGGGGCTGGTGTTGATGTCATTCTCCAGCAGCAGCACCTCGGTCTCTGTGTCGCGGTCCCCGATGGGCCCCAGCGTGCACACGTAGTGGCCGGCCGGGTAGGCGCTGTCCGGCTCCCAGCCGTCTATCGCCACCACTATGCGCTTGTCTGCCAGCGTGGCCGCCTGGAAAGAGAACAGGCAGGTGTCACATGAAGTTCGTGCATGGAAAGAGCCGAGCCTTTTCAGGCAGCACTGGGTGTGTCTGTTGTCAAGCAAGGCATGGCACAACAGCAGGCAGGTGTCACATGAAGTACATGCATCGCAGGAGAAGGAATGCTCTAGGCATCACTGGATGTATTTGTTCTCGTGCAAGGCATGGCAAATCCACAAGAGCAGGCAAGTGTCACATGATGGACATGCATGGCAACGAAAGGGAATGCTCTAAGAAACTATAATCGCATCAGGCCTCATGCTAGAAATGGACAAATCCACAAGAGGAGGCATGTCTCAAATGGTGGATATGCATGATGGGACAAGACACTTTTCAGGAAGAATTAAAAAAAGCTCTGCTCAATAACAGACATGGCAGAGGTGAGAGAAGTAGCTCAGGATTCATGATGCTTTCTTGTCCCATTCCTTGTCCCACTGCTCAGGAAGCCTGGTCTTGATATCTGTAAGATACGGAGTTGAGAAGTAGGAATACAACCTTTGCGCACTCTCTTCACAAAACACACTGCATGCAGCCAGGAAGGGTAGGAAAGTGGCGATTACCTGGCGGGTGTGTATGCGGATGAAGGGGAACTTGCGCTCTATGGGGCAGAACAGCATGTTGGCGCCGCCTCTGCGCGCGCCCCGGCCCGGCTGATCCGGCATGAGACTGCCGGCATACCCCCTTGTCCTCCAGTTGCGCCGGATTATTCCCACTACCTTCCCAGTCGGCCGCTTCTCCCCGCTGCTGGCCGCGTCGCCGTAGTGCTCCCCGGGAGCCACCTGCACGTGCGCAACAAGTTGCTGGTGGGGTCTTTTGTCACAGTTTAATAATGCGCCCAAGCCTCGGGACTTCTCACAAACTTGCGCTGCATGTCCCTAGAGACTACTGTACGCAAACGGTACTAAAAAAAGGTCCAAGATATAGGACTAAAGAACTAAAAGAACAATGTGTTTGGTGGTCTGAACAATCTGAAGGTCGGAATGTCCTCCACCTTCTCATGCAATGAAACATATCATTGACATGTGGTCATCGAGGACACCCTGACCTACAATTCACCAAAATGAAGAACCACGACATTTCCACACCTGAGGTGCCATGCCTGCGCCATCTTGGTCCCGGGCCAGATCCTCAGTTTCCGCTGAGTCAGCGTCCTCATCAGCATCAGTCATCGCAGCGTCTGCCGCATCCTCTGGACCACGCAACCGCGCACTCGCACCCACCTGCATGCACATGCCGCCACATGTCTCATGACCAACTTCCATAATCTTTTCAGCTCTCTGACCCCTGCAGCTCCTTCCAAAACATGACAACGTCACCAGATAAGTCAATACTTCTTGCCATTGGCATCTACAGGAGACCTATAACCTGTAGGATGCTATCAAGACAGCGATTCAAGAGGCCCACCTGGGTCAGTATTGGGGGTACCAGTAACATGTAGAATTGCAGACATGGGCTTGATTCTGCAGAGTGTCTTAGAGCGCACCCATTGGTCTTCTGGTAGGAGCTCCACTGCGACAATGTCCCCTTCCAGCGCGCGGTTCATGGCAGTGCGGCCGGCAATCAGAATGTCCTGCCCCACGCTCTCAGAGCCCACATAGCCCTCATAAGGGTTGAACCTGTTCACCCTCAGTGACCCCTGCACAACAGAACACAGCCCATCAAAAGGATGCAGCCAGGGATGGGAGATGCACTGTATTGGCAACCCCATGTGCACATATCTTCCAGATTAGTACAGCACCTTCCTGCACGAGAATATGTTCTTCTGCAAGAAAACGCTCTACCAACCAGGAGGGAATACACACAGCACTGCTCAACTACATAGCTGCTCAGAGCTCACACAAGGAAGGCATGCCCAGAAGAAGGAAAGAAACAGAAGTTTAAGACCTCCTGTGTACTGGTGGCCAGGGTGTAGCACCTGGTGGAGCGTGCCAGCCTTGATGCCGGCAGTGATGCTGCTCATGGGCCGGTGGTCCTCGTAGATGCGCTTGCGCTTGACAGACCTGCCAGCGCCAGTATCTATCTCCATCCCCTCCTCGCCATTCGCTTCCCCTGCCACCAGATCCGCCAGCTCGGGCTGATCTGTCAGGCCCCTTGCGTACGCCTGCATGTCACCCAGCACTCTGTAAGTTTTAACCGTTCAATCAAATGAATGCTTGTGACTCTTACGGTCACACTGCACTGCACTGCTGCACTGCTGATCAAGGCCGTGAACATGTACATGTCATCAGGCTATTATTGTACCTTTTCTATGGCCATTTATATTCCTAAACCTGGGACTTGGCAAGTCCCTGTAGATCTACTATGTCTGATCAAAGACACATGCATCCATTGCTAGTCTCATTGTTGAGTGGCTGAGCACTGCACCCAATGAGCACACAGCATATGGCAGTGGTCTAGGACACTTCTCAAAAGCAGGAACCAATGTCTCCATCAGGAGACAAATACTGCCAATACATCACTCATTGAAAGTGAATAAGGGGCCGGACATGCAAGTCAGACAGGGTGGCGAAGGCAGGGAGGGCTCAGGAGGATGAGGGGCGCACATGCACGCTGAGAGCCTTGATGCCCTCGATTGCTGCTTTCTGGCGGTTGTCCACATCGTTGGAGAGCATAATGATGGGCATGGTGGGCGCCCTGCGCATGTACCAGGCTGTCGCCACCCTGATGGCCCTGTCATTTCTGTCGTTCGGGCTCTCGCTGACATCTGCCTTTATGTACGTCTCCCTGCAAACCACAACATACTGCAATAGACACCAAGTTGTGCAGGCACAGATCCGCGCCCACATGTAAGACGAGAGCTGGATTTGCCTTGGAGTCTGGGTGCCTGCTTGAAGCCACAACGGCAGTAAATGAAGGAAATGCGTGCATAGAGGCTAGGAGTATGGATGCACGCGTGAAGTAATTAATTCTGGGCTTTCTCACCTGTGGTGGTCGTTGACAAAGACGAAGAAGCGCTTGGAAGGGGAGTCGATGAGGGCTCGCAGGCGCTGGTAGGCAGAGGCGTTGCGGTGGCGCACCTCCTCCAGCACAGTGCCCAGAATGATCACATCCGCAATTGCTGCATGCTCCAAAAAGTCCATCTGCACGCAGTCATGGCGACAGCACTCCTCAGAACATGTCATACATACTCATTGATGAACGCCTTCTATCAGGTTCTTGACTGAGCTTTGGCCAAGTCATCTGTGAATATTCTTCCTTCTAAAGGAGCAACAGGTATTCAATCACAGGTGATGGGACTCTGGCCATTCTTGTGAAAGGGACTGTGGTAGGGGGGCACCTGGCTGAGGGCCACATTGGTGTCCACGACAAGGTACTGCTTGGCATCGGCTGCGAGCTTGTTGGAGGCTGCATCTGACTCGGGGTCTAAGGGCGTGCCACTCCAGATGTCATCTCGCAGGTAGTGCTCCTTGTTCACCTGAAGCAGACGGCTGGGACTCTTGGCTGGACGTCCAATGATGCAGGCGATATATCATGCATTCAAATATAGCCTCTGCAACGATAGCTCCCCATGATAGAGATGCCAGATGATCGAAATGGCAGCGCCGAATGCAACTCCAAGGAGGGATTCTTGTAAGCCAGCAGTCACTTTCACTTAGTACGATCTGATAAGCGACATGGCTACGTACCTGGACAGTCTTCCCCTTTTTGGTCAACTTGATGAACTTCTTATGCTGGAGCATTGTGATGAGTGGATTTTCACGTTGCCATATTTTGGATGCTGGTTGGACGGCTCATATTACTCAATTGTACTATGCATTCCTAGCTTCTGTTCGGGATCTGCGAGCAAGAATCGCAGATCATCAAAGGTATTGAGGTCCTGAGATATTTGTTATTGCGAACAGTGTCAAAGTGCACACTGCAACGTTCCGACATCGCCTTTCGGAAAATTGTGGAAACGCCGTCGTCCTGACGTAATGCTCCCCAGCGCAACCATGATGTGAATTTCCACAAGTCATGCAGCACAAAATAATCGCGAATAGGCAGAGTCTTTTGTATTGTCTGTGAAGAGGTTTGTAGCTTTGTTCAATCTTCTCAGCACAGCAGGACTAAATAGTCCAGAAAGGTAGATCTCAAAGGGCTTTCGGTGCTCAGGAAAGCATCAAATACGAGATCGGGAATTAAGTAATATTCAAAGAAAGATCAACGAAAAGCATGCAGTAGAACCCAGAAGCCATCAATTGCAGAGAGGTATCTCAGAAAACATAAGAGCTTGGACAAACAGAGATGGCTTCTAATCTTGACGAAGTGGGAGAGAGGTCGGACTTTCCTATAGTCTGTGAGACATGCTTAGGCCCGAATCCATATGTGAGGATGCAGAGGATAGAGTTTGGAGGGGAGTGCCACATCTCTGGCCGCCCATACACTGTCTTCCGATGGCGCCCAGGCAACGATGCACGGTATGTCTTCTATCCCAAAGGTCTAATATATTTTGCATGTTGATGTGCTTCCATCCTGAGACGTCTACCTCTTCGCCCATCACACCTGTGTGATCGCCAGGTAGCTTGTGCTGAAGAGATACCTTACGTGTGACCTTTTGCCAGTGCTGGCGTGTGCAAAATAGAATTGCTGTACGATAGTCGTGACCTCCCCACCTTTACCACAGCTTAAGCCTCTTACTATGTCAATTCACACTGTTGTTCTCCTGCAGGTACAAGAAGACCATCATCTGCCAGGAGGTGGCCAAGGCGAAGAATGTGTGCCAGGTGTGCCTGCTGGACCTGGACTACAGCATCCCGGTGCAGGCCAGGGATGCTGCGCTGGGAATAGAGGACGAGGTGCTGCCAGAGAGCGATGTGGGCAAGGAGTTTAAACTGAAGGAGCTGGAGAACGCAGGCACCTTGGATTCATCATACTCAAAGGTGAGCCCTGCTGCCTCCTCAGCTTGCCACATCTCATCCTCATGTGCTTTCCAGGGGATCTGCATAGCAATCAGCGCACGTGCATATCCCCTTGGTTGCACAGGCGGATGGGCTGTTGCAAGTTGAACAGGGAATGTCTAGTATGTCATTGCATGGTCCTGAGAAACGTGTCAACTGCTGACTGTGCATAGGCGCAGGAGACTTCCCAAGCAATTGCCTTGAATGTATCACAAGATATGCTCAGATAACAAGAAGGGGGTTGCATTTGTTGTAATTGACGTTATCAAGTCCTTCAAGCACTTGCTGACAAATCTGTTCTGCTTGCGCTGCCGCAGACGCAGGCAAACGACAAGATCCTGAAGATGCAGCGCACGACGCCGTACTACAAGCGCAACCGCGCGCCCATCTGCTCCTTCTTTGTGAAGGGCGAGTGCAAGCGCGGAGCCGAGTGCCCCTACCGCCACGAGATGCCCACCACAGGGCCCCTGGCCGAGCAGAACATCAAGGACCGCTATTACGGAGTCAACGACCCTGTGGCCAACAAGATGCTTGCGCGCGTGGACGCCATGCCCAAGATCGAGGCGCCTGAGGACCGTGAGATCAAGACACTGTGAGCCCCCAGTCCCTCCCTGCCCTTTCCAAGGCCATGAGCCAATTACTCTGTTGCGCAGCAGAAGTAGAGCGTTGTGGTATTTCTTGCAATTGGAGGCAGCCTAGGGCCAGATGCAGAGAAAGGTGCTGAGCAGACTCGTCTGCATGGCTCCAAGGAGGGTGAATTGCTCGCTGATTATTACTGTTGCGGTGTTGGGATATAGTCTGACAGTAAGCCTGTCTGGCATGCAGGTATGTGGGGGGCTTGGCGCCAGAGGTGGAGGACCAGGACTTGAGGGACCACTTCTACCCCTACGGAGAGATCTCCAGCATAAAGGTGGGCATCGTCCCCCTGCCATCCACCTTATCACTTGCTGGGTTTACTGACTTGCTGTCCAGGTACACATGGGTGGGCACTGGTCAGCTACAGAAGGCACCACATGGCTGGAGAGTACGTGAACTTGACGCTGGCTTTGTTGCGCAGATCCTGTCGGCGCGGCACTGCGCGTTTGTGACGTACGCGACGCGGCCGGCGGCGGAGCGGGCGGCGCAGGAGCTGCAGCACAAGCTGATCGTGCGCGGCCAGCGCGCCAAGCTCATGTGGGGCAAGCCGCAGGAGAAGAGGACGCTTGAGTACCAGGACGGGATGGCGCCACCGGAGGGGGGTCCCCAGCCACCGCCCATGTCCATGCTTCCACCGCAGGTCTGTGACATTCTCACTCCCCTCCACTCTTGCTGTCCTGATTGTTTTCCTCGCTTCTCTTCTTATCTCAAGAGTGTGAAGTGGTGATGGTTTAATGTGAATGTTTCCAAGTTGCTGAGCTGACGGTTGTGGTTCTGGTGTGCAGGTGGCGATGCAGATGGGCGGAGCGGTGCCGTTCGGGGCGCCACCGGGCCCCAACTTCTTCAACCTGCCGCCGGGAGGCGCACCGGGGCAGCTCTACCCCTCCATGGATCCCTCGCAGGCCGGCACGCGCGCGCAGCGCGACGGCGGCGCCCCCGGCGAGGCCGGCCCGTCCTCCAAGCGCACGCGGGGCCCTGAGGGTGGCTACATGCCGGGCCCGGGCTTCTATGGGCCGCCGCCGGGGGCTGCAGGGTTCCCCTCGGGGCCCGGCCGCGGCGGCGCGATGCTGCCGCCATGGGCCGGCGGGGCCGGCCCGGGCGGCTTTGGTGGTGGCCCGCGGCCCCCGCCTGGGTGGCGGCCGGGGGGACCGCCCCCCGCAGGCGTGCCGATGGCGGCCGGGGGGCCGGCAGCCGCGCCCAGCGCCGACGGCAGCTGATTAGTGCTGTTTTGAGGGCATGTCTGCCCTTTTGCATCGTTGCTGCACACAATTGTGGCATGCGGGCAGCTGCAGAATGTTGGGCATGAACAGAGAGAAGTGCAGTGGCAAGGATTATGTCCATTTGATCTGGGACAGATGCGACAGTCCTGTGATCACATCTCTACTGCGGTGGTATATGAGCAGGTTTGAGTTATAGAGAGGACGGAGTCTTCTTTGATCAAGAACTCTGCTAGGTATTTGCACATGCTTGAGCTCTCACTGTAAATTTGATTAAAGAGCATTCTTTTCGAGCTATTCAGCATCACAACTCTGCTGCAGGATAGACTTTGCAGAGTACACATTTCGATTTGAATTGGAGCATGAAGGAGAGCAGCTTCCCTGCCACCGAAAGTTTTTGACCATGAACATGTGCTCACATGCCACGATGCAGCTTACATATATTCAATTGTTCCCCACCATCTAATAGCTAGACCCCATACATTAACTGGCAAGTGGGAAATCAAACCTCTGACAAAGCATGTATTGAAAAGTCTTCAAGCAAATTGCACTGCACAGCAACATCAAATATGCATGGTCTCACCATAATCAAGCTCGTTTTCATCATTTCAGTCATTGGAATCCAGTGTAAGGCAGTACTACAAACTGACACAAGGACACATTATCTAAAGCACTGCATCCAAGTCATCCAGCAGAATGCTGGGAAAATTGAATTTAGGACGTACAGCATACCGCATACAATCAGTAATGTCTTCCAGATGAGCGTTTAACGCCAAGACTATCCCAGAAGTTTCTATTTTTAAACATTCTCTGTTGTGAACCAGCACAGCAGATATTGGACATCTTTCAGGGAATTTGTCTGGGAGACCAATCAATATGTGCTCTGGCGTGAAACCCAGGATCCTCAGCCCCTTTACCGTCTGCCCCTGCTGTGGATTGGCTCTGCATCCCAGGCCCACGGGTGCTGCATTCCAATCGCAGGCTTGCTCACCGAGGCAGCCCTGCTGACTGCCGGTGACTGTGTAGCTCGGGGCGTTCCCTGCCAACACCCATCCTCATTCAGTCCACGTCCATACATCTAAAACCAATGCGCATAGTTGCTTTGCTTTGCAGCATGTGAGACTGCAGTGGGTTGTCATGGCAGCAAGAAACAAGATGTGCGCACCTGCACTGAGGGTGTCGCGCTGCCGGCTGGGAAAACCGAGCAAGTCCTGCTGAGTGCTGGTGACTGTGTAGCTCGCGGCGTACCCTGCCAAACATACAATCCTCAGCTTATTCCATGCGCATGCATCAACAAATCATGCGTATGATTGCTTTGCCGCGCACCCCAATAAAACCCAAAATGTCCGCAAATTATCATGCTTGCACACTTGCTAGCAGACCATGCGCAGTGGCATGCATAGGAGACTGCAGTCATTGTTGAGGCAGCAAGAAAGATGCGCTCACCTGCACTGAGGGTGTAGCAGAGCCGGCTGGGAAGACGGAGGAGCGGTGCACTGCAGGGGCATGGATGTGTTTCACCCGCAGCTCTGGTGCAATCCACTTCTCTGAAGCCGCGCCGAAGTTGAAGAAGCCCTCCTGCACCAAGAATGGTGCACCGCTCTCATTTCCTCCACGGCAACCACAGGGGACTCTAAACTAAGTAAGCTGAATTAGAGTCCCCTGCCAACCACAAATCAAGGAAAGAAGCAAAATGGTCCGCAAGTCATTCTTGACAAAAACGATGAAGCAGGGGAAGCCCGCTCAGAGCTCTCACTGAGCGGGCTAGTGACCTGCAAGTGATGCATAGGAACGGCATTTCTATGAGCAGCCCATCATTACATGCCCAGGGAAGCGAGTGCAGCTGTCGCACCTCTCTGCACAGCTCCTTGTTCACAGCCTGCCGATCCGCCTCCTTGTGCATGCGCTTGAACAGGGCATTCTCTGCCGCTGCGCGCCTGTTCAGCTCGTTGTCTTCATGCTGATGCGCGCGTCTGGCCCGCGCCTGATGACACAATGCATGCATGCTTCACAACAATTAAAAAGCGCAGGAGGATATCGGAAAGTATGGCAGCATGTTTCCCTTCTTCCTTTCAGCATGCATTGCTTTTGCCATGACAACTGCTCTAGGTCGAGCATGACCAGGCAAGACATCAGGAGGATGTTCACACACCGCTACATGCTCTGGGATCGACAGGGCTGAGATGGTCCACGGCCGCTCAATCTGCGCGCTGAGCTGCTCGGGGTTATGCCCCTGCCTCTGGTGCCAGCGCATTTCTTCCTCCTCCTCCCTCTGCTTGATAGCCTGCTTCTCCTTCACCCTCTGCTGCTCCACCTGTTGCACCTCCTGCCTGCATGCATGAAAGGCACACCTGTTTGCCACCTTCATAAGGCAGGCTTAAAGGGCATACGTTCACCATTGTGCACAGACATGATGCTTGAGGGCACAGGCCAGTGTACAGACCTGTACTCTTCAGGTTGGCCATACAGACTCTTTCGCAGTCGCTCCTCAGTGTGAGCTTTGCTGGCCCTTCTCTGTGTCCAGTACGCCTGCGAATGTTCACCGGAGCGCCTTTCTCAGATAATTTCATGGTCAGGATACGAGTACACCCCTTTCTAGAAATACGTTAATTAGATCTAGGAAAATTAAAGTAATCTGAGACCTTGGTCGAGCACTGTCCTCTTGCGTTTACCTCGTCATTCTGATGTTCACGTTCGCTGTTTTCCTGGTTGCCAAGACTTGCAGATTTCCTGTGCCGGTGCAGAATTGAGGGTCTGAGATTTGGCAACATAGCGTCGCCTGTGCCCCAACAAGCTGACCTGCCGTACAAAACACACAGTGTGCCTTGATATCCTACTTCAACCTTGTTTGCTTCGACCATTGTGCCAGGGAAGCATAGTTGTATTGGTCTGGGGAAATCTTGTTATATATGCCGTTGGTAAAGATATGCTCCTTTACAAACGTTAAAAGTATTGAAATCAGCACCTTCCTCTGTTATCAAGAAACACCAGGCTTGCGTTGTTGTACTTCGGAGCAAGAAGCCGTGCTGGGCCGAGTCGTTTAGATGCTAACTCCCAAATCTGAGGTGACTAGTCAGGCAGGGGCGCGCAACCTCAGTGGGCTGGGCTATGGCTACAATCCTCTTTGACGACCGCTCGCATCCGCTGCTCAGCAAGAACTTTCTGTCGCCCTTGCATTCTTTCCTTTTCTTCGTCCGAAACGATATAAGCCCTTGTGTTGAGTCCCCTTGCTGGGGGGTTTTGAGCAGGAGCCCTTCTGCATGGGCTGCAGCTGCAGTGAAGAAGTGTGACTTCACCAGGCATTAATCTCACCTTTGGCAAGCTTCACAGGAACATGTGGGGTGTGTGGGCACAGCTCAAGCAGCAATATGGGAAGTTGCATTGCAGCATGTCAGCTGGCCTGTTGTTGCGCCTATATGATGCATGTGTGCCGCCGACTGCCTCCTACGGTTGTGAGGTGTGGGGCCTGCGCAGCCTTCCTGGTGGCGACAGCCGGCGGGGCCGGGCTGCCTTGGCCTCCTCTCACCTGAAAATTCTGAGAGACATTGCTGGCGTCCCCACCTCTGTGCATGGTGCCATCTTGCTTAAGGAGTTGAATCAGCAGACCCTTGATTGTGTGTGGTGGCGGCGCATTATCAAGTTCTGGAACAATTTGGCTGCCTTGCCTGCAAATAATTTTCACAGGCAAGTGGCCCTTGATGATTGTTGGGATGCCATAACCCGTAATGTTAAGAATTGGGCTTGGGCCTTCATGCGGGGCTTGCGCCGAATTGGGTATGAGTTTGTTATTCGGTTTGACACCCTTGTTCCTGTGGAAGTTGATGCTGTGATGCAGCTGCTAGATGCGCAAGCACTGCAGGTTTGGGATGACATTGACATTTGCCCTAGGACCTGCCCGTCCAGCAATGCCACCTTGTGTACATATCACAGATGGTTTGCTAGGCCAGCTTGTGTGCGCCACCCTTGCCAGCTCTTACAGCAGCCTTTGAGTGCCCGTTGCTTGCGTATACTGTTGAAGTTCAGGATGGGTTGTCATAGTCTGCCCAATGTCTCGGGCCGCTGGGCAAGGATTCCCCGGCCCCAGCGTTTGTGCATGCGTTGTGCCCAGCAGGTTATTGGGGATGAGCGCCACCTTGTGTTTGAGTGCCCTGCCTTGCAATCTGTTCGGGACAGATATCCTGGGCTGTTTGGTGCAGCCATTGTGACGATGCAGCAATTCATGTGGCAGTTGGACATTGTTGGTGTTGCACATTTTGTGATGGATTGTTTTGATTATTTGGATGCTGCCAGTTCATCCAATCAGCCCTAGGCGGCTGGAGTGATGTAATCTTCCTTCCTTCCTTCCTTCCTTCCTTCACCATTGAAAGTCAGGCTCCAGTTGTAATGTCACTATCACCTTCATGTAATAGCGCTCTCTTTGCTGAAGCCATGCATGGCCATGTTTTGCAGATCCGATTGGGCAATGGGTTCCTGTGGGATTCGGATATCCCACGGCCTAGCTGACATGATATCATGAATTCCACTGAAAATGAAGCAGTGCTGTACATCTTTCACGATGTCATCATCATGACCGGTCCCAACAAAAGCCTCCTCAACACGTTCATTTGCTATGTCCAGCCAGCTTAAGCTTGTTGCCTCACAAATGTCACATGAGCGGTTCACAAATGGCCTCTAGCTAGCTAAATCATTCAACCTAGATGTACCTCATGAGCTCAGGACAAACCATCTAGTGGAAGCATACTATAAGTACACTTTTGCCTCGCATGAAGCTCTCACACTCGCTCTCACTCTGCAGATTGCATCTCAAAGTGTTGCCCGGCTAGATTGCTCGAAAACATCAGCGTCAGCATTTCAGAAAGCATGAAGCCAGCAGACCATATATACAACACTGCTCTATTCTAGGAAGATAAATAAGCAAAACAGCACTACATGCCATCCACCTTGCAACCTGCATTCCCAGCTGTACCAACCCCTGGATAAAAGGCTCCTCCTGCTCTTAGTATACCTCACTCATCTTCCGAGCCAAGATGCACAGGCTGCTAGATAAATTTAGGTGTCTCTCTCGATCAAAATGATGCTGCAGCGGGCAGCGCACTTCACGCTCAAGCCATTGCAGAGCCTTCTCTGCTCCGTGAGAGCCTCTTCACCATTTTATTGCTAATCTCAAGCTGCACGCTGTTGTGCCACCCAAAGAGCATGCCTCCTATACTCTTGCTGCTTGCTGTGTCTCAGGAGACACTCCGGCTCTCAGCACAACAGCGCTGCAGCCACCGCATGCCATCGGCACACCCAGCTCACTATTGGATCAGCGCGCATGACTTATCACCACTCGCCGCCAGGTCAGCATATGGGCCCTGTTCTGTGACCCCCCCATGCCACCGCCATACCTTCTCAGCCGTACCAGCGCACATAACTCAGCACCACATCACCGTCCATGACTCATCGCCAGGTCAGCGCGCGGGCCCCAAAGTTGGCCCGTTCGGGCACCTCGGATCAGCAACGCATCGGTGCACATGACTCATCGCGACATCAGCACCAGGTCAGCGCACGGGCATGGAGTCGACCCGGTCGGATAGCCTGGTGACTCATGGCCGCATCAGCGCCAGGTCAGCGCTGATGGCCATGGAATTTGAATGCCACATCAGCGCCTTCACCGCACGGGCATGGAGCTGGCGCGGTCGGGGACATCGGCGGCGGCGATGTTGTAGAGGTTGACGATGGAGTCGCCGCCACCGGAGGCCAGCGCCAGCTGGTAGGGGTGGAACGCCAGCGTGTTGACCGGCCCCGGCCGGCGCGAATCCAGCAGCGAGGTGGTCGCGCGGATCACCCCCAGCTGCTCTCCTAGCGCGCTCCACAGTTTCACCACCTGCGCAGTGACATTTGAGCCCACATCAGCGCTTGTGTGCAGGTGTGGTTGTGCATGCAGTCCCCAACAACCCCACGGCAAGTGCTCCCCCCATTTTAGCGTTGCTTTGCTCATGCGGTGAGCTTGCCAGGTGTAGCTGGGAAGAGCAGGGATCCCACTTAAATTTCAAGACCCAGCAAACGCACTCATTTTCCGTAGGGGACTCAGCAAGTGTATCATGTCCATGTCCAAACTTCGATGCAGCTTTTTAGTAACAACAAATTCTGATGAGTCATTAAGCAGGTGCAGTAAGTGCCTGGCAAGCCAGCATGTAAAGAAGCAAGCAATGTTCTGGCTCCTGTGCATACCAGCTAAATCCAGGACATACTGCAATCGGCCTGGTCTGCGTTAACATTGAGCCGCAATGCAAAGATGTGGGCCCCCATGCCTGTGTGGCGGTGCCGGTGGCGAGCAGCGGCGAGTGGGGGTGCGCAGCCAGAGCCGACAGGTTGCGGCTGGTCGCGCTCGCATTCACAGTCTTCCACACTCCCAGCGCGCCTGTGCCGCCGCCTGCCGTTGCGCCGGTGCCGGGGACGGCGGCGGATGCGTCTCCAAGCATGCGGAAGTCGATCATCTTCATCTCGCCGTCGGCTGCCGCCGTCACCAGCTGGTCCTTCAGGCCGCCGGGCTCCAACGCCATTCCCACCTGCGCACAGAAAGGGCCCGTTGGGTAAGTCAATATCCCTGTACAGGGCAGAAGTGACGCTAGATTGTAGAATGGGAGGTTTGACAAGTATGATCTGCATGAAATGATCTTGGAGAAGCATCACTGGCAATAACACAATGATCTTATATAGAGGATTTCTTCAAGACAAATCAAGTACATCTATAGAAGATCTCTTTGTGATTGCAAGTGGTGCCTTCTCAGACCCTCCACTATGCAATTGCCACAGATAGACCGACCCTTTGACAAATTGGGAAGATTTCCATTGTCATGGAGCAGATTTCCGCGTAAGAGATCCTACCATCCAAGGGTCACAACCACCATGCAGAGCCCTTGTGGAGGTGGGCAGGAGGGAGTAGGGGAACTTGCCATGGGGGAGCTGTGAGGCTTGAGGGAAGCGGCGGCAGTGCGGGGGCTGCGCAGGTCATACAGCAACACTGTGCCGCTTGCCGCAGCCGCTACCATCAGCGGGTGGTGCCGCGAGACACCCAGCCGCTGCACCACTGTTACTGCCTTCCCTGCTGCCGCCTTATCCTCCACCGCAACCTGGAGGAACACCATCAAACATTCAGATCACCATGTAGCAGTAAGTGTGGTGGGAATCGCTCTTGTGTGCAAAAGCGGCACTATTCTTCATGTCTAGGCCGCCTTCTGCACACATGCTTTCAATGGCCATCAGAAGACACTCTTGTGCCACATGGGGAATGCAGTCATCGGATTGCAGGATCTTGTGCAACAATGCTCAGCAAAAGAAAGAGGTTCAGGTAGATCCAGCAAGATAGGTGGTTTGTCATCTGTCATGTCAACATAATAGAGAACTTGGATGAGCAGGACTGGTATATGCAAGAAGACAGGATTAAGTGTGCAATCATGGGTGCAATGGCATCAGCAGCTTACCTGTTCCACGCAGAGCTCCTGCTGCAGGTTCCACAGGTGCACCGTGTCGGGCGTGCTGCCGCCCACAGCCAGCAGCGTGCCGGCATTCAGGTGCTCGCTCCACTCGTACGCTGTCGGCGCTGGCGTCCTTGGCACCGGCCCTGCTTCCCCCGCCGCCAGTGGCACAGCCTGTACGCGACCATGCTCCCTCATGAAGCTCAATTGATGTTTTGCTTCAAGACTGCACTGCTCCGATTAACGCCGTGCCCGGCCACCATGCTGCTCTCAGATGCAACTCATTGAGAGGACATGCTGAGCACTTCATGACACTCTTCTGACCTTGCAACCCAAAACCTTTCAAGGAGGCCGCGATTACCACTCATCTTTGCTAGTCTTTACGACTACGTTCACCTGGCATAAAAAGGGCAAGGTTTAGGGGCGTGAGAGGAGATCTGCGTGCGGGGCGCACCTGCCAGGCGGTGGCGAGGCGCTGGGTGCCGCGGAAGGTATAGTCGCGCCACACGCGCACAGATCCGTCCGCAGCGCCCACCATCAGCAGGCCAGCCTGCATACACGACAACAACTGTTTTTACCGTCACTTCTTTTGAGGCATGCCGACTGCAGTCTCATCTTGTGTAACTGCTCAGGGACCCATTTTATGGAACTGGACACACACTGCTGCATATCTAGACCCCAAAAGTCACAAGTGAACTAATGTTCAAGTGTCCACTACAAAATGGCGGGCGCGGACATGGACAATTGGTGAGCTACAATACACATCAGAGGGGCAAAAATTGCACGGAAATCGTGAAGTGCGCATCTGCTGCAACTGCAAACATTGAGAATGGGAGGACACGGCCACAGATTAAAGGTAAGCAAAAGGCAAAAGTGGCGCAGGGGGCGCGCCTGGGCCTCGTTGAGCTGCCAGAGGCCGACGACAGAGGTGGGCCGTTCGGACGCGAGGTGGAACGCGTTGACGAATGTGGAGTGGCGGTGGTTGTACACGCGCACGGTGCCACGCTCGTCCACGCCCACCAGCAGCGGCCGGAACGGGTGGTGCAGCAGCGCAGCCACGCCGCGGCACTCAAAGTTCACCGTCGTCACGTGCTCCCGCAGCCGCGCGTTGCGGCCCACCGCCCTGCGCCGCGCACAAACTTGAAGGTCAAAGAAAATTGCCAATTTGCGTGGTCAATTCTACTAATCGCCCATGGTGTATGTATTCAGTGCACGCGATGACAGTATGTGCTGATCAATTTTTTCGGACAGGCATGCCCTCCAGCCATTCCTCACAGCTGCCACTTTGACGCACCATTGGTGCTATAACAAGAGGAAGCATGGGTTCAGCCTCTAATATAAGACTATACAGTCAGTGCAAGGGCGCGCTGTGCCGGTCAGCCTCCTGCCCTACAAAGAGCATCACTGACATTACAAGTCCAGGCAAAGCAATCCAGGCAAAGGAGGTTGGCGCACATGCAGGCCTGGCGTTTCTCCTCCCGCTCCTTTAGGCGGCCGGCCGTCCTGGAGGGATCGTGCGTGGAGAACGGGCTCTGCCCGGCGCTGCCCAGCGCTGCAAACTCCAGCTCACCCTCATAACCCCCCGGTGGCTGCAAGACATTTTCTTGCTCTGTCAGCGCCGGCGTGCTTGCTTAAACCCCATGGCATGCATGCTGCCAATCGGTAGATAGGAGGCTGCCTTACATAACACGACTGAATACAAAAGTCAACAGACAGTCCTACTCATATGAGGCAAGAGAGTCAGCGCCTGCATGCTTAATGAAGACCCCATGGCTTGCATGCTATCGACTGGTAGAAAGGAGGTGGCCTCTCACACCAAGGCTGAGCCACATGTAAATGACGGTCCTAGTCACAGGAGGAACATCAGACGAGCAGAATGTTAGATGAAAAGATGCATGCCTGCTGGCTCAGCAGGGGCCGGGAGAAGTACTCGCAGCTGCTTTTGTACACCAGAGATGCCGGCAGCTTGGCTTTCCTGCTGAGCCCCCCGCCGTTCAACTGCACATTTAGCACCCGCGTCCTCAGGTACACATGAATTACTGCTTACTGGTCACAGGTATGAGCATGCTGGGCATGGATGCGAAGTGAGGGTGGGTGACAAGGGGTTGTACCATTGCAGGCGGGCGCGGAGGGAGGTGGTTGTTCTGCGTGGAGCTAGGGCTCGCACTGCCAGGGCTGTAGCTGGGGGATGTTGCAGTGCGCGCTGAGGTCAGATGCCCATTGGCCGCCAACTGCACGTGCACCGAAAAACACCTTCAGCTTGCACGGCAGCTCAACATCTTAGGCATGAGGGCATCTCCATGCTCAGAAGACAACCGGCAAGAAAAGACAGCTGGAAATGTAATGAACAATGTGCGGCATGCTTTCCGAAACGACTTATCCCTGGACTGACCTGGCAGAATAGTAATGCAGTCTACTTGTTACACCCAAACGCATGCAGACATACCGGTTTGAGCACGTAGGGTCGTCGCGCCGCGGGGTTGGGGAGATGAGCAAGAAGGGAAGGAGAAGGCGGGGAAGAGGACGCGGACGCCGGCAGCGGCCGGCCATGAGTCGTGCCGGAGCGCCACGAGCGCCACTTGCCGCTGCCGGAGCCGCCGACGCTGCCGCCGGAGCCGCTGTTGGCGGCGGCGGCCGCCGCCGTGTCTAGCGCGGCGTACGCGGAGGATGACAGCGCGGCCGCGCTGGACGCCGCGCGCGCCGCCATGCCAGCGGCCGGCAGCGGCGCCGTCGCGGACGCTGCAGGGCACACATATACTGCATTAGAAATCAATATGCAGGTATCGCGCCAGGGTACCATGCAATAAGGCCGACAGAACAAGAGCTTTGGTGGCAGCGGTGTGACGCTGCAGTGCACACGCACTTTGCATCAGTAGCAGAACACATGCAGGCTGGGCGATCTGTACTAAGGCCCACAGAACTAAATATCTTTTGAGAACAGCGTCAACATCTCTGCAGCTTTCCCAGAAGAGGCGTGGTCCAGCCTTGAAATTTCTGGAAGAACTTGCGGCAACTTCTGACCGCGGCACATCAGGGAGTGTTTGCAAGTGCGCACCTGGCAGCCACGTGGCCTCTGCAAGCTCCACGCCAGCCACTCGCAGCACTGCGGCGCCGGCGGCCGCGACCATCGGAGCCGGATCGGTGGCGAGCGTCACAACGGCATGCAGCAGGTGCTGATACAAGCCGCCGCCAACACGCGCGGCGTCTGCAGACGCATAGACCGTGCCGCAGCCAGCGCCGCCGCCGCCGCTCGGCGGGCTGCCAGCCTCGGATGGCGCCGCCAAATGCGCCGCTGTCGGCGAGTTCGGCGATGTTGGGCCCACCCTCAGCGTCGCCTCAAAGCCGTCCCCTAAAGCAGAATGGCACGTGCTTGAGCGGGCATTGGCTGCTAGCAAGACGGTGCACTCTGATCATGGCAAAACAGATCAAGGGCTCCCCCTCTTCAAGGCCTCTCTCCACTGGTGTCCTCTCTGCCCACGGAGACACTTTTTTGTCGACTGCATCACAACACGCGCTACGAGTGGATGAAGACGCCAGTGAAGAAGAGGTCCCGGAGAGGGAAAGTTCTGTTTCTTAGCAGAGTGAGCGGTGCACATTGCGAGGGAGCAGTACCGGATGATGCTCTGCAGACACCTGGCGAGGCGGAGAAGTTGCTGTCGGAGGCCGGCCGCGGCAAGCCCGCTCCCGACGGCCTCCTGCTCTCCAGCATGTCTGCACCAGCCATCACAACATCAGCCATCAAAGACAACAGTAGTGCAGGTCCCGCCTGTTGCTAAAAAACATCTGTCCAATACATGTCCCACGTTCTTATGCAGTACACATGCTGGAAGCCAGAGCACAGGTTCTGTCCTTGGAGCAGGTTGTGGCGAGTCAGAGGCACAACAAAGCGGCACAGCTGAAAGCAGCAGGTTTCCACCATCACTGCAGATTGTGGCATGTAAACAGGGTGGTGCAGGCAAATTACAGCGTTAGGAGCTGAAAAAGAACAAAATGGTGGCAACACCTGAGGTGGACCCGGCATGGCCGCCGGCGTCGCGCAGATTGACGGCGGCGTCGTGGGAGGACGACAGGCGCTCGAGCAGGCGCGCACGGACGCTCTCGGAGGGCGCCGAGCGCGCGGCCGGCGGCGACTGGCCGCTCGGGGCCGGCGCGGGGGCAGCGCTGGGCATGTCCCGCAGCATGCGGCTCATCTGCCTCTGGTGCTCGTGCACCGCGTCCTGCCGGCACAATGCACCGCCAGAACATATGAGCCTCTGAAGCATATTGGCAGGCTGTTTTCCAAGAACAGCCTGATAGTCATCGTCACCTGACAGGGTGAGATGTATGTCCCTCTGTCCAGGCGATGCAAGGTAACGTCATGATGCCACAGCAGTGAAGTTGATCAGGAAGATATGGCAGGTGTGGGCACCTGAAACAAAACGGCGTGTGCCTCTGCCAGCCTAGCGAGCCCCACGGCGACCTCAGCCCTCACCAGCGGCGAGGCATCATACACAGCCTGCACATGTTGCATTGGCACGTCACACTACATCAAAAGCGACATGAGGCAATCATGAATGTCAACTTTGGCTCGGCGATCACTCCCAGAATAGACGCAAGCGACATTTGAACAAGGAATACTGTAAAGGAGATGTAGGCAGGACGGCTTGATCGCAAGGGAGCTGACCAGGAGCAGGTAGCAGGCAATCTCGCGCTCGCGCTCCACTCTCTGCCTGTGCTCGGGGACAGATGCAGAGCCGCCATTCTCGGTGTCCCACATCATGTCCAGCTCACCAACCTGCATCCATCGAATGCAGAGGCTCACTTTCTTTTAAGAGAGCTGTCTGTGGGCGTGATGAATGATAGTGAGCGTTAGTCAGGCAGGAGGGAGAGCCTCCTCGCAGATCCTGCTGCCAGGCGTGGGCTGCAACCACATGCAGCAGGCCTCCAAGGCAATGTCCTTCTACAACACCTTTCTGATGCGACTTGATGAGGACGATAGCGACCCACGGCAGCTGTAGCAGTATCACACTCTGTTCTCCGCTGCGTGGCTCTTGAGACCTCCGCGACAAAGAGGTGCGGAGAAAATGCCATGTCAAAGAGGGCGTTCAGCACACCTGTATGCAGATGGAGAGCGCAAAGACGGCAGCCGCACGGACTTCTGGGTGAGGACAGAGCAGCAGCTTGGAGAGCAGTGACAGCGCATCTGCACACCAATGACTCATCAGTACCTACTGACTACTTTCACGGAGACCAGACCAAATTACGCTGAGACTCTCAATCGGCTGCAGTCCTCAACAGCATGTGCCCAAAACCCCAATCCAATCCATTTGTCGCGACCTGTGATGCGCGCCCCTGTGAGGCCTTCCAATGTGAGGCATGCACCCCTAAGGGGTACGGCGGACACTCATCTCTCAAGTGGTCAGACAGTCTTTAATGAAGCATTCAAGGAAGTCTGGTCAGGGAATGAATGGGAAGAGATGCACCTGAGGAGACCTGCGCGATGAGGTCGGCCTGGTCCTCCACCAGACGGCCCAGACTGAGGCACAGCCACTTCACCAGCAGGGGCGGGCTGGTCGCCCCCCGCTGCGCCACCGCCGGCAGGTTCGGTCCCCCCGCCTGCATCAATGAGTCAGCAATCAGCCCCCGCACTGCAAATAGACCGCCGGCCCCAATCAACCACCACAAGAGGTCCCCACAACCAGAATCAATTCTCCTGGCTTCGGAATGTAGCCAGCGTCTCTCTGGCAAGCAATGTACATGGACCCATGCTGCCTCACTTGATGCTGGAAAATTGAGCAGCTGAATTGCTAACTTGCCCGGTGCCTTCTCAGGGGCCAGCATCACTGGCACAAGGCTGAAGCAGTTGGAGTGGTTCGGAATGCGATGTCCACAGGAACATTCATGACTTCCTGTCAGTTTGCCTGAAGCATAAGCTAGCAAGCCTGGCGCGCACCGAAGTGGCGAGGAGGGAGAGCAGCTTGGGCAGCAGACCCTGCTCGGCGCACAGCAGGCGGCCGCGCGGGTAGCCGTCGCAGATGACTGCCAGCACAAAGGCGGCCTGCGCGCGCGACTCCGCACTGATGCCCGGCTCCGCGCCCTCCAGGTACTTTATGAAGTAGTGGTGGCCCCCATCCTTCACCAGGTCCGCCTGTGGGACAGGTCACTCTTTCAAACGCTTGAGTTACTCCCTGCACCCATGTGCCTAGTCCTGAGGCTAGTACGAGCGAAGGATTTGCTTGGAGATGGCCAGAACGTATGCCAAAATGTTTGAGTGAGTGACCTTCTAAGAAAAGCACGGATATGAACCAGTATCAGGTACGCTGAATTGTAAGGGTGACTTGCATAGCAAAGCCTTGCGCAGGCATCACCTGGCAGGACTTGTCGAGGGCGAGGATTTTGGTCCAGATGAACACGAGAGTGGTGCGCAGGTCGGCGGCGGTGGTCTGCAGCAGCTTGAGCACGTAGGGGAAGATGCCCACTGAGAGCGCCAGGTCCACTGCCCAGCTGCCCATGTCCAGGAAGCGCCCCAACAGAACCAGCGCTCGCAGCCTGTGCACCTGGCTCAGCAGCACCTGAGCGCACATGCCGCACACGTTGTCATCCTGTTGTGCCCGCCACTTGGGTCGCTGATACACTGGAATCAAGCCCTGGTACATGTTCCCCTCCTATCCTCCAGCTCTATCCTTGCTGTAGGGTCCTTTCCAATCCTATTGTACTCCCTTTCACATTCCCTTTCCGGGCCTCTTGTGCTAGAAACCATTTTCTAGCACAAGAGAGAAGTCACTGTGAGCATCTAGGATTCTGCACACCCAGCAAATCACTGCGCCACGCACGGCAATGTTGGACAGACAGCATGCTTCTAACAGAAAATGCAAATACATCAAGGTCCGTCGATTGGAAATGATCCCCACGGAGTCAAGAGACTTGCCTGCAGCACGATGGGCAGCTGCTCAGGGGGCTGCTTCATGGCGGAGCCGTGCGCGAGCCAAAGCTCAAAGGCCGTCAGCTGCTCTGCAAAGAAGGGCGAGGGGCGGAACTCGGCCTCTGGGTCGTTATTCAGCAGCGCCGGCAGCTGCAGCAGGCACATCTCCGCCGCCATGTCCCAAGCCTGAATGCCCCAAAATGCACCAAGTCAGACACGCAATCTGTGCAGAGCAATGCATGAGCAAACTTCCTGTCTCTCAAGCATGCAACATATGGTATGTTGAGCATATGATAGGGCAGCTTTATTAGGGCAGTTCCAAAGCTCCCAAGTGTGAGACTAAGACAGTGACAAATTCTCACTTGTGATGCATGCAAGTGTGCATGTCTTTTGCCATGGTGGTGTGGTGACGAAGGATAGTGGCAGTGTGGTGGCGGAGTGAAGGCCTGACCTGCCACATGGGGTGCTGGTGGGTGGGAGGCAGGCGGGGGTAGGACACTGGCGTACAGCTGGCGGCACGCATTATCCGCTCTGCTAAAAGGAAGTTGCGAAAAAGCGACGCTACAAGCAGGTCCTGCACGAACACCAAAGTGTCGCTCAGCGACCTGCTCTCTCTGCTCTCTCAGTGCACATATGGCTGGAGACAGTCTTGCAATGCTTGTGAGAACCCACACCTGGCTACCATTCACGGATTTATGACTTGAACCCACCAAGCAATGATGGATTCTTGATGATGATGACATCCATGAAGGCATGATACGTTCGTTGCTCACATTGACATGTGAGCACACCATGCCTCATGTATCGAGCACATGACACTGCCAGGGTGCAGCTGATCATTGGGCTCACCTGTCTGAACAGGCGCTGAAAGAGGCTGCGGGGGAGCATGTTCCAGGCGATGGTATCAGTGATGGCGGTGAAGATCCAATTGAGCTCGCCCAGAGGGGTCTTCCTGTCGGTCTGCTTCCCCGGTATCCGGTCTATGAGCTCCTTTGTGAGGCCCTCTGCCCTCAGCAGCGACCGCGAGCAGAACCACCTCAACGCCACCTGCATCACACCAGCAATCGACATATCAGCATGAATGTCACAAGGACCAACAAGACTACAAGATATGAGTGTTGGATACAACGGACAAGCAGGCAATTTGCGCATGAACGAGAGTGCGACCTCATCAATTACAGCATGTGAGTGTAGCCAGCACACCATCCTGCATGCCCAGACTGATGAGGTCATCACCGCCCATGCACAAATAGCTGCAACTATATGACGCTGCTAGTGCAAGTTCCAATGTTACTGGAAAGTAAGTCTCTGACAAGGCTCCAGCTAACCTGCTTATCATGTTGCCATATCCACAAATGTGCCCTTTGAAACCAAGAGTCCTGCCCTCCTGCTTCTTCCTAATAAAGACAGTGCAACGCCCAGAGAGTGTGCATCTTCCATTCTGCCCGGGGAGGACTGCTACATCGTCAGCCTGCCTGGGCACCTCACTCAAGCAGGCTGACTGTACAGAACCCCCGCAACTCAAGGGACCACAACACAAACGCTGCATCTGTCCGCTGCTCCAGGACCGCAACAGGCTGAGCCTACGGACTCGCCCCCTTTGCGGGGGGGTCCGTAGAAGGTGGAGGGAACGCGCCTTGATGGGGGTGGTGAGGCAGGCAGTGAACACATCTGCCGGCAGATCTGGCGTCTGCGGCAGCACCTCGCCCACACTGCAGGCTGCCAGAAGGATCACCTCGCGCATCAGGTCTTCGCTCTCGCGCGCCGTCCCTATGTAGCTGTGCCCCATCGCGTCCGTCTCCTGCACCATGACCACCATATTATCCCATGTGAAACCCACCCCTGATCACTGGGGCCCACCGTGTGCGAGCAGCTTGGACCGGGAGGCAAGCTTGGCTCTCTGAACTGGCATTAGAATCATGTATGCTCCATTCCATACAGGAAACAGCTCGAAGTCTGCCGCCAGCTCAGTTTGTTTCATTCGGACACGGCAGACCCACTGAATGCCATCCAATACAGCATCACATGCTCAGTCTCTGCAGGGACATATGAGCCAGGAGCGCATGGTGGTGTTTCAGATCGCAGCCGGTGGATCTGCTGAGCAAGAGGACTGACACTGGAACACTTTCTCATCTTGAAGCCCCCAAGGACAAGACTGCAGGGCGCTGATCGACACCTGGGAGCGCTGATCTGCAAATGCTCTGAAGGAGTTGATGATGAGGCCGGCGGCGGAGCAGTCGAAGACATAGATGGCTGGCGAGCCCACCCAGGCCTGCAGGTCATAGATGGACATGGGGATGTATTGCGTGTAGCTCTTGTTGAACACCCATATCTCCCCATTTGCCGTCGGCCGCGGCACGCCGTGGCCGTTGTAGTGGAACAGCACCCGCTCGGCCTGCGCACATGTGCATCATATATTCAGTGATGGTAAAGTTAAAGCGTTGCTGTTTGAGAAGGGTGAGGTTCTTCGTATACTAGGGGATGTCATGAACCCACCTACATGGATTGTTGCCCATTGTGTCAAGGGGACTGCCCACATAGATAACGTGCTTTATAGTCTCAATCGTGGGTATTGTGAGAGGGAGAAGAAGTCTGACCTTGGCAGAACGGCGGCAGGAGACGGCAAGCTTTTTTACATCGTCCATGGTGGGGTCCAGGTGTGTCTTGTACTTGGCGCGAGGCTGCCACCGCTCGTACTGCGCCTGCAAGTTTTTGCCTGCACCCGGCATAACCCCACTTCCTCGTCATCATCATTTTCCTCATCAAATTAGCACCATCCCGGCTCTGCTGGCTCTGCTCATTCTCACTATCTCTGCCTTCCCAGTACAGTACTCCAAGCTCCTGCAGGCTTCATTGGGCCCACAGCCATGTGGAAAACCACTGCTTTGAGCTGAGGTGTATGATGCATGCAAAAAGAAACTGATTCTGAGAACGCTGTGGTGCCTGCTGCGCACCTATGGTTTCTAAAGCTTTGGGAGGCTGCATGGAGAGAGGGTCCACCCAGCATTCTAGCCGCGCGCATGGGGAGATCTTTATCACGTCCGGAGGGTCTACGCCAATATTTAGGCACAGCACCAGCGCCACTGCTGTTGTTTTGAGGCGTTCCTTCTGCCGCCACTTTGACACAATGCCCTGTTCCTGCACTGGCTGTGCTCCCCCCTCCCCATGCACGTCATGCCGCGCCTGTGCGCAATCGTCAGCTGTGAGCTGCAGCATTTTTAGTGTGTTCTGCCTTCTTCGGTTACTTTCGTGGAAGTCTTTGCATGCTCTTATTTACAACGAGGGAACGCCTGACACTGAATGGCTCCAGAGCTCCACATGCCCTGAAGGTGCCTTGTCACATGGTGTCATAACATGCAGGAGTGTGGGCCTCTGGATGTGACCGATCACTGTGATGTGCTAAGATATTGAGACATGCTCGACTACATGCCCTTATACACGATGATGTGTTCTCGACAGAGACTGGGGTGATGGATCAAAGTACTGTCCTCACCTCGCAAAAGAGAGTGAGGATCCATTGTTGGCCACCCGCATATGTTGTAGCGTGCGCCTGAATTCAGAGCAATAACAAATTTATACTACAGTAATGCCAATATAGCAATTTCGGTAGTCCATGCTCTCAGAGGTTCCAATAGGTCAGGTGACCAAAACGTTGTCGGGCCTTATATTCATTCAGACGATGCACACCCAAAATTGTCAATCTTTTGTGAATGGTGAATGAAGTGATGACAAAGCTTCAGGGGCTATGCAGCTTGGCGGTATACGTACGTCAGCCAATCGATAGCTCAGGCTAGAAGAAGTTGTCGCCTGTTCCCCTGAGGCAGCCCTAGAGGCCGTCTCGGTACTGACTGTTTCCAAATTCATGTTCAATTAGCAGGAGGCATCCTGCCTGGTGCTTTGAGGAAGGCCTCAAGGGGACCTTTCTCTGACACAACGCATGCTTGTAGAAGCCAGTCACGTGAGATTCCCTGTTCTGTTTAGTGCGAGCCCCTTTTGCATGGCCCACACGAGCCCATTAAATTTTCTCGCCAATCCTTCAATTTACATCAAGGCCTCATAGGTAAAACAACATGACCTGCATGCATGATACAACCTCGGTAAGCTCAACGAGCACTTGTGCAAATTGCAAAAATTGCTATATAGCGGCTGAGTTTGCAAATTGCGCCGCGCATTGCCGCAATGCGCGGCACCAATGCGTGCTCATGTTTACATGGCGCACATGCATGCCACTCATGAGGCAGACACATGCCTGGGTCACCCCTACTTCACCATTGTATTGCTTTACTGGCCTGTGTTTTGACTATTACCCTGATGTTTACTTGTCTGCCCATTTCCTGCATGACACCCTCATCGTCACCTCCCAAAGGGGGTGTTGCGTTGCTGGCAGGCCAGAAGCATCTGTTACAGAGAGGTGCTCAACCGATGCAGGGAGTGCATGCAACTGTTGCGTGATGACAGATTGACAGGCTGCAGACCTTTGTAGCTACCTATAGGCCCCGCGGAAGTGGCTGCAGATGCTCTGCGTGTATGCCCTATGGCCTCTGGCTTTGGGTTCGCCGACCTTATAATAATAATAATGCATAATGCATGTACATCACATGCACTGCTACCATGCAATTGCAAACACGCAGAAGGCAGCAACAGCATCATGATGTCGCCAGATAAATAAAAAGGCGCCTCAGCATAGTTGCACGACACCGCACATTTAGGCCCGACACGCGCGTGTCGGTGTCCCCGATTGGAGGCCTTCCCGAACGTTGGATGCGGTTTTAAAGACGGATTCTGCGGTTTGGCGACGATAGCTTTCGAAAGCAACGATAATGTCACATCAAACGCGCTAAATTTTGAGTTATTTCGATTTCAGTGAGTTCGACACCGGCCGTGTCGAGCGGTGTCGTGCAACTATGCGCCTCAGTAGTCACTGCAACATGCGGTATCAGTCGTCACTGGCAGTCACTTCCTTCGCTTGGCCTTGATGGAGCGCCAGGTGCCGCTCTTGCCCGGCCGCTTGGCCTTGACTTCCTTGGGCACCGGCGCACTGGGGTTGCTTTTCTGCGAAGCCTTGTAAGCTGCTTTTCCAGTCAGCCTCATCCCCGCTGCTGTGACGTACACCTGCCACCACAGCTGTCAATTACATCACAAGCACCATGCTGATGCCCATGATGTCCAGTAGCAACACTTGACAGTAACGTAGCCCATCCTTCCTCAACACCCAAACAAATGAGCCCCTGCTTCTATAATCTTCTCATTTTTTTAAAATTGAGATAACAGGTTAAGTATCTGTCAGCTTAAATAATTCCCGACAGCTCAGGAGTCACAAAATCACCTTGACAGGGCCATGGCGATGGTACTCAGTGATCCAGTGGCCTGCTGCAGCAGGGGCTTCCGATCGCTCGCGCCCCCTGTCGGCTCCCCCGGACGCGGCTCTGCCGCCACTGCTGCCGGCGCCCCGCGTGCTCTTCTGCTTCGGAGGTGCCACGCCTGAAAACTGCGCCCTGTAGTCGATGTGCACTATGCTGCCGTCTCTGTAAAAAGCACCCAAATTTTTCTTTCAACACGCTGATGAAGGTATCAAGGAGACTTTTTCGGCAATCATTCCTGAGCTGCTGTTTTTTGCTTAAAACTGCATAACAAAGAACACCCGAGCCCTTGCAGTGCATGAGATTCCCAGCCACCTCCTTTGGTGACATGGGGAAAGAGCGTGCAGATGTCATGGAACTATCCTGACAGGTGAAATGAAGGCATCAAGTGTAGGCTACAGACATAGGTATATAGCTACATAGGTATAGGCATGAAGTGCAGGCTATAGAGACGGTGCACTAGAGAAGGTGAACGAGATAGAGCCTTGCCTGGGATCTCTGCCGCCTCTCATGGCCTCCACTGGGACAAAGTCCTCCAAGCGGGTCCACCAAGGCTCACCGTTCCCTGTGCCACTGGGACCTGCTGCCTGAGCAGCAGCGGCTGAAGGAGCTCCGCCACAGTCTCTGTCCCAGCCTCCCGCCGGCTGCTGCCACTGCTGCTCTCTCGCCTGTGGCTGCCTCCTGCACAGGGTGCAGTCATTCTGAACGCTCAGCACTGTGCATTCATACATCTGTGCTGCTGGGTCTTCAGGCAATAGAATATGTCGGCTGATGATCCCACTAGGTCCTGTATTTCAAAATGTGTCCACTGAGTTTGGCTCTTATTTGTAAAAACTTGTCCAGTGATACTGAGTCTCACAAGCTCCCTTCAGGCCTTTTTGACAGCGACGAGTCCAAGGGCAACATGAGAGCAGAGACACGCACCGCCGCTGCGGGCTGGCATAGCTGGGGCCTGCTTCGTCACTAGGATCCCGCCACTCCTCCCACTCTTCCTGCCCTGCATCCCTGCCAAACTCAGCCCCGCTGCCGCCCCATCGGCCGGACGCAACCCCTCTGTCACCCCCGTAGCCGCCGCCGTAGTCATCCTCGTAGTCATCAGCCTCAGCCACTGGCTGCTTCCCCTTCCCCCGGTCATCCCTTTGCCCATAGGTGGCATTGCTGCCGCCATAGGCGTCGTGGTAGTGATCAGCTGTTGCTACGGCCTGGTTCTGCTCCCGATCGTTGTGCCGTGGAAGCTTCAAGGCGGCGGCTGCACCCGGCTGCTCGGCAGCTGCGGGCCGGCTGCCGGCGGCTGGGAACCTGCCCTCGGCGATGTCGGCGGCCGAGTACGCGCCTAGATAGGAGCGGTCGCCTGGCTTCCGAGCGGCCCCCTGCCGGCCCGAGCCTGCGGGAGTCATCGCCGTCGGACGGCTGAGCATCGCCGGGCCGCCTCCTAGGCTGGCTGGATGTGGCGGTAGCTGCAGCACACCCTTCCGCTTTGCCTGCTGCGGCCGTCGCTGCTCGGCTGCGTGAGTATCCCTTGCTGCTGTCTCGTCATCGTCGGAGCTGTCTGCGGCCAGGTCTATGATCTCCTCGTATGCGGCAGCTTCCGTGGCTACATCCTGCGCACCGCCAGGACGCTCCTGCACAACAAATCCAAGCTATTATATTTCGGTACATTCCTGCAATTAGGGTGGCCTTACGCTTTGTAAATGAGTCATTGCATGAGATTTGTTTAGTAATAAGAACGGTGTCAACCTGACGAGAGGCACGCGGTGCCAGAAGCACAGATCTGATGTCGGTTGTGGACAGATGGTTGGCGGCGGCTTTGGCAGGCGCAGCTGGGCGTGCGTGGAAGGCCAGGGCAGGCTCCTGCATGTCCATATAATTGCTTCTGCTTTGCACAAACACGAGTTCCTGGGCACAGAGTTTTTGGAGCAGGCTACATCTGGCAGGTCAAGATGAGCTGCGGACCTGTGCCTGTCGCTTTGTAGCTCTGGCAAATGGATTGGCGCCTTTACGCGCCTCTTCCACCTGCTGCCCTGCAGCATATTGTGCTGATGGAGGTCGCCTGTCATCCTGAATTCAGTAAAATGAAGGTTTGTCACTGCACAGTGTTGAGGAGTGGACAAGGTGTAATCATAATAACAGTCTTGATTGCTTTTCAAGCATGACCCACTGTGCGATCATCCCGCCTGCGCTCATGAGGAACACCAGAGCGCAACTCACCTCTGCATCCTCGTCATCAGTCCAGTCTTCCAGAGATCTGATGCCTGCAGCGGGGCGCTCGTGACTGGCTCCGTCGGCCTTGCGAAGCCGCTTGAAGGCCCTCCTGTTCGGAGCCGCCTCGGCCTCGTCTCCCACGCCACCTGTCCTTCGACTGTCCATGTCACCTCCAGGCGATCCCGGCTCCCCATCTGATCCATGCAGATTATCGCTCATGGGCTGTGATCCTGACTGCTGGCCTCTGGGCAGCAGGGTTGCCCCATCTGGCTGCTCTGCCGATGCGTCGCTGTCTGGATGCGCTTCAACCCGAGGCTCTGCAGCGAAGGGGTCTTCGGTGTCCGGCACGACATCATCGTCCAAGCGGGTGCTGGCAGGCTGCTCACTGCGTGTCGCTCGGCTCAGCCTGCTGGCAAAGGACAGCTTGGGCTCTTTGACGAGTGTGACTGCTTCAGCACTGCTGTGGCTGGCATCACCAAGCAAGGTGGCGCGATCTGAGGGAGCGGCTGCTGCTTCGACGGGGTCACCTCTCAGGAAGCTCAGGTCCTCCAACAGATCCTCGTCCTGCCATCATTACAATACATCTCAAATTTGTCAGGCCACGATTGCACTGCTGATCGCGTTGCTTGAATCACTAGATTTTTCGACGCAGCCGCACCTCTCCAGCGGCAGTCAGCGTGTGTAACAATAAAGACACAGCATGCACATCAAGGGAGAAGAGGATCACCTCGTCCAGCACTGCTGCAGGTTGGTTGCCGGGGCCCTGCAGCAGCGAGTCCTCTCTGGGGTCATCAGAGTAAATGCGCTTCAGTTGGCGCCTGCGCTGTGTCGAGCTGCCGGTTGCCTGCCCCGACTCAGCCAGCCGCGAAGCGCCCCGGGCCGGCACAGCGTCTGCATCCCTTGGAGTCTCCAAGCCGCCGCTGCCTGCCAGTGGCGTGCGATGGCTCTCGGCTCTCTGAGCGCTCGGCATCTCATCCATCTTATCAAAGCTCACAGCACTTCCATGCATCCTGCTGAGGTCTCTGTCGGCTGATCTTTGCCTCTCCTGCTGCGCCGAAGGGCAGGGATCAGAAGCTGCCAGAAGTGCGCCTTGTCCTCTGCTTGATTCATCCGTCGCCAATGCCCTGTTGGGTGCAGTGCCGCTTCTGTCCAGGTCCGGGTACTGCAGGTCATGGCTGCTCGGCTCTGGCAGAGACTCCTCAAGGCCATCTGGCGCTCCGCCGCCCTCGCTGCTGTCACGGTCACGGCTTGAATCTGCCTCTGCCAGCGAGGACTGGAGCCTTTCGCCGTACGCCGCCCTAGCTGTGCCGCCTTTGGGCACTGTGCCTGCTTCACTGCCTTCCCCTCTGGCTGCAAGGAGGAACCTGTCTAGCGGCCGCGGCGGCACAAAGGGCTTGGACTTCCACTGCCGCTTTCTGGCCGGCTCTGGCTGCAATCCCGCCGCTGGACCTGTATCAGCATCCCCTGCAGCTGCATTGGTGGCTGCTGCAGGTGCGCAGGCGCCGCCGGGATCATCCAGGGGTGCCACGGCGGCAAAATCAGGCAGATCGTCCAGCATGTCGAAAGAGGCGTAGTCTTTCTGCCGCGGCTTCCATCCAGGGGGCGGGCCAGGATCGCCGCCGTAGCCCGTGGCCTGCGCCAGCTGCCCGGGCGGCTTGAACCTTGCGGAGATCCCCGGCCTGCCGCTTGGAATAGGGTGAGTCACCCTTCCTGAGGTGCTGGGGGCAGCTACCCCGCGCCTGCTCATGTCTTCCCCACCCAATGCGGCTGCGTCGCTGCCGCTTTCTCCAAACGCATGCGCTGGCAATGCCAGCAGATCGGCCACTGCTGTGTCTGCTGAGTCAGGCAGCGGTGCAGGCAGAGAGGCTGCAGCTGAGGTGAGGGGCACATGGGTTCTTGTATCCGCCCGGCTGCTGAGCTTCCTTTTAAGGCTGAGACGGTTCAACCTGCAATCGGCATCAAAATGGCTCATGAAGGCTCCTCGTGTGGATCTATTCCAAGTAAAGTGCCATGCCCTTCTTTATAGGTGTGAGACTACCTGTACGAAGCATTTCTCTTGGTGCCAGGCTGAGTTGAAATGGTCGAGGCTTCAGCTGAGCGGGAGTTCCCAGCTGCAGCATTATTTTCTGATGTCTGCCCATTCACAGATTGCTCCGGTGACGACATGTTGGAAAGTCTTTCTGAGTGGTTGAGCAGGGGTTCCAATGACCTGCTGTACACCAACGCCCTTGCATTTAGACATAGTGCAGAGACAACCGTGACTATTAAACAAAGGGAAGAATGTCTTACTGCTATTATCGACAAGTTTGCGATGCGATGGAAGGAGCAGCAGGCAACTCGGTGCAATGCCGCAAATGATATGGATACAGTGAAAGAGAGCTGCGAACTGCACAGTAGAAGGCAAAAAACACACATCGTCAAGATGACGAAGCGCTGCAGAGCTGGTATAAACAGCAGGAGGCTCACCCATATCATAAGATGTAGGACTGAAAGGCTGAAATATCGTACGGCTGGGAATGCCCCGAGATCTGAAGAGTTATAAGTGTCTCCTGCATCGTCATATGTGCCTATGACTTGAGGTGACGCCTGCAATCTAGCCTAGAAATACATTTCAAGGTTCTCATGGTCCTTCACAATGGGCTCTCATCTCCCTTACAGCTGCCCTTCCACACATAATTTGCCTCGGCAATCTGCGCAGATAAATACGAGCATGTGCCTGGCCAAGAAGTCCAGGCCAGAGTTCGATGGGAGAAAGAGCATGCTGTGCTCTAAATGAGTGATGTCATCGATATCGGTGACATCAGGCAGGTGCAACCCGAGCAAGGACAGCTAGTGCCCAATCTGAATTTCTGGGCCATCATAGAGTCCAGACGAGCACCAACATCTATCACGACTCTCTCTGCCACAACTTATCTGGAATTTGTGTCTTTCTGTTGATATTAGTTACCTTCGAAGCATATTCCACTTTCCTAGTTGCAGTTCGTGCAGACGTTCTTACACCTGATTGCATGTTGTTGTACCATCGAAGGCTTATTGTCTAGAATGCCTTTCACCTGCTGGTGGGAGCACAGAGCTTTGTCTGGAGTAACAGCGTCCACCAGCATGCATCCCTCTCAGCTTCAGGGTGATTATGTTTTCAGCATGCGGGAAAGCAGCAGACGCCATTTGAGAGGTATGAAGAGATCCTTTGTTGAATCACGCATCTTGAGCAAGGAGTACTGTCCCCACTCTGGTCTTCCCAGCTACATTTGTGCTGCATTGGCAGGTTGCAGAGCCGATCATTCCCAGCAGTCATTCTGGCAACCAACCCGCAAGTCGCGATCAAGAAGGCTCCAACAGGATTGCCTGGCCAGTGCCCAGCAGATACTGACCAATGGAAGCCAGCCAGTGCCCAACCCACCAGAAGCCCCCCGGGATCCACAATCAAGTGAGTCTAGCAATAACTACCCACCAGCCAGCAAATTGGATGTCAATGCCGAGCGCTGATCTTCACGATTTGCAGGAGCCAATGACTGGGAATACGTCGAGACACCACATGGATCCCTTGTACCTCTTATGGAGCTAGAGGACACAGACACTGACCCCAGCACCAACAAAGTAAGTGTTATACACTGCTTTAGTTCCATTTCATATAATTTCCATCAGGAGCTACTGCCATTCAATGCTACTGGACTCATCATAAAACACATGCACCCCAGATTGCTGACTTCATTTACTGCTGTTTTGGACAGGTTCTAACATCTGCCAGCCATTCAATTTCCTCCTTCTTCTCGGCGGACGACTGGGAGTATCACCAGAGCGCAGAGCGCTACTTTCGCAACCTTATCAACGTCAGCGAGAGCACAGTGTATCGGAGGATCCTGGCTCCCTGCCTGATGATCACCGCCTTCTCTGCCCTAGTAGCCTTCTACAACTCCTTTGCCCTCCCAAGTAAGCAACCTCCCTCCATCCTGGAATTAAACCCCTCGCTAATCTATCCACTCACGAGGCAGCACCTTCCTCCTATATCCCTGGCGCTCGCACTGCTTGATGTCTGCATGTCTCTTTCCCTGAATCTCACACTGTGCTGTGTGACAGAGCCTCTGTTAAATCTGTCGAGTGCCATCCGGTTGCAGGACAGTAGAATCCATGCATGCAAGCAGTCCTGAATTCTTATATTGTGCTGCGCAGCTCTCGCATTTGCTCTGGCGCCGCACACGCTGCTTGGCTCAGCACTCAGCCTTTTGCTGGTCTTCCGGACAAATGCCAGCTATGGGAGACTTGTGGAGGGCCGCAGGGTAGGACATCCTTCATGTGAAATGATGATGATGCCCAAGGTGGTATATGCGCAATACTGGCCACAGACTGTACTAGCAGTGCTTCGCTGCAAAGCAGATTTTAGGGGACATTGACATTCTGAGGTTTGTGTGCGTGGTGGCAGATGTGGGGAGCAGTGGTGCGGAATGCAAGGGAGTGGGTGCGGCTCACAACAGTTTACTTCCCTGAGGAGCTGCAGCCTGAGGCTCTAGCCTTCATCCAGGTAACCCACCTCAGCTTTCCAGCCAAGGATCATTGGCACAGGTCGCTCGCCTGCACACTGGACACAGACGCCGAGAAAAGATGGGGTGTGTGCAGGCGTTTGCCATAGTGTTGAAGGGCCAGCTGCGGCCTGGGAGGACGAGGTCAGATCCAAAGGACCTCACAAGATGTCGCTACGATGTTCAGTCCAAAGTGCGCAAGGTAAGACACAGACGTGACTCTGGAACTGTAGGACATATGTTCAGTATCTGGATGTGTGCGCAACAGCTGCCAATGCCTTGATCTGTGTGACTGGAAAGTGCTCATGATATGCTGTCATCATGCGTACCTCGTAAACAGTGATGTCAAGAGAAGAGAGATGCAAGACATATACAAGGCAGTGCGAGGGTCAATTGTGTTCATCCTTGCTGCCAAGGTTGATTTGTTGTTGGATGGTTGAAAGTGCCCTTTGTTGATGCCAACAGGTGCTCGGTCCCGAGGCAGCAGCCTATGTACTGCGGGCTAGAAATGGACCGGGCGTTGTCGCGCGTGCTCTCAGCCGCAATGTCATCAAGGCTGTGCAGTGGCCTGCACCAATCCCCTTCTGGGTGGCACAGCGCTGCGAAGACATCATCACAGGTCTACCGCCCTTCCCTGTTGTGCCGCATGCCATGCCTTGTGTTACATTTTGCCGACATCGGTTGTGCACATATGCAGACTTTGTCAAAAAAGAGGCCTGATGGGATTATCCTTTGCCACGCAGAGCTGGTGAACGCAGCCTCCGGCGCAGACAGACTATTCCAGACCCCAATTCCGGTAAAGCTTCTTTCAGACACTGCCACCTGCTGTTTGCTCACATGAGGAGGAGGTCATCATGCCTGAGCTCATAGATGACCCCTGTCCTTCAGAAGGGGTCCTGTCAGCAATGTGTGAATCAGCCAGGTCTGTACAAAAACACAGCTCAGAAATCAGCGGAGGGGTGTCATGACTTGATCATGTCTTGATCAAGGGAATGCATTGGAGCTCCAAAATTACATGATGATCACTGTCATTACGCTGCTTTTGCAGGTGAGCTACACGCGGCACACATCGCGTTCGCTGATGCTGTGGCTGCTGACGCTGCCATTCGCGCTGTGGCCAGTCATGGGGCCCTCGCTGGTGCCAGCCTGCTTCTTTGTGGCCTATGTGCTCATTGGCATAGACGAGCTGGGCGTGCAGATAGAGGAGCCCTCTGCTATCCTGCCCCTTGTACCGCTGCTGAACAAGATCCGTTTCGAGATTCAGACGGCTGTGCGTGAGCGCACTGGCAGCCTCAACTATGCCACTTAGACAGCATGGAGCCTGTCCTTTTGCTTGGCGGCTGCCAGCAGTGCGGCATTCTGTGTGGGTGTTGATTCAAGCACAGCTAGCATGATTGGTGCTGGTATGGGCAAGATTCATTATTGTAGGATGTAGATGTAGTCACACAGAGGCACAGATGTGTCTAGGCATATATCGTTGCAGGTGGGCCTTCTGAGACTTCAAACCGTTGAAAGCATAGCCATGGTCAGGCAACAGACTGAGAGATGAGAGGACCATTGTCCAGATTTCTGTCACGTCATTTTGCGAAATCTTTCAGAACACCCCGCTCTAGAGTTGCATTGTATATTCTGTATATTGGGTTCCCTGTGACCTCATGAAACATTACGAACCAGTCAATTGCAGAAATAAATTGCTTCAACTCATAAAAGTACTAGAAAACGATGTGCAAAGCCCACATTTGCTTCAAAGCAGCATATCCTTTCACAGATACCCTGAGGCATCTCATACTAATTCTAATCATGCTATTAAGAGAGACATGGCCATGCTAGCAGCACATTATCGTAAGTTCACCTTTTGGTGGATAAAGAAGTCCAATATGTTCATGTTCTGTTGACTAAAACCAAGCAAATCTCAAAAATTGCAAAGCCAACCTCCACGTGAAACTAATAACTGCACAGACTGATGCCATCGGTAGCAGAACTCCTCATCAAGCCAACTTTGCTGCAAGAACATAGCACAACAACCATCATCAGGCCACCGCTGCAACAGCTGAATCCAGCCCCCATCCCTTTCCCAAGGGCCACCAGAAAAGACACAACCTCTCTGGAAGGTTGCAGAATCCACCTGATGCCGGGTGTACACCCACACGGCCCCCTTCTCCCCGCACCACATCTCTGACTCGGCAGGAGTGGCAGTCCCCTCACAAAGTAAGCCCATGCTCCTCCCATGCTTATGCTCCTACCATGAGACTCCGCCATCTGTTTATAAGTGCCCACAGATGTCGCATTTTGCCCCTCTGCGAGAGCGGTCAATCCCATACACCCAAAATGTGGACTGGCTACACGTTCTTCTCGCCATAGCGTTTGGCGATCTCCGCAGAGCGGTCACGGTAGTCCTCACGCGCGTCCTGCTTGGCCAGCGGCGACTTGCCCTTGCTCAGCTTGCCGAACCAGGACTTTGAGCTGCTGGGCTGCGCCTCGGGGTACACCTCCTGCGAACAGAGACGCCCATACCCATGTCAGGCCAGACTGCCTGGCACTTCTCATAGGCGCCGTCACTTGATAGACCACTCTTGAGCTCTGCAGTCGTGATCGCAGGATCGCACTGACTGTTGCACTGACTGCACTGTTGCATTCCTATCATCGACTGAGATATCCCCGCCACCTTGTTGTCCACAAGCAGCATGCAATAGACAGAACATACATGTAGCTGCTAGAGGATACATCAGAACTCCCATACAAATAAGCCTCAGTTGAGGAGCATGCTTGTGCTGCATCTGCAGGTGTGCCTTGTGCAGAGGGTGGTATGGATTTCTCACCGCGCTGGGGGCTTCCACGTTGAGCACGCCGGGCTGCTTGCCGGTGAGCGGCTCCTCATTCTCCACGTCAGCACTGCCAGCGTTGGAGAATGTGCGCACGCGGTAGATGGGGTTCCCTGTCTGGCTGTTGCGCGGGCTGGGCTGCTTCACATACTCCTTGCTTCTGCGCGGTGGAATGCCTGCATGCATGGCATGGATAGCAACATTAGTCATCCTGCAGATAATCAATGTTGCTGGCAAGACTGCTCTGGATGCTGCACGAAACGCCGCATCAGGACTGTGTCTTGAGACATTCTGTGTGGCTGCGGGACTTGAAGGACAAGATGTTGCTGCATCAAAAACCACCACCTGGACATCAGGAAGGCAGCTGACTGTTCTGGAAGCAGATTAGATAGCTGGGCTGTCTGCAGATCGCCCCGGCCAAGTAAATAATCTTGGTCTGGTGTCAGACATGGGAGGGTGTGAGGGGCAGGGGGCTCACAGCAGGAGAAGAAGCCGGTGATGAGCCAGAGCAGCGCAGAGCCCATGCCGAAGCACCAGCCGTAGTGGGGCCGGATAAGCACACCGTCCTTGATGGTGTCATATGACAGCTGGCGCACTGCCAGCGCCGCCATGATGTAGAAGGCTGCCAGCACGCCACCCAACAGCAGCCTGCATGAAAAGTCCCATCGTTCTTGGTACAAGCTATGCCAGAGCCAAAGTGCATCTGCAGACAACCTGCAGGTGAAGGCTTCCAGAATTATGCTGGACTCGCCAGATCCAACTCGCCAGATTCAAGCAAGACCCAACCAACCGTGAGCCCGGTGCTCAGAACTTAGATCGCCCGCACGCCGCCGCACGCCGCACGCCGGGGCCAGAGCCAGAGCATGAAACCTACATCTCTATATCTGAATACGATGTCTTCCTTGTGCCATTGTGCAAGTGTCCTAGATAGCATTAGCTAAGAGCGTTTGCAACACTGTGAGGCTGCCGGAAGGTCCCAATCAGCTGTTCAAAGTTGTCAGGTGTTTTATGACAAATGTGTTTAATTGGAAGGCCAAGCTCTTGAGTGTTTGCGTGCTTACCCGACAGGAATGGCCACAATGCGGATGTGGCGGCCCGCGCTGCCAAAGATGGTGATGCACAAGTACAGGATCGCCAGAATGGCTGTGACCCCCAGAGCGCCAGCAGATGCAATCCCCAGAACCCACACAGGGAAGGACAGATCCTGCACATGGCAACATTTACTAAATTTCACCAAAAATTGGAGACCCTTGGGCAGGTGCATGCCTCTATGTTATATTTCTTTGCAAGCAGCTCGTCTCGAGAGAAAGATTGCCACGCTGCTCACCTTCAAAGTCTGCACTGCTGCATTGTCACCGCCAATGTGATATGAGAGCCAGCCGGTCCTGCACAGAAGCGAACCTGGTCACATTTTGCTGTGTGAGATGTGTCATGGTTTTAGCGATGCAAGACGCGAGCAAAAAGACATAAAAAGGAATGCAGGACAATTTGGCAGATGCATAGGGAAGTAGCTCACTGGATGCGGTACTCTGGTGTGGCACCATTGCTGTCATAAATGGTCCAGAAGTCATCTTTGCCCTTGATCAGGGCCGCCACTGAGAGGCCAGTGACTGCCAGGAGGCATATGGCGATGAATGTTGACAGAACCTGCGTGCCAGAGGAGTGAACTCCAGGTTCAAGCAGAAGCTCAAAGGTGCTGCTGCTTCCATTTTGACCAGAGTCCGACAAGATGAATTGGAAGCAGGTGGATTGTGGCATGTTTCTCACCCCCTTGGCAAAACAGCCGCAGCACCCTCTCCCAGGAGCCTCCTCTTCATCAGCATCATAGGCGGTCAGCGTCTGCTTGCTAGACCTTCCACCCATCTCTCGTGCTCAACACCAGTCGTGGGTCAAACTCTGGCCTACGTCACGAACACAGAATGTCTCAATCACAAGTGATGTGCACAAATATCAAATATAAAGGTATGGTGAAGTATACCAACATTACGGACTGGAACAACTGTCATCTCCTAAATCACTAATACTGTTGCTTGTTGGAATGGATCGAGATGGCACAAAATGCCTTAGAAGACATTGTAATTTGATTGTGATTTGATTCCCACTTCATGTGAATGCGGGCAGCCGCACCTGTCACACACACTTCTGCTGTGCTGAAGCAGTTGCTGTACTACAGAGGTGTCAAGAGGCCGATATCAATGCTGGCTGTTGCATCAACTGACCATGGTGCAATCCACATAACGTCTGTCAGATCGGTTTCCAGATCTGCTGTATATGTCTAGATTTCAGACCCTGGAAGAGCACATCAGCTGCGCAGGAAAAGTTCAAACTTCGCGTTGGCGGTCTCCTCTGGCGTTCCTGCCGCAGTGCTGATGCATCCAGCTAGCCACAAAATGTATAGATGATTGTTGAATCTTGCATACTTCATATTTGCTGCTATACATACTGTAAGTAGCGATCAGTATAAAAATTCGAATGGCCGGCCAAGCCATGGCCAGGGCTGCTGCTCACGAGGTAGCATGCTTCTCGGCACGCCTCATCAAGCCCTCTTGCATCGGTGCGATCTTCGCCGGATGGGTGTTGGGGGATCTGAAATGCAAAAAATATCAAATATTGATCCTCAACTGATCCGAAATGTTTCAATCTACTCGAGGACTCCGGATCGCTCTCCATGCTTCTTTGTAAAGCATTTTATCAGCATTTTTGTGGATCATTCCAGGGAGAAGAGGTATAGATGCTCGTCTATGCGGAGCTATGCGGCCAAAATGCATGTCGAATGCCAGCAAGACCCGGAAGTTCAGTACCAGCATCTCAGCTTCGGCCACAGCTGTTGCACCAGAGAAGGTGGAATCGCAAGTGGCAGGTGAATGAACCCATTTGGCCAGTTCTGATCTACAGACGCTGATCCCAGGCTGGTGCTCCCTGCAAAGGCAAGATGCAGTGGCACACTGTTCCAGTAATGTGGTTCTCAATATATAAGTGTTGTGTCAACGCAGTTGACACCCCCGTCTGCGTCGTTACTGGGTCTTCCAGGGGCATTGGCAAGGCCATCGCCTTGGCACTTGGAGCCGCCGGTGCCAAGGTGAACCCCAAGACCTCTTCATGCATGCATGTTGCCACACACGTGCTGAAGACTCCCCACATCTAATCCCCAATGCAGAGCAGACCAGGGCGTACCTGCAGACTTGATTAAGGGGTGCAGAGCCAGGTTAACGATAAAAAGGGGGGTGTGATGGGGGTGACAGGTCGTGGTGAATTATGCCAGCTCAGCGGGAGCAGCAGAAGAGGTGGCTGAGCAGATCAAGGCCTCGGGGGGTGATGCCATTGTTGTGGGAGCAGATCTGGCCAAGGCTGAGGACATTGACAGGTGAGAATCCTGCCAGACCTGTCTTGTATAGGGATCTGGATGACAATTCCCCCCTTCAGACCTCTACTACGAAGCCCAAAACAAACACCCTCCCAGGTGGCGACAACTGGAACTTCCTTGAGCAGAAGCATGCACCCTGTAGAAGAGCCAGCATTGACAAGGGAGAGCAATTTGACTTGCAAGTGAGTGTGTCTGATCCGAGCCAGCAATCACAAGAGCGAGCTGTCTAGATTTGCGTGTTTGCAAGTGAAGGGGGCCAGCCTTCACAGGGTAATTACGTGCTTGGGGATGGTGCAGGCTGTTCAAGGAGGCGGTGGCGAAGTGGGGGACAGTGGATGTGCTGGTCAACAACGCTGGCATCACTCGCGACGGCCTCATTATGCGCATGAAGCTGCAGCAGTGGCAGGACGTCATCGACACCAATCTCACTGGAGTCTTCCTGGCCATCCAGGCGCGCCCATTTCATCTGCCCCACCTTATTGATGTACCAAACTGAGAAAAGCAGGAGGATCATGCGTCATGCAGCGATTTGCACAACATGACCCATGCTGTTGAGAGCACCTGATAGATTGCACAATCGCGCTTGATGGTGTGCGAAGGGTGCTCATTTACTGATGCTTTGCATGTGCACGTGTTGAATTGTCGAAGTATATTGACCACATGAGTACAAGAGGGGTAGACTGATTGGTACTTTTGCATGAGACTAGCTGTACTGTGTGCCAACACTGAGCAGGCAGCCACAAAGGTGATGGGCAAGAAGAAGAAGGGGCGCATCATCAACATCTCCTCAGTTGTTGGCGTCACCGGCAATGCTGGCCAGGCCAACTACAGCGCTGCTAAGGTGCCAGCCGCAGCCCTTACAGATGCACTGCAATGCTACAAAGCAGAACTTCAGGATAGGCTCAGGACTGCCTGTCAACTGCCAAGATGGCCCCAGGAAACTTGTGAGATGCCTGAAGTCCAGAGCAGAACTGCATGAAGCCAAATGCCATTCCACAGGGAGCAATCTTCAGACATTGAAAGTGCATGGTAGAACTTACGAAAGCTTTTGCCTGGATGCACTCCAATGATATGGTGTGCCACGGTCCAGGCCGGAGTGATCGGGCTGACAAAGACAGTGGCGCGCGAGTTTGCAGCCCGCAACATCACCTGCAACGCAGTGGCCCCCGGCTTCATTGCCTCGGACATGACTGCCGCCATCGACCCCAAATATGAGGAGGCCATCCTCGGACAGATCCCCCTGAGTGAGTCACTTCCCCCCCTTCTCATTCCCTCCCCTTGTGCCCGGATCAACCTCATACAGTGAGAGTGCATTTTTGCTGGGCACACCAGGATAGAGTCTGCTAAAAGCCTGTCTTTGGTCATGACATCGTCAGGACTTGTGCAAAACCAGGCGGCAAGTGCAACAAGCATAAGAGAATGCAGTTTCTGAGGGTGTGTGTCTGCTTGTGTCAGAGCGCTATGGGCAGCCAGAGGAGGTGGCAGGGCTTGTGAAGTTCCTGGCCACAGACCCAGCCGCCGCCTATATCACTGGTCAGACCTTCAACATCGATGGAGGCATGGTGATGTGAGGGGGCTTTGTCCTGTTCATTGAGCAGTAATCATGGCTATTCGGTGCTGTGTCTACCATGAGGGGCTCGAGAGGATCTTGAGGTGGCAGCATTCTTATGGCTTTTGTGGAGAGAGGGACGCGAATCGTCACAAGGCAGGCTCACTAGTTAGGCAGATGCTAAGACATTGCAATAAAAATCGAGCATGCATCGGCGAAAAGCGAAATGGGATGCTACCGAAGATCCCTTGTGTGCAGAAAGGGAACCTGGCTTACACGTGTATTTGTACTGAGAGAGGAGAGAAGTGAATCCAGCGCGGCCAGTGCCAACAATGGACGGCTAGTTGAGAGGTACTGAGTACCTCAACACATGTGCATAGAAAGTGCCACATTGGCAATCATTCGTGATGCGATGCGACATAACATTGGGACGTGAGAGGACAGACATCAGTGGAATTATGAAGGAGGCAATTTCAAAGTAGTTGGAGTCAAATGTTGTTGACTCATGTTGTGCAAACATGAGGCTGTGCGTCAAGTGTTGTGATCACCTGAAGCAGCTGCTCCAAGCCTGCACCACATGTTTCGCGAATCTTACGTGCATACACTGTGCCGTGCTCCCCAGCATTTGCACTGGAAAGACAAAGCTGATCTGAAAGGTGAGCTTAGTAAACAATGCGTTCACAATGTTGAGCATTATAGGCAAAGCACCAAACAAATCAAGCAACAAACAAATTTTCACAAGGAAACCACACGAAACACCAATAGCTGCGCAGCATGCGTTGGAATTCAAGGCATACAAAGTCAAACCACCTAAATCTGTTGCAACTGCACTCTCACACCATTATGCCAGTATCACTACTGAAAAGGGGATTGCAGAGGTGTACATGAGGGGACAATGCTACCACCAGTACAGAGAATAAGAACGAGATGTACTTGAACAGTACCTTCAGGCAAATGGGCAGGATGTGTATGCTTTTACGTCACTTTCGTAGGTTGGATGTACTTCCGGTCAAAGTTACCAGCAAGAGGGAGCCACAATCCAAGACTGCAGCACCGTCCCACGCAATCTGACATGCCGCCACAAAGCCTGACCAGGGACATGTACATGCAGACCACTTCTTGCAGAGCCCGACAAATCTTGATCCAGCCCTCAACGGATGCCAGTACAAACGAACATCACTTTTTATTCTTCAAGTGCACTGGCGGGCCGCGCTTCGTCCAAGAAGCCGCTCACAGCATCTTGTGCTCAGCAGTCCATACTGGGCGCATAGAATTTGGCGGAAGCTGGCGCAGTAGCTGGTGTCGGGTGGCGCTTAGTAAGCGCGGCCGCGGGGGCGGGCGGTGGCGCCCCGCTCTGGGTCGATGGCGCCATAACGGGCCGGGGCGCCAGGGCCGGGGGGTCCCTGGCCGCTGATTGTGCCCATGGGCTGCGCAGCAACTGTCTCCCTGCGGCGCATGGATGGCACACCTGCGTGACATGCAGACACTATAAGCAAATTCCTTGCAAGCATGTGCTCAGAAGAGATCAATTTTCTCCGCCTGCTGCTGCCATGTTGCACCAAGGGAATTGCGCCGTCAGTCATCGGATTGTCTGGGGCGACCCTGACGACCCAATGACGAAAGTGGCGATCTTCCTGGTGAATTCGAAAGCAGAACAGTTGCCACAAGCAACATTGTTCCCTCTTGGCATGACAACTGCAGGTGTTCTCGTAACAGGTTGGCATCACCCGGTGCTGGACAACATTGGAGTGTTGTTGAGATCTGAGAGCAGGTGGCGGAGCGCACAAGCAGAGATGCCGGCAATGATGAGCCATAGTACGCCGGCCACGGCTCCGAGGATCCAGCCCCAGTCGGGAATGGGCGTGTACGTCTTGCCCCCGGTCGTGTTGAAGGTGTAATCGCGGACCTTGATCACCGCCGCGCCGTAGTACGCCAGCTGCATGCCGATCACGATGATCCTGCGCAGACACCACTTGATTTCACTCAATGTGCGTAGCACTTTCAACAGAACGCTCCGCTTGACAGCCCGCATGTAGCTTTACACAACCTTTCTGCTTGTTCTACCAGAGGCTATCACAAGACCATGGCAGGAATTAAGCTGCGCGGGGAGGATGTCCCAGCAGCGGAGCCCGGCATAGGCATAGGGGCCGGGCGCTTGTGCAGGGTTGGGCGGTGTTCAAAATGTGTGGCGGGAAGCCGGATGACTAATGGTGATAGGTTTGGAGGTGCTGGTCTGCAGGGGCGCACCCGACGGGGACGGCTGCGCAGCAAATGTGGGAGCCGGCGCCGCCGCAGAGGGAGAAGCAGAAGTAGATGATGGCCATGACCGCCGAGAGCACCAGGGCAGCCGCCGCAATCACGCCGATGATCCAAAGGTCATTGGAGATGTCCTGCGCAGAGTGTTGATCAGTCACGCGCCAATACTCTTTACCACAATGACTTTCATGGGCTGCAAGGTTTGCAAGCAGCAAAATGCACAGAGAGTCTACAGGTGTGATACCTAGAGAAACAGGAATGCAATTATCAACGCAGAGCGAGCGCCGGGAGTAAGGATGAAGAGCTGCAAACGGAAACCTCCACTGCCTCTTCTGCATCCACTGCCCCAACCACTCCTTGACTTCACTGAACACAAGCGATTCCAGCGTACAAGTGGATACAATCTCTTGCATCACTGAAGGGTTCTTGGCGCCAAGCTTGGCGTGCGGAGTGAACGGGACATGCCTTGAGGCTGGGGTTGCCGCCGGCGACGAGGCTGGACTTGGTGGACTGGAAGGCATTCACAGCCTGGTCGACAGCGTTGGTCACATTCTGCAGCTGGTCGCCCGCAGATGTGATGTTGAAGTTGCTTGCCGTGCGCGTGAATTCATACCAGCCCGACCTGCCGCCACAGCAGCTTGCTGTGTCAAGCCACCAGCACAGCATGCACATCGAGCAGAGAGAGCCCATGATCCGGAACGACATGCACTTTGACCCAAATATTGTCCCTTGCGCTACCTGTTTGATATAAATTCACCATCACGGAATAATTCTGAACACTCATCCTCTGCCACCCTCCTAAACCACCTGCAGCCTCTCCGGGGGGTTTCCCTCTCCTCTCCTTCATCTGACTTATGGTGCTGCTACTGGGCTTACGGTGAATCCATCGTTTGCTTTTGCTTTCTCTGCATTCGTCACTGGCCCTACGGTGAATCCATCGTTTGCTTTTGCTTTCTCTGCATTCGTCACTGGCCCCATAGAGGGGTTGCTGGAATGCTGAACATGAAGGTAGCATAACAAGCGGGCAGAAGGTTCACCTGAGAACATAGGCCGGAGACACGCTGGCGTCTTGGAGGTAGGTCCAGAACTGGTATCGGCAGACTGCCACGGAAACTGCGCTCAGAGCGGCAACCAATAGCAGCACAATGGCCAGAATGATGGAGCACAACTGCAACAAGGCAGGAAGACAACATTAGTAATTCTCGGCTAAGAGCGTGGAGGCAGCTTCTGTCATCTTCCAGCATCCGCCTGACGGAACTGAGTGGCACACTTTTGGCGCAGGGAAGACATCCTGATTTTGGCGAAATGTTGGTTGCAGAACAACCATACTGCCAGGCAGCGCAGAAAAAGGATGCACACTTCACGCGCAAGGCATGATGCAAGAACTCCTGGGTGAGTTTCTCAAGCTGTCTTGGGTGAAAATGACATTCACTGTGCAAACAGATGCGTGCAGCAGGTCCGCACTCACCACTTTGCCGAAGCAGGCACAGCATCCTGCGCTGACCTCACGGGTTTCGACCGGTTGCTGCTTGGTGGACTTTGCCCTGCAGCATGATGAATCAATGAAACTTCAGGACACGAAACTCAAAGAAATTGCTGTGGTAAAAACGAAAATAATGCATGTGCTGGATTGAAGGTACAGAGGTTGCCAAAAGAAAACGAAAGGGCAACAGAACCAGATACGGTGAGTCAGATGATTCTGGCAGCACAATAAATGGGAAGCTGGAAAACCATGTGTCAGGTGCGTGGTGCTTGTTTATAAAGACATACATAGACAAGTAGACACTGAAATACAATCAGAACCCGTTGGATTGAGCTAGAGCTGCCCACCCCATAGGAAAACGCGTTTGTGGTTTCTCCCGAGCAGCTCCAATCGAGGAGGATGATCTGCTGCATGCACACGGATATTATGCTATGTGCGACTTTGGACACCTTTCCACAACCGATCGTCAAATTTAATGCCCTTGTTGCCACTAAGGATGTTTGCTGAGCAATCATCCGGAGGCCAAGCACGCTGGCTGGGGTTTTTCCGGGTCGCAGGACGTGCGATATTGAAGCCGATGCGAAAAACTCAAAACAGACATAGTTTGCCAACTAGTTTGCCGGCACGGCAGGAAAGCCGGGCCGAGAAGCCGAGAGAAGGTTGCCAGCTGCCGCACCTGGAGCCCCACAGTCACGGATCCAGAAACTCAAGCACCGATCCTCGTGTGTGCGAGTACAGTACACCACAATACGCTCAGACAAACTTTATTCAGTCGCTCTCGTGCTTTCTTGCACTTTCTTCTCCGAATTCTGGTGTTCGCGATCTCCAAACCGAAGCCCTAGAGATTAGAGGGATCTCATGGGTGATGAAACGTGGCAGATATATCTATATCTATATAGGGCTTGAAAACGAAGCTTCATTGCAGCTGTCATTTTCGATCGCACTACAGCGTCTCTCTGAGTGCCCTCGCGAAAGCTGCAACGGACGGTTCCATCTTGAGGACTGCAACGCAATCTCAGAGAGATACAGAGACCGTTGCGCCGCAGCACCTCAGCGCAGTGCCTTCACGAGCATCGCATCGGATTTGAAGGACTGCCGGAATGGGAATTTTCGGAAGGAGAGGAAAGGCAGAGCCGTACGTGGAACCCGCTCCTAGAAGACAGGGATGCTGCCCTGGCATTAGCCGCGTGGTACGAGCTCGCACTGCACGCTTGGCTACCGACCGATGTGGGAGCTAGTAGTGATTAAAAGACAAGCCGTCAGGATGTCATCACCATGGCTTTCTGGCGGTCTCTTGCCTTTTCCATGTCACAGATGAACGAATGTAGGCCTGCAAATTGTGCGATCAGTGGCCGATACTCTTCGCCTCCGCAGAGAAGAAAGGAACTGTCTTGATGCTGGCTGTGCCTGTGAGTCAGACTTTCTCAGTTGGTGAACGCATCTCGATGCGATCATAGTTCGCACAAAACTTACATCAGAAAACACCTGCTGGAGTCCTATGTGCGCTGGAAAAACGCTCTTTACAACTGTACATGGCGTGACCAGCTGATGGATGTTTTGCACTGAAACAGGTCTGCTCTACATTCCTCTCGATCACGTTCCTCAGCATCTTTGGACTTTCTGTCGCGGCATTGGTGGGCTTCAGCCGTTACTGGACCTACTACACCACCAACAGGTCTGACCCTGGTGCCTACAATGTCCAGACCGGCTGGCTTCACTTCCGCACCAGGGATGTTGACAGCTCCAGCTTGCGGGTGAGTCTCTTGGACAGCCCTTGCTGATCGCATGCCTTCTTCCTATTTCATGTCCTTTGTCCAAAACAAGGCTCTGGAGGGCACATTGTGGGGATGCATGTGAGACATGGAGCGAATGTGAACGTTCATGTTTCTGCGCAGGACATCAATTTCGGACTGTGGGTGATCGGCATTATCTGTGCTGCGGCCCTGGCTGTCTCCGTCGTCCTGTCGTTTGCCGAGTTCTTTGCGTCCGTCACCAACCAGTGCGGTCGCCACACTGCTGGTCTTGCCTTTCCCATGGGGTGTGTGCCCCCATCCCCTGCTTCTGTCTGCCCTCCATGATCTGCAATGATATGCAAGAGCAGATTTGCAGGAAGAGTACTACATGGGTTCTTTTGGCAGCGTCAGATTCTAAGAAAAATACTGCCGCATGGTCATAGTGAGATCATCTGTCAAACGGCCAACGACCACCATAGTCAAGATGACGTTTTCTCGAGGGGCTACAAACGAAAATGCTCGCACCACAGCCAGGCGTGCAGCACAGCATTGCTGGAGATTGCTGCAGCGAGGAGTATTTAATTTGCGATATCTCTTGGTGGCTGAGACGCTGCGGCTGGCTATGTGTGCAGGACTGTCCTCTGGGGGATCCTGATCGCGTACATCGCTTCTGCAATCTTCAAGGTCCGTGACTACACCGGCAACACCGTCGGCACACCCTTCACTGTGTGGCCCAGCTGGGGGTGGATCATTGCCATCATCGCCTCAGTTCTGTGGTTCCTCGCCGGCATCTTTGCATCATGTGAGCACCCCTGCTCAACACCTTTTGACTTGCACCAGACTCTCTGCCTCCCCGTGTTGGGATATATGGTCGTGCTATTGTATGAAAGAACAGAAGAATCTCAAGTGAGAGGATGCATGCCTCCAATTGTGCTGTGCATGCTGCAATGCCTGCTGCCAGCTATTTGCTGTCCCCTTCTTAGCTGGTCAACTGGCATCTCACATATATCACCCGCCAGTGACGGACATAATGAGACTACATTTTGATGTATGAGTTTTTGCGCAGGCATGGGCCCGAAGCGACCCAGGCAAGCGCTGCCAACCCACACCCCAACCGCTGGCGCAGCCTACCCAGGGGCCCACCCCGCAGGGGCCTACCCTGCAGCCCCCCACAAGGAGAAGCGCGGCTGGTTTGGCCGCAAGAAGGCCGGTGCTGCAGGCGCTACCGGTGCGGCCGCCCCAGGACAGCAGTACAATGCTCAGCCCTTCAACCAGCCCAACCGTGACATGGAGATGGGCGCTGTGCCTGACAAGGGTAAGTTTCATTCGAATTTTGTTGTCAAGGTGCTGCATAACGTGCACTCGCGATGCGACCCTGCTTCTTATCTCCCTGAAGCCGCACTGCTTTGATTGCTTGATTGCTCTGCGTGTGTCTTTGGATAATTGTGTCCTGGAAGAGCTTAGATATATCTCCGCAGTGGTAAAAGGATGATATGCATCTCTTCGCAACAGGCTTTCCGCCAACTGAATAGAAGGACCATGCCCGAAATCAGCTGGCTGTGGCACGGTGTCAGCCCAGCTGCATCCCTGACAAGGAGCATGGCCTGTTTCAGAGCATGGTAAAAACAAGTGGTGCTGATGTGGTGCTGTCGACACAGGCACACGCTACAACAACGGCCACAACGGCCACAATGGCGAGGCCCTAGCAGCCGGAGGCGTCGGAGCAGCTGCAGGCGCAGCCGGAGCACGTCACCACCACAACCAGTGAGATCTGCCCTCACATCAAATTTGAATACAAAGTCAAAGTTAAATATGAGGTTTTGAAAGGCCTCGGTCCTGCGGGAGAGGAATTTACCTTCATGGGTTCCTTGCTTGAGCTGATGGTCTGCACGATTGCAATGTTGCAGCGTCTTCTGATAGCTTCAATTCTGGCAAGACAGTTGCAGGTTCAGACGTAGAGCTGCCTGCAACTTTCTCTGTCCTTGGCTTCTCTCTGTGTCTCTGGGTCCTAATGTGCTGTTTTGCATCATGCGCAGAGACAGGGCGGCGGGACCCGGCACAGGGCCGCTGGCAGCCGGCGCAGCCGCGCAGGAGCCCAAGCCCAAGCGCGGACTGTTCGGCTTTGGCAAGAAGCGCGCGGCAGAGCCGACACCGGCCGCCGGCGCGCAGCCAGGCTACGCCGCCGGCGAGCAGGGCTACGCCCGGGACCAGGAGTACCCCAGGGAGGCTCCGGCCGCCGGCGCTGGTAATGCTCAGGGCGGCGCCTGGGCCGGCAGCCGTCTGACTCAGGAGGAAGAAGCCAACCGCGCCAACCTGGCTGGCAGGGTGAGCACACTTCTTGCATTGCTAATTTTATGGCAGTGGATGCACTGCTCTGTGTCGCACTTGATGCAGTGGGCTGACATGTGTAAGTCTATGCATTTGCAGGATGCCGCACCCCGCGGCGGGGCAGTGGAGCCCAGTGCTCCTGCGATGACCGCCGCTGAAGAAGCCCCTCAGAAGAAGGGCGCTTTCTCCTTCTACCACTGAGCAACCACTGCGCAACAAATGGAGATGAGACCAAACGCTGGTTGGTTCGCCAGTAAAGAGCAAACAATTACCAAGCCTCAAGAGAAGATGAGTCTGCAAGGATGTGACAGACATGACAAGGGCTGATGCCGATTCTAGAATACAGATGGTTCTGCCAAGTAGTGCTGTGACAGAGTCCAGACAATGCTGCACGGTAGATTCTTCCAGTAGAAAGTGTGGTTTAGGGTTCCTGCGATGATGCTGTGGCTCATTTTGGTAATTTGGTGGAGCCATGATGCGTTGTGATCGGCAGCTACTGGATCTGTACCCTGAAGGCTGTCCCCTGAGAGGTTTGGGTCCCGATCAGATCTCGATCTGCCTTTTATTGCGTGCTTTGGGTTTGTGCCCAGTGCATGCCCACGGACAGCCTTGCTGATTTTCTTATTTTCAAGGGTGGTTGAAGCGTCTGGCAGCTGACTTGCAGTCCCCTAAGATTTGAATGGCGCAGCCGCATGCCTCCGGACAGACAATCTTTTCATTTCTTTCATTGATTGACTCCTCGATGGCTGTGAGCCTCACTGAGTGCAACAAAGTCGTGCTTGTAGGCTTGTTCTAGATCGTTGCTGGCCCCAGCTGAACTGGAAACCACATGTTTCGTTACTCTGAAAAGAGACAATTTCATGGTGTAAACATTGTCCACTGAACCCACATTGGGGCCACAAACCTCACCATCGACACTCAAGGACCAGTAAGTAATATGAATGAAGGCGCGCAGAGCAATCCTATCTTGACACACACTTGCGGCGAGTGACTCGCCACATTTATGGACACTGCCTACGGAAGGTCTCCTAGTCAGTATACATTGAAGAGTCACTTGGCAAGCCCATATTGCCTATATTGCCAGCAATGGTTGCAGCCTACAGCACACACTCCTGTTTCCATGAACACTTGCAGTCTATGTAGCTACCCAAAGCCATAATGTGAAGCCTCAAGCGTGCACGGGGTAATGTGTGCTGCAGAGCTCGAGCCTGATGTGAAGCCTGGTAGTGATCAAGCTGGTGCAGTTAGAAGTGAGGCATTGAGACATGCACATGGCAGTAAGGTACATTACTAATTACAATTATGGATCTATTTAGGGCTCAGATATTCACTCGTTTCACATTACACATGGGTCTGCTGATGGGCTGCAGAATATGGTACATGCTGATGTAGCAGGAGACCCTGCGCTGTATTGAAAAGTTCATTGTTGCAGTCATACAGGACTACTATCTTCTCTCCCAATAACCGCCTTGCAGTCACTCGAGATTCTATCTTCTTCCCATCAACTCCTCATGCTGACCCAAGTCACTTACAGACACTGCAATGCTGTTGACTGTAGTTTTTCAGCTCAGGTTTGTGCGCTCTTCAGGTCAAGTATCAAGCTGTCTTGTCTCCTGTGCTGCTCGGCTCTGCAGCTGCCAACCCCGCTGGCTGCCCGTAGTCATGCCGGAGCTTCCGTCCAAGCTGGTAGAGGCCAGTCAAAGCCATGAAGAAATTCACAGACATCAGATTGTAGTTCACCTGCAAGAACAATAGCCTAATGAGCGCTGAAGATCTGTCAAAGACCTGATGAATGTGTTGGATTATCACTGCAAGCCTCAAAGTACACAGCACAGTCAAGCAAAGGAGCACTTAGCAAATTCACATCCCCAAAGGCAGGAGCGTACCGGATTGATCACAGTTGCAAAACGGGTCCAGATCACGCCAGTTGCAGTCACGGCACACTGCTGTGGGTATGATACCTGATCAGCTGGGCGCTTAAAGTCTGCCACATTTGCAATGCTAATGCCCCACCTGTGCAGCAGCAGTTGTTAAGACTTGACAAGGTCACTGACAGGAACACGAATCTTCAATCTATGCCTGTCAAAGAAAGATCTTACTTGAATGTGGGAGCCCAGAAGTGTATTGTCTTTGGACCAACTGGGCTGTTGATGAATTGCGCAGCACGAGAGGCAAAGGTTGCCATGCAGGCTGCTTATCTAGGTTGGCAGAGATAGGGCTGCCCTACATTGCAATAGAAGTGATGATCAGTTGACTATCACATTTAAGATACCCATCGATGCACACGATGCGAATGGAAAATGGGGAAATGGGGAGGAAATTCTCATCCATTCCAGCACTGCAAATCTTGCCACAATTTTAGGGCAGCTAGCAGGGTGATGTCTGGATAAGGATTAAATTGGTTCCTTCCGTATGTAGGATCGTTACTTATTCGCACCTTGCACAAATCAGCCGTTCCTGGGGCCCTCTATGATTCTGAGACGGTCTCTGTTGTGTGTTCCACCTAGCGATCTGACTTCACAAGAACAGGGTGCTGAGCATCGGCAGTGCTATTCGTCTCTACACTCCAGAATGCGCGTTCGCCAAATGTAGAACTTTAAGTGGAGCATCTTGAGTTCAGCATGCGGACAAAGCATTGGGCTTAGTAGATTACGTAACGCTGACTACAACCTCCTGCAGGTCGAAGGAGCCACGAGATGCTTTTGAGAACTCATCGACATTTCAAAGCGAAGTGGCCTCGATGCTGTTCAATTGGACTGATCATCGTAGCAATTGTTTACAAGTCTGCATGTAGCGAGAAAGGAGTCGTAGTTACGAGGACATGCCGCAGAAGCTGAGGTGCAAACAATAAGAGCAAAGCGGAATCGATTTGTTTTGAATTATGGTCATCCCATTGTGGGGTAAGATTGTAGCTTTGAGTCTAGCAAAGAAAGTCACCGTCCTCGTCATTGCGAAATTGTATGGATTCCCAAGGTTGTACAGGTAAGACCCTCTTCACACCTCTTTAGAAGCCCCAATTCCTTGTGTCAATTTCATTTTATCATCGTTAATATTTAAAGAAGTATGAACCTTTATGCTTGTGCCTCAGGAGATCCCAGAAGCTAGTGAGGTGAGTCACCATCTAGAAGCACCTTCCTCCAGGTTCTTTGAAACAGCAAGACGTGGCTATTGTGGCTTATCCTGTGCTTGTCATCTTAGTATAGCTCGTCTCCATGACGACCTCCTTCTGCGGCCATCTCTCGGAGATGGTCTGAATTTCCTAGCATCGTGGTTTCCTAGGTACCTGAACAAAGACTCCGAGCGGAGGCAATGGTGGTCAGGCTACGTACGCAGCACATTCCGCCTGCCAGAGCACGTGGTAAAGAGATGGCATGGCCAGCCTAGCACCGCTGGAAGTGCTTCTCTCCAAGCGCGCAGATCTGACACACGTACGCCATTTGCCCAAGCCATGCACAATCATTCAAGTCCGCGATCAAGGATATGTCTTGCACCATATATGCTGCTTCTGATCTTGCTGCTTCCAATCCTGCTACAACAGACGACTACAATGCACAATGTGTGCACATCAAGCAGAGCTTGATGCTGCGGCTAGCAGAGGGGTGCATATTAGAGGGAGAGCAAATTCTCCTGATTTCACAAGTGGGGATGTGCAGGATCAGCTGGAAAGCTGTACTCGTTCGCCAGTAGCCCCCTGGTGGCGGCATCGCGGCAGCAGGTGCAGCAGAAGCTGCAGGCGGGGCGCCTCAAGTGGCACAGCATGAAGCAACGGGGCTCGCTGGTGAAGCAGGCCAGCGTGCAGCATCTGCAGCGCGTCTCTGGCAGGATCCAGGTGCTGCCCCTTCCTGGATCTCCTTTTGGGATTGTGCACACTGTCAATTAACATTCTGCTGCGACTTGGCAGCAGAGATACTACTAGACGCTCTACTGCATCACTGCTGCCGTCATTTGCATGAGAACGTCTGGCTCACACTTGTTGTGGAATCTCCCCTGCATCATTTGCATTGCCTCTGCCTATATCATACTGCACAGCTTTGGAGAGTATAGAGCATAGATCAGGAGGCCATGCGTCAAAGTTATCCTGCAGACACCTGGTGTTGTCCTCCCTTCCGGTCAAGAATACGGCCGTAGTCTTGGGAGATTTAATATTCTGACCCCGTGTGTTGTGTGTGTTTGCAGTCGTGGGCAGCGCATACTCCTGCAGATGTGGCCACCATGCACTTTCTGCGCCAGGCGCGCCAGGCGTACAACTTTGTTCCTGCCATTTCCGCGTGAGGCCCACATGGTTACGCAATACCAGAGGATGCAATAGTGCAGAAAGCAGGCGGTTGGCTGCTGTGTCATGCTTGAGGAATGTTGTTGCGTTGCTGCTATTTGGTTATCTGAATTTTTTAAATACAGTAAAAGGGAGTAGTTTCTTGTGTGAGGACATGTGCAAGCTGCAAAGCTTCACTAGAATAGATGTTTAATGGTTGCATGGAGCACATGCACCTTTTGTACAATATATCTCTGTGACTTTTTAAGCTGAAGTCGCTGGAGAATGCATGTTTGATATGTCGTGCCAAGCGAGAAGGACACTCTGGACATTTTGACAAGGTCTGTTGTTGATCAAGATATTCAATGGTGGTACCGAATATGGTGCATCAAAGTAACGTGAAGACTGTAACTCACCTCTGAGGAAGTTTGCCACCGCTGCTCACTGGAGGCAATAGAGGGCCTGCCGGTGGGTCTTCAGTGAGTCTCCTCAGGTCCAGCAGGCTGGACCAGCACCCGCATAAGTGTTCAGCTGCTTGATGATTTGATAAGACACCGTGGCTCTGTGTGCACCACTCCCACACGGTTTGTGACAAGCATGCTATTCATCCGTATTGATTGTGGACTAATTGCGCAAGCTTGCCGGCACCAACATGGCATCATGCAGGCATGATGATGATGATGATGCCGCATGGTCACCACGGTGCCGGCAGTGCAGTGGCAATTGCAATAGCTGTGTAGACAAGCAGATCCCTAATCACTCAATTAAACCATGCTTATAGTAGCAGGGCAATTGTGCGGATCAGACAGTCAGATTGTCTTTGCTGAAGGTATGCATGTGACAGTCAGGACTCCCATTCGTCTCCTGTCAGGCAGCTGGGGGCAGCTTCCGGCCTTCGGGAAGCTGCAACCGCCCATTGATGATCAAGTCATTCCTGGGAGCTCAGGTAGAAGGATTCATTCCTACACTCCTTCAATTGCCTTTGGAAGAGTCACTGTCGATAATTACGTTCAGCTGCAAATGAAGATCTATCATCCAACCTTCTTTGGTTCACGCATCCACAATCCCTCTGTCCTCCCTGTGCCGTTAACAAGCTCTTCAAGAACAGCACCATCATATTTAGTACCTTTCTGTGGATATTTCACTGCTTGCAAATCAGGAACAAGAGCTCAATGGTTTTATGCAGCAGCAAGGGCAATTCCTGAACGAGGGTCACCTGAACCTGAACCTCACTGGGAATCACCTTTCGAGGCGTTGAAGGCAGCGGTGCGCCAATTGAAAGGTCTTGGTCGTTGCCACTGCGATCAATCATCACTCCACTCGAAACACTTAATGATTGATCAAGCGTTGTCCTGCAGGTTTCAGAGGGAAAGGCCACCCTTGCATACAGGGATGCAAATGAGGAAGATGAGGAGACCTGGGAAGATCTTCTTGAAATGGAGGAAAACGTTTGGGATCCCAATGTGGCACAAGGTGCGATTGCAACCTGCTTTCCCTGCTTGGCAAATTTACAGATTGCCTTGATGTCATACCTCTTTGTAAGTTGGTTGCCGGAACTGAGGATGTCTAAGTTTGCATTGCAGCTGACTTGCTAGAGGAGCTCCTAGAGCCTCCAAAGGGGACTGGCGCAGAGAGGCCTGCCAGCCAGGTGAGGCAACAGGCCTGCCCGCAAAATGCACCCTATTCCATTCCAGAAAATTTGAGAGATGCAGGGGGATCAAGCGCGAGAGGTGACGTGTTGGCTGTCTGCAGGATGTGCCCAGCGTCACAATGGCGACCATGCAAGAGTTGGTGGATGCTGGTGCAGAGACTGTCTGCATGCTGGATGTCAGCCCTTCTGAAAGCAGGTACCTCGACATTTTCTGAACATGCCAAGCATCACGCATGCGATGCCTTAACATGCCATGCATCACGCATGCGATGCATTTTGGCACGAAGGTCGCCCAAGCTATGTAGATTAGTCGGGGATCTGGGTGTTGCTCCACACTTGAAATCAGCTTCGTTTCAGAATTTAAAGCTGCGGGGGGAGCAGGTCCAATAGAACCACGAGACCCAGTGGAGTGAGAGTGGTGCACATTCCACTAGAATCATTGCGTGCAGAGACAGCAGAGCAATTCAGGGCGTTCAAGCATGTTGTGATTGTGTCCTCCGCTGCTGGAGCGGGCTCGGGCTTGGTGGGGGAGCCAGGACTGAATGCAGCCAGGAGGTGCTGGCAAGCCTGCGTTCGTCTGCGCAGAGTCTATGGGCTTGAACAGGCCGCAATATTGGATGTTTTGGAACCATCACAATAGGGAAATAGGTGAAGCATTGTGAAGCCCACACCATCTGGACTTGAAGGAAGGAAGATTACATCACTCCAGCCGCCTAGGGCTGATTGGATGAACTGGCAGCATCCAAATAATCAAAACAATCCATCACAAAATGTGCAACACCAACAATGTCCAACTGCCACATGAATTTCCTTGAGTGTGATTGGGTCATGCCCATGCATTAATGCCCCTAGACCCTGCGCTATTTTGTCGACGCCCCGTAGCTTCTTGGTTGTTGCAATTTGAGCAAAACGGAAGCCGCTCCTGCACTTCGTAGCGCTGTGACAGGCATTCAAGAGCTCTCAGTGTCAGCTACTGTGCCTAAGGTGTAGTGTGCGGACTAGTTTGCTGGTGGCATCTCGTGATAGAAAGTACACCAGTGCTCTTGTATCGTTCTGTGTCTGGAGGACGTCTGCAAAAATAAGTAATGTCTGAATAGCCTCAATGATGTAATGTGCTTTTATCGCCTATGGAGTACGTTGTCTGGTAAAGCGATCTTAACATCCACATCCTGCTCTTAGAAAACGTATGGGGTATCAGCCACAGTAGCGGAGGGTATTGATATTCTCAATATTAGGCATCTCATTAGCACCCGACGGTGTTCATCTGCACATGTTTTACGGGGCTAGCGTCTGGGATCCCTGGCTGATCATAGCACAGATAGTCACAGTACAGTGCCTGTACTACCTCAGCTTTGGGCTCTTGCTCTACCTGCTGCTAGGTGAGCCTCTTCTCTGTTCATACTGGGCTCAAGCGTTAGCAGGTGATAGATGCATTTTGCGTGGTGTTGACAACATCAGATTCCCTGTTGTTGCAGGCCCATACGTGACACACCTTTCATTCCAACATGTCTTCGATGATGCCAGTATGGAGTTGCACTCCTTCACTGGTTGGATGGTGATTCTCACGAATGTCATAAACTCCTTGGCAGCAGCCCTCAGCCTCATGTTTGTGGTAAGCCTCACCCGTGTGCCTCTATTAACCAATTCTTTCGCTGATTGTCTAATTGAAGACTGAGCCTGCGTCTCCTAGTGCTTGAAGACTGTCTTGTTTACAGGTGGAGAGGGCAAAGAAGTGCTTGGACTTTGCAGCGACGTGCTACCTGTTGCACCTGGCGTTTGTGTCCATAGTGGGAGGGTTCCCCACCACAGTCACATGGTGAGGCTGACCTGCTGTGGCATCAGCTCTGACAGCTTTCATCCAGCAAAATCTGGCTTCAAATGGAGTGCAAGTTGTCTAGGATGCTTCAGGTGATGGCATGCATGCAGGTGGGCGGTCAATATCCTGTCGATGACGATTGCTGCGCTCCTTGGCGAGTGGCTGTGTGTCAGACGGGAGCTGCAGGACATACCCATAGGTGCGCCATCTCTTTTGCTCTCACATGACCATGTGCATTTGTTGAATATCAGAAGGAGGACCCAAGCTGGAGCCCACCTCACAAGGCTGGTTGAGCTGGCAAGGCAACGGGTTCTTATCCAAACTAAAGAGATATTAGATGCCAGAAGTATATTTCAAGATATCAATGAAATCATCTGAGCACTCTGCTCTCCAGCCAGCACACGAGAAGATCGAGAAGCTCTACACCCTCGTTGATTTAAGTGAAGTAAAGAAAAGGTGATGCTGCGCATGTTGAAGTGGGAGCGTGCATGCGTGCAGGCAGCATAACGCGGCGCTTTTCGGGCACAAGAGAGGCGTTCAAGTCGCCCACCTCTGTGGCAGCCATCACTGGCGCCTTATTTGGCCGCGCCTCCAACACTGGGGCAGCCGCCGTGCAGCTGCCGTCCAGCCGCTCCCTCAGACCCATCCCTGAGGACCAAGTGTAGCAGCGCCGGTTCTGGCGCTAACAATGTTTGTCTCAGTTCAGCAGGCACGCTTGTATTATGAAAAGTTGTGTTTGCGACTTCAAATGGAAGCTCAACTAATCGTCAGTTGAGCAAGCGCAGCAGTATTCTATTGCTGTGGTGCGCTGGGAAACTATTCCTTGTGTGTAGTGTACTTCCAAAAAGAAAGGCTCCTTGCTCTAGAATGTTTGCTGACATTCTTATGGCTTGACTATGAGGGATACCATCAATATGTTCCTGAAGAGAGGTGTAGAAATAATTTTGTGAATGTATTGTTTTGGGATCATTATGGTGTGGAATGTTGGCTGTACCTTCGAGGTTCTTTGGATTGAAATAGTTGTGGATCGTGGGAGCAAGACAAAGAAGCGCCAAATTGAGGAAGGACCCCCGCATCGAGCATGCTAGGTAATCTAGCATGCACTGCTATTCGACAGACTGAGGCAGTCTCGTGTCGGCAAGACAGTATTTGACAAAGAGCCTCCCAAGTTGGCATGTGAGTGGGCAATACGCCGTCACCAAACAAACATCTCTCAAGCCTTGAGCGTGCAATTGTAACTTTAGAAGAAGCTGAGTACACATGTCCTTTACACGGGCCTGATCTGTTATTTGCATGGTCCTCACAATCCTGAGTAGTGTGTGGGGGCCAATAGTGCAGAGCAGATTCTCAAATGCAGGGCAAATCCGTGAAACATATCGATAGCCCAGAGCATCCCTTTGCTCTGGGGTATCGATACCCCAGAGCACTTGACAAATACCTGGTGACCACAGTGACCAGAACATTGAGCAAAGCGTGCACACGCACTGATTAGAAGAAACTCAGCTACGCATGGAGACACCTTGATCACGCGCTATCTTTGCGGAGCTGCACATACTTCTCTATGAGGACCTCGATCTTGGGCTTGCGCTTGCTGGACAGGAAATGATCGCCCCCCTTTGCATTGGCCATCTCCAGAGTCTTGTTGATCGACTTCTGCATGATCCACTTGTAGTCCTCCCTGCTGATGGTCTTGTCTGCATACATCGGCTTCAGGAAGTCTGCCACAAACTTCTCCACCTCCTTTCTCACCTGCAGCACAACCACCTTGCAACTTTGATCCGTTGTCCTTTCACTTCATAAGGCGAAGGGGACTATTGGTGCAGCACACAGGTCACAAGTGTCCTGGCATGCTCAACTAGCGCAGCAGAATGCCAATCCGGTGCTCAACAATTTAGAGAAAGAGAGATGCAGACATCGACGCAGATACTTGAGAACAGGCTGCACCTGCAAAGAATGTGTCATGCAGCAACATTTGATGTCAATGATTGCAAAGCTAGAGAGTGTGCAGTGTGCAGTGGAGCTTAGCAGGCCAAGGTTGCAGGCAAGCACACCTTGGGGTTGGCCTTGTGAGCGTGGTTGCTGCCAGAAGAATGCTCCTTGGAATGAGGCTTGTGGGGTGTGCCGCCTGAGCCGGAGGCATCGCACTCGTTCTCTGCCTCCGCCAGTGCCTCCTCAGCCCTGCGCACATCCCACCCCCGTAAATCTCCACTGACCGCCGACCGACACACATCCCAACAGCTGCCCATTTTCTGCTCAAATTCCCTGCGCGCTGCAATATTGCAGACATCAGGAGTACCAGAACTCCACCACCTAACGGGTATCGGTCATGCCATGGGCCACGCTGTGGGCTCACAGAGCACTCAAGGCAGTACGACTTAAGTATCCCATTGTTTCCTTGTCCGCAGCACTTATCAGATACTGGACCCCCTGGCAGGTTAGAGCTTGGGGGAATTGAGGGGGTGGAAAAGCCTCTGCGCTACAGATGACTGACGGATTGGTGTAATTATGATGCAATACTGGTGAAATGGGCCCGCACCGAGCGCGGCGGCGCGCCAGCTTCTCCTCGCGGTTGCGGCCGGAGCGTTTGCTGCGACCGCCCTCCCCGAAGGCCAGGATGGCCGGCATTTCCGCGGCTGTCTCGCGCGCCTTGCGCATCTCCTCCTCCAGCTCAGCGCGCTTGGCCGCCAGCGCCTTCGCCTCCTCCTCGGCCTGGCATAAAATAAGCAGATTTTTTTTAGCCTGGGCCTTCTTGAGATATAGCCGGTGAAACCCTATTTGGGAGCTGCATACTTACGAGCACATCGCAACAGCTCAATTTTCAACGCAACCATGTAATTCTCTAACTTAGGAGGACTTCCTTGATCACCATTCCAGACGGGGGATCTTGGTCTCACCCGCTGTGCAGCAGCCAGCTTTTCCAGCAGGTCAGGGTCCATCATTTCGGCGGCGTCCTCCTCAGAGCCCGGCGTGGCCGGCCGCTCCTCGGCGCTCGGCCGGCCAGCGCCGTTCTGCGCGGCCTTTGCGGCGGCGGCCGGCTTTGGCGGCGCCGGCGGCCGCGCCGGTTTCCCGGCCCAGCGCGCCTGCAGCGCCGCGGCCGCCTCGCGCAAGATGCGGTTCGGGTGGGAGGCAACGCGGTCGGAGATCGTGCCCGCGATGCCAGATGACTTGATCGTGTCCGCGCGCACCGGCATCTTCATCAGCACCTGCCCCGGCAAACCATAGTTTTCTTCACTTCAATCCATTCACAGCTGCCTTACAAGAGGACAACGCTGTGCTGTCTTCCGGCTTAATCAAGGCAATGTATGGCGTTGGGCAAGCCCACCTTCTTCTCAGCTTGTGGCATAAGCAAACCAGTGCAGGGGCAATGACGCACCAGAAACAATTCTGAAGGAGCGAGGAGGGAGAGCGCGAGGTCTGAGGCAGTAAGCTGTCAGGGTCACACCTTGAGGGCGAGCTCCAGGACGTGGAAGGCGCGAACGTCAAGCACGAGCTGCAGCAGCCACAGGTCGAGGGCGCGCAGGCACGCGATGTCCCCGGCCAGCGCGGACAGCGTGTCAGCACTGGCTCCCAGCAGCGCCCGCAGCATTGCCGCGCGCGCCTCTGTGTCCACCGCCTCGCTCAGCTTGGCACGCAGCTGCTCCAAGTCACCTGCGCGCGCAAGCACCGTCAGCACATTTCACAGTGTCTTCATATTAGAGCAGGAACCCCATTAAAGTGCAATTTATCTAGAATATTTGTACATGAAATCTAGCACTTTGAAGGGAATGTCCCTGGCTGGAATGTCGTTTCAGTGGAAGGAATACCTTGCCTGAGCCTGATGTGATCCCATGCATGCATGTGTGCAGGGCATTTAAGAGAGAGAGCAGGTCAATGTCCGCTGAAAAGAGGATGACTCTGCTTGCAGAGGAGCATGCCCACTGTACAATGAACGTGGTGGGTGCGTCGAATCAAATACTGTGTTCTCACAGCGTGAGTGCGCATCATGCGTATGCAGCCTAAAAGTATGAGATATGATATTTGTCGTTATAAATTAAAAACACCCCACTAAAGCGCACCCATGCCGGCTGAGATGAGGACGCGGATGATGGCCTTGGTTTCTTCGCGCTGCACTTCGCGCCGGGCCATCTCGGCCGCGCGCTCCTCCCGGCTCATCGGCAACTCCGGCTCCCGCGCCGCATCCCGCGCGCGCCGCTTCTTCGCCTGAGCACATCCACTAAAGGAGCTCAGCTGCATGCTACAGTGCCGTCCTCTGCTGTCATGTGCATGGGAAAATCTTGATGGCAAAGCAGGAAGCCGCTGCAATACGCCCGTGAATATGCCGGTCAGTGGTCTGGCCCCGTGGACTGCCCTGCTTGGCAGTTCTGAACGCTGCAACCATCGCTCATGAGATCTCCAATGATACTCTGACAGGATGCGAGTCCTTTCTCACAGAAATGCACACTGACACAGCACTCTTGGTGAAATGCTCTGCAGCACAGAATCCCTGAGCCAATTCGACACACATGATGCCTGGGTCCCTGAAACGTTATCTAGCTACTCTAGAGACCCCTTTCCGTGCAGCAGCACAGGACAGAAAGACTTCTAGGAATCACCTCGACTGGCGAGGCAGGCTCATCTTCATCATCCTCTTCGGCTGCTGCGGCGCGGCGCTTCTTCGCCTTTGCCTTCTTGGGCTTCTTTGCACGGCCCTCATCACTGTCGTACTCCAGAAAGTCCTCTTCCTCGTCCGCCTCCTGCAGAAAAACTTCCTTGTCAGCGCTCATGTCAAAGCTCCTCACATGCAGAAGTAGAAGCAGTGATACCTAAAAGCTCGTTCCCAACTACTTCATACAAAGGTGCCACAGAGCCACTGCAAAATATCTTGTCAGAGGCAATGGAACAACCTCGCTGTTGCAGCGGCATTGTAAAAAGCACTGTAACAGTGGTAACAGTATGACTGTGACAGTGGCCTTGTAAGAGTCCCTATGTAACAATAGCATTGTTATAGTGCCACTGTACCACTGTAACATAACAACAGCAGCCTCGTAACAAGATCACCATTGAAAACCAAGACGGCAGCACCAAGCACAACTTAAACCACAGGCATGCCTCGCCAGAACCATCCACTGCCAAATCAGACAGGTAAGAGAGGAAAACAGCTCACCCTGCTGGCGCGGCGCTTGGCGGCAGCCACACTGTCGACCTGTGCTGCGGCGGTGTCAGCAGCCGCATCGTTATCTCCTGTCAGCAGGTGAAGCGCGCGCACCGCCTGTGACAGATAATTTGCCAACACTCGAATTGCACTCCTTGCTCTCGCAGAATCATGATGTGAGGACAATGTTCGACAAGATATCATGGCCATTCTGGACATGTAGTCATTGCAGGCGACATTTTGCAAGCTTCCCAGTGCAATAGGGAGGGCGCCAATTATGACGACAGGCCATTGACAATCTGCAGGAGCAGTACCAGAGGCTCATAATAATCATTGAAGGGATCCCCAAGCATGCCACGGATGCATGCTTCCATGATGCTAAGAGACAATAGTCAAAGGAAGGGTGGCCCACCTCGCGCATGCCGGTAAGCATGGCCCCTCCGACAGTGTCCGGGTGCTCCTTGCAGGTGTGCTCCCCTGCCCACAGCAGCCGCCGCCGCACGGGCGCCGCCAGCGCATCGTATGTCTTGGCGCTCGAGCCGACAGCAACGTACGAGTAGGAGCCTGCCCCATTCACAGCCAATACAGGACGCCAGAGCATCTTAGACGAGCTTCCAGAGGTGCCAATAGGGGCATTGATTAAAGCCAGGGCATGATGTAAGACGATTTCAGAGGATTATGCACGGGGGTCCTGTGCTTCTCAATGCATCTGCATTGCAGGTGAAGGCTGAGTATCCGGAACGCACCCCTTGCATATATGTCGCTGCCCCACTTGGTGGCCAGGGAACACACAGGCACAGGAATTTTCTCGCCATACAGCCTCCCCAGAACCTCCATAGCTGCAGCCGCCATCTCTTCGTCCGACATTTCCTCGGACTCCTGGAAGCGCAAGATACCTTACATTGCCATGTAATGCAGATCATATCACGTAACGCATACCCTACCATTTGTGAGCACAAAGGTGTAGTGCCTGAGGACTCTTCGTTTGTGGTCAAACTGACAAAGGCAGAAGGACAGCAATTTGGGACGAATTGTGGGCACAGAGTGAGGTGGGGTGCTCACATAGGCTGCCTTGCCGGACACGAGGGCCACCAGGATGGGCTTGCCAATCATGGGCTGCAGGTTCCAGAACATGAAGCAGCGGCCGCGGCCGCTAGGGCCCCCCGGCACGGCAGCGCCAAAGAAATCGGTGGAGTTCTCCCAGAAAGCATGGGGGAACTCCAGAAACACCTGCACCCGCAGCTCTGTAAGTCACGCAAAGCAGCAAGCTTTTGCTCCAGATCCGCACACAATTTTCACGATGGGGTCAATTGATGCAACACACAAGATTGGGATGTCTCACTGTTTTTTATGAAAAACAGTTAAATGCAGGGATGAGATCTCTGGCAGGCAATTTACCTTGTTGAGGTCACCAAAGCCAAGCTTGGTCACAGCCTCGGCCTTCCAAGGTGGCAGGGACGGGTCAAAGGTGACGTCACCAGCTTTCAGGCAGCCGAGAGGCACTGTAACGATGACCGCTGCACCCTTAAACACCTCCCCTGCTCCCACAGCCAAGCGTCAGACCCAAGCAATGTTACTTCAATGCGTCTGTTACAAGCAGAAGCATGAATCCCAGAATGGTCAAAGTTACATTCATGCCCCCAAGCCAAGAGTCCTCAGACAGGGGTAATTCCCACGCTTTGAGCCGTAGCAGGATTGTATAGCAAATACTTTCTGCCCTCAGATATTGTGTGCTTCGCGAACAACGGCGGCACCACCATTCATGCAGATGTTTATACAGCTGGCAAACACCTGGCATTGATCACAGCAAGCCTGGATCTCGTGCAGGAGCTTGCAGCTAGGGAAAGGCACCTGAGGCGGTAGTCACTGTGACGCCATCGGACGTGTCAGAGACGGATGAGACAGGGGATGACAGGCGGACATCCAGCCGCTCTGCCAGAGCCTTCAGAATGGGGTCATAGCCCCCAATGACCATGCAGTGCTGCCCCCCAAAGCCGCCATACTCCTCGTCCTGGTTCCAGTGCACCAAAGACACCTGCACCCGCCATAATACTGTGTGAGCTCCCATACAGTAACAATGTGACAGGAGATGTTCCTGTGAATTCTGAGGACGGAAAGAATTGATGTGGTAAAATTTAGGAGCAAAAACTGAGCAGGTCCACCTGAATTTGGTGGCCTGTTCTATATACTGCATGCATGCTGACAGCAGTAAAAAAGACATCGAGGCAAACACATGCACCTTCCAAATTACTGGGGTTTTTGAGCAGACTGTCTGTCTTTGAAGCTACAAATTGCTTTTCACAGTGCACAGCAACCGAGAAATCTGCAATGTGCACACAAGGGCAACCCCACCTGATCCAGTGAGGCGCTGCAGCCATACTCCAGATTTGACCAGTGCCAGTTCAGCAGTCGCTGCTGCGCCTCATCCAGGCTGGCTGGCAGAGGCTGCTCTTCCGGGTCCTCAACCTGTGCACTCTCCTCTGCTTTGGCCTCCACACCGCTGCCAGGCTCTGCAGGGGATTCTCCATCCGAGCCCTGACCGGCTGTGCTCCCCGCTTCTGGCTTGACATCTGCGGAACTGCTGGGTGTTCCATCTGCTGTGCCAGCTGCGGTGGCGGCTTTGTCGACTGCGTCTCCTGCTTCTAAAACTTTCTCGCCTGACGCCTGCACTGGTCTTTTGCTGTCCTCTTCACTGTTGTGTGAGTGCTGCTCCCCCTTGTCCGCATCCCCACTGCCATTTGCTTCTGCCATGTCCACATCACCACCTCCAGTTGCTGCCTCCGCCCCTGCTGCTGCGCCATCTGACTGAGCCTCTCCCTTACCATCACCAGTGGCTGCCGCAGTGTCCGCCGCAGTCTCTGCTGCCGATGTTCCTGCAGCTACAGCCGTGTGTGCCGCTGCTGCGTCTGCACGTGCCGGGGCCTCGGCCACCGCTGCTGCACTCTCTGCCGGGGCTCCGGCGTTCGCCATGTCGGGGTCAGCGGCGGCCGCGGCGGAAAAGCGGTTTGCAAATGCGCGTTCCAGGGCCGCGCCGAGAGACTCGGCCTCGGTGGCAGCCTCGCCCAGAGAGTCGACCCTTTCGCGCGCGTCGTCCAGCAGAGTATCACGCACCCGGTCAACCAGGCTGTCAAGTGCATCTGGCACTCTCTGCCCAGTCAGCCCGTCGTAGATTGGCAGCAGATGCTGCCGGATCTCGTACAGCTTCAGTCCCAGCTGCCTGCCAGCGCAAACACCAGTCACCAGTCAGAATTACTTTCTATCTTTATTCCTATCGAATTTGCACGTTGTACAAAGTTGGAGTCACTTCAAGCTTGTTGAGAGTCAAAGACGACGGAAAGGCCAGCCGGGTGTGTGTCACAAGCAAGCAAAAGGGGAAATGGAGCGCTGCATGCCTGGCGACAAGAGTGGAAGGGTCGGGTCGCGTTCCCCTGGCGACCACAGTGGCGGTGCCTGTGATGATGGATGCTCCCAGATCAACCGGCGCGCTGAAACCGCCGTCGCTGTAGCTGTGCACCCGTCCGCCCACTCTGTCTCGCGCCTCCAACACCACTGTCTCTACGCCACACCTCTGCAGGGTCCCACCAACACAGTTAGGAGAGCGCTAAACTGAGACAATGAGTCTGCAGACATGAATGGTTTCTAATCGGTAGCACGGGCCCCCTTTTGCACCGTCAGGATGCGGGTGTGTCGAATAAGGCATGTGATGATCATCCCAGGATGCAGCGGATTGACAGCTGTCAAGACATGTTTATAGGTTCAGCATGCCAAATTGCACAAGCAGGCACATGAGTTCTGCGAATACAAGGGATGTTGCCCTGCAGGCTGAGAGGCACCTTCAGGTGGAGAGCAGCAGCCAGGCCGGCGGGTCCTGCCCCCACAACAATGACCTTCCCGGGCTTGGCCTTGGCTTTCTTCTTAGCCTTCTTTGATGGGGGCCCAAGGTTGCCGTCCAGAAACTCATTCACCTGCACAGCCAGCCTGCCATCAAATGTTGCACATTTTTTACAAGAGCTACAACAGCTGAGTGCAAAACGAGGAGTGGCAAGATGAACAATATTGAAGCCGGTGCAGACCTGCTCCCTGATGAAAGCCTTGCGTCCGCCCAGTTCCACGCCCAGTTGCTCCTCCAGCTGCTTCCTGATCTGCTTCTCAGTCACCACCTACAAGCAATCTTCTTTTTTCAAAATTCCCTCCCCAGCAAAGCATGGCACAGCTCCTGTAGCTCTAAAGTGCATGCTAGCCAGATAAGAGACCTGGTGGACCATGCACTAATGTCCAGCAGAGAACAGATGCAGAAGTGAAAGGATCCAGAAAAGCTGACGCACATCTATGTCCACAGTTTTGAGGACTTTGTAGAGTGCCCCCTTGAGCTCCTCATCAGACACGCCCTCCTCAACCGGCTGCTCCTCTGCAGCAGGCTCCCCTTGTGGCACACCGATGTTAATGCAGCCCTGCTCCTGCAGAAACTTGTGAGCTTCTGCCACAATGACCTCCATGCCATCCTCGGCCGCGCCTGCATGTAAAAAATACTCTCACATTCAACTTCTCCAGCTACCTTCAGTAGATTTGTAGTTGGTCTCGAGTGTGTTTCCAGGCAATGACATTCTGCCTGGGCTTTGGGAATGCCACAGGGCCACAAGCATGTGATGCAAGCAAGATTCGAGCAGGAAGCTCACCTGTGCAGGCCTCGGCTGTCAAGAACTGCGTCACATCCTCGTCCCATTTTTGCAGGATCAGATTCCTGCAGCAGCAGGCGGGACGTGTCGGGGGTATTAAGATAACAGCCGCAGCTTTTGCTTTCCAGGACACAGCAAACTGTGCAGGCAATCAAGATGTGGGACACAACAATACCCGTGGGAATTCTCCAACTGAACAGCAGCTCACCTAGCATTCAAGTAATCTGTCTGGCGCGCTGCAAAGCGGAGCAGCTCTGCCTTGGTCATGACTCCAGGCCGCAGGCCAGCACCAACTGTGGCAGCTGCAGCCGGCTGATGCTGATCCTCTGTGCTGAGGGACGCCTGCGAGCGCCTTGGCCTGAAGGATGCTCTGGCGCGCAGGCCGTAAGTCATCCCAGCTTGGACCACCATCTCCCTGAGATGTCCTTCTGTCTACACTGCTCTCTGCTTCTGAACTGACCCTGCACCTGCAAAATATGACAAATGTATATTTTATGGATCCACACTCAATCTGATGTATATCACAGCCTAAGGTAAAGGTTCAGATGAAGGCATCGAACCAACCTACAAATTACACAAGGACTGACAGACACTGCAATTCACAGCCTGGAGATAAACACATAATGAAGCACTCTTTTGTGATGCTTGACTTTTTTTGCTTCAGTCAGAACCGCAGATCTATTGCCAAGGCTTGCATGTCATGCAGGCAGGCACAAGATACCTTGTGACAAGCAGGTGTTTGATATTGGTGTTTGTGTAGCTCGTACTTTTTGGAATCTCTATTAAGAGAGCTTTCAAGAACAGCGTGCGAACCCCGAGGCAAAAATGTCGTGGTAGAGGAGTAGATACCCTGCTAGCACTGACGAAAGCCTCTATATATATACAGGTTCTAGTGCGTAGAGATGATAAAGGTTTCAATGCTGAATGCGTATGGCAATGCCTTCAAGTTTGCAATGCTCGTAAAGAAGAAATCTGCATGGGCAGGCCATGGCCAATGGGGTGCCCAATGGGCAGTGTTGAGTGGGCACTTCAAAACCAAAGTGAGCTCTGTCCTCTGGGATACTTGCAATGTTTTCCCATGCATCCCCTGTTAATTTACATCATTCAAGGCCCCTTCCCTAGATGGACACATGGGCTTCTCGTGAGCTTTAAGAAAATTATACTGTACATCGCCCGCTTTCTTCCCAGCGGCAGCCGGCATATATGATATATTGCCTGCGCATGCGTGCACTGCAGCTGCAGAGAACAATTGGCATTATGCCAATTGACTGCCTAGCAGGCAGAGCTGCTGACCACTACTATTCACATCCATGACACATGTACCGCATGTACTTCTCGGCAAGAACTGATGTCCCTGATGTGTCCTTGCACACGAACAAGCTCAAATTTCAACACGCATCCATGAGTCCTGAAGAGCAAGCTTGAGTCCGCACACCTCTGACTCACACCATCTCATACCAACTCTTTAACCCCCCTTCCTGCGCATTTCCAAGACACTTATTGTCTGTCTTCACCAGTTAGCAAAACTCCATTCAGAGTGATGATCTCAGCATCTTCTACCATGCAATATGTTGTACAGGCACATTTGGAGTGCTATTGAAACAGGTACATCAGTCTCTGGTCCCAAATTATCTGGAATTGCCCTGTGTAGCAATTTTTTGCTGTTCACTGCACGACTTGCATTCACGAGCCAAAGACAAACAGTGCTCAATTCTGCCTTGAAACAAGTTCATCCTTGGAGCCTCTTAGAACCTTCTTCATATGCGAGGTATTGTTGTAGGTAATTGGCCCCGGCTGGCGGGGGGCGATACAAATACTGAGCACCGTGCCCACGGTTGATTGGGTCTTGCTTGGATCTGGCGAGTCCAACAAGGGTAGGATTGTGGCAGCCTTTAGTTGCAGCTTGTCTGCAGGACGCACCTTGCCTCTTGGCAGGAAAAGCGTGTAATAATAATAATAATAATAATTGGTGCCAGCCAAGTAATCAGATTGACCCGGAGAGCGGGATGCGGTCAAAGTCGATGTTTTCGATGTAGTGGACGGTGTCAGAGAGGTGCTCTCGAAGGCAGTTCAGCTCGGCCCTGCTGTCCACAGTCACTGAGATCATTCGCAGCTTGAGGCTGTGCACCTCTGCTCCCAGCAGCGTCCCCATGTGCTCTGGCAGCTCCTGCATTGCAATAGTCACCATCCACTCAGTAACCATGGCCTTATGAATGCGCAGCAGCGGCAAGGTCCTCTGGAGGTTGAGAGCCCCTGCACTTGCACTTGTTCGTGCTGCGCTTGCAAGCGGAGAAAGAACGCCAAGTGGGTTCCGCGGAATGGATTCGGGGGTTCTGTTTCTCCTTCCCCTCATGGTACTAGTTAATATTCCTGATCACTAACAGTACTCCTGGACACTGATAAGGATTGCAGCCTGAGGTGGACTGATTCTTGCATGCGATGCACCCTGTTACATATCAGCACAATAAGACCCATTCACAAGCGAGGGAAGGCTGGAGGGGAGTTGATTGCGAGGTTCCTGTGATACACTTAGCCCTGTGGGCTGAAAGAAGCTTGTAAAAGTAATGATAACCCAGTTCAGGTGCGAAGACTCATGTTTTTTGTGGCTGTAAAGAGGGGCGGAAGCAGTAGGAATTAGAGCAGCACCTCATGGGCAGGATCCCAGTCAACCCTGGCTGAGGGAGTTGTGAAAGAGACAGGCCGTGTGGTCCCTTTGAAGCGCTGGCGCTGGCCGTCCTGCACCCTCCCTGACAGCTCATTGCAAATAACAACCACCTGTGTCCGAAAACAAAAGGTTTAAGTGTTGATCTCTCCATCACATGACAGGTTGAGCACTCGATTTGTGTGGTCGATCAGATGGCTGGGCAAATTCCTTGGCTGTGCCCTGGTGTGATCTGTGCATGCTCACCTGGCCAACTGTGGTTCCTGGGCGAAGGTGCAGGAAGAGGGTGCGGCCTGCCACATCAGCATCGGAGCCCTGCAGCCATCCATGGCGCCTGAGTCATGGTCTGAGTCATTGTTTCCTGCTGAACTGTTGAAGAAATGCAAAACTGTGCAGAACGTGATGGCTTAGCTGTCAGATGTTCATGTGAACATCAGGGGGATGAAAGGCTCACCAGGTAGATCACAGCATGCTCATTCACATGGTACTCCGGCACTGACTGCCTTGCAGACTCCTGCGCATAAGGCATCTTGCTTCATGCCCGGGCAATGATTCTGTCGTCTGCACTGTTCGTTAAAAATGTTTAAACCTTGTTTGGATGCGCCATCCTTCACACCTGGACGAGGATTGCCCTGGGCTGTACGGTGGAACTCTGTTTTGGTAGTGTCCTTGGGTATGCCAGTGCCCACACTCCGCTTGGTCCGACAATGACATTTTTCGACGAAGTTTGCAACACACCCTGCAACATCAGGCAATATTTGTCGGTCGAACGTGTTTACCGTAGCTCTGCGCGACCTGCTTCTCATGCCTCCATGAGGTTTTCAAGTCACAGAAACAGTAGCGACGAAAGCCCGAGCTGCTCGATTTATGTTTGATATTTGCCGTTGGGTCAATTCTTTTGTAACTTCATGGGTTTTTCTGCAACTAAATAGAGAATAGCACGAGGGCTGTAAGGAGACCTCCTCACTTACCCGACGCCTGAGGCTGTGATGGGTCTTCAACGTGCCATGAGAGATGATAGAACGACTGCTGCATACAATGAGCGCCATATTGAGTACTTATTCCTGGCAATGAGCTTTGTCGCAAACTAACGCTTCGGAGGAAAGCAGTACGGACAGTTACAAGGACAAAGGGGCCGACGATGCAGTGCCAGCAAGGAATGCTGAGACAACAGCACTGGTTTAGAAAGAGACCTCAAGCTCCGCAAGATATCTTTGAAGACAGATCGCGGACAAGATGCCTTCTTCCCTAGTTCCAAGATTCTAAGGGACTCTAAACTAATAGAAACTTGGTTCGTAATTTAAAGGCCCTTGGCCCCTGAAATGTCTAGGCAGTGAGTGCTTGCAAAAGGTGGCATTTCATGTACATTCGCTGGATACAGGTATCAGGAATATCTCGCACAGGTCCTCATCGGCTCTGATCAGGCGGAAAGCTGCGGGTCGCATCCTTCGATCTACAACCAAATATGATTTACTGAGGAGTTAATGATGGCCTTTGATAGGTAGATCAATACAGTGAATTAAAGCCTCATAGCAAGAAAGTGTCAGACTTGGTACTTGGCACGCGCACCATCCATCGCACTCTGAGCCCAGGTCAGAATGGGCAATGTTTTCGCTTCTTCAAAACACCCAAAGTGCGATTCTGTCCCAATACATGCAATCTCCAAAAATTTCGTTAGTACATGTGCTGACGAATGTAACGGGCTCCTGCCGACTTTTGCATTGCGTCAAAGGTGCTTTTTATGTGTTGATCTCTGTTGTCATGGGGTGCAGGCAAAAGATCACCGACACTGATAGGGCTGTGCTGAAGTTGAAAACGCAGCGACGCCAGCTCAATGCCCAGCGGACACGGGTAGGCCAGGCGCAAAGACACATACCTGCGTTTATTTACAAGTTGGAATCGCCCATCCATGCTCAAGTATTCCTGCTGTACAACTGTCAATCACCTGGCATAGTATCGTTAACATAAATTCTTGGGCGTGGCAGGTCGAGAGCTTGATAGCCAGAGAGATTGAGGTGGCTAAGGAGCTCATTGCAGCCAAGAAGAGAGAACGGGCGCTCCTGGCCCTCAAAAAGAAGAGGCTCAGAGAGGGCCAGCTCGAACAGATCGATGCCTACCTCCTCAACGTGGAGCAGGTTGGCATCTGCTGATTGTCTCAAGCCGTGACCCCCCGGGACCGTATGAAGGTGCAGGAGTCATATTGGCACATGCCTGAAACTACACCATTCCACCTTGTGCAGGTGCTTGCAAACATTGAGAGTGCGCAGCGACAGAACAGGCTGTATGACGCGTTGAAGCAGGGCAACACTGCACTCGCAGCGTTGCAGCAGGTGAGCTCTCTTTTAGTTCCTGCTGCCAAGTACAATGCCCTAATTAGCACGTATGAGCAGTTTGCACAATGTCGCTCATTTCCTTGTCATGTTGTGGGAGCCAGAACTCCCATTGCATGCTCGGCAACCTTTTGACAAGGATATATATCGAGTCAGCCATCATTTCTCCGCTTCTCGATTAAAGGCAGAGGGTGAACCTGCTCCTGCTGGCGCAAGGCAGCTACCTTGTTGGGTGTCTCGCCGCATGCCATGTCAGGATGTCCAGGGTCATACAGAGCAGCACATGCACAGATACAATCATCGCCCCGCTGCACGCGCCAAGATGGGTGGTCCTTATATTTCAGATGCCGTTCCGAGCCATACTGTATTTGTGTGCGGCAGGAGGTATCACTGGAGGAAGTGGAGCGGTTGACAGAGGACTCAGCGGAGGCGAAGGAGTATGAGGAGCGAGTGAGGGCGCTGCTGGGAGAGGCGCTGACAGCGGAGGACGATGCGGCCGTGCTGCAGGAGCTGTCGCGGCTGGAGGCCGCCGAGGCGGCCGAGGACGCTGCGCGCCTGCCCGAAGTGCCCAAGGTGGGCAGCGCTGACTTAGCGCTGACTGGATTTTGTCCCTGGATGTCGTCCCTGGATGTCTTGCTGTGGGTATGGGCAGCCGGCTGCTTGCCAGCGCTTGTGCAAACGAGCCATCAGATGACCCCGAAGGATTGAAACAAAACTTGCAATTTATTCATAATCCGCCAGGGTCTTCTGATGGCTTGTTTGGCTGACTGTCCTTGCCTGGGCAGAAACAATAATATTGGTTGTGGGTTAGTAATAGCTGGCAAGAACCGAGACGACCGGAAAGCAATAATACACGTGTTGCTTGACGTACCTGGTCCTTAGGATTGGAAAATGCGTGATAATAATAATGATGCCAAATGCTATGTGGTGTTCAGGTGGAGCCAGTCACGCCAGAGGCACCAGAGCTCACAGCAGAGGAGAAGGCACAGCTGGCAGAGCTGCCAGAAGTGCCCAAGACCAGACCAGAGCCCAGCCAGCTGCAGGAAAGGGCGGCCAAGGCCCAGAAGCAGGCTGCTGTGGAGGAGCCGCTCACAGCATGATAATTGTGCGCTGATATCTCTGCAGGAAGTCCTGGCAGAACTGCTGGTTGTTGAACAAAGTTGGGCACAACATCTTGTACATGTTAGATTGGATGCAGCGGAGTTTTTGGTCTGCATGCACCCACACAGCACGCATGAGATCTTTCAGATTGTTTCTGTATAAACGCATGCGTGTACTTTACAGTAGTTGAATGGGTGAGGAGCAGCTTTCTCTTTAAGAATGAACTTGTGCATAGCAAATGATGTGCATGCCAAGAGGGATATCAACCCATCGATGACGACTTTGACGCATCGTTACAACATATGTATAAGAGCGCATGAAGTATGGCTACATTGAAGCCAGCGTGCAAGCCAGCTTCAGATCTGGCCGTATTCTTACTGGCGAGGTCAAAGCAGAACATATCTTCTCTTTGTGTACATTCGAACTTTGAGCAATTCCCACTATTGGCACACAATTGTTGTTTGCAGAGGTTCATGCTACTCTTCTAATGTAATGCTCATGATCGATCATTAAAGCAAAAGTTATATATCCAGGCAAGCTCTTGCCCGCAGAATCTCCCTCCATCATGCAAAATCTGCAAATTCAGCTTAAGCACCTAAGCATACTTTCTGTAAACAGATGAACATCCATTGAACAGGCAATGGTCAAGATAATTAGAGAAAGGGAATGCGGACTATGGTCTAGGCGACTCTATTCATTTACAGCCACGAGCGCCAGCCGACCCAGGTGCGGCCCAGGATGCTGCCATCTGTCGCCTGGTCCAGAAGGCAGTCTGCCTGCTCCTCAGGGGTCAGCACTGTCCCGCCGCCGTTCCCTCCCTTGATCTGCGCCCTGCTGTTCACTCGCGCGTCGCCCTTCACAACAGCCTGCACATGACACAAAGTTTCGTCACCTGCTGAGTCAGTGCTAATTTACTGCTGCTCAATATCATGTCATGCACTGCAATTTGCTACTGCAGTCAAAGAGGAGCAGTATCAGCAGCAGAGCCAGAAGATAGCTCTGGATGCACACAAGAAAGTAACAGCAAGATAAATCACTGCTATTCACCGCTGCCCACTCACTTCCAATCTTTGCAAGTGTGCTGCCACATTCAAAGGGCAACAGCAGCAGCAGTAGCGGGGCCAGCAAGACAGCTGAGAGAGTGGGTACCTGGAGCGCAGCCCAGTGCTTGGTGGCGGAGTGCTTGGGTGTCAGCTCGGCAATGAGGATGGCGGAGGGATGCCTGCCCTCGAGTTTGTGCCAAGCATTCTGCACCTGCGCATCCAGACAATCACACCGAATCATGTCACGTACAGTGTGGTGTCCTGCATTTGACAAATCGCCCTTTTGGGCCCCTGTATGCCCTATTAACACAGGCAGTATTTTCCAAAACTGGAGTACATCAAATAAAACAGGCATCTGGTGTCCCGCTTCTGTCCGGCTGATCATTTGTCATCGGCAATGAAGACACTGACAGAGGGCGAGCTGTGGATGCTGCTACGGCTCGGTCTATCAAAGCAGGCATGAACGCATGCAAAGATGTTTGATTTTCTTCTCTTTTCCTCACCGCAGTGGGGGTACGGGGTGAGTTACCTTGAGAGCTACGTGGGTGTCTTCGTCGGGTGGTGGCTCACCACCTCGCGCGCGGAAGCTGGCCCGCAGCAGCCGCGCCTCCCTCTGCCAGTCCGCCAGCGGCTCCCGCAGGAACACGCCCAGAATGCCCTGCGCAGCCACTAGTCCATCAGACCTTTCACTCACCGCCCATGCTCCCCTGCGCGCTTCCTGAGTCCTGGCACTTTTGGAACATCACTCCGGCCTGAACAAGCACCGCGCAGCCAAATTTGCTGGCTGGTCTGCTTTGCCATGCGGGGAGCCACTTCAAAGCCTGCATGGCATGCGCACGGCACAATTGGGCCCTTGAGCGGGCTTCTGGCCGAATCAGCGAGGAACATGTGAATTTATTGAAGTCAGGAGGAGAAGGCTGGCGCGCCACGAGCACGCTGGAGCCGCATGGAACCACAGATGCAGAGGATTGCAAAAGAGATAACAAGAATTCCCAATTTAGGATACCTCGAGCACGCCGGAGCCGGAGCGCAGGGCGACGAGGCCGAGCGCGAGGGGCGCGCGCAGAAGTTCGCGCGCGTCGTGCGGCTGCAGCGCTCCGCGCATCTGCCGCGTCAGCCGGAACGGCATCAGCTCCGGGATGGGCAGCATCTGCGCGCCCGTGCCAAATGAGTACCTGCACATTGCACCGCACGTTGGACGAATGCTTGATATGATATCGCTTCCAAAAAGCTCTAAATATGCAGATATGCCCGCATGTGATTCAATGCTGTAAGTTTCATCAGTGCATGTGGGCATCCTTGGTCTAAAGCACCCAGCGACGCACATACAAATCTGACCTGCGCAGCGGCCGCCAGCTTGGCATCCGATTCACCACATTTGCATGGTGCTTCAGCCCTCTGACCAGGCAGGTGTGGTGAGGCAACGATGGCCAACCAGGCGGCTGCTGTTAGATCAGATTGGTGTGTCTCCCGGTGTGGGCCATGCATCAGTGCAATGGGTTGGCGTCCTGGCGATAGCTGGACAGAAGTTTAGAGTCTAATGCTGCGTGGTTGCTTGTTTGCACAGCACAGAGCACCTGCTGCCACGTCACAGACATGCCCAGGCCCACACAAACGCACCCCTGCAGCAATTGCTGTAGAGCAGGGTTTGCGACGCTGCAGGCCTTGGCATGTCTCTGATGTTTCAGCTGACTCAACCTGCCAATCTGCCTTTGGTGCCTACTTCTGATGGCTGCACAACGTGTGCATCACGCGACAGCTTGCAGTCTTGAGCTTGGCAGCAAGACGTTGCAAATGGTCTTTGGGCAAATAGGGCAGACCTGGGCCCCGGCCGGCGGGGGGCGGCTGCAGTCACACTTCTCTGGGCCTTGCTTGGATCCGGCAAGTATTGGGATATTGGCAGCCTTGACATGCGGCTTGTCTGCATTATGCGCAGACCTGGCCTCTGGCAGGAAAAGCATGTGCTAATTATAGGGCAGATGGGGGCGCACCCGAAGTCGATGGGCACGAGGGTGCCGGAGGCGCGGTGCAGCAGGAAGTTCTCGGTGTGGCGGTCGCCCGCCCCCGTGATGTACCCCGTCACTGACACCGCCGCCAGGCTGGCCGCAAAATTGGCGCGCATCGCCAGAAACTCCTCCGGGCCGCCCGCATTGCGTAGCAGCGCCTCCCTGCAAGATATATAATCAACTCGTGAGAGTCCAGCAAAGTTTTCAGATCCTTCTCCCTAAATTGGTATAGGTGTGCATGCTTAGAACTATCCATTTGCCTCATGCAACAAACATTCTTTAGACAAGCCCAATGCTTTTGCATTGCACCAGCCTAGAGGTACAGGTATGCATTTGGGCTACACTATTTCAGCTACATGTGCAGGACCAGAATACTCTTTTGCTGCACTGACAATAGTCCTTTTGACTTAGACAAGCTTGGGCTGAGGCAAGGGGAAAGAAGCGGCACCGGAGGGCGTCCCAGCGGATGTCAGACTCGGTGGCCTGCAGGCGTGCGGCCGCGTCGGCAGCGTCCGCGTGGAAGCTGGCCAGGTACTCGGCCACGCCGGGCTGCGCCGCCTCTCCAGCTCGCGGCGCTGGCCGCTTCGCCATCGCCCATATGGCCCCGCTGTGCTTCTCCCACGCCCTGCTGATCACCTGGCATGGCAGAATAGTCTGAAGAATAATTGCAAGCCGGTGCCTCGCTGACAAATGTGCTCATGTAAGGCAGAAAAAGCAGGTGTGGCAGAACCCTCCCATACTTCTTTCTCACTCGTCCCTGCCTGCTGTTGAGCCCAGTTCTGCAGCTTCAAGCATGCCTCTGACACCAGGCAAGACAAATGAACTGGATTGGCAGAGTGCGCAACAATATGTGAGGGGTATTTTTAGCAATGTGGTGGAGCTGGGGCACCTCGTCGCTGAGGAAGGTGCAGATGCTCTCCTTAAGCGGCTGGGTGCCAGGCACAAACTCCACAATGCCCAGGCTGCTGCTGATGGGCACCACATCGTAAGTGCGCACCTGCACGTCAATGTTCCAATACGTGACTGCTCCATTTGAAACAGTCGACATGCGTCCTTCTGCTTGACAGATCACGTAGCGTGACTTCTGCTGAACTTATGCAAATCAATTCAGGACTCCCAAGCAAGAGCCGCTGCTCAGTCACAGAGATGTCTGTCTTCGAAGTCTTGACATGATGAAGCTGACAGATCTTCAATGAACACACTGTTGACAGCCATCAGGAAAGGGTGGTCTCTCTCGTTCTGGCGTAGGGATCTAGGAGTAAATGGACACCAGAAGGACACAAGCTGGAGCCAAGCAAGGCAGACACAGGCTGTGGGTGGTGTTATTAATTTTAGGTCTTACGAGGGGCCACATGCCTGCAGCTGGTGGGCAGCTGCGCCCGGGTGGCGCGCCAAGAGGCCATTGCACACGTCCAGGATCTGCTCCATCCGCTCATCCGTGCGCACATCCTCGCCGCCCTTCACTATCCACCTGTACGTCCTGTTGTGCAGCAGCAGCCACACCTCGTTTTGGCTGCTCATGAGTCAAATATAAGTACCACGTTCTTTGGCTATTGTGCCCTGGGTTGTTGGAGAGTCCAACCTTTTGAGATGATGATCCAAGGGCTGGCTGGCTGCCTGTAAGCACTTCCCACAACCCAGGACACATTCCAAGCGGGTACAGACATAAAAGATGCCAGGTGGACAGTCGGCTTGACAGTGCAAACCTGCCTTATAGCGAGCATTCAAGCATCAGGATGCACAGCAGAAGCGCTAATTGTGCATGCTCATCCTTGAGAGCTGGCACAGAGGCAGGTTTCAGGTGATCTTAGAACAGCAGAAGCAGGCAGAGGCGCACTTGAAGTCGGAGCCGTAGATGGTGAGCTCCTTGGGGCGCTGCTTGGAGGAGAACACATTTACGGTCCTGCCAAAGCCCACGATGTGGACGTCTGGTGGCAGGTTCCCCTCCAGACCCCCCATGCTGGGCATCCATGGCACCAGCAGCTGCTCTCCATCTCCATTGCTCCCTGCGAGCACATCCCACGATTGCAGGTCACGCAGCAAGGAATTCACCAAGCATGCGCTGCAAACAGCCCCCCTTGCTCCCTGTCAACACATCCCCACGAGCCAGGTCTTTATGACAGCAATCTGACCACGTATGTACTTAAGCCTGGCTTTTGAGCACTTCCCTTCCTGCTCCCTATCTTCCTTTTGCAACCGACCTTCTGCCATAATGAAAGAGTGGAATGGAAGCAAGGAAGGAACCCTGCCCCTGTTGTGAACAAGTCTCAATAGGTTACTATTGAGAAGCAGCTCTGAAATGTTGAAAGGGAGCATTGGCGAGCGGTGGCAGCACCTGGAGAGTAGTTGGCCAGCCAGGGTGACAGCTTGGAGAGGTCACGCCTGCCGCCCAGATCACGCGTCATCTGGTTCAGCAGCTGCGCTATCTTCCGCGCCTCCCCATCAAACGACCTGCGCTCAGAATCATGTACCCACATGAGCTTATGCGGCATTGTAAGAAGTGCTGCTTTGGGTCTTTCTATCAACGACTAATGTTTGTTTGCCTATTCTGGACGTGTCTTGGTGAGCAAGAGACTGTGTACCAGTGCTCGTCTGTGGAATGTATATATTGGTGTGCCCCGCGCAAAATTCTCCTTGAGGCAAGCTCAATTTTAGTGCGGGCGTCTGAAGCCACCCTCTGGGCAGTGCCACCGAGCAGCATCACAGCAGCATTTGATTTTACATCTATGATACACATCATAGATAAATTATGGATGATGCAGGGGGGCACCTGGCGTCCAGCTTGGAGCCTTCGGGGCCGAACGCATCGCGGAAGATCTTGTCAGCCTTGGCCGCGGCGGCAGAGTTGTAGGTGGCGGCTGCCGGGCTGTTGCGCTCGGCTCTGCCCACCAGGTGGCGACCCACCATGTCTGGGTACACCTCCTCCCTGTAAAGCCGCACCGCCTCCGCCTGCGCCCGATCGCTGTTTATTAGACTTCTGAGCGTCCGCTGATGGCAGGATGGGCAGAAGCACTTTTATGTCTCTCACATGCCGCACCATGTTACACCATGAGCATCCTCGATGATCTTCTTCGGGTCAAACATCAGGCAGCATCAGAGAATGATTCTTTCTCAGCAGGGAATATCTGCATCCTGGGTGTCCAGCTTGCGTCAGTGATGTTGCATCTGCCTCTCTCCATATCAGTCGCCACTCCCTTACAGGACAACAGCACTGTGATGGACAGAAGGCCAGACTTTGCCAAAAGCTGGCCAAAATGCGTCCCAATCAGGCCGAGCCCGCATCCCAAGAGAAAGATTGCGTGCCCCTTCCTTGCTGTTGGCGTGCAACCCATGCACAGGTCTCTATTCCCTTTCATGAGAGAGACAATGTCATGCAAAGGACGCCCCTACCTTGTGGTTGGCATGCAGCAGGCGCTCGAGCTGGGCGGACCAGGCTTGCCAGCGCTGCGCGGGGTAGCTCATGTCGTTGAGGGCGGCCGCCCACCGCTCCAGCAGCGGGCAGGCCATCAGCGGCTCCAGCTCGGCCGCGCGCGCGGCGCCCTCCGGCCCGTAGTGCTGCGCGCTCAGCCGGAACGCAAAGTACAGCCGCTGCTTGTGCTCGCGCACCAGCTCCTGCAGACAGGCTTATCAGATTAAATGGATTCTTGCTGGTCGTAGCTGAATCCGCAGTCGAGTCTCACCTAATACTCAGACAGAAAGTAATGACATAGTGACATGGTGAGTGGCAGATGTGCTCCGGTAAGGACATAGGGAGCGGCAGTAGTACTCCGTCCAAGATTGAACACCAGCAAGGCTAAGGCCACATGCATGCCACTGTCTGCTCAGCAGAGTAACCCTGAACTCTGAAGCCTAAAACCACAATAGGGTGTGCCGGACCTTGAGGGTGGGCAGCAGGGCGGCGCCTTCGGGCAGGCTGAGCAGCGAAAGCATCTGGGCGGCCCAGGGCAGCAGCGCCTGAGAGGGAACTCCACCCCACCCGGCATTCCAGGCCTCGCGGGCGTCAGCGCTGTCCCCCATCACCGACAGCAGCCGCGGCACCGACAGCCGCGCCTCCGCGCCTGCATCGCACGCCCAGCTCTTCTCAAATACAGCAGACATGTCATAGTGAATTTGGGTGCCCTAGTAGCCGATTACATACTATTGACAGGATGATGGGTGGCTGTCTTGCATGTGCCTGCATGGCCACCACAATGCGTCCTTAAAGGGGGCGATTTTAAGAACGGCCCTACTTTGGCGCTCGCACAGGATTTTCGGTGTGCATTCATTCCTCTGGTGTAACTTGAGCGGTGGGCCCCTCAGAAGTTGATTGAGATGCGAGTGAGTGAATGTGGCATACACAATTGGGGACCCACGACCAGCAAGGAGTAACCTGTCGGGCAGTGTGGTGGCCCCATCCATAGCTCCTCAATCTGATGAAGGCATCTAGGGGGCAGAGCAGCATCAACAGCGCATGAGTATGAGCTGATAGCCATTTGGACTGCTGCATTTGCATGTAGAGGTGTTGATGCACATTGTCTGTGAAGGTGCTCACCTGCGGATCCGCCAGTGCGCAGCGCTTGCAGCACGCTGCGAATCATGGCGCCAGCCAGGTCACCTCCCAGAGCGCCCTTCAGCGATCCGCTGCTCTTCCCCAGGGGTGTTCCCTCTTCTGCTTCCTGCATTCCATTCCATCCCCACCATGTCAACTCGCCATGAGAAGTCGGAAAGCCACTCTTCAGAGGATTTGCTGTATCTCATCGCAGCACAAGAGCCAACAATTGCCCCATTGTGCACCAAATATGTTTCGGGGTCTCTGTGAACAGGCAAGTTATGTGCCTTGATGCATGGTGCAGCCCAAACAGAGACAAATCTCATGTCAACATTTGCAGGAGATACTTGCTTTGACAGGGAGCAGGGGCAGCTGGATTTTACCTTGAGCAGGCTATCACACATGTTGGCCAGGCGCAGAGCCGCAGTGCCGGCCTCGTCAGCAGACTGGCTGCCCGCCTCGTCAGCAGCTGACTGATACAGCTTTATCGCTCTGCTCAAGGCCTGCACGACAGCAGCAATACCCCTCAGCAAACCTCAACGAAACTTGCTTGAAAGTGCCTATCATTGGCAGGTACCTAGGACTCTTGGACTCCCCAACACAAAGCAACGAGCAATAGAAGAGATGCCGGATTGCACTGTAATCTCGCTCAGTGCATGCTTATCTTCTCAATGGAAACACCTTGGGGTCGCTCGGGGCGAGAGCTCTCTGTGCATCGCCTTCAAGGATGGCTCTCCTGGTGCTGCCCTCAGCAGTGCCGATCTGCTTCAGCTCTTGCAAGCTGTCTCCCAAGCGTGCCTTTATGACAGAGCTGGTTGGGTCTGTAGCTGCCTGTCACACAGAAAAACTCATGAACCAGGCTAGACATCCTGAATCCAAGAAGGGCCCACTACCATATTCTCTACATTTGTATTTCTGCCCCTTGTGCTCTGGATCACTTTGATTGTAACATTGAAATATCATTAGTGTTACATCAGCTCTGCCCTTGTGTTCTCATCTGTGTTACAATACCTCTAAAATCTCTCTTGTGTTACAGTGTGGCCCCCTTGTGTTTTCCCCTATGTAACAAGACTTCCAAAAAAGCTGTCTTTGTGGTTTCCCTTGTGTTACCTTTGCCTCTTCCCTTGTGTTTCATATCGCCTGCCTTGGGTCCTTGTGTTCTCCCCTGTGTTTCATCTGTATGTTTTCGCCGTTGCCTTGTGGTTAATCTGGTCACAAAGCGACTGAAGAACGGCTCTGCAAACCGTTGTACATTCCCTTCATGACCATTCGTGGCCCAACAAGACCCATCTCGAGAGCACTTGCAACTCTTGCATCATTTGTCCAGAAACGCCTGCACTTTGTCCGGAGGCCGGCCTGTGAAGAGCAGATTACTCTAGACCAATAATGCAGGAGTCCTCCAGTGCTTAGATTCAAACACGGCCCACACAGCTGCTTTGAGCTCAGCACATGTCGCACCTGGGCCAGCAGCAGCCGCAGCTTTGCCTCGGCGGTGGCGGCGGCCGCCGATGCGCCAGCGCTCGATGCAAATTGGTGCAGGATCTCCTGCGCTGTGTCCAGAAAGCCCTGCCGCTCCAGCGCTGCTGCGCCCCCCAGTGCCATGTCAGCGCGCAGCTGAGTCACCGCCTGCGCGTCAGCAGACCCCAGCCGACCAATTAAAGGACATCCGTGTCATTGAGTAAGCACAGACAGGCCGATGGTCGCGTCAAAACCTTTTCCTGCAAGCCGACATATGTACATGCGAGGAGGTCACATGTTGGAATACCAGCGCATCAATTCTTGGCAGGTGCTATGCAGGCTTGCAGAACAGGGGGGACACAATATTGTGCTGAATGCACAGCTCATTGGCATGGCAGATTGATGAGTGCAGAAACCTCGTAAGGCAGGGCTGCTGTCTTGGCGGCCTCCCTGGAGAGCGCCTGCAGCAGGAGATCGCGCGAGCTGATGACACTGAGGCATGCGTCCGCGCTCGGCTGCTGCGCCGACGGCCAGCGTTCCTTCCAGCGATTACCTAATGCTGACAGCGCCGACATGCTGATGCCGGATGAGTCAGCACCCCTTGACCTCAGCACCTCCAGAGCTTCCTGCAATGGCAGCATCAGAGCAACGTGTCAGTTTGCATCATGCCTTACCGAGGGGCCCTTGTCTGCAGCCCCTCCGACTTCCCTGTATTTCCAGGCGGTAGCGCAACAGAACACTATCTATCTCAGCTGGCATGCTTCAGGGAAGCTGTTGTCTGCAGAAATGTGGGAACTGTACACATGTCAGTCAAGGAACCATTTGGACCTCAACAATGTCAAACTAATTCACATTAGAAGTTCACACAGAATCTGCACTAGGATATGGTGCGCCAAATAACGCAGCACCAAAACAATGATGAGCATGTAAGTACCTCCAGCTCGGACAGAGGCTGCAGGGAGGCGAGGGCGTC